CCCCCCCCGCCCCCACCGTACGCCGTCGTCTGCAATCAACGAGAAGGAACGAGCATTACTAAACCCAACGGTTGGACTGCAGCTCGACCGCAGGTCACCCGCTTCCATGTCCGCAAGGGCTGCCGGGATTTTCCCCTTCTGCATACTGCACCAATTGATCCAGCCTCCAGGACCCCCCGGCTTTGGCACGGAACAGAGTATCAGTACTCCGGCATCCGAGCCAAGAAGTCAACCAGACGCCTTTCCGTGATTGTATCCCCGGCAAAAATCATCAACGGCAACTGTGACAGTAGGCGTAGCCATCGCTTGTCCTCTCGGTCCGCCGCAATTGGTGACATGCCGCCGCTGCAACGCTTTGCAACATTCCTCCGTGTCACGCCGGACGTTGACGAACCTGGGGAAAGTAGACGGCGCCGGGACGCAATTTCGAGCTCCCGATTTTAATAAACGGCTGGTTCATCAGCCAACCACGACACGCCCTCATCGCGCTTGCGGTCGGGCAACCCCTGACCAAGGCCATCCCATCCACGCTGGCCTTTGTCGCGTCTTCCGCAATCTTCGCCCTACATTGCCTCGTCGACTCACTGTCTGCTTTCCCGGCGCCGGTCGACGACGCAGCGCCTCGTCAAATCGCCTGCTGCAGCATTGCGAGCGCCTGTCTCGACCGTCGCTTGGAACATTGGACTCTTTGCGCCGCTTGGCCGAGCCGCATTCCGAGCTTCAATCTGTCAAACGTCAGGACTGCTAGCGGTCCAGTTTGTCATCCTCGCCCTCCTGCCAGTCCCACCTCGACCTAGACGACGACGACGACGACGACGACGACAACCACGCAGACCAAGTCCAACAAGGCTCCAATCGCCGCGAATATCGTCTGCTCCCAAAATCCTCCTCTGAACAGCTTATTCGTACGGCCCTCTTGTCGCTCCGCAGCCACGCCCACGCCCCTTGGCCTCCCACCATGGCTACCGTCAACGAGCACGAGATGCCACGTTCCATGTCTCCCGAGACCCCCCCAACGCTGGCCATTCGAGCATGCCCCGAGCTGTCTCGATGCGTATCAACCGCTTCGTCCATGTCACATAGCTCCGCATATGATACGAGTCCCCGGGATTCATTGGGCGGCGAGCTCTCTTCTCGTCAGTCCTCTGGCTCTTTTCGGTCATCGCGGCTGTCGGATGTTTCCAGCATCTCCAGACAGTCGGCTCACAGTGTAGATAGCAAGAGCCGAAAAAGGGGCTATGTACGACCACAACCGACGGATTTTGCTGCCAGTGCCCGGTCAAGGGATAGTGTCATGTGTTTGGGAAGTATTGCTCATTTACAATATTACTTTGCCAGAACCGGCCTCTTGGACGGCAAGGGCGGTCAGCTCGCCCGCAAGAAGCCGCATCAGCGTGCCACCCTGGACTTGTCAGTCCTCGAAAATACACGCTCTATCCCAACTATTTTTGGCGTAGACCTGAACGCCTCAGACGATGCCATGGGCAGCAACCTGGATCGTTCAAGTCTTGCCACGGAAGCAAGTGTCACCGTCGACTCTCCCACAGAGGATGCTGACGAGGACTACTTTGAGGATAGCTTTGCCGAGTCGGACCCTGGCATGCTGCCTCCGACAGTGAGCACGTATCACCAGAAGGAGAACCCGGTTCCCAAGCCTCCGACGATAGACATGTTGAAGGCAGAGCTGGAATCATGCCTCGCAGACGCCCAAAAGGCCCTGGACGAAGTGCTTGCGCGCAAGGCTGGATCATTTCGGGAGAGTGCAGATGCGCCGCAGTTGCCCAATTTGCCCGAGGAGAACACACAGGGCTGGTATGAACTGCAGGGCATGCACATCCTCGACGTGGTGACATTGGCGATTCGAGCCGCCAAGATGTACTACACCACACACGAGATGCCGGATCGTCTAGATTCCATCAAGTCGGAGAAACAAATTCGGGCCGATCTTTTGGCTGTGATGGAAGTCCTGAAGCAAATGGCCACGAGGAACTTCAAGGGCGGCTTGAGAGACGAAGAAATCGGGACCATGGTCGGCTGGGTCAAGAGTGTCTTCCACATTCTGGACAAGGAGGAAGAAATCGACGCTGCTGAACAGGCGGAACGAAAGAGCTGGGTGTGGCTTACCGATGACTGGACTGGACGGGAGGTGGAGAGAGAAAGGGCCTTTCTCGCGTCATTGGACCCTGAAGGAGAACCACTACCCGGCTGGACGCCTCTATCCCAAGCATCCGAATGCCCAACGCCGTTCCTCCGCAGTCTACAGAACGGACTGCGACTTGTCAAGCTGCACAATGCTGCGGTGAAGAAGTCTAGAAGGCGGTTTGGAGCCATTCCTACTTTTCACACGGACACGCAGAAACCATATCGATGTGCTGACAATCTCCGCTATTGGGTCAAGGCGGCTGAACTCCGCTTCGAGGTGATGCTCAAGGTTGACGTGCTGGGTGTTGTGTACAACAACGGACCCGAAGTGTGGCACGAGTTTGAGGCGGCCGTTCTCAAGTGGTGCAAGCATGTCCGAGAGGAGCTTGCCAGCGAGCTGGTGCAGTAAATCCTTTCGACTCTTTTTTTCCTGTTTGAATCCAGCACAAGAGCACCAACAGCGCATCATGACTTATGTCACCATAGCCGGAGTTGATGTTTCCTGTTTTTTCTTCTTTTTATCGCTTTTTTTCTTCTCTTTTCTGGATTTGCCGAGGTCAATATGATTGGGGTCTTTGTTGGCAGATCTCCTTTGCACATTACACCCGCTTAATGCAGCCATTCTCTGGGTTTCTTGGGCTTTTTCCCCTCCTCCTCGTCTTCTTCTTCTTTGTCTTCCTCTTCCTCTTCTTCTTCTTACTACTGCATGCATCGCATTACATCGCCAAGCTAGCAACCTTTTGTGTTTATCTGTTTCTTGGTGGGTGAGCGGTGGACAAGACAGCATACAGCGCAGCATACGGCTCAAGCACAGCATCGCATCGCATCGCGTTTGATAGATGATCACAGACCAAGCAAGGCAGGTCGTCTGTGGCACACGCTACACACATGTGCATGCCATTATGCACACAACGCGATACCTCACATAGCCCCAGTGTTTAACTCTAATCTTGTAGCATATATCCCCATAGCAAAGGCTCGAGCGCGACAAGACTGTTGCTGAGAATGGGATACACGACAGTATGAAATTGGGTCGTGAGCCCCTAGTGTTTTTTTTTTCTTTTTTGGCCTTCAGTCCAAGACTTTCAACGATGAGGGCAATGTCGACAGCACTGTTCCGTCATTTGTAGATAGAATATATATTTGACTTGGAAATTGACGTTTTACTTGTCAAGGCGTTTCCTGTTGTTTTCCATGATGTATTGTACGCCGAGTGCAGAATGCAGCTTGCCGTGTACACGTATACATGTATATATCGCATTGGTAGCACATGGAAATCGTGCTTCACGAGAAGAACGAATGACGTTTCTCATTCCCAGCACATGTTTGTTTTATAGTGTCGTTTCTTTTCCAAGGATACTCTTCTATTTTATTATTTTGAAGTTGAGCCCACTCACCTAAAAATAATAATACTAATAATTAATTAATTTAAAAATTTTAAAATTTTAAAAAAAAAACCCTCAAGGTCCAACAACACTCCAACCCTCATCATCCATCTACCTGACAATGGACATGACGGAACCACGCCGGCCCGACATCACTGCACGTCAATCTTGCGAGACTCGGCCCACGCCCTCTCGGTCTTGGGCACGACGACGACCAACACCGCGTCCTCCGTCTTGGCCGTGATGCCCAGGCCGTCGACGACGTTCTGGACGAGCAGCAGCGAATTAGTGGTTCAACTGCTTGGGTGGTGCTCATTTTGCCCCCAGCAGCCAGCAGCCACGTCAGCAGCGTGCCGGCGTCGAAGGATGGCGTACTTGCCGTAGCTGTAGCCGTCGTAGTCTCGTAGATGGTGCGGAGCATCAGAGTCCCGTTTTTGCATTCGACGCCACGCTCTGCATCGTGAGGATTCGACTGCAATGTGCTCGGATCTGGGGGCACGGAGCTGCTTGTTTCGGCGACTCTTGGCCGTTTGGGCACTGCATGGACGCCGGTTATACGTTGGCTTTGTGGATTTTTGTTCCCGGCATGTTTGTCATGCTGAGATGACTACGGGACGGGGCATGAGGAATTTGTAAATGTAGAGTACAACTTGAATAATAACAGCAGTAGTCAAAAGTACAGTATAACTAGCACAAGACTTGATGGGGATCGCGTTGTTCAGCCCCGGGAAGTTGTGCGAGGACAGCCTTGTCGTGTTTGCCGATATCAGCGCGTACTCGGAACATTTCATTCTGCCACATGTGGCGGCGGCGTAGTTGGGCATGTCAGAAAATCCGAGAAAAGCCCTACGGAGCTGTCATTTTTACTTTATTTTATAAATAAAAAGGCACCTACCTACTAGGTAACTACTAGCTGCGGAGTGCTGGGCACTAATTTGTCTTGTCTGCGCACGTTTCCGGTGGCGTGGTTGGTTGCGCCAAGCCAAGCTTGGAAAGCACCGGGCACTTGCTTGATTGGCATTTGCCGCCCGGCCCGTCGCATCCCAGCTGATGCGCAAAAGGTGAAAAGGCCAACGTCGTCCTTCAACTTGCTCACCCATCACCACATCACAGTTACATGCGCAACATCATGGACGTCAAGTCCATCTCCTTTCGTACGTACACACATCGCCCACCTCCCTTTATCCTCGCCCCTTCCAGTACTGACTCTTCCTGCAGCCCCGTCGTCGGCGGGATCCGCGCCCGCCGCTGCGTCCGACAACGTCTCCAAGCCCAAGGTCAGTCCACCGCCTCCTTTGCTCGTCCATCTTGGCGGCTCCAGCACAACAATTGTCAACTGACGCCCACATCGTAGCCGTGCTGCGTGTGCAAAGACGAAAAATCTAAGCGAGACGAGTGCATGCTTTTCTCAAAGGCGTCCGACCCGGCCGCCGATTGCAAATCCCTAGTCGACCAGTACAAGAGCTGCATGCTCGGCTTTGGATACAAGGTGTAATTATAGACTGATCTTCTTCCTCTCGAGATGCCGCCATCGAGCGCCCTGTACACTATTTGCTCATTAGACGGGTTCACGGAAAATACAAGGCACTGGATACCCCCCTCTCTTCTTTGAGACATCGACCACGTTCCATTTTATACCTACCACGTTTCGCTGCTACACGGTCTGCACCTGTGACCTGCCTTTGCGCCCTTGCCTAGCTTACTCTTCCCGCATGCACACTCCAGCATCTCCAGTGTCGGGCATGTACGTGCAAATCTCGCAAAATCCTGAGCTGACGGGCGTCAGTAGTCAATCCCTGCGCTCGCGAACCCGGGCGCTGAGAACATTCAAACGCTGCTTCGCCTCCTTGTGTCTCCCCTTGTACCCTGCCAGCATCATCTCCTCAACTTCCCGCATCGAAGAGTGGACATCCGCTACAACTTCCAGCATCCTATTCTCAATCTGCTTTCTCTTCTCCACGAGCTCGATGACCGTCCTCAGTTGCTGCGCGAGCTTGGTCGCGCTACGTTGTCGTTAGATGCAAATTACTCCACCGAGGCATGGCAATGACTTGCCTTTGTCGCCGTTTTTCTTCCTGATATGCCATCGCTCGCTTCTTCACAGAGGCCAGCGCCTTCTCTGCTTCGACTACAATTGCTCTGGCGCGTTCGTCTCGCTCCTGTTTTAGCTACAAATAGTGAGCTCAGTCGCGGTCCGAAGTTGGGTGCCGGGAACAAAATTACCTGGTAGATGCGCTCCGGCGCTTTCATGGCAATGATACTAGGATCAGAGCCATCTCCAGATTGGTTTCTATTTCTTCGTCGAGGCATGGCGGGCAGTGGTCAAGCCGGTCATGTGCGGGTCTCCTATTAGAAACTGTAGACCCAGAGTTTACGAAACATTCAACGGGGGATCCTGTGCAAAATGCAAAGTAGAAAACTCGTAAAAGCAACCTTGAGACGCGAGGGCCTCTTTTTTTTTTTTTTTTGGTGCTGGCGAAGCTTGCGCCAAATAGGAAGGAACGGCCCAGCCCGTCCTCCGTACTCGAGGACATCACATCTACCTTCCTACCTACTAGCTTAAGTACCTGGGCGTACCCAAGTACTTAGAAAGTACCTAGGCAGGTAGGTACTCTCGCATTACTGCGCCAAGGCAACGAGGGGGCAGTCCAATGCATGTGGTATCACTAAATCTCCTTTTCTTGGCCTATTCCCTCTCGGTGGTAGATGTTATCATACATCAACCTGCCCAAGTGTCCCCCATCATCGCGTCAACGCTATGTCGTCTATTCTCAGAATCATCTTGACCGTCTCAGCAGCTAGCTCAATGGCACTTGTGCTCACCAGGAGCGGCTGCAAGACGTTCTCCTTGGAGATGTTTGTGTTGACACCACCGGACTTGATGCTGACTCCCGCATTCTTCTCCCCCATCTCATGCCGGTGTCTCAGGTCCGTCACGACCTTGATACTGTTCAACCCAGCGTTCTCAGCCAGAGTAGTAGGGATAACCTCCATAGCATCCGCAAACGCCTTCCAGCAGATAGCCTCTGTGCCCGTCAAGCTACGAGCCTGCTTGGAGAGCTGTGCAGCAATCTCAATCTCGGCAGCACCTCCACCAGCAATGAGGGCCTTCTTCTTGACCAGGCAGCGCATAACGCAGAGAGCATCATGCAAGCTTCGCTCCGCTTCCTCCAAAATCAATGAGTTGGCTCCTCTGACGACGACGGAGACGGTCTTTCCGGTGGCCTTGGCACCAGTGACCTTGACCATGCGTGAGCCCGAAGATTCGGCCTCCTCAACCAGCTCAGCATATCCCAGCTTGTCCTCGGTGAAAGAATCAATGTCGGCAATAGGTTTGCAGCCGGTCGACTTGCAGATGAACTCCACTTCGTCCCGCTCAATATCCTTGATAGCAAGGATTCCCAGCTTAGCCAGGAAGTGCAGTGACAAGTCGTTGACAGCGTCGCGCAAAATCGATTTCTGGATAAGCACAACGTTGCACTTGGCCTTCTTAATCTTCTTAGCCATGTTGAGAAGATACAGACGCTCCTCCTTGACAATCTTATCCATTTGTCTGTAGTCGTTGACCTGGATGGTGTTTTCCATCTACAAGTAATGTGAGTCAGTATACAAATCGATATTCCATCCCCAGGAATTACAGCTTACATCTGGCTTGGGCGGACTGAGCTGGAACTGAATGAGACCGATGCGTGCCTTCTCCATTCTGACGGGGCCACCGGCGTTCCTGAGAACTGGCTGGTTCAAGACCAGGCCAGGAACAAGTTCGCTGTCCTCGATAGTGCCTCCAACCTTCTTGACAATCCGAATGTTCCGGAGGTCAACGTTATCGGCGGTCTTAACATCAATCACTTTCGTCACGGCATTGACAGCCATCGGCCCGAGCAAGTTCGAGTATTGTGAGACAATTTTGGACGACAGTGACGTGTTGGCGGCCTGCAGAAGAGCGGACGTGTCGCCAAGGGTAATCGGTTGGGACATGTCGTGGAGCACTTCCACGGCGGCAGCTGACGCTCGTTGGAAGGACTCTGAGATGACTGAGGGATGGATCCCTTTTGACAGGAGTCGGTCTGCGGCACCAAGCAAGCTGCCGCAGATGACAACGACGGAGGTTGTGCCATCGCCGGCCTCGACATCCTGCGCACCAGCGAGGTTCACCAGCATCTTGGCGGTGGGGTGCATGACTGACATGCTCTTCAGCATAGTGTGTCCATCGTTTGTAATGATCGTCTCGCCCTTGCCGCTTCTGATCATCTTGTCCATGCCTCGAGGGCCGAGGGACGTTCGGATAGCGTCGGCAACAGCTGTCAATATGTTAAGAAAACTCGTGTCACAGACTTTGCTTCAGTTGTTCCCACCTCTAGCAGCGACAATGTTGGACGACCGCACAGCCATGGGCTTCTCCTTGTCCTGCGAGTGTGTCAGCGGGGTGGCACAGCTTGGGGGGGAGTGTGAGAGCTTCTTAATACTCTAAAAGTAGCATTCTGAGACTGCCCAACAGCAACTGCGGGTGCTGACATGATGGCGACAAGGTTGAGCTACCCGAGCTTCTCCGATTCTGTAGTCTTTGTTGAGTTGTTGCAGAGTCGTCGAATGGCGGGACGTTGGCAGCATGGATGAGATATCCCACCTTCTGCCACCGCTCCGCCATCCAGAAATTTTGGCGTCGGGCCACAGATTATCCATGCTCCGATACTATGCTGCAGCGGTCTCCCAACGCGGTTTAGCGCCACCTGTCGTTCTGGTCTAGTTCAACGGGGGGGCCTGTGCACGGAGCTCAAGGCAACCGACTCTGATTACGAAATGCTCCTGCGAATGGCTGCCTCAGCATTGCCATTGCCAGCCAAACACGCGACAGCCTTCCCGTCTATCAAGCTTGCATCTCCCAGCGCAACCGAGTCAACTAGACAGCTGTTTTCACCGGCTTTACGTACCTGACTGCTCTCCGACTGCATTATCACCTAGCCCTGTGTCGTCGGCAACGCGCTACTGCAGGCGGATTCCATCATGGTATGGTGCCCAAAGCAACTTTGCATCGTGGCCTGCGTCAACGATGGCTAACTTGGACTAGCCTTCCGCGACTGGTCAAAACTGGGAGAAGTACCAGAAGAAATTTGCCGACGATGAAATAGAAGAGAAGAAGATTACTCCTCTGACCGATGAGTACGAAGGCACCGGTAGGGCAAAAGGGCTTTGGACATATCAGCTTACTATTTGTTAGGGATATCCAGGTTCTGAAGACGTATGGCGCCGCCCCCTATGGAGCAGCGCTCAAGAAGCTCGAGAAACAGATCAAGGAAAAACAGCAAAGTGTAGATGAGAAGATTGGAGTGAAAGTACGAGCCGGCACTCTCACTATTCCTAGCCTCGCGCATATCTAACCATTGACAGGAGTCCGACACTGGTCTTGCCCCTCCGCATTTATGGGACGTTGCCGCTGACCGTCAACGAATGTCCGAGGAGCAGCCGTTCCAGGTAGCCCGCTGTACCAAGATCATCGAAGACGACAAAGGCGACGAGTCAAAGAAGAAGTACGTTATCAACGTCAAGCAAATTGCCAAGTTCGTCGTCCAGCTCGGAGAGCGTGTGAGCCCGACAGATATTGAAGAGGGAATGCGTGTTGGTGTCGACCGCAACAAGTATCAGATCATGTTGCCGTTACCACCCAAGATCGACGCAAGCGTCACCATGATGACGGTCGAAGAGAAGCCGGATGTCACATATGGCGACGTTGGCGGCTGTAAAGAGCAGGTCGAGAAGCTGCGAGAAGTTGTTGAAATGCCTCTGTTATCTCCGGAGCGATTTGTCAACCTCGGTATCGATCCTCCCAAAGGAGCTCTTCTCTACGGCCCCCCTGGTACAGGCAAAACCCTCTGTGCCCGTGCCGTTGCCAACAGAACAGATGCGACGTTCATTCGAGTCATCGGCAGTGAACTGGTCCAGAAATACGTTGGTGAAGGTGCACGGATGGTCCGTGAGTTGTTCGAGATGGCGCGAACGAAAAAGGCGTGCATCATCTTCTTTGACGAAATCGATGCCGTCGGCGGTGCCAGATTTGACGACGGTGCCGGTGGTGACAACGAGGTGCAAAGAACCATGCTGGAGCTCATCACCCAGCTGGATGGGTTCGATGCTCGTGGAAACATCAAGGTCATGTTTGCAACCAACAGGCCGTCTACCCTGGATCCCGCGCTCATGAGACCCGGCCGTATCGACCGAAAGATTGAGTTCTCGCTTCCCGATCTCGAAGGCCGAGCCAATATTCTCCGAATCCATGCCAAGAGCATGTCCGTCGAGAGAGATATCCGATGGGAGCTGATTTCTCGTCTCTGTCCCAACGCCACCGGGGCAGAATTGAGGAGCGTGTGCACCGAGGCCGGCATGTTCGCCATCCGAGCAAGAAGAAAAGTGGCTTCGGAGAAGGATTTCTTGAGTGCCGTTGACAAGGTCATCAAGGGCAACCTCAAGTTCAACTCGACCGCAACCTACATGCAATATAACTAGAGTGGGCGATTTTTTTGTGTATTTCTCTTCAAAAACTACAAACCTTTGGTGTATGACTATGGGAGATGACACGGAAGGCGGCGCTTCTAGATACCTCGTTGATGCCTCCAGCAGCAGAAATTTGATAGAAGCCGGCGTTCACGGTGCAACAATGGCATGTCCAGTCTGTGTTGACATACGGCGCACAAGTGTAAACCGCACAATGGATACGATACGTATATACGTTAAGCCGCACCCAACATGAGGCTGGCCCCTTTAGGAGCTGTCCATGATTTATACACACAGACGCTATGCTCTGTACACTATTTGCAGTAGGCGCACGTTGGATATTTACACGGATCGAGAAACGCATCGCGTCGGATCCATATCAAAAAAGCAACATTAAACCCGTGATGTGACGGCCTAGGCTACAGGTTACCACCACCAAATCCCCCAGCAAAAGTGACATCCCGGACAATGCAGTCAGATGTGAAGTCAAAAGTGTCAACTAGTCGAGTGGCCCGGCACAGCCCTCCTTTTCCCAAGAAGATGCCGGCCCGAGCCTAAATCGTGAGGTCATCAGCCGCCCGTCGCGGCCGGTCGTCACGCGCCAGACATGCCAGACAAGCAGCCCAAGCACATGACGTCTCCTTGGCGGCCCCTCTCCACGCAGCACCTGCTGCAGACGACGGAGCGGTGTCCCGACGCGCCCCATCCCCTGGCGTCTTTGGCTGCGTCCCGGCAGCGGCCCTGGGGTTGCCGCGCGCCGGTGTCGGTGTTCTCGTCGTCGGCGTCGGCGTCGGCGTCGGCGTCGGCGTCGGCGTCGGCGTCGGCGTCGGCGTCGGCGTCGGCGTCGGCGTCGGCGTCGGCGTCGGCGTCGGCGTCGGCGTCGGCGTCGGCGTCGGCGTCGGCGTCGGCGTCGGCGTCGGCGTCGGCGTCGGCGTCGGCGTCGGCGTCGGCGTCGGCGTCGGCGTCGGCGTCGGCGTCGGCGTCGGCGTCGGCGTCGGCGTCGTCCATGTGGAGTGATCGCGAGAGCACCTCCTGCTCCGAAAGGACGGACATGCCGTCGTCCGTGTCCCATCCGTAGCACTGTCTCATGCACACGAAGCACGCTGTCTCGCCGCAGCCCTGGCACTCTGCGAAGGAGTCGAGGTCGGACGTCTTGGTCGGCCGCCGATGGCATATGTAGCAGGGGGCTGGGCGCGCCGCACCGGCTCCGGCTCCGGCACTGGGCGCCGGGGATGCCCTGTTCCCGAGGGCCGGGCGGTCCTGGAACAGCCTCTGCTGTGGTGATGGCCGCCGTCGCTGCGCCGGCACAGGGCTGCCGGGGGAGTCGTCTTCGGGGGCGACGCCGACGCGGGCCCTTTTCGGAGAGGGCGGGAGGACCTTGCGGGCGGCGGTGAGGTCCGACGCTCGGTTTAGCAGGTAGAGGTCCGGTGGCTGCTTGTCTGGGCTGTACAGCCGGCGGACGCGGTCGTCGTGGTCGTCCTCCCATCGTCGTTTTCGGGGCGGCTGGAAGTCATCGCCGTCGCTGACATACGGCATCTTCACGCCGGGGGGGGCAAGGCACGGTTGTTCGTTCGTATGATTGATGGCTTGGGCTGACGAGGCGCTGGTGCTGGTGCTGGTGCTGGTGCTGGAAGGTGTGTGAGATCGGCCTCGTAAGCCGCTAGGTAGTGACCATTTGGAACAGCGAGGTATGTATGAACAGTCGGAAGTCGGAGACGGCACGGAGACGGGGAGACGGGGACGGGTGTTCACTCGCGTCTCTTGCAAGTTGCAGCTGGGCTGGACGTGGAAAAGGATCAAAATTATGGAGTAATCACGGAATCTTTCAAGGGTTCCATGTCCACCAGTGACCGGTGACCTGCCCCTATCGGCCTGTCGGCCTATCGGAGACGGCTGAGGACTGAAGCAGGCTGCCTGCCAGTGGGTCAACCTGGTCCTGTCTGGTCTGATGTGTTGTTGTCGCTGTCCGACTTCCTGTCCCCATGACTGGTCGCGGCCGGGCGCACGGTCGAGATGAGCAAAATACAGAAACACACAGGACAAGTGCGTCCAAATTACATCCAGAGCCCGTCTTGATACATTCAGTGCCGGTCCCTTCTTACTGACACACCGTCAACACACCGCAAGTGAGCTGCCAGAGCCTATTGTGCATGACTACGACAGACAGAAGCAAAGGTATTGAAATCTGGATCCTCTGATTTACACTCCACCATCGATCTTACCGTGTTTCTTGAACAACCGTCTCTCTGCTCTACCCGCCTCCGCCACAAAAGGAACATCTCTAACAGGGGGAGACTAGTATACACATGAGGCACAACTTGCCTTGTCTCTTAGCGGCGAACCTTGGAATCGGCTGGGGGGTCGTAGGCAATCTTCCTCGACTTCAGCCATGCCCATTTGTATCGCTTAACCCAGACGCTGATGGCCCACAAAGCCGACGTGACAATCAAGACCTTCAAGCCCATCTTCTTGCGGTCATCCATCTCAGGTTCGGCCGCCCAGTTGAGAAACTCGACAACGTCCTTGGCCATCTGGGAGGTGGAGGCAGGAGTGCCGTCCTCGTACTCGACAAGGCCGTCGTAGAGAACACGAGCCATGCCGATGCCAGTTCCGGGGAAATAGGGGTTGAAATTCATGCCAGGCGCGACCTGGGCGCCGGCAGGGGGCTCTTCAGGGTAGCCCGTCAGCAAGCTGAAAATGTAGTCGCAGCCACCATGGCGGCCCTTGACGATGAGGCTCAGATCCGGGGGCAGGGCACCGTTGTTGGCGAACCGAGCAGCCTCCTCATTCTTGTAGGGGTCGGGAATGTAGTCGGCCAACTTTCCAGGTCGCATCTGGATCTCGCCCTGCTCGTCCGGCTCACCAGGGTACTCGTTCTCCTCGGCAAGGGCCTTGGCTTCGTCGACAGTCAAGACGGAACCGACCAGTGTCCGGTAGGGGATACGACTGAGGGAGTGACAGCTGGCGCAGACTTCTCTGTAGACCTGGAAGCCTCGGCGAAGTCTAATGTTCAAGGTCAGTACCGGGGTTACGTCCTGTCAGTGGCACATGCTCCTGTTGGGTTTTCGGGGACGACCAAGAGAGGGGCACTTACGCCTGGTGGTCGAAAGTCTTGAGCCACTGCTGATGAACCCAGGGATAGTGAGTAGGATGCAGACTGTTGGGCGAATTAGTGAATTGGTCGTCGAAGAGGAGGGCCTCACACAGCCGAGAACCGCAATGTATGCCACACGTGGCATAGGACACCGACCGCGGCAACAAGAGCTCGGGCTTGTATATTCCTGAAAAACGTACCCTTCCTCAGCAGGGCTGGCAGCAAAGGCCACAGGTCCGTAGAGGTGGTAGTACCAGGCAATGGAGCCGGCGGCGACGGTGGTCGAGGCGATGGCAGCAAAGTTCAACCGTGCAGGGGAAGCTTCCCCGGCAGCACGCGAGCTCGTCGAGGCGGCGCGCTATACGACAGATATCCATTAGCATTGAAAGTCTTGAGCAATATGCACTTGCAAATCGACTGATGTGGTTCCAGTCTGCGAGGGCGGGCAGCGGTTGATTCCCTCGGCAAACCACGAAAAACGGAGAGACAGACGAGACCCAGTTCCAGCAGGACCGCCATACCTTGGATACATTGCTCACGCCATTTCGAAGCCCATTGAGTGTGCGCGCCGAGCGCAGGCAAGACCTTGACAGCATAATTTGCGAGCTATACCGGTATCCGTGGAGGGAGCCGTTGTGAGGCCGTGTCGACGATGGGTTGCTATCGAGATTCCGAGGGTCGGGGGTTCGAAATGGCTCAGCAGGAGAAGTCGTACTCTTCGAGAAAATCCAGCGTTCCGAAATGGGCCGACGCTGATTGGCTCGAGTCACGTGAAGCTCCGTGCCATGGCCCGTCCAACCGGGTGGTCAGGCCGCAGCCTGCTTACCTAATTCGAGCCGTTGCAGCAAGAGGTAGAAGTTCGGCCCCCACCGGCTGCTTGTCGATGCTTCCTCATTGGCTGCTGGTGGCCGCCAGCGCTGCGCCTGCGCCTGAATAATAAATACTTACGCGTGCGCCAACTTCAAGTTACGATGCCTTTTTGCGTTGCCCCGCCCCCACCATCATCAATAAATTGCATGTCGTGACAAAAAGCAAAACCATCGTCACTCGCACTCTCTCGCAAACCGCGCTCTTTCTTTTGCCCGCTCGCAACTTGCTCTGGCTTATATTCGTCTAAGCATATCCATACAAGATGACCGTCACCCACAAACTCTTCACCATTGAAGGCAAGGGCCTCAAGCTCGACACCGCCGCCGATGTCGAGCCTCACATCAAAGATCTCCGAGCCAACGACGTAGAGGAGGTCAGGCTGCTCGGAAATACCCTAGGCGTCGGGGCTTGCAAGGTCATCGGAGAAGTCCTGGCCACCAAGAAGAACCTCAAGGTGCGGCGACGCCGACGCACAGCCCGTCAACGTCAACACAACACGTCCTCAAGCTAACACGACACTCATCAAGGTCGCGAATCTTGCCGACATTTTCACAGGCAGGCTGCTGAGCGAAATTCCCGAAGCGCTCTCCCTGCTTCTGACTTCTGTCCTCAACCACCCGAACCTCCACACAGTCAACTTGAACGACAACGCGTTTGGCCTCAACACTCAAGCCCCCCTCGTCGCCTTCCTCTCCGCCCACGTCCCCCTTCAGCACCTGTACCTCAACAACAACGGCCTCGGTCCCCACGCCGGCATCCTCGTTGCCGATGCTCTGTCACAGCTTCACGCCAAGAAGGAAGCCGCCCGCAAGGAGGGCAGGCAGGTCCCCGACTTGGAGACGGTCATTTGCGGCCGCAACCGACTGGAGAACGGCAGCATGTCCGCTTGGGCCAGGACTTATAAACTCCACAACAAAATCCAGCACGTCAAGATGGTGCAGAACGGTATCAGACAAGAGGGCATCTCTCATCTCATCAGTGAAGGTCTTGTCCACGCTACCAAACTGCAGACCTTGGATCTCCAGGACAACACTTTTACCCTCACGGGCGCCAAGGCCCTCGCCGACGTCGTCACAAATTGGACTGTCGTCCGCGAGCTAGGTATCGGCGATTCGCTTCTGAGCGCCAAGGGCAGTGTCCTGTTTGCAAAGGCTCTGGCCAAGGGCAAAAACCAGAAAGTCGAGACTCTTCGTCTGCAGTACAACGATATTACCGCGCCTGGCGTCAAGGCCTTTGCTGCCGCTGCCAAGGATGCGCTGCCTTCCCTTAGGCGCATAGAGTTGAATGGAAACAAGTTTGACGAGGACGACGAGTCCATCCTCTATTTGCAGAAACTTCTTGACAAGCGCAAGGAGACGCTTGCCGGAGATGTCATCAACGAGGACGAATGGGGAGTTGACAGCTTGAGCGATCTTGAAGAACTCAGCGAGGAGGAGGAGGAGGAGGAAGAGGAGGAAGAGGAGGGCGTCACCGCCGAGGAGCGCGCCGAGAAACTAATCAAGGAGGCCGAGGAGGCTCGGGAGGAGCCTGTCGTCCAGCTCAAGGACAAGGAGGTCGAGGCTCTTGCTAAGAAGCTGGAGAAGACCGACATTTAGGCTGAAATGCTGTTATTCCCCGTGACGTTAGATGATACACTTGCATATATTTAAGATTATACTTAGGGTTAGAGCGTGCAATACATACGATACCCCCTTTAGGGCCCTTTCTGTGAAGATGAACGCAAGGGTCTCAAGGCCAGTCACTTCACAACCAGTCACCACCATACACGTAGAGCTTGCAGCGGAACAAATGTTGATGAGGCATTGGATGTATATTCAATATCTGACATGCACTACAAGGGGCTACCGTCACACAAGTTTCAAGCTAGAATTGGATTGAAATGGAAGATAGGGGCAGACCGTATTCAGACGTCAAGCCCTTGCGGGGAACACGGACACGTACCTAGACTGGCTGTGGTTGGAACCAGGTTCTCTAAGACTCCTTGTTAGCCGCCACATGAACACTCCTTAAGCAAGGGAATGGGGAGAAGATGAAAGAGTGGAAATGAATAGTCAAGAAAAACAACAAGGTATCTCCCAATGCCGACCGACATTAACCCTTCTGGTATATACCGGTACTGGCAACCAAAACCAAGCCCATGACCCTAACGTTAATACCAAAGCACTTGCGTATATGTCTGTTTCCATCAATGCTTTCATTCGTTCCATAACAAAGCCAAACACGGACCACACCACCTATCTATGCATATCTAACGGCTGAGAGCAGTATTTTGTATGATTAAATCGCCCTCCATAAGCATAGTTACATAAAATCCATGGCATCAGACGGCATCGAGGCGTTCCTGAGCTGTTCAAAAGCACCGTACTGAGCCGCCATCTCCGAATGCTGTTGTTGCTGGTCATAGTCGGGTCCCTTGTAAACAGGGTCGTTAGACCTAGTATATCTATCGCTCCCCACGGCGGTACCGTAGTGGTTATAAACATCCCTGGCTTTGTTGTCAACGGACTGGCGTTCATATTCCCGCCGCATGAGTTCTTCATACCCGGACGTCATGTATGGCTCACTTTCGGCTGCCATGTGCTGAGTCCATTTACCGTCAGCGGTTTGGACTTGGGTGCCATCCAGACTCATGGCTGGATTATGTTGTCTCTCATATCGCATTTTGGCAAGGTGCTCCTCTTGGTCCAGGGTCGTACTGCTCCAGGCAAGGGAAGGGATATCTTCCGCCCTACTGGGGGGGCAAATGCTCCAAAGCTCGAGTAGACGAAGTTTCTGCGGATCATCGGCAATGCGGAAGAGTTGAACCTGGGACGGCGTCAAAACGGCAGGGTCTATCCCGTAGCTGCGCAGGGTCATCTCCATTGGGGAAAGCTCGCTCTGAGGCGGCTCTGATGATGGCCGCTGGGGTTGGCATTGTCCGTGGTTCTCATATGGCTGAGCAGCAGCCTTGGCCGTGTGAGCAGAGTGGTGATAGTGTTGTGAGATAGAATACACAATGGGTTGAGGAACTGGAGCCAAGGGGGCCGGTTCCTGTCGTAATGTGTCTTTTTGGGCGGAGACGTGAAAGTCGGGGTTGAAGGTCAAATTACGAGAAAAGAGGTTGGCCAGGTCATCTTGAACCTGTTGGGCGTTTGCCTGCATGCCGGGTTGAAAAGATACCATGACCTAGAAGCGAATCAATATCAAGCAACCACGCATGCCGCTTACACGCAGGCGGAGAGCCACCGGTTAACTGTACCTCGGCTGTTGGCGAATCTGCAATGCGGTGATGGGCGGGAACAACGGTGGCTTCGTTTCCGGAATGCCTCTTGATCGTCACTCTGGGGTCAGTGTTTCTTCGCAAGTTCTTTCGGTCGACGAGTCCTTTAAATTCCTGTCGATTGAGTTCTTTGTTCCTTTTTTTTTTCTGTTTTCTTCTTAGGCGTGACCCTGGTTGGGTCGATATGCGGTTGGGTATCAAGACAGAACGGCAAATGCGATACCTCCGTACTCGGTTCTGCTGGAGCGGCCGGCAAGAGAGATGAGGCAAAATCAGAAGTTTATTTCGGCTACACTAAGTTGATAAAAGGTGAAGACGATCAGGCGCGTGCAAATGGTGAATGTCAACAAGAGGGGAAAAGTAAGCAAGTGGTGCTGCTGCTGCTGGTGTCGTCCCGGTTCTCGTCTCCTGTCTCGGGCAGATTTATTAGCACGAGGAGCGAGCGCTGGCCTTCTGAGGTTTTAGGCCGGACAGCGGACCGGAACAGCGGACCAGGGGCCACTGGCGCCAGAGAGGGAGGCGCAGGCGGGGGAGGATGGACTTTGGCTAAGGGGGCGATTGAGTGGCGAGACAATATCCGCGCCAAGATAGCGCGTGCTTGGCGAATGAATATCAAAGAGAAGGCGTCAGAGAAGACCCATGGAAGAGACGGGGAGAAAAGAGAAGCGTCATGTCTTCTGTTGCAAGTTCAATAGAAAGTCGGGATTGTTGGGAGTCGGGACATGAGGCCGCAGCTGCGGGACCTGCAGGCGGACCAAGGAAGGAAGCAAGGAAGGAAGCCAGGACGGACGGCGCTTGCTAGTGAGTGGTGTGGAGTGGCAATTTCGTGCTCACGGATTCATCTCAAAATGGCTCCGACCGTCATCGACCCAAGATTCGTCACGCGGCCACGTCTCCTTGACGCCACCAGACCATGGATTGTTGGAGGAGCAAAGGACTTGGGGGAGTGGGAGAGACATGTGACTGTTTTGACTTAAGCTTGAAGCGAAGCAACAACAAAGCACGGCCGCGGTGCATGTACTAAATTACTCACGATACCTCTAGGCACCTGGGTAGGTAGCTGACCCGCGTCCAAGTGTCACTTGACTTGACATGGAACTACTCTTCCCATCCCCCACGCGGCTTGTGCTTCCCACCAACGGCTGAAGCTACATTCCTGTGCTGGAATAAAATATGACATTACATTGTCGGGACTCGGGACTTGCTGTGCCTGTATCTTTTATCTTTCTATCAACGGCTAGTGGCCCCCGAGGGCCGGATCCGATGTGGGGCCCCAGCATTGCGCCACAACCGCATCAGCCACACTACAGCCCAACCACCTGTGGCTTACTGTAAGTTGTAAGCCCCTCCTCAGCAAGACTCTTGGCCTCAGGCACAAAACAGCAGGCCAGCCTCGCCGCCAGCAACTGCAACACGCAGCTCTCAGGCTGCCTGGTGATGATGCCGCTGGTTGGAGCTCCAGTTCCATATCTGCCATCTCAACTCCTCTCAACCCACCGTCCATTCACTCAGCATACCTCTGTACCTGGCGATACCATCCTTCGGACAGGTTCAACGGAGACCAGCTTGCCAAGATGGTGAGGCTCTTGCAGTCGCCCTGTCTGCATACTCTGCCGCCCCCCCATGAGGGAACGCTAGCTAACACCCTCAACACGCAGACGTCGATAGGAACGGGCTACGATCTTCTCAACTCCATCTTTTCGCCAGATGGCCGCAACTTTCAGGTGGAGTACGCAGTTAAGGCAGTAGAGAACGGCGGCACCTCAATCGGTATCCGGTGCAAGGATGGCGTTGTCCTGGCTGTCGAGAAGGTGGTGACATCAAAGCTCCTGAAGCCCGGGGCGAACAAGCGAATTGCTACCGTTGATAGCCACATTGGAGTTGTACGTGATCCCGCAACTGTCTAGTCCGAAATCATGCCTCTCTTTATGCCTTCCAATCAACCACCAAAAAAACAAAAAAAAAAAAAATCACCCCGCCCCTGGAGCTGGAGCGGTAGCTGACTTGTGCACACAATCTACCAGGTTTACTCAGGAATGGTCCCCGACGGCCGATATTTTGTCGACCGCGCCCGCGACGAAGCCCAAGGCTGGCGGCAACACTTCAAGACCCCGATCCCCACGGCCGATCTTGCCTCCCGGATGGGCGGCTATCTCCAGGCCTACACCATGTATGGTTCCGTCCGGCCGTTCGGCATCACCGCTATTGTCGGCGGCGTAGACACGTCCGAAGAGACGCCAGTCGACGGGGAAGTCGGCTCGGGTCCCAAGTGCGGTGCTGGCGGCAAGGTCCCCGGCAAGCATGGCGGTCCGTTCCTGTACATGATTGAGCCCAGTGGTTTGTACTGGGGCTACTACGGTGCTGCTACAGGCAAGGGTCGTCAGGCGGCCAAGGCCGAGCTGGAGAAGCTGGATCTGCAGTCCGGCAACATGACCATGGAGGAGGCCGTCAAGGAGGCCGCAAGGATCATCTTTGTCGCGCAAAAGGACAACAAGGACAAAGACTTTGAACTGGAAATGACTTGGATCAGTGGCGTGGATGGTCCGACCAAGGGTCGTCATGTCGAGGTGCCCAAGGAGTTGAGGGAGGAAGCTGAGCGGTTAGCAAAGGCGGAGGATGACACAGACGAAGACGAGGAGAACGATAAGAAAGACGAGGATAAGATGGAGGAGTAGAGAAGGATTTCGCCAAGCAACAACCGGATTTAGTTCCGCGCGCTGGACGAGAGCACTTGTACTATCACACGGCAGGTTCATAGAATAATGCTTGACATGGTTGTGAAATTGGAAAAGCCATGAACCTCTGTTGATTGAAGAGGGGAGAACGTCTTGCCATACCAGCGGAAACTGGGCTTGCATCATGTCGGCAGCTTGGCCGCTGACCTCAATTACCTTGTGTATGCAGCGTGCGAATCTATGTGCAATGCTTCCTGGCAATGTCCCCCTTTTTTTTATCGCCTCTGTAACGCCGTGTACGCAAGAGCCCCAAAGGAAGCTTATGAATCTATATACACAACCTTGAACCACAGGGCCCAGATCACGCCCGACTCTGCGAAGCATGGTTCTGACACCAATTATTCCAGTCGGCAAAAAAGGAACTCTGCATCGTGACATGCCCCAGGACCCAGTCGCTCTGCGTCCTGGCATACACGCCCGCCACGTCGCGAATGCGGCTCCTGTCGCTCGCAAAAATGCTCGAGGCCACGATCAAGCTGGCGGCGCTAGCAGCCTTGGCGTACGCGTGGGAATTATCCTTGCCCGCCACCTCGTGGACTTGCACCAACAGAGGCAGCAAGTCGTCTCCGGGGGCGTCGTCACCCGCCTCCTTGCTGGCCCTCGCTTTGCGGAGGCCCCTCTGGTAGGCAAGAACGATTTCGCACGCTCTGACGGAGAGGGGTTTTGCGGACGTGGTGCGCATGAGGTTCAGCAGCGGGATGAGCAAGGTGTAGGTCAGGGCGTTGAGGGCCTCGTTCTTGACGTATATGTCGAGGAGGTCGAGGATGCGGTGTTTGAAATTGATGACGGACTGCTTGGCGTCCTTTTTGGCCTTTTTGGCCTCGGACTGGGACGACTTGATGCGCGGGGCGATGGCGGCGGAGAGGTGTTCGTCCAGGGCGAACATTTGCGAGTCAGACATGTCGCCCTCGGAGGAGGAGGAGGCAGCGTCGGCGTCTTTGTCGAGGCGGTGCGAGTTGAGGATTTTTCCGAGCATGTCGTCTAGTTCCTCGGGCTTGTTCCATTCGCCCTGGTTCCTGTGAGGGCTGGTATCATCTGATGAGGAGGGAGGGGCGTCGTCGTGGAGATCGACGAATTCCATGTCGGAATCGATTTCGAAGTCTGAGTTGTCCTCAACATCTTCGACTTGATCTTCTTTATCTTCGTCTTCGTCTGCATCTTCGTCTGGCCCTTCACTTTCGTCGACATCCATGGCATCATCTTCTGTATTGAAGAGCTCCTTTTGCCCCTTTGTGCTTTCTTCCGAAGCAAGTGGCCCCGTAAGGAGTTCCAAACCCTCCGCGGACACCTGGCCAGAGAATGCCTCAAAGACTTGTTGAGATACCTGTCTCATTAGAGAGGAAGGACGGGCAACCATTGACAAGAGAATCTCGACTAGCAATTCGGAGCTACCTTGACACTTTCCGCTGTGTTTGCTTCCCTTCTTGGGATGAAGTCTGTCGTAGAACTGGGCAAGATCGTCCAATACCTCCATCGCATCAGGATCGTCGTTGTACAGCTGAAAAGCGGAAATTGCGTGGAGCATTGCGAGACCCTGGGCAGCGTCCTTTTCGCTTTGCGTCTTTGACTTCCGCTTCAGCAGCTTGCCCATGCGTGCCAAGGCGTCATTCAGTGATTCTAGGATCTCCGGGGCCATGATCTTTGCACTAGAGTCTATTGATCCTACAGCTTCGCAGAACCGAGAAGCATATTTGCTTGAGCGAGCGAGTTTTGCGAGTGACGACTCGAGCCGAGAGCGGCAGGTTTCTCGAATTTGTTCAGTGACCGCATTTTCTGGTATGCCCTTTGGCTGGGCATAGGCCAATCCGGCGAGTTCCTGTAGTACTGGCCCAAATGACCCCTTTGTGGCGTTATCTTCATCGTCCGCTGGCAGTGACGAGGCGAGTGCATTAAGGATCTTGGCGAGATAATCGGCATATATTCGGACAATAGACTGAGCGTCTGCAGCTTCTTTTTGTTTCAAAGTTTTGACAGGCTTTTGAACAACAGTCAATACAGCTTCCGCGTCTCCTTCAGTTATATTTTGCAACAGCCTATCCACTGTCTTGGTACTTGTCCGTTGGTCGAAACCGTAGGCACCATTCTTTCCTATGAGGCTGGCGAGAACAGGTGCCAGAGATGATGGATGGGCTGAGACGACCGCTTCGATAGACTTCAAGGCTTTGATGGCAGCTCGGTGCAAGTAGCGGTCCTCCTTTGATGCTTGATTCAGCAGGCACGACATGAAATTGCGGCTGAAAAGTGTCTGGACTTTCAACGGCTCTTCAATGAACCCTTCGAGCATCTTCTGAAAGACCATGAAACCTTTGAATTTTTGTCCGTCTGTAGCTTGCTTGGAAAACAGTCCATCTACGGTAGGCTAAGCGAGGCTTCGCGAAAAAAAAATGGGACAAAAAGGATACATACCATCTACAACGCGATTCCAAAACTGTTCAAAATCCTCCTCTGCGTTGTCCCGTTGGGCATGAAGAAAGCGCCCCAGGATAAGATCCCAAACGAAGTGCAATTGGGCACTCCATGACGCCTGCTTGCCGCCATTCTGGCTCTTATCGTTTCCATCCATCCCGTTTTCCTTGAAGCTCTCTTTGAGAACTGCAGTCAAATCCGGGAGAGACTTGCTGGAGAGCGGGTTCTTCCACGGCTCGAGTCGAAGACTAGGGAAGCGATTGAGGGTAACAATCCATGCGGACACGCCCTCTGGTGTCCTTGCCAGACCAGCCTGCGCAAGTCTAGATAGCGTTGCCTCCGCATCAGCTTGGTCCATCTGCTCGAGAGCCTGGACAAGTACCCATCCGCATTGGGGCCTGAGCCAGATTTTCTTGTTGCCCAATTTCAGCAACAGATTGAGGACTAGATTCCACCTTGAGATATCACTGAACAGGGTTCTAGACTTGACAAAGCACTCAATTCCGAATAGCTGGCCGAAGAAGTGGTCTCGCTCCTCTTGCCCGGATATGTTGCCCACAGCTTGAGTCTTTTCAGCCAGGAGGCCCAATACCTTGTCAAATGACAATCCAGTATAGTTTGTGTGCGAGAGATGCTTCTCACCAAACAGCTGACCCAGAATTTCTGTAATGACGAGACAGAATCCAATGCGAGAAGCATTGCGACCGCTCGCGAGACCTCGAAACAGCCGCCGATCGAGATGCCGTTGGAGAACAGCTTCGGAAACTCCCCGGCCGTCGAAAAGACTTGAAATAATACAGTCGGCGGCTCGGATTCTGTCGTTTTCGTCTTCGCTTCCCAGCATTTCGTACAGGTCTGCTTCCCGTCTTCGATCGTCGCCCGTGGGTATTTCAGCAAACGGCTTTTTTTCCATGTTCGGTTTGGACGACTTGGTGTCCTTTTTGGCCTTTTTGGGGCCGAACGACCCGTAAGGGGTGCCACATTGGGCTCCTCTCTTTCTTTTGCCTGCCATTGTATTTGATGGAATGGCGCAAGAACTTCCACTTGACAGCTGTCGTGCCAGCGAGCTCGTAACGAGAGATTGAAATTCCATGCATAACCTGGTTCTGCCAACTTTGACCGCTCCCGTGTCGTGTCCCACCTTCGGCACCGTGGCCCCACTTCAGCGGCCTAGCTACCCTAAACTTGCGATGGCTTTCGGTACTTCTGATTTTTATTGTCTGCAAATCTCTCTTTCGTGTCTGGAAGTCGATGCAATATGGCCACGATGCACTGGTTCACGGGTCGCATAAAGTAGTTGAAACTATGTACGTTTGAGGCGACATTGCCGTCTCGTGTCCCGAGATCTACACGGTTGTGTAGATGTGTAGATCTTTCGTAGCTCCGTCTCATGTCGAACGACAAGGCGTTTCGAGTCTACGACAATGGCAAATTTGACTACGTTCTGCGTCCTTCCCCGACATGGTACTCCAGACGTACAGTAGTGGAATTGGCACTCTACACTGACAGTATCATCAGCAACAAGAGTGAGATCTGCAAGCTTGTAGCTCTTGTCCGCATAAGCAAACATATCTGCGCTGAACCCTGTCCAACCTGAAACACACGTACAAAGCCCTGCCCGCACTCGGTATCGTTGACGAGTTGCAGCAGCACAAACGGTTGAGCAAACGACACTGAAGAAGTCATGTGTACGTGTACGGAGTATGTACAGGAGTACGACCTGGGGGCTTGACGGACGGGACAAAGTGGGCCCAGTCTGCGGCTCGGGGTTCAAACACGTGACTTCGTGACTTCGCAGTTGCCGAATGGCGTTGCCAGGCGGGGTAAGACGCGGTCAGGCGCTGTTTTATTGACCATCTTTTGTTTACTTTTGTTTACGCGATTTCGTTGATGCGACGCTTCGACCCGAGAAGGGAGGGGAGGTTCGATCGCGTCTGAACCCAGATCCAGGAAACTCAGACAAGAAATAAAAGAAAAGAAAACATGCGCGTTTAACCAGCTTCGGGCCAAGTCTCAAACCAACACAGGGAAGACATGGAGGAGTATGAGGCGTCTTGGAATTAGCCGACGTTGTCCGCTCCTTGGTCCCCCGCTTCGCCGGAAACTGGGTCAAAAGACTCGTTTCTGAGGCAGCTTGACAATGACGCACTCTCAATCTCCGCTGGACACAGCGCAGCAGGGCGGGGCGTAAGGGAGTGTTTCCCGACTGGCGCCATTGTTGAGCTAGGCGTGTCGTTTGGCAAAACCTGGGAAGCACCCGGGACCAGCTGAGCGGTGGACTCTGGCCGCGGTTGATCTGATGCATCGAGTGATTGGACAATCTCGTGTGTGGATGGGCTACTATCCCTTGTTCGTTGTCCCCGAGGAGGGCCTTGATTTTTCACGAGAGGAGTCGGTTGGCGCGGGCAACCTGACAAGCTGGCCTGGCAACTGGTAAGAGGTCAGCCGGTACTCCGTACGTGTCACAGGCAGCCGACGTATTGTTGTTGCTCGAGCGTTATCAGGACAAAAGAATAGGCAAGACAAGCCAAATTGGCTTTGCCAGGGTCGCACAGAACATTGTCAGCCATGTGACGTGTGCAGGACGCCGTGTTACGAAGATGGAGACATGCCAGCCAAAGCGCGGGTGCTTGCTGTCTTTGTCTGTCGTTTTGTCGTTGAGAACTTGGCGCACTTATGGCGGATACTCGGTAGATAAGAGGCCGCGACGGAGAGGCAGAGAGGGAGACCATCCATCGGGCGGTGCGAAATCGATGGAGATTCGATCTCACGCCTGTGGCAAGATCCGGGCTGGCAACTATTACTAGTACTCCGTGCCTGGACAAGCTGCTGCACCAGGGAAGATGCCGGCGGGCATGAATAAAACGTGCATCCTTGGACCTTGACCCTTGACCTTGACCTTGTGATGACGATCATCCCCGACTCTTCCGCCGACGGTGCAGCGGTGACGACCGACAAAACCGAAAAGCCAAGACGGGCACGAGGGAGGGGTATGACGTTGATGCACTGAGAGCTGTCGAAACGCGCAGCTGAGGGAATCGGGCCTGCGGTTGGGCAATCGACAAGATTACTAGTCGTAGTTGTACGGACCGTGGAGTCGTTGCCTGGCTCGTGATAGAACCCTGGAGACGTAGCGTCATCTTGGATTCTTGGTGACACCTTGGTACCGCTGTCCCTACACACCGCCGTTGCATATGTACTATGCGTCGGCCCTTATTTTTATTATTGTTCGTTTACTTTTCGAAAGTAATCCATCACTTCGAGAAGCAAATTAGCAAATTCCCGGATTGTTGGTCCTACTGCCCTTTATTTGCCCGTCGCCTGAGCTTGCTCCGCCCCCCAGCACCACCCGTAGTCTCGAGCGACCAAAGTCGTTTGACGTGTTTGCGTGGTTGTTGGGATGCTTTGCCTCCCCCCCCGGTCTGACATGCATGGCGAAGTGTTGGAGCAGTCCCCGAATGGACCAATTCCGCATCGTACAGAAGAAATGACCAATGCAGTTGGCTGTCTTTGTGCCGAAAACATGCATCAGGGCGCTTAGGATGGCTTGGGGTTGGCTTGCCATGGCTTGGGATGCTCCCAGTTTGGTTCATCGCTGGGACCGTGCCTTGTTTACTCCATTCTAATTCCGGCAATGAGCTTGAAGGGCAAAAAAAAAAAAGAAGACCAGTTGAGGGTTGATGACAATTACTAGCCCAAGGAACACATTACACACGGCTTGCATACCCGTGCTGACACTTGATAGATGAAAATTGAATTGGCCGGAAGTGTTCCTTCCCCCGTGACGCATCGGAGCACTGCACCTGCACAGCAGCGCGGCACAGCACAGCGCGCAGTGCTGCACTGATATCTGTGCAACCAGGCATAATATGTTGTGCCGTTGGGGGTTCCACGTCCCGCGCGCGCGCCCGACTACTATGCGTTAGTGCCGTGGCTTAAGTTGTCGATGCATGTATGCACGTATGCATGTGTATCGTACATGCATTCGCCATTCGCACTAAAGTACGGAGTAAGTATCTAGGTACATGCATATCGGGGTACTTTATGCAGAAACAACAATGTGCGTCAGAACATCGTCAAGGCGACGGGGCGTCCGCGTCCACGCCACGCTGCGAAGCTTCTTGACTCAGTCGAGATGCTGCTAATCGAGATCCGGCTCCCATGCCAAGTCGAGTCAAGTCAGGTCAAGCCAAGTCAAGGGATGCGGGATGGGCAGTGCTAAACCTGTCTTGCCCATGGTGATAGTGCGGCGTGCTGGGGCAATTCCGCCAGGGCAAACACAATTGCGTAGCACTACCCAGGTTGACGGTCTTCCGGTAAGCTCTTGACACTGAGACTTTGAGCCAGAGCACCCGAGTCACAGACTCACAGGTGGGCGGGTGTGAGTGGGATTGTGGACGAAAAACCGTGAATTTGTCTGCCAATGCCAATGCATGTAATGTACTACTATGTGGAAGCGTTGATGCAAGGGAGGCCTTTTTTTTGGTTTTCGGGGCGTCTATTGATGGGATTCTCCTCGGCCCTAATGAGGCTGGCAGTTTGCTGTGAATCAAAGATCCCCGGCTCATTACCAGAGTCTTGGATGATATTCTTGACTGTATCATACGTGCCCAGTTCAAGGGCGAAGGCGCCACGATTAAATTTGACCGAGATATTCCAATTTAGAAAGGAAAAGAACCGATTCGGACAAGGGCTTGAATGGGCCACTTTTTAATTTTATTTTATTTTACTACTTTATTATTATTATTATCTTGTACGTATCTCGTTTCCTCGAGTCCGCTGGCAATGCTGAGAGTACGTAATTTGTTTCTGTCCATGCCTATTTCCTGGAGTTGTGTGTGTTTCAACCCAGCAACCCCAAAGGAGTGCTCACTACCGAGTGTACCCTGATGGCATTCACAGCACAGAGCTATCGAGTCTCGTCTGGCCTGCCGAGAACATCACCACCTGGCATGCAGCATGCGACTGAAGCGGCCATGTCCACGCTAAGAGCCGCGGGAATTCCTCGTGTGCCGTTTTTTTCTTGTTCGACGGGAGCAAACCCGTTGGAATCTATCTGGTGCAATCAACCCGAACGCCCCTCCGCGCGTCCCGCTTCAACGTGGTCACCTCCGAGTCAAGAAACACCATGACCTGGCAGTAGCAGTCGTTAGTTCCTCCGTGAAATGCCCTGTACGGAGAGCAACTACATCGCGTACTCAGCAATAACCCTCGTTGTGTCTCTAAAGGGATAAGAGGGGCTGATTGATGAAAGGCCAAAGTGATATCACGGCTATAATACAGAGCACCTCGTAATCACGATGGGGTGTACCTGGTTCGACCAAGGGTTGTCGAATAATAAATGTCAGCGAGGGAGGCTGATGAAGAGGAGCAGGACTAGGACTTGTCTTTCGGTCCCTTCAATTCTCCACTCTCCGCTGAGCAACCGGAAGATCTTGGCTAAGTAGGCGACCTGGTCGTTCTGGGGCGATGCAGGGCAGGTACGGCCTGGCCTGGTTGGAGGGGCCAACGGCACAATGCTGGTTGGTACTCCGTACTCCGTACTCTGCACTAGTTGCGTATTGATTTGTGTACTGGTCAGTACGTACGTATTAGTATTTAGTATTATATTATTAGGAGGCGGTCTTGTTCGTTTCTTCTCTTGCGTCTTGGCGTGAGTCTCGTGCCCATGTTTGTGCCTGCTCGTGGCCGTGGAGCATGTTCGCATTTACCAGGGCAATGCTTGCCGATGCGCAGGTGCGGGTTGCTGGGTCGTCCATGTTCGCATGAGGGCCCGGACATCAGTCATACATACATGCCGGGATACTCGGCAGCTGGAGGATTGATCAATTGGAGTACTTTCCGTAAAAAAAATTTTTTTTTAAACAAAATAGCCATTTAATGCCGATGGGGTTTGTGGCAGCGTGTCTTGAGCACAGGCTGTACCTGCTTAAGTACTCGAGTACGAGGAATCCGACATGTTGCTGTACTAAGTACTTACCTAGGTACCTACCTAGGTAAGTAGGTACTTACTCCGTACCCCAGTGCCTGGGTACGTGCCTACTCGACATACAACACTGGCACTTACCTTCTCTGACATGCACTTACCTTCTCTGACATTGTATTCGAGCACGCGAGAGTCACGCATTATGTTCGTGCCTCCAGTCTCTTCGGACGCGCCAATTGTTTGTTGGAGTGGCTTAGCTTCATGGATTGTGATTGACTCTATTCGCGTCTGCTGAAGTATAGTGGGGAGATGGGGGCGTCCACCTGGAGGGGCCACTGGGGCGGGAGGGCTGCATGCCCCTGCCAACCAGGCACTCAGCACGCCTAGCAACCCGCTAGCGCCCAGTGTCCAATGCACTAATAGCCCCAGACAGCACATGCCTAGCGCCTGAGGACCCGAGTTTCCTTCCTACTTCTTAGCCTGGCAACTGGGTATACTGGGTACCTAGGTACATTTGTGCCATGTACACGGAGTACGGGCTCACAGCTTCCAGATCAATGCCCACTTGCAACTTTAGAAAGCTTAGCCCGTCGCTGGTCGCTGAAACTTCGTCATTGACTGAGTTACGGTCGACGGCGCTCGTATGCTTCATCATGCCACCGCAACCGCACCTGACCGACAAGTGCCGGTAAGCTACCTCTTAGACCTCATCTGCCACAGAGGTACCTACCCAAGGTGGGTTAGGTAGGTAGCCAGTACCAACCTTGTTAAGCAGGTAGCCAGCGTCAGACTCCCGTCAAGCACGTCGAGTCTGGTCAACTGGTGTTCACTCACATGCACCACGCACCCCCTCCTCGCTCTAGTCACCCCTAACAACGTCCCCATCTCGTCCCCAGCATCCCGGCCTGGTCCGTTGCACTTGCACGGTTCATTGAAAAGGCGTTGCACCCTCGTCCGCTTCTCCCACAAGCTGCCTCTTGTTCCTCCCAATTGCCTCGCCAAGGCAATTGACGCAAATATTACAAGAGGAGGACGTCGCTCTTCATTGAGTTGCCGCCTTTCTTTTTGCGTGAGCAAGCGTGCCCGGACTTGTGGTGGCTTTGAATGCCTGGCCAACCTTTGGAACTCGACTAGTCTCGACCAGACTCTTTTCCCTCCCCGCCCATCTCCCGAGCTCGTTGTGTTCTCGGTTGTCGTTGTGTTGTCTGGTTGTGCAGGCTTCCCAGGGCTTGCTTCGATTTTCTTGTCTTTTTGTTCTTCTCTGCATCTGGCATCTGGCATCTGGCATTTGGCATCTGACTCCTGGCTCACGGCTCCCGGCATCTGGTATCTGGCATCTGGCATCTGGCGCTTGGCATCTGGCACCTGGCATCTGACATCTGGAATCTCGCGTCTTGCGTCTTGCATTTTCTCCGGCTTGCTTCGTTGTATACGCTACATCCATGCCATTCAGCTATTAACACAGGATGGAGAATCGGCCTTCTACAAGCAAACAACCTTCACAGAATCAAGCTTTTGAGTACCAAACTTCTCGCCAAGATGATGGGCTGCATAAAGACTCGTCGTAAGTTTTGCGTGCCTTCGGCTTGCTCACCGAATATGCAGCACTGACCGTCACTCTAGACTTTGTGACTACACCTCCGTTGCCCTCGAGTTCCCCTGCTCCCGTCGTGGAGTACATGGAGCTATCTCCTCTCCCGCACAAAGCACCATTCTTTTCACAGATGGAGATCAGCTCTCCGACGCCAGGCTCCATGACTTCGTACGACCAAGATATGGTGCTTGACTCGCCAGCTCCCATCCCTCGCCAGCTCTCGTCGGAGGCGGCCAACTATTTTCTGGCTGAGTGAGTCCTGAGCTTTGCTTGCGCTTCCAACGCCCCGTGGAAGCTTGTACTGACTATTCGTCTGCAGTCGTAGGATAGCAGCCCCACGTAGGCCTTCATTAAGTCGGATGAAAGCTTTTAGTTCCACTCCAATGCTCTCGAGAGCTCAAAGCGACACCCACAACCCGTTGCCCCCCTTCCGCTTTGGCGCCGACTCCGCCATGAACTCCAATCTCTCTCTATGGGAATGCTTCGAATCCGCTTCTCCGCCCCAGGACCGGAAGCAGCCGGTACCTGACAATAGCCCCTGCGTGCTGGCTGCAGTTTCTCGACCTCGCCCTTTATTTACTGGTGTTGGTGGTGCTGGAGCCACACGCTTTGGATCACCCATCAACGGCCATGCCAGAAGGCAGTCGAATCCATTCTTAAGGAACCCCAAGCAAGTTCGCCGGTCGTTGAGCATGTTTGAACACCCGGCCGATATCATGAAGCCCAAGACTGAAGTCGAGGAGCCACCCGCTTCATCATTGAAATCCGTCATGGATATTGAAGAAGTGCATGAACCCGTACTTCCCCATTTCTTGCTGGATGATCCCACCGATTCTATTCCTCGAATTGCCAAAGAGACATTGCTTGACGTTCTGGATGGTAAATTCGCCGAGCATTTTGATCAAAAAATGGTTATTGATTGTCGCTTCGAATATGAGTATGACGGAGGACACATCGAGGGAGCCGTCAACCACAACGATAAGGAACTACTGGCTACCCAACTATTTCAAACACCAATTACGGGTCGCACTTTATTGATATTCCACTGCGAGTATTCAGCCCACCGTGCACCATTGATGGCCCGCCACGTCCGCTCTCATGACCGGACAGTCAATGCAGAACACTACCCCAAGTTGACATATCCAGAGGTGTATATTCTTGATGGCGGATACAGCGGGTTCTTTGCCGAACACCGTGGGAGATGCTACCCTCCTGAATACGTTGAAATGTCCGATGAGAAGCATCAACGCACATGTGAAAGGGAAATGAGTCGTTTAAAAGCGAGAAAGGGCTTGGGGCGCTCCCAAACTTTCGCTTTCGGACAGCGAGAGCCCTGCATAAACGACTCTCCCACCGCACAGATTCGACCCAGCTCACGGAACACGACACTGTCGATGCTGACTCGTCGGATGGCCTCCTACTGAGGGCCGGCTACGTTACTTTGTATTATAGCGTATGCAATCAGTACCTTTCATTATAGCGTATGCAGTCACAATACCCATTTCCCTTTTTTTTTTTTTTTTATAAACTGGAGGATGATTTCGCGTTCCTAGAGATGTAAATAGATGAGAGTGGCTCCCCGATTTAGAGGTGAAGGGATTTATGATATGGAATCAAGGATACCGTCTGTGACGGAAAATATTTCGCTCTCGCTAAGCTTATAGTTATACACTGTTGCGTCGCAGTCCATGATAACATACTGCGTGACGAGCTACATGTCCTGCTGGGCCGAATCCCCTTGGTCTCTCTCGCTATACGTTGGCATGAGTGATGGGAGAAACTCGTCCCACTAGTGGAAAATTGGAAGGCATTGGTGAATTGCATAAACGACATTGAGAAGATGCCAAAGAAGTATCAGCAGGGTGTGGACGACTCCCCATCTTTACTCCAGAGTAAAATCCCATTCCTTGAACGCCCCCCGAAACGCTTCTACATCTGCTGTTTCTTGCTCCACCGTCTGTTGACAGTCCTGCCAAATGAAGCGCTTCTCCAAGCCCAGCAGTTTGGCAATGACGCGGCGACCAAACTGGAGGTCGAACCGTATGTCTGAGCTGAGGGGCATCACGAGGGACTTGCCCTTAATCCTGTCCTCGCCGTCGTCTGCCCACAGCCAGACGCGGAAGTAGTCCCCGAAGGTGGGTAGCTCTTCCAGCGCCAGCCCCCTGGTTACAAATGACGGGTAGTTTTGGTTCTCGGCCTCGACGCGGAAAGCGGCCTCTGCGATGTCGTCGCGTATCATTTCTGCGGGGATGGGCATGAGCTGCCATATTAGGTGGATGTTGCGGTCGCGGGAGATTTCCCAGGTGACGACGCCGAGTTTGTTCGACGATTTGGCGGATATCATGGCTTGGATGGATTCGCGGAAGCGGGTCATTTCGTTGTAGGCCTTGACGGCGTCCGAGGTCGGGTCGGTGGTTGGGCCCATACTCGGGATGGTGGGTGCGTGTGGGAGAGGGATGATGATGAGGTGGCCGGGGAAGTTGAGGCCCGCGTCGGCAAAGGTGGCTGAGGTCGGGAGAGGTCCTTTGGCGGTGGTGATGTAGGATTCGTCGCCGATGCTGCAGCACATGTGGGCGGAGGCGTTGGGGTTTGACAGGCAGAAGTAGCATTTGTCGGGGCCTGGGGGAGGCGATTCGCGGCGACGTTTGTTGTAGCGGCCGCGCCTGTAGTCGTCGTGGGCGGCGAAGCGACTGTAGCCTGCGCCGTCGTCGTCTCGCGGCCGCTTCCTTTGCGGGGTGAACGGCGAGGCGGTTGCGCCCCTTGGTATGGCGGTGTCGGACTTGTTGAGTGAAAAGGCGTACATGGCTTTTGCTTTTGCTTCGTTGCCGAAGGGCGCCATGGAGATGAATCTTGTGACGGAGGGCGGCTCTGTCTCCGAGCTAGACTGGTGCACGAAGGGTTCTCGTTCGTAGAAGAATGCTGCAGGGGATGCTGATATGTGGTACCGCGGCTTCAGGGCCGCGCAGAGTTCTGCGATTGCTTGGCTGCTCTGCACTGAAGCCTGGTGACTTTGCTTGAGGACCGCTTTGGAGCCGCTCCATACGTTGGCTGGCCAAATTGACGTCAGTAGCACGTCGGCTGTGTTTGCGCCCTTCAATCCCTTTGCGTCGTCGTCGGTGTGGAATGGTAGGTGCTGCTCTCTCGACTGGCCGCCCACCACTTTTGTGTCCAGAAGGCCGCCGAGGGTGACGATGCGGAGGCCATCTGAGGTCTTTGTGATGCTGCGCTTTCCCAAGAAGTGAAGGTTATGGCAGATTTCTTCGCCTGCCTCCACTCTTGTCGCGAGTCGCTCGGGCAGCGAGTGAGTCCCGATGGTGAAGTAGGTGGGCAGAGGCACTGCAAGAGAACCGTCTAATAGGGCGGATATCGTCTTTTCTTCGGTTTCCGGGGTGAACACATCGCCCGTTAGGATTGCCAGCGAAAAGTCGTTTTTTGCGTGGACAGTGGCCAGTTTGTTGAGCGCGGGTTCAAGCTGGCCATTGAGGCTGCCGAGCATAATACTAGGGGGGAGGGATTAGTATAGATAAATTGGGTGAATCTATAGTGAAATGACCCACTCACATCTTTGGGGAAGCCATAATGCTCTGTTGATGGCCATGAGAAAAGTTACGTTGCGAGATTGAAGTTGCGAAGGGAACGACGAGCTGCGGTGGAGCTTCTCGAAAACGATGTAGTTTGCGCAGAGCACATCATTGGTGACAAGAGCTTCAGTGGGTCCTCCATAATGCTTATCGGTTTTCCCGCATATCAACCGATAAGAAAAAAAAAATTACTACTCCGTACAGAACTCGTAACCAGAGTTACTAGTGGGGGACCATTCTATCTTCGTATCGACTCGGAATCTTGTCTTGTCTTTTTGTTGCAATCGGCAGCACACAACACACAGCCGAAATGCCGTCCAAATCTTCTGGACGCATTGAGAAGGTACGGAAAAACAAGTACTCAACTCCCCATCAAAAAAATCATAGATGGGAGTCCTTCTCCACGAAAATCGCAAAATTCCATTCCCTTCAACCGCTACGAAAAGTTCGACGACATGATCTCGAAAACGAAGATTTGTCAACAGCCACATCGTACTTCCAAAATGGGCTGCAGAAATGGGGCGAATTGAATATTTCGAAACCATTCTGCTTTTTCAAGCGAGATGTTCTACCGTTGTCAGAAAGCTTGCCGCAGATCTTGCACTTTGAGGACAAGATTATGGGATATCTCGTCCAATATATTTCTTTGAATGACAAAGATGCATTGGAGCCTTTATTAGACCTCATGACTGCCTTTGCGCATGATTTAGGCGTGCGGTTCGAGAAGCACTATTTGCAGAGCATAAACCTGTTGTTGGACATTGCTGGCAGGACTCAACCTGTGGAAGTTATTGAATGGACATTTGGAGCCATGGCGTTCTTGTTCAAGTACCTCTCGAAGCTGCTTGTACCCGACCTACGACCGACGTACGATCTCATGGCGCCATTGCTCGGACGATCGCGACACCCTCAGTACATTGCCCGTTTCGCAGCCGAAGCAATGAGCTTTCTTGTTAAGAAGGCGGCTGCGCCTTCTCACAAAGAAGTTGCTCTCAAGTCTTTCGTTGAGCATGTCCGAAACGACCTCATTGGCATGGCTCAAGATCGCCAGTTCACTCTGTACAACGATGGTGTGATGACAATGTTTGCTGAAGCCATCAAAGGAACTGATGGCGTGATTCACTCTTCTGCCAGTGCTATTGTATCGGCCCTTTTTGACGCACTACCGGAGAACGAGTGCATGCTGTCTCGGGAGAATATTTGGTTGGATGTCATATGTGGAGTTTTGACCAGTGTTCTGCACCATGGGAGGGTAGACACCATGGGTGAGTTTATGGAAGAGATTGTCGCAAAGCTCAGATCGACGCAGGAGCTTGTGGACGGCTCCAAGGTACAGTGGAAGACCGTGCCCTGTATAAGTATTCTTGGCGTTCTAGCTGGAGTCAGAAAGGGCTCCCGAATCAGCAATTGGCATGGGTTTCTTCGAGATTTCACCGACATTCTGAGGATGATGGGCAGAGGACCCGACGAGATAAGGCAGGGCGACGTTGGAATCCTGTGGAAATCCGTTATCGTCAAAGTCGCCATCGTTTGCCACCATGCGCCCATGGACGCCTTGATACCCTATATCTCAACTCTCAACCAGACTCTCACGAAGGAACCATTTATGCGATGGTTCATTCCTTTCTGCGCATACTTTTGCGATCTCGACCCTAGCCGATTTGGCAGCCTTTTTCGATCCGAATTTCAGAAGTGAGTAGCCAGTCAAGTCCAAAATTCGAACCAAGCTAATGATCCTACAGATTCGTTGCTGGTCACTGGTCACAAGGGCAAAACGAGCATGTCCTTTGCGTCTTACTTCCAAAGATGATTAAAAGCCGGGCATTCCCACCACTGGGCGAGAAAGATTGTTGCAGATTACCACAAGCCTGGCAAGACCGGATCGTGTCAAAGTTCGAGCGGCTGGAAATCTCGCCCTTCCCTGAGCGTGGACCATACAACAAAGACCCTCAAGAATGGCGAGATCGGTGTTTACCAGAGTACGCTGGTCTGCTGCAGCTACTTGAACTTACGGCTGTACACCCATCCACAAATGCCCGAATTGCTGAGTTGTTGTCAAGAAAGTTGAAACTGGCCCTTCGACCGTCCTCGTCTTTGGCATCTGACGAAGTGCATTTTATCATTAGCCAAGGATTTCAGGCGTATTTGAGAATGAGCAAGGCAGCTGGCTCTATTGACACCTCCCTGAGTCCGCTCCTTCGTGCAGCAGTGCCAAGATTTGCACGCTCAGTCGGCTTTCTGCAGGCATATCTGGCTTATGAGAAGGCTCAAACAGCCGCTTCTGCAACGTCTGATACCATGGAGGGAACAGGTGGCGAGAGCCCAACATTGGAAGAGGACCCCGTGCTTGTGCCTCTGGTAGAAAATCTCAGCTCACCTTCCCACGCAATCCGATTAGCGTCCCTGGATTTGTTGAAACAGATGTGTGACAGTGAGGCATTAACGGAATGCGTGGATGTCATGCTGCAGATTGAACAGATGCCATTGAGCCACGAGAATACCAGAGCTATCGCAATGCACCTGCGGAAAATCAGACTGCACTATAATGCCGTCAGTGAATCAACTTGGCTGCGGGACGGAATCCCAAGGTTTATATTTGGCTTACTGACTGTGAAGCTGTCCCCGGTATGGGATGAAGCGGTGGAGAACCTGAAATATCTTACTGAGTCTAGTACGGGGGAAGAAGCTGTTTCTGCTATTGCATTTCAGTGGATTAACCAGCCATCCACGAGATGGACGCCGCCTAGTCCTGAAAGCCCCGATGGAGATCGAAGACCGTACACGGATTTCGAATGCACTGCTCTGGGGAGCCTGGAACATTCAGCCAAGGCAATACAAGACCTGGCCGAGAAAGCAGACGATTCACTTCTCAAGCATTTTGATGAGAAACAACTTTTGGCCGAGTCCACGCCACCCACCGCAAGATCGAGAGCTCTGAAAGTTCTCAATGCTGCCCCAGCTGTTGCCGAAAAGCGATCCCGGCAGCTTGTGCCTCTCCTCCTTTGCTGGGCAGTTGACGACGATGAATTCGATGGCGGTGAAGCTGCACGTGCACAAGCATCGACTTGGTCTCTGGCTGACCGCAAGGCTCTTTTGGGCGTTTTTGCACAGTTCAAAAATCCAAAGGTTCTTTACCAGCATAAAAAGGTGTACGAAGCACTGCTGTTGCTTATGGAGAACGGTGACGGTGAGGTACAGAAGTTGGCACTTCGAGCGATTTTGACCTGGAACCAGGACGGTGTCAAGGCATATCGGGAGAACCTGGAAAACCTGCTCGATGAAGCCCGATTCAAGAACGAGCTTGCAGTATTTCTCCAGGGAGATGAGGTTATCAAACCGGAGCATCGCCCGCAGCTAATGCCACTACTTCTTCGTCTCCTCTATGGTCGGGCAATTGCCAAGAAAGGTATTGCAAGTGGGAGGAACGGACTGCAGGCCACTCGGCTTGCTATACTGCGGAACCTTTCGGTCGAAGATATGGGAAGTTTCCTTGAAATTGCCGCGGGGAAGTTGAGACGTGTTCAAGTCACGGTGACGAAGACCCGGCGAAAGAAGCTATTCCACGAGCCCATCATTACGACCCGGAAACAAGTCGGTTTCTTAAACATGATATCATCATTGATTACGGAGCTGGGGACCAATATTGAACCATACATGGACACTCTCGTCAATGCAGTCTTGTACTGCCTTGTTTATTCTTCGAGGCAGCTACGTGACAAGGCCGGAGATGGTGATGTCAAGGACGAGGAACAAGACGAAAGGCGTAGTGACTTGTCGTTACTCAAGTCGGCGAGGTCCATGGGCATCAAGTGTCTAACGGCGCTTTTCCAAAACGCACAAAACTTTCAATGGGACCCGTACCGAGAGCTGATAATCGAGGAGGTGGTGGCGCCAAGGCTTGACATGCTCGCAGCTGAGACGACGCAAGGCGTTTCCGGCATGCTTCACTTGCTTTCCACTTGGTCAGCTCTGCCGAAAGCTGCCATGTTCCTCGGTCCACAGGGCGAGACTCTCCCTAAGGGTGTACTGCCAAACGTTATTGATTGCATGTCTAAAGAAAAGACGAAAAATGAGGTCAAGATATTTGTGCTTGCCATTCTTCAAAACTTAGTCAAACTTGCTTTGGCGCCAGCCCAGGAATCTGAGTTTAATGAGATTATCAAAGATGAGCTACTGGAAGCTAATGCTACGGAAATTTTGTCAAAGATCACAATCGTCCTGCACACGAGTGGCGCCAGTAATGATCTCCTGGAGGCTTCTGTGGAGACCGTTTTGGCTCTCTCGCCGATTTTTCAGGGCTTGGATGATATTCAAAGAGTTATCAGCATGTGTAGCTACCTCTTGCAGCAACCTCCTCGTCGAGTCAATCCAAAGACAAAAGGTCGAATTTTGCTCATTGTCGAACGCTTTGTGGCACTGCCCGACGCCTCTAAGGATCCCGCCTTGTTGTCAGATGTTTACAACACCCTTTCGTCCTTGTTCAGCTACTTTAAAGACAGAGAAAACCGGCATTCCCTTTCCAGGGCCATGCTTACGATTTCCCAACAGGATGTCGAAATCGCAGAAATAGCCAGTCTCTGCAACGAACTGAACACTTTCAAGGACGGTCGAATCGACGAACCGGATTATGACCGTCGTCTTGCTGCTTTCAATGCTATTTCTATGATTCGTCATGTTCCCTGGAGCCCCAAGCAATGGCTTCCCCTCATTCACAATCTTCTCTTTTTCATCCGTATGGATCAAGAGTTCGGTGTTCTGTCGTCAAATTCCGCAGATGGCATACGACGCTATGTCCAGAATGTGGCAAACTCTCAGTCAGATGAGGCCAAGCCAACCTTTGATAACCAGATGCGCACAATAATCCTGCCTGCTCTGTACTCTGGCTCAAGGGAGAAATCAGACACTGTACGCAGAGAATACTTGCGTGTCATGGGCTATATTCTCACCACAATGCCCGAGTGGGAACCCGTTGCCGATCTTAGCGGGCTTCTGACAGAACGTAATGAAGATTCCTCCGAGCCGTCATTCTTCTTCAACATTTTGAGCCCCGCTACTTCGAGGCAATTGGAGGCCCTACGAACTCTTGAGACAGCGAACGCAGTGAAGCAAATGGGTACTCAGAATCTGGGCCAATTTTTCATTCCTTTACTGGAGCACTTTATCTACGGCCGAGAAGACGGTAGTGATGACCACGGACTCGGAGCGCAGGCTACCAATACAATTGGCAATCTGGCGTTGTCTTTGAATTGGAACCATTACCGAACCACTCTCTATCGGTACATCAGCTACCTAGAATCAAGAGCAGAGATGCAGAAGCATACCGTCCGACTTTTAGGAAAATTTGTGGATGCCCTTGTTTTGTCATCTGAGAAGAACAAAACTGATGGCATGGATGTGGATAGGGACGAGGCGAAGACAGCTTCCTTGAGACTCCAGGCCACTGTCCCAACGATTGCCAAGCTGTCCGTTGACGTACTTGATTATATTCTTCCACCTTTGATCAAGCACTTACATGACAAGGACGACTCTGAAGTCAGTTATCGCGTCCCTGTTGGTGTTGTGATCGTCAAATTATTGAAACTGCTGCCCCCGGGGCAGATGGATCAGAAGCTGGCCGGAGTTCTCACCGACATATGCCACATTCTCCGAAGTAAAGCCTGGGAATCTCGTGAAATGGCACGAGATACTTTGGTGAAGATTGCGGTCGTCCTTGGACCCTCTTTTTTTGGGTTCATTCTCAAGGAATTGCGCGGAGCCCTTACGAAAGGTTATCAATTGCACGTACTCTCATATACGATGCATTCGATCTTGGTTGCCACAGTCCCTACCTTTGCGGCTGGCGACCTGGATCACTGCCTTTCTTCCGTCGTCACCATTATTATGGATGACATTTTTGGTGTCACTGGGCAAGAGAAGGACGCTGAAGGCTACATGACGCAAATGAAGGAAATCAAAAGCAGCAAGAGTCAAGATTCAATGGAACTGGTGGCTAAGAATGCATCCATCAGTCATCTCATTGATCTCGTCAGGCCGCTGCAGGCTCTTCTGCTCCAAAAGGTCGACTTGAAAGTGGCGCGCAAGATTGACGCTCTGATGGGCCGCATTGGCGCTGGGCTTCTTCAGAACCCCGGCGCTGATTCTCGGGATACGCTGGTTTTCTGCTACGAGATCATTCAAGACACGTATCGAAGCCAGAAACCAGAGGCAGCCCAAAGGATGGATCCTAGGGTGAGAAAGTATCTCGTTCAGAAAGGAGCTAAAAAGAGTGGCGAGCGTGGTAGCACGACTAAACACACTTACAAGTTGGTACGCTTCGCTTTCGACATTTTGCGATCTATGTTCAAGAAGTATGACGATCTGCGAACTCCGGAAAATGTCGGAGGATTCCTTCCCATTGTTGGAGATGCGATTATTGATGGAGAAGATGAGGTGAAGACCTCTGTATTCCGGCTTCTCGCAGTGCTTGTCAAGGTTCCATTTAACTCCGAAGATGGCACCGGCATATACCGAGTTGCGGTGAAGGAAGCTTTCAAGACCGCATCACAGTCGACATCCACCAGGGCAGAAACATTTCAAGCAGCCCTCAAGCTTTTGGCTGTGTTGTTGCGTGATCGCAAGGATGTCGTTGTCAAGGACGCTGCGGTTGATATGCTCCTTGAAAAATTGAAGGATGACCTGACGGAGCCTCTTTACCGACACGTCACCTTCAACTTTTTGCGGTCTGTTATGGATCGTAAGATTGAGACAGCTACGGTTTATGACACTCTGGACCATGTTGGTACGGTCATGATTACAAACGACGACAAAGATACGAGGGATCTAGCTCGTGGTGCCTTCTTCCAATTTATCAGGGAATACCCTCAAAAGAAGGCCCGTTGGGCTAAACAGTTGAACTTCATTGTGGCCAATTTGAAGTACGATCGAGAGGGCGGTCGCTTGTCGGTTATGGAAATTGTCCATCTCTTACTCATCAAGTCTTCAGACGACTTTGTTCAAGAAATTGTTGGCACCTGTTTCCTACCGCTATTTTTTGTTCTTGCCAACGATGACAGCGAGAAGTGTCGGCTTCTAGCAGGAGAACTGATGAAGGAGATGTTTCAGAAGGCTGACAAGGAACGAATCCAGCATATTCTCGGGCTCCTACGAACATGGCTTGACAAGCAAGATAGCACCGCTGTGCAGAAATTGGCTTCACAAATCTTTGGCTTCTACTTCGAATCATGTGAGGACGCTCAAAACAACAAGAAGGATTGCAGGCTAGTTTTGAACAGATTCTCAGCTATTCTGAAGGCGGAAGATGTAAAGAACACTGATGCTCAGCTAATTGAGACGACACTCGACGTTGTTCGTTTACTTTGTGGGCGTATGGGCGAGGAGGCACTCTCTGCAAAAAGGGGAGGACTATGGAGCGACGTTGCCCGCTATCTCCGTCACCCTGAGCCAACTGTGAAGCTTGCGGCGGCGAGATCAGTCAACTCTTATCTTGCCGACTTCGCGAGGCGACGGACTAAAGTCTTTACTGGCGAGGCTATCGATGGGCCGCATGGCCTCACGCTTGATCTTGAGGACATGTACAAGCTCACGCGGCTTGCATTAAGCTCACTGAACAGTGACGAAATTGACGAAAATCTTGCTTCAGAGCTAGTGCAGATTCTTGTCTTTCTAGGAACCTGCATCCCTGTCCTGACTACTGTCGAAGGAGACGTTGAAGAAGAAGAAGAGGACGCTGGGGAGCAAGATGAAGACATGATAGCCACAGGGAAACGGGAAGGCGTCGATTATCTCTTTTGGAGGCTATCGCATATTCTCCGAAGAGAAACCCCACCCCGATCATTGGCGATGAACTCGAAGGTGGCCGCCATGGAAATATTGGAGACCGTGTGCCGGCGTGTACTCAGTACTCCCGGCCGACCTTCGCTCAAGATTGTTCTTGTGCCGCTGCAACAGTTGACGGATCCATCCATTCCTGTCCCTTTCAGCAATGACGAAGCATTCAAGGCCAAACTTGAAGGGGTCAAGACCAGAGCTCGAATCATGATGGACTCCCTCCAGAAGAAGTTTGGCACTGCAGAGTTCAGCAAGGTCCTAATGGATATCAGGGAGGCAGTAAAAGCAAGACGGCAAGAGAGGTCAAGCAAGAGGAAGATTGAAGCAATAACGCAACCAGAGAAGCATGGACGAGACAAGAGGAAGAAGTTTGAAAAGAACAAGGAGAGGAGGAAACTGCGATCGAAGGAGCAAAAGGTGGCGAGGCAATCATTCAAGGGGTGGTAGGTAGGTTTGGGCATTAGCATGGCGTTTACAAAGATTTTCCATGGGTATCATATAGTGTCCAAGTGCGAGGTATTTCATATCATGATAATGTCGTGTTTTGAAACGAGCACCAGTGTAGCTATCATGGCCGTCTCAGCCTTGACCTTTTTTCTTGTATTTTTTTTCTCTCAACATTGTACGAGTAGGGTATCTATTCATTTTGGAACGCCAACGCCAGTCAGGGCAATCCAGCCATCTCACGAGTCGTGCAATCGATGGTAGCTCATCAGCTATATATATATATATATATATATATATATATATATATATGCAAGGGCACATCATCGCTCCTTCTCTGTTTGCGCCCGACTACGGGTCTCTTCGGGCCAAAACTCGACATCGCCATCCTCACCAAGACTGCCTCTCTTGACCAATCCTCCCCTTTCCCGCACCAAGTCTTCGACTGTGATCTTCCTGTCTCCAAAGATATTCAAATGGTCGCTGATTACGTGTCGGTTTCGACAACTAGGACAAGTGATGAGGACCGAGCCCGTGTGGTAGCCTTGCTTCGAGACGTTGTGGTGGCTGCGATGCCCGCACGGCACGCAGGTAAACGACAGCTGGTAGTACGCAGGGTTGGCCTTTGGACGCGGCCCCTCGCTTACGGGCGCCTCGCCCGACTCGTTTGCCTGCGCTTCGGCTTCGGGGCTCAAGTAGACCGGTTTCTGGGAGGGCCTGGGGATCGAGTGCGCTGCGCGGGCGACGACGGGAGCGACGGGCTTTGCAGAGCGGAAGGCGGACTGCCGAAAGGGGATTGCGCGGAGCCCTTGGGGACGCAGTCGCCGCAAGATGGAATAGAGCGGCTGTGTTGCTCTTGCCGCCATTGTCTGTGGTGTTGTGGATGCTCGGAGGCGTGATGGAGAGCAAAGGAGGTGATTGAAGCGTGTGGTGTGGCTGTTGAGGAACGAGAAAATTGGGAAGAGACGGACGTCATCTGGCATTCGTCTGTGGTTGGTTGTTTTGGCGGGTCCCTGCGAGACTCCTGTGGCGACAGGGGCTTGAAGGCTTGAAGAGTTGAAGAATTGGCTGTGATAAGGGGGATATTGGAGAGTGGCAGGACGTATTCACATTTGACGGCATATTTTAACCAACGCAGAATATCACGCCCAGATCAAAGTCTTGGTCCGGAATGGCCCGAGGTACCGAATACCGAATACTCGCAGGCAACTCACCGCGCAACTGAGCGGAGCTTCTTGCCTCGTGTCGCGACTCCGTGTAAGTCGCTCCTGACCAGTTTGCTCGAATTCAGGCAGAGACATTCCGTGGCACCTTCCATTTTGGAAAACCGAGAGCTCCCTCTCCTTGGTCGGGGCACAAAGAAACATCTTGCCCTGGGCGGTACAGATTCATGTCTGAACCACAACCACTGCACCTCTCGCGCTCTCCCCGGGTCACTATCGAGCGTCGTTTTCCTGGCCAAGTATCTGGACTAGGCCGCAATCATGAAGAGCTTCCTTGGTTTAATGATAATGGGCTTCCTTTTGGCTCATAGCAGCCCCGTCACAGCTGTCAGCGATGATCCAAACATGGCCTTGGCGCTTGTAAACCAGGCTCGTCAAGCCAAAGGGCTTCAACCTCTCTTGTGGGACACCAGCCTGAAGGCCTATGCTCAGTTCTGGGCAGATGAAATGGGCAGTGGTAGACAACCTTTTGAACATGCACCGGTTTCATATCGGCCGAGCCAAGGAGAAAACCTATACGAGCAGTCGGCCGGACAGTGTGACGCGAACTATGACAACCCCCTCCAGACGGGAATGCGTGCTTGGTTATCGCAGGAGCATCTGTATACTGGTCAGCCGATAACTACTGGGCATGAGCCGTGGCTTCACTGGTGTAAGTACAGGTCGTTGTCGTTCACCGGCGATATCGTGCGGGCGCAAGCTGATGTCCTGAGTAGCTCAGTGCATGTGGTCTTCTACCACGCGGATTGGCTGTGCTCGAGCTTACAGCCTCTCTGAGCCCTATAAATTCTTTGATGTTTGCCGGTTCTCTCCGGAAGGGAATATGTAAGTAAACTGCTGATCGTCTTGTGTCTGTCTGCACTCTCGCTGACAGGCTTAGTGTTGGTCAGAAACCGTTTTAGGTACAGCTGTCAGTAGCAGCTAGAACGGACCGTCTCTTGACGCAAACGAAGAAAACATCACTTCTAAAGAGGACCAGTTGCTATCATTGTTTCAAATTTGACGCGGAAATCGCTCGAAACAATTGTGAAAATGAAAATTCTGTTCATCGGACCAAGCAATTTTGTCAGCCATTACAAGTCATGTCCTGGACGGCACTGTTACAACGCGGATCTATTGGTTGTACACTTTCTTGATTTGCAGGATTATCAGAGTCCGCAAATGAGTCCTCGGGTAAAGCCCCTTTGCTGCTGCAAGGCTGAGTGCGCATCGTTCACCACGCTCCGGGTTTAGAGTCCTGGTTAACTTTGTCCATTACTATTTATCAATGTCAGGGGATATGTCGTCTGTACTCGGCATATTTGCCAGTGTCATGTGGTCGTGCAGAGTGAGGCATTGTTCACACTAGCAAGGCAACTAGTTAGCTATTAATTTATCAAAATGGGCAACGGCTTACATCCTTTATAATTGAAATTCTGCGGCAGGTCTCGGACACAGTAATCTCGATAAGTTGGGCAGGTCTAGTTCAGCTTCTATCCACCACTGCCCAAACCGGGCTGTCGTTCCAGTCGTTGACTTTCGGCCAACAAGGTATGAGAGAAGCAACATCTCTTTGTGGTCTATGAGGCAAATACGAATATAATTCGGAGTCGGCACCACCGCCTCGATAGACGATGTGTTGTTTCACTCCACCAAAGCTCCAAGTTGTTGAGGCGGCCTCTGGCAGGATGGAGTCGGGACAAAGAATGTGGCTGGTGTGGATAGAGCCACGCTTGTGCACCGCCGCATTCCCCTGCGAAACGGAATATGCCGAAATTTCTGACCGACGCGACTGCCAAAGCGACAGACGGACACACAAGTCGCGACTGTGACTGTGAAGGCTTCAACCACCATCGAGCCACGTCCATCCGGCATCCAGTGCAGCCACCCACACCGATCCCGTCCCGACTGCGATCTTCAACAGCATCATCCTGGAGAGGCCGCCAGCTACGTGATTTTCTGGGACGCGCTTTTGCAGTCAATTGCGGACACGGGGTTTGTCCCTGTCCTCCCTCCTGCTGCTGCGCGTTGCCATCAACTTCGCCGCCGCTGCTCCCTTGCGCCGGCATGACCTGACGCATACGGTCGTCTACTGCACATCATGGAGCGATCGAAACCCCAAGCCTTTCAATCGTCTTACGCGCCTCGCCTGCGCGCCTACAACAACTCTCTTCTGACGCCCGTGCTGCCGAGCGCCCCCTCGGGACCCCTCTCCAGAACGACGAAGCGAGGCACCACCATCATCAACTACGCCGAGGATGGTTACGATGACTTGGAAGAGGACAGCGACGACACCCGCCGCCGACCGACTGGCTTAAGAAGCCTGCGCAAGGAAGATTCCGCATCCAGACAAGATCTAGCCGACAAGGCTGGCAAAGACACCAAGGAGCCGGTGGAAGTTCAAGGCATCTGGCGAGACTGGATGGGCAAGAATCGAGCACTGAAGAGCGATCAACAAAATGCTGCGCAAGCAAGTCTCCCTCTCACCCTGATTCCCATACGAATTGATCTCGACATACCGGCGTTTGTTCCCGCCGCCGCCTTTCCCATTCCAAACACCACTGCGGTTGACAGCACTCTTCCGCAATATCGACCGGGTGAGATGACAGTGCCGTACAAGCTCAGAGACATATTCTGCTGGAACCTGCACGAAACACTCGTCACGACTGATCAATTTGCGCAGACTCTGGCCCAGGACTTGGACCTGCCCAACCGCAGTCTCGTGGTTGCCGAGATAAGCAAGCAAATTAGAACCCAGCTGGAGGAGTATGCAGGGGTCGCGCTTCATCCTTTGTTTCACACGGAGCAAAATACGCTGGCAGCAGCGCCGGTGCCGGCGCCGGCGCCGGCGCCACCTCCCACAGGCGGTTCCCACGGCACTGCCATGGGAACGCCAAGGCCGAGTCTGATGATGAAGTCGAGAGAAGACTCGCCGGCGTCGATGGCGAGACCACTGTCACGACCGGACACTCCTGCTCGAGGCGGCGCCGGCCCAGCAACCCCGTCGCAGGTCGCAGCGCCGAACGTTACGGCGGACGCTACACCGATCCCGCCCGATTCTGACGACTACAACCCCGATGATACCTACCGTTGCATCATCAACCTCAGCCTCAACTTGTCATCCATGTTGTACACGGACAAGTTTGAGTGGTCACTACTTCACCCCCCGGGCACGGCGGAAGCCTTTGCAAAGACGACTTGCGCAGATCTGGGTTTGACTGGCGAATGGATACCGGCCGTGACCCACGCCATTTACGAAGCCGTTCTGCGGCTGAAGAAGGAGGCCTGCGAAGCCGGCGGCTTGGTTGCCGGTTGGGGCGGGCTACAGCAAGACCTGCCCAACGACGCGGCCCTCGGTACGGAAGCCGGATGGAGATATGATCCCGACCACCTGGCAGATGAGTGGGAGCCAAAGGTTGAATTCCTGAGCAAAGAGGAAATCGAAAAGCGAGAGGGCGAGCGGGAGCGAGAAGCCCGCCGACTGCGTCGCGAGACGGCGCGATTCAGCTCGACGGCCGGCCTGCTGGGAGGCACACCCTTCGGCGCCCCTGCCGAGGTGGAGGAGGAGAGGATGGGCCGCGGCGAACGGTCAAAGAAGAAACGGCGCTTCAGAAGCCTCAGCCCGCTGAACCGCAGCGGAACGCCCGGCGGTCGCGGCACCCCGGACGTCGGCGGCTACGGCGGCGGAGGCGCACTGACAGACTTGGAGAGGCAGACATGGAGGTGCACACACTGCCGAGTATGGGGAACCAGCGTCTGGGCAGTCCGCGACGGTCCTGCCGGCCCCAAGGTAAGTGGAATCGTGTTCGTCCACGAAGTCGCGTGGCTGTGCTGACGGACGCGCCGCTGCAGTCTCTGTGCGCAAACTGCGGGTATTTGTACGAGCGCGATCGCAAGCTCCCTCGCCAAACGAGAAACCTGCACGTGCAAGACCCCCGAGCGGCCTAGGAGTCCTCCGTCTCGCAAAGCGGCAAGGACAAGGCGGACAAGGCGACGCCCGACCCTCACGCCCAGCAGGCGCAGGCCTCGACTGGCTCTCCTCGAAAGGGCCAGGGTGCTTCCCCCCCGTCCGCCTCGCATCCGGGCTCCAGGCGAGGGCGCCTGCTGCCCATCTCTAGAGAGTGGTTGCAGGCGCTCCCCGTCACAGGCGGAGACCGTAGCATTGGCTCTATAATCGCTCGAGCCGTCGAGTCTGGTATACAACAAAGACGGTCAGTCCGGCTGTGAACCCGGCAGGCAGGAACAGGAACGCCATCTACAATATGTCAGGGGAAAAGGGGCGTACAGGCAAAACTTGTTTCATGTTGTGTTTGATATATTCTCTTTTTTTTTGCCCGCGCCCCCCTTGCCTGTCGAAGGAGGGGAGAGACGAGCGTGAGGCCAAGGGTGTTGTTTGTGTTTGTGTGCGTGTTTGTGTGCGTCTGACAGAGGCCCTCGTTGATCCGGGTTTGAGCCATGCGGGAGGGGAGCTTCAGCACTGAGGTTTTGTGCGAGGGCGAATGGGCAAAGTTCCCGTGTAGAGTAGAACTGCATGTTGGGTGGTCGATATTGCCGGGGAAATCAACAAGCACTCGCGGCATGTGTTTTGGAGACCCCTGCTCGAGGGCTATGTTCCGGGCACCGTCGCCTTGTCTCTGTCCGTGTCCGTGGACGGCGTGCGCCCTGAACGGTGTGATGTGCTTGTCGGATCAAGTATCAAGTACCTGAGGCGACACCATTTGCGGTGAACACAATATTCGGTGATACCCCATCTCTACTTATGCGCGGAAGAAGGATGGATGGAAAGAAGAGGGGGGAAGAAACGGGGAAGGGCAAATCAAGCATTCCGGCTCGCGACGACAAACCTGTCTGCAGTACGACGTCGTTTCAATGCAAACAATCACATCGTCCAGACGTGTTTGTAAGATCCGGCTGGCTCTTGTAGCAACGGATCTTGGGCCAGGGCGCCTCTCGACCTCTAACATTCAACATCACAGTTGCAGGCATCATTCACCTCCTTTTGCTTATTCTGAGTACATGTATTATTAGATCTCGATCCTTGATCGGAATCAAAGCGCATGGCCGTCCGAGGTGTGACACGGAAATGGCCAAGGACGGAGAAGCACCTGAGCCGCAGCACCGTGCGTGCTCGTGAGTACTGTTCAAAATCGTATATACAAGTACGGGTATTATATCCTTTTTCTCCCTTGTACGGAAAAAAAAACAAAAACAAAAACAAAATAAAACACGCAATTTACCCTTAAAAGCTCGTCAGCATACATTACTTTTCCAAATGAGAATAAAAGGAACGGCAACGTCGACTATTGGCGAGGCCCTCCGTGCATCATCTGGGTTGCATCCACTCCTATCCATCTCATGCCGGCGGGTGCCTGCTGACCTTGGCCTTGGATCTGAACTGCTCCCGGGGGGGCGATAGAATGCAATCCATTCTGATACTGGCCATGACCTGATATCTGACGGAGATTTCTCAGGCGGTCCACTGTCCCGTTCGACAATTGCTCAAAGCTCTGCTTCAGCATCAGAGCATCTTCCCACTTCGTCCCGTAAAGCTGCAACGTCTTGGGAATGCGCTCCAAACACCAAATGGTTCTGCCAAGATTAAGATTGCTGTCCACGGGAACATCAGGTCTCATATGACGGTGGGGTATGGGAGGCGCTGGCGCAGAGCCAGGAGGAGCCGGAGGGGGTGGAACATGCGCCCCAAAGATGAGTAAGTCCTGAGCGTCTCGCAGCACGGCCAGTAACTGATTTGCCATGAAGTAGACCTTTAATGCGTCGTGGTATGTGTAAAATGCGCTGTTCAAGCCACTGTATGTAATGTCATACATGTTGTTGAGATACTCTAGAGAGTACTCGAATATCAGGACTCGGATGTAGTCGGTGATTTGAGGGGCCCTGTCTGATGGCGCAATGCAGTACACATAGCTGTAGCGTAGCTCTTGCTCAAACATTTGCCGAATACCTGGGGGAAGTGTCTTGGGAAGGGACTCCTGCCATTCCCTCATATCCAAGCACATCTGCCAAAGAAAACCGATGGGATCCGGCAAAGGAGTCGGCGCTGATTGATATAACGCCTGGTACCAGTATGACTGTGCTCGACGTAGCTGGAAAAGTAACAGGGCCGGATTCGCAGATTGAGGTCCGGATATGGGTTTCGAAGCAACTGGCTTATCTCCCGGGTTCGATATTTGAGGGAACGCAACATTAATGGATTCGTCCGCGAATGAGAAACTCCGCGCATGGGCCATGCTGATAGCACTGGTTCAAGTAAGCATGCGCTGATAGGCGTGAGACATAAGTATAGGGGAACAAACTGACCGGTCGAGAGCGTAGGTACAATAAAATATCTTGCGTCGCATATCCAGCGCAGACCGGTCCGATACCGACGATGTGGGAGGATCCTGGTGCAATCCCAAGTCAACTACGGCCCGGGACGTAAACCCTATCAGATGCCACGTATCAAAGTGTGCAGGATCCATCATGGAGTAGATAGTAAGCAGAAGTAGCGACTGGATCTGGGTGACATATCCGGGCCTAAGTGCCCGATGTGCATAAGACATAGCGCTGCAAACGAAATCGACGCCGCGAACATAATACTCGTCGTGGATCTCGCGACTTTGAGACGTAGAGCCTATAGCAAGAACCAGGTAAAGCAGCCAGTAGTCGGAGTCCCTGATGACGCGCTCATCTTGACGATACACATCGTCCAATATTGTCAAGAGGGCAGTTTCAGAGAAACACGGAAATAAGGAGTATATGTGGGCCATGAAATATTCAACTATCGCGTTGGCGGTCTGTCTAGAAGGCAGCACAGATTGCGTTGAAACTGGTAAAGGGTCCTTTGTCGTTACTGCCAAAACGAGCCTTGCAAATGTAATGTTTCCCAGGGAAGGCTCAAAATCTCTGGTCGTGGCATCGACCGATCTGCAAATTCGCGTCTTGTCAGAAAAGAAGCCGGAGGAGAGAGGAGAAAAGAGAAAGGGGGGGAGGACAAAAGTATGCTACTAGGTAAAGGGTAGAGCTCATACAAGATGCCGAAGTCCGACACCAGGGAATTGACGTCCAAGTTCTCCCGGTTACGCGCCGCCTTGCGATGGATGGCAGCTCGAATAGCAGCCAGGGAATCTCTTCTCTCCACCTCGGTCAGGTTGGTGTTGGCAGTACCATTGACTTCATGTTGACCGATGGAATCCTTTCGAGACTTTGCATAGTCCAAACGTCGTTCGAGCTTCTCGATGCGAAGTTCAAGGGCGGCGACGTAGCTGTTCACCCAAAGGTCAGCCAGGATGAGCGGCAAATGTCGTCGGGCTTGTCATTGACACACCTCCGTTCTTTTCCCCTGGCGAATTGATCATTGGCTGCCGAACATTCATTTTCACGACCTGCCTTTTCGCAGGCGGTGCAAGCAGGCAGTTTACCGTCACACTGAGGTTCACGAGGAGTTAACTACGAGGATCAATACCGCGACGCACTTGATGAGCAGTGTGTACTTTGACCTTGGCGGCACGGCCTAGGATGACAACGGTCAGTCGAAGGAACAGAAAAGATGTACCGGGGGAGGCTCGTAATCTCTTGTATCAACTCACATCGCGAGCACGCCGAGACTGGTCTTGAGACCCTCAACAAGGGATTTCGCGAGAAGCTGGTGCGGGGCATGGCGCATTGCTGCTTTCGCAATTACTGCGGTACGGAAGACGGGGCAAAAGGCCCGACCGACACCTGTGCTTCTCGGGAGAAGACAAGAAAGATGCCAAGGCGATGCAGATTGGCGTCTAGCAAAGCTCGCAAGCACAGGTTGGTGATGCAGAGCTAAAGGCGGCTCTTATTACCACCGACTGAGCCGGGTGAATGAAGTGTCAGGTGTGTGAGTGGGACTGGGACACAGCGACCGAGGGGAGCGTGAGCAGCACGACGCGGCCAATCGATAGACTCCGAGGATTATGGATTATCGTCACGGGCCATGGCCCATACATGCATGGCTGGTGGGGTCGGTCTCGGATCTGGCCAAGTCGATGATGAAGGAGAACCTACTTGAAGCGCAGACCAGGTTGGGGATTGCTGCTGTGTACTCCGTAGGCGTAATTGAACCGAAGCAAAGTTTTCTAGAAGGCGATTCAAGGTTGACGCCTGCGCCTGTACGCCCTGGGCGGGAGCTGGCCGCAGCAGCGGATGGCCGATTCAAATTCGAGGTGCAGCGATGCAAGTTAGCGGGCAAGCAAGTACGTACCACCGGCGACAGGACCAACTTCCGGCTGACACGAGGCCTGGCGGGTGCTGTCGAGCGCTGCCCCACACGCACTTGACACATCTTTCTTTGGGAAGATATGCCCGAGATGAGGGCGGCACGCTGGAAGGATAGAAGCATCCTTTTTTTCATCTTTCTCTCTCTCTCTCTCTCCTCATTTGTTTTCTTTTGTACCGACCGTAGGCTTACGCCTGCTCTCAAATAAATGGCTGACCAGAAGGACAAGCCGATAAACATGCCCTGAGCCCCCTGCTAGTACCCGCTGACGGAGAAAGGAGGACGAAACATCCCCGCTGTCCCCAAAAGGACAGCTAAGATCTGCTACATGTACCTAGTATAGCGATAGCACGCCTGATGCTCCGACCGGAGCGGGGATTAGCCCCAACCAAGGCGAAAAACACACACACACACACACACACACACACACTTGACGGATTCCCCAAGGCAACTACGTAGCGTGCTCCCGGATTGCCCCGCGCGCCCGGCATCCCCCATCCCCCACCAGTGCCTCCCCGACGGAGCGCTCAAAGACGCCATCGCGATAATCCATGGTGTTGATGGTTACCCCGCCACGCTCGTTTCCTCCTCTTCCCATTGAAAGGGCCTCTCCTCTCCTCGCAAAGTCGGCGTCATCCACCATGTCCGCAAACCAAAAGATTGCCATTCTGTCCGTCTACGACAAGACGGGCCTGTTGGACCTGGCCAAGGGCCTCGTCCAACACAAGGTCAGAATTCTCGCCTCGGGGGGAACGTCGCGTATGATCCGCGACGCTGGCATTGCCGTTGAGTACGAATTCCCTCCCCCTTCGTCCCGATGCCTGCAGGCTCCATGTCAACGTGTCAACGTCCCAAGCGTCATGGGATGCGTAACGCCAAAACTAACCGTGGACAACATTAAAAAACCAGAGACGTCAGCGCCATCACCAATGCTCCCGAGATGCTCGGTGGCCGCGTCAAGACTCTGCATCCCGCTGTCCACGCCGGTATTCTCGCACGCGACCTCGAGTCGGACGACAAGGACTTGGCTGAGCAGGGCATTGCCAAGGTCGACTACGTCGTCTGCAACCTGTACCCCTTCAAAGACACCGTCGCCAAGGTCAATGTCAGCATCCCCGAGGCTGTCGAGGAGATTGACATTGGAGGCGTCACCCTCATCCGCGCCGCCGCCAAAAACCACAGCCGTGTCACCATCCTCAGCGACCCTCTGGACTACGCCGGCTTCCTCGAGGAGCTCGAGCGCGGCGGAATCACCCCAGCGAGCCGGAACCGATATGCCCTCAAGGCCTTTGAGCACACGGCCGATTACGACGCCGCCATCTCTGCCTTCTTCCGCAAGGAGTACGCTGCCAACGGCGAGCAACACATGGCCCTCCGTTACGGCGCCAACCCTCACCAGAAGCCCGCCGCCGCCTACACCGTCTCCGAGAAGCTTCCCTTCAAGGTCCTCTGCGGCTCACCCGGCTACATCAACCTTCTCGACGCTCTGAACGCCTGGCCCCTGGTCAAGGAGCTCAAGCAGGCACTTGGAAAGCCCGCCGCCGCCAGCTTCAAGCACGTCTCTCCCGCCGGTGCTGCCGTTGGTCTTCCCCTGACCCCCGCCGAGCGCAAGGTGTACTTTGTCAACGACATCGAGGGCATTGAGAACTCTCCCCTCGCCCAGGCATACGCCCGTGCCCGTGGCGCCGACCGCATGAGCAGCTTCGGTGACGTCATCGCCCTCAGCGACATTGTCGACGTCCCCACCGCCAGCATCATCTCCAAGGAGGTCTCGGACGGCGTCATCGCCCCCGGCTACGAGGACGCCGCCCTCGAAATCCTCAGGAAGAAGAAGGGCGGCAAGTACCTCGTCCTCCAGATCGACCCCGAATACAAGCCCTCCCCCACCGAGACCCGCACCGTCTACGGCGTCACCCTGCAGCAGCACCGAAACGATGTCGAAATCTCCCCCAAGTCCTTCGACACCGTCATCACTTCCAAGGGTGCCGGTGCCCTCCCCGAAAACGCCGCCCGCGACCTGACCGTGGCCACCATCACCCTCAAGTACACACAGAGCAACTCCGTCTGCTACGCCTACAATGGCCAGGTCATTGGTCTCGGCGCGGGCCAGCAGTCCCGCATCCACTGCACCCGTCTTGCCGGAGACAAGGCCGACAACTGGTGGATGCGCTTCCACGAGCGCGTCCTCAACATCAAGTGGAAGAAGGGCACCAAGCGGCCCGACAAGAGCAACGCCATCGACCTGCTCGTCAGTGGCGAGCTCCCCGAGTCTGGTGCCGAGCGTGACGCTTTCGAGGCCATCTTCGAAAAGGTTCCTCCTGCCTTCACCGACGACGAGAGAGAGGCCTGGATGAAGCAGCTCAGCAATGTCTGCGTCTCCAGCGACGCCTTTGTACGTGTCTCCCCTCCCCCCCTGCGCATTTTGGCTCACACATGTTAGTTCCCTTTTGTCGACAATGTCTTCCGCGCCTCTCGCTCAGGAGTCAAATTCATCGCCGCTCCAAGCGGCAGCCAAAACGACAGTGCCGTCTTCGAAACCGCCGAAAAGCTGGGCATCACCTTTGTCCAGCAAAGCACTCGTCTCTTCCATCACTAGAGGGCAGCGACGAGGAGGAAGATTAAAATACTGACTGAGTTTTATTTTTACTTTTTCAAGGGGCGGTGCAAAACACACACACATACTCAACGGGACGTCATTTCAAAAATTGGGACAAGTAGGCAAGAAGAGCTGGAATTGGGTGGTTCTTGGTCAAATGTCCAGCACATGTCAATTCTAGTGGGGTTCTTTTTTGTCTTTCCTTTCCAATCTGTATATACTTAGGTGATTGGAGTTGTCAAATGCTCGCCTCAGCGTGGTGCGATGCCCTCGCACACTCGTCGAGGAGTTGGTGCCGCTGGACTCTGTGTCTCGGCGCCAGCAAGACGCGGCACTTGGAGCCGGAAGGAGAAGGGGAGAGAGAACCATGCGCGTACTCAATGTCAGGGAAGAAACACATTCCACATTCCACCAAAGTTTCTTCGAAGGCTTCGTGCCCTACCTTGTCGGCCGTCGGTCCGTGCTGTGCCGTTCTGCGTGCACGTGTGTGCCGTGCTACCCGCTATCCGCTACTATCGACAACCCGAAACCAGGTCACAGCAAAAAGGGCCAGGCACGAGCGTGAAGGGGCCGGCTCATGGGAGATTCGGAAGCCTAGGCGGAAGAGTCCGGCAGGCCATTTTGCATTGACAATGCGACCACGCCTTTCCCGTCGCATAGAGTGCCGATCTTGAGATGTCGATATTGCTGTTCATAATGCACTCCCGCGCTCTTTCGATCCCGAAGTCGAGTCCAAAGATAACGGACCGGCTCTACGTTGACGTTGGAAGCCGACACGCTCATGCCCCACGAGTTTATTTGCGGAGCCTCGTCGTCGAAACAAGATGGACTAGGCTGTTGCGTGATTGGCTGCCGGATTCATGCATGACAAGTCTGCCACGAAACAGGGTTCATGGCTTGAGCACCTACGGAGTATACCATCCATCTATTAGTTCTTGGGCGGCCGGGCTCTTGGGACCAGGCAAATGAGAAATCCCAGAGAGGGCCAAGGGAACAAAGGATGCATGGACTGCAACCTGGGGCCAGAGTAAGTACTACGTACTGATGAATCGGGAATACATGGTAACGTTAGTAACTACATGGTTGTTTTTTAATTCCCGGCCCGCATGTCGACGCCATTCCACGTGGCAGCGCTGCGCGTCGAGGTGCCAACTGAAACATGACGTCCGTATATCCATCATCTACCATCTACATCTACGTGCCTAGGCAGGTACCAAGCGAGACAGGTAGCAAGACGTGATTGTCTTCCGAGGATGCCAATATTTACACATCGGCATCATTGTCAGTGACATGTACTTGACCTACCACCAATAGTTTGCGTGACGAGGCCCTGCGCCCTCGCCTCCGTCATCATCAAACCGCTTCGCACACGGACTGGCCTATGCTACTGATTTATTGTATACATGTCTCTAGGATCTGGAGTCTGGACAGGAAAGTGACGTGAACCACCATGGACTTGGCCCTCGTCTTCCTCACCTCTTTACCACCAGTCGTTGATACGCTGAGCACTCGAGTCGGTCATGATCAAACCGTTACACGACCCTGGCTACGCTTGGCCGTGTGGATCCAGGGCGCTTTAGTGCTCCCGAGATCCCCCCCTCAAGCCCTGCCCGTGGTGGGCATCGTTGGTCCATCACGAGTCGGCATTTTGGCGGCCAGGCCGCCTGGCCAAGTATCGTTGTGCGTGGTTTCTCGTGTTTTTCCGCGTCGGCAGCCCGTTCAGACGAGCGATGCGACGTCGGCCAGCCATCAACATCTGCAGGCACACGCGAGCCATCGAGGTTCGGCCATTGTGTGCTGGCGATGAAGGCTGGCTGGCGGCTGCATGCCCTGTGCATAATCACCCGCCACATTCCTGACTTAGATGCCCAGGTAGATGGATGGATAGATATGAGCCTCCCTCAACTGCAACTGCCTTGCACGGAGCCTATCAGCGCCAACGCATCGCCATCGCCATCGTCTTGGACCAAGTCCACTCTTTGCTGCTCACGTGTCAAAGGCCATGACATTTCGACACCTGGACCTGGACGTGGACGGCATGCACGCCTGCACGGCACATGGTGGAAGGCTGAATGCTGAGTGCTGAGTGTGGGCTCTTTCCCGCACCTTGTCGCATGTCGTGCCAATCAGCACACGCCCAGCCCAGACGTTCTTTCTGCCTCGCCCCGTTGCCAGCAGGCCGCCGACGAACTGTCAAGCGTACTTACTTAAGCACGCCACGGTCGGTACGGTCTACCGTCTGCTCAAGTACCTTGCCCTAGTACTTACGCAGGTACCTGTGGGCTGTGGGCGCCTAGGCAGGTACCCAGGCTCGTTTAAGTAAAGTTCAATGTTACTTTACGTTGGGTACTCGCTAATGTGCCGACGTCTTCAGAGGGCCATGGTTGGTTCTTGTTGGTCATCAAGAGTCAAGACCCTCCTAAACATGCCATATCCCATGTCAATCTCTCCTTTCCGCCAAGCAACCATTGCTCCGTACTGACCACTTTCCCGAGTCGAGCGAGCACCTTGATCCCGACTTTGCAACTTTTGCGCATCGCTCGCTCCGTCACGGCGCCTCTGCCGACTCTCTGCTCTGCCTTGGCCCGTCCCTTGTCGCTCGATTCACCGGGGATATATAGCTGTCATTGACTCAGGCGACTCGCCTCCCTAGCAACCTAGTAGCCCGCCGCTATAATCTTGCTTCGCCTCGAGGTCAGCGTGCGAACCTTGTCTTGTCGCGCAGTCGCTCTCTGCGGCCCCTTGGACGTGCCTCGTCGACGGCGTTGTTGTTCCGGATTGCTGGGAGAGGCACACCTTGGCGCCCAAAAAGAAACCAAGGAAAAAAAAAAAGAGAGGAACGGAAAAGGAACGATAAGTGGCCTACTACAACGAGCTTGGCCGGCGCCTCGGTAACTGTACACCACCTCACGAGTCACCTACTCACCTACCCTCCTCCTTTCCAGCCTGTTTCCGGCGGCCCGGTCCAAGGCGACGCCCCACGACGTACGCCGACGTGGCTGACCAGCCAGCCAGCCAGTCAGTCAGTCAGTCAGTCAGTCGTACGGGGCTTCTCGTGCAACCCGGCGTCGTCGTTCAAATACGTTTGGGAGGGTGCGATTGACTGGCGCGTTTTACGATTCACATTTGCCTCTGTCAAAAGTGCATGCTCTCGACACCAGCGTTTTGCCACCAAGCTGGAGGATCCCATGATGGATCCGGCACACATTTTTAGGCAAGGACTTGGGTCTGTGCCTACCCGCCCAAATCAACCATACACAGCTCGTCATCAGAAACCACCAAGGTCCAATGACGATCTTTCCGATGGTGATGGCTCAGGCCACCGCGTGGCGCATACATTGACGGCCTGCTGTCGCTGTCGTCAGGTATGGCTAGCCTTACCCGCCCCATGCGCTTATGCTGACACTGTTTGTAGCGGAAAACCCGCTGCGATCCGTCCTTGCCGCGATGTTTGCCATGTGAGCGATCCGGCTCAAAGTGCGAATACTTGGACACTGCCAAAGGCAAGAAGATCGACCGACACTATGTCGTCAAGCTCCAGGACAAGGTCAGGGCGCTCGAGGCCGAGTTGGCCCATTACACGGATGATGAGAATGACTATCCCAGAACTACCGAGGACATTGTTCGGCCCGGAGGCATGATCCGTCTGCAAACAAGTGACGAAACGTCTAGGTACTTGGGGCCCAGCAGTGGCATTGCTATGACGAGGCTGTTAATGGAGGAAGCCAAGAGATACACAGCATCCAACCGCATATCTGACCTGATACCGGGGGTGCGGGCTAGAAGTCAGGCCCGGATGCAATCTATACAAATGACCGGGCCGCCACATGGCAGAAAGAAAAGCTACCCGATGCTCAGTGATCGCCCTGCCGACGATCTACCGTCTCGCGCAATCATGGACAAGCTTGTCGAGCTATTCATTCAGAAGTGTATGACTGTTCCAATCCCAGACTGGCCACCCACCTACTAACTCAGCTTCCAGCACTAGTCTTTTGGCCTGTCCTACACGAGAAAAACCTTGAGAAGGACATGGAAGCGGTGTACAACGGCGATGAGGACCCATACAAGAACTTTGTGCTTCGAATGGTTATTGCCATTGCCCTGCAAAAATTCGACTCGCAATACGCCGGGTTAGCGGACAGCTACTACTTGGCAGCCATGCAGTATGCTGAAGCCGTGATACGTCCCAAGGACCTGAAGACGTTGCAGTGCTTGGTCTTGGTCGGCCATTACTCGCTTCTCACCCCCACGAGGACACCAGTGTACTACGTTATTGGCCTCGCGACTCGCATCTGTCAACAAGAGGGCTTGACGGACGAGCAGACGATCACGACGGGTTACAACCTGGATGAGCAGACCATTGATATGCGGCGACGCCTGGCGTGGATTGTGGCAGTCATGGACTTTGGGTTGTCGTATCACATGGGGAGACCCAGCGGGTTCGCAACAGGAAACGATAAGATACATGTGGCCATCTTTTCTACTGCCGATGACGAGCACATCACGGCAAACGGAATCAGTGCTGGCCCTACCAGTCCCCGCAAGGCGTTTGCTGCTCACTTCTACGAATGCCGAGAACTGCAAGCCGAAGTTCGAAGAACCCTGTACGAACAAAAGCGAGCCGAGCCAACCAACGACTCGCATCCTTGGTACAACAGCATAGAGAAGAAGATGAAGTCTTGGCTGGACGCCGCGCCCAAGGACTTCCAATGGGGCCCTCCCTGGTATGCCCATGATTGTTCAGACATGACACGTAACGCCTTGGGCTAACAGATGCAACAGGTGTGCCACCTTTTATCACCACACACTTGTGGTTCTGTACCGACCCTCGCCGCAGGTGCCCCAGCCCTCTGCACGGGCAGCTACGGTTTGTTTTGAGAGCTCCGCCTCTGTAGTTAACCTGGCGGAGAAGCAAATAAGCAGCGGGCTCTTCAGCGTCACTTGGCTTCTGCTACTCATGCTCACCTCATGTCTGAATGCCCTCTTATGGGCAACGTCGTACCCGGAAGTTCGGCAGGCCCATTCCCGACAGGAAGTGCAGGATCTTGTGGCCAGAGCATTGGCATGTCTCGAAAAGTGTGCAGAGCGATGGCCGGGCACTCGCTACACGGCTCAACTGTACAGCATCATCGCCAACGCCTGCTTGCAAAGCTACGACCGGGCTCCTGACAGTCACCACCCAGGCCTCTCCTTCCCCAGTCCATCGTCGGTCGCCGAGCCGCGGTCGTCGCCTGATGGCTACGTACAGACCGGGGCTCCTCAGCAGCTCCAGTACTTGAATCCTCCCCAATTTGGTTTCGTTTTTGATTCACCGCCCGAGTCTATGAACGCATACACGTTTGATCCGAACTACCCGCCGCCCCAGCCGACTTTTAGATCCAACTCGATCTTCTGCAATCCTGCTACTGACGCAAACGGGAGGCGGTTCTCGTACTTCCCGCCCGAGGGCTCGCCGGAGGATCAACTCACCCAAGCTGCTGTAGGTCATGACCAGACGACTCCGCCTTGCACGGACCACTCGAAGCAGATGCCGACCCCGCCCGATTCGATTCCAAACACGACCCTGTCACCGCAAAACTTGTCGTTGCAATCGTCAGCTCCGTCTGACGCTGCATCTGCACCTCGTGTTGTGCCGATGCAAGACCACACATCACCTCCCCAAAGCGGACAGCCAACTCACGCAACGTCCAACTTCACCACGGCAAGGCCACCAGTTCCCCAGCGGCCGTTGCCGGTGACCAACTCTTCTGCCGACTGGGTCTGCCCCGAGGCTCCCTTTGTTTCGCCCTACAACTTTGGACCCATGAGCAGCAACTTCTTCAACGACGCAATGCCTAACAATTTTGCCGAGATACCAACTGGTAACCTGGGCGGGCTGCAGCACATTGCCACGGGGTTTGATGCCCCCGGCCATTACGGCTTCATGCCTGGGAGGCAGGGCAGCCTTACTCACTCGCAACAGTTGGAGCTGATGAACGCGTTGGAGACGGAGGGCATCGGAGACATTGATGCTTTTCTGAATGCCGGGAACAACGTGGCGGATGTCAGATGGTGTTAGAACCACTGTCGGGCAAAGACTTGTCCGGGACCTCGGGATTGCAGCAGACGTTCCTTCAAGCACATTTGTGCCGGAATTTGCTTCGGCTTTTGAGACATTGCAGTTTTCCTTGACATGATGATGAATGGCGTTTGGTCACGCGAGCGGGCGTTTGTTGGATGGGAAGGGATATATATTGGGATATACCCCAGCGGTCTTGGGGAAAAAAGGCGAGTTGCCAACGCGAAACTTTCGCCTCGAGAAGCGGACGTGCACTGCAATACATGTACACGACCGCCACATATTCATGGAGTCTCGAGAACCTCAACGCTGTGCCGGTGCGCTGTTTTGCATTGACTTGCATCTTCTAAAGCTAGATACCGCGTATATATGTACACCCGGCCACGGCATCGGGCCAACGGCAGTCTCACTCTCCAACCGTGTCCAACCCGCTCATCTCGGCCGACAGCCCATCGGCCTCGACGCCCGTCCGTTTGGACCGCTTCCTCCTCCTCGTCATGCCCGTTACTATCGGCACTTCGAGGACCCAGCGTGCAATGGCTGCTGCCCTCTCTGTCAGCAGCGGATGGTGCTCGCATGCGTCGCCGCGGCTCGGATCCCGGGGTAAACACAAGTCACACTTGAATGTTGGTGTGGGTGGTGCTACGAGGACAAGGTCACCCAGGGGCTCACTGATACTCGTTTGAGACGAGGCCCCGGAGAGCCCACGTCTCTCATCGTCTGGCGAGCATGTTCCCGCACCGTCTCGTCTTATCAGAGATGTGACGGCAGACGCTAGGGCGCGGTGCGCTGCATCGGCACCCACGAATGCGGGTGTGCAGAGGATTTCCCAGTGCGGCCCCAGAGGGAGCGAGCTCGTTGTCCGGCGGAGGACTTCTACCCAGTCGTATTGAGCTGGAGATGTGGTGGCGCGAAATACAGGAAAGCCGTCGGATATTCGCATCAGACGAGCAACCATTTGGGCGTGGCGCTGCAGTTCCTTGACCGACGTTTGCAGGAGACAGTGGCAGAGGAGTAAGGCGTGCAGGGCTTCAGCCAGGAGGGGATGATACGTGACTTTCTCGCTTGTCGTAGGCTCTTGGCCAATTTGCGCCGTGGTCTTGATCCCAACCCTTTCCCCGATTTCTAGGAATGGGTGGGGAGGGAGATCTTGAGGTGACACAGCTGCAAAGAGGCGAGATACGGGGTACGTGTGCTCCCCAGAGGCGCTGCCGGTTTCGAAAGGTCTGTACGGCTTGCGATCACTATTCACTGCTTGTGCGACGCGTGCGTTAAACTCGGAGTCGGCCGCTTTTGGTACGTTCGGGGAGTAGTCGAAACAGGAGAGAAAGCATGTGTAGTCGTTCAATGCCCGTCTAGCCAGCTTCTTCACGCGCCTTCGGTTTTCAAGCTGTTCACTTGACACCTCTTGTGTCTCGACAACATCCCCAGGCGTTGCATTCGCATCTTCATCTCCACCTGGAGGCTCCTGAGGCGGCGAGGGGCCGATGCTCGGATCGACATATCGACAAGCCATCAGGATTTGTACCGAAGCTCGGTGGAAGAGCAACTGTGCAGAGAGGCCGCTGGGCTGGTCCTCCTCTGGCACCACAGTGCCGCGTATCCTTCCCAGTCCACGGGGGCGAAGACGATGCCCCTGCAGGTCCAGCGCCCTTGTCAGATCTTGCATAGCGCCATCGAGATCATCCAAGAGAACTTTGGCCAGTGCCCGAGTGCGAAGGACTTCTGCCTGGTCATGCGCCGACTCAATTATGTCGTTCAAGGACGAAAGGCTTGTTGTGTCAACCAGTTGCCCCGGCGCTATCTTTTCATGGAAAAAGTAAACATATTTGGCGTGAAGGTCATCGCGTTTTCGTTGCAACACCAAGCCAGCGACTTCTTTCAAAGCAGTCGAGGTTCGCCTTGTTGCAACACTACAAGCTATCTCGTCCAAACGATACGCATGAGCAAGCTTTTGGCATGCCTGCTCTCTCATCCGCAGCTTCCTCTCACCACTCAGCTTTTTGTGATGGCGTGCGAGGCTGAAATGTGAAGCGCCTCCGTCCACATTGACAAGCGTCGAAGGACCCAAATCAATGGCAGCTCCTCCGGCGATGCCATCTGCCTGATCGACTGCTTTGCGAATCTTCAGGACATCAAACACAACAGCTGGGTCAAGGGGACGAGGTCGGGGGTGGTCGTAGTTTATGGTAGCAATGATTTCTAGGACCTGAATGGGCAATTTTAACCACGGCCCCTGGAAAAAGGATACATAACGCCAATTCCTAGTATTGTCCATTAGAAACCGAAGCAGTCAGAGGCATCTACGGCCCCAGCATGGCTTGTGCAAACACGGCAGACGAGATATATCGGAAGAGGACGACTCACTTGCCGCGGCATACCACGACGTCGTTCGACTGTGTCGTGTCCTCTTCTCCTTTGCAGACCTGATGACCAGGTGGCACCGGAGACGGAGGGGAAATGTCAGATGGCGTGCCCATCTCCCCGACAGGAGAAGAAGAGCTGCCATTGCTTCCGGGCTCGATGTTGCTTGACGGCCTCTCTTCCTCCGAGTGTGTGGGCATTCCGAGAAGGACAAGGGTCGTAGTAAAACGCTGCCTGCCTCCAGATCTCACCTTCTACCCGGTGGCAATATGTTTGTCATGGAGCTGTGCCTTCGGTCCATAAACGTGGCGAGATTCCGGGCAGAAGTTTAGTTCAGACCTGAGGGAGGAGAAACTTGATGTTATGGATAGACTTGGATGCCATATAATAGAACTAGCGCAAATGACTTGGGGAAGAATTACCAGACGTATTGGAAAAGAGAGTAAACCAAAACAACATCCAAAGAAAAAAAAACTGGAATTAAAGGTCAACAACTTGGCTGAGCAGGTGGCGCGCAAGTCGAACAGAAGTCACAAGGGAGCTCGAACATGCGGGATGCAAATCACGTGCTGCAGCGTGTTTGCAATCTGCATCTCGCATCTTGGATCCTGGGTGAGGCTATCCCAACTTTCCAATTTCCACTGCTTCTCCGCCGCTTCCACACCTGCCACTTGGCGATGGATGAACATGGCCAACCCGAGCGTAGGCTTGACTGGATGACGTGAGCCGTGAGCGTTGTTGTTTTCCCGCCCCGTCGCCGATGGGGGTTGATGTTGATGGTCACGCCCGCTCGCTGGCAGGAACCGTCCGCCTGTTGTCTCCTCTTCTCTTCCACACTCCAACGCGGCTTGGCGTGTTGGAGGCGAGGCGCGGCCCAAGCTCAAAGAGAGGACAGTACTGGACGTGACTTGCTACTGTCGCGTTGTTTCTGGACTCGAGATAGAACAGAACGCCTGCTCGCAGGTGTCGTCTCGATGGTGCAGTCGAGAAAGCTCAAACCGGGAGAGTTTCGGTTTCTTGGTCGTGACCTTGTGTGTGTGTGTGTGTGTGTTTTGTATACTTTTGAATGAGACGGGGGTCATGCACTTGCATGTTCAGTCGCAAATCACCAGACGTTTCACGTGAAGACTGTCATCTGACTCATGAAGCTCATTTTCAGAGTCGGCCTTTCTTTGTACCTTTTTTTATCGGTCGGTGGCCACGGTGATGCAAGATGATTGCCCGCCGTCCACACCAAATTATGCAGTGTCTATGATTATACAATACATCAAGGACAACCTGTCCCCGAAAGTTGGTGAAGATGCTAGAGAACAAAAATCGCCAGCGCCACGCTTCCCACCCACCATAGCAATGGGCCCGGAACCCCCCTTCCCGGCGGCGGCGATGACGACTGTCGGCGTCGGGATGACGAAACCGCTAGAAGAAACCCCCGTGCCTGCTGGAGGAGACTTTGTCGACGATGTCGGGGGGCTGCTTGTCGTCGTCGCGGTCGCAGACGCAGACGCAGACGCAGACGCAGACGCAGACGGCGTGCTGGACGATGTCGCCGTCGTCGGCCCGGAACTACGCTCACCGCTGCCGGTACAGAAACAGGCTTGACTAGTTACTGTCGTTGCTGGAGCGCGAGTGCAGAACTGCACATCAGAGGAGCTGACCCCGGGTAGCGAGACGCTCGGAATGTCAGGCCCGTTCTTGACAAAGTCGGCACAGGTGAGACGAGTTGAGTTGGCCAGGTGGACGACAAAGGATCGGTTGCCAAAGAAGGCAGCGTCGCTTTCTTTGAGAGAGAGGAATTTATCGACGTACTCAACGACGAACGGGTCGCTGCTTATCGTGCCATATTTCCCAGACATGTCTCCGACCTGGCACGATGCAAGATTGTTGACGTCGCAAGGCGGCTTGTCACCGCGCTTCATGGTGTCCAAGTGGCCGCCGGTCGCAGTACAGTTGCCGCCGCTTGCTTTGTTGACATGGATGTGGTAGGCTGCCTTGCTGTTAGCGATGCGTGCCTCTTTAACGTGACGAGTAGGCTTTTGATCCCGTTCCTTCTGGAGCGTCTTACTCACGGAAAGGGCCTCCTGTCTTTGGCAGGTTCTGGAATCGCACGGTGAATCGAACTCCCACACCGTCTGGGGGGGCGGCAGCACTGATAAAACCTCTCATATTGCCATCAAGCTGTGGCGCGTGGAAGAAGGCGTCCTCAGGAAGCGTAGCTGTGTAGACTACATGGAGCGGATTGTCCTTGATTTCCGGCGCAGGGTCCGCGGCGTTGGCAAGGTTGACGGCGGCGGCGAGAGCCACGACGGCCGCTGCAAGTCGCATTCCCCTTCTTCCCATGTCGACTATGTCAGAGAGAGAGTTTGAGCAGTTGCTGGGTCTCTTTGATGTGTATTGCACACAGGTTGGGTTCAGAGTTTCCCGGACAATACTTGACTGCCAGCAATTTATATATCGCAGAGGCAGAAAGTTTGGCGTCACACCAGACAGACTCCAATGACAGGTCGTGGGAAGACTCCAAGAAAGAAACAGGCAGAAGCGGATGCCCAGGCCCAGCCAGGTACGTGGTTTGATCGAAGAGTTTGAAGTCGACAGGCGGTAGGGGAACATGGATGCTGGAACGCATCAAAACATGTCAGACAGTTGATGATGATAATAATAACACAAAGACAACTTAAATCGGAGCATGGACGAATGCACAGAATGGGCAACGATTGGAAACGACATACAAAGGCCGACGTGATGGATAAATAAAGAAACCACAAGTGGCCGGGACCTGAGATGGGCACTCGTTTATTTTTAACAACCAACGCGTTGAGACATGGGCGCCCAATCCGCACTTCCACTTGGCTTCGCTGGTCGCAAGCACAATAGACCTATCACGCATGGACAAGACTGGCAATTCGAGGGCGCGAGCCTCTGTGTCTGCTCGCCGTCGGATGAGGCCGGGTAGACGAGATGGCAGTCTGAATGCACTCCGTATCACGGAGAACCGGCAGTCAGCTCAGCCTCAAAGGAATCGCTTCCACAATCCCAACTGATGGAATCTTGAGTGCCAGACTAGACCGCTTCCAGGTTCCAGCTGGTAGATATCAAGAAACGGCCACTCGGCGTGGCGCTGCCGTTGCTATTAGATGACTTCGGTAGACTGATCCACAGCCAAAGTGACTGGCCGAGGAGTCATCATGGCATGGCGCATGGTAGGACGGTTAAGGATGGTGTTTTAGGATTTGCACGGATGCTCAGTAAAGGCGCCTGCTCGGACACGTCTGAAATTTCAGCCATCTTGATTGCCGAGATTCGAGATTTCCAGGGACTGAGTCTGACTGGCTGACCACTCCGTACTTGAGCGCGAATCGTTTCGCGTCAGCTACGAGACGGCATCTGGAGTCACCCTGAGAACCCCTGCAAACTAGCGCATTGTTGTTTCGTGAATAACACACAAGACACATGGCGAGGCCACGTGGTAAGGCCACAAGGCTGGATGCAATCCCGTCCGGAGCGGAGAACTGTTCGCGGTTATTGTTTGAGTCTCACTTCCAAGGTTTCGTAAACGCAGGTTGTGAGGTTGGATCGACGCCCGTGTTTTCATCGGTCCGTATTGTTTTGCTTCATGCTCAGCGAAACGATTTGGTCCCGATGACACACGCGAATGGATCCGCCCGAACTGTGAGGATGGAGACGGCCGTAAAAACTGACTTGAGCTGTTGAGAAGACGATCAGGCGAAAGATGGCATCCATCCTAAGGCTCAGGGGAGGGAGAAGTCCGCTCTCGCCTCGAGTCCCAACGAGCATGTGGCGCGCAGCTTGGGTATGTGGCTGAAACATGCTGGTGGTGGCTGTGGCTGTGGCTGGTGAGCTGCCCATCATTGTCGGCCTTATCCTTGAGGCGAGCAAAGCCACGGCACGGCGTACGTAAGAACTTCCAACTTGGACTATCACTCAACAGAGCTACGGACGGGGCGGACATCTCGGAAAGCCATCACCACTGCCCGCGACAGCAACACGTCCGTATCACGCGGCTCTACTGAAACATCTCAACGGCAATCGCATTCGCCTCAGTCGAGTAAACGGGCTCGCGCCACCAGCCCTCATCATGAAGCCCGTCGTCAGCGCCATGCACGCTTGGTCGTGGTATGTCCTCGTCCACACTGAACAAGTCACTCGTTGTCGCTGGTCTGCGCTCTCGGCAGTTGACTAACGTCAAGCTTCCGCCTACAGCACCGTCATATCTGTCTTTGCCATCATCATCCTCAGCATTCTTGCCGGGCTGTACCGCAGTGGACATGAGGAGTTTGTCGGAGGCGTTGCGGACCCCAGCCCCGAGGAAGGCAAGGCGGTAGCTGGAACCATCTTCACAGCCGTCATTGTCTACGCAGTACGGGAATCCTTGTTTCCCATCCGAAACATGCTTCGTGTGCTACTTTACTGATCTTGTCAAGGTTTTCCTTGTGTTCTGCGGTTTCCAGGGACTACTGCACGTCCGCGAGAACCGAAGAGGCACCATCGCCCTATAGACCGTTTATCTCGACCACCCTCTCTCACACAAAAACACATAGGCGCTGGCGTTGGATGGATTGTCTTTGGGCTGGGAATTTTGTCATTTTTTTTTCTCCATGATTCGTCTGTTTTACACTGCATCCCGCGATGGGGGGATTGGCAGGGCAGCAGGCAGCCGGACAGCGATGGCTTGGGCGGTGCCTTTGTTGGCTAGGGCCCGCGCTCCCGGAAAGAGCTACTTTAATTCAGGCGCCAGGGAAATGGCTGTGTGTATACAATTAACAAAGAGATGACTATATGGTGAGACCTAAATGTGATGCTTGCATCTCCTGCTCTTCCCTAACTGTGCCATTCCGCCGGGCTACATGTGCTGTCTTGTCTGGTCCGCAGCATCCGCTCAACGACGACCATGACCAGCTGCCAGTGTGGTTGATGAAGTCGTGAGGCTAATGCGCGCCACTTCCTTATTCGAAGCTACTTGTCTTTGCGGATGATCAAGTCCCCCTGTGATGCATTCTATCGCACATGTGGACTGACGAAGCAATCACTCCCAATGACTTGTCCCCCAAGCGCAGGCACGACGCCCGTGAGAAGAAAGCATGGGACAAGATATCGAATGTCGTCGGCGCCTAGCTGGTATTTCTGTCGCGCAAAGAATGAGCTGGGCTGCAGCCTACGAGGCGGACCACCGCGCGAGCCCAAGACGCTCCATGCTGTCTGTCTACTTGGCATAATCGACGCCAGCATGCCGCCGCTTCTGTACGGAGAGGGTGCCGCCAGCCAAGGCACTCAGGCGCCTTCAATACGAGGTGGTGAGTCGACTGACGACGACGAGCCGCTCCATGTATAGCGCTACTTGACTGACATGGGGCGTCGGTCTGAAGAGCAGAGCACGAATGCGAGCGCCGAGTGTGAACGGGTGCTGGATCAGGGGGCGAGGAGAGGGCTCATTGTTCTGGCTCATCATGTTGTGCTTCCAGGTAGTCGTGGTTGGTCTTTACATGGAGCGTTGGAGCGGGGGAGATGAGGATGGAGGCATCAAGGCGCGCAGAGACCTCGAGACAGCACAGCCACTGCATCCGGATTCCGGACGCGCCACAGACTCGCAGAGGCTTGCTGCACCTGGCACCACTCCACTGAACCGACCGACTGACAGCGCCCGAGTGGCCCAGCGGCCCACTGACACTGACGCTGACACTGACACTGGTGTCCACTGTTCCCCCGCCGCCTGGCCTGGCCCAAACCGGAGTTGACCAGTCAGCCTGGCGCTGGCTACCCAGCATTCATTCGCCTGCACCGTCGTCGTCTTGACCCTCGAATCTTGAATCTTGATTCTTGATGCATCGAGCCAAGCAACACTCGTCAACGTCAGCATCGAATCCAAGCTGGACTCTCTGCTCTCCATGTCTTCATAGATTCCTCTACGGTCTGGTGCCGAATCCAGCCGCAGAAACCGCCAAACTGCCTTGGTACCCTCCACCTTGCCTCCCCCAAGTCCGGCCTCGACGCTTCCCGACGCTTCCCGACTGAAGGCAACCATCACAGTCGTTCAACGCCGTGCATGTCGCCACTGGAGGAGCCCACGGGCCAAGAGGTTACTTGCCAGCCTGGCGGCAGAGACGCAGCACCTGTCAAGGAAAATGTAGAGTCGACGCAGCCCTCCGACTCCCCAACCCACTCTTTGGTTGACCCAGCCGGTGCTACGGACAAGCAAGACGACCTCGAGAACAAGGAGAAGCAGCAAGCGCACGCCTCTGCCTCGGGCGAAACGGGTACGGAACAGGATGCTGCCTCTGCCCAAGGTTTGTCCGAGTCTTCCAACACTGCCAAGGACACCAAACAACCTTCAGCACCCATCCTCCGGAAGCACATCCCAGCACCACTGGAGATCGTTGAACCGGACGCATCAGACGCCATGTCCTCTTCTGTGTCTACCATCAAGGCCCCGACTTCGTCGTCACACAAACTCGAAAATGATGCCCAATATCTTACGGCCGAGCAGTCGGTCTATGTCGATCCCACACCCGCAACCCCGACCACCTCACAGCCACCATCGCGGAGCCCGTCCACCACCACCGCAAGATTTTACCGATCTGACAACCCGTCACCCGCAAGGTCCGATGGGGCAGATGAAGAAAAGAGGTACACGAGCGAAGACGAACAGGATGGCGGCTCTCGCTCCGAGATCCAGAGTATCATGGAGCAGTTCAGCGAAGCAGGTGGAGGACCTGGGTTGGACGAAGTTATGAGCCCGCGGTTGGAATTTGCTTCTCCCATTCTCGCCGGCCCTTCTCAGCATCCGCCGCGGAAGTCGAGCCTAGAGCCCCTGTCGCAGACGATATCGAGCCCACTCCAAGAATTCACCGCCTTGCGGGTGTCCTCATCGTCTCCGTCTAGTGTACGGTCCAAGGAACGAGCCTTCGACGACGAAGCGCCTCCCGTCCCCCCCAAGGATGGTGCCTTTGGAACGCCTCCTAGAACACGGGAGAACAGACGGCCATCTAGCATCAGATCGCCAACCTCTCCCCAGCTGTCTATGCATCGGCCACCCCCACCTGAGCCGGAGCCGGAACCGGCGCTGCCCTTCGATTTTCACAGATTCTTGGAGCAACTGCGGAACAAGAAAGCCGATCCAGTCGCGAGGTATCTCAAGTCATTCTTGTCCGAGTTTGGGAAAAAGCAGTGGATGGTTCATGAACAAGTCAAGATCACGAGCGATTTCCTGGCCTTCATTGCTAATAAGATGATGCTGTGCGATGTTTGGAGGGATGTATCTGACGCTGAGTTCGACAATGCCCGTGAGGGGATGGAAAAGCTCGTCATGAATCGATTGTATGCGCAGACATTTTCCCCCGCGATTGCACCTCCGAAACCTATCCCTGGCGCCAAGCCAAGACGGCGAGGCGGCGATGTCCCTCTGGGGCCCGGCCGTCGTGGTCAACATCAGGAAGATGTCGAACGCGATGAGATACTTGCACAAAAGATTAACATCTACGGATGGGTGAAGTTGGAGCATCTGGACATTCCACCCGTAGGTGACAGTGGTCGCCGGTTTTTGAAACTAGCTCAGCAAGGTTGGCCCGTCCTCTCAAACTCGTCGCGTCTGGAAAAGTCGTTCTAACGTGTCTTCTTGTTTGCCTTTTTTTTTCCTTGGCCAGAACTCTTGAAGATCAAATCATATAGAGCTCCGCGAGACAAGATAATCTGTGTTCTCAACTGCTCCAAGGTGATATTTGGTAAGCTGCCTCGAGGAAAGTAATGATCATCTCGTCTTCCTCAGTTGCTAATCTCGGCAGGTCTGTTGAAACACAACAAGTCCGACTCATCAGCCGACTCATTCATGCCGCTTCTGATTTACGTTGTGCTGCAATCCAATCCGGAGCATTTGGTTTCCAATGTGCAGTACATACTGCGATTCAGAAATCAGGAGAAGCTCGGCGGCGAGGCTGGATACTACTTGTCATCTCTGGTACGTTTTCACACCAACACACATGCCATGCTTGCCCTCCACGTAGCTAACGCAAGTCCCCCCTCCCGCAGATGGGTGCTATCCAATTCATTGAGAATATGGATCGTTCGTCACTCACAATATCCGACGACGAGTTTGAAAGACACGTAGAGGCAGCTGTGTCAGCTATTGCCGAAAAACACCAAGCCACATCTCCCGTCATCCAGCAACAGACGACATTCCACGAAAAAACCGGCCTCCGCCGCAGCGGGTCAAGCGGTCGCCCCGTCGCGGACAGCAGCGCGGAGGGCTCGGCCCCCCGCCGCTCAACTTCCTCCTACGAGGGCGAAGCCCAAGATGGCGCAGCCATCAGCGGCCTCCTCCGAACCATCCAGAGACCTCTCAGCACCATCGGCCGCATCTTCTCCGACGAAAACGGCCCGTCGTCCTCCAACCCCGGGAGCGCGCCCCAGTCTCCAGGCCCGCCGGATCGTCACCCCTCCCGGTCCAACCACCGCGACGAGCAGGTCGCCTCGCAACGTCAGCAACACCAGTTGCTGCCCAAGCACGCGCTTTCCGCTGAAGAGGCGGCTGCGAGACAGGCGAGTGCTGAGGCGGCCGAAGCCCAGCGCCTGCACCGTGCCGAACACGCGAATGTCGTGGAGACACTGGCAGGCATGTTTCCCGATCTCGACAAGGAGATCATCAGCGACGTGGTTTACCAGAAGCAAGGGAGGTAAGGACTTTGATTCTCTTGACGTCCCGACGCCCTTCTTTCGATCTCGATTGAGCGCTGAGAGCTGAGCGCAAGTACTAACGTGGTGATGTGATAGGGTTGGCCTGGCGGTTGATGCATGTCTGGCGCTATCTTCATAGACATTTGGGGACCTGGGACTGCAGGCCATCTGATCATTACGGTTAATATATTTAATTGGGGGGACACATAATTCATTACATAGGCATTCTCAAGTCATTACTTTCTCATGTCCCGTCTGGCCGCACACGCGCAGCGCGGGACGCATATTAATCAAGTTCTCACAAAGCTACCGCGATCCCAAACCTGTACGCCATCTCAGCATCTGGATCAGAAGATCGGTTTTCCACGGAAAGTTCAAGATATCACGCGCGAGCTGTACCCGGTAATTGTAATCGCAATCTCCAGACACTTCCGAGAGGGGTCGCACTAGCTGCAGCACGGTGCACAACACCTTGGGGTTGTCGATGAGTTGCTTCTCGAGATGCACCAAGGAAAAGGGCGGTTGGGCAGGGGACGGTAGGGCCAAGCCGAGATTCTCGCAGATGCGTTTGAACATCTCCTCTTCGGAGCAATCTCTAAATCAGAGCGGGTATTCATCCAGCAAGCTCCTGACTCTGATGCCCCGCAAAGCTTCAGAGTTCGGATCCGCTGGGCGCTCTGCCGTTGTAGGACGAGGCAGGAGACGTGGCAGGCGTCGTTGTTGGCGGACAAGTCGGACGTCTTCGTCATGTGCGTCGTGGTCGAGTGCTTCGTGGTCGAGTGCTTCGTCGGAGGGATCCGGTACCATTACCGACGCCAACGGGGGCTCCTCGTGGTTTTCAGAATTCATGTTTCGTTACGGAGGCGGCGGTTGTGGTTGGTTTCGCACTTGCAGGACATCAGACCTGGAGGAATGGTGGGCACATTTGTCTTTCTTTTTAACTTCGTAACAACATGGCTAGGTCTCTGGAATCGACTGGAATACATGTACAAGGGGGACAGCGAGTTCGGGGCTCGTGGAGGTGGTGATGCGTGGTAGTTTGTCATGGCTGCGCGGCCTTGTTCACGACCGAGGAGCCGCGTTGAGAACGTAGCCCCGGTTGGGCTCATTTGGTGCATCGCCAACGTGCCGTTGGAAAGGGAACGTGGGTTGAAAAGAAAGACGGTTTGGTCGATGGCTGTGTGGTTGGTTATGGTCGTTCAAAGAAGAGGCTGAACTTGGGGCACCGATGACTTGCACGCAGCTTCAACGACCACGAACGAACGTATAAAATGAAACTTGGCGCAAACTTGGGTCCGCAGGCATAACCTTCGGTGCTGGAGCAGCATCTTTCCAGCGACGTAGACATGGAGAGAGTATCTGAGCTTGACTTTTTCGCATCCGCCGCCCGCATGGCCGCTGAATCCCACGCTCTGCGTCTCAAATGGCTGTCTTGGTTTCCTCGTAATGTCTTGTTCGGCCAGATGCTCCTGGGACGACTGTGCAATGTAATCGAACATGGTGCCCACGTTGTCCCGCCCAAGGTAAACATGGCCCTTTCCGGGTTCCTTGTCCAGCATTTCGACCCGAATGGCTCTTTTCCACGACTTGTTTTCATAACGATTCCCCGACGCGGGTGATTCAGGCGAGGAATGTCAACGACGAGTCTGGCCTTGGGGGCCGGAGATACGCAGCCCACTGCTGGACAACGCGGGCAGAGGTCGTCGAACAAGATGAACACATTGGAGCAAATAGTTGCATGATACGAGCCCTTGACAAGATGCTCGCAGGACCCAAGATCCATGGCATCGTACTAAGGACCAGTCGGCGGGACAGCGTATCATTAGTGATCTGCATTTTGCGACAGACGTCAAGCATTGCCTCGTTCCATGGCGGGTTCGAGGCCAGTGCTGCAGGCGAGGATAACACACGATGACCGGGTCGAATGTCGACAAGCTTCACAAATCGGGCGGTGCATTGCAGGTGCCATGAGTTGTCGTAGTATCCTGCGCGGGCTCGATATGACTCTTGGGCTGGCGCAAAATATGAGCACTACTCGGGAGTCACTGACGCTGGAGTCTGCTTTATCTTTGCAGCAGCGATGGAAACAGGGCCGAAAGTCCATACAAGACAGGCTGTGAACCTCCGGGGGTTTATAAATCACAAAGCATGAATCCGAGGACCAAGAGGTATTCAGGCCGTGCTTCGTCTGCCATCACTGAAAGTGCCAGTAACTCCTACGGCCACAGCAATAGAGTCGGTTTCGGATCGGTCCTGCACACGGCTACGCTTTGCCCATCGCCATGTAATGCCATGGCATGCGTGGATCATATCGTAGATACTTGAGCACAATCATTCCATTCCACTACAGCTGTTCGCCTCACAGAGTAACGGTCAGCGTAAGGAACGCGAACGTAACGAGTAGACAGGGCCGCGATACCCTTGCCTCTTGCCTGGCAACGTGTTTCAACACTTGGCAAAGCATGAGAAGCTTCGAGCTGGCACCCCGGTTGGAGAACCACACCAGTCGAAGGCTACATTTGCTGATTGGGCAAGTGAAGGCTGCAAATAGAACAACACCAAAATGATGACAGCTATTCTCGCCCCTCCCAAAATCCCCATGGGTTTGGTGGATCGTAATGTGCTTTATTTGCGCGTCTGGAAGAAACAATTGGTACTGGAGATGGCGAGAGAGGTCCGATGGAGGGCAGTGTTTGCGTTGGTTATGCGTCGGCTTCTCTCTTCGAAAAGAAAAAACAACAATGTTGTTGCCTGACATCTACCTCGGAGCCTCAAGGGAAGGTGAATCGCGTTAGGGAGGCCTTCGATCGCGGGCCACTCTCGGCGGCAGTACCCGCCGTATATGAGGTAGCTGGTTCCACACATGTACATGAGTAGGGATGACAGAACCGCTTGACGTGGTTGAGGTCCTTGGCGAGGACTGAACTGAAACGCTGATTGATGCCTTGAGCTATTATCGGACCTTCAAAGGGTTTGATCACCCTGGCATAGGCTGCTCGATTAAACACAGCGCCATTGGCTGGAATAAATGCCACTTGAACTTGTGTCGCCGACAACCCGTGGAGCGTTTGAAAAGGGTGTCGACAAAAATGGAATAAGAAAAAAAAGAATCAATACAAACAACCCTTCCTTGGCTGCGGCGGATGGGATCAAGAGTCAAGACCACGGCCGGAAAAGGCAACTGCCGGACACGAAAATATGGAACCGAACAGAAACGCGGCATCACTGAGAGAAGAGAGTGGTGACTCAGTCGGTCTCGGCGCCATCACTGTTGACTTGACTGGCTTTCGACCGGCGATTGAGAGTGACCCTGGATTTCTTGATGGGCTGTGACTGGGCTGCCCTACGATGGACGGGATGGTGGAGGACGGCCGCGCAACGGACAGATCTCAATTGTGATGCTGATTGGATGCAGTCGCGGCGCCAGTCTGGCGTGACAATAGATGCAACACATGTCGCAGGTGGTGCTTGGTGGCTCTCTAAACGCCACCATCTGCCGGAGAACCAGGGAGAGTTGGTGATCGACAGGTCAAATGGGCCAACCAACAAGGCTCAGGGCCAACGCTGTTATTGAAGCCATGTGGGCTGCTGCTGTACGGAGTATGTAGTTAGTAGTTATATATTATGCCGTACACCAAAGTCCTGGACAAAAGGTCGCGGGCTCTCGGGCACGTCGATGAGGGTCGGGTTGCAGCACTGTACCAAATGTCAACGTCAAAGCGCTTCTTTGCTGACAAACCGCTTCGTGGCTATGAGCAAAAGTATCAGAGGATATCGATCCGGTCTTTCAGCCTCCAGGGGCCGCAGCCAGCCAGTCTGTGGTGCAGTGCGTCGTTCCATCGATCGCGGAGTGGCTCGCTGCTATGACGTGCCCACATAGGACATTGATGGGAGTGTGTCAATTCGTCTTGCTCCATGTTTGTTTCCGCACCAGGATGGACAGAGTCAAAAAGCATCCATGCCAGCACCAACAGAAATGCACACTCAACGCGGGTTCAACAGCCGAGTCCTAGCTGCAGTTGGTAGTCACTGGTCAGGGGCTAATGGACTGGCAAGGCAAGGAGGACCACGCCATGAGGTGACTACTCCGTACCCTGAGAGTCGTATCAAGCCACGATATCGCGCTGCTCTTGGAAGACGAGGAGCACGAGGAGCTGTTGGGCGTTGGGCCCATCGATTTCGACAGCCGACTTTTGCGTGCTGCTCGCGAGGCATTGCGACAGGCTTACGGCGGCGGCAGCGCCGGGCCAGGCCACGGTGTCAAGGTCCGAGGCCAAACATGGAAGCAACTCGTCATCAACCCCAACAACCGTCCGTCTGAAGTCGTCAACCGCTCGCTCCCATCCTGCCGTTCTGCCGTCCGACGCACCCACGCATCGCGGGGGGGTTTTGCGAGGTGGAACTAGGACGTGGTATGCAGACGCAATGCTCGTCGTCATGTCATTCGGGACGGACGATTTTTCTGATGACGCAGCCGCTTCTTTGGTGTTCTTGCAGGTGTTCAAAGCCCTCAAGCCGGCCTGGCGACTTGCACCGGGGAGTCGGCACTCGCAGATGCCACAAACCTACTCCGTACCTTGGTAGTTGACTCGGCCTCCAGGAGTGCCAGGTGCTTGGACCTTGGGGCACTATCCGACGCGATAGATACGTCGAGGTCATGCCCTTGTTGAAGATCTGTGTGAGGATGCGGCTCTGCGCCAGCAAGTTCGTGAAATCCCACCCGCTGCATTTACCACCCCAAAGTACCTCCTTGTCATCCAGCCAATCACCCGCGACGTTGCCGACAGGGATTATCGTCCTCCGCGCAACCCACCCTGACATACCCATCAGCTTGCGGAAGCCACTAGTCTCGTTTAGGCCAGAACTCTAGGCAGCAGCGTCCCCGGGGCTGAGGACGACTGGCACTCGCCCGGTTGGCACCGTCCATTTCCCGCCTCGTCACCGAAAGGCACTCTTCTCGTCTCAACGTCCGTCGTCTCTCATCTCCTCTCGCCGCTCTTCATCCGTCTCGTCGTTCCTTGCCTAACGCCCACCATCATCTGGTGGCCATTATCGTGTTGTTTTCGTTCTTTGGCGGGTCCCTGCCCGTCTAGCCGCTCCGTACCTCCGTTACTGCCGACTCCTATTTCCGCCTTCACACATATATCCAATCCATTTTACGCCCTAGTCCTCGCCCGAACACCAACCTTTCCCAATCTACCTGGTTGCTCATAACAAGCATTCTCTCGGCTGTCGGCATTTCCCTCATTCATGCGACATCATTTGCTCGGGTAACAGTCATATGTGAGGGTCGTCCGCCAGGGACATCGTCCTGTGCTTCTGTTCCCCGTTCAACACCATCAGCCGGCACTCCTGGCCCAAGCCTCTCGGCCATTCACCCGTGTGTCCATTGCCGGAGTTCCCATATATAAATCGACTATCCACCGGCATCGACAAGTAGATTGGTGAGGGACAGCTACTGTTCTCTCCAATTTCTCAATATTCCATTGTCTCCTCTTTCCTCTACGTCGCCAGGACAGGCATTTGGCCTGTCGTGGCTCCAATTCGAACCTACGTCGGTCCGTCCCGTCATTTGGCGCAACAGGCTGTGACTCACACACCACCAACATTACCGTTCTTCTCCGCCAGCCTCACGTTGATTCAATTGCGGGACAGAAAGGTTACCTGTGTCATTGCCGAACCAACCCTAGAAAGGACACCTGTGGTATTATCATCAATTTACTCTACCTGCATTGGGCCTTGAACATGTCCTTCGCCAACCCTCGTCGAAGGACTGCGGCGAGGAGTCCTGGGAAGGACAAGGACAACGAGAGTGGCCTGGCACTTAAAACAACCATGACCCTCCGTAAGGGTGCCACCTTTCATTCTCCCACGTCTCCTGCTTCTTCAAATTTGGAAGACACCTTTAATCCGCCTCTACTCTCTCGGTCCCAGACTCGTCTTGATGACGTTATCGACGCCAACCGTCGACGCATTGCTCTCACTCTGAGCGACATCGACGAGGCTCTCTCCAGGACCGAGAACCTGTCTCTATCGCCTAAACCCGAGAAGAAGAACCTTCGTGACACCAGCCTTCCTGTTCCCCAAAGCTTCCTCAACCTTCCTGTCGTTGACTCAACCATGGCCCACCCCGAGCCTGAGCGTCCGGTCTTGCGCCCTCGCTCAGTGCGTCGATCAAAGCAGCGAATGTCGGACAGCGGCCTCGGTTCTTCTATCGCCACTACTATTGAGAAGTGCGAGGCTGCTCAAACTGCTCGAAAGAACGGCATCAATACACCGAAAACGGCAGTAGCCCTTACCGGCTCCGGTGGGTCTTCTACAAAAGGTTCTCTTCCTTCATTGAGCCAAAAAGCCTTCAACCGCATCCACGAGCACACCCTTCGTCCCCTTCTCGAGAAGCCAACCCTCAAAGATTTCAAGTCTATTGTGCTAGATATACCCGGGAGAATTCGATCCAAGGAGATTATTTGCCTTCGAGATCTTGAAAAGACTCTGTTTTTTATGGCACCAGTAAGTCGGCTTTTAACTGATGACGGCGTTTGGAGTTATACTCATCAGCGATTGCTTCTAAAGGGAACGGCCAAGTCCGCCACCTTGTACCTCGATTTCTGCCTTACCTCGATTCGATGCATTCAAGCAACTGTCGAATATCTTACGGATCGAGATCAAGTTCGACCTGGCGACCGCCCTTACACTAACGGCTACTTCATCGACCTGAAGGAACAAATCTACCAGTACGGCAGACAGCTTGCCGCCGCCAGAGAGAAAGGCAGCTCTGGCGACGCGGATGTGGACAAGTATGTACCGCGCTTCGTGCCGCTAGACCATCCCGCTAACAACTATCCAAGGGAGGATGAGATCAGGCTCTACGGTGGTATCGCCGAGAATGGCCGCCCCGCTGAACTCATTCGCGTGAGAAAGGACGGATCTGCCATCTCTATTGCTACTGGAAAACCTGTAGATCTCAGCGAAAACCCCGTCACTTTCAAGCGCTCGCTTTCTGAGCAGCGTGAGGACGAGGAGGAGATTATGCGCTCCATGGCTCGCAGGAAGAAGAACGCCACCGCTGAGGAGCTGGCGCCCAAGAAGTGCCGTGAGCCAGGTTGCAAAAAAGAGTTCAAGCGACCATGCGATCTGACCAAGCACGAGAAGACGCATTCTCGACCATGGAAATGCCCTATCCCAACTTGCAAGTATCACGAGTTTGGATGGCCCACTGAGAAGGAGATGGATCGCCACGTCAATGACAAGCACTCTGATGCGCCCGCCAAGTTTGAGTGCCTCTTCAAGCCTTGCCCATACAAGTCGAAGCGTGAATCGAACTGCAAGCAACACATGGAGAAGACTCACGGCTGGACCTACGTGCGAACCAAAACCAACGGCAGAAAGCATTCTGGCAAACCGGCCAGCTCTGCTCAACAGACTCCTCCTCTTGGTAATACGTCCACCCCGTCCAGCACTCCCACTTATAGCGTCCCAACTCCTCCACAGGATCAGGATGCCATGACTTTCCCCACCTACCAAGCAGACAGCGATTGGTTTGCCACGTACGGTATCCAGCCAGCGACACTGGATGGTATGGACTTGACACTGGAACACACGTCTCCGTCTTCTGCCACCTCTTATGAGCAGTACCCTCCTTACCAGAATGGGTCGACGTTCATCCTCAACGACGAGGATCTCTATGCTGCGCACGTGCAGCTTCCCGTGCAGTTGCAGGTGCCGGAGCAACTATACAACAAGATTATGCCTCAGCAGCCACCATCTTACAGGGATGTTCAACGACGTCCGCCTCCCCAGTTGCAGGTTCCGGCCCACTTCTCGCCCTCTGGACAAGAAAACGCGATGCTCTTCACTCCGAACTCACTTCGCGAAGTTGATGAGGGGTTTGATGAGGCATACATTGGAGACGGCTCGGATTTCCCGCTTTTCCCTGCTACTTCTGCTCACAAGGACAACAAGTTTCAACAGCCCTTGTTTGCTGAGGTTCCTAGCGCAGATGTTGGCTTCTCCCAGGCGTCCCAGGCAGATTTGTTTGACCAAGTGGACTGGACAAACTTGGACCTCTAATTTATCCGTGAGTGAATGACTGTGGACGATGAATAGACTGTGATGGGCTTCATAGCCATCACTCAAACACAGCAAGACTGTGCTTTCAACGGAAGACGCGAGTCAATTTTTTGCTTATGAATTTACGAAGATGGAATGAAACTGGGACAGCGAAGACGATTCGCTCTTGTTTTAAGGAGACATTTGTCGTACTGTTCGCCAAGTTGTGCTTGTTGAAGTTGCACTTCAATATGGTAGGATGAAGGTTCACAGGTTAACACTATACTGGAACGTCGCGGCCCATTTGGGTATTAATTTTGATGAAGATTGCAGGGGTGGATATTTAGCGAAACAGATTTCGCCTTTTCCAATTAATGGAGTATAGAAAGACTATCCACCTAGAAATACTCACGCCGTACTGTGTGCCTTGAGCGTGGTGAGAAGTCAGTTGCTGACTTAGTGTGAGTGTTCAGCAATATTCTTGCTAGATTGTGTCAACCAAGATCCTTAGGTTGAGAGCTACCCGGTACAAAACAAGAGGAATCTGTCTTGTTTCCTTGGGTTGAGCCATATTTCTGTACAATTATTCTATTGACACTGGTGGGGGGTTGGTGCGAATTGACAAAGGCTAGATGGGACCAGGACCAGGACCGTTTGGACTACTGAGCCAAGAAACGGCCGTACAGAGCCAGCGCCGCAGACTCCAGATCAACATGTAGGGAATTCCAGCTTGAACAAGGGTGCAGCCAGGTCAACGTTCCCTCTGCCGCCGGGGTATGCGAAGTAACAAGTCGACACGTGGCCGAAGGCAGACGAGAGCCTACGACGCCACTGGTAGCCCGTGTAAATCGGCCGGGCAGGGTACTCCGTACTGAACATGGTAACAGGCCAGCAGCAACACGAAATCGCTTAGCCGGAGACTTTAAGCCCAAGGGGCATGATGTTTATATATATATTTGAAAAAAAAAAAAAAGGCCAAGCAAGCGATTTGATGTGTAGGCAAGCTGCTTAGTGTTCGAGGGACAAAAAAATCTTCTCCGATACAGGGAATCGAACCCTGGGCTGCTCGGTTCGCCATGCGCGACATGAGAGCGAGCGATGTTAGCCACTACACCATATCGGACTTGGGCGATTGCACGACTGCCTTGCAGGCGCCATAGGTGGGATGCCGTGGGGTTTCCTATTACGCTATAAGGAGGATTCACGGCCAGGTCGCGAGGGAGACGAGTTCGCCGTCTGACCTGGTTGGGAACTCGGATCGATATTTCTCAGACTTCTAATGGCGTAGGCACCGTCAGTGCACCGCTTCTGGGCTCATACGTCTGTCTTCTTCCACTTCAGTGATGAGCGTGCGCTCGCGAATGCCCAATGGGTTCATCTTGCCATTGCCACCTTTGTGCTCCTGCCCGCCGCATCATTCTTCGCATCTGAATTCTAGACAGGGGCTTCTATTGCATGAGACTGGATTGTATATTGAACCTGTCGCCATTTGTGGCCTGAACAACGCAAGGCAAGGCAAGGCCGTGTACGGAATAGCTGATTGCCAGTGCAGCAGTTGTCCGCGGACTGCTCCGTACCTTTCTTTGTGTTTAACCAACGCTGGATGGATGGGGACTGCCACGGCTCGTGGCCCTCTGCACCAGCTCTAAGCGCCAGGAACGGGCTTGGGCTCGTTGAGGAATCCCTTGGCAGCAGCTTCTTGGATGCCGCGGAGCCAAATGGCAGCCATCTTGCTGTAGCCCGCGTCATTGGGGTGCGTGGCGTCGGCCATGTCGGGCGCCTGAGGAGCGTCGGCGGCGTGCATGTCCACCAGGACGATTCTCTTGCCCTGGGCCGCCCGGTCCTCGGCGACCTGCTCAATCTGCGCGTTTACCCTCCCGACGCGCGCTTCGACCGGGGGGGACAGGTTGACGAGGAGCGTGGACAGGATGACGGTGGAGCCGGGGGACGCCGTCCACAGATACTCGAGGAGGCGGTCGATTCGGCGTCCCGCGGCGTCGAGGTCCAGGTTGACGGCGCAGTCGTTGGTGCCGGCGTTGACGAGGAACACGTTGGGGAGGCGGCTGGGCACGGCGGCCTCGGCCTTGGACCGGACCTCGTGGATCAGGAAGCCGGGCCAGCCCTCGACGGCGTTGTCCTCCATGGACCCGTGCCTGCGGGACCCGACCATGCCGACGGCGTAGCCGTTGCTGGTGAGGAGGTCGTGCAGGTCGCCGCGGTAGCCGTTGCCGGTGGACGAGCCTTGGCCGTAGGTGATGGACGCGCCGAGGGGCATGAGGCGCAAGGCGACCTTGACCCTGGTGGCTTCTCCTCGGGGCATGGAGGCTGGTGGTGCTCGAGCCGGACTGGGCTTTTGGTCGGTGGTGGTGCGTGTTGCTGTTGTCGTGGCCCTGGGTGCTGCGAGAAGGGTCAAGTTGCAGATGCCGGTGGTGACGAGGGCCAGGCCCGCCACGGCCAACCGGCTCAGGCTCAGGCTCAGGCTTTGGACGGGCGGTGACATGTCGGCGTTGCGGTTGAATCCTCCTTGTTGCGCGCGCGTCTGGATGTGAATCTGGGCAGAGCCGGCGGCGGCCATTTAAGGTGTACGGACAACACCACGCACCGAATGTGGCGATGATGCCCTTTATTATCCGTGTGCATGGCAGGGATTGCGGGCCACGATTTACGGCCAGATAGGTACTACCAGCACTCCGATTGCGCATTTCTGATTTCAAATTCTCGGTTGAACATCAACGCTTTACGACGAGGCTCGACTTGGAACCGAGGGCAAGGGGGCGAGGCGACCTGCTTTCTGGCAATCCTTGGACCGTCTTGGCTCCGTTTCTGCGTTTCTGCCGGGATTCTCGGATGCTCTCGCTGCATTGGGGCGTACTGGGACATGTCGGCTTGGACTTGCTGGTCGATCTCGGTAACGGCTCGTCAGCTTCGGATGGATGGTAAGCGACCGCGTGGGCGGCGACGTGTTGTGGCAGTGAGCGGCCGGGCCGTGTGGTTGGACTGCTGGACCGTTGATTTGTTTCGACGAGTCGACCACGTTGATGTGACTAATAATGAAAACCGTACTGTCGATTTCGGAGTTGCAATGACAAGTGTGGTAAGGATTAAATTCTTGGCATGAGCGGTGGTGGGTAAGTAGTTGTATAGTCAACCTGCGAGACCAACTTTCGTGTACAGTAAACCAGGTCTATAACGATAACCTTCGTGAGCAATTTTGCATCGTTATAACCCGACTACAGGGATTATATCGCTAAGATGCGACTACCCTTTTAGGAAAGAGCCCCACATAGCCCCACTTTTGTTAGTAGATAAGGCTGATAAGGCCTGATAGGGCCTGATAAGGGATTTTAGGGGGGATAAGTTGGTGTGTAATTATAAACTTATATATATTAATAAGCAATATTTACAAGAAAAATCGCTATAGATAAGAAGTCACTTTTATATATATAACATATAGGAAAGGTACTTCACGCCTAGGCGTGTGTGCCGAATCGCTATAACAGGGGATCGTTATAAACCTGCTTTACTGTAGATGGACAGATTCTGGAGGTGTCACCTTTCCATGGGGTTTGTAAGCACCGGTGACCTCTGCGCCGTGTCCAAGGTGGGTCTCGGCTCCAAGTATCTACCAGGTACGGAGTACTTAAAAGAATCAACGTCGCGGCCACAGACCTTGGAGGAAAAAAGCATTTTCACGGCCACTTCGTGCTGCCACCACAGAGGGGAGCAGAAAAGTCCCACGGGCCGGGAGACAAGAGTCTCATCTTGAATCGGCGCTGGCTGGAACATGTGCGGCATCTATGCTGTCATTTACACAGCTGGACAATGTCCCATCCCGTCTGCCACCCTACAACGTCGCCTCCAGAATCGCGGCCCCGATCACCTGGGCACGGTCACGACCGGCCTGGGCGGAAATGACGCGATATCGTTGTCATTCACTTCGACGGTGCTTTCTTTGCGAGGGGATCATGTCACAAAACAGCCGCTCGTCGACGACACCACCGGCTCTGTGCTCTGCTGGAACGGAGAAGCATGGGAGCTCGACCGGCAGACAGTCCAAGGTAATGACAGTGAGGCTGTTCTGTCCTTGCTGAGCGTGGCGAGTCACCGTTCCTTGAAGGATGATGGAAGAGGCGTGCTTGACGCGCTTCGTGGAATCCGTGGCCCCTTTTCTTTCATTTATTTTGACAAGCCCGCGAAGCGTCTGTACTATGGGCGAGATCGTTTAGGACGGCGGTCCTTGCTGGTCCAGCCTGGAAGCCCGTTTCTTCTGGCGAGCATATCTGACTCTCTCAACTCTGGATGGAGTGAAGTTGAAGCAGATGGGATATACACCCTACAGTTCAGCCACGAGGCTGTTGCACTGGAGGACCTGGTTCACGCCAAGCACGACTGGGTCGAGAATACCTCGCTAGTGAGTCCATTCATGATGCAAAGCATACCACATCTCGGGATTTTGTCCTTGCCACTTACGCCACGACCCTGCAGGTATCAGGAATCGGCGCCTTCAACAGCTCGATTCCGCTCGAACCCTTCCACCTCACCTCGCAGTCTGGCGTCGTGGCCCAGCTCCGCCAGCTTCTCACCGAGTCCTTGCAGCTGCGAGTGCTCCAGGTACCCATACCGCCCAAGGCTTCATCCACGGATGCCAGAATAGCCGTCTTGTTCTCCGGGGGGCTGGATTGCACCGTCCTGGCTCGTCTCGCAAGTCATGTACTGCCGCCGGACCAGCCCATCGACCTGATCAATGTTGCCTTTGAGAATCCTAGACTTGCAGCCCAGAACAAGGGTGCCTCTCAAGATGAACTGTTCGCATCGTGTCCAGATCGAATCACCGCAAGAAAGTCGTTTGCTGAATTGCTCGCTGTTTGTCCCTCGCGCAAGTGGCGTTTGGTCGTCGTAGGTCCCCATCTGCGATTGCCCAGGTCAGCCTCTCAGCTCTTTCTCTTCCACTGACAATGTTTGCAGGTAAACGTACCATTCTCGCTAGCCACAGAACATCGCGCCGAAGTCATTGACCTCATGCATCCTCACAACACGGAAATGGACCTCTCCATCGCCTTTGCCCTCTACTTTGCCGCGAGGGGCTCCGGGCTTGGCCAGACCAGACTGGTTACACAGCCAGAGCCGTACGAGAGCACCGCTCGGGTGCTCATTTCTGGTCTGGGCGCAGACGAACTCTTTGGAGGCTACGTCCGGCACCAGAAAGCATTCAACCTCCGCGGTCACGCTGGACTCGTTGACGAGCTCAGACTCGATCTAAAACGTTTGGGCAAAAGAAATCTCGGACGGGACGACAGGGTGATGGCTACCTGGAAGCGAGAAGTGCGCTTTCCCTACCTCGATGAATCATTGGTAAAATGGGCTATGGAGCTCCCTGTCTCCCATAAATGCGGGTTTACAAACGACGGCGTGGACGACAGCTGCAATGGGACACCTGAGCCGGGAAAGCGGGTGCTGCGTTTGCTTGCCGAAGAGCTAGGCATGAACGTCGTGGCAAGGGAGAAGAAACGTGCCGTAAGTGAGCTTTCTCGACTTGTCCTTTGCAGAACATGGTGCGAAAATGATCAGTCTGCCCGTCCAAATTCCGTCGGGCCATCTTGGAGCAGTAAACAGGCTAACGCCGCGCACAGATTCAATTCGGTGCTAGAACAGCCAAGATGGAGAACGGCAAGGTCAAGGGGACCACTCTCATATGCCCATGATGCGGGATATATACTCGGCGCCTCCCGTCCTGTACCATGTACTCGGAATCTTTCTGCGTGAGGCAAGTACCACTGTCGGATTCTCAGACGGAAGCCCCTTCAGCTAGTTTCAGGGCGCTCTGTACTGCGGAGCATCTCGTACCAGTCTTAAGGTGACGAGACGGACCTGGTTAGTCGGCCGTGATGACGACCAACAGATACTTCTGAGCTATGTGTCGTTTCTTTTGGCGGGGCGGGTTCGTCTTTCCCATCCATGAACTCGGCTGTGTGTTTTGCCCAGAGCAAAACCCCCCTCTGTTCTGTGCTTGGGAAACGCGTCCTGTCCGCCTACGACAATGGCAATGACGTCGTAAAGGCAAGTCTGAGCCGCATGTGCACACTGTCTTGCTTGCACGTTTGTTTTCCCGCCAGCCTCGGCACGTGCATGATGGTGAATCAACGGTTCTGTCAGATGGCGAACGATGATACATCTTGATGAAAATTCGGCATCATCCGTGGATCAAGAGTCAAGACAGTACGTAGCTTGACGCGGTCCAAGGAGAGAGTACTACCCGGGTGCCGTGTCAAGCAGGGTCGAACACACGCAAACTCGTGGCGGCAGAAGTAGTTAGAGGAGAGAGCAGAAGACAACTGGGACCGAGTCGAGCCGCCCATCCTTGCGCCCGAGCCCGGGCGGGCGCCTTGGCTGTGCGACATTACTCGCGGGGAATTATCACAAATCGCAAAAGTATCCCGTATTCGGAAGTCGGGACACACGTACGGAGTACATGCATGCACGCATGCAGACGGACAGACAGACCAACAGACAGAAATGGTCGCCGAGTACCAAGAGCAGCGTCGTTATTGCACAGCGACAGCGAAAAGGGGCTTCTCTCATGGGCAGGGATGGCACGGCGCCCTGACCTGGCTGTAGCCTGTCAAGCTCGCTGGACAAGGTGCTCACTAGCAGTAGAATTACCGACCTGTATCATGTTGGGGAGAAGAGGAAAAAGGAAACAAGTAAAAGACCACAGGACATGAATGTGCGGACAACCACCACTCGCTTGTTGCAGATGTTGTAGCCAGCATGGACAACGGCCGCCGGGCACTCCTGAGTCCTTACTAGCTACCCAAGCAGGTAGCAAGCAGGAGTATGTAGTAAATTCCAGACATGGAATCGAAAGACATGGTTCGCTTCGGCACGTAGCCGTATTCTTCACGGCGCGTGTAATGGCGCCCGTTGGATGCCGACCAGTCGATTGACGTGTTGGAACCACGGTTTGCCTGCCGGCCATCTTGCATCGTGTGGTTTGCTCGTGTCCCTCGGATCAGGTCTCGCGGAGGCATTGTTCACATGCAAAAAAGAACAGAGGGCAGCACCGTCGCTCACGAACGACTCCGAATCACGTCGGGATGCTCTGGAAACGCTAGACCACGTTATCTGCACGTTCCATCAGGGACACCGCAACGGTGACTCAGCCTCGTTCGTCTCTGTCGCCGCTTGGCAAATTGCACCTGCATGTCCCAGCGTCGTCACATCATCCATCATACATGTCCGGCACGCCGGCAACGAGATGCCCTGAATCATTAATCATTTGGGCCAGAACCAGAACGGGCGCCGATGAGATGAGCAACGTTTCTTTTTTTTCTCTTTTCTTTCCATCCTTTTTTCCCTGGTTTTACTTTTTCTCTCTTCCCCCGGCCCGTCAACAACCAGTCTCCACTTGTCTTGTCCACCTTCAGTCGTGGCTGAGCTCGCGGCGGTCAACAACAGAACAGAGGCCGGGATGGGATGAAGATGGATCTGCAGAGTTCCTTGATCCATGCGGGCGCCCGTTCCCGCCTCTGGGGCATCATGAGGCTGCCGATCCCAGTTCGTTGGCGACATGCTGTGTACGGCGTACATGGCCGCCCTGTTCACGGGCTGCATACGGAGTAACTACTCGGTGCATACTCCGTACGCCTTGGTTGTTTGGCTGCCAAGAGGTTCCTCTAATTTGGTGCTGCCCAACGCATTGCCGTGAGACATCAGCAGAAAGTCGAGGCTGAGGCTGTTGCCGGCATTGAGATTAAGTTGCTTTCCTTCTTCACTCCAATTGACCGAGAGAGAAGACTCACAAGAGGAGGCACTCATCAGGCCTCAAGGGGAGAGGGGGAAACTTGCTTTTGCTGCTTGCAGACAGCGCGTGCCTTGACATTGTCTCCGACAGCGGCCCGTCCAAATTACACAAACTTCCGGTAGCCTTATGATGCATGGGTCGACAAAAACTTGCTAGTATGTACTCCGTACGGAGTAGTTGCATCATAGTGGTGGTAGAAGACTAGAAGTGATGTCTCAGCCGAGAATTGTAATGCGAGAGCTGTCTACTCCGTACGGCGTGCGGAGCACCGGGTACGGAGTATGACCAACATCGTGGTCAGCATCCGAGTACCTGCCATGTCTGCGCGCCAGTCCTTATGGCGCAACTTGTTGTTCTATCGTTGGTTTGCTGTGCAATGGGAATAATACCCAATGCTGCACGTAATTCCTAACTGGCGACGAGAAATTCCGAGGTGGCCTCAACGTCGTGATTCGCAAGCCGGCAATGTCTATGGACATGCCGCCAGGACAAGCGTCAAGTTGGTACAGACTCCTGGCCTAGCCTGGCGCCGGATGCTTCCACCGGCCAGAAAATGAGTTGCCATGGTCAGGGGGGGGTGTGATTTAGGCTCTCAGAATTCATCGTGAGAAAACAACCACCTTGGAGCTCGTCCCGGCAAATACAAGCACCTGTTTTGCCAAGGTTTCACACACAACTTGACAGGCCTCGAATACCAGACCAGACCAGACCAGAGCTTGGAACAATGAGTACTGGTGACTTCGGGAATTGCCGATGTAGCATAGCAGTCTCATGTAACCTGTTAATGCCCCTGACTCTGATCGTGGTCGTTTGTCTGATAATTGCTGCGGGTCCCCGTGCTTCCCGTGAAGACAACAACAACCTTGGCCGTGGTATTGTTCCGTCCCTTGTCGTCGACCACAGATCCAGTCGGATGGGAATCAATACATGGTACTCCGTAGGCGCTGTCCACGGGGCCTCCTATTAATATTTCTTCCGGCATATCATGGGTCTTTGTGGGGCTGTCAATCTCGAGGTTTGCTTCTTGTGCTGCGTCCGATATGCCATGATCCGTCTTGTGAAAGGGTGACGGCCAAGATCCACAGATAGCGGCCTGCCGACGACGGTGACCACCGGGTGGATGGTGCATAGTGGCTGAAATGCACAGTCTCCAGCTGAATGGGACCGGGGCCGTTGGCGAGTGCCTCTGTTGTGATGTGATGTGTCCTCCACGATGATTCTTGGTCGACGGGGGTGGCGGAACGGTCTGTGTCTGTGTAGGGACTCGTGTGCCGAGTAATCCTGGAAGCTGGGCCTTGTTGTAGACTTGTAGTGCTGCGTGCGCCAGGCTTCAGCCAACTTGGCACGGGGGACGAGTCCCAGACGACAATTCAGTAGTTATTTCGCGAGAAGCACCGTCAGAAAATGTTATATAAGTCGACGTGCGGTCCCACGACCTCCCGCCTCTCTCGGTACCTCAGCCTCGGTCTCCTCCTCAGCAACTCTCAAGCCCTCAAGCGCATCAGCTTTGTCATTCATTCGTTCCTAAACACTCAGTCGCTCTTTTCTAAGCCAATATGCGTTTCATTGTTGCTGTCGCCAGCCTTGCTGGTATCGCCTCCGCTACCGTCATCAATGCCGTTGCGGATGTTGCAGTTGACGCCCTTGTCGACGTCGACGCCGCAGCCCACCTCGGCGTCAAGCTTCTCGACGCCAAGAAGGCACACAGTGGTTACAAATGCCCTCACGCAATGAGCTACTGCCCGTGGACCAAGGCCTGCGCCTGCCCCCCTGGCCAGAAGCTCGACCTCGAGACCAAGACCTGTGTCGGTGACGTACTTCGAGGTGCTTGGCCCGAGCCTGATGTCAGTGTCTACGCCTCGGTCGGCGTCACGCTCGGCAAATTCTGTGCATTCTCTCCCACCAAAATCGTCAAGTACGACCCCAACCACGAGTATTGCCAGGCAAACCTCCACAACGTTGCCTTCTTGGCGGATATTGCTATTGCGGCAGAGATCGCTCACCTGGTCGAGATCGACGTCAATGCCAACATTAGTGCCGAGCTGAAGAACGTATGCGCCGCCCTGACTGGTCTTTACATCGAGGACGTGCTTGATGCCGTCGTCGCCTTCAACACCGACCTCCTTGGCCTCGCTGTTGTCGAGGCCGACATCAAGGCCAGCCTGGGTGTAGGTATTTTCAACCTGGTCAACAGCCTCACTTGCAGGCTCGGTTTGGGCGGCTGCAACTATGACTGCGTCGCTTACTGCACCAAAGGCTGCCCCAACTATGTCGACGTCGTTGGCGAGCTTGGTGGTCGTATCACCGGTCTCGTTGGCTTCTGCATTCTGCCAAAGGTCATCTTGGTCGTTAACAGCCTCAAGGTGGTCGTCAGCGTCGTTGTTGACGGTCTTCTGTGTCTTGTCGGTGGTGTTATCAGGACCGTCTTGTCTACGTTCAACTGCCACTGCAAATAGTTGTTCTAGGACATGTGACCGTAGCATCTGGACCAAGTGCCTGGTTGAGTACGGAGTGGTTGATAGAAGACGATCTAGCGTTTGTATCCGGTAATGTCTTGGCGTCGGTCATGCCTGCAACGATGTAAATAGTTAATTTCTTTTTAGAGGCGATGCAATAGTCTCTAGATTATAATATACCAGCCTGGCATCACCAAGACGTCCAACGGTGACAAAAAAATGAAGCGCGACTACGTCCTCCAGTATGTTTGACCATGTCCTACGTGTGTGAGCTGCCCAAAAAGCAATGGGGTATACAGATACGACTCAACTAGAGCTACAGCAGACATGTGACATAGCAGATCCACCACATTATGAAATACAAGCCTTCACGCACACGTTGACACAACCATCGGCTTTCCAAGATTGTCCAGCATAAAGTGGCTAAACGATTCGTCATCATTGTCGTCAGTTAGGAAAGCCCGGTCTTTGGTTTCTGGAGGGAGTTTGGAGTACAAGCCTTGCCCAGCTCTGGGCCAGGTAGGCGGTAGCGCGTCTCCCTCGACGTCCTCATCTTCTGGTGTGTCGACCTCATGTTGTGCCATTATGAGACGCTTCAGCGCTTTCTTTGCGTTTTTCTGCCTCTGTCGTGATTTTGGATTAAGTACAGCATGGCCATGTCTACGTCTTCCAGCTGGACGAGCACCACGAGCTGCCGCAGCAATCTGGACGTCTAGAGAACGGGGGATAGACCTCTCCCAGTCCGGAGAATCGAAAATCGGCAAGTCTGGATGCTTTCTCGACACAGACACCAGGATATCAGCAAGAAGCTGGGGTTTAATCTGATCACAGAATGAAAGAATATCCAGTAAATCCGTTCTTTCCTTCCTCAGGAAATATTGTGTGCGCTCCAAGTGTCACTTGTTAGTTCAATGGGGGCTGTGATGCAGTGCGTTGACGGAACTCACGGCTACATCGGAGGACTGTCCAGCATAAAATCCCACCAAGTCTGATTTTGCAGGAGAAATTCCATCGCTAAAAGCTGAAAGTGCGTTCTCCCTTATATCGTCAACTGCGGTTTGACCTGGAAAGCCTATTGTCGATGGGAGACTTTCCAATGCAGTCTTTGATGTGCTGCGCTCTGCAGTTGAGAACAGCCGAGGAGATGCAAATATTTTGGAGTTGGAGTTGCTGAGCATCGATTTTGGGCATGCTATTGTACTTTGTGTAAAGTCCGGGGGGTCAGAATCGGGGTCGTGCTTGCGTTTTAAGCTGAACGAGACGGAGGCTATCTGTTCCTGCTGCGTCATCGAGGCAAGAGGTGAGGACAGAGCTGAGCTATTAGGCAACGACATTGTCCATGAATCCGCGGGCTTCACTTTCCCCTTGTTGCAGCCAAGCTCATTGGGCATATGTGATGAGCTCCCTTTGGTCGGCCCCAGGTTGTCACTGTTGTCTCGAATCCGGCTTAGAATGAACGCAGCTGCCGAGGTGAACTGCGGCATGTAATTACTGCCAACGACCTGATGCCCTACAACTTGGCTTGAAGTCGCTTCTGTGACGTTGGTCTCAGTCGATGGAGGAATTGAAGGCGTGCGGTCGGAATCTATAACCTTGACAGCGATGCATCCTTCCCCCAGCGGCGTCTCTGGTGGTGATGTCATGGTCCACTGGATGGCTGGAAACTCGTTGAGGTATGAATGTTCATGGACGCTACGTGGTGATGCTCGATAAGAGTTGAGATTGGCTGGGCGAGACTTGCTGAATCCTGATAGATCCATGGGCGGATGGGTGTCACGTGATGCCACCACATGGACCTACACTGTGACCTCTTGTCAACAAGGTGCGACGATACATGGAATTAATGGATCTACAGCTATTGTCTAATGTTCTCCCAAAAAGGGCAAAAAAATCTTTCAACGTATGGCGCCTCGTTCTTTCAGGGCCGAAATGTCAGACTTGGTCATGCCAAGATGCTCGCGGAGAATTTCGTCGGTGTGCTGGCCAAGCATGGGCGGCACGGAGCGGATAGAAGGCTGGGTTTCAGAGAATTTGAAGGGCGTGTTGACCATTTTGATTGGACCACAAACTTCATGTTCCATTTCGACAACCATGTTACGCGCCTTTGTGTGGGCATGGTTCAGCGTGGTTTGCACGTCGTTCACGGCCGCGTAGGGCATACCACTGCCTTCAAACACCTGCAGCCACTCCTGGGTGGTTCGCTGCCGTGAGATGTTTTCAATCTCAGCCTCCAACTGCTGGCGGTTTGCGACTCTGTCAGCGTTCGTCTTGAATTTTGCATCACCCTTCCACTCAGGTTTACCAAGACCGTCGCATAGGACTCCAAACAAGCGATCATTCCCGCCGCCAAAGAGGATGTCTCCGTCCTTGGTCTTGAATGATCTGTAAGGAACAATGGAAGCTGGAGAGCGTCAGCTTCCCGACAAGTCATTCGTGAATCGGGGGAACGACTCACGATGTGCTGTGCCCCATCTGCCCGCGTCTTTCTTCCCGCTGACGAGGCAGCTGCTGGCAATATTCGCCAGGGTTGCTGTCTGGCAGTCGCTCAGGGCTACATCGATATATTGGCCCTTGCCCGTCTTGGCCCTGCCCAACAGTGCTGCCATGATGCTGTTGCTGGTGTAGAGGCCGGTGGTAAGATCGGTAACGGCCACGCCAACCTTGACAGGAGGACCGTCTCGCTGGCCGGTGATGTGCATTAGGCCAAACTCGGCCTCGACCATGACATCATAGCCGGCGCGGTTGGCATATGGGCCGGTTTGCCCGTAGCCGGTGATGGAGGCGTAGATGAGACCAGGGTTGATCCTGCGCACGGTGTCATAGTCCATCGAGTACTTCTTTAATGTGCCGGGGAGATAATTCTCAACGAGGATGTCGCATTTGGCAACAAGCTTGTGCAAAATGTCTACCCCATCAGCATGCTGAAAAGAGAGAGCCAGTGACTTTTTGTTTCGGTTGGCCTATGACAAAGAGATGTTGTTCAGCGGGATCGGAGGCTGTCGATTCCCTATCGGCCACGGACGGGTGCAGTGAACCTACTCCGAGAAAGTATGCAGCCTCTCCAGGGCCGTCGACTTGTGCCTCGGGCTTGTATGCGGCATAGGGTGGCCCCCATGCTCGTGTGTCATCTCCTCTCACAGGATGCTCGATTTTGATGACCTCGGCACTGCATTGTGAAGGGGGGCGGGGGGGAAGTGAACGAGGTCAGCAAGTCGACATCCACATATGCACCGAAGCCATCGTGAAGCATGTTCAACTCACCCAAGATCACCCAGAATTTGGGTGCAATAGGGCTGTATTTGGCCACGTCAGCAAAAGTGCACCCTGCTACCTGCCATGGCGGCGTCACTGGCGCCTGGTGTGTTGTGGCGGTCAAGAATCGAAGGCACTCACACCGGCCAAGACTCGTGTCATGTCCAACACTCGATAGCCTTGTAGAGGCAGAGGCAGAGGCAGCGGGGGCTCTGGCGCAGTCGAATGCCGACGGAAGCCATTGGCACGATACGAGGACCGCATCGGCGACAGCGGCCGAATACACCTGGAAATGGCCGACATTGCCAATACGCGTGCCGTCGACAGCGTCGCTGGAGCGCGTGTTGGTCGGAGCGAGGGTGAGGGTGATGAGAAGGAGTGTGGGCGGGAGCGAGCAGTCGGCCCGTCGTGTGTCTGTATTATGCCAGTCGGTTCGGTGATGAACAGGGCGGAATCGGGGCGGGGCGGGGGGGCCCTTCACAGAGCAGCCAGCACCAGCGGGGGACGACAGCGGGGCGCTCGGGGCGGTTCCGCCTGGGGGCGGTTGCATCTTGGGCGGATGGGCGGCTAGCTTTGGCGGGTTGGCGGCGTTCAGTGATGACTGGGGCGGGCCCGGGCCGCGGATTGACATGTCAACAACGTCCAAGGCCGCTCCAAGGAAGGACCAATCGCCACCGCCCGCAAAGGTTGACAATTTCGACCAACATCAATTGCTTCATCGGCTTTGCCCAACTTGAACGCACGTATTTCTGTTGACTCGCGCCTTGTTTTGGTCCAACAAGGCGCAGTGACCAGAAAACGCTCTTGCTTTACCCCTACATTGGCCAATGCGTCGACAACACGAGAGCGGCGCAGGCGCAGTCTTCATCCGGTTTGGAGTTCTGGACAGCACAGCCGCCAACGCCTCATTGACACCGTATTGTTGATCTGCGCGTTGGGCATTCAATGTCCACAGCATCAAACTATTATTAGATGCTCGATCCATGTCGCCGTGGATATCGTAACAACTTGGAACACGAACAGCGTCTACAGCACAGGCTGTCCGTCAACTGCCAAATGCCAAATGCCAAATTCCAACTGCCAGACAGTGACAGAATCTGTCACTAGCATTTGTCACTCGAGAGATAATACCAGGAGAGGAGCAAGGGGGAAAACAGCGGCCATGTCTAGCCTGCTTGCACCCCCCTCCTCCGTGTTTGATCACGCGCAACCCGCCAATTATTGAAGCCAAAGTGCGGCACACTAGTTGATTGATTGGTGCCAGAATGACGGCACTCAAAAGTGACAAGGTCCACGGCTCCTCGTATTTCTTTGACGTTCCTCCCGGTCTCCGAGTCGAGACCCGGAGCCAGTCTTCACCACCTCATGTGGTGACCGCCTGGAAAAACATCGCCATGGCGCACTTGTCGAAACGACCATTACCCGACGATCAGCCTCCAGAATTTGGAATATGGGTCGTCGTGGCCATAATAGCCGCCATTGTCGTCGTTTCTGGCGTTGCTGCTGCCCTCGTCATCCTTGTCTTGAAGTACAGGCAACCACAGTCCTACAGCCAACTCCACCACATCGACTCTCAGCCGTCGAGTGCAAAGCTACCAAAGATTGCACATGATATGACTCCAAGGAATGTTTTGTACTCCGTGCATGAGGACCAGAGGAGGTGCATGATCCGAAAGTCGCTGGCTGACCGGAGGGTCGAGCCTTTGACTTGCCTTCACGAAGAAGGCCGCCGAGTCAGGCCAAGCAGTCGTTCAGGAAACCAGAGCTGTCAAAGCCATGAAGCGGGCTCTTTAGTAAAAGACTGGAAGGAGTTTGAGGCGGCACTGCGGATGGACAAGTCAAGATCGCCGATGTGCCATCCCAGCGTCATGCTGTCGACACACCCGCCGCCTGCACGAAGAGCTGCCGAACCATTCGCTCCGTGACACTGAAGAGGCAATTGTCGACGGGGAAGGAAATACCGATCATACCGATGGGTGCCAAGGGTGCAGCGCGGAGCTGCAGATGCCAGTTGAGTGGCCAGGACAGAGATGGCCGTTAGTAGAAACGGTACAAAATGGGAGAAGTCCATGGGCGGCTGGAGGAAGCTGTGTGAGGAGACATGCTGAATGGGATGTGGTTATGAATCGTGTGGCGTAAGTATCCTGTATCCACGAGCTACTGACACAAAAGCCAAGCTCAACCCCATGATGCAGGATAGTATATAATCCCAAGGCTATTTATTCTTGTCTCCAAGTAGATCTAGTTCATGTGCGCAACGTCAAATTGAACATTTGGACCGTCCTAGCCACAAGACTATGGTCAGTGCCAGACTCCGAATCCGATCAATCATGAACCAATCTCGTTGGTAATGTTGACAAACGCTTGCCACTGCTTCCAAGACTCGCCGCTCTTGATAGCCCACTTGGCTCTTCTGAATCCCTCCTTCCAACGCTGACCAGCGTGGCCACGCTCCAAGATGACCTTGCCGTCGTCGCCGTGTCCCATATCACTGGTGTCGGCCTCACAAATGCCTGCCACCACGAAAAGCGCCGCCGTGTTGATGGCGATGAAGTCGATTAGCGGATCTTGGTCGGGGAACTCTCCGCATAGAATTTGTCGCAAGATTTCGGCATTCTCAGCCGCTTCTTTGCCCGGCGATACTTCGCTGAGGGGATGACGCGTGGCACCAAAGTCCTCCGGAGTAATGGTAAAGTGCTCAATTTCGATCTCACTGCCGGGAGACTTCTCCCGGATCATCCAGCAAAGGGTCGCGCCGGCGCAACTAATCTCGTCTAGCTCCTCCTCTCCGCAGACAACCAGGGCCTTGCGGCAACCTGCAGTTTTCAGCGCCTCAGCAAAGGCAGGACCAAGGTCCCGTCTTCCGACACCAATTACACGTGCCTCCAGGACATCCTCCACGGGGTTTGCTAGCGGGCCCAAGTTGTTGAAGATGGTTCTGAATGGCAGCTGTTTCCGAATGGGCGCAACGTAGCGCATGCCGGTATGAAAAACGGGTGCAAATAGGAAGCTGTAGTTGGTCGACGAATAGACCCTGAGTAGGGAGTCGGGCTTGACAGCGTTCAGGATCGGCGCCCTGGGTTTCATGCTGTTGATCATGTCGGCACTGCCTGACTTGGAGGTGCTGGCTCTGTTCCCGTGCTTGGATACCATGAGAAGCGAAGAGGCCAGGATGGATGCCGTCGTGCTGACGTTGAAGGTGTTGTGAGAGTCGCCTCCCGTGCCAACAATGTCGCACTACATGTCAGGTATCAATCAACGGCTTGCTCTCGTATGGACTGTCAAATTGTGAATCGCAAGAGACGTACCAAGCCGCCATTATAAGCGCCTTCCTTCCTGCCTCTTCTCGCAAGGACCTGTTTGAGCTCCTTCGCCGGAATGTCCTCGGCAGCCTTCAGCATGACGCCCGCCGTCTTTTGCAAAACATCTGCTCGGAAATCCAACTTGGTGAAGTGAAGGGCCATCAACAGGGCAGCGGTCTGCGCCTCGGTCACCTGATTTGTGAAGAAGTGAGAGATGGCCTCGGCAATTTCATCGGCCGTCACCTCCGTCTTGACGGGCCAGAGTTTGGTCAACAGAGGCTTCAGGTCGACCGGCGGCAAGCCCGACTGGTGGCAGCGGCAAGAGCCGGAGGGCGTGGGCGTGGAGGATGCCATTGTCGGGCAGTGACTGGACAAGATCGCTGCAGGGTCACCGGGAGATGCTGGCAATCCGGACTTATATGTTATCAAGTACGGAGCACGGAGCACGGAGTAGTCTGGCTGCCAGCAAGATGACCGACTGCGCTCAATGTGAGTCGACTCATATCATGGCTGCATCGTCGACTCCATCGGGCGTGCAGCGACAGAATTTCAGTGGAGAATGCTGCCGTGAGGGGTGCCATTATTGGCCGACCTCGGATCCACGCACCAATGGGAGGTACCGCCTGCCTGAGGTAGGTCCCTATGCACCTAGGTAGGTACATAAGTAGGAGGGTTCAATGCGACTTCCTCGGCCAGAGAAGAAAAAGAGGTCGCCTACTCCGTAGCGTTTTTGAAGTTCGCGCACATAGGCGTGGCGCGATAATGGTTTCCATAATTACGGTCTTGACGCAAATAAAGACGAAGTTGCTAATATTGATTCTGCAGGTTTCTGCTTCTGGTTGCTGTGTGTTGCTCTTTTATTACTAATGCTGTCGAGTGTTGACAACTTGGATAAATAAACCTCGACTTAGAAAGCGCCGGGAGTGAGCCACTTCTGCTAGGCGGCAGGTCATGTGACTTGGACCGACAATGTGCAATTTTACCACTCGTGCAGTCATGCCCACGGCTGCCCTTCACTTCCCCTCGGTCAAGGGAGATTCTGTAGCTGCAGAAAAGTCCTCGGGCGGCCAAGCGACTCCGTAAAGTGTCAACTGGTTCGACGAAGTGAGCAGCGCAGCGCAGCGCAGCGGTCCGTCGCAGCGGTCGCACCGCCGCCAATCCAGACGAAGCCAGAATGTTTCCTCCAGGAGGAGATGCGAATGGTGGAGGCTACCAAGAGGACCTGAACAACATCCTCTGTTGTCCAGACTGCAAAGAGATCCCGCCCAACCTGGTGGAGGAGTTCTCCAGCGGTGACATGGTGTGTCAAAGCTGCGGCGTCGTCGTCGGCACCCGCATCATCGACACACGCTCGGAATGGCGTACTTTTGCCAACGACGATCATGGTGGCGATGACCCCAGCCGTGTCGGCGGTCCTCAGGATGAGTTTGTGGAAGGCGAACAACTTGCTACGACTGTCGCCTTCTCCGAATCAAAGGCACACAAGGCTCTCTCGCGTACACAGAACAACGCCAACCAGGACAAGGCGCAGAAGGGCTTGATGCAAGCCTACAAAGAGATCGTGTCGCTATGTGAGGCCATCAACATGGGCCAGAACGTCTCCAACGCTGCCAAGCACATTTTCAAGCTTGTCGACAAGCACAAGTTCATGAAGGGCAAGCCCCAGGAAGCTGTCATTGCCGGATGCATCTTCATTGCCTGTCGGCAGAACAATGTGCCGCGAACATTCCGTGAAATCTTCAACCTTACCAGTGTCAGCAAGAAGGAAGTTGGCCGCGTCTTCAAGCAACTACAAAAGTTCCTTCAAAAGTTGCAGGATACCGAGGGTGAGGGCGCAACAGGCTTGAACACTGTGACCAATTACGAGAACACCTCTGTTGGTGCGGAAGACCTCTGCAGCCGATACGTCTCGCAACTCGGCTTCAAGAACCAACAAAAGATTTCCAAGATTTCTCGGGATTTGGCCGAAAAGGCAAACGACATTTCCGCACTTGCCGGGCGATCTCCCCTCTCTGTCGCTGCCGCTTGTATCTACCTGGCTTGTCATCTTGTGGGCGAACCTCGCTCCTCGCTTCCTATTGCGAAGCAAGCGGGTGTAAGTGACGGCACTGTCAAGACAGCCTACAAGCATCTTTTCGCTGCACGCGAGCAGCTCGTCAAAAAGGAATGGCTCGAGGATGGTGGCAGCATGGATAACATCCCTCAGGTGCAGGCATAGAGGGACATCAGAGGCGTTCTGGTTTAAAGCCGCATGGGATACCGCATGAATGCTCGTGACCTTTTCGTCGGACCTATTTTCCCCCGCCCTTTGTCTCTCTCTCTCCGTCTCTTTTTTTTCCCCTCTCCCCCTTGCTCTCTTCCTCTCTCTCCCTCTCCGTCTCCCCGTCTCTCCATCTATCCGTCTTTGTATGTGTGTGTTCTCGCGGAAGTTCGTTGGCTGATTCGCGAACTTGAAATTCGCAAGTAGTTTTAAATCATTGTTTGTTTCGCTTTTATTCTAGACGAGCAGCAGCGCAATTTGGCCATGGCGTTACAACGGGGAATATGATTTGTTTTTACCATCTGGCACAAATGGCACCATCGGGCAAATGGTTTAGGTACTTACACTGGACGGAAGCATTAGAAGAGCCTAGATTGGGATATCAGAAATAGCTCTGAGCGAATAATAAAAGCTTGATACCACGCCTTCTGCGTTTTTCTTTGTCAGCATTTTTGTGAGTGGTGATGAATCGACGACTATTCTCGGGATGCACTGGAGATACCCATCAACCAGCCTACGCTGCCTTTTCTGATTTACCAAAACACCCTTCATCTCATGGCACTCGCTCTAGACCGCACTAATAGCCTGTTGTTCTTCCCGCTCTCACCACAAAGCGAATCAATTGTCCACACTACGGGTTGTCCCGCAGGTGCCGCATCTCGAAATTTTCTCTATAAGCACAATAGTAGAGATATGTCATCATACATGATAGCCCCGCGTCTTGTTAATTTCGTCTTCAAGTAGATTCGTGACATGTTTTGAATTCCATTTGAGCAAAGAATTGACAGGGCTGTCCAGCGCTGTGGTGAAGGAAAGGTTTCATGAGTAAGTCAGTCTATTCATAAGAGGACCAGCAAGTACTCCGCGCCCACAAAGCCCACAGAGCTACCTGGAGGGACGCCCATCGACATTGTGCCATCTAGTGAATAGGAGATCTGCCTTCCTTACAGGCTGATTGCTGGCCTAGGGGCTAGCGTCCACGCGTCCTTGCCACTCACTTCGCAATCAACATTAAAAGCTGAGCCAGCATCGATGTTCCGGCGCAAACGCCACTGGTCCCCCCCACGTGGCTTGAAAGCCACTTGCTAAATGGAACATTTGAAGTTCTTGATTGTTCCCCAATTAGACCTGGCGCAGTCGGTCCTGGGGCTGGTACGCTTGCGGATTGGCGCATATTGTCCGCTGGCGGAATGCATCTGTGTCGAGGGCGGGCAGGCCGAGCTGCTGCGAACTGTCCAACCAGCAGGCGGCGACGGCTGCATGTTGTGAAGGGTTGCTCCCCGATCCAGATCTGCTCGAGTCAACAATGTGGGTTTTTGTTGACGGCAGGCGCACGGAGTACTCCGTAGCGCAACAGCGGTTATGGGTTATGGGGTCTACACTCGCGGGTGTAACCATCACCCGAACCGATGTTCGCTCCTCCAAAACTGTAGCTGTTGCACGTTGGCTGTCGATCAGTCATGGGGTGGTAAAAGCGAGGCGGCGTGCGAATGGAGATGAGTCCGTGAGCAAGCCATGTAAAGGAATACCCGACCATGTCCTTCCCTCATCGAGACGGTTTTTTTTAGGGCAAAAAAAAAAAAAAACTTTCTGGATATTGCGAGACCATTGGTCACTCGCCGTCTTCGTCGTTCGTTGGTCCGTCAGAAATAGAGTCGAGCCACAACGTAGCACTGTGTTGCACTGCCCGCTCAATTTGGGCGATTCAACGGTTCCATCGCTACATCCAAGACCTTCCTTGTCTTGTCTTGAACAGAGTGGCTAGCTGCGACCTGGAAGATGCCCTCAACCCCTGTGCTATAACTAGCACCAATACTAGTCTCTCGGATCCCTTCATTCGTTGCTCCATCTTCCGACAACACGAGGTGCCGTCGTGGTTTCATTTGCATGTGGGTATTTTCTGGCCGGACAACCGGGGCACGACGAATGCGTCGAGCAGTGCGGCAACATCGCCAGGTCAGGATATCTGTCTTAGCCTCTTCGTTCTTTAAGCTTCAATCTTGTGTCAGAGTCCTCTGTCTTTTATTCTTGAGACCCTGGAAATTGGGCAGTCGGAAGAGCTGGCTCACCTCGATTCGCTCCCAGTCGCATTATGGCCAAGGGTGAGTGCCGCACGACAGAAGAGCGCCCGGTCCAGAATGCCCACGAACCCATCGTGCGTCGACGTAAAGCACTGGCGACTTCAGTTCCATCGGTACGGCAGCTCGAGAGAAATTTCCGTGAAGTGGCCAGCAAATTCTACCAGTCGACCGTGGTTGAGTTGATCCTTCGGCGCAAGCACTTGACTGCGTCCAAAGACGGAAGGCACATCCCACTTTCCATTGAGCACCGCGAGCCTTTGGTCGACACCAGGCGAGGCCACTCGTACATCTCCAACAATGTTCGGACATGCAGATACACGGTCTGGGATTTCATCCCGAAACAGCTGTTCTTTCAATTCACCCGTGTAGGAAACTTTTACTTCCTGTGTGTTGGCGTGCCGCAAATGGTGAGGATCCCCTCCATCAATGTCTTCCGCTGCTCGTCGCCGCAGTCTCAACCTTTGTCCCGCTGACTTTGTCTTGATCATAGATCCCCGGCTTGTCGACAACTGGGTCGTATACAACAATTTTGCCCTTGCTCTTCTTCATTCTCTTGTCCATAGCCAAGGAAGGATACGATGACTTTAGGAGACATCGACTGGACAAGGTGGAAAATGCCAACTTTGCGACGGTCCTCGGCAGAGAAGACTACTGCACGGCAAAACCCAAACCTCTGCGTCTGCTCAACCGTCTGAACCCTTTTCACATTGAAACCACAGCTAAATGTCGCCCTGTGGCCGATGAGGAGTTTGAGGGTATTCGCTGGGTCTCGACCAGGTGGAGCAACATCAAGGTCGGAGATGTTGTGAGACTGTCTCGCGATGACCCTATCCCTGCCGACCTGGTATTGCTCCATAGCGACGGAGAAAACGGCCTTACATATGTCGACACGATGGCGCTCGATGGCGAAACAAATCTCAAAACCAAGCAGGTTTGCCATGCTCTTGAGGGTTGCAGTACCATTCAAGGCATCGCAAACACCAAAGCTGAGTTTGTTGTTGAGGACCCGAATCCCGAATTGTTTAATTTTGACGGCAGAGTCACGATGAACGGGAAAGCCGTACCGTTGACTTTGAACGATGTCATTTACAGAGGCAGCGTCATGAGAAATACGACATCGGCTACAGGCATTGTCATCAACACAGGTGAGGAATGCAAAGTCCGCATGAACTCAAATCAGCATCCCAGAGCAAAAAAACCGGCACTTGAGAAGGTAGTCAACATGGTTGTCATAACTCTTGCTGCTTATGTTGTCATTCTCTCCGTCGGCGTATCAATGGGCTATGTCAAATGGAAAGGCGACTATGAGCAGCTTGCCTGGTATTTGGATAGGGCCACGGTACCCTTTTACCAAATCATTATTGCGTTCATCATCATGTTCAACAACGTTATTCCTCTAGCTCTCTATATTAGCTTGGAGATTGTCAAGATTGGTCAACTGTTGCTCCTGAATTCCGACATCGAAATGTACCACGACGAGTCTGATACCCCGGCTCGGTGCAACACCAACACTATCTTGGAGAATCTAGGCCAAGTTGGCTACATATTTTCTGACAAAACTGGTACCTTGACCGACAACATAATGAAATTCCGAAAATTGAGTGTTGCAGGGACAGTTTGGCTGCACGAAATGGACCTGGAAGAAACCGATGGTTATGATCCTATTCAGAAACCCACGGTACACTCCTTCGCCCGGAGACCTCTGATTCAAAAACCCGACAAAGTTTCCCCCACAATTCACGAAGACCAAATCAGCGCCCTGGAAAAGCCAATGTCTCCGTCAAGGGCATCTTTTGCTGGCCGACGATCGTCCTCGCAGTGGCGTTCAACTGGTCGCCCAGACCACATCCAACCAGACGTCAACACATCTGATCTCGTTGACTATCTCAGAGTCCGACCGAATTCTGCGTTTTCCAGGAAAGCTAGAGAATATCTTCTAGCGATTGCCTTGTGTCACACTTGCTTGCCTGAAGTAAAAGACGGCAAAATGGACTTCCAAGCATCTTCGCCGGACGAATTGGCTCTAGTTCGAGCCGCCTACGAGCTGGGGTATCGAATTACGCGCCGCACGGCCAAATCGATCACCTTGCAAGTCCCCCAGCCAAACGGAGGCACCGAGAAGATGGAATTTGAGATCCTAGACGTAATTGAGTTCAGTAGTGCACGAAAACGTATGTCAATCGTCGTCCGATATCCAGATGGGCGGATATCTATCATTTGCAAAGGCGCCGATTCGGTAATCCTCCCCAGGCTGAAATTAGCCTCTTTGGCTATGCAAAAGGCCAATGAAGTGAGGAAAAGTGCAGATCTTGAACATGAGATGTACCGCCGAAGCCAGCAGCACGAACCCCGTAATAGTTTTGGCGGGAGGCTCAGTCTAACCGCACGACGAACTCCCGTTATATACCGAGACCGCAGCATCGATCAACAGCGACCTCCGATGAACAGAAGAAGGTCTTTTGAAGTACACAAGCTTATGAGACCTTCCGATGACCGCCAACATTGCAGCCCTCTTGCGCCGCGCGGAGTCTCCTTGGACGTATCTAGAACGACAGCCTTGAGCCCATCGAGCCATCACCAACCGCAATCCGTGCCAGCGCATCTCGGTTTTCTTGAAGACTCTACCATCTATGGCGAGTCTGAGATTTTCACCAAGTGCTTCAAGCATTTGGATGATTTTGCAACGGAAGGCTTACGAACATTGCTCTACGCCCAAAGGTTCATATCCGATCATGAGTACCGATCGTGGAAAAAGTGTTACGACGACGCGTCAACCAGTCTTGTTGATCGACAGGAGCTCATTGAGGCAGCAGGCGATGTGATTGAGCAGTCGTTTGACCTTATTGGAGCGACTGCAATCGAAGACAAGCTTCAGCAAGGGGTTCCCGAAACTATTGATAAACTACGACGAGCCAACATTAAAATCTGGATGCTGACAGGCGACAAGCGCGAGACAGCTATTAACATTGCCCATTCCGCCAGGATATGTCGCCCTGGGTCCGACTTGTATGTGCTGAACGTTGCCAAAGGATCGCTAGAGTCCCAGCTCATGGCACTAGCCGAGGAATTGCACAATGGATCAACACACAGCGTTGTTGTCATCGATGGTCAAACGCTGGCAATTGTGGAAAAGTCCGATTCCCTTTCGAAGCGATTCTTCTCAATTATGCTGCTTGTTGATTCGGTGATTTGCTGCCGTGCGTCTCCTGCCCAAAAGGCGCTGTTGGTGAGAACTGTGCGGTCCTTGTTAGGCAAGCTCAAGGGTAATGAGCATCGCGGCTTGACCTTGGCCATTGGCGATGGAGCCAACGACTTGGCTATGATTCAAGCAAGCCATGTGGGCATTGGAATATCTGGAAAAGAAGGGCTTCAGGCAGCGCGTGTTGCAGACTACTCGATTGCGCAGTTTCGTTACCTTCAACGACTACTCCTCGTCCATGGTCGATGGAGCTACGTGCGGACAGCGAAGTTTATTCTCTACACGTTTTGGAAGGAAATGTTCTTCTACCTTCCCGCTGCCCAGTACCAAAGGTACAACGGATACACCGGTACATCACTCTACCAAGCGACGAGCTTGACGGTGTTCAATACCCTGTTCACGAGTCTGTGCACAATCTGCATGGGAATTTGGGAACAGGATCTCAGTGCCGAGACGCTCCTTGCTGTCCCGGAGCTCTACGTATATGGGCAACGCAACATGGGACTGAACCCATGGAAATACGTCCGCTGGATGATTCTGGCCGCGGTCGAAGGAGTCATCGTCTGGTACGGCGTCTGGGCAGGGTACGGCTGGATCTCTCCTGCAGCCCGTGACGAGGGCGTATACGCTCTGGGCACTCTCGCATTTACTGTAGGGGTACTGTGGATTAACTGGAAGCTATTGTAAGTCGACTCGATGCACAGCCATTCCTTGCAAAGCAGATTTGTCCTAACAAGTTGGCAGTATTTTCGAAACCCACTACAAGTCAACCATTGTCATGTGCTCCTTTTTCATCACAACGTGTGGTTGGTTTGCCTGGTTAGCCTTTTTAGATGGTGTCTACGCGCCAGGCCCAGAGGGCCCATACCTCATCCGGCACACCTTTACACGCGCATTTGGCAATGATGCCGTGTGGTGGGCAACGGCCTTTGTCGTCCTCGCGTTCCTCGGCCTCATGGAGCTCGTCGGCAAGACCATCAAGCGGAACATGTTGGCAGCAGGCATGTGGCACTGGCCGCCATGGAAAATGCATCGGTTGAGCGACAACGCAGAGGAATGGGACCTCCAAGTCTGGCAAGAGATGGAACAGGACCCCAAGGTCCGTGAGCGGTTGAGGAGACTGGCCAATGACGAAGAGGGGATGGAAGACATGGAAGCGGAGGATGTGTTTGATGTCGAAGCTAGAATGGATGGGTAGAAATGCTTTCTTCCGTCTTCTTTTGTTCTTTCCCCGGACACTTGTTCGCGCCGAGACAGGCGCATGATACCCCTGATTTTACAAGACACGATACCACTGATGAATACTAGAACAGGTACACAAAGAAGATGCACACAAGGAACAGGTACACCACGTACAGGTACAAAAAGTACACATGTAAATAGAGAGCCGTCACATATACATTGAAGAGTTTCTTGTTCATTATAATGGCCGCTGCATGGGTATATGGGTACGTGTGTCCCACGGCGCGTTGCGCCACATGTTGTCCGTCACAGTCATTCCGAGGTGTTGTCCTCATCATCATCATCATCATCATCATCATCATCATCATCATCGTGGATTCCTGTCGTCGTGATGCCGTGGCGAGTTTCGGCCTCGACAAGACTGGCATCAGGCCTCGGCCTGCCGATGACATCCATGCTCCGGAAAGCCGTCACAGCCACCAGCAGGAAGGCCACTCCAAAGGCAAAATCCACCCAGCTGGCCGCCCTCAAGCCCGTGAGCGAATCGGCATCCCACTGTCGAACAGGGCCGGCCTCCTCTACGGCGACGCCGCGCGCCTTGGCCATGGCAGCCGCCTGGACAGACGTCCCGACAGCCAGACCAATCGACCGGCCAAAGTGTGCGAGGGCGTTGATCAGCGCACCACCAACAGCCTGGTCCTCCCGCGGGAGAGCCTGGGACGTGAACAGCGTCAGGCAGGGCCACGCGGTGTCGGCGCCCACGACGGCGAGCACCATGGCGGGAAAGCCGTAGGCCCAGTACGTCGTGGTCGGCGGGATGGGGACGGCGTACAGCAGACACGCGGCCGACGTGGCCAGGGTTCCGCAAACGAGGATGAACAGCATCGGGACGCGACCGAGGAGCTGTGCCACGACGAGGGCCACCAGGATGCCCGTGACGCCGGTGGGGATGTACCGCAGCATGGTGTCGAGCGGCGACAGCCCCTGGAGGTCCTGGAAGAAGTAGGTGGTGAAGATGAGGTAGTTGTTGAAGGCGGCGAAGAAGAGGCCCGTGATGACCATGGCAGCGGCGAAGCGCCGGTTGCGGAAGACGGAGGTCTTGACGAGCGGCGCGCGGGAGAGGTGGCGGCTGCGGGCGTGCCGGCGCTCGAGGTAGATTTGCCAGAGGGCGAAGAGGGCGACGAGGACGAGGGACGCGACGAGAAGCACGGGCACCCAGGGCGTGGCCCAGCCGACGACGTTGCCCTCCGTGAGGGACAAGTTGAGCGCCAGGAGGGCGGCGGTGACGAGCGCGGCGCCGAGCCAGTCGACCGCCGGAGCAGCGTGAGCCTCGGGCGCGCCGCCGTCCGGCGTGGCGTCGTCGGGAGGAGACGGCGCGCGGGGCGGGATGAGGAATACGCCGGCGACGGTGATGAGGGCGGAGAGGATGGCGAGCGCGCCAAAGACCCATTTCCAGCTGGCGTACTCGGCGACGAGGCCGGAGAGGAGGTTGCCGCAAACGCTGCCGAGGGGCGCACCGGCTCCTTGGTGGCAGCGTTCGAAGGCTTGTCAGCAGAGGGCGCGACTTCTGGCCGGCGAGGTCAACTGCTTGCCGGACTCACCATAGGTGCTAAAGGCGTAGTTCTTTGCCTTGCCTGGCGGGAAGGTGACGCCCAATATGCCAATGGCCGTGGGCACGGTCGCGGCGGCCCCCTGTCGAATGGGTGGGTGGGTGAGTGAGTGAGTGTACGAAGACACGAGGCGCATGTCATGACAAAGGCCTACCAGTCCTTGAAGCCCTCGGAACAGATTAAAGGTAATCTCATCGGGCAGAAACGGATTGGCCGCCGTCACACACGTCACCCAGACGGAGCCGAGGATGAAGATGAGCCGCTTGCCGTAGACGTCGGCAACGCGGCCCCAGAGCAGGAGGAAGCACCCAAAGGCGAGGGAATACGACGACACGATCCACTGCTGGCGGCTTTCGGGGATTTGGAGATGGCGTCCGATGGTGGGGAGGATGATGACGACACTTTGGATGCTGAGGACCTGGACAAAAGCGTCATCACCAAGCTGGTCCATTTCTGGGTTTTTCTTCTTCCTCTTCTTTCCTCTTCTCTTCTCTTCTTTTCCTCCTTTCGCCATCTATTCTTCAGGTAGAGCAAGGCAACAACGGCACTTACGTTGAGAAAAGCAGCCCCCGTGACAGTGGCCACGAGCGCAACACATCGTGTCTTGGACATGGGCAAGCCGCCATTGGCATCCTCGCCGTCGGTCTCGGTGCGCCCACGGCCGGTACGCCGTGATTCATCTTGCTTCTCTGGCGCCGAGACGACCCTGGCGCCGTTTGCCTCGCCATCAGCCCGCCCGCGTCGCGGCCTCGACGTCGCATCCTCGTTTGGAGCGGGGGGCCCGGGGCCCATCATGACGTGAATTTCTCCCACGCTGCAGCTCTCATGAAAGTCGTCCGGACTGCGCCCGGCATCATCTTCAAAGGGGGAGAGGAAGGAAATCAAAATCGACCAAGCAAGCAGGTACAGGTTGGTCCATGTCCCCGGGAGTCGGGATCGTCGGGACTACCAACTTTGCTTCAACTTGCATTTAAGTAGTAATTGCCTGTCGGTGGGCCGGACGACGAAACACGCATAACTCCAAAAGTAAATGCGCATGACCCCCTCTGCACGGGGTACCATTACAATACGTACCTAAGTAGGTACTTTTAAGTACATTTTGCAGCATCAGTACCTGTGGCCAGCCAAGTGCGTGATGTACATGGAACAAGTCACGAATTGCCCCTCGCAGCAAATGGACTTGTCCTGTGACATTTGTCAATGTACATGATTTATTTCTCATTGGCTGTCTCCTATCGCCTCGCATCGCATCGCATCGCATCTCATCACATCTCCTGGAAAACGATCAAAAACTCCTCATGTGCACACTCCCTCCCCCCCCTTTGTCAAATACAATCTGTCTTGTTCCGTCATCGCCTATGCTGAAAACGAAAACCCTCGTGAGCCAACGTCAACCCTCTCACGCCTTCCCCCGAGGTGGGAGCAGTTGTTAAACAATATTACCAAGAAAAGAAAAGAAAAAGAACCATAGAGTGAGAGACAGTGAGTGGGGAGGAGAGAGCAAAAAAAGGCAGCTTCTTGCGCAGTCGCAAACGCCTCTAACACTATCCACGCTTGATGTTCTGTGTAGAAAAGATGAGCTCGGCATTGTTTCCCCTTCCCTCGTGTTTTTTCCTATAGACGGTACCGTTTCACCCCCCTGATTCTTTCTTTTTTTTTAGGATATTCTCGATGAAAACAAGAGGCGGCGAGATAGAAAAAAGAAAAACGCAGTAAACAGGTTTTCTTTTGCAATTGTACACGTGCGCCATGGGCCAAAAATCAAATAAAAAAAAAACACAAATCCGTCCGGCCCATTGCTGTTCCCTTTGCCTCTCTCCCCGTGATTCCAATTAAACATCTGTGCGTTGCGGCACGTATCTTGGTGATCATGTTTTCCCCTCCCATGCTTCGTTATAAAACACACAAAGACAACCATCTCAGGGATTCGGTAAGCCAAGGCCGAGCTCTCTCATCATGCGTTCCTCACGTTCCCTGACACGTATTCCTCGCTCGCCATAATCTGGGCGGTATCTACCTCGCCGCTTTCCATCGCGATCACGGTTCCTACCCCACTAATGGTAGTTTCCGCCCCAGCCGCCACGCTGTTGCTGCCCGCCTCCGTAGTAACCGCCGCTGCCAAAGCCCTGTCCGTAAGATCCATAGGGAGTGTTGCCGTGTTGGCTGGCCCCCGCTCCGGCGCCCATTCCATAGGTACTGCCATGAAGGTTGTGTCCCTGGAGATGGCTTGGATATCCGCCATAAGCGCCGCCCATCTGGGAGTTCTGAGGAGGCGGGAGACCGCTTTGGCCGCCACTCGGGGCGTTGTTGGTAGCAGATCCGGGCCGAGGTCCGCCCGCTAGAGAAGGGGAGGGCCCAGAGGCGGCCGTTTTAGCGTCACCGAAGTGTTTCAAGTCGTCGGCGGAGCCAGATGCTGGGGCCTGGGTCTGGCTGTTAAAAGACTGGTTTTGAGACTGGAAAGAAGAGGTGCCACGAGCAAAACTCTCGTGGGCGCCGCCGAAGCTGCTGCCACCCAAACCGGGCTGGCTACCCGCCTGGCCAGACGCAGCGCGACCGTACTCACCGAGGCCAGAGCCAAGGCTGCTATCTCGGTGAAGCGAAGATGGGCCGCCAAAAGTGCTAGGGGACGACGCATGGTCATATGGCGCGTTGGGGGACATTCCATAAGGTTGACCATACATTCCGCCCTTGCCGCCATAAGGACCAAAACCGCCTTGCCCGTAGCCAGAGTAGTACTGATGATAGTAAGGGTTGCTGTAATAAGGATGATTGTATCCAGGATACTGCCCATGAGACTGAGGCTGCGAGCCAGGTGCTCCCTGCTGAGGCTGCTGGGACGGCTGGGCTTGCTGGGCCTGTTGAGCCTGCTGGCCTTGTTGCTGGGCTTGAGCTGCGGGATTGGGAGTTGAGTGGCCGCTGTTTTGGCTTTCATTCGAACCACCAAATCTAGGCTGATTGTGCAGAGAGCCACTCTGCGGGTATTGGCTAAGGTTGTCAGCAACATTGTAGCCGGCAAAAGGACGCTGCTGGGAAACACCGTCGTGCTGGCCATGAGCAGCTTGCTGGGCGCCGTACTGCTGCCCGTAAACGTTGTAGGTGTTTCGATCCTGCTGATTGGCAGTGTAGTAGTTGGAGTAGTCGGATGGGGTAGACGTAAAAGCTGCGCCAGGCTGCTGAGCTTGGGGTTGCGTAGTCTGGGTGGCGAAGCTGTCGAACTGAGGCTGGGAGGAAGGCGCAGGCTGGGCAGCGTTGAAGGGATCGAGAGGCTTCTGAGTGGCTGCGGCAGAGTCTGGGGGCACAAATCGACCGAATTGTTGAGTTGCAGTGGTAGCAGAGGCCTGAGCGGCAGCGGGAGCGGTGGGAACTATACCGGATGATTTTTTTACATCAGTGTCGCTCATGTAGAAAAGGAGCACAAATATGGACTTACCAGCTCCGGTGACGGCTGAGGGAACGATACCAGTAGTCTTCTGAGAGAACGATTCAGGAACGGCGACAGGTTGAGAAACCGGAGGAAGAGAAGCACGAGGATGAGCAACAGGGGAGTCCGCCGGCGGTTGAGCCCGGGTCTCTGCTTCCTCACGCTCGCCATCAACATCCTCGTCACCGTCATTCAGGCTGAAAGCTCCGAACTTAACAGCAGCTCGATCCACCTCGCGGTTGCCCGGCATGCGAACAGCCTCTTCTTGATCCAAAACTCGTCGTTGGAAGCTAGGAGCACGAGCCGACCGTTCAGTAGTTGCCTTGATCGCTGATGCGGCATACCCGCTTGCAGCAGTCCGCTGAGCCTGGTGCTGGTGGTGAGCAGCCGAGATGGGGGTGGTGGAAGAACTAATGGGGCTCTGTCGCGGGTCCCAAGAGTCAGCAGCGGTGCTAGCAGCTGTGCCAGTCGCGGGTGGATTGGAGGCGTCAACAACCTGTTCAAGATTTGTCTCGGTGAGTTCGTCCTTGCTTGGTGGCAGGGTAGCTTCGGGTTCAGTAGCAATGACAGAGGCGGAGGCGGGGACGGGAACGGCTCGTTGGGCCACAGGGGTGGTTTCTTCTTCTGTAGGCTCAACAAGTCCGGGCTCGGCGGGGACAGGCTCGGGTACAGGCTGGGCTTCGAGGTCAACGGGCTTCGACGCAGGAACTTCCTTGGGAGCAGTAGGCGTGGGGTTGAGGGCGGTCGACTGACGAAGCATGCTGGCCCACGTCTTGGCTGCGGGAGCTGCTGGCTTGGCAGGTTCGACAGGAGCAGACTTGTCGGCAGTAGTACTCTTGAGCTCAAGCTTGTCATCTTTCGATTTGGGACTATCCCATGCTGGGGATTCCTCAGTTGGGACCGAGAGCTGTTGGTTCTCCTTGTTACGAGTGCCGTTGGTGCTGGGTTGGGATGACCGGCCACGGCCAGCGCCACCACGAGCACCTCTTTCAAAACCTCGGCCTCGACCGCGGCCGGCCTCAGCGACAGCCCGTCCGCCACGAGCAGATCGCGAGCTTGACGCAGCCGGCTCGCCGGCAGCAGCGGTCGTCGTCTCCTTCGCCTTTGTGCGGATGGTCTTCTTGGGCTTTGAGACCTCGCCCCACTGGGAGACGGTGCCTATGCAGGGAGCACAGAGTCAGCTTGGAGACTGCACCGCGACAGCGTGAAGAGCTCGAACAGGACGGCTGCAAAGAAAAGACGAGGCAACGGCGGGCGGAACATGGGGAAATGGTCGGTACATTGGTTGTTTAGACATGTGCTCGAATCATGATGGAACGAATTGACGGCAGGCAGGCGGCGGCAGAGCAAGAGCAAGTTTTGAGAAGCTGGGAAAAATTCAAGTGCAAAAGGGGACTACGCACCTTCAGCAATACGTGCGACAGCTTCGTTCTCGTCGCCGTTTGTCTCCTGGAGGGCAAAAAGGACGTCGGCCTCGGACCAGTCGGGGAACATCTCGCGGATGACAGATGTTTTATCGCCGTACTGCTTGCGCAGCTCGGCAAACTCGCCCTCGTCTTCGAATGCACCGAGGTTTTCGTCCTTGTGGTCTGACTTGTCGCCATTGGTTCTGGAGCGGCCGCCTCGACCGGCGAAACCTCCTCTACCGCCTCGGCCAGAGCCTCTGCCACGCGTGGCGGACGACCGTGATGCGACCTCGGACATGGAGATGGTTTGTGGTGTGGCGCGTGGGACGGAGGAATGGTCTGAGGCGAGAGAGGTCTGGAGCTCTGGAGGGATGCAGCGGCCTTGATCAGGTGGCCCTCTGCAGAGAGAAGGAGAATAAAAAGGGACAAAGTGACACAGTAAGGCGGCTATTGGCCAGCTCCAAAACGAAGAGATAGTCCCGTGGATGAGGACGCGGCAATGAGTTGCGAAGCGATGGGCGTTGCTGAGGAGAAGGAGATTGGGGATGGTGAAAGTGCTAAGGGAGGCACGAGGTTTTTCCCCGGAAGCAACAGAGGGCCGGGTGTGGTTGACGAAGGATTTTGACTTTGACGGCCACCAGAAGGGCAACGCGCAGCCACCAGTCGGGGCTGGGTCCATGTGCCAGCGCCAGCGCCAGCGCCAGTGCCGGTGCCAGCCAGCCAGACTCGCAGTGGGGGGGGTTGGGCGCGCGCAGGTGTGCGCAAGTGGTCTGTAAGTCTGGCGGGAAGACGGCCAAGTGGGAACCATTCAGTGCGAGGCCCAGTGTGCGCCAGGCGCCTCAAGCCGCCTGGCCACCGCTGCAGGGGTCAACTGGTCCCAACGGTCCAGCAGCACACTCGGGCACTTGCGATTTTGTCAACTGCCTGGCTGGCCGGCCTTTTTCTTTTCTTTTCTTTTTTTTTTTCCCAGCGGCCAACTGGTCAGATCTGGGGCGCTGGCACCGAAGCACCAAAGGAGATGTGCCCGAGCAGCTGAAGCGCAGATGCTCCGCACTCCGTACCTAAGTACCTAGGTACTACTTAAGCACCTGGGTACCCGATACAGCATCTACCGAGTATGTTCATGCAGCGCGCACACTCGGGGGCGTGCCCGGTGTCTCGTATTTTTGCCAACCCTTGCCGTGTGTGCTCAAGTATGCAAGCTAGGGCTTCTGGGACGTTGGGACGGCGTCGGGGAGGAAGAAGAGGCATGACAGGTACCTCGAGACCACGGTCCTCAGGGTAGGTAAGTTACTCCGCCATATAACAATCCGTCACCCATTGAAGCGCGCGCCATGACGCTTTCCAGCCCTTTGTCCTAGCCGCGCATACAAGGTGAAGGTGAGCCGGTCATCACCCTGATCTGGCACATCTCGGCACAACTTACTATTTTTGGGCTTGAGTTGGGGCTCCGCGTCGTCACGGTCCAGTCTCTGGTGCTCGCCAAGTCCCTATGTATAATGTTAGTCAGATACTCCGTACAAGCCAACGGTACTCCGTACGCGTCTATTAGACGGCGAGTCCTGGCGAGCCTTTTAATAGCGGGGGGTTGCACGAGTACGGGTTTTGCCGTTTTTCATGAAGCAGTTGCCAAAACCGCGCCGGCCTAACCAATGCGTCAGGGCACTGGTTTCTAAATCCCAAGTCTTCACTTGCTCGCTCTGCATCTCCCGTCCTACAACCTGACTTACCGCCGCGAGCTTGACCAATGCCAAGATTTCGGCTGTCCTGAGGCAAGAGTCAGGACCCTCGGGTCCAAGGGACGGACATTGACAGCCCCACACTAGCTCCCCGCTCTCTCAATGGCCAGAGCCAAAGTCAACCCGACTCATCACGTGATGCCAATTCGAGACTCCAGCACCTCCAGCGCGCGGGCTGATAACCACCGACCAGCCCAAACGTCATCACATCCAGTCGAGCGGCACAGTTATCATTGCGCCCGGCAAGGGCAGCAAGTCCTGACATGAGTCTGCCGTAGGCAGAGCCAGCCCCCTCTGCGCCTCCTCATGTTGAGATCAAGCCAGAGCCCACCATGTTTCCGACAAAACCTGCCCGAGCGCTCCGCAACCTCTTCGCGGGCTATCACGAACCAGCCGGGTTGTCGAAGCAACAGACTCAAAAGCTCCTGGATGGCCTCAAGGCGTCCTTTCGACGGCACCTCGACCGCGAATACGGCCGAATTGGCTTCGAGCGCGCCGCAGTCGTAGCCAAGGTCACGGATCCCGACGACGCTGTTCGACATTCGGCCGCAACGAGACATCTAAGGTCCATTCTCTCCAACCCGCTCTTCAGCTACAGCCAGCGCGCCGGCTCCCCCTCGCAAGCCGAAAAGCTCCACGCGACCAGGCGAGATCCCATGGACGTGTTCGACCACGCCGTAGCCAAGGGGATGATGACGCTCACAGCCGCCACGGGATGCATGGTGGCCAAGCGACAATTGCTCTCCGCATCCGACGCCCCCCAAGACCTGTCTTCCTCGCAGACGGCACTACGCGTCGTGCGGTGGCTCAGATCGTCCGGCGCCGAGTCGAAACTCTCGTTCCTCCACAACTTGTCCTTTGTCCGAGCCCTGACGCCATTGCTCGTCGCAGAAGGTCTGGAAAGCATCGCGTGGGAATGGATAACCCGGGCCGTCGGCGACGCAAGCCTCTGCTGGGAGACAGGCGCACGGGTCAATCACGCCGCCTTCTTACTCGCCCAGATTGTCCGCACCAAGAGTCAGCCGCAACACGGGAACCTAGACGCAGCCATCACGGCCATCTTGGACGCCGAACGGCTCTACAGGAGCAGCCCTCTCCTGCCGCAAATACTCGTCCTGCCCTGGCGCTCAGTATCTTGGCTCTCTACCGTCGAGTCATACACCCGGGACGCCCCTTCGGAGAGGCTGTTTGACGCGCACTTGGCCGCCGCCGAGCTGCTCCCCACGCCTGTCGAGATCGAAAAGGCGCACCTCCACCTCCATCACCCGACGCATCCGGACCACGCGCCGGCCCTGCGTCTGTTCGGCGACAGGAAAAAGGTCCGGAAGCTAGTGGCGAGGCTGAACCCCGACAGGATTCAATGGAGCAGCATCAGAGGCATGGGCACCCTACCGTGGCTTGCGTTCCTGGGCCACGACACGGTCAATCACTTGACGCGGTCGGGGCGGAAGCGAGAAGCAGACAGCCTGACCGAGCTTCTGCGGTCAGCATTGGCCATCGTACCGCAAGATTCGTTGAGCCCGACCTGAGCCGGTCGACCGTTCGACGTGCATGGCCCCAGTTTTGCAGACTTCACATACTCCCGGCCCCCGGATACGGCCTGTAACGCAACCAACTTGACTTGACACGCACCGTCCATGCTGCCCGCCGGCAGCACGCAGGGCATTCGCACTCGCAGTGTTGATATGCACAATGCGTGAAAAGCGAAAAGGCTGAAGCTGCTGAAAGCGAGCCCCCAAGACGGAACGCACAGTCTTGTATAGTAGCAGAATGTAGCAGATATCAAGAGGATTCAGAAGCCCCGACATACATACCCTACCCTAGTTCGTGATCAATCTAGCTCGTACATCCACTTCCACAACCGCCGCTCCGCTTAATCGGACTCGCTTCCCTCCGTGTCCGAAAACCCATTGAAGACATCCTCGTCGCCCGACTCGCCCAGCGCAGGACCGGCGGCACCCTCACCGTTGCCCTCGTCCCCGTCGCCATCTTCGCCGTCGAGGTTTCCTATTTCAAAGACGCCGGAGATATCCCACCTGTCGCCCTTGGCCTTCCTGCTAACGTACTTGACAAACTTGAGGGCGCCGCGGTCCCGCAGCACGATTGTCAATTTGTTCCACGACGCAGCCTGGAAGAAGAGGATGTTGTCGTCATCACTCGACGACTTGTACACGGCGGCATCTTCGTCGTCGACGTCGTCGTCGTCGCCGGCCATGTAGATCTCCACGCCACCGACCTGGTCGTCTTCCCCTGCCAGTTTGGATGGTGGTTCTTCCACGGATTTGGCCTTGCCTTTGCCTTTGCCTTCGCCTTTTGCCTCGGGCTCCTCCTTGGCCTCTTGGTCATCGTCTCCCCAGCCGGTGGTTGGCGTCATGCCGAGACCGATCTCGAGCCGGGGCTTGCCGTCGTGGCCTGTGGCGAGGGTGTAGTCGGAACCGCGGCGGAAGCGGCGCGCAACAAGGTCGTGGCTTTCGACGGTGCACCCCGTGGCGATTTGGAGCCAGTGGCGGAATTGCCTGCTGGGCAGGAGGATGTCGAGGAGCTCAGTGATGGGGGATTCCTCCTGTGACGTGCGCAGCTGGTCCGGTTCGCTGGGTCGCTGGTACAGGTAGCGGTGCTTGTGAGGGGGCTTGGACACCTTCCAGGGCGTGGCTTTCTCGATGGCTTTGCTATCTCGCGGGAGGGCCTGCTCCTCCTGCTCCTGGATGTGGTGCTTTAGTCGCCGGGAAAACTTCTTGGACAGTATGTCTGACAAGGTGATGCTGGAGTTTTCCCCAAAGTGCTGCGAGACTTGGTCGAGCGTGTCGGGCGTCAGGTACGTCGGCGCGATGTACCTGAGCAGGAATTCCAAGTCGGCCTCTTCGAAATCGCCCTGGCTGGACGTGGGGTTCGCGATCCTGACGGGCTTGGCTTGGGGCGCGTCGTACTGCGCCGGGTTGCCCTGAAGCTGCATCAGGCTGCTGTTCTTGGCGTTCTTCTCCTCCTCACCCTCGATGTAGCCCTCCTCTCCGATCTGGGGGATATGGAACCAGCCGCTGATGGCCATGCGAACTCGTCCATTGTCCTCGTCGAGCTGTTCCTTGGACTCGGCGTGGTACACCTCCTCCACGTCGTGGAAGCTCTCGCCCGGCTGGACAGCAAAGAAGCTGAGCTGATTCCAGGCCGGTGGGATCACCTTGACGGCGTCGGGCAGCGGCGTCTTGGCAACCTCGCCATCTTTGCCCACAATCTCCTGCACGGGGAACAGGCGCAGAGCACCGCCCCATTCCGGCTGCCACGGCTTGTCGGGATCGGTCAGGTACAGGATGTAGCTGACTCTGCGACTGCCAATGACATCATCGTGGCAGAGCAGAAAGCAGCCCGGCGTGTAGACATTGACTGCCATGTCAGTCTTCCTACCACTCAACGGGCCGCAGCCGGTGATGCTGGACACGTAGTCTCTGAACGTCTCGGAGTAAATGGCGTCTCGGAGGGCCAACAAAGACGGCAGCTTGGCCAAGGACTCGTCGTCGAGGCCATCCAGGTTGGCCAAGTCTCCGGACTGGTGAATCTTGTAAATGTCGGTCTCCTTGGGGGTGAATTGTACGTTGTCGCGCACTTCGTCTCGCACAGAGCGCAACAATTTGTCGTCGACGAGCTCATGGATCACAGCGTGCTTGTACGGTGAAGAAGTGGCATATTCACGGGTGTACGAGTCCAACACGGACTTGTCGAACAGGCCGCTTCGGAACCGCTTCTGCGCCCCCTCGTCCGAGAGAGCTGTTTGCGTGGGAGACGAGGTCAGTTCATTTGTCACGGACGGGTCTCTGGGTGGTTCACGTCGGGGAGCGTACATGGTTTGGATTTTTTGCCGTTGGGCTGCTCGCCATTGGCCTCGGTTTCCGCCTTTCTCTTCATTTCCCATGCGGATCATGCCGATTTGCGCCCTTGACAGAGTACACAAGTTGACGTGGCAGGTGTGAGTGAGATAGATGGCAAGGGGGGTTGGGGGATCATGAAATAAAATAAGAAAAAGAGCCCGCGCTTCTCTCCCCAGCTGAGAGCGTCTTGGTGGGCCAATGCCGTCAGAATCCAGAAAATTTTCTGGACCGTGGCACCACCTCCTCGAAGTCGTCTGCCGTCCCACCGTGTCAACGTTGACGTTGATATAAAAATACTTGCACGTTCAAATGTTCCATCATGGGCTGGATGAGTGGACGTCAATGGATGCGCTTGGCGACCTTGGTGCCGTCGTCCGTCGCAAGATCCGTTGATTGAGGGCCAATCGTCGGCACGCAGACATCAAACCAGCAAGAATTCCCACCAACAGTCAGGCCCAGTTGTCTGGCTTTGCATGTCATTACTCCGTACAGCGCTTAGATATCGAGAAACCGCCCGACAGACGCTTGGCCCATCCTCAGCCAGCAAATAGTCACTGCCGACCGGTACTCCGTACTATCCATGTGATACTTGCCCCCCAGGCCCGCTTCCATGATGGCCGGCATTAATGCAATGCGTGTTGACGCCAGGCAGGCATTGGTTGGTCTCGTTTCAGCCCGCAGCATGTGTTGCACGCGGGTGGTTGTTTTTGGAAATGCAGTTTGCAGTTTTGTGTGTCTGGTCGCCTCTCGCGGTGGCCTACGGACAGGATCCCGTCACCAAAGGATATCATGTATGGGCACTAGACTCTGCGGTTGCGTCTTCCGTCCGTCATTCTATTGTCTATTCGTGTACACGCACGTCGGCCCAACGACATCCGTCATAGCACGCTCATAGTCTGCCAGCCCTCGAATCTACCGACTTTCGCAGCAGGGAAATCACCTCGGACGGGTCCTTGGCGCCAAACACGGCACTACCAGCAACGATAACGTTGGCCCCAGCATCAGCAGCCTGGTCAATCGTTCCAGGCCCCAAGCCACCATCGACCTCGATGTTCAACTCGGGATATCTCGCCCGCAAAGCCTGCACCTTGGGGAGCTCACCCGCCATGAACTTTTGGCCGCCAAATCCAGGGTAAACCGTCATGACAAGGACCATCTATTGGGTCAAAGAAATCGTCAGCAACACAGCTCGTCAAGAATGTGAAAGCCCCATGACTGTCGGGGTATGACCTACGTCAGGCTTTTCCTTGGGATCAGCAGCCTCCAAGATGTCCCACAGCACATCAACAGACGTGCCTGGTTTGATGGCGATGCCCGCAAGCATTCCGCTATCGTGAATATACCGAATGAGCTCTTTGGGGCTGGTGTTCTTGTCGGACGTTTGCTCAGGGCTCTCGGCAGCCGTCGAAAATGCCGCCTCATAGTGGAAGCAATACAGGTCACAGCCGGCCTTCTTGAACTCCTGGACCCATTTCTTGGGCTATGAACACAACCAGGAAACCCGTCAGCCGTGGCCCAATCTTCAAGAATTGGAGTCGAGACCCTTCGTCCTCTCGCCAACTGGTATTTACCTCTGCAATCATCATGTGGCAGTCAAACGTGCCTCTACCGTTACCCTCGCTGGGCCTGTCAACATGTTTTCTGATCTTGGCAACGACAGGAGCTCCGAATGTAATGTTGGGAACAAAGTGTCCATCCCTGTATCCTGATTAGGGCATTGCAATCGGCAGCTGGGTAGCATTGGACGAGCAAACATGATGTCGACGTGGAGCCAGTCGGCGCCATGTTCCATGGTACGAGCGCATTCGGCACCAAGCTGAGCAAAGTCAGCAGACAGAATAGAAGGCGCAATGATTGCCGGCGGCGTCATGGTGTTTTGGCTTTGGGATGTGCCTAGGCACAAATTTCGACGGCCAAGGGAAGAAGTAAGCGGGAAGAGCCGCCATGTCAGAGGAGGGAAGCTCTGTGTGTTTGGTCTCTGATGTCAGTGGGGTGTGGTGTGGCCACTCCCGTTTTTTGGCTCGACAGGTCCGGTCACAGGAGAGCGGGCAGTGCAGCGGGGCGCTGACCAGCTGATTCTAATCCTATCCAGGAAGCGCCGCGGAGCTCCACAGTCGTGAGCAGGCACTTTTGGTCAGGCCATCACTGATGGACAACTTGAACTACTGGGCATGCTTTAAAGCTTACAGGCTTGCTCCGCGAGGGAGTGAGCTTGGCAATGCTAACACGCCAAGATGCCGGGCTGGAAGCAGTAGCACAGCGGTCGAGGTAACAATTGAGTCGAAAAAAATATCTTGGCCCGCCATGGAAGACCGGCATATTAGAGGGACAGTCTGGGCCGGTTCGCCAGGATACAGGAAATCATTGTCATGTACATCGGCTCTCGTACACACCAAACTCAAGCTCAACAGCTATGAGACTGTAATATACAAACTTATTTTCTGTACGCCCAGTTCTCTTCCAACTATCCACCCAGTTGCCCAGATACCTAGGTGGATGATGGGACTCGTTCGTGCAACGTCAAGGGTAATTTCAGAGAGCGGCAGCGAAGGCCAGGGCAGCACCGACAAGGCCAACCGCGTTGCCAAAGGTAGGAGCAGCAGCAGCACCACCAGTGTGAGTGGCAGCGGCAGTGGCAGTGGCAGCAGTTCCGCTGCCAGTAGGGCTGGTGTTTTTCGTCTGGGTTGCGCCGGAGGGGGAGCCAGAGCCAGAAGGACAGACAAGCTGCTTGGGAGTGTCGACGCCGCTGGCAGCACACAGCTTGTTAGCGAAGTTGATGGTTGACTCGATTTCCGAGGGGCTGCAGCTCTTCTGGAGGCAGCAGGAGATGCCAGCAATGAAGTCCTTGTTTCCACAGACGCAACGAATGTCGGCAGCCTTGCAGCCCGCAATATTCGTCCCGTCAATGGCCGACGAGACGCAAGGTTGCTGTAACCAATGAGGTGTTAGCAACGTGAGCAAATAAAAAATAGTAATAATTGTTCAAGACGAGTCCGGTCTGGTTACACCAGGGGGGAAGTCGTACGGCGCATTGCGGAATCTTGTCGAGCTGATCGAGCTGCGCGGCTGCGAACGCGGCAGCGGCGGCTAGAATGATGAATGAGGATTTCATGGTAAGTATTTTTTAAGCGTCGCGACAGATAGCAAAGAAGGGGATCGAATCCTAGGTGTTTGAACAAGAGAGATGCGCAACGGACACGAGGTGGCGGGAGCGGGACAAGGTTTGAGGAGCAAAAGCGCAGCCGACAGGTTGCCGAAGACGAGAGACTTGATGGACCGGGGAGTACCCACTAGCTTAAGTACCTAGGTAAGTACCTACCGAGGTACCTGGTATCCAGGTACGGAGTGCTCCGTACGGAGCCCGTAGATCTACTCCGTGCTGACTGGCAACGAACAGGCTTGACTAAGGTACCGAGTACGGAGTATTCGGCCATCATTGGCAGGCGGCAGGCGGCTGACGTGGTGCCCCGTGTCGAGCGTCAACCAGGAAGGCCATGGCAACGTTCCAAATGCCAGTGCCAGCCATGCATCCGTTGAATGAAGGACTATCACCGGCATCCAAGTAATATTCATTTCAAATACGGGCGCAATGAGAGAGAGGCTTGCATTGGCGCCATGACATGGACGGGCGCTGGCGGCAGATCCATCGGGATCCTGGATCAAGTTGGTTGACGATCAAACTCGCTCCATCACTTGCCCCGCGTATGCTCCCAGTACCGAGTACCCAGAACTTAAGTGCGCTGCTTACCTCGGAGCATGTTAGCGTCATGTACAAGCTACCTGTGTACGGGCCAGCAAACTCCCCCAAGTGCCCCCTTTGTCCGCGAGACGGATGGAAAGAGGATCAGCCTCTTGGTCGACACGGCTTCAAGTGCCATGGGAATCGACCCCCAGGTTGCCCGTCAGACCTTGTTCAGCTGCCAGCTACTCGGCCAGCCGGTCAGCGCAACACAGTTGCGAGGTCAAAGCAACCAAGACTTGCGTTCATGATGGAGAACTTGTCGACCTGTTGACATGGGCGGCTGGGAGACTGCGGGGCCGCCCTTGCCGCCGAACATGTTTACTCGCACGCCAAGGCTGTGTCAAATGGATCGTGGAGACTTGGGAGTCAAGGGTCAGAGTCCAATCGGACGCTAACGGATAAATGGGACCAGTTTAAAAAAAAAAAAAAAAAAAAACTCCCAGGTTGCCCAGGTGCCTGAAGGAACGTACCTGCCAGGTACGAAGAAGTGTACTTTCGTCTCATGGGCCCAGGTGAGTTGCCTGCTTTGTAGCGCGAATATATTATAGTAACTATCACAGTAGCTTGACATGCAGGACAAGTCATTGCAGTGAACAAGATTAGGTCATCACCCCGCGTGATATTTGTCCGCGTTTCGGTGCACCCCCAGCCCTGCCAGTCATTACGTCATGTCGCCGGGGTGCGGATTCGGCATTGGCATTGGCACTGGCACTGCATTGCACGCACACCTGCCACCTGGAACAGTCGGACTGGCAGCCGACGGTGTTCGTGCCCGACAGGTAGTACGACGATCAATAGTATCCCCCATGGAACGAAGCTCATTCGCAAATCCGTCATTTCGCGCATTTATTCAGAGTCACGCACTAGCCGTCGGTGTTTGGATGCCCCAGGTATTAAAAGTGCCGGCTGCTGGCACAGCATTTCGCAGCTTCGCTTGAAGACCGTCAAATCCCTCCGCATATGATGGAATGAACGGTCCCCTGTTGATACCATTGACCCCCAGCTAAGCTTTGATCATCTCGGTCAAAGTATGGGTTCGGCCGTAAAGTAGTGCTATGTGCCAGTCCCGAAGGCAGGGAAGAAAGAAACTCCTCTTGGCTTCTTCTTGTACCTGCTGCTGGATAGATCTATGCTTCCACTAGAACGCGCCGGTTTCAGTTGCAGGAACGAGCGAGAGGTTTCGTTTCACGCAGTTCCAGTCATGAGGGCTTCGCCTCGGAGCTTGTTTCCTCGAACCGACCAAGGCGTTACTGCACAAGCAGCTTTGGTAGTCACACGCTGACACAGTGACATGTGGCCTCTGATGACTTTTTGTATTTTCAGCAACCACTTCCGCGGCCGTCACACTTTCTTGCCCTGTCTCAGTAAGTCGGATACTTTGGGCGGCAAAACAAGTGCGCTCCTGTCGTTTCGCCTATAAAAGTCCGCCAAAGAGATGGCGGTCTTTTCCGCAATGTCCTCGTGGATGAAGTGGCCAGCTTCTGGGAACACTTGTAGCGCATATTTGCCTATACCGTCGTCGTTATTAGCTCTTGTCACACTTTTCTGCTGCACGAAGAGCACAAGCAGCTCCGAACCCAAATTCGAGTTTACCTTGCATCTGACCAATCGTCAATTCTGTATCCAAGCGGTCGGTCCCTGCCAACAACAACAGTTTGCCGCCTTTTGCTTCCAGGAACTTCTTGCTCAGTCCCACAAACCAGTCCTCCCAGAAAGGCTGGGTGGTCGCCAGGTTGGTCCTCCATCTCCATGGTCTAGAGCCTTCCGCCGAATCCTCTCGTTTCAAAAGCGCGGGGACTGACGTTCTGGCCGATACGGAGCTTCGTATCGTACGTGACCGTATGTGCCAGTCGATTGCCATCTCGATGCTTGCGAACCCACTCGGTCTAGTAGAGAGGTAGGTCTGCATGCTCTGCAAGGCATCCATGGCTGAGCCTTCTACAACATCCAGAACAGCATATCCAAGTAGGCACGTGCCCAACTTGGCTGTAAAGGCCAGGTCTGTCACGACCGCGCCTCCCAGCGAATGACCAACCAGCATGATTTGGGGCATCTGGTGCCACCCCATCTGCTCCTTTGTGGATTGAATCATGAAGAACAAGTCAGCAGATAAGGTAGCCAGACGAAGGTCTAGCTCTGTGTCATCTGGCGACACCGTAGACCCATGGCCGCGGCAATCAATGGCAAGGATGCCCGCTGAAGGAAGCCGCTTCCGAATCTCGGAGCTCACCACAGCAAACGAAAGCGCTGACGAGCCGGCTCCGTGGTGCATGACAAACAGGGGACCATTGTCTACCGGAGACGTTAGATAGGCGTGAAAGGTAGCGACCACCCCTTGAGCATCGCCGCGTTGCATGTAAAGCTGCCTCTCAAAGTACGCCGTCCAGGGTATCGGTTCCAACGTCCTTCCTGTAGCGACACTAGTTTCAGTCAGCAAGGCATGGGTTGGCGTTGGAATACAGGATAGGCAGAGCGGCAGAATCAAATTCAATCACACCTTTGGGGGCGAGCAAACAATCGTTGGCTAGGTGTGGGAACAATGGTGCCAGTTGAAGACATTGACGAAGCCGAGGAGGAATCATCATCCACATGCTCTGGTAGCTCCGGGACCTGGTCTCCAGTCTGGTTCTCCTGGTCCGCCTGGTCCGTCTCCTCTGCCTCCTCCGCCTTCTTCTGCTCCTCCGCCTCCATCACCAAAAAGTGTTCCGGTACAAGAGCAAGCTTTGACTTAGCCCATGCTCGCTGCAGATCGCTCATGGCGGTTTGTCCTTGGTGACTCTCCCCGTTGTTGTACCCGCGGGGTTTGGGCTGGATGTCGTCGATATGTCTGGTATTGTAGAGGGGGGTTGTTGTCCCGCTGCGAATGACGTCTCTGGGGGGGTTGGGGGACTCTTGCGCCCGGACAGCCTTCAACCGCGCCCAGTCCGTTCACAAACGATCGTCGCTGGCTTGTTCGTTGACGTGCATCCATTCACGTCGCGAACTTTCCTGGGGTGGGGTTTCTCATTAATACTGTGCATAGCCCATCCAGCCCCGAGTATCAACACGGTGCGGGCGAAAATCTCCACTTGCGACAAATGGTTCCCTTGCCATGCCATCCAACTACCCTATACCACAAGCACCACCAGAACCGACAGTGTTCTTCCATCCCAAGGTTCCAGATATCTGTCCGTACTGGGTACATCATGAACACCAACGGCAGCCCAGGCTGATCAATACTGGCCCCAGCCTGTGCTCTGTGACCACCTAGAGCGTTGCTTGACCATGTCTCTCTACATACAAGTCAGTCAAGAAGCGCCTGGCTTGGCCCGCCATGACTGGCTTGCTTCGCCATAGACGCCTCGTCATTTGCAGGTCGCCGCGCGCAATGGTAGTACTAGCACTCTCCCTCCCCAGAGTTGTCTATTTGCATGTTCTATTGAGCTGCTGCGGAGTGATAATAGTACGGAGTAGGCTGACTGACATAGGGATTCTGACTCCTGTCTGTACCTCGAATCGACCGCCGTTGATGGCGAACAGAACCAACCTGCCAGGACAAGTGGTGCCCATGTTCCCGAGACGGGTAGTATGGTCCCTCAATTAGACACAGTTTGAGGGGCAATATAACGATGTACTATCATCACATTTGTTCCTGCAACCAAACCCCAGCACATATCCAAGACTAGCGTGGATGGGAGTTAAATGCCAGGAGCAGCCAGGGCCAATAGGAGAGCTTGCCTGATACCGCTGAGTCTATTCCACAGCAGATATGGCAGATGATAATACGCCGTGCCTTTTCCCGGGTGGTATGCTGCAGGTCAGTTCCAAGTTGACGCGACCTGCTGTGGCGGCATCACGGATTACCGAGCACCCAGGACCGATTGTTGAACTTCATCGCCATGTGATCACCGGACCAAACAGCCATGCACGACTTCACTTGTATCACTTGACGTGCGTTTGCGTTGCTGAACGAGAATACCGCAGCAATGTCTTGTCCTAGCGCCTTGGCGCTGGCACATCTGCCTCTCTCCCACCTCTTCCTATGTGGCGAAAACCAAATGCAGCCCAGCCTGACGACGACCGGGGCGTGTAATTTCTTTTTCAAAACATGTCCTCACTCACCGCAGTGAGAATCTCGTGTACAATGTCTCAAACAAACCATGGCTGTACAATGCGAACATACATGCCGGTATGTACTAGTAGCATGTTGACAGGCCCATGTACATGGTATGTTTACCACTGCCAGATGAGTGTTGGAAATGTTTCCATGCAGATCTAGGCGCGGGACGTGCTCCATACAGATGTTTTATATAAGGACATGAGTGAGACATTTTGGGTACCCAAACCACGCTTTTTGAGCGAGCGCCCGTTCATCGCGGCTAGAGCTTCGATTTTTTTCGTGACATTGCCTAGTGTGGAATTCCACATAGACACTCACAGTCAAAGTCCAGAGCATACCCAGGCACACCAAGGTAACAATCGGCACTATGCCAGGTTTTAGTGATGACCTGACGAAATCGTGAGTACCTATCAAGGAGACTTGTGTTTTTCCAAAACACACCAGACCGTTGACGGACAGAGGGTAGCTACGTGCGTATTGCCACGCCAAAGGTTAGGCCTTGGCATGTCGTGCAATATTGAAGCCCCCATATTGGTTCTCGTTGAGTCTTGACGATGTGTTTGTACTACGTTCTGACCAGATTCAATGGTCTCTAATCAATGGCAATGTGAATTTGGCTACCAATGAGGCGGCGTTTTTCTTCTTTCTACATCGACGGTGCTGGCGAGGGGGGCCCTGTGAAACATCAACCGACATGAGCAATGACCTCCCTGTGGTACCCTTCAAGGTGGTAAGGTAACCCTGACCAGTCTGGTTAACGGTCCAAGTTCTCAGCGGCTGAGTGTGGATTAGAGTGCAGATTCACAGCCAGCCTGTCGGATCAGACAGCTGCATCTGATATGAGGTGACGCTGGCGCGAAATGCTCCGACGGGTATGCCGCCTTTTTGGAGGAGATCCAAAAAGCTTTGTCGAGTGGTACCAGAATCATACTACCCCCAACACAGGAATGAAAGCGAGTCTTTTCCTGAGGACCGACCAAGACTTTTTGCATACATGCCGAACGAAAGCTGTGATAATGTGGCTCAGGGGAACACGCCAATACTGCCAAGACCGGTACAGAGAGACGGGTAGTGACGAATTGTTGGCGTAAAGTGGCATTTTGTTGACGATGTGGGCTACTGCTGGTAGGTTTGGCCTAAATTAGAATTAGGAGCTGATGAAGTGCTCTCCACACAACGCAAATTTCGTGTGTACTACATACATCGGGGCTAATCCTGGCATTCCCCAGGCGGCCATAGCTTGCTGTCGGTCGAAAGGCCCTTGAAGAACCGATAGGGCATTGTGTCTCGCACAGAGCTGACATATGTGTGGGCTGCTGCTACCTTTTGAGGCTGACGCAGCAGTACAGTCCGTCGTAGTGCCATCCAACATCCGTGACGAGGAGACCGGCTGGTTGGCTGATCTAGCAGTGAGGGACTAGTTGTAATTACCAGCCAGCCCTGCGCATCTGTGGGCTGCTGACAAGACTCCTGACGCTCGAGTCCTGACAGGTGGACAGGAGTCACAGGACATAGAGGCGAGACCAGCGGAGAATGCGCTTCAAAGCCATAGTCATCCCCATCGCCGCCAGTCAGGATATTGGGAGCGGAGTCTCTCCGGAGTGGATCTCATGCATGTCGTCAGAAATGGTCTGGATATTGACGATTCTAATTAGCGTGGAACGATCGAGGAGGCATTGCCTAGTCCTAGGAAACACACTGATGATAAGACGGATATTTGGAGTGATGAAATCAATCTTCTCCATCCTCTCCCCCCATGGAGACTTGCTGACTGGGGAACCATCCACGCCGCACGCCGCACGCCGCACGCCGCACGCCGCCTTCCGTTGTGGTACTGCACATACGGAGTATACCTTGGTGGTTAGCGTAACATGGAGTATGTACACATGCACTCCTAATAGAATGGTCCATCCGATACTACCGAGAGGCGAAAATGGTTTGCGTCGGCCTTGTTCTCCGCCTTTCTATCTTCTTACCGCTGCGTTGGGAGGCGCGGAAATCCTTTGCAATCATGCGAGCTTGAGAAGCAGCGCAAGCGCAGGGCTGGCAGGGATCAGCGGGCTTCATTTCATATGTCGGGCATTTTGCAGAGGAGACGTCGCAACGAATTCCAGGCTGGATGGATTTGCAGTGGAATATTCTAAAGTCGGCAAAGCCACTGGCTCCCAAGTCGACCTGGCATTTGTCGCTTGGGACAGCTGCGTGGCCACTCCGTACTTCATGACGGTCTGTCAGTCGGAGCAAAACAGCCAGTAAATCCTCGCCGCGCCAACTTGGCGGTGATAGTCACTGGCATGGATGGTGCCTCGAACGCTGTAGAACCAGACATCCGGAACGATCTGTGTTCCTGCTCTCAAAGGTCCAGGGATTAAGGGGCCTGTAAAAGCTGGGTGACGTGACCAGATATCTACCACGAGTGAACGACCGTCGGGTGGTGGTTCTCGAGAACAATCCAGGCAGCCACTGATAGAATCCGCATATGAATGCACTGCGGAATCGACTTGTATGACACTGATTGGCGTGCCTAGCTACTAATCTGTGCGTCGAGATATAAGGAAGGGTGTCCAGGTTGCTGAGGCGAGGCAGCTTCGGCTTCGGAGAATAAAACCAGCATCCTGGTTGGCATTGCCAAACCCCGTTCTCGCAGAAAAAGGCCGCAGCGCCACATATTATGATGTGGACTTCTCCATTCTCGCTTTGATAAATAGGTCGAGTGACGTTTCGACCTAGAATAGCCAAGTGCATCATGTATAGGCACGATGATGTTTCTCTGGCATCATAGACCAGGTCGTGCACGTATGCACAATACTACGCCGTAACGGTCGCGTTCTTCGTCCTCGAGAAGGTGGGCATATAATGAACCCTTGATATGAACAAGAGCTCAAGTTGCTGGTTCAAGTGGACACCCGTAAGGAATCCGACAAGGTTTGGCATACTCGAGTTATGCAACTCGCTCGCCTGGTTGGATCCATCCTCGGAGATGCGTCCACATACATGAAAGGCTGCATTTTGGGGGTCGCTGGAGTGGATCGACCGGTGTGAGCGTTTTTTCCGTACCATTGAAACCCACGAGCATCGTGTACCCTGCCTGGACGGGTAGGGCAATGACAGGCGAGACAAACGAGGCCGGCAAGGCAATGGTTGTTCCCTCAGCTGGGCAAGGTCGTCACTGATTCAGTTGCTGGGGCAGGACTGGACAACTGGCACAGCTTAGCAGCCAGAGTGATGAAGTGTACGGGGCATGTACCTGGGCAGTCCATGTATGTAGCATGTGCGGAGTGCATACAGAATGTTTAAACAGTTTGTGGAGGAGGCGTCGCTGCTGGTTCTTCAAGATCCACAGCAGAGAGTTGCTCATATTAGCGGACCTGTCAGGCATCGGAGGTCTGTCTCTCTCGTCTCATACAGCGGTTGGCGGCAGCGAAGTCAACGATCCGTCGAATCGTAGGAGCGGGCACAAGGCACAAGGTATCGATCGTCCCCAACTGCCTCCGCAGGGCATTTGGCATTTGATGCTTGGCACGACTGGCCTCTTTCGTGACCGTGGGTGGTGGCTGTACTCCCTCCACACGTACTCCGTACTCGGTACTCCGTAGCATCTGCCAGTGTTAGGAAAGCCCTTGGGCGCGGCGACCAAACATACGAGTCAACGAGTGAGAATGCTTGTAGCTGATAGCCGTGGCTTCAGGGAACACATGCGTCTGGCTCCGCGGATTCGCGCAGGCTAGCAAAAGAGCCCTTATAAGTTCGCCGCGTGGGGATGGAAGCTCACAAGGTTCCTAGCCGCACTCCTCTGTGCCGAGACCGAGACCTGTGCTAGCATTTCGGTAATATAGGTTAGGTTGTGTACATTGATATGGGGAACTATAATGGATAGAAAGAAGAAGGAGAAGAAGGAAATGGAGTGCCGGGTGGAGGGCGCAGAGTGCAGAGTGCAGAGTGCAGAGTGCAGGCTGCAGGCTGCAGGCTGCGGAGGGCAGACTACAGACGGGGAGCATGTACGTACAAAGCAGAGCCGTGAGCACCACGGTGTCTTTTTGGATTTGGAGATCATTCAAGGAAAAGTCGAAAAGGACGGTGTTTTGGATGGGGCTTAGGTTTTGGCTTTGGTGGGCTCGAGCATCCAAATCGACTGGTGCGTCAACTGTCTTTCTCCTCTCCACCTCCAGAGCAACTCTGACTGGCACTTGAGATTTCGCAAACACAACCACGCCGACGTTAGCGTTAGCGCATTACGGATGCCTTTCCCGGTTCTCCCGAACGTCTACTAGGACTTGGCTCTTCCTAATTTTTTTCCTTCACAGGACAGACAGTATGAGACGTATGAGACCAGATGACATCTGCGGCTAGTTGGGACCTGGTCGATGTGTTGTGCACCTGTGGCGTGGGCTCGTGGGCTCGTTGGACGCGGGACCCCCTTCCCCCCCTCCCGAGTCCAAAAACTGTGCCAATCGAGGCCCAAGTACGGAGTCATTGTCGTGCAACCTCCCCTGCCTGTCAGATCTCGGCCGAGGGGTGAGGAATTGCTGGTGATGGTCCGAAGTAATATGGCAAGTTGGCCCGCATTTGCTCCTTCAGCTGTCGAGGGAACCTCGATGCTCGATGCTTTTATCACAAAGACATTGTTGGCTCGCATAGGCCGCAGCTCTGCCGGCGCAGATGCAACTCAGCTTTCGTAGCCGCGATCTGGGTACAAGATATAATATGCCGGGCATGCTCGTGGCTCATTGAATCTACAGGGAAGAATCGTAGGCTGACGACGGAGTACTCTAATTTTAGGGCCAACGGAAACAGAGGCGTCGACTCTGGATTGGAAACCAGAGACAAATTCTGGTACTTCGGAAACCTCGTACGATGGTTTGTTGCAACCGGTCCCAATAGCCCTCAGTCAAACGCCGCCACTTGTCGAGGCAACATGGGGGTTCGACTGAAGTACTATCAGCGTTGTCTCAGCCTTGCAAGACGACCCTTATTATAAGCGCTTCATTGGAGGATGTGTTTGGAACTCTGTCTGGCAACCAGCAGCATATATTCTGTACGGCTACATTCCATGTCTCCCCCTCCCCCGCCCAAATGAGTCTCGGACTAGCCATCAACGGACACTCTGGAGAACAGCGGCGTGCGGACCGTGTGTTTGAAGGGTAAAGATGTCGCTCTGGCCTCAGTCACGCAGGAATGCGCCCCCCCCCAAGTCCACTACCCCTTGGACACATGAGCAAGATGGGGGATATGGCGACAGTGGTCGTCCAACTCTGCGTCAAGAAGCAAGATTAAATTTACCTTGTCCAGTCGGTACTAATTCGCCATGTCACCGACAGACGAGCAATCGCAAACTTACCTGCCACTATCGGCAACAGTCGAGCACCGCCCCATTCGTCTTTTATTATCATGCCCTGCCTGTCTCTTGACTAGAGAGAGGGCTGCCTCGTGTGGCAACCTTTCTCGAGACGCAACGGCTGTTGGCCAAGCCTTTCGGTGCTACCCTAACCAGGGTTAGTCCTCTGGGAATCAGTGACCCATTCAACGGCGCTAAGAAGCTGCTTGCATGCATGCAGCAAATTAAGACTTGACCTGGAGACTCAGGTACTGCTACTCCGTACTAGCCTGGAAATCGTGTAGCTGGAATAGCCGTGGCCGGACAGCCTGTGCCAGGCAAGGGACGAAGTCAGTGCTCACGCTGAGATGGTCGTGCTCGATTCCGGGCCTTCGCTCTAACAGACATGAGCCTGTCGGTATCGCTAGGACAAGGATTGTTTGGGCAACACCGTGGTTGAGAACAAGACCAAAATCATCGACAAAAAGCCCGGTCTGCTGTGGACCACCAACCACTCCCAAGGCGGCTAAGCAGTGATTGAAGCGATGTGAGAAATGGCAAGGCCGCAGGGTGCTTCCGAGGCGCCGTTGTTAGATTCCCGCCAGGATCCATCCAATTGACAAGCTCTTGATATGGTGAACAACATGGGAAGCAGCCTTTCGCAAACTGGAGCCGCCCAACGCATGGCCTGTTGGGGAAGATGTGGAACAAGAACAACTTCTGCACATCTTCATTCATCCCTACATGAATATCAATCATTGCCTGTGGCCGAGGTGTGTACATTGCCGATCCAGCGTACGACTGGGCCTATACTCGACCAGGCAGTCCCCGTCGGCCAACTGAGGTACTGTTCGATAATATGCGGTCATATAAGAGACATATCACGCTATATCGAAAGGTACAGCCGCGGTAACGGTGCAGATTGCGCCGATGCGCCGATGCGCCGTTGCCAGATGCAACAGTTCGTTTTGTCAAGTTTGTTGCCATCGTTCGTCTCCAGCCCCCAACTGTGTTCCAGTCCTTTTCTGGCTAGTGGAGGAGGTTTGGCACTTTGTGCTGGCACCGCAGAGAGATTGGCCACCAAGGGGCGAGGCTCAAAGTTTCTTGAAGCACTCTCGCGGGCAGCGAGCTGTCGTCCCTGCCCAAGGTTGCTGATGCTGGTGTTCGGTGTTCGGTGCTCGGTGCTCGTGCTCAAGCTCAAGATCAACTCATCCACCAGCACCCGTCTCGCACTAATACATGGATAGCCACGAACTACGACGGGAGTACGGAGCAAGCTTAATATGGATAGAGAGATGCTTCTAACCAGGGTCCACAAATACTCATCGGAAGTACCTCAACGGTCTCCACCAAGATACGCTGGGTATTCCTAGGATAGAACGAGATATACGGAAGTTCCATGTTCCATGTCTGAATGGCAGTCATGATTGTCAAATGTGGACGCAGAATGGACCTGCATACCGAAGGCAAGATTTAGAAAGACCAGACTCACTAGTCATATCGATTCGGACTGATTCTTACCGCCGGTCACTTGGCAGGGAACCTCACAATCTGTATTTCATTCCCGGGGGGGGCCATTTGTTGCTTCATTAAAAATATCTCTCGCCCCCGCCCAGCAGCAGAGTTCCATCAGAGAGTCAATACTTGCCGCCACTCGCAAGCTAGTAAACCTGGCCAAAGTGAGCTGAGGCACCAAGACGAGTGAGCAACCAAGGCGAGCAAGCAACTTATTCACCTGTGACCAACCTGCGACCTTGTCCTTTGTTTTCCTTCCCACTCACAAATATATTGGTCAGCCCATGTACTGGCTTTGGTTGACCATTGTCGTTGATCCGAATTGGCCTCCAAGACTTTGCATTTCCATGGTCCTACATGACAGGGCAAGATTTTCCAGCACTAATGGAATAGCAAGTGTTCCACTAGAAAAACCTGACTGAGAGTGACTGGCTACAGTCTGAGGTTTTCGTTGCCACCCCGGTACACGCCACGCCTTCAAAGTCCACAGGTGAGAAAAAGAAAGACAGTCGAAGGACGCTTAATAAGAGACATCCCGCCAATATTTCTCCTCCGAGCCTGGCACCAGCAAGTCACCGCCTTCCCTTCTGTCACCCATCAGAAATTTCGGAGCCGGGTGCTCCAGTAGCTGCATTACAACCCACTCAGCTCGTTCAGACGTGGTATAAGGGCGACTCGGCGACGCGGAAATAAAAGCAAGAAAGAAGACTGTTCTCCCGCAGTCCTTGTTGTCGTGGGCTGTTCCAGATCGGTGCCAGGTATATCGCAACACGCTTCCTCGGCTGTACCGCTGTCCCTTGGCACTGTTTCTGGGCAGCTCAGCGGACGTCCAAAACCAGTGCCGACTCATTCAGGACGTTCTGGGCTAATACAATAGGCGCTGTGGCTGGTTATGACGAGTCTTTTCACAATCTTTGGATTCCCTGTTTACTGTCGGTGGCCTCTACTGCCGTCATAATTCACCTCTCAAGATCACGGCAATCGTCGGCTGCATGCGTACGAACCGTCTTAAAGTATCAAATAATCTCGTCAGCGGTCACCTTGCGCTTTTCCCACGCTTCAGGCCTCCCAAGAGATTGGAACATTAGACCCGAATACGGACAAGGGGCCTGCGCGAAAGCTCCGGTGTTGCGAATCAATTCGGCCGTCTTGAGTACGCATACTGCGAGGTTCCTTCTATCAATCGCAACGGAACTTCAATTTATGGCCATTCTTGAATTGGGGAGATCGGATATTGGGTATTGAATTTGTAGGGGACCTCGGGCCACCGAAATTGTCAAGAAAGAATCAAGCCCTGGATGCTGAGCAATGGCCTATCACTTGACGCAGCCCTCAGAAGATCAGGTGAGTGTTGACTCCTCTCCACTGAATACTGGCCTAGGTAGCGACTTACTTCTTCTGCAGACACTTTTGTCTCGAAAGGAAAACCAGAAATCAAACATGGGGTCCCCAGAGAGGCCCAACAGCCCCAATGCCGTGCTCAAGAGGTCCTTCAGTACTCCGGATGCGGCGCGATTGCAGAAACAAGCAGCAGTCGACTCTCAAGGGCAGCATTCGTCTACTGGTGAGAAGAAGCGCAACAAGCTTGGTTACCACAGAACGTCCATTGCCTGCAGTATGTCTGATCCCTCGTCATCCCTCGTCAGTGGAAGGCCCATTCATCTCTCTTGTGCTGACGTGGACTCTGAAGGTCATTGTCGACGAAGAAAAATTCGATGTATTGCGTCGCCAGATGTCCCCAATCGGTGCGTCAATTGCATTCGGTTGAAGAAAGAATGCAGCTTCTATCCCGTTGATCAGCAGCCGGGAGCAGACGCACGAACCAAAGCACCGTCGCGGCAAGCAGGTGGCCCAAATGCGTCATCTGCTTCATCATCTCCGGCCGTTGGTACCGGAAGCCCGGCAGGAACACCATCATGTATGATAGCAAGCGGCGTCAACTTGTCAGGTTCCCAAGGAGCGAACGCCGACTATTTCCCCTCCGATGCTACTGGTAAGTACCCAATTGCTCGTAGAGGTCCCCGGACTTTCTCACTCATGCGCTTTATCATGCAGTCTCGCCCAATGGCATGCCTGCTGGCAGTCAGTACACTTTCGCAAATCAGCCGACTTCAGGTTGGGTATCAACGGATATGAGCTCGACCGGCGTTTCGAAACCCGAGGAGATGGCAATGCCATGGCATGCGTATCCAACAGAGTCGCCCATCAGTGGCCAGTTCTCTCCCTACACGCAGACATCCTCTGCTTCAATACCTTGGACGTCTGGAACCTCAGAGGCCGGGTCGCACGACGAAATGGCATGGGGAGAGTTTCCAACACCAATGAGATCGCTATCATACAGCGGCGAAAGCAGCGGGAGCCACCCGCAAGTTCCTTTCATCCAAATGACTCAAGCACAAGGATACGAACGCCGGCAATCCAATTTTCCCGATGCGTATCCGCCCTTTCCGACAACCGTGGCTGGGGGCAATCCGATGACTGGCGTATGCACCGCAACCCAGGTGCTACCCGGGGCAACATTTGCACCAGGTGTGAGTCCGTGGCAGTCGCAACAACTTCTGGCGTCTCAAGGTTCAACTTCGGATTGGCAGTATGGCACACCAGATGGTAATCAAGCAATATTGATGGAGGATCAACGGATGACACCAGGGGTCACACAAGCTCCATCCGGTGTATATTACTCCACCTAAGTTTGATTTGATGGAATCGACCATTGATGTTAGAGCTACGACAATGACCTGAAATTGGTGGCATACTCCTTGAAATGCGGATTCCATACTCTGCCAGTAACTACTTCGCGCGTTGCACTCGTTGTTTACGACTGGTGTTCAGGCACGTGTGCCTCGACGGGCAGTCGCGACAAACATGTACCCATGGATCCACGACAAAAGACTCTCAGAAATGAAGACAACGGTTAAATACTAGCTGAGTGCTGTTTGGAAACATCCGATCGTTCCTGCCAAGGAAGAAAATATGATACCTGTCGACCGGACGATGGAAGCTTGCAGCACTGTCACGAATTGATTCATCGCCTCATGAATGCACCGTTTATGTTCTGGCGAAGGGGATGACGAAATGTTTCACGCCTATAGAGCTTCGGAATGAAAAGATTTTCTCGTAAGCAAGGAGAAGAATCCAAGGGACAATTTGGTCGAGGGGAGACTGATGGAATGCGCATTTTGGCCTGAGTGGGGACCGACCCGGGCGGGTTGATATTGGCGATCTACTGCTTGATTTATTCGCGTGAATGGCCTTGGAATTATACACATCACATTTCACGGAACAAGCGCTCAGGTTTGATGTTTAGAAATTTTTCTGGAGTAGAAATCATTCAAACGGCGTTGGGTCACTATTGAAAGGATACATGCATATACAATAGTCGATAGGGGAAAATATACATTGTACCAACGGTGTGATCCTTTGTTTCGCCGCCCGATGTTTCACACGGATCGAGGTACAGTACGTCATTCTTCAAGTTGAAACAACATGGGGTCCAGGACCAACGAAGCCGCATGAAGACGTGGTCATGAAACCAAGCGCCAGGTCAGCACAAAAAGGGTGGTGTAGGCCCCTAAGCTCAGCGCCGTCATGAGCAAGACCGTATCACCGCTAGTTTTGAACTTTCTGTGAATGGTGCCACCAGAGGATTCAGCAGTGAAGAACTGCCGATTGCCCTGATAGCGTCGGTACGCGGCCACGAGCAACACGGCCACGCCGTACACGGCAAACAGAGCACCAATGGCGTAGAACTCCTCGGTGAAAATCTTGACAATGACCAGCGCAAAGGAGAATTGCCCGAGAGCAGTACGCACGTAGGCGCCTTCAAAGGTGCGTTGCGCCGCGCGGATTTCCACAAGCCTGAGGCGTTTGACGATGTGCCGATTAGTCTTGTCCTGGCCAGGACTGGAGGGAGGGGCGGTACGGAGTATCGTGACTCACTCCTGAGAAGTCAGGACCACGGATCGCGCTCTGTGAAGGCGCAGGTGGAGGTGTTCCTCGGGGTGTGGCTGCACGAGCCCAGTGGTCCAGTGGCAATCAATCAGTCGGTTCTGTGATAACGTGGGCTCGTGCCAGCAGGACCAGTCTTACGTGGAACATGGTTGTGTAACTTGGGTTGTGTTGTGCCTAATATGAGGCCACGCTCGTTCCTGCATGCTTTCGTTCCTGCGAAGAATTACGTGCCGGCGGGGACATGTCGTGGGCGAGCAAGGTGCCACAGCAGGTGCCGGCGCCGGGGCGATGATCGCAGTCCAGATGTTATTGTAGGGGTACGGAGTAGCAAATGTCGCCGGGCTGGTTTTCTGAATCCTCATGGCTCATGGTGTGAGGTCGGCGGTTGGCACGGAGGTTATGACGTGAGGGGGAGGGGTGGCCGATTTAGGTCTAGCGCGATTTCTTCGGACAACCATCACGTGGCCGAACGGTCGCATAGTGCCTGATATTTCGGCATCACAGAGGAGACACGGACAGTTAAGTTACTCGGTCGATCAAGATTGGGATGAGACGTAGCGATTGACTCGCGGTATGCAACCTTGATAAAAAAAAACAGAACGTCTCGGGCAATCTAAAGCACAGCTTTGAGGGGTCCAGGCAACGAAATTGACGAACCGCGGATGGAAACAATTCCGAATTGATCGCGGACGTGCGGGATACTGCACAGAGAACAGAGACACCACCGTGATACCGAGTACAAGATAACGTTACAAGCTACTAGAGGCTGGTGGAACCCTTTCCGGGCTGCGCCTTTGCCTTGGATGGCTTAGATCCAAGGGCCTGCCCGGCCCTGACCCTGAGCCATGGCGACTGCTCGGCACGCGCCGTTAGGGCTGGACCCATGGAAGTTGGAGCACTATCATTACTACTACTACGACCCTCATCAGTCCATGTGCCCCGAGGGCTTCGGATGTCGCCAAGAAACACAAGATCAAGACACGTCACACGCCTCCGTCCGTATAGACCTTGGGGGCCAAACAAAAAGACTGCTCACTTCTTCTCAAGTGGGAGCGAGCGCAAGTCGTTCGACGTCTCGCGTAGGCGGTGCAACACGACGCAATGGTGGGGTGGTCTCCCTCAATTTCGATTCTCAGCCGCGAGAACCCATCTTTGTCTTTCCCCTTTGCCCATGACGCTGAGCTGAGCATCATTATACTTGCCTTGGCCAGACGCTCCTCGCCTTGCATATTGAGATGAGGGAGGGTTCTACGGAGCGGTACTTCCGACTTGGGCATCACGCACAACCTGCCGCCGAGGGGAGACTCTGACCATGACGACTAAAAGATGCCGGCTTGCTTTGGCCACTCCGCAATACCAGTCGCGGCAGCGGGAATCCTTGCAAGTTTCATCATTATCACATTCAATGACGCTACTATGTAATCCCACAACATAAAAGGCGCCTTTACGATCTCGGAGCGACTTGCCAGGACCGCTTGGCGGAACTTGAGTCCATACATACTACTTGAACCAAGGTATATATGACGGGGAGGGGAGGTCGTCGCTCAAACCTTAGCCAGCCCGGAGGGTGGATGTGGCTGACACTGCTGGGGTCGAAGGACAAGACACCCTTTGGCGGTTGCACAAAGGAAACTCACTAGAAGCAACTGCTGCTCGTGAGGCGTTCTAAAGTCGGGCGAGGCTGATTGTGCCAGACTCAGCCCCATGGCTTGACGGATGAAGCCACTTGAGTCACTGCTCCCACAGGTGTTGAATTGGGAACGAGATACACACTCGTCAGTCACTGAGCAGAGTTGATGCCTCCAGGCCCTACGGCAACGGGGATGAGACAGTCGTCTTGCCTGGGAAAAGGGGTCGAGAAAGCCGAGTTGGGGCTGGCTACCGAAGCATCTCGACACGAAGCTAACGAGTGGACGAGAAGGAGACTGACTACCTTGTGCCAAGACTCGATGTCCTATCCTGGTCCATCCACGGAATATGCCAGTGGATGACCACCTTGCTCTGAGAGGGGAACAGATGGCTGAGTTGGCTGTTGGAGATGATGGTGGGGACCGACGCGGTGTGACCACCTGGCTCAAAGGCTGAATTGGAAGATGGCGAGTTTCTTCTACTGTATTGACAAAGACAGACAGATGCTTGCGATGGGAAGTTGAGAGAGTCCATATACTGACTAGACGACCCAGTGAGCGGATAGAGCTGATGCCGCAGATTATCAAGGACAAGTGAAGAAAGCGGCGGTCGGCAGCTGCGACTTATTACATAAGTTAACTGCTGGGTACTTGCACTTGAGCATCTACCATCTCCCCCAGCGCGGCCAGCACTTTCCTCGTACGGAACCTGGGCCGGTTCTCGATTAGTTACGAGGTACTTAAGTACGTACTTAAGTAGGATGTACTACTTCACCTCAGCCCTCAAGCCCGCACAGTCCATCATTGACACCTTCTTCCCTCGACACACACTCACCTCTGCTTTGAAGCGCATACCACATATCGCGCTCGTGAGGTCTCTCGACTGCCGCCCGCGCTTTGCTCCAGCCAGCTGGGCTAGAGACGCCGTTTCCCTCATGACCCTTTTCCATGACCTGTTCATTGCAACCACTAGCTAGGACTGGCCTCTCAACATCGAAGCGATTGCCGTCGGCGCAGCCAGGAACATGACACCCTGCTGGTGACTTCTTCCACGCCAGACTGAACACCAGTAGCTCGCAGGGTCACCTTGACAATCGGAGCTGCGCCTTTCTGCCTTGCACTTGGCAATACCCTCTGCTGGTGCTCGCCGGGGCGACTGGGCCTCTTGCTCCGCCATCATGGCTTCAAGCTTTGCTGAGGCACCTGCACCCTGGCAAAGCCAGGTCTCTGAACCCCGTGCTACTCATCAATCTTCAGATGCGAACCGACAAGAAGGCCTATCTCGCGGAACGGATCCTTTGGGCTTGTCGCGCCGTCCAAACGAAGCCGTGTCCGTGGCCCCTCCTGCCCAACATATTGAGACGCCTGCTGGTTCGAATGCGACTCTGAGTCACCATCAGTCCGGCGACCTCAGCGACCTCGACGACGACCCGTTCTTTGGTGCCGACTTTGACACTATTGACCCGGCGACGCCTTCATTTTTGGACGAGGGCACGTGGGATCAGACCACCTTGTCTGCCAACAATCCTACAATATCCGCCTCCCACCATGAAACAGCAGTAGACGGCGCCTCGTATCCCCTGACGCCCTCACGCACCGCCTCTTTGCACGCGACACCGCTTGCAAGTGATCCCAAGCATCTGGCTAGGATCGCAACTTCCGAGACGTTCCCGGATTCCATCTCGCCACAACAGCTCCAGCGGTCCTTCAAGCCAAATCCCATCCTTGTCACCTCATCAACGCTTACCCCAAGTCACAGCAGTAGTAATCGGACAAGCGAGGACGGTCTTGTACCGGCTCCTGCGGCTATGCATCCCCAGAGTCCAAGAGTGACCATCTCACTCTGGGACAAGGATGATGACGCTCCCATTCATGCTGTCGAGCGTACGTTAGAAGACAACTCGAGGACGGTCTATGGGGGCATCTGCTCCGCAGGTGACCTCATATATGCCGCTCAAGATCGAAATTTCATGCCTGGCAATAGATATTCCTCGGAATGCTGGCAACATGAGCCTGGATCAAGACGAGCAGGGCTTGATCCCAGCCGTCGTCCATCTGACGATATACTCAGCATCAATGAGATTGTTTCCAAAAGGGAAAATGCCCAACGCAATCAAGAAGTCGGGCGGTGGTTGTCAGATAATCCTGATGACATGCTCGTTCCACGGGAGAAAACTGCGGACGAAATGCGAGCCATTGACGCCATGGTGCACGGAGACGATGAGATCCCTTTCGGACAACACACTGAAAACCGATTCAAGGAAGGGATGACGATTCTTGGCGGCAGTGGAGGCGACATGTCTGATGTTGATCGGAGAATTCTTCTCTCCAGTCGAAATTTCGGAGACGGGCCTGTCCTTCATGAGATCCAAATGGGAGAGCCAGGGAGATTCCAACCAGAATCATCACAGGCCGCCATTGCCAGATTCGAGAGCATGTGCCGAGACAATGATTCCATTATCTCGAGATCCGCAACTTGGGGCACTCGTCGGCGAAGTTTCCCCAGTCTTGTTGACGTCGAAGGTGTAACCAGCGGGAATTTCTTGAAGAAGTTGTCCATCAGCCGCGGCAACGGAGAGAAGACTAGCAAACCAGGCAGCTTCCTCAGGGATCTTCGAGGCCTTGTAAGACGTACCAGCACCAACCAACTGCGGAAGCGATCGCGAAGTCGCTCTCGTGGTCAATGTGATGGTCTGGCGGAGTCAGCAGTTAACGAAGGAGCTGAACGACACATCAAACGCGAGAGCACGCCGCACTTGTCGCCCCCCCTAGGATCAGCTGGCAGTGGCAAGAAAGTGGCCCCCAGCATTAACACTACCTTGGCATCCATGAGCCAAAATTTTGCGTCCATGTGGACAGGTCATGCCAGAAGTGGCTCTGTCAGCGGATCGTCTCCAGTGACCTCACCCAGAGCGTCCGTTGGTGGTCTTGGCGTCAAGAATTCACTCCGAAGACCTCGGAGTAAATCTGAGATTCCCAAGCCCACAGGCGGTGTACCTGATCTCGAAGGCGCATCAAGTCTCGTCGACATGTGGCGCAAGTCTGGTGGCCCTCCGGTGGCGCCGGTTGGCAGTGTTAGTCAAGCCCACGTTGCCGATGACGACGATGATGACGATGACGACGACCCTTGCGAAGATAATGATATAAGGAGGACGAACCCGCATCTAATTGACGAAATTACGCCAAACTTTACTGGATTTCAACAACATGTGATTCTGTTGAACCCGGCATTGGAGAACCAACATGGGTATTTGGTGGAGCGCATTGCTCAGCACCAAAATATCAGATTCAGACAGTTGCTCAGCGCCAGGGTTAAGCACCTGAACCTGGGCGCCAATTGCTCTTCCGGCTCCTTGTGCATGGCACTCGGCGGATCCGCAATTATTCTTGATCGGAAGGGTAGTAGTACCAAGTTGTTGGATCCTCTGTCGGCTAGAATGGATGAGGAGGAGGGCGTGCCAACAGAGGGCACCATCAACCAAGAAAGCTTTCCGCAGGATATTCCCATGCCACCAACTCAGTATCTACCTGCAGAGTTCGAGTGTCAGCTTTGCTATCAGAGGAAACAATTTCAGAAACCATCTGACTGGACAAAGCACGTGCACGAGGATGTACAACCATTTACGTGCACTTGGGACAAGTGTCGAGACCCGAAATGCTTCAAACGCAAAGCCGATTGGGTCCGACATGAGAATGAAGGCCACAGGCATCTAGAATGGTGGACATGCGATGTTGACGACTGTCGACATACCTGCTACCGCCGAGACAACTTCCTTCATCATTTAGTGCGCGAGCATAAGTTCTTGGAGCCCAAAGTAAAGACGAAAGCTGCCATGAAGCGTGCTGGGGCCACGGATCCAACATGGCAAAAGGTCGAACAGTGTCATAACGAGACAACGAGCCGACCACAAGATGAGCCATGCCGATTCTGCGGCAAAGTCTTTCCGACTTGGAAGAAGCTGATCGTTCACCTGGCCAAGCATATGGAGCAGATTTCCCTCCCCGTCCTGCGGCTTGTGGCCGCCAAGGCGATGGAATTTGTTGCTGACACCATCAGTCCAATTCAGGACCCTCCGCAAACACAAGCAATCCCCTTGCCCATGACACAGGCCGCGACTCCATCACGGTTCCTCGGTGGACAACAGATTCAGCCGCAGCACAGCTACAGCCCCCCGAATTTGGGATTCCAGTCGCCAAGCCCCTGCTTATATTCTGTCGTAGCAGCTGGACAAGTCCACCAACAACAGCCCCATCTACCACAGTCTGAACATACCGGACCGAGTCTTCCGTCTGACATGGGCGTGGAGCAACTGAATCAGGGTTACGGCACGGTTAAGCGACTGCAGAAGATGCAGGGAAACCAAGGCGGAAGCCACTTGGCGTCAAACAGAGACTTCGCTACCATGCCAGAAACCGATGTAGAGCCGTTTCCGCAACTGAGCATGACTGCTCTTGGACTGCAAAACGCGCATCTAGGAGGCCGGCTTGGTGGGCAAATGAGCTTCGACCCAACGATGGATCCGTCCAGCGCGAACGGGAGTCCCTTCAGTGGGCATGAGTCACTGTCGACATATTCTCACTCGCCGCAGACGGACGCGTCAACTAATAACCGAGGCCAGCGGTATAGTCAGCACCAACAGCGACGGCAGCACCATTGTGACGAGCGGCCACTTTTTTCCTGAATTTCTATCAGCTTGTCGTCCCAGGAAAGAGCTGACGTGGTTCAGGCGGCCATTGAATATTGCACTTTTCTTCTCATTTGAGTGACTAATAACTCTCGGTCATTTCACAACTGGACATGGTTTCTAGCCCCTTTGTCCAGCATTCGCCATATGTCAGAATGGCGCAGCTGAAACGTGTGGCTGGCAGGCGTTGGATTTTCAAGGCAGATGGGCTGTACTGTAGTACAACCAATGGCGTCGGAGCCATTCTGAGCAAGAGGACTTGCATAGTCTGGACAATGGACATCCAATAAATAGCATGGATGGATGCGTGCAAGACGCGTTCCTAAAGAGATGAGTTGACCTTGGCGGGTTATCGCCGCGGTTGACAGTGTTGACTGATAGATATCCTTGATCTGGGTGCGTATAGATTTGGGCAAATGCAGCCTCAACCGGGGGTTCACGTAGCGCCTGCTGAATGTTTATCTCGTGGGACCCACATGGAAGCGTACCCGGGACATGATGGATCATGAAAGATGTTTCTCTTGGTTGACGCGTGTGCAAGGGGGAGGAAATCGGAGGTCGTTTCATTTTTTTAATTTTTTTAATTCTTTCCTTTTTGCCTTTTTTCACCCCTTCTTCTCCCTTGATGACCGGTAGGACGGGCACGGGAGTCCGGCAATGCGTGGCTGCGAGGCAGGGGGGAAGCCTGGGTGGAATGTCGTCAACTGGTAGAGACTGCCAGGCGCGCAGTGGGTACCGCGATCTACAACCATCACCCGTGCGTGCTCCGTAGACATGTAGGTACCTCAAGTACCGAAGTAGGTAGGTCTGCAGCGTTGGGCTGTCTCCGTTTGTGCAGGCTTTTTTTCCTTGTCCGCTCTGCCGCTCTGCCTCTCTGCCTCTCTGCCTCTCTGCCTCTCTGCCTCTCTGCGCCTCTTTTACCCTTCTTGTTCCCCGGCAAGAATGAGATTGGGGCACTGCCGCGTGGCAAGACGGGGCCCGGCCCGGCAGTTTGTCGCAGCCGCGAGCGAGCCTGCCCCGAGCAGATTATGGCGTGGGATCGTGCACGACTTGTCGCGGCCGGGATGGCGTCTAAAAGTAGGCAATGTGCCGCTCATTGCCCACCTGCCTACTTAAGTACCTGCTTGTCTGCCCAAGTGCCTACCTACAATACTCAAGTCAGTCAGCAGTTGCTAGGGAAGAACGGCCAGGAAAGGCGGCAAGCCTCGAGTCACGCCGGGCACTCGGTACGGAGGACACGAAAACGAAATCTCTGACAACTCGTGCGTACAACAGTATCCGCTCTGCTCGGTACGGAGTAGGTGTGGCGACTTTGCATTGGAGTCGTTTTTGCTTGGACAGACCAGACACTCCCTAGTACCTACGGAGTGCTGAGTAGCACAAGCACTACTCCGTAGTACGGAGTACTACTACTCGCGTCACGACGACGACGGCGGTTTGTTTGGGCGGCAGCAAGGAGGGCTAGAAGCGAGAGCAGCCTTGTGTTGTTGGTCATGGGGGTAGGAAAAGTCGAGACGTTTGTTGTTCAACGATGCATACGCGCAGCCCGGCATTGACGACCACGTGAAACTCTGGGTCGAGTCGACGATGCATAATAGCACTACGGAGTAGTATGACTAGTATGGACTGACTGACAGGAGTCTGTGCCGCGAACAAAGCACACGTCATCCCATCTCGAGGCCTGGAGGGCAGGCCAGCATCGGAAGCTCCATTACCCCAGCAACTCGGTGGCCGTCCACATGACGCTCGGCTTCGGCGAGACGTTCGTCTACCTCAATCTCCTGTACTACGTGAGGTAAGAATCCCCTTCCCACAGCGGTAGCGGTCGACGGGGCTCCCAACTTGCCGCCGCCGCCCCTGCTTACGCCTTGTCAGCACCCTCATGCTTCACCGCGAGTACTTCCCCTTCCTGCCGACCCCGGAGTCGGAGCCACGGGGTCCAGTCGACCAGCCCATGCTGGGGGCGCCCGCCCCCGAGGGCTGGTGGGACGACAGCTCCCGACTCCTCTTCGGCGCGGCAGAGCACATCGCCGCCATTCTACACGAGGCCTCCGAGTGTGGCGTGCATCTCATGACGCCCTTTGCCGGGTTCTGCGCATTCTCAGCCGGCTACCTCAACCTCTACGTGGCGAAATACCCCCGAATGAACCTGGGCCGCAGCCCGCGAGCAAGCGACTGTCTCAAAATGTGTCTCGACTACCTGGAAAAGTTTCGACTTGTCTGGAAAATCGCCGACGGATGGGTAAGCCGCCCGCAAGCATGACACGACCGTGGCCACCGTTGCGCTAACATTGAGAGGGCGGCACGCGCAAGATCAAAACGATACACCATGCATCCGTGCTCTACGAGCGAGCAACCGAGGACCGGACACGATACCAGGGGCGCACACGAGCAGACTTTGATACTCTACACCAGTCTGTCCACGAGTTCCGTGTCGTGGATAGATCCGACGCGCATACTCGGGAGATTCGGGGCGCGGAGCGGCCCTCGGCGCAGGCGACTTGGCCGGTTCAAGGGCACGAGCACGAGCACGAGCACGAGCACGAGCTCGACACTAATACCTTGTTGAACCAGCTTTTCGCGGAAGTCAGCAATAACCTCGACGAGCAGGGGGCCTGGTCTCAATGGTGGCCGGCGATTGATCAGGTGGATCTTTAATGAGCTGCGTAATTACATCCGGGGTTTTTTTTTTCGTTGAAGCTTCCAATGAATGAGTGACGACCTTTGATTTTTTTGATTTTTTTTTTAAAAAGGGCTGTAATATCTGGTTTTCTATACATGTCCTATTTTTATTTCCCGGTCTAGAAAAACAGTCAACAGATAATGCACCTCTTCATATGGCTCCCCTCCCGTCACCGCCAACAAATGCATACCTGTCGCGTCAACCATTCGCCGTTTCTCCTTCCAATCACGCCTTTGCAAAGACCTTTCTCGAGTTCATCAGGCGAACAGCAAGCATAAAGAGCATGCCGACAAAAGGCGCCACAACCACGCCAAGAGGACGTTTTTTGAAGCAGCTAAAAAGGCACGTAAATGGCGTCTGGATTCTGTACTAGATCTACTAGAAATTTGGGACGAGAAGGGTGTACATTATAGGCGAAGAGGTTAATAGCGTTATTAGGTTGAAAATTGGCCCGCCTTGGTGTCCGGCCCGCCTTGCTGTCGAGCACCACCTTTGGTGGTGAGGGCTTTTGCTAGCCGAACCACATAAAGTGGGGCGGGCACGATTAGAGTTTTTTCACCTTCCGGATGATAGATCCACTACTCCGTCCTCCGAGTCCGTACACTGTGAGAGAAACCGACTCATGCGTACATGACATGACACGAACAAAAGCTTCAATTGTCGTCTGGGGTGACCGAGTACTCCCGAGTCCCTGGACAATCTCGGTCTTTCTGTATCGCTTCCTCGAATGGACCCCAGAATGCTCTCGATCCCCGTCTCGTTTTATTACCGCTCAAAACCTCGGCCAATGGACAGGGACTCTCCTGAGTTCTGTCACTTCTGTTATCTACCCCCTGCGGATTGGTTGGCGGCGGCGGTTGGCAACCAAGTGGTGGCGAAATGTGCCCCTGGCCGTAGCGACTCCGAGGTTTCAAGTGTGGCACCACGGCAACACGGATCAACCCTGGTGTGGATGGGGTTCCTTGATTGGTGGACTCTGTGAGACCTTGAATAAGGCTTGTTCCAAAAGCCGCCGCAGAGCCGCAAGGTCTTGTCGGGAGCACATTGCCATTGTCCCTCGGTATGGAACGTGGAGGAGGCTTGACGGCAAACTGAACGGCAGGACGAGCGAATTTCGTGCCAACATCTACGCAATGGCATAGCAACTGTGTTGGGCATCAATCCTGCCAGTTGTTGCTGAGTAGATAGACGTGCCCATGCCTGGTACTCTGTACGATGAGTTGAAAATAGTAATCAACACCAAGTGTTCCCCTGAAAGCCATGTGGAGTCGGACCGCACTCATCAATGCAACACTGCAACACCGTCAGATGCTGCCGCACCCTTCTCGAGACTGTATTCAGTACGCGGTCGGTAGCATCCCCTGGCACGCCGCACAGCGACGAGGGCGTCTGGATTCCCGCAGCGAATCCAGACGCAGCTCCGGAGAAGACTCGCTTCCAAGCTCGACCTTTTGTTGACCGTGAGAGCGTGTCCGGGGTCCGCGCTTGGCTTTGCTGACATGTTGCTTTTTCAGTCCGTCGACCTCGCCCCCGACCCCTGGGTTCCCTCCCAAGTGGCTCTCTGGTGGATTGTCTGGACCACGAAGAACAGCACCGGACACGCGTTTGAGGGAGCTACCAAGAGTCGTCGTCGTCAAGGAACCGTCGACGGCCCAGGGTGCCCAATCGACCTTGCCGTTGCTGATGGGGCTGCCCTGTGCACTACAACCTGAAAATGTATTCTTTAGCGTGTGCCAAGGAGGAACGTGATTGGGAGTTTGATGGTCAGGTACCCATATGCCTTGTATTCGAATGTGATGATTTGAACAAACATGGCTGGGCCAACGTCCCGACGGTGTAGACAGTCTGACGGTTGGATTGGAGTGCCCGTGCGCCGGCCTCTTCTCCCAAGAATGGCCGCTTACCAGGTACTCCGTGCGCCATGCTAGTAGTGGTAGTGCTCTAGGTACCGACTACCAGGTAATTCAGCCATGACGGGACTAGTAACTACTACGGACATAAGTAAGTAGTACTCCTTACTTTGGGGGGATAGTGAAATGGTCGATTCCACGTTACTTCAGTGCGAACCATCTGGGGTCGGCATGAGGGCAGTCATGACCCATCTCACCATGCAGGCTCCTTCCTGAATCTTGATTCAGATTGTGCCTTGCCTTACGGAGTACTCTAGGGATTGCTGTGCTCGATCCACTCGTTCTCTCCTCCTCCTCTTCTTCCTTCTACTCGACTCCCTGCCCTCTCTCTCGCCCGTCATTCACCTTTTTATTCCTTTGCGTGTCGTTTTGCATTCCATTGTGATTTCGACGCTCGTTTGGGAAATCCGTCTTCCGTCTTATTCGACATCGACGCGCCACCTTCGACCTGAGTCCTTTCCCTATAGCACCATCTCGTCGTGGTCGTAGGCGTTTCAGGTCAACAACGGTCTGCCCCTTGTTCGAGTTGCAGCCGCCGCCACCAGCACGACCTGCAGCTCCATCACGGCCACTGATTCCCGTCGTCTCTTTCCCACCATCCATCGCCCAATCTTTATTCCCTCTTTCAACAGTCCTTCAACGACGGCTGAATCCGTGGACGAGGCGACACGTTCAGTCCTTCGCGCGATTTCGTCCTTTTCTGTTGCATCTTTGTTCACTTCAATTCTGCTCGGGTTGATCCTAGGTCATTTGGACCTGTTCTTTTGCCGCTGGACGTACCTTTTTGCCTGATTTCACTTCCCGCACCTCGTCTTCCAACTCCTTGGCTTTCTGAGCGAATATTGGAAAAAGTCCAATTCCTCCAGTGATCTGGTCCATCCTCTTTTGTTATCAACACTGGCCTTCCCGAGCCGGGGACAACAAACGCGACTCGGGATCGAATTCGACGCGAAATCGCTGGCCTACGCCTCTCTGTTAATTGTAGACCTCCTGCAGCCATGCACCTGACCGTTGAAAGTCTTCAACCAGGCAATCCGAACTAAATTTGAAACGATTGTGTCTTTAACGCCGAATCGAAACTCGTTTCCGTCCCGAATCATAAATTGTTTTGCAAAGGATTCCTTTCTATCAATATTTTCGTCAGCAGTGCAAGAATGGCTCGTGCCAACTCGACATGGAGTTCCTGGACCCTGACAATGGTGGCATTTGGGCTCATGGCAACGACAGTAATGGGAGGGCAGATTCTGAAGACCAGCGGTTTCAGCGACTGTGGGTCCGATTCCACTGTTAAAGTCGACAGGATTAATATCAGCTACAACAACGAAAACAAGACTGTGAACTTCGACGTTGCTGGCTCTAGCAGCAAACAACAGAATGTCACTGCCATTCTCGATGTTACTGCCTACGGCAACACGGTATATTCCAAAAGCTTCAATCCTTGCGACAAGGCCACATTTGTCGAACGTCTATGTCCGGTACCCGTCGGCCAATTTGCCGCTCAAGGCACCCAGCAGATTCCTTCCCAGTTTGCCAACATGGTGCCTGGTATCGCCTTCGAGGTACCTGATATCTCTGCCCACGCCACGTTGCGGCTGGTGAGTCAGAATGGGGATAAAGTCGCCTGTGTACAGTCAGATGTTTCCAACGGCAAGACTACCGATATCCCCGCAGTATCCTATGTCGCCGTTGGCGTTGCTTGCGCGGCTTTAGTCATGTCGGGAGTATCGGCTGCTGGTGCTGCACTGTCTGGCGGCAGCGCTGCTTTGGGAGGTGGCACGGCCGGCCCAAGCTTTGGCGAGACGATTGGGTGGTTCCAAGGAATGGCAATGAACAGCATGTTGTCAGTCAACTATCCTCCCATCTATCGAAATTTTGCAAAGAATTTTGCATTCTCGGCCGGCATCATTCCCTGGTCAGGGATGCAGAACACAATCGATAACTTCCGATCCAAGACGGGTGGTAACTTGACACAAGACAGTTTCTCCTATCTTCAAACTGCTACGCTAGTGTTCCCAGATGGTTCAACAAGAAGTCCAAACCAAGGTCTACTCAACTTCAAGCGTGCCGTCGACGTCTTTGTGGACCTGGCCGAGAGGGCAGTTGAAACCTCGGTCAACTCGACTGACCCGGTTTCCAGCGGCGACTCGAATGGCGTCCAACATAAAGTAAAGGGTATTCAGGCCTTTGCTGAGCAGCTTCTCGTTCCAAAGTCGAACATATTCATGACGGCCCTGCTGATTGTAGCCATCATCATCGCTGCCATTGCGGTCGGCATTCTCCTCGTCAAGGTTATTCTTGAAGCCTGGGCCCTGTTTGGCAACTTTCCGGAGGGCTTGAAGGGCTTCCGAAAGCACTACTGGGGCTCTATTGCTCGAACTATCACGTCTCTAATTTTGCTCCTCTACGGCATCTGGGTGCTCTACTGCGTATTTCAATTTACCAACGGCGACAACACGGTAGCAAAGATTCTCGCCGCTGTCACTCTTGCCATTTTCACTGCAATCCTGGCCTTTTTCTCATGGAAGATTTGGTCAGTTGCGCACAAACTCAAGACGCAAGATGGTGATACTGCTGCCATGTTTGAGAACAAGAAAATCTGGGTCAAGTACTCCTTGTTCTATGATTCATACAAGCGACAGTACTGGTGGTTGTTTGTTCCAGCTATTCTTTACATGTTTGCCAAGGGTGTCGCAATTGCTGCTGGAGATGGCCACGGCGTGGCTCAGACCATTGCTCAACTGATCATTGAGGCCATTATGCTCTGTCTGCTCTTATGGAGTCGACCATTTGAACGACGTTCGGGTAACGTCATCAATATTGTCATTCAAGTTGTGCGCGTCTTGTCCATTGCCTGCATCTTGGTCTTTGTGGAAGAATTTGGAATCAAACAGACGACACAGACCATTGCAGGTGTGGTGCTCATCGCAGTGCAGGCTACGTTGACTGGAGTGCTCGCGATTCTCATCACTTGGAATGGCATCAATGCTTGCTGCAAGATAAATCCTCATCGTAAGAGAAGAAAGGAGGCTGGTATGTCACGTCGCCCTCCGTAAAAGCTTTATTTTCAGCCTTTGCTAACCAATTTTCTCAGAAAAACTCAAACGTGACATGGACAATCTCACTCCTCTTGATGCTCGCAACTCGCTACTTCTTGACCGAGCCCCATTGCCTCAGAAGTCGATGTTTTCTGTCTCCGGCGATTTGAACGAGAAGGGTCATGTGCGAAATGGCTCTGCCGAGCGATTTCACCCAGGGGGCAGCGACATGAGACGTCCTGTTGCTCCTTCCGGCGGCCACATGTACCGACCACTCACACCAACTCTGGCGAATGACTCCCAAGGCCTTTTGGACGGGGCTGCCCCAATTAGCGTATCAGATCGACAACCGACTTTGCCCACCATCGATCGGGAGTATCGTGGGTCGTATGGACCGTCCGCTAGATACGGCAATGGTGGTTACAATCGTCGATTCTAATGTCTTGTCATGCTTGACGAAAAAAGTAAAAATCGTGAGGCAATAGGTATAGGAATGAATCAAACGACGCCTTTCCCTTGTCTCGTTCTCCGCTGTTCAGCATCTGTCTTTAGTTTGATGGTGTCCTATCGTTGGGAGGATATTTGGCCTTATGCTTCTATTTTTCCCTATTTGGTTGTTTTAATCTTTCTCCTTTTCTCCGCATAACCATCTACCGTCAGCGACCACCATTCGACGACTGACCTATCCTCTGAACATCGCCATGCACAAGTAGCATGTAAAAATGAGAACCACCTAAATTGCGGAAGGTATATTTAAAGCAGAGCGGCATTCATAGCACACAGCCACAATTGCATTTACTTGGGCTTGGATAAGGTTTTTGTAGAAAGATGATAGATGTAGCTAGAAACATGCTCTTTCTCGCTTCGGAAAATGCCAGACAAAATTCATGCACTCGCTCCGGTCAATTTTTCAAGGACTTGGGGTTGGGTGATCCAGGCATCTCGGCCGGTTCGCCATGGGTTCCGCGGAGAGCAGGGCTTGAGGAGAAGTTGCTAGCGCGGGCTTCTCCGGGGGAAAGGCGAGTCGATTTGGGCGAAGAGAACCCTTTTGATACATCTTGTGGATTTGGCATTGGCGACTGGCTGACGATCGCGCTGGCCGCCATGCCGGCTGGACACGGGCATGAATTGTATGAATTTTCCTTGGGGGCAGAGAAGATGGATACAGCTGCTGGGTAGATTGTCTTTGCTTGGGGCCAAGTAGATAGAACCATTTACCACTTACCGCTTTGCCTTCTCCCTGGTGGTAGCTCCGGCTCGAGATTGGATCCGGCTGGCACGCGATCGATGGAGCAACACACGTTTCTCATCCTCGTACAAGTCACCCCGCGTTTTTACGTTTTGGTGCGTCGTCGTCCGAGGATAGAGATTATCAGGAGTTGACCGCGCCCGGCTTATCATACATGCGCCCAGCCATTGTGGACCAGAATCTGCATCTCGTTGATCAAACAAAACACACCCGGCTCATGATTGCCGCTCTCTTCTTTCTCCCAGCGGCTGACTCTCGATCGTATGACCGCCTGCTCGAGCGTGGCTGATGTCCAACGTCTTAACCTGTTCTTCCAGATACCCGTGAATATCCCCCACGCAGACACCCAGGATCCGGCTGGGTGCGTGGCAACGTACGCCGCGTGGCTGTAGCCAACCCTGACCCGGGGGTTGAGGTAGACGCCGAGCGTTCTGGAGAGCGGATTGTCAGCGTGTATGAGGCAACACTCGGAGCCTTCCAGGTGATGTTTGGCCAGGGAATCCGGGACGCCACGGAAGCGCAGCCGGGTCGAGGAGACGAATGGCTCGGTGGGCATAACGACTGCGGGGGGGCTTTTGCCTCTCCCCCTTCTTTTCTACGGCCTGGAAAGAAAAGGGCATTCGTTGAGACGCACCGATGCCGTTCCAGCAGCTGGCGACGGGCACGGCGTCCACATTGCTCACGAGCGCGTTCCTCGATGCCCTCGCTCTGAAATACGGCCAGGTCTGCATGACGTGTCCGTGGCCCTCGACGTCCCGAAGCGCAAAGGTGTCGTAGTACAGCGGGGGTTGGGAGAAGTCCAACGAGCAAGCCGCCGCGTACTCGCCGCCGTTCGTGTCCATCAGCGTCAACACGTCGTCCACCTGGTGAGGGTCGAGAAAAAGTCAGCCATGCCTACGGTCCCAAAGGGGTGTGCTTGTGACACCGGCTCCGCGCCCTACCGTGAAGACCACGTCGTTGAGAAACAGCACCTTGTCAAACTCAACACCGAGGCCGTGAAGATGCACAAGATCCTGGATCGTCTTATTCCTCAATCTCGCGAGGTACGGAATGCGGCGCAGTACCCTCTTGTTGCTCGGCGCGTCAATCCACCCCTCGCCCTTGTCCGCACTGCTCAACTCGTCCTGGTGCGTCACGTCAGACACCTCGATGCGGTGGGGGACACCTCTCGTCTCCAGATCTCGGTCCAGCTCCCGCAGAAGGTCTTTGCTGTTGTCCCAGCTGCCGCTCTCGAATATGCTGATGAATACATTCTTGGGGCCAAACGTTTCAGTCAGTCCGATGACGGCGTCCCTCCAATGGCTCTTCAAGAGCGCGCCGTCGTTGAAGTGCATGCTGGCAATGTAGATTCGCTCGTGCGGCCGTGACGGGCCACGGGATTGGGATGGTCCGGAGCGACGTTGCGCATGGCCGCGGCCGAGGTTGTGCTGAATACGGAGCACGTCGATGAAGTTGAAGACGAGGAAGAGGAGCACTGCTGCTCGCGTAACGCGCAGGCGGAGGATGCGTCGAATGTATAGACGGTTTGCTGGGCCAAGGACCACGACCATGGTTGCTGTCCTTGCTGAGTAGCTGCGTGATGGATTCGGGGTACCGTGAGTCCATGACCTCTCCGGCCTCCCGTCGATCAAGTCGGAAGCTCGAATTCGCTGTGATCAATGGTCAATGGTTAATGGTCAATGGTTAATGGTCAATGGTTAATGGTCAATGGTCAATGGTCAATTGCATCAGCGATGATGTCTGCTTGTCCAAACGTTGGTGCGAGCCTGACGACACCTCAGTCACGTCAGGGACCACGTCGGCCATTGCGAACCGAGCTGCCGGCCCGCCGGCCCGTCGGCCACTGACTGGACTCATTGACTAAGCGTTGAACCTTGCTGGTGCGCTACGGAGTACGGAGCAACTCTCTCCTCTAAATATTTCCCCTAGGGACCTACTGTTAAGGATTCCTACCTAACTACTTGTTTAGCTTAATACTATAGGCAAACCTATAGATATAGAACTAGACCTTAGCTTGCTTAAGAGTATAAGCCTGCTAGAAGCTATTAGTAAAGTCTGCTTTATTACTTCTAACTTATTGCTATTACTTATTACCTCTTTAGCTTAGAAATTAAACTATAAGAAGAGAGTTTCTCTACTTAATAGAGATAATAACTATATTCCCTTAGGCCTTAGAACTTAGCTTCTTAGTTCTAAGCTTAAAATATAAAAGAACTTATTATAATACTAACTTTCTAAAAGAATTAGTACTTTCTAATTAATCTCTACTACTCTTAAAGAAGCTATTAGAAAACTACTAACTAAGACTTAGAAAGTCTTAAGCTAGAAGGTTATTTAAGGCTTTCTTAAAACTATAAAATAATAACTACTTAAAGACTTTAAAAAACCTCTTTCTAAAGAGGCCTAGGACTTAAGCCTTTAGATTGCTATAATATAATATAAAGAGGCTTTACTCTCTATATAAATATATACTAAAGCTGTAGTAATACTCTCTAGTAAAGCTATCTAGACTCTAGCTGTAAAACTTATATACTCTCTTAAAGAAGATATAAAAGTTCTCTTTTAGCTAGATAATATAAGCTTAGCTTAAAGTTATACTTTATTCTATATTAAGGACTTAGTTACTAAGGTCCTAGAAATAAACTTAATATATATCTTTATAATAAAATAAACTACTATAAGCTAGTTAGTGCTTACTAAGAACTAAATAATAAGAAATAAACTTCTATCTAGCTAAATAGCTATTCTTAGCTAAATTAGTAGAATCTTAGCTGCTAGAATTATATTTTAGTATATCTATATAGTATTTAAGTACTTATATACTCTCTACTTCTTTAAGAGCACTATTATTAACCTTAAAAATATAATTACTTAGAAGGCTACTACTTAGACTAAGTAGACTCTAGTCTTAGTTAAAGCCTCTAGGCATAATAATAATAACTAACTAATAGTTATATTTCTAGTTTTCTTTAAGAAGCTAGTCTAGAAGAAATAGCGCTTATAAAGCGCCTCTAAACTAGCTAGACTAGTTAAGAAGAAGACTCTACTATTTTAATATAAAACTTACTAGAACTTCTATACTTAGAAGAGTTATAAATAAAAACCTTAATATAAAAACTATAGTAGCCTCTTCTATAAAACTAGTAGCTATACTTTAAAGACTTAATATATTAACTATCTTAGCCTTTATCTCTTAAATTATAAAGAGTGCTTAGCTAAGCTAAAGTAAGTAGATAAAAAGTAGTAGCAGCTTATAAAGGCCTAGAGAGGTAGTATAAAAGCTATAAAGGTAGAGCTATTATCTAGATATTAAGCCTGCTTAGCAAGCGCCTTTATTGTAAAGACTTTATCTCTGCAGACTAAACTATACTCTCTAGTGCTAAAGACCTCTGCCCCCCCTGCCCCCCTAGTTATACTAGCTCTTCTAGCTCCTACTATAAAGATTATGCCTATAACTAAGATATCTATCTCTATCTCTACCTCTAAGTTAGCCTCTAAACTAACTAAGAATACTAACTCTAAGAAATATAAGTAATATACCTTAGAGAAAACCTCTATAAGTTATTAGCTTAAATACTTAGAACTTAGAACTAATAATAAATACTATTTTTAGCTTATTAGCTATAAAGAAAATTAATATAGTTTTTATTTAAGAACTATATACTAACTAAAGGAAAGAATAGCAATATATTAAAAGCTACTCTCTCTATAAAGCTTATAAACCTCTAGCTTTATAGAATTCCCTTAAAACTTACTTTAAAGTAATCTCTTATATTAAAGCTAATTTTCTCTTAATATAACTTCTCTACTTTAACTTTTAATATTTAATTTAAATTAAAGTACTTAAATATACTTTAGTAAACTTCTACTAAAAACCTTAGAATATAGAGGCACTAAAAGAACTTTTTATATAGTTACTAATAAGCTATACTATAGTAGCTAGTAACTTTAATGCTAGCTATAAAATATAGTAATTTAGCACTTAATAAAACTAAGGAGAGAATATAGTAGACTAAGCTAATACCTACTTAATAACTCTTCTAAATACTCTAGATATATCTACTTATAACTTAGGAGAGGTCTTAGACTTTATATACTTAAATATTTCTTATTACTCTCTTAGTATTACTAAGAATATATAATATACTTTAAATTACCTCTCTCTTTTAATTACTATTTTTAGAGGAATTACCTCTAAGTATTTTACTTATATTTATATAATAATAAACTCTAAAGAAGAGAAATAATTTATTAAAATTCTTACTGCTAAAATTAAGTTTCTACTTATAACTATTAAAGATACTAGTAAACTAGACTAGCTAGTAGAGTAAATAACTTATACTTTTATATTCTCTCTCTACTAAGCAGGCAGAATCTCTAGAAATAAAGAAAATTTTAAGGTCTAATAAAATAATAACTATAGTTACTTATACTAAGAGCTGCTAGTAAAATAGTATACTTACTTAGATATTACTAAGAAGAGAAAAGCATTTTAATAAGCTATTTAAGTAGCTAAAAGAGTCTTTTAGTTAGAGAAAATAAACTAAGTAATAACTAATAAAGAGATATTTACTATTACTAAGTAAGCTTATAAAACTATAGCTAACTTCTAACTTTCTAGCTTAATATTCTAGAGCAAAACTTATAATATACTTAGCAAGAAAGCTAAAGAACTTTAAGTAGTAAAACTCTATAGAGTTAAATCTAGTAATAACTACTTTAGAGAAGGAATTTCTACTATTTCTAGATAGAATATTTCTTTTTATACTTTTATCTTACTAGTAGAGACTAAATATACTGCTTATTCTATAAATAATACCTTCTTAGGTATTAATAAAATTAGTATTAATATTCTTAAACTAGCCTAGCTAGTTATTAAACTTATAGTTAGACTTATTTATAAATTCTCTCTTAGGCTTAGCTACTATTCTGCTCTCTTTTACTATATAGAAGTAGTTATAATAGTTGAGCTAGGTAAGACTAACCTCTTAAGCGCAAGCTCTTACTGCTTTATATCTCTTACTTTCTGCATAGAAAAGAGTATTAATAGACTCTTTACTTAGTAAGTATTCTACCTTACTATTAAGTATAAAGTTCTTAGCAATAAATAGATAAAAGCTCTTTTAAAGCAATTAGTAAATAACTTAGTCTTAGCACTAGTATATAATATTAAAGTTGCTTTAGAAGATAGTAAAGTAGCTACTTTAGTTACTATAGATATTAAAGAAGCCTTTAATACTATACTAGTTAATAAACTTATTAGCTATATAAAGAAATAAAGTTAGCTTCTACTTATTTTAAAGTAGATAAAGACCTTTATAGTATATTATAGCTATAAAGTATATATAGATAACTACTAGAGAGAAGCTTCTCCTCTAGAATATAGAGCACTATAAGGCTTACTAGCTTTCTCTATACTATTCCTTCTATATACTATACTTATTTACTTGCTATTAAAATATAAATTCTAGTATAGATATATAGATAATAACACCTTACTCTCTATAGATAACTTACTTAATAGAACTATAGCAGCTACTAATAGAGGTATTTAATAACTTAAAAGCTAGAGCGCTAAAAATGCTATTAACTTTAATATAAAGAAGATAAAAGTCTTATACTTTATGAAATAATAAAACTCCTAATAGCTCTCTATTAAATATAAAAGATAGAATATTTAACTTAAGAATAGCCTAAGGTAGCTTAGCGTCTAGCTAGACTATAAGCTTACTTTTTATACTTATATTAAAAAATAAGCTAGAAAGACTTATAAAATAGCTTTCTATTTAAAATCCCTTATTAATACAAAATATAGTTCTCTACTTAACTTAGTTTAAAAGGCAGTAAAGATATATATAGAACTTATACTATACTATAGGCTTAAAGTCTAGTACTCTAGATGTACTTTACTAGAGCGAAAGATAAGAGCTAAAGTTAGTATAAGTATTATAAGTCTAGTAACTAGAATAAATAAAATAGTAAAGACTGCAGCTTAAGCTATTCTTTTAGTTTAGTAAATAACTCTTTTATTTATTCTCTATAAAGAGGCTAGGCTTCTACTAGCAACTTTTATAATAAAATATATTAAAATCTTCTCTACTATTTAATTATAGTAGCTTAATAAGAATTACCTTCTTACTATTAAAGTAGACTTATAAATCTTTAGTAGCTTAAATTACTAAAGGTTTTAATAACTATTAAGATTTTAGTAATACTAGAATCTTCTTTTATACTACTTCTACTTTAAACTTCTAGAGAAAAGTAAGCTTTTAAAGCTTATAAAAGGCTTAAAAGATAAAACTAAAGATATAAGTAAACTACTTAAATAAATAGAGTCTTTTAACTCTATAGACTTAGTAGTATACTTTAATAGCTTTAGACTTTAGAATAAAGTCTATAGCTAGAGATATACTATTTTTTAGAATAATACTAAGATTTTCTTTAGTAATAAATAAATTAACTAAGTAGAAGTCTTTAATATAGAAGTAGTAAAAGCTCTTTAGAGGCTTTATACTACTCTACTTTATAAGATAAGCCTTAATAATAGAATTAAAGTTCTTTTAGATAATTAAGCTATAGCAACTTACTTTACTAGTATCTCTTTAAATAGTTCCTAGAATATCTTTATAGAATTTAAAGAACTAGCTCTAAAGAATAGTAGAGTATTTATTTACTAAATTTCTAGCTACTTTAATATTCTAAGCAATAAGTAAGTAGACTAGCTTGCTAAGAAGAGTACTTAACTCTTAGAATTAGCTTTTACTTCTTTAACCTTTACTTATATTAAGTGTAAAGTAAAGAAAAATACTACTAAATAGTTCTAAGAATAAAGAGATACTTACCTTCTCTCTACTTACTAACTACTAGAGCTTAAAGCTAAAATAAGTAACTTCTATAAACTTATTTTTATAAGGGAGAATTTAGTATACTTACTTACAGCTAGAATAAAGTATAAAGACTTTATAGCTTACTATAATAAGTTTAGCTATATTACTAATTACTACTATTTCTATAGTAGAAAGAAGCACTAAACCTACCTTTTTTATTACTATAAAATATTGCTAAGAAGAAGAGTTCTACTAAAACTCTCTCTTAAAGCAGCTATTAAGCTAGCTCTTACTTTAGACTTTAAGTGCTTTACTACTTTTATTAAAAATATATCTTTCTTTAGCAAAATATACTCTAAATAAAAATAGTATACTAAAAGGCTAGAAGTATTATTTTTATTTCTCTCTTTATATTTACTTTCTTTTCTTTTATACTAACTATAAGCTAATGCCTACTTATAATAATACTTAGCTGTCTAGAAGAATAAGCTTATAACTATACTTTAAGCTCTTTATAAGTATCTACTAATAGAGAAAGAAGAATAAAACATCTCTACTATTCTAAAAAAGAGGACAGCTAAGAGCTGCTATATATACTTAGTATAGCAATAGCACGCTTAATGCTCTAACTAGAGCGGGGATTAACCCTAACTAAGGCGTTAAATACACACACACACACACACACACACAGAGTACAGAGTACAATACTCCGTACGAAGTATGTACACACTACTCTGTACCTAGGTAGGTACCTAACTTAAGCAGGTACCTGCACGACGTGGGCACTGCCCGAAAATAAGTACCTAGACAAGTACCTCCCCTCGCACTTCTACATACCAAGTACCTAGAGGCTCCTGGGCACCCAGGGGTCTTAGCAAAGAGTCGGGCCATTGAAGTCGTCCGTCCCACGTGCATCTGTCTTCATCTCGGAATTTTCTGTCATTTGTACATCAACATCTTCAATCTATTGTTAATCTTACAACTACGTATCGAGTTCCGCCCATTTTTTTGACTCCAACACCCAACAACCGACCCTCCCTCCTCTCCATTAAACCGTTTATTCTGTCGTCACTATTTCCACTCACATCACTCTCCTCGAACCCCACGCCACAGGCACATGGACTCCATATCGCTGCAATCACCCATGACATGCACTCTTCGGGCGCAACCCATCTTATTTGGCAAAGTGCAAGTCGTACCCCAGCCACTTCCTTCGAAGAACCTGCTCAACAGACAAACCAGGGTAGCCATACGTCAATGGGAGGAAGAACCACCAGCCGGCAATGACCACGGCCAGTACCACGCCACAGGCAACCCAGGCTCCCACCATGCTCTGACCAGCCAATCTCTCGCGGGCCAAAAGGTGCTTTTTGGGGCTTTTCCTGGGGCTTCTAGTCTCGTCAACTGGTTCTGCGCTGACAACAAACTCGATGAGCGCACCGGCGACTAGACAGGATGCAAGATGAGCAGGTAGATAGTGGTGGAGGAAAAGTTGCCTGCCCATCACAAAGAAAGGGAAGTAGTGTGTGGCCCATGCAACCCAGAAGAAGCCAGCAGAATTGTAGAGGCGTGAACGTGTACCTGACTTCCACGTTAGCGTCCTGCACCATCAAACGGTTACGCCGCGGGGGGGAACGAAAACACTTACGGTGGTCCAGTGCATCGATGCCTCGGCGTAGCGAGATGTTATCAGCGAGAACAATCCCAATGTAGACAGCCAGCAGACCGCTTGCAAGCCACCAGCCAATTGGGTTGCCAACGAAATATATCTGCTGGCGCGTGTCATTCTGAGTCCAGAAACTGACGCCACGCAACAGGAATGGCCACTGATAAGGATGGCTGGCGTACGGGTGGCTGCTGGTCAGCTTGCTGTTGTGGTAGAACATGGCTCGCTGCAGCTCGAACCACTTGCGCAGGAACGGCAAAGTCTTCACGCTGCGCCCAGGCTTTTCTCGTCGGGCATCTTCGGCAGGAAGACTGGTAATGTCATCAACCAACCAGACGTTGGAGCTGGGGGCGATCTGCTTATTGCCGTTGACCTCTTGCTGGTGAGAACCCCAATCAGGCAGAGGCTTGGTGTGAGTCCACATGGCCACTTTGCTAGGGAAGTGAATGAGCTTGAAGTGGCTGGCGACAGACTTGAATTCCTGGTCTTTCTTTCCGTTTTCAATCCGAATCTCAAACAAGGTGTCGTTGATTCGACTGCCGTAGGCATCTTCGTGAGATACAGTGGTAAACTCTTGGTTGGTGGGATAGTAAGGAGAAGCCACGTCGTGGGACAGGAGAATCGTATCAGTGCCTACGTGTCTCAACCGAATCAATTCATTGTTCTTGACCTTGCGACCCATTTGCTTGTCGTCATTAGCGGGAAGAATCTGCCAGTGGTTATTGGTATCATTATGAGGGTAGCCGGTAACTTGTTGGCCCTGGCTGGAAACACGACCATCATCGTAGCGGAGGGGGTAGCGGTCGGGATGACTGTGCAGGAATGCCTTCGTCTGCTTATGCTTAATCGTGATGGTATCGTAATACTGAATATCGACCGCGTTTGCCATCATGACGTTGTCGCTCAACGTTTCCTGGAACTCGGGCGACATGAAATCATCGCCAGGGCCGGAGCGCGACAGTACGGCAAAGTGGACTTGAAACCAGAACAAATAAAACAGAAACGGCAAAATAATGAGGCCGATAGCTCGAGCAGCAAAGTGCTTGCCAAACTGAGGAAGGCTGATGGCGCCTCCAGGGCGCTTGATGTCCAGCAGATCCCAGAGATCAATGATGACAGCGGAGCCAATGGTGACAAAAGCAAAAGTACCAACATACTTGGTGGACATATCACAGGACAGGGCGTAGCCGGTCAGAATGAGCCATTTCCACCACTTGCGACTAAACGGCTCGTGACGAAGCTTGTAGAACTTGATGTAGAAGAGCAGACTACATGCCATAGCCAGGACCAAGGTAGCATCAAGAAGTATCAGCCGCGTCTGGCCAATATGGGCGTTGTCGAATAGAACCAGACCGGCGGCAATGAGGCAAGCAGGAACACTATAACCCGACTCCCACATGATGAGATACGTAACGGACACAGTCAAGGCGCCCAGGAGGGCAGGAAGAGCTCGGAATGCCACATAAGGCACCTTGTTGTCAATATAGGAATCACCAATGTTCTCGAAGTGGAAGTGACCGTTGTAGCCAACCAGCCAGCCCACGAAGGCGAACAGAAGCTTAGCAAAAGGGGGGTGGACATCGAAGAAGTAGGTTCGTTCAAGGTAGTATGATGCGAACTGTGACGCCATGGGGTTAGCTACGGAAAAGAAGGCATGGTTTCTTCCACGGGGGCTGTAGGCACATACCTTGCCAAAATGGACTTCGTCGAACACGACCTCATTGGGGTGGCTGATTCCCCAGAATCTGGTGACGAAAGCCAGAATGGTAGTCAGGGAGAAGGCAGCCCAGTGATCGCGCTCGCACTTGGACGTATTCTTCCGAATTGAGGCTTTGGCGAGCTTGTCGAGCTCCTCGTCAACGGCCGAGATGTTCGGGTCGGCCTTTTTGGTGCCAACATTTCTTTGCCGCAAGCTGCCTTGCGGCGTTTGGCTACGGGCCATGATTCTGCAATTCAAGATTGCGCACCGTCAGTGACGACTCGAAGAATGAGAGATGCTGAGGAAAATGCACCGCGATTTACCCCCTTGCCAATTGCGATGGAGTCAGGAATCAGATAACGGCGACTCACAAAACAAGGGGAGGCTTGATGCCAAATCAAGACACTCGACTTGCGTGTTGAGGGCTTTAATTGGAGACGCAGAAAGACTGGCCTCCGTCCTTTGCCTGACAACCAAGGATGAAGCTGGAGCAACGTGTCAGGTCAATTGTGACTAACTTGGTATGTATGGAACTGACCAAGACAGCAGACGATTGGCTTAGCCTGTACCCCTCACCCCACAATCCAGGCACCCTTTCTGCTAGCTACCCAGGCGGTCTTTGGAAGGCCAAGGATTTCTGCGTCGGCACAACTACGTATGTACAAAGATAGGTAGCTCTCCCCTGCCGGATCTGAACACCTTTGAAACTGGGGTATTGATGAAAATATGCGATCCGAAGGTTAATAAGTTATAAAAATATTACTACTGGGTCTGTGCAGCCCCTGCACACAGCGACCGCCGTTTTTCGTCCTGTTGCCAGCATGGATACTCCGTACTTTCTCTGGGCGGAGGAGCAAGTCCGAGCCTAAGGCAAGCTTGCCAACGTTCCAAAGAGACATTGAACGATTGACCATTCGTCTCGGTAATGAGTGGAAAATAAGACGAGACAAAAAAGACCATTACGTATCCAAAGCGAGGAACTCTGCATGCTAAAGGCATCAGCCGAGCGGGTAGCAGCACCGCCAAATTGTACTGCCCAGGTACGGAGTACTCTGCATCAAAACCTCCAAAAAACCATGCTTTTCGAGTGTCGGTACCAGGGAGGTATGTGCATGTCAGTTACTATTTCCTGCCCGTCTAGACACCTTGATAGACTCGGCCACCGCCCTCGGCACCAAGCTCCCCGACTCTCCATCAAGGAATTGATCTTTTCCCTCTGTACGTAACAAATTGACGTCTAGGCCGCCAAAACCCGCCGCCATTTCTCTTGCCCCGCCGCGGGGCCAAGGCTCGTGTCCGCTCAAAGTGCACTCCCAACTACGTATTTCTAAACCCCCATCTCCCGTTTCCCGTCTCCCATCTCGCGCCGTCTTTGCCTCCAAGACGCACCAGACGCACTGTAGGGTCCATCAGCCTCTGTCCAAACCCGAAATTCCTTCTACTTACGCACAGCGCTATCCGTTTTCCGCATAGGTATGTCGTCGATTGCTGCTCGACTTGCCCCGCGATTGTCCCTTGGGAGCATCACCACGTCCACTCGACGGGCCGTAGTTATTACAGGATCCAAGTTCACACCAATCTCAGTCCATCCCCGTACTAAATCCACAATGGCGGACCAGAAGGTTGTTTTCACCAAGGACGCTCCTTTTCGTAAGTCTCCCAACCAACTGTGCGCTCCGGCGCCGCTCCGATTCAGCTCCGATTGTGCTGATAAGCTCCTCCGCATTAAGCCGCCGGCCCTTACGTGAGTCTTTCCTAGGCCCTGGGGGGGAGGAAACGACGACGAAAAGAACAAGGCAGCCCGCGTGGATACTAATGACATGTTCCTCATGACGTAGTCCCAAGCCATCAAGACGCCCTCGGCCATCTACTGCTCCGGTCAGATTCCCTGCACCGCCGACGGCACCTTGGTTGAGGGCTCCATTGCCGACAAGACCAAGCAGTGCTGCGAGAACCTCGAGGCTGTACTGAAGGAGGCTGGCTCTTCCATTGCCAAGGTTGTCAAGTGCAACGTCTTCATCAGTGACATGGCGTATTTCGCCGTACGCATTTCATTCCTATCTGCTTGTTCCACTTGGTTGTCATTTCAAACTGACCCATCACTGTAGGAGATGAACTCTGTCTACGAGAAGTGGTTCGCTCACAAGCCCGCTCGCAGCTGCGTCGCCGTCAAGACCCTCCCCAAGAATGTCGACGTCGAAATTGAGGCCATCGCTCTCCCCTGAGAGCCTCTTTTGGGGTACATGACGGGTAGCTAGGTTCAGCTAGTGCAAATCAAAACTGTACAAATGCACCCACCGGGCCCGTAGCGTGAAAGGTTTCATTGTCAGTAATTGGGAGAAGCACTGGAATCTAATTGCCTTGATATCATTTTTGATTTGGGCTGCAATATGGTTACACACAGCTAATGGGACATAATACAAAGTCTATGCCTATTCATTTTGACAATACCTTGTCCAGTTGCTACATGCATCCGTTTTAGGCATTCCAAATAACGACGCGACCGTCGACACCGCTTGCTGTAACTATAATTAGCGCTTTGTATTAAAAAAAGAAAGAGAGAAAAAGACATGTCGTATGTGGTACACGCACAACTAAACCTAGTGACTCGGCCGCCAGAAGACTCAAAAGGACGGATGGTCGTAATCGTATTTTGATGGATGGTTTTTAGCTGCGTGTCGTCCTTAATTTTGCCCTTGAGATCCATTTGTCTGAACATGTTGAGGGCTGACTCCTCACGCTGAGCTCCGGCATCACGGCCCTTGGGCTCAACAGTACCCGCAAGCTGCCAGCCTGACTCGCCGCCCTTGAAGCGGAAAGCCTCGCAATCGTAGCCGGCGGCAATAATCTCATCCTCGCTCTTCCAGATCAAGCTTTTGAATGGCAAGAGCTGCGTCAAGACGGTGAGAATGGCGCGGGGCGGCTGTTCGGGGCCAGAAGGATAGACGATAGTAACGCTACTGTCGTGAGCGGCAAAGGCAAGGCTGTTACCGCTTGGGGAGAATGCAACAGAGTGAACCCAGCCAGCAGAGTTGTTTAAGAACTCTCCACAAACGGTGTTGAAAGGGAGCCTCTCGCCCCAAACACTGGGATCGGGCTTCGCGTCAACTCCTTTGATAAAGCTAGAGAAGACTCTAGCGTGGGCATCAGTTGAACCGGCGGCCAGGAGCACCGAGTTTGGATGCCATGCAACACTCGTGATGGTGCTGCGGATAGGCTTCTTCAGGTGCTTGGACACCCACCAATCATTCTCCTCTTCGAAGTAGCAGATGGCAATGACCCGATCGCCGGAGCCAACGGCGAACTTGGTTTCGGAGGGGGACCATCGAACGAACGTAGCAGCTCTACTGATTCGGAGAAGGACAAGAGTAGGTTTGTGCCCTGTGGGGGATGGTTCCCAGACCAAAGCGTTTCGATCTATTCTGTGTTAACTGCAGATACAAATCCTAGATGCTAGATAGAGTCTTGCCCTGAGAACAAGTGACAATACGACCGCTGTGGGGAGCAATATCCACACTAGTGACCGTCTTGTCATGGCCCTTTAGCTCATCTTTGAGCTTGAATGCATTTCCAACTCTTCCATACAGCTCGACATATGAGTCTCGGGCGACAGCAAGCGTGCCATCCTCGGCCGAAAACGAGTGGTCCGCAATGGGGTTGTGGAACAAGTGGTGAACCTCGGGAGCTGCCATACTAGTCGGTCGTTATATTTGCGATAGGAGTAGCTCTCCACTACCGCAGCAGAAGGAAATAGAATCGTAAGTAACGGTTGATGAACGCGACGGTGATGACGGCGGGGTTCCGATTCTGCAGGAAGGTCTTCAAGTTACGTATTGCGAGGAGGGTACGTACCTACAAGGCGGAGCTCGGACCACCCTAGCTAGTGGGCAGTTCGCAGAAAACTCCATCCCTCAATCCACAGCATTATTTCACCTGCAACCGCGTCTCACGACTAGATTCAATTTATTGAACCAACTCCCACGAGCACATAGGAAGAAACATTGTATAGGAATATTTCTTCAAAAAATATAGATAGCCATTGAGTCGCCATGGCCACAGTCGTTCCTACTCGCGGCCTGGTGCCGAACGCTTCCCTGCCGGCCAAGGTTCAGCCTATCCCTCCCAATCAGACGTGAGTGCGCCAGATCATGCCCGACTCCCTCCCCTTCCCTTAAGCTTCTATTTAACGCTTTTAGGCTCTACGTAACGAATCTTCCGTCTTCGAAAATACAAAAAGCCGATCTTCGAACTGCGTTATACCTTCTCTTTTCGACGTACGGACCGGTCTTGGATGTCGTGGCTCTGAAAACGATGTCCATGCGAGGGCAAGCACATATTGTCTACCGGGATGTACAGACAGCTACCCAAGCCATGAGATCTTTGGAAGGACAAGCATTTCTGGGTCGTCAACTCGTGAGTGCCACCAAAATTTCTTCGCGAACTCAGACATTGACGAGCAACCCAAATCATAGAAAATTCAATATGCCAAGTCGAAGTCGCACTTTGTTTCCAAGCTGGATGGCACTTTCAAGATGCCCAACGCGTCCGGCGCCGCAGTGGTTGAACAAACACAACTCCAGCAAAGCATTTTCAATGCGCCACCGCCTGGCGTTGTTGTGCCTCCGAAACCTCCTGCTCCGGTTGACCAAGTCATGAAGGACGCGGGTACGCCGGAAAGCCGCGGCCAGAAGCGGGGACGAGAAGACGAAGACGAAGACGAGGAAAGCGCAAGCGACGTGGCCATGGAGGAGGATAGTGATGATGAATGAACTTCAACCGAATCAGACGAACGATATTGTAAGCCGACAGCATAGCGTCCCATTCAAGACCACGCGAGGCTTCATTGAAATGCCATTTCTTTGGGCATCCACAGGCCTACACATCCTCCAACTAAGCCGAGCCAAACCATCAAGTAGTCCTGCGTGGAGCATTTGAAGTTTGATATGGCCTCTCCGAGTAAGCATGGATGTACGAAGAAGGAGGGGACTCCGGTTACAGGGTGATGCTACAGAATCCGACAAGCATGAGTCTCATGAGTTCAATCAAAGACTGCAAGTATTTGCAAGACTCACATCTGCGGAGATACCACCAATTCCCCCAAGCCCTCGGAGACCTTCCTTGTGCTCATCGGGGACGAGACGACGAAATACGGTGTCAATATTGAAGGCAGGCTCATCTGGAGGCAGACCATGAAGGCTAAACCAAAGGCATGGAATCCTATATGTAGGATGAAGATGAATTTCATAGGTTACGGTCTCAGTGGCTTGAGACATGGATTTGACGATTGCGGCCTCGGATCATATACAGTGAGCATATGACATAAAACCGTGAATATAAATACGGCATACCTCGTCCGATTCATGATGAATCATTCTTTCATCTGCCATCGGAATGTCACCGGCTGCTGGGGATGAGGATATTGTAAATCCGTCCAAACTCAGATCAAGGTCATCCGACACTTGGAGTGGGCGCGCAATTTGAATATACGTGGTATATCCTCCCTCGGTAGAAGAAGTCAAGTCGAGAGCTGTGCACACTTTTAGCCTCCACCGCTTTCTCAGCGGACCTAAATTTGCACGGCAGTATCGGCTGCCAAGGTGATTACAAGCTGCTGCGAATTCTTCCGGGTTGAGGAACGGGTAATCTTCGATATCCATGCTCGGGTGCCTCCTGTGTCGAGAACGAGGACGATTTCAGAGAGGCCCTGAGGGGAAGAGCATGCCTTCAATACAACAAATGCCAATAGACTGAGTTGTCTTTCACCCTCTTGGTTCCTTTCCTTTGGCATGTAGGTGATTGAATCGAAGGCATGGCTGCATTCTAGATGGCATAGAAGCGACAGGCGATCCTGATGATGACCAAGTTAAACCCTGTGCAGACTGGCACTGTGTGCACCAATAGATGTTGGATGATAGTGCTCCATTTTTCTGTGCTCACCTAACTAAGTTTTTGTTGGGGAGATATAACTGTTACTAAGTTAGGAAAGGTGACCTTTTTGTGAAATTTTGTGGAAAGATTCAGGCCAAGTTGTGAAAGCGCCTGTGTTGTGGACCACCGCCGATGGCGATGGACTGCGACCACACACGTCGCACAGGCTTTGACTCTTGACCTGCGTGCTGTCGGTCCTGAATCCTGATACTCACGAGTCACGGCCAGAGCGCAGCTTCCTGAGCCCAGCACGATATGAGCCGGCCGGCCCAATGCTCCGCGATCCATTTGACATCCATCGCAAGAACGCGTTCCAAGCCACAGCTTTCCAAACAGTTCAGCAAATAAGGACGACGGCAGCGCATGTTGGCGCAGCGGCTATTGACATGTCGTTCAATATCCCTAAGAATGTACCCAACTTCGGAGCACCGCATCGAGACCTCGAGGACAGGGCCTGGGCAGCGCTATCGCGAGGCAAAGAGGGTGCCTCGCGTGCCTTTACAAGCGGCGTCCAGAGCAAATTGTCCCATTATTTCGACGACAAATCGTTGCCAATGTATAAAGACAAGCCGTACGGTCACGGCTACGGGACGAGGCGGTGGTGGCGGAGGAAACGAGTACCAATCATAATCGTCGCGCTCGTTTCGTTGACATTTCTCTGGTTGACAGGCTTCTTTGGCGGCAGCGGCGAGAAGCGTCCCTCGACGTCCAAATCTGCGTGGTCATGGCTGGGCATGCCCAGCATCCACAAAGCCGCCGATTGGGACCAAAGACGGCAGAGAGTTGTCGAAGCGTTCGAGTTGAGTTGGGATGCGTATTCGCGCTATGCTTGGGGTAAGATTCTACTTGACTCTTTTTTGTTCTCGGTGCATGCGCGGCTCTATTGGCTAAACGCGTTGCTTCGTTTCTTCAGGCTACGACGAGTATCACCCCATCGCAAAGACTGGCAGAAATATGGCGCCGAAAGGACTGGGTTGGATTATCATCGATTCACTGGACACGATGATGTTGATGAATCTGACGTCCCGAGTAGAGCATGCTCGTGAATGGCTGTCCAAGTCATTAACTTGGGACCAAGATCAGGATGTCAATACGTTCGAAACTACGATTCGCATGCTCGGCGGTCTCCTCTCCGCCCATTACCTTTCCAACGAATACCCCAATCTGGCTCCCGTCGTCGACGATGACCATGGGAAGCCGGGCGAGGACCTATACTTGGAAAAGGCGAAGGATTTGGCTGACCGACTGATGGCTGCATTTGAGTCCGAATCTGGCGTTCCTTATGCCAGTGTGAACCTTGGCAAGATGAAGGGCCTGCCCTCGCATGCGGACGGCGGCGCCTCTTCCACCGCCGAAGCGACCACTATTCAACTTGAATTTAAATACCTGGCAAAACTGACCGGCGAGACTAATTTCTGGGAAAAGGCTGAAAAGGTCATGGAAGTCGTTGACAGCAATGGCGCCAAGGGTGGCCTGGTCCCCATCTACCTCCACCCCGCGACTGGAGAATTCCGAGGCTCAAATATTCGCTTGGGAAGCCGGGGTGACTCGTACTATGAGTATCTCATCAAGCAGTACCTGCAGACGAACAAGCAGGAACCGGTATACGAAGAAATGTGGGACGAAGCTCTCGAAGGCGTCCGCAGGCACCTCATCACGTACACGGAACCGACTGGCTATACCATCATTGGGGAACGACCAAGCGGATTGGACGGCCATCTGCACCCCAAGATGGACCACCTCGTGTGCTTCATGCCTGGAACAATAGCCCTGGGTGCCACGGGTGGACTGGCGGAAGCAGAGGCGCGCAAGCTCCCTTCCTGGAACAAAAAGAAGGATGACGAAATGAAACTCGCCCGGGAGCTGATGCAAACTTGCTGGGGCATGTACAAGGCCATGGCCACCGGGCTGGCGGCCGAGATCACCCACTTCAAGATTGCAGAACCGCCTCGGCCCGAATCTGCACCTCATCACCCTCCGGCAGACTTTGACCCCAACCCGCAAGCCAGCTGGCGTCAAGACTTCCAAATCCAGCCCAACGATGCACACAATCTGCAACGACCAGAGACTGTGGAGAGCCTACTCTACATGTGGAGAATCACTGGTGATGTCAAATACCGCGAATGGGGCTGGGAAATGTTCGAGTCGTTTGTCAATTACACAGCTGTCGAGGACGGGGGCGGCTTCACGAGTTTGAGCAACGCCAATACGATTCCACCATTGACCAAGGACAACATGGAAAGTTTCTGGCTGGTAGGTCTAAGCATTGCCACGGATGTACGCTGCAGGTGACTTGGAACAGATGGCTGACCCTACATGTATCTGCCTGCAGGCTGAAACCTTGAAATACCTCTACCTCCTTTTCTCGCCGAACGACTTGTTGCCCTTGGACAAGGTTGTCTTCAACACCGAGGCGCACCCGCTGCCTCGATTCGACTTGGGCAGGCTCTTCTCGACTGGATGGAAGCGCAAACCTCGGGATGCACATGGAAATATCGTTGGAAAGATTGAGAGCGCATCTGCATAAAACGGCAATGGAGTTGAAATTGGCATCTGTTTGCATCTGACGGCGGCGGCAGTGTTCAGCTTCCCCTTGCCTAGACAGCTGATTTTTTTTCTTCTCTTTTCTTTTTCTTTTTATTCTTTTGTTGGGTTTAGTCAATTATATAATTCAATCAACTACTCTATTATCCAAATGAGCAAGAGTGGGATGATGGGCTTGCTGATGTCACGGAGCCAGGTACGGAGCAGAGACGGCGGGTGTTGACGACTGCACGTATGTCATACGTATCCACATCACGGTTCATTTGTGCCGAGGCAAGGCAGTTGAGAAGTTGGCGTCGGACGGGCTGGGGCTTGTGCGAACCCTTTCAGGGCTCTTGCACCGAGCCTCTGACACTGGTACGCTACTGGTACTTGAGACTACACGTTGATCATACTTGTACTACCTGAATCTTAACAACTTACGGAGTAGTAAGTAAGAAGTTACCCAAGTACCTAGGTACTTTAGCCAAGGGCACAGAGGCAACGCGGTGGGGCAACATATCAACTGGTGGAGAAACCTGGAGAGCCAGCCAGCAAGGCCCAACCAACCCCAGGCGGACGCCGGAAGCAATTTGATTGCAAAAGGTGGGCAACAGGTGCCGCCGACATCAGGGCATCAGGGCGTCAGGGCCTAGTGGCCATGTTCCTGGGGCGCTCGCGCTCGCGGCCGTCGTCCGAACCTCTGCATGAATACCCTTTAATTGTGTCCTCGTTGGTGAAACAAGAGCGGGCTTCGAGGCAACGTCGAGTTACGTCCGGAACCAGCCTGACTCCGGAGCAGCCCGTCGACGTTGCCATGTTGCATTCGGGATCTCAAGGCGAGAAGGCAGGCCAGCTGGCACCCACCAGGCCTCGGCCCACTAGTGTCAACCCCGTTGAGATAATCCCCGGAGGCACAGCGTGCGTGATTGCATTGCCAAACCTGCTGATCCTGGTCCTGAAAAACGCCACTGGCGTGTGTTGGCGTGTGCCGGCGTGTGCTGGCGCCCATCCCCATCCGCCGTCCCCCATCCCCCCATGCCCCTCCAAACCTTGGGGACACGAACTAGCGACGCGCGGAACCAACAACGTCCAGCCTGACCATTGACCATGCTTACCATCCATCTTTGGCAGGCTTCCTCTCCGACGCTAAGGAAAGCCTAGCCTGTTCCTATATTGCGAGTGTGAGCAGGTCGGGAGAGTGAGGAGTGAACCGACGCGTTGCCCATCATCCATCGTCCGGCCGACACGTACGACGACTCTTCTACATCCCCTCCTTCGTGCTCTCTCCCTCTCGCACATTGTACCACGCGGATTCGGATTCCATCCCTCGAGGTTTCGCGACATGTGCCATTGGCGCCGGCGCCCCTGATCTTGGACCGTTGACCGCGCAGACATTGACCGCCGAGCGACATCCGGCTGTCGATGGCGTTGACTATGGTGTAGCCGAACCAGCTTTGAGTCTCAATCAGCGGCCATTTCGGCATCATGTCTGCATAGTTGCCTGGTCATTGAAACTTGAAATAGCAGGCATTCGACTTTTTTGCCAACCTCGATATCGGCTCTGCCCTTCCGCCGGGCTGCTTGGTGCCGTCACCTCACACGAGCCTGCGTCGCCAAACCCAAGATTCCAACCATCATTGAGCATGGCACCGCCACCAGATATCGAGCTGAACCCTCTGCAGAATTTCAAGGGCAAAGCAGAGTCCTTGACGCACGGCAGTTCCCACAGTATGCGCGAGCCGGAATACCTCGACGACCAACCGCCGCCCCGCTTTCAACGCTTTCTCGATAGCTTCAAGCGGGATACCGACCATTCGTTCTTCCCGAGCGATCACCTCAGCCAAGTCAACAGTCATTCTGGCCAACGGCAATATGGACGTAATTACTACGACCTGCGCTTGGCAGCCTTCGAGTCCGCAAACACCGGACTGGCGAGGAAGCTCAAGGGCAGACATTTGCAGATGATTGCGATAGGTGGTTCCATAGGTATGTTGGCCGTCCACGCCCTTCCCTTCCCTTCGTTTCAAGTTACGTCACACCCCTTTTTTCTGACCTTGGTGGCGCCGTATAGGTACTGGTCTCTTCGTCGCTTCGGGCGCCGCATTACAGTCCGGCGGTCCAGCATCATTACTTATTGCGTTTAGCATCGTCGGCATTATGCTATATTGCACGTGTCAGGCTCTTGGCGAACTAGCCGTACTGTTTCCGATTGCCGGGTCCTTCTCATCGTGGGCAACGCGTTTTCTCGACCCGTCGTGGGGGTTTGCAATGGGTTGGAAGTTAGTTCGCGCCCTTCCCCGCCCCTCCCCGTGGGCTGAAGACGATATTTCATGCTAATCAAGCCTATCCCGTAGCTACGCAGTGCAATGGCTCACCGTCTTGCCGCTCGAAATCATAGCCGCGTCTCTGACAATCAGCTACTGGGGCGATGCGCTGCCAAAGGCTGGTTTCGTCGGCATGTTCCTTTTTGTAATCTTGGTGATTAACCTCTTCGGCGTCAAGGGCTATGGCGAGGCAGAGTTTACCTTTTCTATTGTCAAAGTCATCGCCGTCATCGGTTTCATGTACGCCTCGCCTCTCTTAGTTTTTTCCCGCTAGTCTTGACCACGCGCTCTTTTCTTATTCCCAAGCTTGCGCAGGCTGCTCAGGCTAGATATCTGGCTAACGCACGAATATCTGCAGTCTTCTCGGCGTTGTCCTCAACTGCGGCGGAACACCGGACAGAGGCTATATTGGCGGCGAGTTCTGGCACGAGCCAGGTGCCTTCAACAACGGCTTCAAGGGTCTCTGCAGCGTCTTCGTCACCGCAGCATTCGCCTTCACGGGCACGGAACTCGTGGGCCTCGCGGCGGCCGAAACGGCCAATCCACGCAAGTCCCTCCCAACGGCCATCAAACAGGTCTTCTGGCGAATATCACTCTTCTACGTCGTGGCCCTAGCGCTCGTCGGCCTCCTGGTCCCCTACACCGACCCTCGCCTCTTGGGCGGCGACAGCAGAGCCGACGCCAGGGCATCCCCCTTTGTCATCGCCATCGAAGAAGCCGGCATCGAGGTCCTGCCGTCCGTCATGAACGCCGTCATCCTCGTCGCCGTCCTGTCCGTCGGCAACTCTGCCGTCTTCGGCTCCTCGCGAACGCTCGCCGCCCTCGCCAACCTCCAACAAGCCCCCTCCATTCTCGGCTACGTCGACAAGCGCGGCCGGCCCCTCGTCGCCATCCTCGTCGCCGCCCTCCTCGGCCTCCTCGCCTTTCTGGCCGACCTGAGGGAGCAGGCCAGCGTGTTCGACTGGCTCCTCGCCATCTCGGGCCTCTCCACCGTCTTCACGTGGACGTCCATCTGCTTCTGCCACATCCGCTTCCGCCACGCCTGGGCCACCCGCGGCCGCCACCTCAACGAGATGGCGTACAACTCCCAAGTCGGCGTCGTCGGCTCCTACGTCGGCTTCATCCTCAACATCCTTGTCCTCATTGCCCAGTTCTGGGTCGGCGCCTTCCCCATCGGGTGGCAGGAAATGGCTGCCACCGAGGTCGCCGAAAACTTCTTCCTCAAGTTCATGGGCGTGCCCATCGTCCTCCTCTTCTACGTCCTGCACAAGCTGTACTACAGGACTAGTTTCGTCCGGATCCGCGACATGGACATCGACACCGGCAGGCGAGACTTTAACCTGTCGATTTTGATTGCGCACGAGAAGGAGGAGAAGGCTTCGTGGCCTACATGGAAGAGGTTCTACAAGTTTATGTGCTAATTGTCGTCGTATGTCGCGGGGGTTCGGGCGTCATGTATGCAGCACTCTTTTTTATTTTGTTTCCCCTGGGTGCGCGGGGTCCACATTTTTGTACTTGGCGATATCGTCTTGCATCGGCGTTTTACTGGGACTCGGCCTCGACGGCGTCGGAAGGAATGGAATCCCGTTTGTTGTTGTACGCACGGGTATGGATGGGCGGCTACTGTTATTTGACGACTTTGTGTACCAGCTACATGTATCGCCTGATTGACCGCACGTGGCCGGGAGGCACAGGCACCGGTATACCGTGTAGGAAGAGCACGAACTGACAGCAGGCATGCCCAGAACAAACGTCGGTTGCGTCGGTTGTGCTATGCGACCAAGTACACTATGTGCCTAAGACATACGATACGGGCTTTTAATACCTCATGACCACCCGCGGCATTGTAATTCCCCAGACTGTTGCACCAAGGAAGCAACACATGAAAAGAACAAGAAAGAGAGAGCAAACAAGTGTGGTGTGTGGTAGAGCATGTTTGAAAAAGACGGATACAAACTCAATTTCTGGGGGTCGAGTGCATGTCCAACATGGAGGGGATAGACAACGAGCTAAGAAACAAATTTCAGCAGAGTGGTACAGAAAAAGGCCCTCATGAATCATGAGCCGTTTAGGCGTATAAGTCGTCAATGCCAACGCAAACTCTTGGTACAACCTTGGCACAAAAAAGGGGCAAGACCCTGTTGTTGAACAATCCCGGCCCCGATGCCGGTCATCTTGTGGCGTATGCGTCAAATATGTCTAGCCTCGTTCCTCGCACCTTAAAAGTCCCAAAAGCTCTTTTGAGCGGCACCAGGGTTTGGCTTTCGTGACGTCGGCTTGGGGGCGTCATCGTCGCTGCCACCGCCATAGAGCCAGTCGCGGTTAGTACCCTTTCGTCCTCCCATGCCATCACCAGCAATGTTGATCTTGTTATCCTCCAAGAAGCGGCCCTCGCCTCGTTGCTTGTTTTCCTTCTGGGCGGTCGGTGATTTGTCGTAGGAAGACCAGTTGGCATCCATCATCTTGACAGCCTTCATCCGACCCTCTGGAATGTGGTGAGCGCGGGAGGACTCGGGAGCAGGCGACTCATCAGTCATGGCGAAGTGGGGATCAAAGTCGTTGCCACGGCCCTTCAAGTTGGTGATGTTGCCGAGAGCACGCTTCGGCTCGGGTGTAGCTCCCTCCTGGTCAAACAGCTTGTTCTTGTACAAGCCGAGTCCGTCATTGTGCATTGAACCTCGGGGGCGGGCATTGGCGCGCTCCTGGTGCGGCAGCTTCTCGCCGTCATCCTGTAGCTCAAAGTGAGTTTCGGCATCACGGCGAGCTTTCCCAACCGGGTGAGCTGAGTCATCTCCCATGTTGCTCGCCTCAGTGTCCCAGTGACGAACGTCCTGTGCTCGGTACTGCTTTGTAGGCTGAGACTTGTGGGGGGTGGTGAAGTCTTGGAAGTCCCACTGGCTATCATGCTTCGATTTCGGACGGTCCTCAAATGAGACACCCGGCTGGGGTCTGTCTTGAGGGTCGGATCCATCAGCAAAGTCGAAGTGGCTATACTTTTGAGGATTGGGCTTGATAAATCTGTTCTTGCTGGTCTTGGGCGTCGTATCTTCGTCCTCAACATGTTCTTGGCCCTCAAAGATACGCATAGGTTGTACGTTCTTGCCCTGCCCAGCCTTGCTCGGCGAGGCGGATCGGTGGCGGTCATGCCCTCCTCCGTAGTGCTCACCAGTGGGATCGTCACCCAAGACGTCGGCGAAAGACCGCTGTCCCTTACGGTGACCCGCATAAGGTGACACGACGGACGCGGACGCAGCAGCCTCCAGTTCCTCTCGGTTTCCAAATAGTTGCAGAGACGCATGGGGGTCGCGCATGGCGTTGTTGGAGCTGCCGCGGGTTCGGATGACGATGTCGTTGTGACTCTCGGGCTGCTTTGAGGCTGCGCCAGTTGACTTGAGGCACGACTGGATCAAGGTGAGTTGCTCTCTGCTATCCCTGATGGGCCAATTCCGTCCAGTCCTGCCAATGATTTCCATCTGCTTGAGCAGAGAGCCCTGATCCCATTGTTGACGAATTTGGAGAACCTTGCCTTCCTCGTTGAGCGTTACAATGTGAACCTACGTGTCACTAGTGTTAACGGTAGGCCACTTCTCCAGTGGCGTCGAGGCAGGCTGGCGCTGGGTGACCGCCAAGCTTGAAGCAACAGGTGGGAACTCACAATAGAGAGATGAGCAACGCGATCCGACAAGAAGTTGTCGTCCAGGCCGGGAAGGTAAGCGCCACCACTAGTTTGGAACTCCAGGGCCGTGTCGATTTCGGCTGCAACAACAGACTGTCCATCGACAAGGTTCAGGAATTCCTGCTTCTTGACCTTTACCTGCTTCTGGTGGGTGTTGAGGTGCTTGATGATCTCGGTAGCGCCAAAGATGGACGTAGTGGTGGTAACGTAGTGCAGCGAGGCATTGTCTGCCAGCAGGGAGGAGCTGGGAGAAGCCAAGAACTGCTTGTACACAGAAGCCATGGTCTATCTTGGTCGCTGTCGACGCGCGGAATCAAGACGCGTTGAGGTTGAAGATGGGATGAAAGCGTTTGGGGGGGAGGCGGGGAGCGCCAACTTTTGTTTGTTGTTCCAGTCTGTTGTCGATTACGAGGGGTAAGGACCTTGTTCAGCGGGGCAGAAGAAGATTTGCTGTCAGTTGCCGTTGTTTCTGTTTTGGCTTTGACAGGACAATGGGCGCTTGGCGATTTCGCATGGACGAGGGACAACGAAGGCAGAGGATGAAGAATGACGGAAACGAGAAACGGGAGTAACTTGTCAAGGATGAATTTTTTGGCTTTTTTTTATTGATCAATCACAAGCAGACGACGACCAGGCTGGACTTTTGCGTCGACGAGGACTGGAGCCACAAGTTTGCAGAACCAGGGACCGTGACGCGGTGACGAGTTGACGAGTTGACGACTGGGGGGTGTCGAGGCGTCGAGGTGTCTCGACCCTGGCGAGGGACCCATTTAAGTACATACCTACCTACTTAAGTACTTAAGTACTGAAGTGCCTGCGTAGGTAGGTACCTAGTACTGGTAATTTCATCAAACGGGATGGGCAAATGCCGGACGTTATAGGTACCTACTTAGGTAAGTACTTAAGTACTTACTCCGCATGAACACTGCACCACTGGCCCTGGCACTGGTGGTTTTCATCATTAATTTAAGTCCTTGTTAGACCTATAAGCACGTACAGAGTCTAAGTAGTTACTAGTGCCGATGCTTGGGTAATAGCGCGTCTCATCAATGACATTGATTTGCCTGCCGGGTGCGGGGAACACACTGCACAATGAAGGACCAGGTAAGGGGAAGCGCAGGGGCATCATCTCGTGGCACCTGAGGCAAAGGAACAGCAGGGCACTAAGCCTCTAGTCTCTAGTGCAAGGGGAGCCGACACGAGTGCACGGGGGAAACCACGTCCTTGAGCGCTGTCTTGTTGGAATGGGTTGTGACCGAGCACGGCGTATCTGGGTGCGTGCTCCGTGATGGAATTTCTTGACTTGATCCGTTGAACGCCCTGCACAATCGGCGTTGCCATGGCGGCGGTCGCGCTGGGACGCGTCTGCTCAGGTACTGGTAAGTACGGAGTACCTACCGGGGCACTCCGCACATACCTGGGTCCCTAGGTACCCTACTTAGGAAGTACTTAAGTAGATTCTAAGTAGGTACCTAAGTACTTAAGTTCTTATTTGAGTACGTTCTTGGGTATCCACACTCTCCATGTGCCTCCATGCAGGAACTCACCATGCAGGTACTCGAGTCGCCGCACGCAGCACCCCACGCAGCTTGGGTCAAAACTTGACCCTGAGTACTCCGTACCTTACCTCCAATGCCCACCTAGCCAAGTATGTACCTAGGCACTTAGTTATTTCATCCGGCGACACATGAGCATGAGTGGTGCTGATTGACAAGTGAGTGCAATGCTAGTCTTGTAGAGTTGGCAATACGGATTAACCCAGTGGTCAAGTACCTAGCTTGCCACTTAAGTACTGACCGCGTACCAAACTTCCCCCCAGACTCTGTAACCAGACCCAAGCCGAGGCCGCTCGGCCAGACGCCATGTGTTCAATACCATTCCATGACCATGTCAGCCCATGGTCGATGGTCGAAGAAGGCAGCAGTTCAAGCTGGAGTACCTACTACGGAGTACCCTACCTAGGTAGAAAATTGTTGGTAACGAGGATAGTTCTGATATTATCCTGAGGCTGCATCGAAACACTCTCTGTGACCGGCTTTTCTAACCTGGTCCGAATCATGGCAGTGCGGCGGCATTGGCGGATAGAGAAGATGATCAAGTTGAAACATATCACAATTGTCGGCAAGCTGCAAGCGGAAACGAATGTCCGAAACCCAGTCTAGTCGTTGACCAGTCACAAGCCACACTGCTTGTGAATCCGAGCGCCTCCCGACCCGCCTGGCGCGTACGCCCGTCCGCACAAGTCGCAGCCTGCGCCACAATTGCCCTCCGTCGGAGAGCCGCCCATTGCTGACGTTATAGCTTTAGCTGCTGCGAGACAGCCGCATGTGTTCTCGAGTCCTCCTCGAGTCCTCGACACCATCTTGGATCTTGGATTGCGCGCACCTGGCAGGTCCGGCGTCCTCCCGTGCTCCGAAGCTCGCTCTAACCACCCTTGAAAACCTCCCTTCACTCGTCGTCACCACTTGATGATACCAGTGACGCCCGTTCCTTCGTCACGATGAGGCCGGGTGGCAAGGCAGCCGCCGCTTGGTGCATATTGTTGCCCTCGCTCTTGTGGACCGCGGTCCTTGCTAAAGATGAACCGTCGATGACGGTCAATACTTTTGAGAATCCGCCTTTGAACATCAACTACTTCGAGGACAGTGACGTTGTCATCTTCGAAGACAAAATCGAAGGCAATGTCTATCGGTCCGCAGACGCAGGCGTCTCATGGAAACGGGTCGATTCTGTCCCCGATGGCAAGGTCATCGAACTCATCATGCACCCGTTCGACAAAAAACGGGCCTATATAACTACCCGCAGCAAAACCCAATTCAGAACTGAAGACCGCGGAGAGACGTGGACCAAGTTCAATACCCGATCACTACCCAGCAAGTTTCAACCAGAAGTCATGGTCTTCAACGCTGGCGATCCCGATCGAATCATATTCAATGCCATGGATTGCGATGGAATCTTTTGCGACGAACAGTCAATGTATACGATCGACGGTTTTAAAAACACTCGAGCCCTTCGTGTCAACACGGTCGGGTGCTGGTGGGCCAAGTCGTCTCTCGAGTTTACCACTGGCGAACAGGAAAAGGACAAGTCGCGAGTGCTCTGCATCGTGAGGAATTCTATATCTTTCTTCAGGCAGGAACAGAAACTTGTTATTTCTGATAATTTCTTCGCCGTCAAGAGCGAGCAATTTCAAGAATTCGAACCAAATATCGGCGCCAACAAGGGCCTTAACGGGTTCCTCAATTTGGCCGTGGTGAAAAAGTACCTATTGGTGGCGACGTCCTCCGCGCACAGCGACGAAATGGCTTTGTATGTAAGCGATGACTCCAAAAGATGGCACCGAGCCATGTTCCCCAAGGACGATAGTCACGACCACTCGCATAGGATCAACCAAGGCGCATACACTGTCCTGGAGGGCACAAACTATAGCATTCAGGTTGACGTCATGACATCTCATCCTTCACGGCCCATGGGCGTTCTATTTACGAGCAATTCGAATGGCACCTACTTCACCGAGAATATTCCGTACACCAATCGTAATACTAAAGGCAACGTTGACTTTGAAAAGATCTCTGGTATTCAGGGCATCTTTCTCCTGAACACTGTCAGGAACGGCGCAGAAGTGGCCAAGAAGAGGACGGAGAAGATTATCCAGAGCCAGATCAGTTTTGACGATGGCAGGACATTTTCGGAAATCAAATCCGGCGACGATAGGTTACATTTGCACTCGGTCACGGAGCTTGACAATGTAGGCCGTGTCTTTTCCAGCCCTGCCCCAGGTTTGGTCATGGGAAACGGCAACACGGGCGAATCCCTGGGGAGTTTTGCCGATGCCGACCTGTACGTCTCTGACAACGCTGGGTCGATCTGGAAGAAAGCTCTGGATGGGCCTCACAAGTACGAATTCGGCGACTCGGGCTCAGTTTTAATCGCCGTTAAGAACTCAAAAAAAGCCGACATCAAAGAGTTTTCCTATTCACTTGATCACGGAGATAGTTGGAGTCAAGTGCCTCTGCCCAAGGGTCTCAGCATTAAGCCGGACCTGTTAACCACGACCCAGGATTCCACCAGCCTGAAGTTTCTGCTTTTGGGGGAAAAGGACCGCACCTTTCACATGATTGCTATTGACTTTAACGGGCTCAAAGAGAGAACCTGCGAGGACAAGGACATGGAAGTCTGGCACGCTAGAGTTGACAGGGACGGCAATCCGAGCTGCGTCATGGGCCACAAGCAGACGTTTTCTCGCCGCAAGAAAGCCGCAGACTGCTTCATCAAAAAGCCGTTCGAGGACCCTGTTCCCGAGACAGAGGACTGTGAATGTAGCGATGCCGACTTCGAATGCGACTATAACTTCCAAAGAGGCAAAGACAACACTTGTGAAAAGGCCGGTCCTATCCCTGCGCCCGATGACGAGTGCAAGAACAATCCCGATGGCACGTTTAAGGGCTCGTCGGGCTGGAGGCTGATTCCTGGGAACACGTGCAAAAGAAGGAGTGGCGAGCAAAAGGACGACAAGGTGGAGCGAAAATGCTCTGAAGGCGACACAAAGCCTTCACCACCGCCTGCCACAGGCGAGGTTACTTTGAAGCAGAAAGTCTTTGACTTTAGCCACGGGGAATTCGAGAAGATATATCTCGAGAAGGGCGATGCAAGCACCTCCACAGACGAGACTGTTATTTTGTGGCCAGCATCAGATGGGAATCAAATATGGTTGTCTCACGACCATGGCAAGGAGTGGAAGCGCGTTCTTGAGGGCGAGAAAATCCGCGGCGTTTTCCCACATCTCCACTTCAGTGATGTTGTTTACTTTATAACTGACAGCAAGAAAATCATTTACACCGTTGACCGTGGTCAGTCCTTCCACACCTTTGAAGCCCCATCAAAGCCAAAGACAGGCGTCATGCCTTTCGCATTCCACCCTGACAGGAAGGACTGGCTCATGTGGATGGGAGAGGCGTGCGAGAAGGTTGGGGGCAAAAAGTCTTGCTTCTCAGAAGTATCTCTTTCGAGAGATCGTGGAGACAATTGGAAGACGCTCCGACGCTACGCGGAGAAATGCGAGTTCACTGGTAGCTCCGCGTACAAATTCCGCGACGAGAAGCAGATCCTTTGCCTGGTCAACAGCGAAGAGCGAATGGATTCAAACCTCACCGTCATGACGAGCGACAACTTTTTTGACGATGAGCCAGTGAAATTTGATGGACAAGTCCTCAACTTTGCAACCATGAGCGAGTTCATACTTCTGGCTAGCAAGGACCCCGAGACTGGCGCCACACGTGCTGCCGCCAGCATGGATGGCAAGAACTTTGAGGCGGCCCGTTATCCTCACAACTTTCACAAGGGGCACAACGATGATTACACGGTGCTCGACAGCTCGACGCATGCCGTCAATCTTTTCGTTCGTTCCGAGGCTGGCGGTGGCCGCCTGTATGGTTCCATTATCAAGAGCAACTCCAACGGCACATCGTATGTCGTCAGCGCGGTCAACGTCAACAGCGACGCAGAAATGTACGTCGACTTTGAAAAGGTTGCCGGGCTGGAGGGTGTCGCTCTGATCAATGTGGTTACCAACACCGACAACAAGAAGGAGACGAAGAACACATTGCAGACCAAGGTTTCACACAACGATGGATCCCAGTGGGGATACCTGGCGCCTCCCGCAAAAGATGTGCAGGGCAAGTCATACTCTTGCAGCAGTGCCAAGGGAGACAGTAGGTGTGCCCTTCACCTGCACCACTACACAGAGCGCGACGACAAGAGCCGAAAATTCGCCGCAGAAACCGCGGTAGGGTTCATTTTCGGCGTTGGCAATGTAGGGTCCAGCCTCGGTGACATCAAGGACGCGGATACGTTCCTGAGCACCGATGGGGGCATCAGCTGGGCGAATGTAAAGAAGGGGCACTGGACCTGGCAGTACGGTGACCAAGGATCCATCATGGTACTTGTCCAGCGAGCCACTCGCAAGAACGATGTCAGAACCAAGATTGTGTCCTACTCTACCGACGAAGGCAAGACGTGGAAAGACATGGAGTTCTCCGGAAGCGAGGTTACCGTGTTGGACATCACCACGCTTCAGTCGGGCACCTCTCGAAATTTTCTTTTGTGGTGCCGAGACAGCAACGGCAACATGGTTACAGTCAACCTCGATTTCAGCGGCCTCGCAGATAAGCCATGCAAGTATGACAAAGATTCGGCAGCCGAGTCGGATTATATCCTGTGGGGACCTCAGCACCCACTACAGGCCGGAAACTGCCTGTTTGGCCATGAGTCCAAGTTTCTTCGCAAGAAGACTGATCGCAAATGCTACAACAATGAAAACCTCAAGCGGTTGGTGGAGTATAAAAATTGCCCCTGTACACGGGAGGACTTTGAGTGGTACGTCATGAGCCCCTTCCGTCTCTCCCCCCCAGTCTCGTGAACCGGTTGGGCTAATTTGTGTATAGCGCCTACAACTTCGAACTGGAAGACTCCGACTCTCAGCAGTGCCGACTGGTCAAGGGCTACCAACCTCTGTCGGGCAAGGAGTGGTGTTCCAGAAATCCAAACGCGACCTCATATTTTGATCCGACGGGGTATCGTCGCATCCCCCTGTCCACCTGTGAAGGCGGCAGGGAGCTGGATAAGGCATCTGAAGAGCATCCATGCGAAGGTCACGAGGACGAGTTTGAGCGGAAGCATCGAACGTCGGGCACGACGATATTCTTTGCCGTGGCGATCCCTTTTGCACTGGCCGGGGCCGTCGGCTGGTGGGTTTATCGCAACTGGGATGGCAAGTTTGGCCAGATTCGCCTGGGCGACACGTCTTCCACCTTTGACAGCGACCGACCATGGGTCAAGTACCCCGTTATTGCGGTGTCGGCCGTAGTAGCCGTCGTGGCAACCCTGCCTCTGCTCGTCGGCGGCCTCTGGCGGTCCGCGACGGGCTCGTACAGTCGAGTCCGGGGCGGTGGTGGACGAAGCTGGTTCTCCAGTAGTGAGAACCGGCGATTCACGACCAGAGACAGCTTCGCACGGGGCCGTGGTGACTATGCCGTTGTCGACGATGACGAAGGGGAGCTGCTAGGGGAAGACAGCGACGACGAGGTGTGAAGTAGAAGATGAAGAAAATGAGCCAAGACGAAAACAAAAGGACTGGGGCAGACAGGGCATGGAAGGTGGTGGGAAAAGCGTCAAAATTAAGCAGCGACTCTGCTACCGACAGAAGCCAGGAGCGGCCGCCATGACGACCCCCGAGTCTCATCTAGCGTGGCTTCTGTTGCATCTTGGACAATGTACTTAGGTATGCATGATGGAATAGATGTGCGGGATATACGTCACGGGCTGCAGTCGCTTTCCGCGGCTGCACTGCAGCTGGTGCGAAGGAGAGGCACACCCGATGACGAGACTAATAGACACGACATGAATCTTGCCTGGGTAATTTAGTAACGGTACCGACTGCGTATCAAAAAGCGCGGGTGTGGTGTGGCGTGGTGTGGCGTGGTGTGGGTGCTGGCGCCAGACGCGCGTTTATTTGCACCGAGGGCCACGAATGAGCCTGGTCATGCCTCCAATCCGTCTTGACCGAGCCCAAATAAAGTCTTGGAGTCCTGAGTGCCGGCCATGCTTCCGGCCACATGACGTCTTGGCGACTCGTCCAGAGCTGGCGCATTCTCGCCCGTCCTTTTGCTGGGCCGACAACTATTCTTGCCTTGCCCTGCCGCAGCACGACCGCACGAGTCGAGTCCCTGCTCGACGGTGACGTCCGACGACAAGTCCCGCTCACCACCGCCGGCCGATGCCATGTCACCACCCCGAACGCTGAGCATCCTCTGCTTCGGCGACTCCCTCACCTCGGGCTTCCACGCCGGGGGCCGCGAGTCCCATCCATACTCCATCGCCTTCGCCGCCCAGGTCCGCGAGGCCCTTCCAGACACCAAGCTCTACGTCTACACCAACGGCAAGCCGGGCGACGTCGCCTCCTTGGCCCCGTTTCACCAGAGACTCCAAGCCGAATGTGGGTTCAGGACCCCCCCCTTTCTCCCCAAGGGCACGACTCGCCACGAGCCTCGTACGACGACACGACGACCCAAGACCCGCGGGCATCACGCTCATGCCCGACGCGGCAGCTGACCGTGAATACGTACCAGGTAACAAGCGCCATCACGACTGGTTGATCATCCTAGGAGGCACAAAGTACACCCCTTCCTTCTCTCCTCTTGTCCCCGGGCGCGCCAAAGCCTCCCCTCCCGCGGTCCTGCCCGTTCTCACATCCCACTGTCCGCAGCGACCTGGCCTACATGATCCCCCCTCAGCAAATGTACGAGTCTTTCCAAGCAACCTGGGACGTGGCCCTCGCAAAAGGCACCAAGGTCCTCGCGTTGACCATCCCCGAGTCCAAGGCCCAGCCAGCGTGGGTGGTCGAGAACCGGTCGGAGATAAACTCGCTGATCCTGGCGCACCGCCAGCCGAACTAGTAAGCCCGTCTTCGTCTTCTCTTCTCTCTCGCACTTGATCTTGCGAACCAAGTAGACGGCGCAGCCGCAGGTCAAACATGTCAGCTGACACTGCGCTCCTCCCTTCCTTCTCTCTTGCCGCCTCCGCGTAGCCACGCTCTCGACCTTCATGCCAAGCTGCCGTACCACTCTCTGTCGGCAGACGACAGGGACAAGTACTGGGACGACGGGCTGCATCTGACAGACCAAGGCTACGACTGGATGGGCCGACACGTTGCCGACGGCTTCTTGGCCGCCCTCTCCTCGGTCAATCGTGGTGCTGGTGCCGCCGGGGCAGAGGAGCCGGCGCCGGCGCCCAGCGGCTCCCAACGCCCCGTCAGGACAAACGACAGGACAGTGTTCGAGGAGGAGAGTGGCCATCCAGGGAGACTAAGCGAGGGCTACGTCGTGGTACGGAAGAAGGATCTGTGGTGATGCCCATTATTTCGGGGACTATAGAAACTAGAATTCATAGGAGCTGGGCGACGAGAAATGAGAATCAGAAAAAGGCAAACATTCGCCAGACTGCCATGCCGTGTGTGCCTCTGAACGCCAAGATGCTACAAGAAAGAGGGTAAGAAGAGGAGGGGGGGCCAATGTATGTGCTGCTTTTGTGTCGTGAGGCATCCATTCATACGGCAAGATTTGCTGCCACAAAGTCCTGTCTCGTCATACGTCAGTGAGATGGCCCCCGACGCCGGTGATTCATTTCTCGATTTTTCGGTTCTTCTTCTTCTTCTTCTTCTTCTTCTCCTCCCTTGTTTTTCCGGCAGAAAAGAAAAAGAGGAGAAAACATGCAGACTCACCGGAAACTCCCTCTGCAAGGAATTGGTCACGTTTTCGACGTCCTCCGACAGGCTCTCCACGTTGGCGTCCCACGTGCGCATCTCCTTGCCCGCGACGACTTCGGCCCTGCCACTGCCCTTCTCCCCGGACGCCTCGCCGCCTTGGAACCACACGATGCCATCCAGCTGGTCTATCCGGCCGACGAGCCGGCCCTGCTCAATCATGCGGGCCGTCGTCTCCTCCGCCTTGGCCGCGTCCAGCCCCAGCAGCGCGCCCAGCGCCTCGAACCGTATGTTGTTGAACAGCCTAGACGCGCCGAGGAGGTTGTGCTCGACGACGGCCCTCGCGAGGACGGTCGACCCGTCCGAGGTCGTCGCCAGCTGGTGCGGCCCCAGCGCCTCGGCGAACTTATCCACCTCTGCCTGCGACAGCAGCCGGTCCAGGAACATCTTCTCGAGGATGCCGAACTCGTCGAGCTGCACGGACCGCTCGTCCCTGTACAGCCGGCCGAGCGTGCGGCTTCTCATGGGGCCGGCGGGGGCCAGGACGGCGCACTTGACGGCCATGGCGAGGGTGTGCAGGCGCTCCTCCTCGGCAACGGCGGGCGAGAGGCTGATGTCGTGGTAGCGCTGCGAGGCCGACAGGAAGTCCCTCTTTGCGTCCTGGATCCGCGCCTGCGAGAGCCTGAAGTGCAGGTTCAGGTCTGGGTCCGAGACGGTGTGCATGATGTTCTTGAGTTTGTTGACGTACGTCTCGGCCGCCGTGGGGTCCTCGTCCTCGAGGTAGTTGCGGACGATTCGAACCCAGATGCAGGCCCTTTCCTCGTCTGTGACTTTGCGCTGCGAGCTGTCGAGCGGGATTTCCGTCAGGACCCTGGCGGCGTCTGCGAAGTCCTCGTTGGCCTCGTGGGCGGTGGCCACCAGGTCGCAGAGGGTAGCTTGGGCGTCGAAAAAGGACGACGGCTGCGACGAGAGCACCGAGAGCGTGCGCGTGCCGACCTGGATCCAAATGTCTGGATTCTCGAGCGCCTCGAGGGCCGCCAGGAAGGCGCCGAGGACCGAGCGCGTGGCCACGACGCCGAGCGCCTGGCCGAAGAAGGAGTCGACGGCGGCATTGAGGTCGTCGACGGGGCTGGTCGATGAAGGGCGGTTCTTGATGTCGGCGAGGAGGGCTTCGTAAAGGGGCCCCTTGTCGCCGGACGCCGCCTCGGCTTGGGCCGGGGGAGAGGGAGGGGAAAGTCGGAGACGTGAGGCGACACGATGAAGTTTTCGAGACGGGAGTTGGCGGGGGTCGGCTTTAGCGGGGCAAAACAACCAGATTCAATCAAGGCTGTTTGTTTGTTGTGAGGAAACCCAGACTTGCCACGCACACGCACACGCACCGCACCTGCAGTCAAACGTCACCAGAGAAGAGGGCAAAAAGAAAAAGACGACACACACACAGCCCCAGAAACTCCGACGAGTCCGTCCGCGTCCGCAAACGTAAAGCCTATCAAATCTAGTATCGAGAGCCAGTGTACAATCTACAGCAGGCGGCCAGGTTCTGTCAAACTCAACGCAGGTACTCGACGATGCCTGGCCTCGTCAGAGATGAGGAGGACTCGCGCGCAGCAACACACCCAGAAACCAAGGCACAGTCACATTGCAGATTGTGGAATGACAAACCCCATGCTATGCCGGGAGAATCCTAAAGTAACAAGTTCAACTTGGAAATTTGAAAAAAAAAAAAAAAAAAAAAAAAACCGCACCTGAGCTCGGTTCCCTTGACCCCAAACGCACCTCATCATCGAGGACGGATCCTTGATCCATCCACGTCGGTCCTCCTTGCCCAGAGTAGAATTACACGCCAAACTCTATCCTTTATTTGTTGTGCCACAGCAACGTCCGCAGCCCATCCCAGTCGTCGCAATCCTTGTAGATGTACGTCATGCTGCTGCGCAGGCTGGACTGCAGGTCCTCGGGATGCGTCTTGAAGAGGAACATGACCATGGCCCAGGAGAGGGAGGCAAAGGCCGGCCAGGCGTAGTGGCTGATTTGGGAGTGCAGAGGCTCCTTGGATACGACGGGGAATCCGTGCCCGGGCTTGACGGCGATGCGTGCCAGCGCCAGCGCCACGCGCGCAAAGATGTAGATGACGATCTGCTGGCTGACGGACGAGACCTTGCCGTTGCGCTTCGATCGCTGGCCGAAGACAATGTACCCGCCCACGAGACCGGCGATGAAGGTGTCGTAGGGTCCTGTGTCGTTTGAAGCATTTCAAGGTCAGCTTTTCCCCAGCCGCCTCTTGAGTTTTCAGCCGGGCGGGATGCGCGGCACGTACCCTCCTTGCCGGGCGTTGGGCCCCAGTGTCTCAACGCAAGCACAACCAACTTGTATATCGTTGCGAATCGAGCCAGGTTGGTGGCGTGCTTTCGGGTGGCCCTCATTACGAGACCCATCTTTTGTCGGAATCTGTCCCCCGGGGCAGGGTTTGTTGGAGATGCGTCAGCACATCAGTCGGGAAACGGCGGCGGTGCCTCCACGATCCGCCGGCGGGTATTCACGTACGTTCCGGATCGGAAGAGGAAGATGATGCTGAGCGTGCGCCGTGTTAGCTCCCGGACCCTGTCGGACTCGTGAGATGCATCTGCAGGGCCTGCGCGACGTCCTCCCTCATCTCTACTTACACCAGCGCGTGTGGAAACCGGACCTTGGTTCCGTAGACGGCGCCGTTGCGGGCAGTCTTGACGAGCGACAACAGGTCGTGGTATCTCGGGTCGAGCGCAAGGCGCTCCAACGCAGCCTACACCGGAGGCGCGACGCAGCCCCGAATGTCAGCGTACAGGGGCCTTAGCGAGCCTGCAGACTGTGTCAACGCCTCGCACGGCATCTCGTACCTTGACAAGTTGAATTGACGTTGCCATCGTGTGCCTCGGTAAAAAGCCTGGGGGGGTTCGCAAACGCAAGGCCGCACGACGAGAGCGGTCTGGTCGCTGGTAGGGGACGAGGCTGGAAGAGGAACGGGGTTTCGACTCAAAAAACCATCGGCACGCGGGATCGATGGACGATGAGGGAAATGCGGCCGGGCCCGGGTGGGTGAGGCGTTGGCAATTCGAGGGGGAGGGGGGGGGAGGCAGAGGCAAACGTCAGGGATGATGTTTGTCGGTGATTAGTAGTTAGTTGGGGCCTCGGAATGCGGCTCTGGCTTGTGCTTTGTGCCGTGCTCGTGCTCGTGCTCGTGCTGTGGGCTGTTGCAGTCCATGTCGGGCGGGCCGCGCGGTGACCGGCGGGGCCAGGCCAGGCGCTTTACAGCACCGGACCCTCTGGGGCCTCCTGGACAAGTTCCGTCCTGGCAAGCTGGCAAGCTGGCGGCACCGGGCCACGTCAGGGCCTCTGTGGAGCCGCAGGGGCGGATGACGCACCATGAGCAGTCAACGCTGCGGGCTCGTTCGGGGCCCCCCGCCTCTGTCTGAGCTGCGGGTCGGTCCTTCACATGTCATTTTTTCGCAAATTGCCTCCTCAGGCAGGAAGTCGGCATCAGCACCACCGCTCATGAGGTTCTCGCCACTTCACGCCCAGCACGTCGAATATCCTCCTCTCGTCCCCGCCCTTCACCAGCGAGCCCTGCGCGGCGAGAGCGTGCCTGCCGGCCCCCCGAGTCGCGTCTCTGTACAGCCCCCTCTGGTTCAGACGCATCCCCTTCTTGGACGCCAGCAGCCGCATGCTGCGGTTGAAAATGTCGTTGCCCGTAAAGTAAATCAGCGCGGCGCCCCTTTCCGACGCCGGCACGAGCAGGAAGTCGATGCGTCGCCAAGTCCCCCGCCGGTCCTCGTCGCCATTGATGCCCGCGGTCCTGGGCAGCACGCAGCACCCGTGCCATTTGCTCCCGTCTCCGCCCGCGCGAAACGACGCCAGACGCGCCGTGAGGAAGCCGTCCTGCTCCAAGACGCGCACCAGCTCTCCCAGGAAGGGACGCAGCTGCGCCACCGACTCCGTGCCCGGCTTGGTCACCATCAGGTCAATGTCGCCGGAGCTGGCAGCGCCTCTGCGGTAGCTGCCGCCGATGATGAGCTCGACCTGCGCGTCGATCCGCGCCGCCGCCCTTCGCACGACCGCCCCGAGGGCCTCGACTTCGCGGCGGGGGATCCTCGTCTTGAGGTCGTCGAAACGCTCCACGCCGATCCGCTGGCTGGGATTGAGCTCGGCCCTCGACTTGATGTCCTCGAGTGTGCGGTATCCTTGGGAAACCCACTGCTGCGCCTGCTTGGCCCCCACGCCGTATATCTGCAGAAACACCCGAAGCGCGCCGTACGCCGGTTCGTCCTGCGCGCATTCCAGTCGTCGCAGTCTGATTGTCGTGACAATCTCCCCGACCTTCTGCGCGATCCTTCGCCCAATGTGAGGCAGCCGGAACGCCTCTTCCTCCGTAGCAACCCTGGTCGCTTGTCTCTTCAGAGTCGTAATCGCCTTGCGGTACCCCGTCGTCCTCCAGTGGTCGCCGACCCCGTCGTAGTAACTAGCCATGCTCTGCAGGACCTCGATCGTCCTGGAGTTGGGGTTGTCCCGGAACGCATCCTCAACGCCAGCCTGGTTGCAGGCAAACCGGTCCTCAAAAGCCAGGTGCTTGCCGCCAAATCCGCGCTTCCTGTCTGGGCCCCCCATCGTTCGCTGCCCGTCCTCGGACGAGCCCCGATCCTCGTCGTCGCTTGAACGGGCCTCGTTCCCGTTCGCCGTAGATGTGCCGTCTTCGTCGTCGTCCTTGTCGAGCGGGAGACCCTTGAACTCCTGCATCGTCAAAATGCACCGCGACAACTCGTCATCCACATCACCGGCTTCTCCGCCAGATTCCTCCCCCAAAGTCCACGCTTCAGAGACGACCCTCGCCCCATCGGCAGCCCTCCCGCCGTCCACCAGCTCAGCACGGGGCGAGTCGTCCGCAGCCGTCGTCCCCGGCGTCGGCACAGAATCCCGCCTCTTCGAACTTCTAGACCGAGGCTTGATCTGCAGCGACTTGGCCGATTCCTCCAAACCCTCTCCCTCTCCCTTTCCCTCTCCCTCGTCCGGCTCCGGTTGTCCTGGAACCATGTACTTCCTCTGCGTTGCATCCACCACGGCTCCGAACCGGATACAATCTATCGGATACTCCTCGCTCACCACAGTCACATCCAGCCCCGAAACGACCCTTTCCACGTCCTTGTACCGGAGTCCCCTGTCGACAACAACATGCGTGGCGCTCTCGACATCCGACGTCCACGAAGCCCCATACTCACGAGCCTTGTTGATGCGCAGCCTCCTCACGGGCGCAACATCATTGTTGGGCACGTAGTAGAACAGCAAGCCCCGGAAGATCTGTTCCCTCTCAGGCCGGAGCTTGATCGACCCGCGCGTGCGTTTCCTAGACGCCGCCAGAGGGGAATCCAGTGTCCGGCCGCGCCCAAGGGAGGCCGCGACGTCCCTCTCGACACGCGTAGAGTCGGGTATCACGGTGGTGCCATCTTGATCGAGGAGGCTAGCGAGGCGGTTGCGCATGCGGCTCTGGGGCGTGGCCTTGATGGTCGTTCCTTTGGACGGACCTCGTCGCTCGATTTTATCTACCCGTCTCCGCGGAGAGTTGGCCTCTGGCGCTGCACTGTCCTCGTGTGCCTGCGTGGTGGATGCGGGTGGCACGCTCCGTGCGCGGAAGAAGCGTGCTCGAACCAGACGGTCTTGTTCTTCGAGCGCGTCAAAGGTGTCGTCTGCGACGCCGTGCCCGTGCCACGCCTGTAGGCGGTCAAAGTAGGCCAACTTCTTGTCGAGAGATGGCTGTTCAGACGCCATGGCCAGAAGCTAAGTCGTGACGTTTACGTATGTACTGCCGGCAGCTGGGCCAGATGTGCGGTTCTGCTTCTTCAACGAGATGGTCGTCGCGGCGGCGACGGCGGTATTGGAGGCGAGAATAGAGTGATCTGTCATGTTTGTCTGTTTGCTGGCGGTTGCGATGGCTGTGCCGTGCAAACATCATCGACGTCGTCTTGGAGGCGCAGGCGCGGACCGAGGTGGAGTTGAAGTCGCCGCAAGTCGCAGCCTGCAGGCAGCCACCACGGCCGGGAAACCCGTCACGGCATGGTGCAACTCAACTCCGTGGCGCGTCGCATAATCATCGTCACTCATCAATCAACAACCCAGTGATCCATACCTTCTACCCAAATCTTCACCCTGTCATGTAGAACACTAAAACTTTCTCGGTGAGATTGTTTGATTTTAGTCTACAATGCTAGTCATGCCGTCTCCGTTGTTCTCACCATATCTAAAGTTAGATTCTACTAATAAAACATTATAAAGCCCCAAAATATAACGGTGGCGAGAGGACTGCGTAGCCATTCTGTCAATCCGCTGGCTCTCTCATCGCCAAGTCCAAGACCCAACTTCACCCCCCCACGTGTCCGCTCCTCTTTTTGAGCCCAGTACCATTGTATGTAACCATAATTGAATGCGTGCGTGCGTGTAATGATACCCCGACTTTCCGGGATTCTATGCTCTGGCCGCCAACATTATCCATGTTCGGACCAATTCAATTCCCATGCCATGATAGATAGAGCCTGCCTCCGTATGGATGCAAGCCAAGCAAACACAAAAACTCCAATCGCTTATGCAGCACAAACAATCCCCTTTCACACGACACTTTGGCTCCGAGCAGCACTAATCGTCTAGAGTCCCTGCGTCCCCTCGTCTCTGGGCTCTGCGACACCACAGCAATTTTGCTTCGTGTCGCCAGCCTAAGCCCGTCTGCTCACGGGTGTCAGCTTCGCCTCTTCGAGAATCGTCTGCAGTTTTCGCGTTTCTCGAGCCGCCGTCTCTCGCTCCTCCTGAAGGCCCATGACCTGGATCTGCGCTTCGTTCATCTTAGAAACGACTTGCTGGATCTCGCTCTCAGCATCTGCGAGGGCTTTCTCTAGTTCGGCAACCCGAGCTCGGAGAGTCTTGATCTCTACTTCTTCCTCGAAGCTCTTGGCAGCAATGGCCTGACCTGAGCGACCAAACATGGCGGGCATCACCGATTTCAATAGCGAGCCCTTGCGGGCAGTCACGCCCACGCCAGCACCCGTCTGAATGCGGCCAAGTTGCTCGTTGTGAGCCTCACGAAGTTGAGAAAGCTCCTCTTCGTGTCTAGCCACACGGTCCTCAGAGGCGGTCTGCGCCGTGACAAGCTGCTCCTCGAGAGCGTGGAGACGTGCCTGAAGCTCGGTAATTCGGTCCGAGTTCAACTTTCGGTCCGCGTCGCCTCGCGCTACAGTGTCGGCAAGACGCTTTCGCAACTCAGCGTTAGTAGCCAACTGTTGCTGAACCTGGGAAGCCAGCTGCTCGACACGCAAGGCGGTTTCGCCCAGCTCATCAGAGAGAGCCTTCTCCCTGTCAAGGTTCTGGGACTCGCCAGCTGACAGGACCTCGACCTGGCTCTTGAGGCCATTCAAATGCCGTCGGGCGGCATCTCGCTCAGAAACAGCTGCCAAAAGGGATTGCTCGAGGCGTTCGATGGCAAGCTTCGTCTTCTCATCGGACATGGCGTCACCTGTGTTAAGCTCCAGCTTCTTAATGCGCTCTAGTGATTTGGCGTAGGAGCTTTGCAGGTCCTGGTAGGCTTTTTGAAGAGATTCTGAGGTAACAGGAACATCGGGCATGCCATTAGTGGAGCTTGATCGAGCAAGTGAAGGAGGAATCAGAATATCCTTCTCCTGGAGCAAAGAACGAAGGGAGGCAATCTCTTCCTCGGCTCTATCGAGGTCCATCTTCAGACCACTCAGGCCCTTTTCCACCTGCCATTTTTGCTCCATTGCATCTTCCGCACGGCGTCTCAAGACATTAATTTCGGTGCGCAAGCTAGATATCTCTTTGTCAAATCCGGCTTTCCGGGGTTCTAGCAACAGGCGTTGGCGCTCTGTTTCTAGAATCTTGATTTTCTTCTCATTCTCGCGGTTCTGGAACTCCTGCCTCTCGAGGAGATTCTTCAAAGCGCTGTGTAGAGCGTCACGTTGAGCCTCCACGTCTTTTAATCGCTCTGCAAGGGCCTCTCTTGATTCGGAGTGTGGCTGCTTCACACTTTCCGACCTCGACAAGCCACCGAAAGCGGTAGGGCCTTTAGCCTTGAATGAATTATTTGCTTTCGAGGTTGATTTAGCCAGAGCAATGTCGTCAGGACCAAGTGACTTGCGTAGCGAGGTGTTTTCTTGTTTCAGGGATTGAAGTTGATGTTGCATCTTTGTTGATTCGTACGTTAGATTAGCATACGAGGCAGCTTCGGCTTCCAGACCCTCGACTCTGGCTCGCAATTGCGGCACAACCTCGTCTCGCAGATTGTCTCTTTCATTGCAGGTCTCCTGCAGCTCGCTTTTCAACCCGGACAGTAGGTCTTCAAAGTTGCTCTTGGACTCCTTTTCTTCAGCAAGCCGTCTTCTTAGATCTTCGCAAGATTTTTCCAGGTCCTTGACGCGGTCACTGGCATCTAGGCTGTTCATGTGGGCCAGGTCTATTTGTGAAGCCTTCTCGGACAAATCTTTGATCTGCTGGTCCAGGGCTTTTCTCTTTGACCTTTCATCTTGCAATTTGTTACTTAATTCGAGACGGATAGATGCCTTCTCCTGCTCTGATCTTCTCTGAATTCTTTCAATCTCCTCTCTGTTTTGGTCGTACTCGCTGAGTTTGGCAGAACTGTAGCCCGAATCTGAAAAGTAGTCGCTTGATCGCTTACTTGGTGCTTGGGGGTTGTTGACTTGTTCCTGAAGTCTATCGACCAGGTCCTCGAGGTCCATTTCACGCCTGATCGATGCGGCCAGCTCAGAGCTGATAGCTTTCAGCTCGTCCTCCATCGCGTCGATTTCAAGAGACGACGCGGTCGTCCCAGGGGGTGGTGTTGATAAGTACGATTCGCAGTAGCTAAGGGGGTTCGAGGTTGCAGCATTGGAGTTAGTAGGTGTTGAGGTTGGGCAGTTATTCCTCGGCGCTTCAAGCGGCGCATTGACGCTTTTGCTCGGCGACAGGGGCGAGGGGATGGAGGAGAAATCTGTGACCGACGGTGAGGGGTTCGACCAGCTAAACAATGAAGCAAAAGGCGATCCTTGACGCGGCGATTTCGGTAGTGGCTTGTTCAGCTGCGGAGATGCAGCTAGCTTGGCTGATTCGGGAGACGCTGATTGCCGTTGAGATTCTAAATCACTCGGTGAAGCTGATGATTCAACAGTATCGAGTTTCAGATGTGGAGGCGTTGGTTTTGGAGCCAACATCAGAGGACTCGGGGTATGGTCTGCGAGGTCGCCGTAAAGCGATTCGATGTCGTCCAAGCTGTTGTTGTCCACGGCGCGTCCGGAGGGTGAATTGCGAAGGTTGTCTTCCTCCGGCGAAGACGAATTAGATCCTTGCAAATAAAATTCGTCGTACACTGACAGCACGTCTGAAAGGTCAGAAGAGCCTCTGCGTCGAAGCTCACCTGCCGGAGGGCTGTGCGCCTGAGGAACTCCCGGCTGGATGGGGGCAGGGATGGTGACGGGAGATCTACGGATCGAATTCCAGTCAGTAAAAGAAGCTGCTAGAATCCAGACTGCACCCGAGTAGGGGGGAGTCACTGAAGCGTGCCACGTTTGGGTGAGCCTAAAGATAACTCGACGCTATTGGTACAAGAGGAATGAGGTTCATGGTGACGATGTGTAGGTGACGGGATACTCAAAACGTCAAGATCATGCCAAGACCGGACGGGGTAAACGAAAGGTGGACACATGGAAGACAGGGAGAGAGGCGCAGTATCAGGGTCGAGGAGGGGGGTTCAAAGGGGGGCGAAACTTACGAGGAAGAGGACACCGATGCTCGGAGTAGTTGCGGGTAGTCGTAGAATGTCGGACTATCGACAGATGGTGGCCTAGCAAACCTCTGTCCTGGCTTGGGGAGAAGGTCAGGGTTCAAAGGGGCAGGAACTGCCGCAATGACTGAGTCGCGTAGCGATATGGTGGCGGCCAAAGACGAAGCCGACGAGGACAAGGGCTTCCGTTTGATCGGGGTTCTGAAAGGAGGAGGGGGGGGGAAGTGCGGAATAGTCGATTGAAACGTAGTTCCGGCAACAGGAGTCGTAATGGAAGCAAAAGAACTGAGGCTGCTGGTGACGCTGTGCCCTGTGGGTAGAGAAGGGGAAGGATGAGGGCCGAGGTCAAGGTCAAGGTCGGGTGGCGTTTGATGAAGGGTCTTGTCCAAGGAGTCGTGACGTTGCTGCTTGTGCTGGTGGTGGTGGCAGCGGCGGCTTGCTAAGGAGAGTTCGTGGTGTCGGAAAGGGTCAGAGGACGTCGAGGCAGGCGTTGTATCAGAACTTGACACGATGGACAACGGGCCCGGCCCCAGGTCCGCCGACGCATGACCATGAAGCGAAGCTAATTGTGCCATTTTCGGACTCGCGTATGTGACCGGACCGAGCAGCAATGTCTTATCACCGGGTCATTAAATTGGCCCGGAGAAAAAGAATGTACGTAGCAGTAGTAGTAGCAGTAGTAGTAGTAGTCGTCGTCGTAGTGGTAGTATCGGCAAATTGAACGAGAAAGGGAGAGAATGAGGCACAAGCCAGGGCGGCGGACATTGGGACCATCAACGGTGAGAGCAGACGAACGAAGCTAGCGACCAACCATTTTGACTAGGGGGGGCGGGGGAGACCAGAGCAGAGCAGAGGAGGAGGAGGAGGAGTTGGCGGGAGAAGGAGAAGGGATGGCCGAGTGCAGTCGCGAGGTGACTCCCTCCAGGTACGGAGTACGTACCGTGAAGTTGCCAAGCACGGTGGACAGCGCGCGTGGACCCCAAAGGGGCCTAGTGGCAGGCACCGGGGCGGGAGGGTGGCATCGTCAACGACTGGTTCCTGGCTTCGCTGGCCGAAAAGGGGTCGAGGCTAATTTGCACTGTCCAGGGGGGCGGCGCCACGTCAAGGCAAGCCCAGCCACGCGGCTCCCTGCCGGGGTCTGGTGCTGTGGTGTGCATGCACCATTCACAGTACACACGACGGAGTGCACAACACAAATCAATCAACGCAACACGAGGCAACACAACCCAACCAACACAAACCTACACGACTCGACTCGACACGACACGGCATGGAGTGCGGAGCAAGTTGACAACGCGCTGTGATGGACCGATCGGCAGGCCCGTGGTGTGAACAAGAGTTACAGGACGGCAGACAGTGTTGCCAGTGGAATGATAAGCGCCGCGGATAAAGGAAACACGACGCGGGCGACGGTAGCGCAGGTTCTTGACGCTCTCGCTCTCGCTCGCTCCACGGACTACCGCAGTCAGTGTCCCCACCGCAAGCCACCGTTTGACCCTCCTCCAGCATCACTTTTTCAAGTGGACATGGCATAGTAATGGAAGAACACACCGTGGGAAACGTGGGTAGGGTCGTGCAATGCGAGCGCGTGTCCCGCGGAGTGCCGACGGAGCTCTGATCCTCCAAGAAACCACTCAACGGGCCAGGCCAAACCACGCACATGCATGTGCGTAATTTACGGCGTACGGAGCACGCAGTAACGTACTCTACGGAGTATAGCACCATCTATGTGGTACCATGCCCGTGTCACCCACCCCGGGTCAGTGCACCGTTAGCACAAAGACGAGGAGCCGAAGAGTTGGACGGATTTGGCTGGCCGACGACCAACGAGGACGCCATCACCGCAGCACATGTACACATACGGCAGGGGATGGGTTGCTAGTCCGTTATCCGATGCTGGATCGGGCGACGGGCGGATGGACGACGGACATTGTCCTCGGACGGACGAAAAGCCATCGTGTTCCTGGACTAGTGCCAGGGCTCGTTTGACCGCTACGAGTTGCGAAAGGGACGGTCACAATTAAACGTTGACTTTGGGCCGGGCTTGACGCGAGGGTTCGACGGCCGCAATGTGCACAGCATAGCGCACCCATGTACTCCGTACACACGTCGGTGGCGGCAAAAGCGCCGGCTTGGGGATATTTGATGTTTTGCCCAAGAAGCAGGGGACAACAGTCATCGTCAGGCGTGGCGTTTCTAATGCCGGCAAAATCTTGAGGGTGCATAGGTGGCAATGGCCTCGTCTCACCCTGGGACAGTCTGGGGGATCCGCATACTACCTCTGAACATGTACGGAGCCAGAGAGTCGGTGCAAGCACATCATATTGTTGTTTATATCATGTTGTATCGACGCTATCGATGGAGTCAAGGCAGTACTGCGTGCTTGGGTGAAGCGGCAGTTGGTCGGCACGTCCTCCGGACACGGCTGCACTCGAACGCGCGCGTAATGAAACCACATAGATGCGCACTATCGACCCCGTATGCATGCAGCATTCCTATTCTCCGGACCGCCCGCGCCGCTCTCGCGCTGTGCGGAGCATAGCAAGCAGACAACTTGACAAGGATGCCTGAGCCGCAGTGTAGTGATCTCGAAATCATTATTTACTGCCATGGGGCGCCATCTCGGCAGTGGTCCTGGGATTTGTAAGACGAGTCCCATCTTGAATACGGTGCATGAGTACTTGGTATGTGCTGTATATCCTCGGTGCTCCTCATCGTACGTAGATGCAGAACCCAAGCTCAGATATCCGGCTCTACCGCAGTTCAACTGATTTCAGAAGCCACATGCCAGTATCGCTTCAAAATACAGCACGCTTGAGTTGATTAGAGATGCCGCGCCGCACACAACTACGTATGTAGCATGTACGGGGTAGCACGCATGCATGTACTCCGCATTCATTATCAACCAGGTTCTTTGACTAGCCAGATACAAGCCAAGGATCCCGTCCCGTCAGGACAACAAGCATCCGACCACGGACGCTCTTCGGTCGAAGGGGACCAAAGATGAGCCCGGCAAGGGCAACACCACAACAAGGGGTCTCGTCGATGGAGACGTTGCTCAACGGGCAGACGGCAGGCGGCTTCAATGCCTCCTCCTCCGAGGCAATTCGGCACTCCGAGCTCACAGCCAGTCGCCAAGCGCCGCCGTCGCCGCCACCACCAGCAAACCTGCAATGCAATGCGTCAGCAGCAACAGCGCCTCCATCCACCCCGTGCTACCACAGTACTGGCAGGACAAGCCCGTGGCGGGTGGATGGGCCGTCGCGTCGCAGTCACGAGATGTCGCCGTCATGTGTTGTTTGAGTTTAACAAGAAAACCCACGTGCGGAGCACCTCCGGAATCAGCGCCACTAGGCAGCGAAGCAGCCGCCCTTTCCTCAACTACTGCTAGTACCTACGGGGTACCAGGCGTGACGTGCCTGCCGTGAGGTGAGTGATGCACCTCCCAAGGTCCAAGGAAGAACGAGGCCGCCGCCGCCCAACCAGTCGCAATCAACCGAAACCCATCGGCGCCAACAGAAACCGAATCCTACCAGGCTCCTTGCCGGAAACGGCGAGATCGTTCTCGTACGCCGTACCGTAAACCTCGATGCCATGCATGCTCTGCGGAGAAGAAGAAAGACGAAAAGAAAAAAAAAATTTTCCCGCTGCAGCCACAGACGGCACGACTCGCTTCGCCAACCGCGCCCGCAGCGCCGGCCTCACGGCATCCTCCTTGCTCCCACGCAGAGGGCGAAACAAGACGAGAAACAATATCGGGGCATTCGAATGTCGAGTGATGCTCCGCACCTCGCCACTTCTTCATTCCCTGAAGAAAAGAAAAAGACGATGCGCTAGTAGTAGAAGTGGGAGCTGGAGGAGTAGGGGTAACCTAGGCTCCAATAAGTACCTAAGTAACTACCTAGGTACCTAGGTAGGCACTTAAGTTCCCAAGTGCTTGGCAGGGACGTGCTTAGGGATGGATGTACGTGCAAGTACCAGCACTAGTGCTTCTAAATTGGGAGACCCACGAGTCCACGGCCCACCGCATGATGCTGACTCTTGCCCCAAGAAAGCGCCCGTGTTGTGGATCGCGCCCATAATCTTAGATGTCTCGCAATCCTCCTTGATGCCAACTGCCAAGCGCCAGCCTTGGTCACAAGATGCAGCCTTGGCTTGGACCTCCTTTCTACCACGAACTACTTACTCCGTACCTACTGGCCACTAGCTGTGAGCGATGCGCCCCACGACGTTGTCTTTGTAGATGCAGATGCGTACGTGCATCATGGCAATGCTGAGGTGATTTGACTGGTGTAGAATCTTCTCCAATGCATGCCAGCCAGCCCGACGCAACCTACCAAAGTCGGCATTGCCGTCTCTCCTCCAAGGCCTTGTGGGCTGGAAATCGGCATGGGAGGCAACCAGGCTGTCTATGTATGTACATCAACGTGTAGATGAGTTGCAAAGGCCCCGGGGATGGCCTCCTATCTGTCGTGTTTCTCTCCCTCGAACATGGCTACTTACCACCTTCACCTCGGTGGTCGCCCAAGCTGCCAGTAAGTCCGCAGTCCTATCGACAGTCTCGCGCAGCCATTACAGAACCTCTTTCCCCTTGGGAAGCAGTGCCCAGTACCCGCTGCACGAACATTTGCGCTGTTGTGCCAGCACAAAGGTAAATCCGGGGCGGCTGCCATAGACGTCCTCCATCACCGCGGTGCACCTGGTGCATCTTCTCCATCTGCTTCTTCCGCCCCCATCTCGTAGCTCTGTCCTCTTGAAGATGTCCACATGCACGCCCTTTGCCTTCCGGGCAGTCAGACTGTTCTTGTCGTCCTCCAGCCCCAAAAGCTTAAAGTCTGCAAAAAACAACTTGGCCGGATCCGTGAGCTTGCGAAACGCAGGAAGTTCCTTGCCAAAGAGTTTGATCAACACCGGTAGGAAAGACGGGCCAAGCGACCCGCTAAGTAACGTGACCATCTCAAACTGAGCCTGGGTGTTCTTGATGGCAATGTCGAGTTGCTTCCCTTGTGGCGGATTGGGCTGGTTCTTGACTATCCTGGGTAGGTATGATGCGTAGGTTTGCCGGATATCTGAAGCCAGTATGTTTAGCAACTTCTCCAGTTCCGCCACTCTGATCAGGCTCGTCGATGTCACCTGCTGCATCCTCTGGTAAGCCTGTTGCAGCTGAGGCTTGGGAGGTTTGGCGCCGCTCTGTTGGTCCCCCGATGCTTGCCGTTTGTAAAAGTCGATGGCCTTGTTGCTAATGTTCTCCAGGATGGAAATCCTGCGGCACAGAGCTGACACGAAGCTGCGACTTGACGAGGAGAGCAGCAGGTGGAGTGACACGTCATTCTTCTCGTGGAGATATTGGTTCAACTCTCCCAGCTGTTTCGCTTGAAGTCGTTGCTTGAACTTGTCGTCGTTCATCAGCTCGAACAGACAGTCAATCAGCCAGCATAGTAAATCGACAGACCACTTTGCGCAGCCTGCCAAAGCTTCCACAACCTCTATAAACCTAACATCAGTATGGCTTGGGTCAACCGCTTGTCTCCACAGGCATCAGTCTCACCGTGTTCATCCAACGGGCTCATCTTCTCTCTGATGTTTGTTGGTGTGTTGCTTGCAAGTGTGATGAGGATCACTACATTTCGCATATTCAGGCTAATGATGGAAAATTTGCTCAGAAATGTTCGTCGATGAGTTTCTCCTCGAAACCCCAAGCTACTCATTATGCTGAGGCAGGACTGCAACGGAGAGTTCCTCATAAGCGAGTCATGATGCATCTCCTCAGAATAATCGACTTGGATCTTCAGAAGTCGAATAAGGTCGCCGACGAAATCGGATACGAATCCTGCCTGATGTCAATATCCTGGATCCAAAAAAAGCCGCTTCTCAATGAAAACACTCACTCGTTCTTGATGTCAAAGGTCGGGCAATTGCCAAAACATCATCGAAATTGCTCATATGCCATACGGCAAAAGCAGCTGCGATGGACAGCGCTGCAATGGTGGCAGTGTAATGGGCTAAGGGGCGTTAAACCAAATCCCCTATGCGATGGGCTGGATTATCACTTACGATCCTGTGGAGTGTTGCCAATATCACCTAACGGGTACTGAAGCTTGTTCCACCGGAGCTTTCCATCGTCTCCAATCTGTACCATGGAGCAATATGTCGGGGAGAAGGCGGCTTGATAGCCTGTCTGGTGTGAGTCTTGTGTTCCTAGTTACAAGTTATGGCAAAAACAGTATCCATGGCCAGACTTACAGGGTTCGTTATCGGAAAATGTCCACCCGACCTGTCTCATGGTCATGACTTTGTTGAGATCCTCATGCGCGTAAAGTTCTTCGAACGTAAATCGATCTCGATACTCAATCGACCCGTCTGACATTGCGAAGATGAGGACCCTTTTGTATTGAATATCCTGGATTCCAATGACGCCCTTGTTGATCACAACTGACTCCAGCTTCTTGAGCCTTGTAACGTTTGCTAGATCCGATGAAACGCTGTTTCTCCTATTTCCAAGCTGCTCAAAGGCGGGATCAAGACCTTGCTTGGACTCGAAGGCTTCCCACCGGTCCAAGACGCTCTGAATTGACTGGAAGGATCCGTCACCTACATATCTCGACCTGACAGTCACGATCAATGGCGGGGCTGTGCTGGAGCCAGTGCTGTCCATTATGGCCGGCAACAGATGTAAAAAAGATAGTTCAGCAATGGAAGCGTCATAATTTGTCTCGCTCGGACCGGGACATAACCAGCTGGTCGACGCAACATGTGTTTCCACAAGCGCAGGGTTTAATCTTGCATTCGGGGGCATAGTATTCTTCTCCGAGGAAGAACCAGGTCCCGCCCACTGTACCTCGATTTTTAGCAGCTTGAGTTGCCGGGAGGAGGTTGCAATAGCAGCGAGCAGATTTTCTAAGTTGCAGTCAGCCACCCTGCCTGCTGTATGAACTTTTTGCGAAGTTTGCACAAGGATGGGCCTACTCACTTCTGTCAGAAGCAAAAGCTGCATGCGTGACAAGCTCATCCGATGAGTTGATACTTTCAAGCTCCATCGTTGTCTCCTCCCAGCGGTTGTTGTTCTGTGGCCAGTACATCTTCATCATGCCGCCCGAGTTCACACAAAAAAAGGCGCTTTTAGACGAATGCGGATGATGTGGTCCGATAATATGTACAAAGACGTTTTCATAATGGTAGACATTCCCGTTCTTATTTGCCGGCCCGTACATGATGTTGAACGGTTTCTTGAACATGTCAGGGCCTTTTCAACAACACCGCGTCAAGCATGTGCGAGAACAAGTAAAGGGCAAAGAGAAGGGCAAAACTTACACTTGGGCTTCCTGGGGCCAAGGGAAGCCAGTAACAGCCCACGACTCCATGAAGGTCGTCAATCATGTCCGTCTCCCAGTGCCTGTTTATGAAGGGATGGTTCAACGAAATGGCAAAGCTCACCAACGCAACTCTCCCAGCTGCATCTATCACGGCCAGATCGGGAGTGTTAGTCGGACCCCATTCTAGATGCACTAGGGGAATTGCTGGCGACCCCTTGACAAGCTCGCAAGTCGTCGCCTCGCTGAGCTCCCAAACCCCAGTGTCCGGATGGCATCTTAGGAATCGAAGTTCAAGGGTCTGCCCATCGGGAGTCAACGAAGCGATTGTGCCAGATTTGGACCACGCGACCGTTCTGCCCAGTGGTTAGTACGGCAGATCTCGTGAACGGCCACGCGCGAGTAAAGATCATACTGGCAGGCGCCTCGATTCCTCAGCTCATCTAGCCGTTGTCGCAGCTGTTTACCCTGGGGTCTGACAGGTATTGAGAGGGGCACGTTGTCGCCAAACAAGTCGTCGACATTGTTAAGATCCACTTGCATAGAGTTATCTAGTATGAGTGGCATCTTGTCGGCTGTCATTTGGGCGGGTTTTGTCCACGGACACGATGAGTGTCTGGAGCGCAATCAGGTAGTAAGCAAACAATGCATGCATCGGCAAACAGCGTCAAACGGACCAAGACAAAGACGAGAAGCGAAAAGGGCAAAAAGCAAAGAGAGGGACGCAATAAGAAAGGGCTTGGCCTGCCGCTATGAAACTAGGCCGATGCGGCCTGGGCGTGGAAAGGATGTGAAGTCAAGTTGTTGGAGGCTCCGGACGAAGGCAGCAAGGTGGTCAATGATTGGGCAGATGAGCAGTTTCACTGACGCGCATGCGGGAACAATCAGCCCCACCTGTGCAGCTAGTGTTGAGTGACTGAAGTATCTGCCATAAGGCGCGAAGGGGTATTCTGGTGACGGTCCTCAGCTTGGCAGCTATTATGAGTCAGCTTCTGACAAAGTTGAATTTTTTTAAATAGTAGTTTTTTTTTCTCTGTCTTGCGACGGTCCTGCTATCTCGAGAAACAGGGTCGCGTACTCCGTAGAGGTACCTAGATACGTCGTCTTATGTAAGCAGAGTGTTGACTTGTTATCTCCGGCAAAATATCGGCATTGAAGGCCAAACTAGCCATGTATATGCCACCGCGAAAGTGCAACGCTCAATACACTGTTAGAAGATGCAAGTATCAAGGGGCTGCTCCTCTTCCGGAGTGAAGGAAGGTGGAACTAGGTTTTTACGAGGAGAGAGGGGATGCACATCGACAAGCTGCTATTAGTTTCCAGTCAAGCCGCAGCAACCCATTGTGGCTACGCGCGGACAGCGCAGCTTATAAATAGCTACCCGGTACTTTTATCTATACTCTGCAGGCAGGTAATTACCTAGGTACTTGAGTACTCCGTACTCTGTCGCGACATCTGGACCCACAGTTGACATTTCCGACGCTTTCCGATGGCGAATCCGACACGAGCTAGACCCCTGCGCCGCTGAGGGAGGGGCCGTTCGGCCCGCCATTTCCGAGGGCTGCTTCAACTCCCGCTTCTGAAAGCTGGGGTTGATGGATCAACTTGACTCGCCTTACCGCCCAAAGAAGCACCTGGCTCGAGTCTGGTACGTTATATATTCGATATCTCACTTCGCCGCCCTCCTCATCCTTCCCCTTCTTCCCCCTCTGTTCTCATGCAATGCACTCTGCCGGCGAAAACCATGAAGTTAGCCACGCGATTGCTTAGGCCGAAGCCGCTGTCGAGCCCAACCGTAGGTCGCCAGCTTGGATCAATTCGTCTAGCTGCCACTTCGTCGGCCACCCAAAATGGATCATCAAAAACGCTTGTGTATCTCGCAGCTGGTCTGCTAGTTGGCGGTGCTGCTGGCGCTTCCCTGGTCAATTCTCGTTCTGACGGGCGTTTATCCGCCGCCACGCCTCGATGGCAAGATGCGTCTCAAGGCCATAAGAAATCCTCTCGCAAATACGCCGACAGGAGAACAATGCGCAAGGTACGGTTGGAATTGAAGCTCATCGGGATCGGAATATTAAAAACCAAAAACTCATCCTCACATAGGCGGTTGACGAAATAAGATCAATACTGGGTGAAGATGCCGTCAGTGTAGAAGACTCCGACTTGGAAGCCCATGGCTACTCCGAATGGTCAACCTCCAACACAGAAGTTCGACCCGTTGCCATTGTGCGGCCCCAGTCGACAGAGCAGGTATCGAACATCGCTAAAGTATGCACCAAGTACAAGGTTCCAATGGTTCCTTATGGCGCCGGATCAAGCGTCGAAGGCAACTTTAGCGCCCCATACTCGGGCATATGCATTGATCTATCAACCATGGATAAGATTGTAGCATTCCACCCACAAGACATGGACGTGGTGGTTCAACCTGGTATGAACTGGATCAACCTCAACAATGACCTCAAGGATTCCGGACTGTTCCTCCCACCTGATCCCAGCCCAACCGCCCTCGTGGGGGGAATGGTGTCGACGAACTGCAGCGGCACCAATGCTACGAGATATGGCACCATGAAAGATTATGTAGTCAACTTGACAGTGGTTCTCGCCGATGGATCCGTCATCAAGACTCGCAACCGACCCCGAAAGACCTCTGCCGGTTACAATCTGAACGGTCTCTTTGCTGGCTCCGAAGGTACCTTGGGCATCATCACCGAGGTAACACTAAAACTCGCGACTGTCCCGTCCGTCTGCAGCGTTGCCACTGTTACCTTTGAGAATATCAGGCAAGCTGCAGCTGCAGCGGCTTCCATCGTTCGGACCGGCGTGCCTGTGGCCGCCGTGGAGCTCATGGATGACGTACAAATGCAAATCATTAACAAAAACGGGGGTGCCGGCGGTAGAACTTGGAAAGAATTACCAACACTATTCATGAAGTAAGAAAAAAAAAAGCCATTCCCATGCCCAAAGTCTACAAAAGAAAAGGCGTTTTTGACTTGTTTCGTACAGATTCTCGGGAACCGATGCCACTGTAAGAGACAATATAACATCTGCGCAGACCGTTGCCAACTTCTTTGACTGTAAATCATTCGAGTTTGCCACTAGCCCCCAACAGATGGAGGCTCTGTGGTCTGCAAGAAAACAAGTTCTGTGGGCGTCTTTGGCGGTGAAGCCGGAGGGCACCGAAGTTTGGTCTACGGATGTGGCCGTTCCACTGTCGCGAATGGCTGACTTGATCGGCAAGTGGCTTCACCCTTGGTAGGAGGGCGTGGTGCTAATGAAGCGTAGAGTTGTCTCAGGCAAGAGCCAGAAAGCTTGGACTCTTCAACAGCATTATAGGACATGTCGGTGATGGAAATTTTCATCAGATGATCATGTATAACCCGAGTGTTCCCGAGCAGAGCAAAGCTGTCGCAGACTGTGTCAACTTGATGGTGGAGGATGCCATTGCCATGGAGGGAACCGTTTCAGTGAGTGCCGTCGAACGCAACATGGGATGAAATTTTTGATGACTGATTGACCTGAAGGGAGAACACGGCATTGGACTTGGAAAGAAAGCAAGTCATCAGATCCCTCAGCATGCTCGCGAGTACGACATGATGAACTAACCAGTTTCACTAGCATTGCTTGGCAAAGGAACTTGACAGTGCAACGCTGGGAGTTATGAAAGCGTTGAAGGATTCTCTCGATCCCCAGTGAGCACTGCCAGTTATTGAACGCGAACCGTGACTAACGAAGCACAGCTGGTTGCTCAATCCAGGCAAGATCTTCGATGAGTAGACGTTAAGCTATGATGGCTATAAGTCAAAATAGTGGCATCCATCACTCTACTCCAGACTGTGGCGTCTATGGCATTGTGGCGGTCCAATGCCTCGATTCTCTGACAGCCGGCACCGTGTAGACTTCATACTTTATTATGGAGGTCATGTATACAAAGGCATATCCTGTGCTGCGTCGCAAACTTCCTGAAGGGCTTGTCAATGAGGACGCCGAGATGCATCCTCTAAAGCGGTGCGCGCTCGAGGAACAACCTCGTGAATTCAGACGGAGTCGACGAGCCGAGAGAAGATATCAAGACGTCTTGATTCACTCGTCCGGGAATGACATTGACGTTTGATGCTTGCGTGCTCCACAAGTGCCATAACATGTATCCCCTTGGACAGCTTAGACTACGGATCCATACTCAAAGCATGGTGGTACCCAAGATGGAGCATCTGGGCAGGGCGTTGGATCACCAGAATCAGCACCAAGGCGGTAAAGAAGGGCTACCTACATCACGGAGGCCAACTAAAGGTCAGAGAGAAATGCCCTTGCAGCAAGACAGCAGCGTACATATTAGGAGAGGCATGCCTTGACATCAAGTCCTCTTATGCCATCAGGTACGTAACTTATACATTGGTCCTGGCACAGCAATCGCAGGCTCGATAAGCCGAGACGAATCCATCCCAAAATGCCGATGTCAAAACATTGACGCAGGTCGCTTCAAAGGTCAGAAGGCTAGCCGTCACATGCTACTGTTGTTGTCGACTTCTTTGACCCCTTGCGCCAGCTGACATATGTGCTCATGCGATTCATCTTGTTGCATCAAGCCTCCTGCTGAAGTCCAGAGAACAACGTATAACCGTACAAGCACGCACACTCCAATGGCTTGCTTGTCTCGTCATACTACTGCCATGCGCAAACAGCTCATCCAGGCCTCTTGGGAGGAAATCTCGCCGACAAACGAACACGTGGGCCACCGCCATCCTTTAATTCCTAAAGTCCTCTTGCTGCGTGCGCTTACGTCCGTTATTCATGGTCCCCCCCCGAGAATAGCCAGCCATGACCGTCAGATACGCTAGGCTTCCATCACGCACCGCCCAACGTTCTTCTTTGCAAGCTTCAACTAAAATTACCTGGGGTCTCGAGCTGTGAGTCAGTATGGAAGAGCCTCTGCACCATCTCCAAGCCGTCGGGTCGGCTTTGCTTACGACTTCACCGACGTGGGGAGTTGGAACTTGCCCCCAATTTTAAGAAGCAATATCTAACCCTGTCGCCTGGCGGGATGCTTCGTCGGGTCAACATGGTGCGCTGTGCTTCTCTTGACGAAACAGAAATGCCAGCAGTAGTGAATTATTCGGACATCATGTCCCCCGAAAAAGGCTTGGCTTGTGTAGAGAGATTAGCTGGTCGAACTTCTTGTTGGCGGCCTTGACATCTAGACAACCCTGCACGCATTGTTCAATAACAGGGACCAACCGTCTCGTGTCCAAGCATCTTTGTCGCTACAAAGCAAGTACTAGTAGTACAATGCGGACAAGGCTAATTCCATACATGTGGCTGTACTACTGTTCTGGAATGTCTGCCAAGGGATGAAGGCTGGTCTGTTTTTCGAACTCACCCGTTTTCTTTCTGACATGTCCTTGGACCTGGATATCCGACGGAGGGACGATTGAATCGTGCCGACGTCTGGCTCGAGCATGTAGAAACCCCTCGGCGTTGCAAGAGACGGTATTGCTTTAACCCACATGAGCAGGGAGGTGAGCCTCATCGCCCACCAACGTTGAGCTACGTACATTTCAACAAAGGGTCCGGCTCCTACAATCATGCGTCGAAATGAAGTTGTGAGGGATAAATTTCCGGCCGAAGCTTCTAGAAGACGTCATCTTCATCTTCCGTTCTTCAGGACAGAGCCGGCGAAATACTGGTCTGATAATCACGGGTAGGGGTCAGCTCTCCGAGAGAGGCTGGCGAGCCCGCACGACGGCACCACAAGAGGATCGATACTCGTCGGATTTTGGGTGTCCCTGTTTCCCAAACGCCACGCCTGCGGCCTGCCCCAACGTCTGTTCCAATGCGGAGAACACGCAGTCGATGCTCTTTCGTTGTCGCCGTCGTCTGTTTGCATAGACGAAGAAGCCTAGTGTTGGTAGTGTGAACCGGAGCGTCTCCTGATGGATGGAGGGAGCTCGTGCTGTTGATACGGCTGACGGTCGCGGAAAACGTGGGAGAGCCGAAATTTACGTTTGAGACATGGAAAAAAGTAACTTATTGAGACAAAAACACGCTCGACGTCCTGTCTGTGATACGTAACAATCATGGCGCGCAGCCTCCGACATCGAGGCCCCTGGATTGTCCATGTGCCAAGTGACATGGCTGGTTGGCAAGGGAGGACGGACCTTGGGGGTCAGAGGATGTGCGTTTCTTAGGGGTGAATACGTAGTGCTAGAATAATGGCATCAACTGCCGGCGCTCCGGGTCCGAGGTAGACGAGGCCACACGTCGAGACGACTGGTGAAATGTTGTCACCACGTCAGACACTTTTCCGGCAAATGCGACCCAATTCATGCCCGGCCCATCTAGTCTGGTTTGTTCCGTCTATATCCAGTACAAGTCCTTTGTGGTACGTTGATTTATGTCATTCCTTGGTCCTACGATGGAGATCGTGACAATGACTATGATGTGGCTCAAAGTGCTGAGGCCAGTGCCCAGTGGCATGTGAGTTGATGGGAACCGTGGCACAGTCGCCAGGCTATCGGAGACATTATCAATATAGCTGAGGACCTGCCGGCCACGACGACGTCGTGACGCTCCCTGATACTTGTGCTGTGTTTGTGACATGGCCTTGTGCGACTCTTGTCTTTCGTCCGGCTCCGAGCCTACTCCTGTTTTAGGAACTTCTTCGATATGGATATGGAGGCGTCGTGAAATGCGGAAGTGGCGAAGCCAGTAAGTGAGGTGGCTGATGGCCGAGTGATTGACTTCATCACCGGGAAATCACTCGGCTTTGCAATTACATCCTTCGTGGATTAATTACTCCCTTATCCCACATCACTATCTCCGTGCATAGTTCCCACGACATTTCCGCTCCCCCTTTTCAAAGGCCCATACTCCAGTCCAGATTCGTGATTTCAGACCCCAAGCAGGCTCGTTCCGACTCTCGATGGAAGGATCGACAAGTTGGTATCTTATTCTGATTCAGAGAGACCAGGGTAGCAGTTTATCATCCCGACTTGCTTGTGACTTGTATTTCGATTTTATTTAGCCGGTGCCTTACCCTGCCAAGTGCTACTCAAGCCACCCCTGGGGCCTTTGCGGCGGCAAATGCTGAGCAGCCAGGCGCGTATCTTCGCATCGTGGCCGGCCAAGTAATCCGTCCCTTGTAGTCGTATCACAGCGTTGAGGAAGCGAAATTGTGCTGTTCAGCCTCTTTATGCGTGTGACGGAATACTGCGCCTGAGGCCTCGGCTAGTTGGTTATCTTCGTCTTCTGCGGCCGTTTGGCAAGCCACAAAATCCCCCGTCTTGGAACTCATGTTCATTGCCTGTCTGTCTCACGGGTGCATGGCGGAGTGGACAGCTCACATTTGGGACGTACAAATCATAAGTGGTGCTACTAGTTACGAGCTTGAGCATCGGCCAAGCTTACGATTGATGGACAGAGCGCGAATAAGCGGCAGGTGTGGAGCGTCGTACCTACAAGAAGATCTCTGGAACCACGAAGCGGCCAGGGCTAAAGCTTTACCTGTGTCCGTTTTTCCGTGACCCTGGCAGTCAGCGGTTCCCCCCCGCCAGACTTGAACATCCATTCAGTGATGTTTCCCGAGTGTCACAATCTCTCTGCGTGACGATCTTCTGGTCGGTGCTTGTTCCGGAGCTGCGACACTGTTCGTTCGACGGGGGATGCGTTGTAACCCCTGACGCCGCCAGGCGAATGACCTCAATTGTCGTCCTTGGACTGGCTGCGTGTAAGAAGAATTTTCTTGGCTGACGGTCCGTTCTTGTATGGACATGGAGATTCCTGACCGGATTAGACGTAGTCACAAATTACAATCCTGCTCTGCGAGGTCGGCGAGAGGCGTGGAGAAGAAGAGGAGGGCTTGATGCCGACTCGGATGTAGGAAGGCACACCCAGCCGCTCTTGCGCTTTGTGCCCTGTGTACGAGTACCTAGGCACCTCGTACGTACCTCGTATCAGACCATGTACTGGTGTACAAGTCGCGTGAGTCTGTGCGACCTGGTCCCGATATCGATGCGAAAAATGAAGAGAATAAAGTACATCAAGATATCAATGCCCGCGCGGCCACCATTTTGACGCTCTACAGATTCTCCCGTGATTTGAACCAACAGCCGATGTATGCTTGGTCTCCAACGACATGGAACGTGGGCCTCTCGCTCAGATCCAGATCATCGTTATTCGCGATACCCTCTGCTTCCTACGACTTTGAATAATCCTCCCCGTCCCGGGTGCAAGTAAATGCTTGGGCATTTTTACGGCGTCAATTCTTCGGCCTGGATTACCTTGAAGCAACTTTGCCATCGCAACGCACCCTTTGGCAATCTTTTCTGGCAAGCCCGTGCTTGGCGTGGCTTCTACAATACTATTATACGGTGTACGCTCTGTGCTTGGTACATCTCGCGAGCTTCACTTGTCCGTTGTCTTCATCGTCTGCTTCATCCTGGAAAGGTTAATTCTCACACCCAGTCAGTGCAAGAGTCCCGTGACTGTGCAGCCACCAGGGTCCCGACAACATCTTCATTTGCCAAGAATCCGGTGACGTCCCGTATTCGGCCAGCCTCGACTGCCTGGCTAGGTAGGCAAGCCAAACGGTCCTCACGTCACATGGTGTCCTGAATACTCAGTCGGTTAATTGGAGTCGCATGTTTTGGGTGGCAACTCTGTTGCTCGGTCACCAATGGCTCGAGTCAACAGCCAGGGCTGGGAAGCCGACGACGACGGGAGCCTCCGTTTGGCTTATCCTTCTTCTCCTGGTTATCAGGAGATGAAAAGTTTTCTCAATCTGGATTCTCCAACAACAAGCTCTTTTTCAGTCTCGACCGGCGAGTTTCTTCATGCCGACTGCCACGATTCCAGCTTCCTGTTGGTGGATTCAATTTCTGATGCCGGAGCCTTCATGGCTGCGACTGGACCTTCGACTATTGACACGCCCGAGTCAATCGTCGCTAGCACTTGTAGCGCCGGAGACAATAACCACGAAGCTAGACTTGGCTCTTCCAATAGTATTGCGACATTGCCAACGTCCATCACGACGATGACAACATGTACCAGCTCCAACAGCTCCACATACAGCCGAAACCGACGCAACATTACCCCGAATGGCGCCTGCCCTTTTTCTCCACTGCGAACGCCAGACACTTTTACGGACGGCGGCGATGAGGCCGAGTATTCGCACATGGGCAAGTCGCAGCACCGTTGCCGAAACAGCACGAGACCCGTAAACAACGTTGTCAAGGAAGTCGTGCCACCGTCTCCCAAGCCTCCGTGTAGTAGCGGCCGCATGCAAACATTCCAGCCCCTGCGGAGCACTTCCCACGGGAGATCAACGTCCTCGGAAGTCCCGCCACCGTCATCTGTTCTGACTCGGGATGAATTCGAGGCGCTGCCCCCTACCATTCAACGCAAAGTAAGTTCATCCAGCGGACACGCTGAGAACAGACCAAGTGGCGGACTTGGGAACTGGACAAGACGGAGAGGCAAGGGCGAGGCTGGAAGTTTGGGACCGACGGCATGAAGACGAAGGCAAGGCCGAGGCACAGTCGCCTAAAAAAAAAAGAGGTTTCATGCGCAGCCAGCACATCTTTGGATGACTGCTTCAGCCCTTTGTTACGCCGTAAGCGGGCTGCAAGCTGCTGATCTTGGTCGCATGGCTAACAGCCTGATCATTGATGGCTGCTGGCACGGCGTATCCCGTCCCTCCTCCACCAACACCTTTTTTTTTTTTTTTTTTTTCCCTGGGCGGGGGGTTCCGCCTGTCTGTTGCCCGCCGTCTGATGATTCAAGCCGTCCTTCCTGCATCCTTTGATGCCGTCCTTCTCTCACTGTGTTCTATTTCCTTCACGAACAATTCCTGGCTCGAGCACACTGTCACATATTAGCCGTTTCGTGCCCTTTCCGGCGCTCTGTGTATTGCTCCTCCTGCTCCATGCCCTTTTACCCTTTTAACCACGTCCCTTTGCCCTGCCAGCACCCCAACGTTGTTCGGCCCTCCCCTGCAAGCGCAATGCACGGTCAGGCCCACGGCGGTGAGCCACGAGACTGGATGTTGACCAGGGATGGGGATGGATGGAGGAACCTAGATGCAAAATGCAGGCCGGTAGCCAGCATGGTTATATGTACTCCGCATGGGGGTCTATGGAGTAGTACTCCCGATACGTGTGTGTGTGCTTTGTCTGGCTGCAAGCAACTCTCCCTCATCTACCCAAGTAGGTAGGCCAAGTTCAAGGATGTTTGCCACTTCGACCTCAGAGTACTACCTTGAGTACTTGCTCCCTTCTCAAGTACGGAGTACCTGGGTACTTACTCCCCCAACAGTCCAACACCATCGTGTGTGCGACGGGTTTGTGGTTTTGGCTCTCATTTGCTGGAATGGTCCTTTGCGTTCCCTGTTTGCTTTTGTCCCTGCATCATGACTGCCGTCGCAAGTCAGATTCAGACAAGGCCATTCCCCATACGGCGCGAGCGGTCAGGCCCTGTTGGAGCCACGACAACACGCTCGCTCACGCCCTTGGAGGAGACGGTCGCCCAGAGAGCAATCAATCTCTTCTTCACCTGCGGAATCACCTCTCCAGAGCACTGCTACAAAGCACCACCACGGAGTTCTCCGTAGCAGGCCGGGAATGGAGACCTTCTCGGGCCCAACACTGTCCTTGTGTACCGCGTACGGCGTACTAGTCTGCTCATCGTACACGGCGTGCGGTAGCACAAAACGCAACATGGCCCTTTATTAGTCTGCCGAAGCCTCACCATGTCACCCCAACGTTCTCCGTAGCCACTCCGTACCCGCTTTCTTGACGTTTTGGCTACCCGTGGTGTTCTTGGTGGGTGAGGGCGTGCGTGGTGTGCGCCACCGCTCTCTCGTTCCTGCGTTGATGAATGAAACATGCCTTTCCCCCTCTAGCACAACTGCCTCTGACATGGCACGGTAATCTCGACCCGAGATCTAGCCATATGTATATGTATATCCTGTCCATCCCTTTCATCGCCTCTCCGTGCCATTTCCTTCTCCCCCTGTATCCCAGCTATTCCAACGCATACATGACTCGGCTGTCCCATGCTTGGCCCAAACACTGATTGCATCCTGATCTCGCCTAGTACTTCTCAACACTCGAGCGCCTGCGTATCATTCGGACTCAGGACTACCAGGAAGTAGCCAATTCTGGCCGGGAGAGCTCAGATAGTCTCCCGTTTGCCTTGTCCCGCGACCAGCAAGACGGACCGACTCTCAGACTTGGCTTCGGCCAGGACGAGCTTGAGAACGCTCCCCATCGTCGGTCCCAAGGCAACGCACTGCAGATATATGCCAGCCCAGGGAATCGTCTCAGTAGGAATCGCTACGCTAGTTGCGACCAGCTGAGGGGACAGAGGTCGAGGCAGAGTTTGATGTTGGACGCAACGGAGGAATCGCTTCGAATTGGAAAACGGCCACAGCGTTTTCAAAGCCCGCCAAGAGCTTCGACCAGTCCGAGGCCAATACCCGACAGGATCATGTCATTCTCCGACGCCACGACAACTCCTGATCTCAAGTCTACTGCGGATTCCATTTATGAGTCCTTCCGCTGGTTAGAGGAGGACAGTGACCTAGATTTGAAGCTGTGCCTCGATGACTACCATAGCAACCTGCGAGGTCATCAAGTGTCGGCTGGGAAGCACCGACCTTCGTTTATACGGCACCTCTATATTCCCAAGCTTCCTTTCAGCAGCCGTGCTTCACCTACGTCAAGCCGACCAACTTCCAACGACTGCACTGCGAGCCCGCAACTGACGGCATCACCCACTGCCTCAATCCCGGGTTCACCTGTTCAAGGCCATGTTCGCCGAAGGTCACGGGGCCTTTCTCTCATCTCACCCAACAAGCAGCCAGTTCCTGACGCATCCGTCTCGACTGATTCTGCTGCAGCCCACTACCGTGATCCGGACGCAAGGATGAAGCTCCGGGTGTATCTTGCCTCGCCACACAAGTTTGACGAGGCCGTTGAATTCGGTTTCCCATCGATTGAGGAAGTGCAGAACGACCAAGACTTCCCGCCACAAGGGCAGTTTAACAGCGCTACAGAAAGGCCGAGTAAGTCCCTTGAAGATGACAAATCCTCGGTCTACAGCGATGAGGCCTCTGCCAAGGACCCCGAGTCGCCTAGAACCCCCGAGATGATGGAGAAGCCTCTATCGGCCAAACCGCTTCATGTGCGTCAAGACAAGGACGACATGGCAAACAAGGTCGATTGCGCTCAAGCACCTACGGCATGTCGAGAAATGACTCTTCGTATGACTTTGACGCGGCCCGATCTTCGCGCAAATGAGAACAAAATTTATGGTTGGCAACAGGAATTCCCCAACGGACGCAGGTCGCAGACCAGAGACGAGCCGTTGTCGCCAAGGTCTGCCACCCGGGAAGGCGCCTCGAAAGAAAGCGTTGAGCGGCAGTTTGCCGCTTGGGATCGAGAAGACGTACTGGCAAATGACAATGGCGTAGTGAAGAGATTCTGGAACCGGGTGCGACGGTCATAGTTTCCGGCTGAGGTCGGTTCCTGTGGCTCGCGAATAATACTTCCCGACGACAATGGTGCAGTCACACCCAAATTCACACACGCGTGCATCATACATTTACTCTACTACGCGTACACGACACAAAACACAATATCCCCTCGCCAACAAGTCAATCTCAGAACTCAAATCACCAAGCTGGACTTTTTTTCCCTTGTTGCTCTCGCTCCGCGTATACCCTTTCCTTTGTCTCAATTCCTTCTTTTATTCCACACATACCCAGCTTTACGACTCTCGCGTCAGGAGGCAAGTTTTGGTCATTTAGGAGTGATAATGCATTGTCTGCTTACGGTCCAACTCGGCCACATCATCCCAACATGTTATGGGGAGGCGTTTCACGGAATGGAATCTGCACTCATTTTGCTACTTGGAGCGAGTTTTTTTCTTTTTGTTTTCCTTTGTCTGTTTGGTTCGAGGAAACTGACTTGTCAACGAACGAATGAACGGTGACGGACGCACAGAAGGAGGAGGGGCAGGCTTTGTTTTGATCATTTGACTGCGAGTATGCCGGAAGAGCTCAGTGGGATGATGGAGAGAGCAGCTAGACCTTAACACACGGCCGCGATTCATTTTCAGACCCCATTCAGGAGCTTGGCACAGGCCTTGTCCAGAGCCTCAATGAATCGTACTCACGAATGCAGCGATGTTGTCTCACGACGAGTCTCGGACGCCTTTAGCTTGTGGGCTCTGGGGGCAAGGAAGCCAGAATGCGCCAATACTACGTGGCCAAGTGTGCTCTCTGGTACAGATATCGCGGCACTGCATGCATACACGTGCAGCCTTTGTTACATTGTGGTAGTGTGAACGCTACGGAGTACATATGCAATACTACCCAGGTAGTCTGCAATCCGCCCGACGAGCTGTGGACCGCAGCAATTCAAAGCTTTTATCTCCTGCATGAGTCCGTTGCTTTTGGGTGGCCATGGCGACGGCGATGGCCAGTGGCGCCTCCTCGCTGAAGTTGTATCGGACCCTGGCTCTGTGCATACGAAGGAGCAACGTGTAACTGTTTTTCAGTCTTTGTCTTCTCGTCCCCTTTTTGCAGACAACCCGCAAACGGCGCCTCAAACGTAGCTTCGAGCAGTACTAGCACCGCCGAGCTGGCGTCGACGTGCTTTCGTGCCCCGGTCCGGTTCCGTTGACCCCTTCGCCTTCCCTGTCTGCCTGTCGGGCCCTTGCCCTTTCCCTTTCTCCCGCTCCCTGGGCGGACGCGCGTGGGTCCGAGCGCCTGCAGATCTGGCAAAGCCGCAAAACCCAAGGCTTGGCATCATGGCAGGGATGTATTTGGCTTGGCTGTGTGCAGTGGTGCACATCCAGCACTGCTGCTGGTTGGTCGCCGCGGTGCGGGACCCGTCAAGTGCCACGCAGCTGCTAGTGCAAAGTAGTAGTACCTAGTACGTAGTAGCATGAGTACTTGGTACAATACAATAGTATTAGTACGGCGGCAATTTGACGGCAAACAGGGCGCGAGCCTTTCCGTGCGGCGGAAACAAGCAAGCCGCGTCTGACGATGAGCATCGAGCACCTCAGCTAGTTCCCCTCGAGTGCTGTCGGCAGCCCCCGTTTTCCGCAACTAGCCCGTCCGTGCCTCGCCGCCCGTTGTTGTCCTTGTCCTGTTCGCCGGGGACAAGGAATACTTTACTCAGGTACGGTACAGTGGAAAATCAAGTACACGACACGCACGCCCTCGTCAGTCCTCAATGTCATCATCGCTCAGTACTAGCTTCTGGGCCAGCATGCCGGACATGGCGCCGGCTTGGATGCCCGCGCTTTTCTTGCGAGGGCTTGGCTCTTCCGAAGGCTTGTCGGTGGCCCAGGCTTCGCCTGGCGCTCCGTCATCCTCTGCCTCGAACTCCCCCTCATCATCGGCAGCTGTGACGCCATGAAAGGACACGACCCTGTCCAGGTCCCGTAGCCGCACACCTGTTCTCCGGACACGTGCCACGTGAGCCATATAAGGCAGCCGGTCGAGCAGCATTTCTCGCCGAGCCGCGCTGCCCAGTGACAGCAGGGGGGGCGGGGCCGGGGATTCCTCCTCCTGCTCGGCCGTCTTTGCCAGCGCACCACGACGAGCCTGCCGTTGGCGCTGCATCCAAGAAGACGACTCGGCACCGGCCGGGGGCCTCAGAAACGCGTTTGCACCGTCTGTCAGATCCTTGGTGCCCGGTCCCGCCTCGCCCCTGAGCACCTTTGACGACCACAGGTCGACGAGGCCTTCGATTTCCTCCCTGGCCCTCCAGAGCTTCAAGCTCGTCGGGTAGAACATTTTGAACGCGTCGCCGCCCTTGGACACTGTGCCCGTCTTGCGCTTGACCGGGTTCGGTAGGGAGAAGAGCATGCCCCTGACCGCAACTTGAAACGTCATTTCGTCCTGACGAAGCAGTTGGCTGCCCAGCTCCCGACCGCCGAAGCCGCCCCTGCCTCCGAAGAAGACGTCTCGGGAAGGGCAGAGGAGATCGCTCTCGGACAGATATCCGATACAGCCGTTGACGTAATCCACCGGCGTTGACAGATCCATGGGGTCTGTGCTTTCGCACGACAGAATGTAGTTCTCGTGAAGCGCCGATATGAATGTGTGCGTGTCCGTACCCGTCTCGTCGATGAGCGCATCGACAGACACTTGCGACCTCTTTGGGCGGGCGTGCTGCGACAGGAACGGGGCGAGGTCCTCGACGGCGTCGTCTGACGGCGCCCTCTCCTCCCTCTTGTTGTAGACGACTTTGCCGACGGCGTGGAATATGCCCAGGCTCGCTTCGCGCCGCGATATCAGCTCCAGGCTTTCCGACTCCCCTTTTGTCAGAGCGATCGAGTCCCTGGCGCTCTTCTTGGTCTTGGTAAAGGCGACCTTGGCTCCCCAGTCTGCGTCGTGGTCGCCTTTAAGGCACAGGAACTCGAGGGAGGAGATGGCGTTGCGGATGTCTCCAATCTCCCCGAGCCTCTTGAGCACCTGGGGACCTGGAGTTCTTCTGCGCCCGGATTTCCTCGCCTCCTTCAAGACGACGAGCTCCAGTGCTTTTGCTAGGATTGAGGGCGCAACTACGTTGAATTCTATCACGCCGGCGCCGGGGTGACCGAGGATCTCTGGTCCCAGCAAGCGATGGGCGGTAAGGCTGTCTGCGGATGCCGACGTTGTTGTCAACAACGTCTCCGAGATGACCAGAACAACCGGAGTAGTCTGGTCCCTCTGCTGGGAAGCCTTGCCGAAACTTGCCGCGCCAGGCGTGTGCGAAGCCAGGTACCGGAGTATCGTGCCGCGGAAAGAGGTCAGCGCCGACGAGGACCTCGAGAATGTGTTTGGGAACTCCTCCACGAGAATGATTTGCCTCGCTCGACTCTGAGCTAGCCCGTTTGGCTTCTTCACGGTCGTGCCGGCCGGCTCGTCCACGTCCAGGGCCCCGAACGTGCCGCCACGGCCGAGGAATTCCCCGAACTGGGCAGACGCCGACGCAGAGGCGAGCCCGGTGCCCGGCGTCGCGCCGGGGTTCTTCCACTCCAGGAGCTCGCAGCCCATGTCGGCCGCCAAGAGCCGTACGGTGGTCGTCTTGCCCGAGCCCGCTGCGCCTTTGAGGATCAAGATGCGCTGCCGCATGCGCCCCGACATGACGTCCTCTAGCCACCGCCGGACGTCTGCGACCTTCTTCTTGTGAACCGCTAGCTCGTCTAGATTCCTCGGCCCGAATCGCTCCGACCATGGCCGCAGGCCGTCGTCCACACCGACCGGGCATGCAGGCCGGGGCGGTTTGAGAAAGATCGAGCCAGCACCCGACGACTCGCCCGGGCCCGTTGCACCCGCGCTTCTCAGCCTCTTGCGGGCGTGTTGGCCTACCAGACTCGATGAGCTGGCCTTGAGTTCTGATATTTCGTCGTCTTCGGATATTGGATCGCTGATGGGGTCATCGGCGGCGGAGGCTCGCTTTTCGCCGCCACCTGCCGGCCTTTTGGCTCGCTGGGCTTGTTTCGAAAAGAGTGCCTTGAGATCAGCCGTCTTGCCCCTTTCTTCGGTCTGCCCGACGTCTTTGGGCTTCTTGGGGCCGGGGCTGCCGCCGTTCGTCTGCAGGCTTCCCTGTCGCGTCTTTCGAGGAGACGAGCCGGTGCCGGATCGGCCTGCAGGGCCTTTGCCCTTGAGAGGGCTTGCAGGCGCACTTGGGGCTTGGGCTTTGGAGGAAGAGCTCGGCGAGGACACGAGGAAGTTGGAGAGGGTGTTGGCTCGAGGCTGCTCATCTTCGTCGCCGGATGGCTCGACGGGGTTCCGCCTGCGGCGTTTCGCGGGCGGGGCCATCAAAGCGACTGAAGCATTTGTGTATCCGACGTGCCATGCATGCGGACTGGGTCTGCGAATTGGGCTCAGCCAGTCGGTCGGGAAAGGTGCCAACGAGAACGGTGTTGACGCCGGGCGATGGCGCACTCGACGGGTTCTATCTGCGTTTGCTCAGCGACAGTGCCAGGCTGCCACGCACCAGCGGGGAGACGTGGACGTGGACGTGGACGTGGACGTGGACGTGGACGTGGGCGTGGGCTAGGCAGTCAACTCCACTGGACGCCCGTGCTTCAGAGGTTCGTCTGTGACACGCCGTAGTGACTGGGCTGGTGCTTGAGCCAAGTGCCGCTGCGCGGGGGCATCGAGCCCCACTTCGAGCAGTTGACCTCAAAACACTGTTGTTGCCTTCATTGTAATAATATGCGTTGAAAATAAGTTGGCACTTCTGGTAACTAACTAAGTAGGCTACCTAGGTACCGAAGGAGCATGTTGATCAAATTTTATATGTACTTGTCCAGAGTGGTAAACAGACCTAGGTTCAATTTTTAGCACATCTTACCTCCGTGCACCTACACCATGAGACAACTTTTTCCAGTGCACCTAAATTTCCCCGAGAAAAAGTCCGCGGCTAGAAACTCCATCCATGAAAATTGTCCACAAACGTTGCGGCTGCCCGGAGATAAAACCCATCCTCACCCCCCCAAAGCCTACCAATATCCCTCATTGCTCGAATGGCTAAATGGTCAGTCAGATTGCCTTTCTCGGCGACTTGAAGCGATCAAGGCTAGCGACCTACCCTTGACAAAATGCGCATCAGCCGAAAATTTGGAGCTTAGAGCCTTGTCCTGGACATACTTCCAATCACGGCCACTGCAGTCTTTGTCCATGTTTTCGGGATTCGGACACGGCCTCCCCTTCAAGACAAAGACTGCGATAACCAAGAGCCACCACTGCCTCACTAGACTGACGTGATACTCGGCTGGAAAGAATGGTAACAGGACTCTCACCGCATAGCTGGTTGTAAGTAAATGAACAATGAAGAAGTTGTAATTATGTGATTTAGGGTCAACGGATGTAACAAAAAGAGCGACGGAAGCTTTCTGCGATGATGCAAAATCCTCGACCGGGTTAGAGATGACCCAGGCATTCCAGTACTCCAATATCAGGTCCTCGTGACTGGTGAACATGCTCTCAAGGCTTCCAAAATCAACATCTGTCGGGAGATTGTCGAACTTTTCGTCATTGGATATGCGTACAAGCAGATCATGAACCGAGTTGGTCATGTCAGACGATGGTCTCGTATAGGATGTGTCGGCGCTGTACTTGTAAAGAAAATTGTGCTGTACTGACGCCAAAGTCAGAGCCTCCATTGCGATCTCTTTGCTGTCCATTTCATACGCATATCCGAGGTGAATAAGAGGGTGGCCAACTGAATGCGCGTCAGCGTCCGCAACTGCCAGACTTGGGGCACCGTCATGTACAACATACGGCCGCAGATTAAACCATGCACCAACGGCTTTTCGGACGAGAAGAGATAGTGCTCAACCACCTTCTTCCAGTCATAGGCGTATTCCATGGCCAGCTTGTCCTCGAAGAAATCAACGTATGCTCTTTGATAGCGCCTGTCTCCCAAAAAGTCGACCCAGTCATTGTCAATCAATTCCGCCGGAGACGGCGTCCAAGCCTCCAATTCCTTGACCTGTTCCTCGTAGATATCGTGGAGCCGACTCGGTGTGGCACCGAGTAAATATGCCGAACTCAAAATGTGGGCATTGTGATTATCGAAACGAAGCTGGTTATAGACGACAGAGTAGTTGACATGATTGGCCTTGAGGAGATGCTTGAGCGAACGCGCCCTGCGATCGGGGTTAGTTTCTATACGATGCACTTCCACTGCGGGAAAGCTGATGGCTTCAGCTTCCCGGTTGCCGCCAAGCACATATGATAATAATCCAGACATGTTGGGCGAATGAACAGCATTCCAGGGCCGTCATTGAAGGGTCAAGGAAGTGGGCTTGACTCTTTCATAATCGTGAACTGTGCAAGCGTCGAGGTCATGCCTGAGTGGGGATTTAGTACGTGCCACTCGCTGGGTGCATGTGGAAGGTGGTGGCGGAGCTTGTGGAAATCGTTCCCTGCACCGCGAGTTCCTTGACCACACGTCGCTTTTTTCCCACCGTTGACCTTGACCTTCAGACAAACACCACGCACGCACACAACAGCCTGGCTCCAGACATCCTCGCGCGCTTGCTGATGCATTCCTACCGCCACCCTCATCTTCTTCGAGAAAACTTCTAACCAGACGCAGTGGCCAATGTTCACAGTCTTTGATGGGGAGGTTCCCAGCTGAGATAACTTGCTCCGATGAAGGAGGGTCGGATTTCCGTCTACGCAGAGTTGCTCTCAAACATCAGACAAGTCTCCATCGCCGCGTCATTACCATCGCCCCCAGATAAAAGGACTGTAGCGAGAGTTCTGGATGGCGGTCGGCGGTTACGCATCGAGCATGACGGGCAGGCCGAGACCTTGGACCTACCAGGAACGGTCCTTGTCAATGCCACATTGCAGGTTCCTCAGTCGGCTTCTCGTGAGCTGACTTGGCGGTTGCCATTGTCTTTAGAGCGAACGCCGTTGCCGCATTTTTCACTCGAAACTCAGGCTGTTCCGTGGGCCGCCGTGGACCTTGCGCCCGGATCTGCCGTTTCTTGCCGAAACTGCAACGCCGTCATCATTCCCAAGGAAACCATACAATCCTGGAAAGACTTGCCCAGCGAAAATTGGGCCGAGATGATGGAGTTTTGGCACTGTCACAAGCCACACCATCACAGCGAGCATCAACGCGAGGGTTTGGCAAACCGGGGATATGGCGCCAACAGTGCTATAGCTGCACAACCTGGTGTCGGCTTGGTTGACATTACCTCATTCATGTTTGATGAAAACGATTGCCAAAAGTTGCTTGTAAGTCCCGCCGCCTAATGCGATGCTTTCGCTTTTGCTTTGAAGATGAACTCTTCCATCTGTCCGGGGAAAAAGAAGGTGGCCAGATCGGCCTTCGACGGCTACCCAATGATATGGTCATCGATACAATTCCCCAACATCATCGATTCTTGCTGGCCCCTGCCTGGGGCAACCACCCCGCCTCTCAGAAACCTTCTCACTCGAGGATGGGTTCTGATGAAATGGGTAAACAGCAAACCTCTCAGTTTCTCCCTAGTACTTGGAGCCACGGTTGCTGGGAGACCTCACAGAGGTACATTCGTCCACAAACGTTTTGCCTTGTTTGCTATCTACTTAGGCAGTAAGCGCCATTTGAACCTCATGCTTACATCTTGTCAGTTCTCAACGTCCACTCCGGCAAAAGCTGTGGGAAATAGCGCCGACGCTGTAGCAGGTGCTACGCCACCCAAGTTTTTGCATATTTTTTGCAGTGAATGCACCGCGGAAAATGGCCTCTATAACATCAGAGTTGGCTCAGTGACTCTGTTCAAGTGGCAAGTCAGATGTAGCACAACTGTACCAACCAGCAGAGTCCCAAGCGGACCCGAGTGTCTCGCAGCATCTCTTGTTGCCAACATCTCCCGATCGGGAAGTGCAAAGTCGTTAATATCGGCGCATGCGTTTGAAAAGGGTCAAATTTCGACAACCCCGCTCTATCTCTGGGTCCTTAACCCCAATGTTATCTACTCGTCGTCATCTATCCAGGGCAAGAGAACAGCGATGAAGGTTCTATATCAGCATGTCACTGCGGAAGAAGGTGACAAACTCATAGATTCAATTGTATCAGATGTACAAGACTTGAATCTTCCTACCACTACGATTCAATCATCAAGCGAGATTCTGAAATCGAGTAATTGTCTGCTCCCAGAAAAGGAGAGATCCTTCAAAGAGTGGCAGGTCGGACTGTTGGATCGTTGGGATGCGATGCTATAGAAAGTAATAATTAAACGCAGCCTCAAGGCTGCTTAATTGGTCGATCCAGTCTAGTGAGCAATATTGTTGGTTTCCGACGATACTGTGAAAGCACCGTATATGTCGCGTATTACATGCAACTTGTACGATGCGAAATGTCGACTATAAACCGTCGCAGGCAATCGCTCTGACTGTGGAAAGGTGACACTTGGGTATCGATCGAACATTGGTCTCATTTTTAAAAAAAAAAAAAAAAAAAAAAAAAAAACCTGGGTAGGTAGCCGCACCAGAACTGCAAAGGAACTAGCAATTCCTCGCTTAGATTTACAAAGAGTTGCATTGCACTTCCTGCAGTATTGACGCAAAGAGGGCGCCTGCCTTTTGAGGCCATTTCTAATTTGCAGCAAAGGCAGATGGTTAACGCGCAATGTGCTGTGCTAATAACGAGAAGGTTACTTTCTGGCGGCTTTATTTAAGCTACTAGGTTAAGTAGAATTGCTAGTATGATAACAGCCCGACCAGCTGCCAGAGAGGTAACTACTACCATCTGGGTATCGCAGAAAAGTGGATTCCTCATCCGCAGTCAAAGATCCCACGTAAGAATCTTGAACTCTTTCACCATCACCAACAGCTCCGTCAAGACTTTAATACACCGCGTGGAAGCCTCCCTGTCACTCACTATTTTTTTTTGAGAATGCAAATGGCGCCCTGAGAAGCTTGAATTTTCGATGGTTTTGATAATCATGACTCTAGTTCAGGCTTGGTGACATTCCGCGAGACGTGAACAAAATGCGTCTTCGACGCCATGAATACATCCCTGCCGGATGCTTTATAGTCTCCTTCGATGAGTCAAATATTGCAAAAGAATCCTGGGATGTCATAGACTCCGAGAGTTGGACAAATTTCCGTCGTCGCTCGGCTCTGGATCAGTTCTCTGATAATCAAGCTCATACTAACGATGTTTACTTGGCAGTGGATGTTCAAGAACACCTTTTTCAGCTGCCATATCTCCGTCCAGTCTGCCTTCTATTCAAATCACAATGGATAGACCTCGAGTTTTGTGTAACTGCTGACAGGTTGTTTGGTACGATGCGGGTATATTTGCTGCCGGATGACGCATATCACGGCCTGGTCGATAGAACCAGTTTCAGTCTCAGAAAAGCGCGACGTCGTCTCCTTCATTTGCTAGACTACTCGAGAGAAGCATGGAACGGACTTGGAATCGCGCATACTGATGGCTCATCTCCCCTGAGAGGCGAGAACGTGGCAGGCGATGAGAATGAATCTCTGCTACAGGTGTTCAACAACATACCCTCACCCAACCCGACCACTGGACAGGTTGCCGACGTATACGTTCGCGATTCTATGATCGAAATCTTGGAACGCAGCATACCTGGTGTCACCACAGACTTGTACGCCTACCAACGTAGATCAGTGGCCGTCATGGTGCAGAAGGAGGCAGAGCCTGGCAAAGTTCTCGATCCACGTCTCATCGCTGTCGATGGCCATGACGGGACTACATGGTACACGGATCCGGTGGTCGGGACTGTTTTGAGAGGACCACGATATTATGATGGCATATCTGGCGGTATCTTGGCTGAAGAAATGGGAGCAGGCAAGACCATCATTTGCCTAGCTCTTGTTCTCGCCACCAAGAATCTTCCGACGCGGCCCCCAGAACTTTACAAAGGTCCTAGTTGTCCGAAACGGACCAAGATCGCTTCACTTGCCGACATGGCAGCGGCCTGTGCTACCCGACATGCCGTTCCGTGGAGATCATATTTTGACACATGGAGGCGGCAGGCTGGCTACGAATTTAATAGATGCGAGGCCGCTTTAAAACGAAATCCAGGATATTACCTTCACCCTCCACCAAAACTTCGCCGAACTGGCCGGCATACATCCCGAGAATTGGCGCCCACAAAAATCTACCTGAGCAATGCAACAGTTGTGGTTGTGCCTACCAACCTGCTATCTCAGTGGAAACACGAAATAGCAAAGCATACTACCACCTTAACAGTTCGCATCCTCTCCAAGGACGAGAAAATTCCATCCTTGGAAGAACTACTGGATATCGATGTCATCCTATTTTCCCAATCACGATTCGAAAGGCTCATCAGACGATTTGAATTGGACCGCACTGCACTCTCTGTGGTCCATTTCAAGCGGTGCATCGTTGATGAGGGCCATAAACTCGGTAATTCGAGAATGGGCCGGAAAAGTGATTTGCTTATTGTCCTTAATCGGATGAACTTTTCGTCGCGATGGATCGTCACTGGAACGCCTTCACATGGTCTGTTCGGCGTAGATGACCGCACACCAGATGGGCCTTCGGCGAGAGACCCAACATCACACGGAGTACCGCCGCTGCAAACTCGAAAGACATCCGCCGACATGGAGAAGAAAGATCTTGAGCGCTTAGGCTCAATATCATCGTTGTACCTGAAGGCGAGACCGTGGGCGAACGATGCGACGGAAAACGAAGACACTCGCGCGGATTGGGGGAAATACTTATTGCTCCCGCGGCACAAAAAAAACAGTCACGGTCGGTGGAACTGTTTAAAGGCGACTCTGAGCTCCCTAATTATTAGACATCGATTATCTGAAGTCGGCCATCTCTTGCCAACCGTTGACGAAAAGGTAATCGTGTTGGAGGGTTCATTTCAAGATCGGCTGTCTTTGAATCTCTTCTCCATGATGATCATCTTCAATTCCGTCCAGTCACAACGAACAGACATGGACTACTTCTTCCACCCCCGACAGCGTAAAAGTCTACTGGAAATCGTGCACAACTTAAAGCAGTCCACATTCTTCGGAGGCTCATTTTTCTCCTCGGAAGAGATCGCAAAGGCTGTGGAGACTGCAGAAAAGTTCTTGGAAGAGAAAAAAGTGCCAATCAGTGCTGAAGACAGCGTACATTTGAGACAAGCTATTAGGTTGGGGAAAGTTGCAATGGATGACAAACTAAGAAACCTCAGCAATCGCTTTCACGATGTTCCGATTCGAGTTCATGGACCGCTTGGGGATGCAGGCCATTCATGGTCCCTTGATAATGAAGGGGGAGATACGATATGCACATCAGCGAGTATGATTTTGTCTCTGCAAAAATTACTAACTAAAGCAGCTCACGAGACGGAGTTGCTGAACTCTTTGCTCAACGGAGGCCTTATTCAAGAAGGATTGAACGAGAGAAGTAGGGTCTTAGCTGCACAAACACCTGTCGAGATTTCCGGCGCCAAAGACGAGAAACCAGATACCTTGGCGGGAAACACTAAGCTTGGAAAAGATACCCGACGCCGCAAGCCGCAACTTCAAGCTGCGTGTCTACGCCCAAATCAAGCATTCGATGTGGACAGCCTGCCGCCGGCTTGGAGGCAAACTCATCTAGTATCAACTGTGTCCTGCAAGCTGTCTTATTTGATTGACAGCGTAGTACGTCATCAAGTCGAAGACAAAATCATCATTTTCTACGAGAATGAAAATGTTGCTTGGTATCTTGCAAGCATGTTGGACGTGGTATGTGCTTGCGAGTGAAAGCGCGTAGAGATTACTTGAAAAAGTCGTGTCTGACAGGTTTCAGCTTCAAATTCAGCACCTGATTTATGCAAAGACTTTGACAACAGCACGGAAAGCACAATACGTCAACACATTTAATCACAATCCTGTTTTTCGGTAAGTGCCCGATGCCACTTTGCAAGTCGTCAAGCTAATCTCTGCTTTCAAGGGTTCTCCTGATGGATATTTCTCAAGCCGCCTTTGGATTAGACATGCGCGGAGCCTCGCGCGTCTACTTTATCAACCCAGTTCTCAACCCTCAAGTCGAGGCACAGGCAATTGGACGTGTCCGTCGCATAAGCCAGCAAAAGCCTGTAGTTGTTGAGACCCTTGTTCTGAAGGGCAGTATTGACGACGTAATTCTGGAGCGGAAACAACATATGACGCAAGCTGAGCACCGCCAAATGAAGTCTATTCTTGACGTACGGCCGATATATAACTGGATCAAGAATGCCGTCATTGTTGCCATGCCTCCCTCGGATCTCCAAGGCACCACACACATGGCAGCGCTGCGGGTGCCACAGCCTGTGTTTTGTAAAGGATTCAGAACAGAACTGCACCCTGACGACGGCCTTATCATGGGGCATCCTCCAATCGGGACGAAAATGAAGACGCCCAACCCGACACAAGACGTTTTACCAATTACTCCGATGAAACGTACATATGATAGGGGACCGGGGTGTGAGAATGCCCAACGTGAAACGGATGCTGTGCTAAACGACCGTGAAGCTGTGTCCCGACCAGTTCGCCGAGTTCGGTTTGCGACTGGCTCTGATTCAGAAGACTGAGGGCGTTACACCTGCGACTTGCATATCTGATTTCTAGGGAGCCTTTTAGACACGTATCGTGCGTTGTCAGCTCTGTTTCATGAGTCATGACAGACACTCCGACATAACAGACAGGCGGTGCTGACCCAGATATCATCGGCAGTGTAATTCACTCACATACGGGAGCAAGGGCCTCGAGCCCTGGTCTGGATCATGACAACTAGATAGTCCATCAATCAACACGACTGAGTGAATCCCTATCCCCGTCATTCTTCCGTCTCAACGAAACGATCGAGTGTTGCCGTTCTTGGAGTCGTTGTTACGGCACCTCGATTGAGGCAGTATCTTCGAGAGAAGCTCGGTGCAGTGATAGTGGCATCCTTGCCCAGGACGCTGGATGCGCATGTCGCAGACAAGAAATGGTGTTAAACTACGTATTCCGTGAAGAAAAGAAAACTGGTTACCACGACTACAACAGCACCGGCGTATTTCGGACAGGCGTCTCTTGCCAGCGGCGCCACGCAACCAGGCGCATGAATGAATCACCCCAAGGCCAACGAAGCATAAATTCTTGCAAGTCTGCTTCTGCAGGCATGCGACGACATGTTAACAGCCGAGTAGCTGAATAGCTGCAGCAGAAGTTCAACGCAGACGGCCTGGATCGTCGGGTTTTCTTAGAGCCCCCGGCTGTCGATCCGCTAGATGGCCCGACTGAGGTAGGCACCTGTCATGCAGAGCACGATTGAAGTTGCAGTCCAAGAAAGACGGAGGGAAAAGAATAGATGAGAAGAGGGAAGAAGAGAGGGGAGAAGAGCGGGAACGACGGCCGACGACCACAATAGGAGCAAAACTATGAGTTCTCGATGTGTCCCTGGATGGACGATAACGGACCATTGCGTGCGCTTGAGTCGCCCTTGAGGTTCCTTGCGATATTCACTCCCTTGAGCAACTACATCTAGCTGCCCTGCACGTCGATGTCGAGCCATTGGACCAATGCACACGCAATCGGTATGCTAGGCAGGTCAACGCTGGACTTGGCGGGCGCCAAGTTGATTGGTTAATTGCGATAAAAATTGAGCGTGCATATCAGCGACCACAGACAGACCAGGGCTTGTTGCTCATTACGGTCATGCTCAGGGGCGCATCCAGCGCAAACCTACTGCCCACGCATGACGATGCTGATGGGACGGAGCCACCTGAGGACAGGCCGGATGGATGGATGGATGGATGGATGGATGGATGGATGGCGAGGAGGACCATCACCACTGCACTGGCACGTATCGGCAATGGATTGCCCAATTTTTGCCACTTTATTCCGGGTTGAAGATGGATGGAGTACGGAGTACGTACCAGCACTGCTACGCACATTTCTCATCCAACTTGCCAGGTGACCGAAAAAGAAAACACCAGGCAGAGACAGGGTTCACGGTCGGGACCCCGGCTTTGAGCTGGCGCCAAACCTTCAGCTAGCGGGTTTTGAGGCTTCTGTCTGCGGCTGGGGCGGTGAGGAGTCAGGAGTCAGGACGGTTATGGGATGGTCAGCAGAATCGACAAAGTTACGGAGCAGAATCGAAGACGTCAACAAGTAACGGGTGTCTGACCAGCGGTCCGACGGAACGACCAGGCGCATCAAAGCAAAGAGCACTCCCTATGCTAAAGACTATAGTTCGTCAAGGGCTGGGCGAGGCGATGAGGCCGCAGGAACACGAGCGCCAGCGTCAGTACCAGCCTCATCAGCATTGACCTGAACTGGTTCACTTCGCTCGTCGGGGCTCGTCGGGGCTCGTCGGGGCTCACGTCACGGTTCCGAGCAACACCATGCAGGGCCCAGCTCGAGTCTAATGGCTTGCTCGTCGACGGACCGACGGCCACTGAACAGTGAGGACGGAATGGAATGACAGCCGCAATTTCCTTTCGTCCTGTCAAAAAAAGCCCGCTGGTGGGTTTGATTAAATACCCACTGTTATTAATACTATCCCCTGGACGATCGTTTGGACCCCAGTCATCGTCACCGACTAGACCGCCGCCGCCTGCCGTCAACGACCCATCATGACCACTAGTCGTTACCAAGGGCCTCCCAGGTGACTGGCTTGATGACGAGAAGCTTGAACGTACTCCGTCACTGGAGTCCGGGACATGTACGTGCGGCATGCGGAGTTCCCCTCCCCCGACGGGGGGGGGGGGGGGCGCCTCAAAGGGGCTTGTTGCTCTTCATCGGGAACCGGGGCCAACAGGTTCGTTTTCACGGCCGGAACATGTTATAATAGTATAGCCGACGAATATCTCTTCCGCCGCCCGACTCCTGGTTCCTTCCGTGCCACTCGGTGGTCCTTGTAAGTTGTCCCTCACCTTATTATTCGGGTCTGTCCGAGAACTTGGGTTGCCCGAGTCTTTTTGGTTTCCGATACAATGAAGGACTAAATCGCGGCCTTGCGCAAAGAATGGTCAAGTAGACACTCATGAGTCGAGAAGCCAGCACGATCTTTCATCCAGCAAACCCAACAAGACTTGTTCCACTTGTCATGTCAAATTGAGCCGCGCTGTGGTTGGCGTCCGAATACCTGGCGCAAGATGAGCTCAACAATCACAATAAAGCCCATGCATCACGCCGCCGTCCACACGATGCCCAACCTGTACTCGATCCCCGAACACAACGACACCTCGGATGCCAGGCGGCCACGAACTCCTGCCCGACCTTCGACTGCAGGCGAAACTTCTACATATCGCATGTATCCCGAGACTCAAAGGACGAGAACGGAACGCAAATCGTCCTTGGAAGCACCGCCAATCCTCAACCGCCCACAGAAACTGTCAGGAACACTGCGATCCTCCTGGGCAACTGGTCGACTCCAGGGACCTGCGGGAGCTTCAAGGACAAGGAGTTCGTCTTGGGGCAATGGATTCAACCATGACCAAGTCGACCCGTACACTTGGAGATTGACTTACGTGCAGCCGCCAAAACCTACGTCCGCGCCCAACATGCGAAGGAGCAGCGCTAGGGTTGGGGACCTGTTTGCTTCGCTGCCAGGCGAGATCTTGGACGTCATTCTCCAAATGCTCAAACAGATTCACCTCGAAAACGGAAGTGGTAGCTGTGCTACATGCTGGATGCGGGACGCCTGCAATGTTGCGGTTTGTTGCCGAAGGTGGTCCAAGGCTGCACGACTGGCGCTGTAAGTCGATGAACAACTTGACCTGAATCCGAGACTTTTGCGACGGAGGCTGATTGTGGTTACAAGATACCAAGATATTCAACTCGTCGGGCCGGATTCGGCAGCCCACAAGAAAAAGCTCAAGCTGATACAGGGGTGTCGCATGGCCCTGTTACGACGCACCTTGCGAGCCAACGCCGAGATTGCGTCAATAGTACGCTCACTACGGGTCCCTTCGCCTGCGATGACGATTGGAACGTCGAATACGAAGGGTTCCACGACGTTTTGGCAGTATGAAGACAATGTCGCGGCACTGGTGATGGCCTGCCCCAACCTTGAGAGGCTGCTGGGGCCAGCATTCACTTATGACCATTCGTTCAAGAGATTGTTTCATGCTCTGTCTACGAGGTCAAACCTCAGGGATATGAATTGGCTGATTGGGTCTCCTTGCTTGACGACACAACAAGCAGGCCCGGCCCCGAGCAAAGACTGTCCTTTTGGGACCAGCAACGAGCTACAGCCTCATCAAGTCACTACCTTTTTGGAACGACATCGTGGCTGGACCAGGTTAACGAGCCTTTCCGTGCGGTGTCTAGCTGAGGCAACGCTCGCGCCGCAGACGTTGCTGGCCAAAACTCTCACCCTTCTCCCGTCTCTGCAGCATCTACACCTGTGCAACTTGGCGCCAAGTGCATTCAACGACGTGAATCTCCTGGCCCTGCCCCCGTTGCAAAGTTTGACTCTTTCAAGCATTCGTGGCATCTCATGTAATGGCCTGTCGTCTTTTGCAACACGATCTGCCAGCCGGCCTCTTCGACGCCTCCTTCTTCGCCACACACCGCTCACCTCCTTGCCCGCCCTCGCGCGCATCTTTTCCAACTTGCAGTGCCTGTCGAGCTTTTCGCTGGTACAAACCTTCCCCCCATTGATGCCCGAGTCGGATACGTTTACGCTCTGGATGATGCCATATTTGGCGTCGACGAGCGTCAAGAAACTGCACTGGGATATCACCAGTCATCCCGAGTGCAGCAACGCCGCAGACGACATTCTCGCCCGGAGCATCAAGGCGGGCGGGTTCCCGTCGCTGAAAACGCTACGGGCGCCCAACGACCCCGACGGTCTGTTCCAAGAGCTGTGTCGACCCGTGGAGAGGGTCGACCTGCCGAGTGACCGTCTCCGAACCACGTCCATGTTGGGATACGAAAGCCTACCCAGCTCCCCGACAAAGCATCTCGTCAAATCACCCACAACGAGCTCTCTGCCTTGCATCATGACCGTAAGCCCTCACACCAACCTCGTCCTGGCGCGGCTGGCTGCCCAGGCCCGCCTCGATCGGTCGCGGGACTCGCACGTGTTTCAAGTCAATGTCACCGACGAACAAGGCGACTTGGTGGAAACGTTTGGACTTGCAGGGTACATTGGCACGGTGGGCAGCCAAGTCCACTATGACCTCCTGCCGGATGAGGGATCCAGCGACGACAAGGGCGGCCTCGTTGACGTCCCTGATTTGCACGACGACCCGGATGACTGCCTGGCCATGAGACGGGGAGGATGCACAGGAAGCTGGAACTGGCGAGAGGGAGTCGTGGCCGACAAGAGAGAAAAGGAACGGTGGTGGCATACGGAGAGGGCGCGGTGGCGCCAAGTCGAGCTCTGATGGCGCCGCGTCAAAAAGGACAGCCTGGACGACTTTGTCCCGACGGTGGATGAGGAGAGATGACGGTGTCAACACCAGCTTGCGACGGTCTAGGATTTGTTTTTATTTTCATGTTTTATTTTTCTCCCCTCTCGATCTAGCTTACATGCCCAGGCAGGCCCTAATGTTGCAATCTATATAATCAATGGCGAGAGGAGACCCAGGCGCAGGAAACTGGATGGCTCATCATCAAGACTCGAGAGGGGTGGGTGGTTGGTAGCTTGTACGACACTCATGGACGACGACCACTGCGTGGAAGTCAAAGAAGATGCTACTCATGTAATTACCGATAGACCAACCAAAACAATCGCCATCGCCACAGAACAAAGCAGAGCGAAGAAAGCACAGCATAGCATAGCACAGCAGAAGCCCCAACTCCCGTCCGTCGGCCCGCGTGAACTACCTGTCTCGGCTCTTGAGCCTCGACTGTTTCCTCTCGTTGCCGCAGGCGCCCCGGTGATGCCAACCCGTGCCGCCGTCTCCTCCACAAGGCGCCGTCAGAGGCACCGCTACAAAAGCCTGTCCTCGAATTGCCGGTGCATGTCCTTCCACGCGTGTCGCGTTGTCCATCAAAAGCCGGGACTCCAGACTCAAAGTCACGTGGCCACCGGCGTCGGGGGTGGGACCGACGGGCGAGGCCGAGGCTGGACAGAGGCAGAGGCCCTCCTCAGCCGCGGCCAGAGCCCCGTCCCCGCACCTGCACCGGTCGCACGAGTCCGAGTCCGAGTCCACCAGCTCCTTGGCTGCGCGGTACGAAACCCAATGGCCGACCGAAACCAACTTCTTCACAGCCACCTCGTTTGCCTCCTCGCTCGTCGCCTTGCTTCTTCTGAGCGCCCTCACCTCCGACACAGTGTTCGGGAACGCCTTCAGAATTCTCTCGCCCTTTCGACAATACCTCAACTCCCCCTCTCGGCGCACCTTGGTCTTGCACCGCCTGCAGCGGTAAAGAGAACTCAGGCGCCGGCACATCCTGGACGGCGTCGTTGCTCAGCTTGGCTGTTTGTGTTGAATGCTGAATGCTGATGTCGAGCCGCATAACCCTCTCCAAAGGCTGAGCTCAAGTAACGTGGGGAAGGGAAAAAAAAGTAAAGTTTGGCAGAAAGCTGATTGATGATGATGGGTTGAAGGGGTGTCTGTCGTGCGCGGCGTCGCGTCGGCTGCTCGGCTCGAGCCTCTCGAGACGAGGAGCTCGGTCGGCCCCTTTATGCTTTTCTCGAGGAACACGCGCAGGCGCGGCTGCTGTCCGCTCCGCTTGCCGGCTTGCCTCTCCGCGTCCTGTTCTCGTTGCAACCGCGCTCCTGTTCACCCCTCTTTGGCGTTTGCCTTGTGCGGAACGGGCTGTTATCGAGGCCTTTGTGCGTGCTGCCTTCGCAGCTGCCGTCTGCCCAGGCACCTACTCCGTGCCGTATGCAGGACCGGCTCGGTGAGCGTCGCACAAGAGCACGGTATTGGTCGGCGCGCACGGCGACGGCAGCGGCGGGAGGCCTTCATTCGTGCCGCTTGGGTAAGGAAAGGGGAGAGGGGAAAGAGGTCGGGGACTCTTCCGCCAGAGGCGAAGCCACGTTCCTGGTGACTGCGTGGAGAGCCGGCTCGTGGTCTCGCTGTGTACGGAGCCTGTTCAGAGCTGGCTCCTGCTCCACGAATCGAGGCGGCGTCTCTCCAAACACTTGCGTCCGCTTACGGGCGGACACGAAGAAGCGCCAATTGGGCTCGAAAAGTCATGTTGAAAGATGGTATTGTTTGTTGTGTATTCGGGTCCGATCCAACCAACTGATCTGCCCGCAGCACCGGCTGTGCGCAGAGAGGATGCATCGAATCCTCCTAGGATCCCTCTTCTCCTCCCACACGTGCTCGTCTCTGCTGCGAGGAGACATGTTTCCGCCCAGGTCGCCTCTTGCTGTTGCAACTTGACGGTAGGCGGTCTTGCAAAATATGCCGGGACGAAGCTGTGGACCTCGGGGACGCAGCATACGGGAACGCGAGTGCTGCCCATGATACTCACGGACGTGGAACGGCGGTTGGCTTGGCTGACCAGGCGGTAGGTAGTGTCGTGTTTCGTCTCCGAGCGTGGTCCGGGGACTCGATGATGTGAGTTGCGGCACTTGCTGACACGAGCTTGGCAGACGTTTTCACCTTGTTTTGCCCAGAGTGGTGGGGGCCCCGGGACGAGGACAAATGTCATTCACGTATCAGGCAGGCGGTCTGTTGAGTTGCTGGTTGAGAGTGGAGGTGTGGACCGGCTGGACATTTGATCCTCGTGATGCGCTTTTTGAGCACATCAAAATGTTTGACAACGTCGTCTCTAGAAACATATGCCTCTGACGACTTTCAACTTGCACACCAGGACAGGACAAAGACCGCTTTGTTGACGGTTTCAAAGAAATGATCTGGGAACTCCAGTCGTACTATATTCCGCTTATGTCCTGTCTGTAGTCTATTTGTTGTTTGATGAATGCCGACGATTGCCAATGCCATGATTTATTATTTAGTAACTCCGTCGCCACAGTGCAAAGTGATATCCAAAGGCGTGTGAAAAAAGAAAAAAAAAACATGTTACAGAACGTTCGAAGCCAGTCATTCGTAGGTAGAATCGCTTACATGATGCCCCGGGAATACAACACAGACTGGCTACGTCTGGGCCTGCAAAAGAAATCAACATTGGTCAGAAGAAGCGACTTTTCTTCTTCACGGCCGGTTTAATCGTAGTTTTGCCGAGAATGTCATCGAACGTGGCCCCCGCTGTCGCCGCCGGCTTGGCTTGAGACACAGGGCTTGCCGCTCGAGAAGTCATGCCGGCGAGATTCCCTACTGAAGCACTTCGAAAGCCGATAGGGCTACTCGATGGACGGGGACCAATGGAAAGGCTTCGATTGTGGCTTCCGAAGAAATCCGGCCGAGGCTCCATGGGTACTGGCTCGAGACCCATCGCAATGCTCGATCGAGAATACTGCCGGCTTCGATGAGCTGGAGACAGGTTTCGAGGGCGTAATGATGGTGAGGGACCACTAGGGGGCGGTGACGGAGTGCCCGGGCCGCCGACAACTGGCGGACTGTTCATCGCAGGTTCTTCGCCAGGAAACATGGGGTGCGGTGGCTGCAAGGGTGACATTGGAGGCTCCTCGGGCGGAGCAGCATCAGCGCCATCCAGACCTTCCCATTGTTTTGCGGCAAGCCAGCAATGACTGCGGTGGTATGTGGCTTCGACACTGAACATGACGGCGTCTGTGGAAAGCTCAACGAGGCCGCCGCCGCCCGTGACTTCATACCACATCTTGCGAACCTGTCCGTCCTCGATCCAAGGCAGGTTGCCCATGGGCGGCTCACAAAGAAAGTAGCCCACACCTTCGGTGTGTTTAACTCCCGGAGCATCCACCACCAGCATGGGCAGAGACTGCAGAACTACGTAAAGGAACAACCAGTACCCAATACGTTGGTCCACCAAGTCCTGTGTCACTCTGCCTTTGCCCTCCCTGATCTCGAACGCCTTGAATTGGTCAAGGAACGGCATCTTAACACGGTTCGTGTCGTAATTGTAAGCCTTGTTCAAGATGAGAATCAGTTCATGCTCCTTGATCTTCTTTTGCATTCTGTTCTGATCCTTGGCTGACATGCTATCAAATGTCTCGTGGATGGCTTTCATCGACGGCAGTTGCGGGAGGTCAAACGGAATCGGCGGCAAGACTGGAGGTTTGGAGCGGTCGAACTCGGAGAGGATGTTTCGGAGAGCAGATATTGTCATTTTGCCCGGCACGTCGGAAATGGCTGGAACCTCGTCGATGACCCGAGACGTCAGGCTCTCCCGATCGACTAATAAATCGTACAGGGCGCACATGTCGGAATACAGAACTTTCAGGACGAGTCTGTTTAGACCGCTTTCGGCGAACCGGTTCTTCTTGTTGCTGGCTTTGGGCGGCCAATTCCCAAACGTCGACTTGTAGTGACTGAGCACGAATTGTCGCATCCGACTGAATGAGTTTCGCCAAATCTTGAACCGCACCTGTTTGAGTTCTGGAATAGATGTTGAATTGGCAATGCCGGCGAAGAGTGATGGAAACTCAAACTGTTCCAGGTGTTCGTTGACATTGTGTTGTCTGTTGACGAGATCCAAATGAGCCCGTTCCAGTCTCTGCCGAGTCAGCGGGGACACTTGCTCAAATAGTGGCAATCTCAGATCGATGATGGCAGAGTATTTGCCGGCAGCATGAGCAAAAGCCTCGTTGTATAGCTCGACGCATCGCATGCGCTCGCCCAAAACGAGGGATTCTATCGTCTTCTCGCGGCTGTGTCGACAATCCGAAAGGCCCAGTTGCTCCAAGTAAAAGCCGAAGCTGAGTTCTACTGCTTCACCAAATGTGCTGCCATCAGGGCTGGAGAAACCAAACTCTTGCAGCAGACCTGCGAGCTCGACAAAGGCGTGGAAAGTGGTAGGGAAGGACTTTGTTGCGACTAGTGGTTGTCCCGTCAGGAAGGCGAAGAGATTCCTGATGGCAATCAACCGATCCAGCTCTCCGCCGGGTGCATCCAAGTGCGTCGAAGAGGCTGGTGGTGCGGCAGGGATGTAGAGGCGCAGCGCATTCGGCTCTTCGCCAACCGCTGGTCGCAGTGGTGGTGATGCCCTGCGGTTAGCATCGTGAGCGTCGAGGTTCTCGCGGCCCCCAAAGCTCCTGTCTTTGGGCGGCTCGGCACATTGCTCGGAATAGATGAGCTCGGTGAAGACGTAGGACGTGCCAACGACAAACTCTGGTACTTTAAAACAGGGTCCATAGCCGCTCCCTCGGGGGTGCAGGTACACGTAAATATTTCCACTCTCGCTCCACAGCTCTGGAACCTACAAAACAAGTCAGATGATGAATGAGTCAAAGGGGTGGAGAGGAGGGGTTCCGAAGATTTGCTTCTTCTTTCGTCTTCGTTTGCAATCATCACGTACCTTTTCGCCATTTTTTAAAAACGAGGGGTTGTATTCCACACGAGTCTCTTCGGACATGATCCAGGCTTCGGGTTTGACACTATTGGTCACTTCCGACTCGGAACGAGGTCGCGCTCCACCTGGGAGCCAGCTTCGGCGTAATTTGACCCTTGTTGGGCTCCGGCTCCCGTCATGAGAAGATGCAGAGCGAGAATTCGGCGCCAGTGATGCGGAGCCGGACGGAGCCAGCGACGTCTGGCCAGAGACGCTCCTGCGGCCCCTGGGCTCGGACATGGGCGATGTCTGCCGTGGATGGACGTTGATGCTGGGCTGTGGTTCGGGTACCTTGGGTTGGAACAGCGAGTTGCTTCGCGGTCGGGGTTTGCGAGTCTCCTTTTGCAGCTTGGGCTGTTTCTGTTTCTGAGCCTCGTTTCGATTGGCGGCAGCATCACTGTCCGTCCACGCCCCCGGCTGTGCCGCGGGTTCTTGCTTCGTCAAGGCGACATATTGCAAGTCCGGAGACGGCGGCGTCGGGACCAAGATTTCGGGCGTCTGGTCATCGGAAAGCGAAATTGCGAACTCGGGGATCTTTGGCGGCTCGGATTCAGGGATCGGGGGGACGGGTCGTGCTTTGGGTCGTGTTTGGGCTCGAGGGGATTCTTGTAGGTGAAGGGCGGCCACGTCGTTCCCCGAGGCTCCCAGGCTGCGGATGGGTTTGCTCTTTTTCCTCGAACTGCTGGCCTCGTCTTCGACCTCGGACGCAACATAGGGAGGGGGAGGAGGAGGTGTCTGGGGTGACATCATGTTGCTGAGTGCCACAGACTTGCGATACCCCAGGTGCGTGTCTGCAGTGTCGGGCGTCAGTAAGGGAACAAATGACGATATACGGTGGCCCCAGGAGCGTGATTTTCGAAGTCGAGTGTTGGGAGGAGGCTGCGTGGGCGATGCCGCTGGAGGGTGCTTGGACAAGTCGGTGGCGCCGGGCGCCGAGGTTGTGGCTGCTGCTGAATTGGGTTCTTTCACGTCCACGGCCGGCGATGGTGTGTTGCCCGTGGACAGGGGTAAGTGCGCAGTTCCTTTGTGCCAAAGCGTCCTCCTCTTGGATTTTTCAGCATGGCGAGGTGGACTGGCGTCGGAGTTGGCGTTGGATTTGGAGTTGCAGTCGGCCCTGGATGTTGATCGGAACGAGGGCAAGGAGAGCGAGGAGGGGAGCATGCTCGCTCGGAACGATTTACTCGTGGTCATGCTGGGCAACGCAACCAACGAAAGAAGGAAGGAAGTCGTATGATGTGATCTGGCACGTCGGGCCCGTGGCCAAGGTCTGACATGCAGCGAGGATGGACGCGAGACGGTCAGACGAACAAAGGCAGAGGCGGCTGACGAGACGAGAAAAGCAGCAGCACCACCACCGCCAACCAGGCAAAGACGACGGATACGGACGGATGAGATCAGGCAGGCAAGGCAGGCGGGCAGGCGGTCACCCCCTCCAGATTACGGAGGACGGAAGGTACGGCGCAGTTGACAGGGGAACGTGGACTGTGGACTCGTCACTGGTGGACGTTTGGACTTGTGGTGGACTTTGTTGCTGGTGAGCGGCATGGACAGACAGGGAAGGGCTGGGAACAATTGATTGAACTTTGTTGATGTCAGACACGCAGCGCTTTGCCCTGCAACGCCCCATCCCCGTCCCCAGCTCAGCCCGGCGTGGCACGGCGTGTGCCCAGACGTGCCCAGACCTGGTTTGCCAGTGAACCAGCGTCGAGCCGGAGGACCGGAGAACGGAGGCGGAAGGGCAAGCGGGAAAAGGGACGGAGAAAAAGGACCGCCAATAAGAAGAAATTATACACACCTAGGTGTACTCCGTACTCGGAAGGCGCGAATTGCGCAAACTGCCACGCATTCGCAGTCGCCGTCGCCGTCGCCGTCGCCAGTGTCAGTGTCAGGAGACACGCACGACGGGCCCGACCCGGCTTGCGACTGACTAGAGGTGTCGTCTCCCTAGTCCGACGAGAGGATTTCGGCGCGACGGATGCTACTGCACTAGGCTCCGTACAGAGAGGCTCCGTGAAAGGAAGCGTTGCGGGTACGGGATGATGAAAGGATCGTCAAGGTATCAAGCAACCATGCCAAGGTGGGAAAATGGAAAATGGAAAATGGGGATCCAGAGGGTCTCACGAGTGGGGGCCGTCTGAGCGAATCGACCGAGTCGACCGATGACGTTTTGCCGTTTGACAGCAAAAGGGAAAAGGGGGGGGGGCCAAAATCACTCCAGTACGGAGTACTCCGTACGTATCTGCCAACTAACTTACTAGTCAACCTAGTCCCTATCCTGGTTCCTGAATCCTGACAGCCGGTTGAATAGTAGTTGAATACGGAGTGACTAGTTGTTGACTAGGGCTCCCGACTCGCCCTAGCTGCTACTTGGGTATCAGCTGGCTGCTCGTGATATGTCGATGGCTTCCAGGACGGTCTGGAAAACATTTGGCGCGGTTCGACAGTCGGTCGGTCGGTCGGTCGGTCGATGGGTACGGAGTAGTCGTTCATTTACTATCATCAAGACCAAGGGCAAAAAAAAGCCTCGGGACCCAACCTGTGCCGGCCCGGCTGCAGGAGGGTGGGTGGACATGCAGAGGTTGCAGATTTATAATGGCGTGTTCGTGCTTGGCATAGCATACGTATTGTCCTGCAACGATACCTACAAGTAGGCACTCAAGCACCGAATAACTCAGGTACCGAATAATGCAACGCTCGAGTACTCGGGATAATCGGCACTGCGCCGTCTTCCCTTCGCGCCAGACGACAGAGTCAGCCGCCTCCATCGTGCGGATCACATTATTGGGGCGTTCACAAGCTCCGTCTTGTGCAGGGCCCCATCTCCCATCCTCTTTTCGTGCACGTGGATGAGTGCAGCGTTCGTTCTAATAATAAAAAACAATAAATGCCTGGTGCCAGCATGAGCAGCAGCCCAATTGCGCTGCTGAGGCTTGAGCAAGAGGCCACGATTGGTTCGATAACTTTAGAAACTGGTCTGGAACAGGTACCCACATGCACCAGGAATGTGCTTTGTACCTGTGCTTTCTGGTACTACCTACCTGTCCAGTGGGCAAGTTGCGTCTTGGTGAACAAGTACTCCGTACATCCGATCACGTACCTATCAAGTACTTAAGAACCTACTCAGTACTTATAGGCAGGCGCCTCCGTCTCTGTCTCTACAACGAGGACGCGTCGGCAAGCCCCGAGCGTCTGGTACCTAAAAAGAACCGTCGACGCTTTCCATTTTTGCAGTGCCAACACAGCAAGAGCAACAAGGCCTGCCGACGTGGCAACAGCGTACCTGCCTGCGGGGCAACTTTGCTGTGTTTCACGTCTCTCCCCCTTTTCTTCCGCCCCCTGATGACTAAGTAACGTGTCCTGTCCCGCCATTGTTCAGGGCTCAGCCCTGGCCGGCCAAGACAAGACTCAAGACACGCCATGTCGGCTTACGGCAATGATAGCCATAGGGCAAGTCAAGTCGCCAGGGGACTCTTCCGATACGAACCAAGCTGCATAACGACCAGAGCAACAGAGCTTGTTACTGTGACTGCAGGAGTCACGGAACGAGACAGCGCGCGTCGCTTGAGCGCACTCACGGCAAATCCGAACGGGTATTGATCTGGCTCGCAATGCTGCCGCTTACCTATGCTCACCGCAGCATCGACTATCAGATCTGAGATGACTGACTATGGCCCTCATGGAGCACTGATTCATGGATCTGGACGCTGGACGCTGGGCACTGTCACCTGCTGGACCGAGAACGTACATCTGACACTGGTCGAGGACGCAAAAGGCTACCACCAAGGCAAGCCATGCACATGCCTATGGAGACGGAGAGTTATTATCGTTGGCCAGATTGTTGGGAGCAATCGCAAGCCAGTGTCGACGAGCTTTAAAAGAAAACCCAACTCCTCCAACGGTAATCTTGCTGCCAGGGAGCGACTGCGAACGTAACCCGAACAAGCAAAAACATCAAGTAAATTACAGCCGAATATTTTGCGACTTTACAGATTTGTTAGTTTAGCCTGGCCCTCAACTATCACACGTGGCCAGCCCCACCGTCCTTTTCATGTCGAGACTTGCGAATCGACGCAAAGCTGTGTTCTTAGCGTCCCGCCCTTGACTCGCGTCATCTACACATCATACATCGTGCATCGCGCCAACCAATCGTTCTTATTTACCCGAACGGTACTTGGGTCCACCAGCAATGAGGGCTGAGCTTATTAGCCTAACCACCTTGTTGATCTCAAGCCGCCTCCGTACGCGACGGAATCGTATCAGGGAGTGCCGGAATACATATGCAGCCAAGCAAGCTGAGCCACCTCCCTCTGCGGTGCTTGCTTCCGTCTGCTAGTCTGCACATCAGCAAACTCACCGCTCGAGACAATCTGCAGAACCAAGAACCACAAGACCACCAAAAATTGTGCCAGCAGCGCTGATGATCTAGCCATTGGCTTTCTTGCGGCTTGTCGCGATGCTCCTACTATTGCCCTCTTGATGCATCGCCGCGAGAAGTTACTGGCCGAAAGACGGCCTCGCGCTCAGCTTTTCAAGACTTACACGCGCAACGAAGGATAGCAGAAGCACGAATCTGAGAGGCTGGCCGATCAACTACCATTTCGTGCGAACACAACCCAATATTCATGTTGAGTCCTCGGTCGGCTGGCTATGTTTTGGATTCTAAAGTAACGGAGCCCTGGTGACTGGTGACTACACTCGGTAGAGAATGCAGATGACCCGACCATTGCTCGCCTACCTCAGCTGACCTGACCATTGTAGTTGACCTGACCTGACTATTGCTATGGGGCGCCTACTACTTTCTAATTAGCTAGAAGTTAAATTGCACCTACAGGGACTACTATTAGTAATTAAGAAATATATACAGAGGGCAGGGTTTTTTCCCTTATTAATACCCAGCAAGATTTCCTCCTAAATATATTGTGAATTTAACTAGAATTAAATCTTAATTTAATTTAATTTAGTTCTCTAACCTTACTATACTCTTCTTTCTCTATTAACTATTATAATAAATATTCTAGTTAGCTTGCCTAGAACTAAGAATATTAATAATAATTATAAACTCCTAGATCTACCTACTATTTATAATAAATTTATCTTTAATAGTAGAGATATTAATTCTATACTTTTGCAGAATATTTAAGCACTAAAAGATATTCTAGCTTCTAAGTATATACTATTTAATAAGGTAAGTTAAAATAATAAATATATTTTAATTATTATACTAACTTTTTTTATATAGGTTAAATATTTAGAAGCACCTCTATTACTATTAGTATATTCCTTATTAAATAATTAAATTTAAATTCTAACTAATATATTAAGCATTTATTAAGTCTTCTCTACTGCTTTTATTTCTAAAATACTATAAACTTTAATAAATAGTATTAAATATATTATTTTAATAGAAGCATTAAAAGAAGAAGATGTTAAACAGCCTTAGAAAAGCATTTAATATAGTATTAAAAGAAGCTTTCCTGCTAAGGCAACAACTTTAGCAGCATTAAGGAGTATTCTAGTATTTTAATATACTTTTAAGTATACTAGTAGAAAAGCATGCTAATATCTTACTCTAGATTTATAGAATTATTATTATATAGTTATTATATCTAAGCTACTTAATACACTAAGTTCTATAAAAGAGCAGATTTTAAGTATTACTACTAAGAAATAAGCTATAAAATATAGTAAAGTATATATTACTTTATATTCTTTATAATACTAATATTAATTATTTAATAGTTAGGCATATGTAATTTAAAATTAATTTACTTAAAAAACCTCTTGTAAACTATTTCAAAATAATTGTTAACTAATAGCAGAAGAGTTATACTATAAATATATTACTTAACTTTAGTGAATCTATATATACTATATTAATTAATAATTATATATAGTTAATTAATATAATAACTACTTTTATAGTATAGTAAATCTAGAATTTATTAATTACTATAATTAAATTTATAGTATTATTAATAGTAATAATACTTTAAGATATAGTAAAAAGTATTCTTTTTTTATAAATAATTTTTAAAGGAAAACAATATATAGTAAGTTATAACTACTATTACTTTAGTATTTAATAAGTAAACTAAAATATTACTAAATTATAATTACTTAAATTAAATAGCAAAATTAGTTCCTCTTTACTATAAAGTTATTTTTAACTTTATTATTTCTATATTAACTAAAACTATGCCTTAAATTATAATATCTTTATATAGAGAGCATAAGCACCTACTGCTACCTCTATCTAAAGTGCTACCTTCTATACTATAAGGCATTATAAGAGTTATTAAAAGAATAGGCAAACCTTACATAAGTCTTAGTAAGTTATTAAGCTTAATTTAGAATTAATTTAAAGTGAATTCTTAGCTAATATATAATAGATATATTTTTAAAATTAAAGAAGCTTATTAAATTTATTAAAGAATATAAGGGGAAATACTTATTAAATATATATAAAAGCCTAGCTAATACTAATTATCTTTAAGCTATTATTTAGAAGGAATAAATAATACTTTTCTCTTTAGGCTTATTAAGAATTGCTATTTTTTATAAACAACTAAAGAAGGAAAGAGAAGGCTATTAAGTAAGTATTTATTCTTAGATCTATATAAAATATATACTAAAAAACTAGTAGATTTAATACTTTATTAATAATAGTATATATTAAATAGCAATTTGCTTTTATAACTATTAAGTTACTTAATAGCAATAAATAAGTATAAATTACTTTTTATTAAATGCTAATTATAAGTAATTATAAAATTCTTAGAAATATAAAATTATTTAGGCTTAGTTTAGTTTAATATTAAAAAAAGGTATAATCTTTAATTACTTATATATTAATTTATATTACTAATATAATTATATATTAGTAATTCTATTAATAAAAGTATTTATAAATAGTAAATTAGTTAATATATATTATTATATGTTTTCTACTGTTTTTAAGCTCTTTAAGGAAAAGTTTAATATTTTAATATAATAGAAATACCTTTAATACTAATAAGCTAACTATAATAAGAGTATATTAAGCCTTATTAGCATAATAATTAATTAAGATTAGCAATATACATAAGGTAAGTTATAATATATATATATTACTATAATATTAGTATATACTTATAAAGTTAGGTCTAGAGCTATATTTAAAGAAAGATGTTAATTTATTACGCTAAGACTAGGAATAGCAAGCGTAAAATTATATTTGCTTTTATTATATACACTTTAAAAGAAGCATAGAAAAGTATTGCTTACATAATAATAATAAGCTTAATAGCAAGTAAGAACAGCTTTTAACTTTAATAAAAGCTACTTCTTTATCTTAATATAATTAATTATATAATTTAATTAAAGGTTTACAGAATTAATTCTAAATATATTCTAATTTAATTTTAATACTAATAAGATATAGAGTAATAGCTAGAGTTATCTACTTAGGTTTAATATAAATATTATTTAGTAATTTGTTTTAGACTCTGCTGTAATATATTATTAATACTATCTTAAGATTAAGATTCTCTACTAGCTATAACTAATACTATTAAAATATTATATAAGGCATTATATAGATAGGCTAGCAGATATATCTCTTTATATTATGTAATTATAGCTTGTTAAATATATAATTAGGATTTATTATAATAAGATACTACTAAGTATTACTTATAAATTCTATTATTATATTAAGATACTAGGTTATAAGGTAGATTTATAAACTAGGAGGCTACAAAAAGTATAGTATAGTATTTCCTTAGTTTAATAATTATATATTTACTAACTTTATTTTAGAATAAAAATAATAGCAAAATTATTTAGAGTTTAATAACTTAGAGAATAATTCTAGTTTTAACTTTCTTTAAAGTTCTAGCTAGGAAAGATTAGCTAGTTTAGTACCTTCTAAAGCTATCTTTTAAGATTGCTATAGCTAGCTGTAAAGCTAAGAGGTAATTTATATATAAAATAGAAGTAAGGTAAATCTAACTATATAAGCTATTACAACTAAATACTAGATATTTATACTAATAGTTATATAACAGCCTAGAGCTAGACTAGCCTACCTTTAAGATAGCAATAAATAATATACTACATAAAGATAAGTTATATCTCTAGAGAGAGAGAACAATTAAAGGCTAGAGAATATAGCAGAAGAATAGACAGAAGCAGTATAGCTTTAGCGTAGAGCTAGAGGTAAACTTAGTTTTTTAGAAGTTATTAGCCCCTCTAGAATATAGCTAGTAAAGCTAGCAATATTTATATATATACAGAAGACAGGCAGATCCTAGCCGGCATAGAGCTAGAGCTGCTCTAGAGAGCAAAAACAAAAGCAGGTAGAGTTTTTCTTTCTACTAAAGAGTTTTCTAGGCTTAATATAAGAAGAAGATATACTAGTTATATAGCTTTATAGCTATCTAGAGTATTTAATATATTATAAAGTAAGTTTTACTCTTCTTAAATTTATAGTTTATAACTTTAAAAGTATATTAAAACTAATACTTATATAACTATAATAGTTTTATTAAATACTTATATAATAAATAGTAAATTTACTTTACTAGATTTATATATAGTTATAAGAGTTTGATACATTAAACAATAAATTTATTTTACTAAATTTATATATAGTTATATATTAAATAATAAATTTATTTTACTAAATTTAATTATAGTTACAAGAGTTTAATTAAATATTTATACTTTAAATAGAAATTTTATTTTATTAACTAAAAAAAACTAGTAATATTCCTAGAGTATTTATTTATTTTATAATGCTATTTTTTTTTTTTAAAAAAAAAAAATTTGCTAAGTTATAAGATACTATTATAAGTACTACTAGTAGGCCTTCTATCTATATTACTAGAAGGAGGAGTATATAGATAGGTCTTATTAATAATATTTCTTAGGTTAATCTTACTCTAGAAAGATTTTGCATCTAGAGACATCTAAAGATAGTTAGAATTTAGCAATAATTAATTCTAAATTAGTTTTAAATACTACTTATAATATACTACAGCCTTTTTGCCTGCCTCTAGGTAGTAGTACTAATTCTAAACTTAGCAGCCTTCCTGCTATTTTAGTAGCAGGCAAGAGCCTAACTATATATTATAATAGTTATACTTTATGCCTTCTATAAGGCAAGTAGCAATTTATATAGTATTAATATTAAACTATTATAAAATTCTATTAAAATTTAGCTAGAATAAATTATAATTTAATTATAAATTACTTACTTTACTATCCTCTTTATAAAGCACTTTAGGCTTAACTAATGTCTAGTAATTTTAAGATAACTTTATAAATATATAGAGATTTATATTTTTATTAAGTGCTAGTTCCTTTAAGTTTTAGTAGAACTCTATATATAAGTTAATTAGTATAGAGTTCAAATTTAATACAAATTAATTATTAATTATACTTATATACTACTAAAATGCTTTCTAGTTTAGAATTTAATTAGAGTTAATTCTAAGTGCATTTAGAATAAATTCTAAAGAGAATACTTATAAATTCTCTATAATATAATATTATTTTAATAGTATAGCCTTAGTTTAATAAGAGGGCAAGGTATAAAGGAAAAAAAAAATTTAGAAGAAGGCTGCAGCTAATATATTAAAATTTCTAGACCTACTTCTTATAAATATTCTATATAATTTAATTGCATTCTATAATAATTTTCTGCCTAATTAAAACTTATTTTGCTCTATCTTTTACTCTACTAAGAATAGATTCCTTAAAGAAAATCTAACTAATTAAAATCTATTGTGCCCCCTTGTCCCCCTATAGCAATAGTCAGGTCAGGTCAACTACAATAGTTAGGTCAGCTTAGGTAGGCGAGCAATGGTCGGGTCATCTACACTCTCCACTCGGTACAACGCGAATGGCCACGAAAAAGACGACAAACTGGCCCTTGCATACTGTTTCACCCACGTGCTATTGTTTCTTTTTTCGTGAAAACTTTAAATGTTTCGGGCAACCTTCCAGAACCCCGCTACCAGGGCACACCACATATCATCTTGCTCACGTGATGGCAACCTGCCTAATTGGGCCGCCCACCTCGCTCATGCACTATTTTTTCTCCGGGCAAAGCGGACATGGTAGAGGCACAAAATAGACATGGTAGCCCGTGCGACCAGAGCCATATTCAACATGTGGTTCATTGGGGTTTCTCCAGACGCGGATTGGAGCCGGGCCTGGAGTCGGCGCTGCAGCAGTGTCAGATAGAGAGAGCAGGCCATGCGTGAAACCCGGGAAATGCTTCCTGCCATGGGCTGCTTGGCCAATTCTTCAGTCTGTGGACATGACGCCTGAACACGTCGCTCTGTCCAAAACTTTGTCCAGAACTTCCTTCGCGAGACAGAACCGTCCCAACTCGTGCCGACTTCGCCTACCTGGGCAGAGCAGAAATACCGCCTGTGCTGTCGCTCACACAACAGCCAGCAAAGCGAGGCTTTCCATCTCAGGGTCGGATTCGTCAAGGCCAAAACCAGGTCCGTCCTTACCCAACCATCCGTAGATCGGCACGCATCTTCTTCATCGGCAACAGATTCCACCTCCACCGCCCTTCCGCGATGTCCTTTTGTAATGTTTCCCGCGATGAAAAACGAAGGCCCCGAACGTGAGCATCGTTTTCACCGACGACCGGGCTGTGCCTGATGTTGTTGCCTGTGAAAGACCAATTCGTCCCCAAGGTACCAGTATAATTGTAAACGTACCCGACCCGGAGAACAACTTCGCCCATTACCCAGACATGTCAGTGGCAGGCACTGTATCTAGCCACGACGACGACCAAAAAGAAAAGAGCCAACTGTAACGAGATACCTCATGCCCATTGTACAACCCGGTACCATGGGCTATGCTCGCCTCGAATAGATGTTAGGGAGCAAGAGGCGTCTTTTTGAGACTTATTTGGCCGTCATTCCCTCGATGCTGCTGCCTATTGCAGTTCATTTTTTTTTCCTCATGTGCCGACGTGGTCTCAGCCCACTTGGCCTGGGCGTCCCCTGTTTAAACGTGAAGGCACAGGGGTTCGGGGCTGGTTTGTCGATTCCGGGGTCTTGGATAGATTTTTTTTTTTTTTTGGGCGCCCTCTCCCGGGCAGTATATGTTGGTGTATGCTCCGTTTTCGTTTTCGTCACGTTTCTGTAGATATGTCCTCGTCTCCTCGTCTCCTCGTCTTCCTCTCTTCCTCTCTTCGTATGACATATTGGTGTCGTCCGTGTTCGGGCCAAGGTCCGAGAGCCTCGGCGGTCTCAGTTTGCGAGCGAGAGCTGTTTGTGCTCCGAGTCGGACGCGTGCGGCTTGCTCTACTCCGCTGGCTCTCGCAGTAGAGTTCACCTCTTGATCAGACCGACCGTATCTTGCCGCAAAACGCGGCTTGTCCGCTCGCTGGCGCCTCGGTCCTGTCTGGAATATGCCTTCCTTCTCGGCCGCAACACTCCAGACGCACTCCCTGAACAATCTACGCTGGACTCGTGCCTCTTGCTGTATTTCTCCACGTGACTCATCCAGGAATCCAATACTTCAAGCAGCTCTCTCCCGAAACGGCTGCCAAAGAGAGGGGAAAATGAGCTCCCCGTCCCCCTTCCACAATGGCCCTCGCGAAGCTTTGTACTTTCTCACATCTCCCATGGAGTGCTCCGAGGGGTGTCACCTGACTGCTCCGAGGGACTGGCCCGGGCAACGATTGTCAAAACCGGTGAAGAGCATGGTTGTCATTGGTCGAACGTGGTGGGTCGAAACGTCGGATTGACCAATCAAGGCCCCATTTTCCACCGAAAATGCGCACCTGGTGACGGTGTAAGTCGACGGTCCACGACAGAGCCCTTCTTGAACGCCAAATTATATTCTCTCTTGTGTCAGGCAGAGTTCCTGAGCCGAAAAATCTTACACAGAAATACCTGGGATCAATTGGGCATCTTCACCTTATTGCCATCTGATAGGAACCCCTCCTTCGTGTTCAATTCGTCCTAGAGCTAGCCAAAGGTCCCACTGCATCTCGTGACTTACACGGGGACATCAAACATGGATGCAAGCAGAAGCAGGGCGCGTTCCCGAGTTGGGAAAGAAACCCCCCGTCTTTCATCCCCGGTCGTGGAAGAGGTGCCTTTCGATGAGATATTTGACTGGGCGCTTTATTGCGAGTCCACCGAGGAGCTAGAACCCTCCTGCTTCCCCGGTTGTCAGACCCCAGGGAACATGTCCAAGCTCATAACCCAATTCACTCCCACATCTCTTGGTCTTGGTCTTGATAACTTTGCCATCGATGATCTTCGAACAGAGCTTTACAGGATGAAAGCTCCGTTCCGGTCAGACGATGACACGGCTACCACCTCTGACTACTCCGGACACTCCCCTCCAGATCTGATCCAGGGAGGAGGGAGCACCTCTCCCTCGGACCACTCCGGATCTGTCTTCCTCGATCACGCCGAAGAGCGTCCCCACCCCTCTGATGTTACCTTTCAAGAGGTCCAAGCCCAGGACGAGTGGACTTATCCCCAGACTGACCTGGCCAAGGGTGCTCGTCGTGGATATCCTTCCCATATCCTCGTTCGGGGAGACTATTCTGTCATCCAGACAAGCAATTTCGCCGGAACAAAGCGTCGACGCTCCAGCAAAGATGTCGAGAAGAGGCCTCGGCAGCTGGTTGACCCTGTACAAACGGCAGACGTCCGGAAGAGTGGGGCGTGTGTGCCATGTCGAGTAACCAAGACCAGGGTGAGACACAATCACCCAACTCCACAGGCGGAATCTCCTAACTGACCACTTTCTCTTTTAGTGTCATGACAGCGGCGTTTGTCCTACATGCAGAAAGGCGTTCCCAAACCATTCTCATCTGGTCTGCACTCGCATGACTCCTGCAATGGCCTGGCCAGTGATGGCCAAGGTTCCAGGTGTGTGGCTCTCCCCTTCTTGGACAATCCACCAACCTGTCAACCATATGTTGACATCAGCCCTAGATTTCTGGTCCAGCTATGCTGCAGAAGAGCAGTATCTGTGCTCTGGGCCCCGGTTTTACACTGGAAGTGCCAGAGACATTTCCATCTTCTTCAGCAAGGACACCACCTCGTCTTCTTTGCATGCCACTGTTCAGGCATACAGGTCCACCAACAACCACGATGAGGTTGGCAGCCCGAGGACTGTTGCCTTCCCCCGGGAGAAGGTACCCAGTCACCCGAAGCTGCAGCGATGGGTTGAAGACCAGATCAAGCGTGAGCATCGTCCGCAATTCAGCCAGGCCTTGCAGAGCTTTTTGTTGGCTTACTCCAAGGAAGGACTGAAGAAGCTTCCCAAGGTACGTGATAGGTGGTTCGACTTGTTGATGTCAAGACAGCTGACAGTCAGACAGTATGATCTGGTCAGAAAGGTCCATCAAATGAATTGTTTTTTCAGAATCTGGAAGATGCCGTCGTTTTGGTGTAGAGACCCTTCCAAAAACATCGCCAATCTCCCAGTATCTGTTCAAGCCCAGCTGCGCAGTATCGCTCGGAAAGCTTTGGACCTCTTGGAGTACGATGTCTTGAAGTTGTTAGACGACTGCCTCAGCCAGCAGGGATCTCCCAAGGCAGAGGAGAGGGTGGCGATTTGGGTGAGCATGTGGCAGCTTATGCTAATGTACCGCGAGTTGTTGGCGGGTTACAAAGTCCATCTGGGTCATATGATGCATGACCCAAGCTCGCCAGATGAGTTCAGTAAGTTTTGCCTCCTTCGGGGATTCTGGAAAGAGAAACTAATCATCATAAAAGTCAGCTCTCAGACACATCAATACCAGCGTTTGGTTGAGAACTTTTATCCTTTGCTCACCATTTTCTACCATTACCAATTCCGTACCAAGAAGAGCATTGAGTTGTCGTTCGACTGGTTGGATGATGTCTCTTCATCCCATGTGTCACGTGAAGACAAAGATCTTATCCGTGGCTTTGGACACCAATTACTCGTCTCAAGAAAAGAATTGTGTAAGTGTCCCAAAACGGTTTATCCAGTCCCCCTCAATAAGTGACTTGGCTGACAACGTCACAGACACTTATGTCAAAGCCGCATCGGAAACAGACGAGGTGGACAACATGCTTTGGACGTTCGTCGTAGAGCACGAAATCAAGAAACTCAATGCTCGGAAGCGAAATCCCAAGGGATCGACTTCTAAATCGAAAAAATCACACCATGCTGACGACGAGTGTGACTATGAGTAAAAGGCTAGTTTGGGCTTTCGACCACCCCTTTATGATGTTGATGATTTAAAAGACGAATGTTGACGACATCCGGGATGAAACCTTGTCTGTGAGGGCGGAGCCCCGCCGCTGAAAGGAGGGGGGCGGCTTTCATGTCAAGGTGGAAATTTGAACATTTAATTTGTATTTTCCTTCTTTTCCCATTGCTTTGGTAGTATGTTTCATTGTGGCAGTGAGTTCCTCAGGACTGACGCGTTTAATGACTTGCGCAGACAAGTTCACGGTTAATGCCACTTTGTCTTTGGAAATCTTCGAATCAAATCTATCATTCAAAATTAGCATAATTCGTAGAGAGCCAACTGTTGACTTGAAGATGACTTGCCTGACTGCTGAAAAAAGTTCGCTCGAATTTTGGGGCATGACGGGAAACAGGGTCGCGAGCATGTTCGCCACAGCACCAATGTACAGAGCCCAGAACATGGCATCTGAATGATGACTTTCAACCACTTTTTGGAGACCTCGCCAGAGCATTTCGTCGCACAGACCGATGTCATTGCCCCATCTGGCGCAAGTTGTCAAAGCTAACAGGGCACGAGCGAGATGCGTCAGACCCGGGCAATCTGGGTCACGTATCAAAGCATGGTGAAGAGCGCTCGAGCTATTGCCGTGAGAACTGTGGCCAGACCGAGCCCAAATTTGCCTAATAAATAAAGCTCCTAGCCCAGGGGCCAAAATAGTCGGAATGTTGCTCAACTCATCTTGAGTTCCTGGTACTGACGCTGAAAGCAAATCCAGGATGGCGTTAAACAATGGCCTCTCTGTCTCTGTGACATTTGCCAAGACTTCTAATGGATTGCTTTCTCGGACATCTTTGGGCATCGTCATGAGGAGGACACCCTGCTTATTTGAGCCACCACAGAAGGTCACGCGGTGGATGTTGGGCACGACGGCGATAAACGAGTCAATTACCGTAGCAATGGCCGGGAACTGCTGGCGCCGTCTTCTTGACATGCCATAAATCTTTCCATCATTCTTCTCGTTGACTTGGCGCATCTTGGTTGGTTGCTTGAACTGAGAGCCGGGGACAGAATAAGTATGGGTTGACGGAATTGGGTAGGGTGAGATTGGGTCGTTGTGCATCAACATGCTTCCGTAGCCTCGAAATCCACCACCGCACATGTACACATCGACAAATGCATCTTCCCCCCCATCGCAAGCTTCCTTGATGGCCCGAAGGGCAGGGAATCTGGCACATAGGTTAGAATATATGCGTGCAATTCCGTCCTGCAACATGCAAATCTCCTTGGCCTGAACCTCAGCCGACTGCTCCTCAAGAATCTTTGTGAGCTTTGCCGCACCGTAAGGAAGGCTCTGGCCAGCCATGGCAGCGTCGATTTCGTAATTTTCCTTGCTGGTATCAACCCATGTCATCTGTAAGCTGCCACCGCCGAGGTCGAGGAATAGTGCGCCATTGGGAACGGAAACGAAGCCGCTTCTCGACCCCATCACGGCACCAAATAGAGTTTCCACGGCAGGATCAAGAATCTGAACTCCAAGGCCATGGGTTTCAGCTGCAATGGCCTCCAGGATTTCACCTCCATTAAGAGCACGTCGCATCGCTTCCGTGGCCAAGATGATAATTTGCGATTGGGGCACCCCGTGCATAATAGCTATGTGGTGGAATCCCGACAGGGCAGATGCGACGGCCTTGACAGTTTCAGAAGGAAATACTGGTCCCCGGTCTGAAGGCGTCAAAGCATCGAAGAGAGATATGGCTACTCGACTGGAGTAGACGGGCTCAAGGAGCCTCGTGGTAGGAGGTTTCAGGGAGGTAATTGAGAATCGGATTCCATTGCTATGACTTCACTTAGAACAGCCTTTTTTCCAGGTAGGAGCTCGGCAGCAGGCAAACCTTCCCATGTCAACGACGGCATAGAGATAATTTTCATATTCGGGGTGCCATCGTGGGAGTTTTTCGTGGAGATTATCCAGAGTTATGACATCTGACGGAGGCATGGTGGGAGATGGTGATCAAGCCGACGTGGCCGAAAAACATCGAGAGACACGATGACTATGAGGTTCAGCAAGAGAGTGAAGTGATTGGGCCGGCTCAAGGCCGTGGGAGTTGGGTATCATGGCATGGCGCATCAGAAATAATGGTGGACGGCGAGGTGAGGCTTCTCTGCTGCCGAATTTTGGGGAGTCGCGAGGGGGGTGTTTGTGTGTGCGTGTGCGTGTGTGGGGGGTGGTGAGCATCAGGATATTCTGGAGCTAGTGTGTGCAGCTGCATCAACTGGCTGGCCAGCTGAGTGCTGAAGGGCCACAATTCTCCGAGCCACAGACAGGGAGCTCCACAACTCCACAACCCCCGTTCTACATTCCCACGAGGCACAGGCCCCAAGCAGGCCACGGCCCTCGCCCATCGAGGGGGAAATACGAGAGGCCCGTTCTCACATATGTCAACAAAAACCATGAGTCATCTTCTTCAACTGGCCATTAGTTACGCTATTCGTTTTTTTCCAGGGAGTATCCGGGGTCGGAAATGGAGTCAAAAGCACACGGCCAATCACGAAGCCAGGCGACGACAAATTCTCCGTAGCTAGGCATTTAGGTAAGGCCGGCCCATGTACTTGTAAACCATATCGATGGCACCCGATGGAATCCACGGCATAAGAATTGTCTAACAACGAGGCAGGTGGTGAAACAAGATATCCTGCCTGTGAACCCAGTGAATCTTCATGTCGCGACAATGCGTTTATGCATCTTACGCCAACGTTCTTTCAGCCAACGAGCCGTTTCAAATGGGGTAGACAGCCGCCGAATGAGACAGCCGCGGCATGCCGGTCCGGGGATGGGGGACGGGAGTCGGCATCAACAAGGGTGAGAAACTCGGACGTGCGAAAGCCTGTTGAGCAGTCTCATAAGTTTGTGAAGTGAGACACCCAACTGGAACTGATGATTTTCAAACCGTTGCCTAAGCTCTTTATACTATCAAAGCCTTAGGCTGGGAAAGCAAACGAGATGATGCCACAACGTTCGGTTGGGTGTTGACAAAACAGCGTTTGCGCCATCGGGCAGAAGTGAATGCAATGCCAATTGGCACTACCTCTAGGGGTGAAAAGCTTGCAGCTTGCACCAATATCAGCACCCAGCTGGACGGCTTGACGGCCAGGCTTGAACGGGAACGTTCCTGCTGGGTCTTGTGCTATCAAGTTGGGCACGAATTAGAGGCGCACAAAGCGCATTCCGGGTCACGGCAAAGCCGCCACCAGCTGCAGTCGTATCAAATGCATGACAGCGGAAAGAGGAAAGAGTTGGGTTGGCTGGAGACACATCACCAAGTTCCTAAGTGTCTATTATGCCTTCACCTCTGACACCCTCTAGTGAGTGTTTGGCGGATGAGACATTCGGAGTTATATATCGTTCTTTCGACATCCTTGGTGCGGGAATGTTGCCTCCAATATATGGCTTGTGCCCTAGTTTCTTGTACGTACTCGCCTCACCTTGAAATGAATGTCTCGACCAAGGCTGCTGGGTATCCTCCTCTTCTTGGCAACTTGGAGACGAATTACTAGCTGAAAGAGCCGGCATCTCGCGACTGGACCTTTGGCCAATTGAGCGCTTAACAAAATAAATAACGTCGCTCCACACGCTCCCCGCTTCATGCTGATACACAATTACTCTTCCATACTTCTTTCCTTGATTTTGTACGTGACGGACTTGACGGGCTGTGTTGATTGGCTCTTGAGTGAGGACTCGCAGACCAGGTTTGTCCACTTTGTAGAACCGATATCACGATTAAACCTGATTCAAGAGGGCCTGTGAAGCGAGAGCCTAGTCAGGTCCCGGACAGAACACCATGAGTTCTCCAACGTCTTCGTCGCAGTCGAGTGCAACACGGTGACCATGGCGGCGTCTGGGACGGTCCCCGCTCTCCTGGAGTCCTGGGTCTCATGTGGTTTTGGTAGTGTTTCAAGCATATGGTCAGTTCAAGTAGGAACGCCATGCTCTTTGCGAGCCGCCTGAGCTGGACATTCTAATGCTTGGTACGGACGTGCATTGACGAATGCTCCAACAACCACTTGTTCCTCTTGGCCAGGATTATGCGGGTGTTTTCTTCCCAAGTAGGTCTGGTACCTTTGTTTCTCTCCTGCAAAAGGCGCTGGCGTTTTAGAGGGAATCTGAACTGGAAGGGCCACCACGTTCTTGGGGTCCCGTTCGATTGAAGAGGTGAGGCGCAGGACCCAGGCGAATGAATAGTGCCAAAAAGTACGCCGCTGTTTTCAGGGGAAATAACGGACACGAAGCACTTTGTACGACCTGGTCACTGTCGCTCCGGCTCTGTACGGAGTAGCGGCATCTGAAACCACCTGCCTTTAGCGGGTAGGTATAAAAGTATGAAGGCATGTGCTAGTACAAATACCAAGCATATTGCCAGTCTACTGCAGACGACATGCTGCATTATCTGAGCAAGTTTTAGGGTGTTCTCTGGATGTACACTCACCATAGCGCATACATCGATGTGATTTGATAGATGTGCTTTGTCCTCCCTCACAGAGAATACGACTTTATAACTAGTTATTTGGTTCCACAGTCGCAAGAAACGTGGGCATTTGTGTCATGTACGGGACTTGGGGTTTGCGATATGATCAATGGGGTCAACCGGCGTCTCTCGATACCCCGAGGAGTGTGCCCATGGTGGTGCTGCCCAGAGGATGCTTCTTCCCCAGACTTCACAGTTTATATATCTCAGCATCGGGAATGTAGGGCATGTTCCGCGGAGGAGTCGAGGCGACAGGTCGGCCGCAGAGATTGGCCCAAGCAGTCACGTCACGCCGTGTCAACTGCTCTGCACATTGAAAATGGTACATGCAAGCACAGGACGTGTGAAGACACGGAGATCGACTGGCCCCACCAGCCACCCGAAGCAGAGTGTTCTGGTTGGATGCCGCCCCAGCACGCTTCCCCGCACCCGACGCGATGGATACGCGTCTTACGCGACGACTTCGCGTCAGCCCGACCTCACACATTTCTCCGGAGAAGCGCACGGAATGCTCCCTTGCCACAGCGTATGTCTGAAGCCATACGGCGGATCGCAGGAGAAGATGACCCGTCACGGTACGTACATACGTTGCCCTGTCCTGGTACGTAGTTAAGCTTCACGATTGAGAATGGCCTCAGTCGGCTGGTCAGGTTTGCTTGGCCCACATCATGGTAACGCCTCATTGGCAGGCGACAAGAGGGCCGAAGTTTAATGGAAAGAGAAACCAGACTCCTTCCTACCTCTCCCGAATGACTGCAAGTGCATGTTCGCACTCTCGCACTGTCCAACGACCGAAATGCAACGGCCAATGTGACCATGACCAGCCTCTTGCTTTCCATTCCTTTTGCCGACGTTGCAATGTGGGCTAGCTATTCATGTTGCCTGAATAGCCTCCCGAGCCCTTGCACGCACATTTTGAGCGGCAAATTATTGCATACTGCGTACTGTGCCAAAACTCCCCGTCATTCTTCGTCCAAAGACGTGAGCACGAGCTCGCAGGGAATGTCGGGTTGAAGACGGGAGGAATTGGCCTCCGCCAAACATGTTAGGTTGTCTCTGTTTTCTCATCGTGGCTGCTTGATATTCATTCGACTTTTCGGATGTCTAACCGTCGAGGGGCATTAACAGGACACTGGTGCTAGCTCATCAATTTCCGCAATCATCTGGCTGGCCATCAACAGCGCTTGTCGTCAGTCGTCTGCCAGTAAACCCAACGGCTCCTGCAGCCTGGTCGTTGTTCCCGGTCAAGAGAAGAGTTTTCCCGGCACTCCGTACTGGGATCCGCCGGTGCATGGCAGCGATGAGCATTTTGAGAAGCTGACAAGCTGGCCCTGGGAACCGAGTAGGGAGTACCCCTGCCTGCACCATCGGCACGTTGCAGGACATCTGGACGGACCGCCCGACTAGCTTCCGCAGTGTCTTTCCACCTCCACCGCCGCCACGGTGTCCTTGTCCTTGTCGAACCTCGAGTCGAGAGGCTTCAAAAAGGCGCTTGAGGACTCGGTGGACCGTGGGATTCGAGCGTTCAAGTGGGGGCGTCTCTGTCAAGGTCCGCCGCCGTGCATTTTAGTCGACAGCTCTGGTGCGACTTGATGGGACCAGATCCCAGCGCCTCTTCTTGTTGAGGGCCGAGAGAGCGCGTCAACAGAAACGACGGGCGCCATTTGGGCATGGGCTGCAGCTCGAGCACTGTGCGGCCCCTGCCTGTCCTGCAACTGGTGCAACTTCGAAGTTGGCTCCAACAGGGCCTGTCCCCATCCCGCGTCTCTTGGTCCCGTCTAGAGTCTGCCGTCTCTGCAGCTTCTGCAGCCTCTGCACTCTAAGTCTCTGTGCGTCGCAGGGCCTGCCCTTGGTCGCTGCTCTCGAGCGCTCCTCCGTCTTTCGTGCGTCTCGCCGTGTCGCCCGCAGACGGACTCTCTCTCAACTCCACCGCCGTACATACAAACTGCTCCTCCACACCCGGCAACCCTGGGGCCATACTCCTCTCCTTCATCCTCCTCATTCCAGTCCCTCTTTTGCGGTCGCTGTACCACCTGTGCGCCGATACGCCAGTGGGCAGAGCTGCTCTCGATTACCAGTTGCCGCGTCGCAAGGTCGCCGCTCCCATCTCTGCGCGACGAATTTGCTGGCCGGTGGACCATCGCGACGCCGTATGCTTCGGCAGCTACTTGACAATTCCTTGATCCAAAGTCTAGCAGCGGCTGCAGGCGCAGACGTTACCGACTTTGCCGCCTCGCTCAGCACCATTTCCCGTCCTCGCTTTCGCGACCGCTCACCACGTTTTTCTTTCATCTCTGTACTACTTGTAAATCAGTAATTACTTATTCGTTTCCGCGATTCTTCGTCGTGGCGCATCCCTACATCGATCGCGTGGCTCGACGGAGCGACTGAGACTTTACCTTCCAGTTGCGACACAGACTGGTCTAGCTTTTGCGACAAAGTCGGTCTAGCTGGCGCCAGCGATTCAGAGCCGAGACCATAACAATCCTCGAAACTAGAGAAAGAAGCCAAGACGGTCTTGCAGTCGGATTCAGAACCCTTTGGCGCTCTTCCTCGTATTCTTCTTTTTTGCGACTTCTGCGACTTTCGTCTGCTCCTCCCCCTTACTCTCAAAGCCCCCCGTGCGTCTCCCGACATCAACTGGCATCGCGCAGGACCCGCGACAAGCGCCATCGCATACAGCACCAGCCACTTTTTCACCAATGCCTTCGTTTGAACGCTTTAGGGCAACTCGCCCAAGGCATCTTCGCCAGTCAGCGGCACTGAAGACCACAGAGCCATTTGCTGAAAGCCAAGCGCAACCCCCGTCACCAGCGCGGCCCAAGTTTCGCTTGAGGAGGCGGAATACCTCATCACAACTCAACGCCCCGACGCAACAATTCCTCGCATCGGTTGCCGCCGCCGATGTTCCGCTTCCCAGCATTGAGGGGCCTCGAGTTTACGACGACGAAGACATGCTTAGCATCGCTTATCCTGCCATCCCCCAGCTGGACCGGATTGACGACGTTAGATTTGAACACGCGCGTCAAGGCAGGATCTTCTCGCCACCCAAGACTCCGGCACCTGACTTGGCTCCGTCGCTGTCACCAAGGCAGTTCCCCGACTGGTCAATTGATGGTGCCTTTAGCAGCCTAGAGTCCAGCCCCGAATATGACAGCAGTCGACCTTCCACAGCGAGGTCGAGCCAGACCAGTTCGTCGCTATTTAGCCGCTTCTCTCATGCATCAGACCTGAGCCAGTGCGCGAGTCCTGAGCGAGAACACTGTAATCGGTTCGGTGATTTTCTTTCGCCCGAGGATGCCGATAGGACGATTAGGTCATTCACGACTGCAACACGGTCAGCCAAATCAAGAAAAGCCCCTTGGACCAGGGCAATGAGTCGACATCTTTGGTCCACATACACCATGTATCTGCAAGATCCCAAGGTTACACCTTTCCAAGTTGGAAAGAGCGGCATTCCTCCCCCCGGAGTTTGCATGCGTGTGGCCAGGGAAGCCAAGAGAAGTTGGAAAGGCTCCAGGCCTTCAGCGAAATCAGGAATTAAGAGCGGCAGTTCAACGCCAACAGCCGAAGCTGCCGGACCATATATTGAGTGGCCACACACCCACGCGGCAACCAGAGGTCACTTGCGTGAACTCTGCAAAGCTCGCGGGTCGCCTCGCAACCTCCAAAGCTTTTCCAACAGCCCTGCGCCATTTGGGAAATCCATCAATCGATTCTGGAGTCGTCGATCGGCGCCTGCCCGCTCTCCCTCAGTTTTCTCTGGCTCGGACATGGCCATGTCCCTAGCTGTTTGCACATCAGATTCCATGCAACTTCAAGGGCCTTTGGCTCAGTTGACCTCGCAGCCCCAACCGTCATCTCAGGCGACCGCGCTGGGAGACATATTCGATCAGCCGAGACCACGTCTCGGGTCTCCCTTTACGGCCAGAAGTTATGGACCTAGCTCGTCAACCGGGTTGGAAGAGACCTTTAACGTAAGCCCTGAAGCCCAACGACAAGCCCGCACGGTTGCTACACGACGCGGCCTGAGATCGTCGGTGAGACTTGACCAGGGTCGGACGAGCGCTCAAAAGCGCAGGTCTAGGCAGCCTGCATTAGAACCACAACGTACCAAGCGGCCTGGTTTGGGCTCAGACTTCTGGATAGACCCAACAAGAAACGAAGATGAGGGATCCAGTGCTCCGCTCATCCAATTCAGCTCTACCGATTCCAACCATCATGACAGCCTGTTTGTTCTTCGTGCCAACTTGCAGGAACTCTTTGAGGCCTCAAGTTCCGGCACGTCACAAGCTGGATCCTCGAGCTTCCCCTCGACAACCGGCTTGACGCCTTCACAGACCGTCCCCGCCAGGTTAGGGTCGCCATTCTCAGCAAAGACTACGAGTCATTCATTTCCGAACCGCCATTCCAGTGTCTCGACGATTGATGTAGACGCTGTCGTCCGTCCATTTGCGACTGTGCACCAAACCGGCGGGAATAGGGGCAACAACACTGTATCCTCTGACTCTATCAAGATGCCACTTGCCAACCGTCTTGCATATATCGATGAACGCCTCAAGGGTTTCCGCCGCCGAGGAAGCGAAGGACGCCGGTCTCAATCACCTTTTTAAACGAACTGTCGCCTTTGAGCATGTGGGCACATAATGACGACACTGATGACCCATTTGCATCACCCACCATTATATAATGTACCTGTTTTGTAATTTGCGTTGCCTACCCTTTTTCTTCACCACAAAGTCGAGACTTCCAGCAGGAAGCGATTGCAATCTACTTGGGTACAATTTACGTGACGACTATTACGACTGAACGACAACCAATAGAGGGTCAACAGACCTCGGAGAAGCGATGACTATGTTTGTTATTGAAGTTCAATACATTCTTTCTTTCTACCTGTACAGTCGGGTGGCAGCCTCGTCGCTTGACGTACTACCTGTCTTCCGGCGTATGTCGACGCACAGGGTGTGATACAATTGATGATTTGAGTAGAAATCTCTTGGTTGTATTTCTTGTTCTTTTTCTTTGCCTTACTTCCTTCCTGCGATGTGTTTTTTTCTTTTTTGTAGGAAAAAAGAAAAAAAAAACATGGGACAGAAAGTGATTTATGCGGCAAAACCGGGTATGAGATCATGACGATGTGTATAGCTATTTATCTATGGTACAGGAACGGATCAATGAGACGAAGATTTGGGGTTGCCAGAGAAACAGAATTACCCAGGTAATCCCATTAGGTCTGAGAGCGGCATCTTTTTGGTGTCATGCATGATGAATAGATGACTCGAGATTACTTTGCATCTGCGTCCCCGCGTATCACCGTTTCTGTATTCAAGATGGAGGGGGCGGGTTGTTGGTATCGCATCAGGCTGTAGAGGTCGATAATCCTCGTCACTACACTTGGCTCAACTGATGCATGTACCAAACTTGAGTGTGATGCCAGACACTCCTACTCCTACTCCTGCAAACGTCGCAGCTCGGGGCAGACGCTGACCACGGCCTTGCCTTCATGTGTGCTGTGCGCACTTGGTCGACGCACCACTGATTCATTTCGCGTCTTGTCCCCGTGAGATCCCAGTCAAGGAAGGGAGCCCATCGGCTCCATCGCCGTGACACGCACATTCGGCTCGTTGAGATACGCGCCCCCGAGCCCTTTGGCCTGGGCATTCCTTATCCAGCCCCGGGGTCTTCTCAACCCATCCTGACACTTTCTGTGCGACATACCACATGAGAAAGGGGGGGTCGGGAACGGGGCCTGCGTACTAGCACACGGGCCGTCTTGTCGACAAACTGCCAAATGTCCGTCTACCTAGGCAGGTAGGTATCCCGGGACACGGCGCTGCGTTTGAACGACTTGACACGACTCGGGCTCGACTCTTGAAGTCTCGCTCGGCGGTGCGAATGGCCCACGCCCGTCACTGAGGCAGCCCTCTTCGAGGGTCAGAACCGAAGATGAAAAAGAATGGCGGGGAAAGGGGGGGAACATGAGTTGGTTTCTCCTCTTCTTGCCCTGTGGCACAACACATGCTACCGTTCTCGTAGCCCGCTCGAGACAGACTGCACCTGCCGTGACCTCCGTTCCTCTCGCTCGCTGTTGGCAAACAACGGCTGCGGCATGAGCTCCCGGACACCGGTGTACGAGTCCCGTAGCCGCAGGCCCATGTCGGAGTGCTTGCTGTGGCCCGTCGCTTGGCCGTGCGGACAGCGCCCCTCGCCGACGGCGGCACGATGCGAGTGGAACGAGCACTCACGGAAGCCGAACATGCGCTCGTCGTTGCGCAGCTTGTTGGCCGAGATGCGCAGCTGCGGGTTTTTGAAGCGGACGTCCAGCCCGGCGGCCTTCATGTTGCGGACGTGTGTGGCGTAGTCGGCCGCAAAGTCGGGCAGCGAGTCGAGAAGTGCCTGGAACCGCGCCGGGACCGAGGTGGCGGAATCCTGGGGATAGAACTTGAGCCGCCCGACATTGCTGCCGACTGCCTGCGAGAAGGCAACCATGGCCACGGCCCATCTTCGGACGCGCACGGCGGGCAGTGACTCGCACTGGGTGTAGAGGTAGACGATCAGGCTGGGTGGCACGTCCCAGTCGCAGCTGAGGTACAGGTCCTGGATAGCGTCCATGGCCTGGTCCTGCAGCTTGTGAAGGTCCAGGTGCGAGGCGAAGAGGTGTAAGCGGATGACGGCCCAGTGGATGTCCTGCGCGGCCTGCTCGCTCTTGTCGTGAGCCGCGGCCATGGAGTGGTCCAAGAGGCGGCGGAACGAGTCGGGGTCGTGAACCCAGCTTACGAACATGGTGAACATGGCGGACGACTCGCCGGGGAGCCAGAGGGCAATTGGTTTCGGCTGGGTGGCGTCCAGGAGGCGCTCGGAAAAAAAGGTCGATGCCTCGCAGAGAAGTTGCCTGTTCACGCTGAAGGGCTGCTGCTTAGCGCCGATGAGGACCGTCGTCATTGAGCTCGAGGTTGGTTCCGAGGCTGTGGATTGAGAAGCCGGCGCAGCAGGTGGTGCCGGGAGGGTCTTGTCGAGGAAAGGTCTCTGCGATGATTTGGAGGCGGTTGTGTGGTGGAAGCGACGGGAGTGCCGCGCCGGGCCAAGGCGATTGACGGGCACCATGGCATCTGCTGTCAATGAATGGCGTTGGCGTTTGCTCTGCCTGCGTGTCTGCAAGTCCAGACAAACTCGAAACGCCCTCCCAAAGCGAGTGCCGTATGTTTTTCTCTTGAATCTTGAACCTCTCAGTCGAGAGTAGCTGCGCAAGGAGGCGGATGAAGACGGAAACATGAAGCAGTTGGCCGACTCGCGGCCAAAACGGCCAATATTTGCCACAAGAAGGACACCGCCGGCAAACAGCTAGGAATCTGTCTGTCCTTGGGACCACCCGGAAGAGCCAAGACGGGAAGACGGACGCACGGAAGATGTGATGCCACGGTTCGTTTCTGCAATTGGTTAGTATAACAGAAGATGACGAGCAGGGTTGCATCGAGCATCGAGGGCAGCAGGGCGTCGATGTCGATGCGCCAGTCGCTTCGCAGGGCGCGGACCTACAATGCAAATGCCGACCTGTCATTGCCCACGAACCCAGCCAGCTTGGTTGAAACGAGGGGGGAGGCAATTAGTGAGTATCTCGTCCGACACGGGTGGCGGCCCAAAAAAAAAAAAAAGACGACGACGACGACAAGAAGGGAAAAGAAATCAAACAACGGAGACGCCTGGTGACGGGCAGCCCTGGGCTCCGAGTCCTTGCAATCTGTCTGTTTTTTGAACACGACATTTGACCCTTGTCTCGGGCTGTTTTGCGATACGGGACATGGCGAGCAAGCAGAGAATCAAGGAACATTGAAACAGCATAGTCTGTTTCTGTCAGGACGGGGAGATGTCTTGGGCAGGCTTGCCGGCCGAGCGTTTCACGACACGCACGACATCCCTGCCATCAAACATGGCGAGCGGCCGGCCCCCGGTTCCTGATGGTGCTTGTCTGTCCGCACAACCCGCGTCGTCGATGCTGCTGCTGCTGCTGCTGACTCGGTCCAGGGGCCCGGCCACGTGAGACGCACGGCTGTGGGGGTCGATGCGCATCCGATGGCATCAATGTGTGCCCTTGTTGTCTCGATTTGCCTCGCTCCCGACGCCACGGTACCGAGTGCACAGCCAACCCCTGCGGATTTGCCTGTCCCTGCACCATCTAGGTCAGCAAGGCGGACTGCAGGTAAAGCAACAATGGCGAGGCAGGAGGAGAGGCAAAGAAAAGACGGTGACTCCGGTGTTGTGACTTGTGCGAGTAATCGTCATGGGCCCCGGGCTCTTCCCCAAAGCCCGGGCCCATAGGTGAATACGCGTACGAGCGTCCCAGGGACGGCAGCAGTCGTAGTCGTAGACCGTGCTCCGTCCTCTGCAAGACGAAGCAAGATGGAGATGAAATTAAAATGAAAATTACCCACCCACCTCCCGAGGTCGCGTCTGACGGACAAGGTGATATGATAATCCGCGGTCTCGGTCGGCACGCCAAGGCTCGGCACTTGGCTCTCCTTGGCACTTGCCTGGCCACGTTGTGCTCTGACTCCTGTCCGCCTCGGGCTCCCAGACGGCGCCGCAATCTCCGTCTTCTACTCAAAGCTCAAAGCGTCTCTCGTCTCGGCGGACCACGGCGCCCAGCGCGTGCACAATTAATTTATCAGAGTTTGCCTGGACTTTGTTCACCCTGCGTCGCGTCGGTTTCAGAGACATACAAAGCGAGTCACCACGTTGCGCTGTGCTGCCCTGGCCTTTGCGCACGCCCTCTGCTCCTCTCTACTCCGTACTCACATCACGAACCGCTGGCCAACTGCGCCAAAGCCTCAGACAGTCGGTCGCCTTTTCCCCTCAGCACAGACCGTCTCGAGCCATACCAAGCAAGCAAATGCCTCCTGGCCTGCCGAGGCGCCCGGCCGAGCCCAAACGGCAAAGTACGTGGCCGTCCATGGCTGTCTGTGTCACCGGTTGCCAGCTTCAATGTATAACGTGTTTGAATTCGAAACGCACACAAACTTTCACCCCCTCCATCCCCGTCGTAGCCTCGAGCAAAATATGATGCATCTGTCTGTGGTCTGCCCTTTCGCCCTTGCGCCAATATGCTCCCGGCGCCAGATTTTCTTTCTCACTATCCTGTAGCAATCGCCACTCGGACCATCCGTGTTGAGCCTAAACACATGGTCATCAGTATCCCTCCAACTTGCCATAAATCTTGCACAGCTCCCAGTCCATAAACCTTGCGCCAAAAACCCAGCAACTGTCCCTTTCCACGACCAATTCATTGCACCAATCAAACAATATCACCACTTGAATGGGATAGGCCATGCCGCCCTCATCTCGCCTCGTCCTATGTCGTCAAAACGGCGGGGATGTCGTCGTCGTCTTCTTCTTCGGAGTCAGAGTCTTCGGTCGCGCTGCTGACCTCGTCGAGCTCCATCGGATCGTTACGTGCTTCTCCCGCCCTGGCGTCCGAGATAGCTCCGGCCACATTGGCTGATCCATTTGTTGACGGCGGCTGTGACGCTGAATAGCTTTGTTTCGTCGTCGTGGGATCCGTGTGCTCTGCTGTCGCCGCCGATGCGCCTAAACCTCCCATGTCCGCCAGCCGCACTCGCCTCCGAGGTGAATCGGCACCCGGCCCCGAGATGACAGGCTGCGCAGCGGGTGCAGAATCTCCTCTCTCATTAACGCGCGCTTTCTTTATCACCGGCACAGCCCCATCCTGACTGGCTGGTGCCTCCTGGGGTTGCCCGAGAGTTTCTTCCGGCGGTGCTTTGAACAACCTCTCGCGCTCTGCCTCGATTTCGGCTTTGGTACGTCTCTCCCGAAGCTTGACCCCATACTTCTTGCGAGTGGTGGATTGCTTTGTATTGAAGCAGTTCTTGATCTTAGACACCTCTTCGTCTTGCTCTGGCTGTGGTAGTAGCATGGCTTTTCGTAAAAGATTACCGTAGTGTGCCTCTGTACGTGCCAGTTCCATTTCAAGCTCCTTTTTGTCCTCAGGCGAGAGATGCGCGTAGGGATCCGAGTGCTTCCCTCCTCCTGAAGACGCGGCCGGAAGCGTTGGCGTCGCCGGCGTGCCCGGATTCGGATTCATAGACGTGAAACGGGCGCCTTGAGAGGGAAGCTGGGCAGACCGGGACCGACTCTCGTCTTTTGCTGACGACGGCATCGACTGTGACCTATGAGTCGATCCGGGACCTCGAGCTGGAACATGCTCTCGATAAAACTTTTCTAGTGCTGGCATAATGGCAGAGGCGTGCTCGCCGGTATACATACCGCACACATTCGACTTGAGATGGTACGGCAAGCCGCCACTGGAGTTGAAGAAGCATCCGCAGTGGGGACAAAGACTTTTGCCAACTTGATCAATCGTCTTGACTTCACCACGGCATGCACCCTTCGATTGATGCTGACACAGGTTAGTTTTGCTGCAGGTCATATAATATTAGGTCCAGTCCAAGAAGCCCGAAGGACTTACATAGTTGAGCGCATCTGTACCTGACACCGGACGACTGCAGACTTGGCACTGAAGGAAATTGGAAGAGTCATGCCTATCCTGTGATGTTTCCATCGCCTGCGATTGCTGCCTCGTTGAGGCTGGCATTGCTAGCGGTGATTTGGTCTTCTGAACCGACGGTTGAACCAAAGGTTGAACTGAGGGCTGCCGATATTGTGGCGGGTCTTGGGCCAGATGCTGCTTCACGTACGAAATAACAATTTCAGTTCCATCTTTCCTCTCCTCGACAACGTCCTTTTCGTTGTATCCAAGACGCTCTGCTTTCGCGAGAGCATTTACCAGCGGGCGGGCGCGAATAGTTTCCAATCGCTGAGCCAGGGCTAGGTCCAGGAAGTGAGTGCTAGCCTTGCCTAGGATTTCGCTTGCTACTTCATCAAAGTCGCCAGCCTTGAAGTGCGAGATGATTTGGCGCTTTGATGTTCCAATAAGCCTCGAGCCAAAGTCAGTGATGACTCGAACCAACGTTGACGGCTGAGCCCTGTGGACCACCGTATTAAACTAGGCATGAAGTTAGTTTTCAAGCGACGTGGCGGAAACCGACTTGGACGACAGGAAAAAGTCTCGTTGCATGAGTTCCTTTACTCACTACAAAGGCAAAGTGATACTCTGAACCAAGCAAACACCGCTCGTGATGATCTCTCACCACTTGCCGCACTACTTGTGGTTCAGTTCTGTCAATCAGCTGCGCCAGCGCGACATATTGTGCCGACGTAGATGCTTGCGTCCCGTTGACTGGTGGAGCTGCGAAGCCGAGAATTTGCCCTGAAGGCTGCGTGGAAGGGGACGCAAAGCTGTTAAAAGGCAGTCGGGAAGTTTGCGGCACTGTTGATAATGGCATCCGGCGAGAACTCTGCGCTTCTTGATACGTCTTTGCCGCAGGGTCATAAGTCTGTCCTTGGGCAGATGGGCTGGTGGCAGCAGGTGCCGTGAGCATGGCTGTTGTCACCGGCTTCGCATACGCCGTTGATGAGTTTTGAACTGGTGCAGGCGGCGGATGTGCCAGTTGAGACGATGGACCAGGCTGTGGAGCGTTTTGATCCGAGGGGGAGTTTCGCCTGCTTGCTCCCGGCGAAGGCAAAGCGCCTGCCGATGATGCGCTTGACATCACGACGGGCGAGGCCGGCCCAGTCATAGGATGGTCCTCCATCCCGAGATAAGACGTCACAAGCGGCGTATAGCTTGATGTTTCATGTGTTGTCCGCCAGGCGATGCTTGGGACTAAATATCCATTTGTTAGATAGATGACTGTGGCGGTGCCTAATTGTGCCTGAGTTCCGTGAGGGTCCACTCCGGGCAGCTGTGACATAATATATATAAACAATAACGATTGAACAGAGAGGAGAGCGATACCCACAAAAACTACCTGGGTACTTAATATATAAATCATCACGTTCGGCAACGTACCTATCAAGAAGCACTCGTCGTTTGGCCAAGCAGGGAGTTCCAATAAAAAGGTCGATGTGCCAATGTTGAAGCCCCTCCGCAATTTCTCCGCGAACACCGTGCCCAAGTAAGCCGCTCGACTGACGAAGGCGCGTCGAAGTCGTTAGGCACGTCGCACTAACAACAGCCGGACACCTTTATCCGGACTGCACGGATCAATAGAGAAAAAAAAGAAAGTATTCACTAGAAGTTAGAGGAGGGTCCTCTCTCATTAATTTCGTTCCAAGCAGCTGAACGCACAACGAGAGAGGGGGAAACACGGGGAGAAGGCAGTAAGTTGGCGACCGACGGGGGGCCTGCCAGGGAAGAGAGCGCCAAGGAAGAGAGCTATTGCTGCCTCGTATCCAAGGCCGCCCAGCGAAATTTTGAAGCGGGGGTGATTGTGTACTAGTAGCTAGAAAATCTGAGAACCTGCCTACTTAGGCACGGAGCAGAAGAATTGAACTGATTGGCTGCAAGGGCACCCAGTCCTTAATAAGCGAGCGCCCTAGTATTCTTCATGTTCAGCTGACTAGGGACCCTAACCTATTCATAAATAAATTGATCCACCACCTTTGGCTTTTCGCACGCAGGACGGAGTGCACTGCAGTGGCCCAGTGGCCATGGATGCCCGAGCCCGAGTCTAGATACGATTTGTTGCAGCCTAGCATACGGAGTAAGCTCTGGGCCCAATTAGGATAAGATGCCCAAAAGTCGGGTTCATCTTTTTTTTGGGCCTCAATCCTCAACCCCTGCCAGTGGCAAACGCCGCCAAGAAAAGGGTGGGGATGCTACCCTGGGCTGTTCCACAGCGATAGCATGCTGCTTTACAGAGCACTGTACGGAGTATGTCCAAGTAGATATAACATCAATTTATATAGAGCTGGGCATAACATGCGGCTGGGATCGCTTACGACCTGTATGTGGTAAGTTGTTTCTTTCTGCTTGTGATTTCTTGGTGCAAAACACACCTCGTACGACACTGCAGTACGTATTACAAGCCCCGATGTGTTATTCTTATTACATGTTATGGTCTGGACTAGACAGCCTGATACCGAGCGGGACAATAGACATGGCCTACCTCTTGGTTGACTAGGTACCTGTACAGTGTCAATTGAGCGAGCAAACGACAGCCTGTTCATTACGTGCCCTTCTCGGGGGTCCCGCTGCGGCTGGCACCCGCGGTATAGCCTAATAGGGCCAGTCCATCACATTATAATTGTTATATTTTCATTAAAAGCTTTTTTGTTAGAGCGTTCTTTAGGTTTAATACGAGGCTTTATCTAGTCAAGGATAGCAAAGACTAAAGTTAATATACTACGCTTATACCTAATAAGGAAGAAAAGAGTAAGATTACCCGAAATATTAGGTAACAGCAACTATACTTTTCTTGTTGGCGGAAAATCGCAAGGTCAACTGCACCAACGCAAAAGTGGAACGCGCTCCCAACGATTGGAGACGCAAATTGACCTTATATTACTGCGCAATTACACACACAGCGCATGCACCCCTATTTTTCGGCTGACATTTCTTGTGAGGGCAAACGAATCTTAGTACTTAGAGCGATTAGGTAGGGAATTAGAAAAAGAACTTAACTCTAAAGTACCTATAATAAGACTAAAACTTAGAATTTATTAATATTTATGCGAGCCTTTTATACCTTATACGCTAAGGGTCTAGCCCTTTATCGCGCCAGATTATCACGTGACTATAGTCGCAAGCTCTATTTCAGCGTAGCGCCTATTTCGTGCTAAATTATGCGCTGAATACATAAAGATTGACCACAATTTGGGATTCACACCCTCGGCCCGCACTGGGCACCCGCCTACGCTCCTCTGTCTTCATTATTCATTTATTCATTTACTATGTGTACCGGCAAGTGGATTGACTAGTCCTGTCGTGGCTCGTGAGTCATGGGCAGTAGTGGAGATGCTCTTGCGTCGGCGTCGTGTGAGCTACGTAGATAACTCGAGTGCGGCATGATGGTGTGTGCTCCACGTCCACTATGGGGTTTCATAAATGCCCCCTTGTATGGAGCAACTGCTGTGCCATTAACCTCACAAGACCCTACTGGCCAATAAATTGCACCAAGACCCGTAGTAGAACATGCGGCGTGTACAGCCTGAATCATACTCAAGTAGTTAGTAACTCCCCCAAAATCTGCAAGGCAACTAGGCTGTAGAGAATGCCCACGCATTCGGCCAATCTCTATCCAGTCATTACATTACACATTGCAACTCCATGCTCCGAAACGCCGTGCACCCAGCCAGAAATCCCAGCATTACCATTTCCATTCCCCTTGCCCGTTTGCATCCATGCCTCACAACTACTCCGTGCCGAGGGCCTCTCCAGGGGCCTCTCCCGAGGGGCATTTGCATCATTGTTTTCCGACTTCTCAGCGCCACTCACCAATGCATGCTAGCATCAATCTCTTGTAGTCGCCAGATACGTCTCCGTCTATGCGACTGGCCAGGCTTCGGCGGTAGCGTTGTTGATATGCCGCCTTGACGTTGGATAGCATCGTGTGGTCCCAGTGGAATCGCACAACGCGGAGAACAAGCAAATGGTCTTTAGTTCCGGGGCCACTCATCGTCGCTTCCAAGAGCTCAGCGGCGTGCATGTATTTGTCGACAGCGTGGCCCAGCTGGTAGAGGAGCGCATCCTTCATGTGTCCAGAAAATTCCTGTTGACAGTCAGCCCCGTTTCGCAACGGTTCATCATCAACTAGTGGGCCCATGCATATCAAGACTTGGACTTACAGAGGCAATGACCTTGGCCAGGTCACGGTTGAACTTTTGCTTGTAGGTGTGGGCAATGGCACGAATCTGGTTGTCGTTGTGGCTGGTCAAGATTTGACAAACAAGAATTTCATCCGTGCCGGCTCTGCCTTCGGTCGCCTGGTAAAGTTGCATCACGGCTTCGTCGACCTTGCGGGGATCGACTGGCGCCGCATCTTCAGCTCTGTTGGCCGCAAGAACCATGAGGAAGTGCCTTTCGGTCTTCATGCTCAAATCACCCTTGACATCTTGCTCCAGGGACCTGCCGAACTGCTGGTGGTATGCGCTCTTGATAGCCTTGATGTCGGCATTGGATCTACTGAGGAGGACGTCGTTCAAGACTGCTTCCTTGGTCCCCGGGCCCTGCATCGCGTCTCTCAGCATATGGACATCGGCAAGCAGGGGCCCATACGCCAGCTGCACCAGCCCTTTCTCGAAATATCGACTCGTCTCGCTCTTGATGTCGTTGATGAGACTTCGTTTAAACGTTCGGTCAAAGGTTGTCCGAATAAGGTCGATCTGCAGTGGGTCCCTGTTGGACAAGATTCGTATCAAAGCCTTTTCGTCGGTGCCAAAACCCTTCATCGCAGCCCGCAATGCCTGCGCATCGGGATTGGCATCCCATTGAATGATCTGAGGAGCGCCATATCCCAACGACGGCGGGGTTGGCGGCACCGAATGGCCATATTGTTGATGATGGGGAGGAGGAGGAGGAGCGCCGTACTGGCCCTGGGGCGGCGCAGGCGAGTGATGGCCATAGGGCGATGGTGCAGGCGGAGGGGCATTGTAGTGCTGCGGCGGCGGCGGTTGACCGTACGGCGGCTGGTGATGAGGCGGATATTGGCCCGGCGGAGGGGGAGGCGGTTGCTGATAATATCCGCCTTGCTGGGCGGGAGGGTAATGGCCTTGTTGAGGGGGGTAATGACCTTGACCCTGCGGCGGAGGATACTGGCCGTAACCTGGCTGGGGCGGCGGTTCTGTCGAGTTGGCGTAATTTCAAACGTTGGTTAGTGCAAGCTGCTGAAGAAAGGGCATGGCTCACTCACGACCGTAGGGCTGACCATATCCGTGATAAGACATTTCGACAAAGAGATGCTGCCTATCAGTCTCGGTGGCGGAGGTCAGGGATGTCAGGTCGGCGTCCTTTGTTTGTTGCCGAGTCGATATGGTCACGCAAGCGACGGCAACAGTTGACAGAACCAACAGTCTGCCGTGATGGAGCGGGGGAAAGGGTCTTTTTTAACGTACGGGCAAACCCACTCCGACGCTGGTGAACTGAGATGTGTTCAGATGGAGCACCATCGTGCAGACTGACTCGCCCTTCGGTCAGCCTTGGGACGTTGAGCTTACACATGTGGTTACGTCTTATATCCACCGTGCCTTCCCTTTAGTCGTGATTTACCAAGGTATTGACGTTGACTGCCCAGACCTGTTGAAGCCCTCGCCGCCGGCCTCGGGCCTCCACGGGCGAATTGAGCCACTGGACAGTGGCGAAAAGCCGCCAAATCCTTGGGTGGCTGAGCCTGTGATCAAGTGCCTGCTTAAGTAGTCAGTCGGCTGGGCGAACCCCGCAGTAGTGCGTGAGCCTCGCATGATGACGTTTGATTTTCACCCAGGCGTGGGGCAAAACAAAACGGTCGATCGACGTGATGGTACGGAGTAACTCGAGTCCTTTTTCCCGTCCATAGAGTTCGGCATCAAACCGAGCATCTGACTGATCGGCCGCACCGCCGGTACAACAGGATGCGAGCATCGGCAAAGTTTCCGCAGTCGCCGAGTGAGCACACTGATGAATTGGCCAGGCGCCAATTCAAGCATCCCGCGAAGTCACATGCACCCCCACTCACTGGCAGCCAGTCACACGCGGGCTGCACAGCCACAAGGCTGCGGCGCACTGCCCTCAGCCACGATGAAATCAAATGGCAGGTTGTCTCGGCCTTGGACTCTTGGCCGACCTCTGGAGGTGCGAGGCCATCGATGCACGTCTGCGTTTCAATCTCGTCTGTTCTGATGGCAGCATGTGTACGGAGTATCAGGCACGGAGTGCTCTGTAAGATGCTCTTTTGTCGGCATTTCTCGGCACCTGGGACGGCAGCTAATTCAGGAGACAGGGCTCGGGGCCACAAAGTCAGGCACTTGGCATTCAACAAAGGCAGCTACGCCGTACCCCGAAACATACTCCCTCCGTCGGAGCACTCTGCATCTACCATCTACGCGACACGCAGGAGCGTCAAGGGCACGGAAATGGCCAATATGTCTCGGGACGATCCAGCCCTGTGTCTTGCAACAAAGGTGAGGGAGGGCACACGTCTCGTCTAGTGTGCGGTGAAATGTGAAAACAAAGGGTCGTCTGGCGGGAAACAGCGCGGTTGGTGGGGTGGCTGGCGGGTGCTGCCGAACCAACCAGGCGCGGGCCACGAGGAACCGCAGCGCACCAAGCAAGTACGTACCTACGTACTTTAGTCAGGGGTTGTAATCCGTCAACTGGCCCGGGTCTGGTCTGTACGGACCGTTGGCCACTGAACGGTCCGACTCACAGCACTCCGCGGAGGGCAGGCCAGCATCGGAAGCTCCATTACCCCAGCAACTCGGTGGCCGTCCACATGACGCTCGGCTTCGGCGAGACGTTCGTCTACCTCAATCTCCTGTACTACGTGAGGTAAGAATCCCCTTCCCACAGCGGTAGCGGTCGACGGGGCTCCCAACTTGCCGCCGCCGCCCCTGCTTACGCCTTGTCAGCACCCTCATGCTTCACCGCGAGTACTTCCCCTTCCTGCCGACCCCGGAGTCGGAGCCACGGGGTCCAGTCGACCAGCCCATGCTGGGGGCGCCCGCCCCCGAGGGCTGGTGGGACGACAGCTCCCGACTCCTCTTCGGCGCGGCAGAGCACATCGCCGCCATTCTACACGAGGCCTCCGAGTGTGGCGTGCATCTCATGACGCCCTTTGCCGGGTTCTGCGCATTCTCAGCCGGCTACCTCAACCTCTACGTGGCGAAATACCCCCGAATGAACCTGGGCCGCAGCCCGCGAGCAAGCGACTGTCTCAAAATGTGTCTCGACTACCTGGAAAAGTTTCGACTTGTCTGGAAAATCGCCGACGGATGGGTAAGCCGCCCGCAAGCATGACACGACCGTGGCCACCGTTGCGCTAACATTGAGAGGGCGGCACGCGCAAGATCAAAACGATACACCATGCATCCGTGCTCTACGAGCGAGCAACCGAGGACCGGACACGATACCAGGGGCGCACACGAGCAGACTTTGATACTCTACACCAGTCTGTCCACGAGTTCCGTGTCGTGGATAGATCCGACGCGCATACTCGGGAGATTCGGGGCGCGGAGCGGCCCTCGGCGCAGGCGACTTGGCCGGTTCAAGGGCACGAGCACGAGCACGAGCACGAGCACGAGCTCGACACTAATACCTTGTTGAACCAGCTTTTCGCGGAAGTCAGCAATAACCTCGACGAGCAGGGGGCCTGGTCTCAATGGTGGCCGGCGATTGATCAGGTGGATCTTTAATGAGCTGCGTAATTACATCCGGGGTTTTTTTTTTCGTTGAAGCTTCCAATGAATGAGTGACGACCTTTGATTTTTTTGATTTTTTTTTTAAAAAGGGCTGTAATATCTGGTTTTCTATACATGTCCTATTTTTATTTCCCGGTCTAGAAAAACAGTCAACAGATAATGCACCTCTTCATATGGCTCCCCTCCCGTCACCGCCAACAAATGCATACCTGTCGCGTCAACCATTCGCCGTTTCTCCTTCCAATCACGCCTTTGCAAAGACCTTTCTCGAGTTCATCAGGCGAACAGCAAGCATAAAGAGCATGCCGACAAAAGGCGCCACAACCACGCCAAGAGGACGTTTTTTGAAGCAGCTAAAAAGGCACGTAAATGGCGTCTGGATTCTGTACTAGATCTACTAGAAATTTGGGACGAGAAGGGTGTACATTATAGGCGAAGAGGTTAATAGCGTTATTAGGTTGAAAATTGGCCCGCCTTGGTGTCCGGCCCGCCTTGCTGTCGAGCACCACCTTTGGTGGTGAGGGCTTTTGCTAGCCGAACCACATAAAGTGGGGCGGGCACGATTAATCTGCCAGCGCTGTCCCGGCGTGAGTCCATGACCCAGTGCGTGGCGGCCCGTACGTCGAGCTCCGTACCCCCGCCGAGGCTCCAGGCTACCCCTGACTCAGAAAATCCACCGGTTGGTTCCCTGGCCAGCCTGGGCCATCACCAACCACCACATTTCACCAGCCACCTTGGATTCTCGAGCCATGCAACGGGCGCACCGATAGCCAGCATAGCATGTCAAAATCATCGCGTCCCGGGCGCTGTACTCCGTACTTATTACGAGTTCGGAGCCGCACCAGTGGTGGCATTTTGTCGTGACCATTTTGCATTCTTGCTCGACCGCGCTAAACACCAACCAAGACCGTCCTTCCATCGACACATTCCACTCTTGTTGTCCTCACGATTCCCTCGGAGGCCATCTGAAACATCGCCGCACCCATAACCGCACCCACATAACTACGGCTGGCGCAGTTTCCCGAGGGACAGCTTCTGTCAGCATGCGTGGGCCCGTTGCTCTCGTCACTGTTCTCTCAGCACTCGCTACGCTTGCCTCTGCACTCCCGCCTCTGGACAGGGTGCCCCGAGCAGCTCCGACTACTCGCGTCAAGCCCAAGTATTCCGTTGTACCTCTTGAGCCTAGTGATGATGATCCACAGAGCGGCAACGGCGGTGCTGGCGGAAACGGTGGTGATGGTCAGGGTAACCCCACGACAGTCACGAAAACCGGTCAGCACGTTGCCGTCACGCATCCGGCTTCTACCAGCATCTCAATAATTCCCATGGCGGGCAATCCAAAAGTCACAGTCACCGTTACTGCTGAAGTAACCACCACCGTTGCGACGACCACCTCGGTTGCTGATCCCACGACGACGACGACCCCCGTCGTGACGCCTACAACGACAACGACATCGACACCGACAGCGTCGGTCTCGGCTCTCACAACGACGGCCTCGGTGACTACTCATACGACGACAGCCTCGGTCACTTCCTCGACCTCTAGAGTAGATGCGCCCACAACGTCCCCTAGTTTCGCAACGTCTAAATCCCTGATTCCAACCTCCTCTACAAACATGGGCAACTCGATGCCCCCTGCGACGCCGCCCGCGCCAAAGCCAACAAAAACCCCGTCTGCTCCTCACTCCAATCACACAATCACCACATCGGCTTCATCCGCAGAGACCACCAACGCAGCCGCACGTACAACAACTCCTCCTGGAACCGGCAGTGGCCCAATATCGTCCATGAGCCTTCCTGTGCCCATGGCGACTAATCATACCGGGATTCCCACCACGTCGAGCACCGTCTCTCTTCCGCCGTCGGCCTCGTCAACCTCGACAGAGACTCACGACGACGGGCAGTGGCACACCATATACCAGCCTTGGAATAGCACCGTGACCCGCCGATTCCGGCGTCTATGAGATTACTTCACTAATAATTATTGATGGCTCACATGTACAAACTCACCGCATCGCTGACATGTGTTGAAACTCAATGCATGAACAACGGTGTTCAAAAAGGGAAGGGTAGATCAGCACTGTGCAGCAAGCGTGTAAAATACGAAAGGGGGGGGCGTCAAAAAGTTGCACCGCATAATATCTTACAGCAGCACATGATTTTCGGTATTTGGAGTTGGGGATACATATAAGTCACTGCAGCACGCGCGGGCATATAATCGAAATTTGGCCGTGGCGAATCGCGATGCGCAAGGCGTGGGAACGTGCCACCGTTTTACGAAGTACATGTCGATAGACGTGAATGATGAACATTACAAAGATGAAGATGACAGTGACAATGTTTGATGATGATGACGATGATGATGGCTTTTTTCCTCAGGAAAAAGCAGGTGCCATACTTGCCAGGATACGGAGCACGTGTGCCCGTCACATAGTACGCACATGAGGCCTCACTTTTCGGCAACAATACCAGTCACGTTGGATTAAGCACTCCCCAGCAAGCAAGCAACAATACCACGCCGCTGAACAATATACCAAGCCGTGCAAAAAAAAAAAAGAGGGAGACCACCATCTCGGATGCGTCAACAAGAACCGGCCGGCAAGTGTCGACGACACGGCGCGCAGATTGTGATTTTTAAACGCGACTACCTACCGGGACCAGAGACCAGAGACGTCGCGTCGCAGCAGGGAAGTACGGCCGTTGCGAGCGGATGAACGACTGAAATCGACCGAAAAAAGCGGCAAAGAAGAAAAACATATCGAGTTCCACGCTCCCCCTTGGGAACAAACGATTTTGGCTGGGCGGAATCGACATGTGGAACCCGGATACGTACCTCGCCGGCCTCAATGGCACGGCTGTCACGATACAAGCTTCGCCGCTGGCTGAGCAGGAAACGATTGTCGTGGTGGCAGTTTTGGTGACTTGCGTGTTGTCTCTGGCCGTGGCGGTGGTGGCGTGTCTTGTCCTGCGGAGACTCTGGCGTGTCGAGAGGGCCGAGAAAAAGGGAGGAGGTGCTGCTTGAAGGATTCAAGGGGGAAGCTGGAGGATGGAGGATGAAGGACGATGGATGATGGGTAACAACGGATGAGGATGATGTGGGAGGATGGAGGATGGAGGATGGCAAGGCGGCCATGTGGGCGCTGGAGACGGGGTCGGGCACAGTCATGTCTCTTTTGCTTGGCGAGCGCGGGTGCAGTACGCTGGTACGAGAGCAAGCTACATGACGCGTGGGCGATGATGGAGCCGTCGTGGTCGCGGAGATTGACGTTGATATCACGACGGCAGCATAAGGCGTCTCCCGCCTGGGCTTCGTTTCATGTGACGCGTCTCTGGGTGCGTTTCCTTGGCGGGGTGTCTACGTGGTGATTATGAATGCTGTGCGGGAGTCGAGTTGAAAGATGAAAATAAAAACAAAAATGGAAATGGAAATGGAAATGGAAATGGGAAAAATATATTAACAAAGATATAAAGTCCACATTCGCCATTTTCGTGCGTGGATGGAAACCCGCCATCTTCAACGCCAGTCGTCTCGCCCGCACCGATTCACAGTCGCCAGAGAACACCCGGAGCGCATCTCGGATCTCCAGCCCGATCTGACGCTGTGATTGTCCCGTCGGGCTCAAGCCCAAGCCCAAGCCCAAGCCCAAGCCCAAGCCCAAGCCCAATAGTTACCGGTACCCAACCACCAGGGGACAACCATTCCGCACACCGCTTCGATCGGGTGGGCTCGCGACTTGATCCCGCCAATGTGGTGTATACACGTCGGCGGCGGACCAAGCCGGGCAGCAGTTCGGTCCCAAGAAGAGAGAACAAACAAGATGACAAGGAAAGAGACAGAAAACAATGCTATGCCAGGCCACCGTTGTGGACAGGATAAATCTCACCACGTCCCGATTCCAGAAATCGAAATGCTACTTTTGACATGCAGTTTGTTGCCTGGTAAATTTTTGGCTTTTCCCCGCAAGAAATAAACGAGAAATCCAATGTCAGAGCCTTGTCCCACACCTGGGTCCTTGGTTTCAGCGTCACTTATTATTGTTATTACTGCTTCGCATTCAACAAGTTTCTTTTCTTCCGAATCGAGCCTGACGCCAACTCTTGGAGAGTGTCCAAATACCGAGCACCGCGTACCGAGTGCGTGATGGCTTATCATCAGCTGCGGCCAAATTTCCTGCGAATGGCAATTGCACTTATTCTTCTATCATCAGTCTCAGTTCATACGTACGCCCAAACGACAAACGTGGCTCGGGATATTTTGTTCAGGCGCTCCCAGGCCGTTGGCTCGTTGTGTTCGGATGAAGGCCAATGGAATTGCATGACCAACTCGTTTCAACGATGCGCCAGTGGTCGCTGGAGTGCCGCCATGAACTGCGCTGCCGGGACGGTTTGTTCTCCACCCGGATTGACTATCGAATTCAGGGTCCAGCATGATGGAACCGTGGATGGCTCCGGGGGAAGAAGTGCTCCGAGTGCCGTCGGTCGACCTGCGTCAAGTCGAGTTGCTTGGGCATTGACAGGCGGTATGACTCTGTGGGCAATGCTATGAGTTCCTTCTTTCATCGAAATGTGCTGCTCACAGTGAGGCGGCATCACTAAATGGCCGGTATGACAATGTTGTTCGAGAACCATCGAACTTGACGAACTAGCGGAACACCTGAGTTTCCAAAAGATATTTGTGTCACCCTGAATGACAGGTGGGCAGACGGGGAGTCAGTTGTCCGACTTGCGAGGATACTTGTACGGCCTAATCAGGAAGCTCAACGGCAATTGATCGTGCGACAGGATTGTCAAAGCAGAAGGGAATGACCATGTAATCTGACGGGGTAAGTTACGTTAGTTCGAGGTCCTGTCCTGTCCTCGCAGTGAATCTGGTCCGATCAGAGTGCCAATGATTGCAAAACACACAGAGCAATTCGACCCATTGCGGGGTAGTAAAAGTCTTCAAGCATTTGAACCCGCCAGGGCTCCGTATTCCACACGTTCTCCTCATCGTGTACCGAGTGCTGCGGAGCGGCAACCGGGTTCCTGGCTTCAATGTTGTCGTTGTCATGCGGAACTGCTTTGTTCGGACGAATGAGCATGGTGGAGCTGGCCAGGGCTCTGCGCCGGGGCCTGAAACAGGGGCCAGGCCAAGTCCGTCTGTCCTCCGTACCTGACGATCAATCATGAAGCCTTTGGCCCAAGCAAGAACCCCGTACATGCATGTATGTTTGCTTGGCGGGGGTGATGGATGGCGCTGGCGTTGCGTTGGCGTTGGCGTTGGTGTTGGCAACAAAGAAGAAACCTCGGAAGACTTGTGCTTTTCCACGTGTGAGTAGCAAAGCAATGAGCACAGACCGCTTAATCATAGTGCCAAACAGCTCGAGGTGGTGGAGATGCTGCAACTTCGAAGCGTCAGGGCGACGCACAACACCTTGAGCCGGCAGCAGAAAAGACTTTCCATCAACGTGCTCGTGCGCACGGAGTGGTTGTTCTGCCAGCCTGTCCAAGTAGCAGGCACTGCTGATATCATCATATCCATGAACGGGACACTGCCGGGACGGGGTGCTTTGAGAGGCTTGACATTCAGCCCAGGCTGTGGTTGAGTCTTCCACGTCGCCTCATGAGGTTCTGAGTATCGACTGATGGACGGTGGCCACGCCCGCATCTCCCAAATCAATGGCCCAAGGTTCTGAAACCAGCATGGAACAGGGCGCCAGCCGCGGTGGACACAGGACGCCGAGTAGCCTATGGTCCAGATTGTTTGTCGCTCGACCAAACATTCAGTACGTGGCTTCGCGGACTGTGGATGCAAAGGCATGGCCAATGGCTCCAGTTGAATAAAGTCCGGCGGCAAGGCAACTGTGGGGGTTGGCCCCTTTTGCTGGTACTGGATATTACAGTTAGTCGCCGGGAGACCGTGGAGTAGCGAGCCAGACGCGGCACGGTGTCCTCTATAATGCAGACGGAAATACTTTATAAACGGGGACAAGTCGTTGGTGGTTGCAAAGCTTGTTGGCCTTGAAATTTTGACACATTTTCTCGTTGACTCTGCCAACTCGATGGGCTCGGTCTCGGGATTTGCAGACTTCGAAGGCCAAAGGGAAGGAAGGAACCGCCCCCCCGGTGGTACGTGCCGCTGAGCAGATCTTGCCCTCACAACCGCAGGCTTTCTTTCACTTTCAGCCGTCAGTATTCAATTCTTGACTTGGAACGATTTGAGGCGTCTTTTCGGCCGAAATCGAATCAAAGCAGCAGCTCGGTTGCCTGCCACGCTGATGGCTGAGCAGCATCTGGACGAGCCATCAACATTGCCAACATCCGGCCACCCTAGCCCTGGCCAACGCGGGCGGAAGCCTTCACCGAGCAACCATACCACATGATATTTGGTGGCCCATGCAGCCGCTTAGCGCATGGCAACAATTCGAAAGAGTCAACAGTAGCCACCCTGCCCACCACCTGAGCGACCCCGGAGCACGAGGCAGCTTATACTACATATAGGGCGCGTTGGAACGAAGCTGCCCTCGGCTTCTGACAGGAAGGACAGTACGGACGGACTGGAGCTCAAGCGCTTCAGAGCCAGTCCAAGCCAAGCCGACGGGCCACTCTTTGGCCCTTGGCTCATCCTCCACGTCCAATACAGCAATACAGCCAGCCAGACTCGACGTTTTTGGCGGCTTCTCACAGGTCTGGGGCGCTTGAAGTTGGCCAGGAGCCGCGCCGGCTCCACCAAGTCACCCAAGCTCCACCTCGACCTCCTCCTGTTGTCTCACGTTCAGCAGAATGTGGGACCGCCTGCGATCCTCGTCCTCGTCGTCCGCCATCACAGCCCCAGACCACCCTTTCCAGGAACGGCATCTCGGTGGCGGCGTACACAAGCACTCCGTCGGTCAAAAGAGCGCGCGAGTCGACTTTCTCGAGCCACTCGACGCCTTGGGGATTGCTCACAATTCAGACAGCCCTCATCGATTTGCTATACAGCGAGGCAAGGTCGTGCCCCGATACCACAACGTTGACATGTAAGCGCGCGCACCTTCTTTTTCAACCGCCCCCGGTATTTCTTGCATCATGTGCCCGGGCGTGGCGCGCGCGTCTTTAGCCCACTCTTTGGTCCTGGTGTGGCTATTTTAAGTCGCACAGCTATTCCGTCTTTGCCGTCTGAGGCGGACTTGTCCTGAGCCACTCGTTCATTGTTTGTTCAAGTGAACAACATGCCTCAAAGGTCAATAGCTATTTGCTCAAGGCTGCTTGCGCTCTGCCTATTGGACATGAAAACGCCTGCTCACTGCGGCTATAGATGGCCCAGCCATGCACGATATGTCCCAGATGAATCTCAACCTTCTAGATATCTAACTTGTGCTATTACTCGGTCCTAGTGTTTTGCCATCGCAAAACGGGCTTGGATTCGCGTATCCAGATGTCGTGCCGCCTCGGCGAAACTCTCGAAGAAGACAGCGGCAACAAGAACAAGAACAACAACAACAGCAGCAACAACAACCATCGCATCTTCAAACCAACCCTTCCTGGCGCCCTGTCTCCTCAGTCTACGGCGATAGTGACGGAGAATCGTCGACAATTGCACCACAGTACAAACTGGAGACTTCAAATAACCTAGGCGGCTCTGCCGCTGACCAAATATCGCCTCCCAGCTCGCCGGACGTTTATGTTACGCAAGACCGGTACGTTCGTTGTATATGCCGGGATGAGGGGTGGATGCGGGGAGCTTGACACAATCCTGACTTTGGAATCAGGTTTACAGCTGAAGATGTATCACCTATTGATGACGACTCGGATGACATCCAGCGGGTGGCATTTCATGTGAAAAGCCGTGATGCCCGCAGCCCTCCTTCTCAACAGCAAGGGTCTGGCATAGAACAACAAAGTCTGCCTTCACGGAGTGATGACGCAGCTTCAGTGAGTCAGTCACGACAACTTCAAGCACCTGGCGAAAAAGCATGGAACGAGCGGGTTCACACCGGACGAGCACTCACCCCTCCGGATGGTGACGCACGCCATCACACCCGGCGGCCAGTCTTGGCTTCTGATTCAACCACGCCTCTTGCCTCCCCCGAAAAAAAGAATATTAATATCCCCTCGCCCCCGCATGGCTTGGGAATGCGCCTCCCTACCAAAGATGACCGGCAACCGCTCGACAATCGCCCGCCTTGGAATGGAGCCAGTGGCCGGTCTGTGATGGTCGAGCCTGTTCATCACGACTTCAATGCGGTGCCATTAGGGGTTCCGCGAAAGAGCAGCAAACGATCTGGCCGCAGTGGGAGACCACTGGCAGCGGGCGCAGGATCTGGGATGCCCGAGTCTTCTGGTGCTGGCAGCGCGATGAGGAAGTTTTTCCCCCTGACCGCTAAGCATAAAAGCAGAAAGTCCATCTCATCGCCGATCCAAGCGCCTATCGAAGGACAACTGCAGGTTCTGACTGCAGAGAATTCGTACCCAAGCCCTCCCCATACCGATTTGCCAACGCCCGAGCCTAGGGCTCGTCAGGCCATCCAGCCTATTCGGCATAACCAAGCTCTCGCCTCACATCCACCGGAGCCTCTTCCCGCTTCCATAAATGCATGCAGGAGAAAGCCGCCGCCTCCATCAAGCCAGGCAATTCGTGCTTTGAGTTCCAAAGCTTCAGAGGGTGCGGGAGGTCTAGCCACCCCGGTCCTCCCAGCTCATGATCGTTCACATGACACATGGGTGCCACCCCCTTCTCGTTTCAGCGTTACCACCTATGCAACGTCGAACCCGGGCACCCCCCGACAATCCGCCGAAGAAGACGTACCGCCACTTCCAAATGTGCCACTGGCTGCCAGCTCTATGAATAGTAGCAGGCCAGCGGCTGGCGGCGGAAGCAAGCCAACTGGCCCTGAGGAGCCCTCGGTTATTTCCACGTGGAGCCCGAACACGGCCGCGGGATCGTCTCAGAGTCGCCAAGGTAGTTATGATGCGACGGGTCAACGTCGTCGGTTCAGCAGCGACACGAGATCGTCAGATCGTCGGGCATCGTCGTTGTCAATGTCCAAGCCTCTCCCCCCTGCGCCACCCGAGCTTTCGCTGGCTGACGATCCGGTCTCGCAACTGAATGCTCAGCTTAACAGTCTCTCTCACCGCCGCATCAACATTGAGAAGAGCATTAAACAGATGACGGAGCTGATGCCCCAAGACAATTTGCTGGCTAGCAATCAGGTTCTACGCAGACGCGAGGAAGAAAAGCAAAAAGTAGATGGGCTGCGGGAGGAATTGGCTGTGATCCAAAGCCAAGAGCATGAACTAGGCCTTCGATTGTTCCGTGCATATAGACGCCAAGACAAGAACTCTGAATATGAACCCACGAAGCTATGGGTGCGAAGGGCGGCAGGATGAAGGTGGACGCAGTATTTCCCCCGGGACGTGGGATGGGTGGTTTTTTTTATACACCACCAACGTCTGGTCATGCAGAGAGCTGGTTTTTCTTCTCTTCTCTTCTCTTTTGTGCTGACCCAGGAGGTTTTCATTGTATTTGTACAAGATGTATTCTACGACGACGCGGTTGTTGATGACCACGATATGAAAAGGGCCCAATGTGACATCCTGATTCTTCTGGTGTACCGGCGTGCTTGTAGCAGTCTCGTCCACTGACTAGCATGGCCCTGGCTTGCGGTCAGACGATGGCTAATTGAATTGTGTAACTCGACATTTTGCCCCTGCCGATGATGTGTATCCTGTGCATGTATTGACTCTAGGCAAGGTCGTCTCTATGTGAATAAATGTTGCGCCAGGGGATGAGAACGAGCCTCGCACAAATACAACTCCTGTGAGGGGAGGGAGCGAAGAGAGAATAGCTGCCGCTGCGCTGCCATTGCAGGCCGCAGTTTCAGGCTGCGACTTTGCAAACTCGGTCGACGACGCAGGTTGCCTTGCTCTTGTGCGAACGCTGGGAACTTGAGGGCGACGACGGGGCACTCGGAGACGCGGGCTGGGCTGGGCGGTCGAGTCGTTGGTTTGAGCTTTCCGCCGGCCCATCGTCAGCGCCGGACATGGGAGTGCCACGTCTCAATCAGAGGATGATGCACGAAATGTCAGGCGTTCATGCTAGGTCCGGCCGGTGAAGTTGGGGAATTCGTCTGGCCGTAGCGCTGCTCCTGCAGGGCCACGCACGGCGTCTTTGGTGTGTCTGCGAGGCCCATTTTCTGCTGGTGCGGCCTGTGTTTTCCCCCCCTCCATGGCTCCCGGACGATGCTGAAGTACGGAGTGGGCTGTGGCTCTGGGAGGGCTTGAACTTGAGTCGAGCCCGGGGCGTCGGAGGCGAGGAGGACGGGGGTCTGTATCGGCCCTGCCGCGCTTGTTGTCGACAGGGCGTGATTGAGATACCTGGGACGAAGGGGACGAAGATGACCAGCTGTCTGTGCTTTGTTTTTGCTGTCGACGGATGGGCTCCGGGCAGAGGGAGGAGAGAAGACAGCCGGCGCGAGGGCGAAACCAAACTTCAGACGTGTCACTGCCGACAAGTCGTGTCGCGGGTTTCCCGGTGCCCCGGGTCGGGATGCCGGAGGCAGAGATGGGCTTCGTTTTCGAGACCTTCTCTCAAACACTGTGATTTGGCTCGTGTTTCGGTTGGCCATGGTCCATCATCATCATCCATGTAGGCACGAGGATGCGCACGTATAAAAAGAGTCGTCGTCTCGAGACTTCACAAAGAAGCCCGACGTCAACCATCGTCACAAGCGGCTCAGACACACTCATCATTTTCACATCTGCACAAACATCTTAGCACAGTCCCCACCGCCTGCAGTTTCTACAACTAGCCGCTACATCACCCAACACTATGAAGGTCTCGGCTGCTTTCGTCATCACTCTCTTCACCGGCGCGCTGGCCACGCCCTTTACCGTTGCCGACTCCGACTCCGAGGAACGCAACGTCGATATTTCCGCTGGAGACTTCCAGGATGCGCCAATCGCGAATGTTGTTGCGGCCAGAGAAATAGATGCTGCCGTCACGCTCGAGGACCGTGAGGTCGCCACCGCGGGCGAAGATGAAGAAGAAGAGGTCGAGATAGTGGCACGATCCCCCAAAAAGGGGAAGAAGAAGGGGAAGAAGGGAGGGAAGAAGGCAACTGGAGCTAAGAAGAAGGCTCAGAACAACAATGCGGCTGGTGGTGGTAATGGGGCTGCGAAGAAGCAGAAGGCAACTGCTCAGAACAAGAACCAGAACAAGAACCAGAACCAGAACCAGAACCAGGGGGCCGCCAATACGGCGGCAGCCCAGGCACCCAAAGTGACAAATGCGCTGGATGCCCCTGGTGTCGTCTAATTTAGAACATCTCGTTAGACTCTAATCAATGAATGCTGCGCATTAGTTAATTTCAGGCCTTGTTTCGTCCGCGTAGTTTCGTGGTTGACCGAGAGTTCAGCGCACCTTGTCGCCTAGATGCCTTGGACTCGTACAGCATACAAATAAGATGCTGCCAGAAGAAGAAGAAAAAACAAAAGGCAGTCGTCAAGTGCCATGTTTTGTTTTCCCTGCAATCAAGATCATAGGCGAGACAGCTTGGCAAACAACCGAGGTGGTCAAGCTGTACAGGCACCGGGTAATAGCGTGACCAAGATGGCAGACCGTGGTCTTCTACTGCCGGCATTCTGAGCTTTTTGGCGTCGGTCTTGTCCTGTGTCAACCCAGTCTCACTGCAGCTCAGTTTGTTGGACCGCAGTCGCTACAAGTCTCGCTTCATCGATGACGACGTACCGGAGCCACGATGGGAGATGCCTAGCCTCAGGCGTACGCGGAATAAGCTGCCGTTCGGAAGAGAACAGTGACTTGGTTGCAGCAGTGTCGAAGACATCCGATAGTTCCATCCAGCCGTTATCAAAGTCGAGCATATGGTCCGCGATGCTTGCCTTGGTCTCAAGAGGTTGTTCCTTACCTGTTCCAGTCGGCGGTGAACTACAGCGCCACGAATTCGCTCACAGAACACATGTGTAGTCGAATTCTCGAGCGTCTTTGGATAATGTACTGTCCTTCGATGATGTGGTCACTTCAAGCGGACAAGATTCGCAGCAGACTTGCCCATGGAAACCGGGCATCACAAGGGGCCATTTTTGCTTCAATGGGAGGGAGACTGCTCCAGCAGTCTCCACTGGCTCGGGACAGATGAATTTCTGACGCACTCGTCCAATTGCCGGAGAAGCAGCGAAAATGCCCGGCGGGCTTGAGGATGCGGCCGTGCCAAGGCGTTAATGAGGACGTGAAATCTCATCCATTGCCTCGTGGGCGAGGCCGCAATGTCATTCTATGCCTTATTCATGGGCTCGTGCTGCACACTCATTTCTTCGCTGTGCGGAATTATGAAAATTGTGTGCAGAGATTCTTTGCAGCAGAAACGTCGTGTCTCAGAATCCGTGCAAAGGACTCTGTCCAATGGCGCATACTCCGTCGTTCAAAGTTCACACAAATCGTCAATCAGCTCGAGGCCAACATTGACCAGCGCGTCACGTGTCTGTGCACGGGCCTTCGTTTTTTTTAAATGGAGTTGCGCGTTGGGTCGCGTCTCACGCGTACAAACGCGCTGCCTCTTCACGCCTCCCGTGGCGCGCGGCTGCGCAAGGGCAGTATTATGGGGTAGACCTCTGTTGCTTCTTTATTGCCCTTGCTACCGCTCGCCTTTACTCCCCTTCGACTGCCCAACTTCAAATCTCCCAAAATCTCAATATTCAGGCAGGAACGACCACTCACCAACCGCTCTGCAAAGCTATAGCTCGGAAGGCACTGTCTAGCACAATGCCTCGCTCTGCCTTGGGAAAGAGAAATCGCAACGATGGGGACTCCAGTAAGTGCAGAAGACAGCATACGACGAGGCAACTACGTCTTCTTCATGATTGGCTGACTGAGTGAGCAACAGTCGTGATTGCAACTCCCACCAAGAAGTTCCGTCACCTCGATGCATATGCCCTCTACAGGGATGACGAGGAGAACCAAGATCCGCAAAGCACCCCCGATGTCCACGATGCCATCCAGATCGAGGTGCAGGTGACCGAGGATGCTCCTCGGAAGAGACAAAGATCCGAATCTCAGACATCAGCCAGAAGGAACCCCGTCACGCCATCGACTCCACGACATCGAGATGTGTTGTCAGGCTATCCGACTACTCCTCGACATGCGGTCATGTCGGCGGGAAAACTTTTCAAACGCTTGACTCCAAACTCGCCTCTGTCGCCATCTACCATCCAGACCGTCTACCACTCTGCACGGCAACTGTTTGCCCGTGGGGCAGAGCCAGGGCTGCTCATCGGGAGGGAATCCGAACGACGAGAGCTGGCCAAGTTCCTCGACCGCTGCAGCTCCTCAACGCCCAGCGGCTGTCTCTACGTCAGTGGTGCGCCTGGAACAGGCAAAAGCGCCATGATCACAGAGATGACGCGGGGTTTTTCCAATCAGGACAGCGTCAAGAGTGTTTATATCAATTGCATGAGCATCAAGTCCTCCAAAGACTTGTACACAACCTTGCTCGCCGAGCTCGGAGAAGACGGCAACACATCGGAGACTGAGGCTATTTCAGCGCTTCAACTGCTGCTCTGCCCCAAAACAAAATCGTCCTCAGTCTACCTTGTCGTCCTGGATGAAATCGACCACATCCTGACCATGGGCCTTGACAGCCTTTACCGGGTGTTTGAGTGGTCTCTTCAAAAGTCATCCCGTCTCGCCCTGATTGGTATCGCAAACGCTCTGGATTTGACCGACCGCTTTCTGCCACGACTCAAGTCGAAGAATCTGAAGCCGGATCTACTCCCATTCTTGCCATACACTGCCGCTCAAGTCAAGAACATCATCACCACGAGGCTCAGGTCTCTTATGCCTGACGCTGGCAAAGAAGGTTATGTTCCCTTTATTCACCCAGCCGCCATCGAGCTGTGTTCCCGAAAAGTCGCCAGCCAGACGGGAGATCTCCGAAAGGCGTTTGAAATTTGTCGCCGTGCACTGGACTTGATTGAAAGCGAGACCAGATCGAATCATGAGGAAGAGGCTCGAGAAAAGCTGCTTCAAATGACGCCGTCCAAGCGACCCTTGGGCGAAAACGTGAATGGAGCCGCAGGGCTTGGGTCAGCGAGGAGTGTTGTACAGATCATGGCAAGATCTCTCAAGAGCTTGACGGCAGAGACTGCGCCTCGGGCTTCGATTGCACACCTGAACAAGGTCACCGCTGCCGCCTTTAGCAACGGCACAACTCAACGACTCAAGACGCTCAATCTGCAACAAAAAGTTGCTCTCTGTGCCCTGACAGCATATGAAAATAGGAGTCGAGCGTCGATGAGGGCGTCCAACACGCCAGCCACCCCGTCCAAGTCGCACACGTTGGCACCGACAATCAAGATGCTATTTGACACGTACTGTCAATTGTGCACCCGTGACTCCTTGCTGCACCCCCTTTCAGGCTCAGAGTTCCGAGAGGTTGTTGGTAGCTTAGAGACTCTGGGCCTCATTGCTGCGGTGGATGGCAAGAATGGCAGTTTCAATATGGCGCAGACGCCTAGCAAACGTGGTCGGAAGTCGGCAGTCGGCAGTGGAGACGAGAGGCGCATCGCCAGCTGTGCAGGAGAGAAAGAAATTGAGTCGGTGGCCGACGGGCCAGCCGCCGGAATCTTGAGGAATATTTTGTCTGGGGAGGCATTGGACTGAGGCATTGCATAGATGGGACTCGGCCGTCCTGGAGCATCCAGGCATTGTTTGCATAACTAGTGTGATCTGGGATTTGGCATTGGACTGTATATATACATGACACGATTCTGGCACAGGCGTATGGCGTACTTGTCGTCAAACATTGTGGTGTGGGGGGGGCATCAGATAAAGGAAGGCATTCATGGCATGGATAACGCAGGATATATGTTTTGAACAATTGCATAGGAGGATGACACCCAAGACGAGTCAAAATAGTAGTGATACCGTCCCATTGCTCTCTGCGACACGGGTGACCAACGGAGCAGTCAAAGCATTGCACAAGCCCACCGGGGCAGGGCAGGGACTGGGAGCGATTTCGTCGGAAATAGTGTGGACGACGCTGATGGAGCCTTGGCGGCTTGGATGCTGGTGCTGGCGAACCAAGCTTTTTCTTGGCTTCCCCACGGCTCTTGGCAGTCACTGGAGCGTCTGGGCGAATGCCAGCTTGACGTACGGAGTACAGAGTATTCTGACATGATATGCACGGCGGTGTGCAACGCCGGGCTAAGAGGGTGTGAATGCATGCCGTCTGGTTCGATGGGATGGTCGTTGCCGCCGTCGCCAGCGACGGTGACGTTGAAGGCACGTGGGGAGCGGCGAGTAGAGACTCGGGACTGGATAAAGACACGACTGGACTGGTGGAAACGAGCCGCGTTACATGGCCATCGTTGACGTGGTCGGCGAGTTGTCCGGCGAGCCATCGCAGACTGAAGTGAGAAACGAGAAACGAGAAACGAGGAGCGAGGAGCGAGGAGCGAAGCAGGACCGGGCCGCCGGCTCCTCCCTCCTCGCTCCGCCGGGTGTGGCTGGCATGCAGAACATTGAACGCAGCTGTACGGGGTACCGAGCCCGGTGCAGGCGTTGAGCCACGTCGAAACGCCAGGCTCCGAGGCCAATCAGTCGTGCTTGTCGACTTGATTGTTGATGGCTCGGGACGAGAGACGTCGACCGAGACGTCCCGGTGGGACCCAATCGGGCCTTGGGCCTTTCCTAGGCCCTGCCCCCACCCGAGCCGGGGACAGCAGCAGCAGCCGGGCAGGCCCCAGCCGTCGCCAAGCGCCGCCACTGCCTGGTCTAGTGCGTGCTGGGACCGGTGTCCGCCTGCCTGTCTGTCTGGTCGGTACGGAGTACATGCTACATGCTACACGCTACATGCTACATGCCACACGCTTGACATGCCGCGATTCCTCTGCCCTCTGTCCTGCCTCGACATCTGCCATAACAGCAGCGTCACAGCATCATCAAAACCTCGGCCGACCGAACCGAACCCAAGCGAGCCGCCCAGCTCTCTCGAGTGCCCGCGTCTGCGTCTGCATTCTGCCCGCCTCGCCCCGGGGCCTGGCCCGCCCTCGTCCAAAGTGCTCGCCCAATGCCGCCAGATCCCCCGCGGGACGGAGCCAACGGCCGTCTGTCGACTTCGTCGTCGCCGTCGCTTTCGCCGTCGCCGTCGTCCGTCGACATCGCCGCCGCTCCCCGAGCCTCTGGGGGCCGCGAAAACAGCGGCGGGACTGCCCCCGAGTCGTCTGCGTCCGCGCCGTCGCTCGTCAAGACGCCGTCGCCATGTGCTCCTCCGCGCCCGAGCCTGCTGTCGCGATTGAGCCTGCCCTTGCAGCTGCCCTTGCCCCTCCGCACCAGAAACCGCAACGTCGTCGACTTCCACATCCGCTGTGACGAGCCGCACAAGACGTATGCCGCCGGCGATTCCGTTCGCGGCGCCGTGGTTCTCGTCGTCGTCAAGCCTTTGCGCATCACCCACCTCGTCGTCTCGCTGCACGGCTTCGTCCGAGTCCTCAAGGACCCCACGTCCGTGGCCAAGGCGCAGAGCGTCACCACGCTGCCGCCGGCTGGAAGCTCGCGGCGCCCGCAATATCAGGGCAACGGATTGATCAGTCTGTTTCAAGACGAGCAGGTTCTCAGCGGCGAGGGCAGGGTAGAGCCGGGCAAATATGAGTTTGGCTTCGATTTGAAGTTTCCAGACAAGGGACTGCCTAGTAGCATTGACGTACGCCTTTTTTTTTCTTTTTTTCTTTTTTCCTTTTTCTTAATCCTCCGCATACACGTTTTTAAAAAATCTAAAAAGAATTTAAAAAAAAAAAGAAGAAGAGGAAGCTAATCAGAGACATCATTAGTTTGAACGGGGAACCATTTCATACTCCATTACTGCCACGTTAACGAGGCCCACAACCATCGCGCCTACATCAACCTGCGAGAGAAAGATTACTCTTATTCAGCAAATAGACGTCGGATTGCTTGCACCACCACGATCGAGAACCATTTTCCTAGAGCCCATCTCTAAACGGACGCGAAGAAAAAGGCCTGCCGTTCAGGAAAAGCAATCCGGGTCCGCTTCCGTCGAAATCAACGATGTTGCTTCCGAAGCCGACTCTTCCGTCGTCACCGAGGATTCTACCCGTGCCGACAACGCTCATAGCTCGCCCATCGAGACCCGTGGAGGATCTGTCCCGAGCGATATGCATAGCGAGATCAGCGGGGAGAGTGGCCGTAGCGTCAGCACAGCTAGTAGGGCCGAGTTCACGCAGCTATCACACGTGGGCTCGACGCTTACGTCTGCCGCCAAACAACAGGTCGTGGATGACAAGACCATTACAACGACGGTTGAGCTGCTCAAGGGTGGTTGCCTCCCGGGTGATACCGTCTCTGTGAGGGTCACGGTGCAACACATCAAGAGGGTCAAGAGCATGACAGGTGTCATTGCCACTTTGTTTCGGCAGGGAAGGATCGATACAAACCCGCCACCGTTATTAGTCGCCCAAGGCGTCCACTTGGCCAGGAGGCTTCATAAAGATGACCCATATCCAAAGTCACGAACCGGGCTGGGTGGGCTGTCGCTGTCGTCAAGCAGCTCCACGAGCGTCTTTCGCAAGGACTTGGACCAGAATGCCGCACCGCTCATCATCGACCCCGAAACGCTGCAGGCTTCTGTCACGGTCTCTGTGAGGGTCCCTGACGACGCTTTCCCAACAATCAGGGCCGTCCCAGGTGACATGATAAGCTTCAAATATCAAGTGGAGGTGATTGTTGACCTCGGGGGCAGACTGTCCAGTCAGCTAGGCGCTGGTGGTTCGAAATCAAGATTTGGCACGTCAAGTGGCAACAACACAGAGTCGAACCAAGCCTCGTTCGGCCCTCAGAGAGGCTCCAACATTGCAGACACATCGCAGGTCAGACGGGAGAGGGGCATCATATCATTGTCGTTTGAGACCGTGGTGGGGACTACTGACAGCTCGAAAGCGCGGCCAGCTACGAAGCCAGTCGCCAAAACAAGGACCATTCGAATTGCCGAGGCTGACGAGGACCAATCTATACAACCCGAGACCTCATGCCACATTAACCCGCAGCACCCGCTCAGCTCAATACTTGCCAATGGACAACCACACCTGTCATCGCCCAATACCCGACTCGACTACACTAGCCCTCCTCGACATCCTGCCCATGTCCAGCAGCAATCCCGGGCGGCCGCGGCAGGGTCATCACGAGACATCCAAGTAAACGGCCACAACCCACTGGCCGCTCCGTCGTATATCCCGCCACCCCAGATACCTGACCAGACCAGCATGACGGAGAAGGATAGAATACGACAAGCCGAAACGAGATTACTACCGAGTCAACCACCAGCAGTCCCGTCGGCACCGGGCGAAGACGACGATATTTACGATGCAGAAGACACGCCTCGTGCGCCGTCCTCTGGTCCTTTAGTTCCAACCGCGGATGAAGCCGAAGCAGCTCCCTCGGCGCCCACAGAGGACGAAGTAACCGCGGGCCAACCAAGGGAAGACAAGCAAGAACTAGAGCGTCAAAGACTGATGGAGGAAGCCAGCGCGCCGCCAGAATTCCCCGACGACATGGAGCGACCGGGGGGCAGCTCATCGGCAGACACTGCTGCCAACGAGGCCACAGCCCCTGACCTCGGTGATGCAGATGAATATCCTGGATATGGTGTCGGCGGCGGTTCTCCCCGGGATGGCGGCGGTTCCCACGCGGAACAACTACCAGCGTACCGCAGATGATTTGAAGACGAAACGGGCAAGGGGACGAGACAAGGCGCGCGCGACTGTATTATATATAGAACGCTGTTGTCTATTTCATATTTCCAAGTTTCGTGGCTGTAGAGAAATGGGCCCGAGCACTCGAACCCTCGGTTCAATGTACAGGGTGGGATGAAGGGAACCTCCCCCCCACCTTATCTTGGTTGATGACGAGCATGGGAGTTTGGGAGGGCATGCGGGATACGGTGTACACGGCGTTTGAGGGAATCTTTTGGCTTTGCATGGGGCTTTGGCAAGAATGCCATGGGTCTTGATTACTCGTTTGCAACGGCTGGACTTTGGGAAAGGCGGGGGGAGAGGGGGATATATCTTTTCAAGAGGTACATATCATTACGGCGCGTGACGGCCGCATCTTACACTGCCTAGGTGCGCCAAGCAGGTAGAACTGCTGGGTTCGGTCTCACCCTGCTTTCTTTGTGCTTGCCCCGTCGACGCCTTCAGGAGTCTGTTTCTGTCACATTGAGTTGCCGTGGCGCGCAGCCGGTGAGGAGGGGGAAGAAGTGGCGTTGCCGTGTCTTGCGTGCTGCGTGCCGCGCGCTGCGTGCCCCGAGACGCCGCAGCGCCGTCTTTCCGTGTGCCCCGGGTCCGGCGGCCGCGGAGGTCGCTCTCTAGTGCTGCAGGACGGTGGGCTTGCCGTCGGCCCAGTCGGCCACGGCGCCCCTGACGTTGACCCAGTACCGCAGGCGGACGGCCTCGCGCTTGGCGGCGTCGAGGTCGTGCTCGCGAAAGGCCCGCTCGAGCACGGTTTCGCAGGTGCGTATGCGCTCCTCGTTCTCGGCCGCCAGGGCGTCGAGGTCGGCGGGCCGGCGGGCCCGCTCGATGGTCTCGTGGGCGTCGAGCACCACGGCCAGCAGGTCCGGCTCGGCGACCTTGAGGGTCTCGTCGTTGGCGACGTCGACGCCCTGCAGGGCGAGGAGGTACTGCGCGCGGAGGAGCGGGTTCGACAGCGTCCTGTAGGCCTCGTTGACGGCGGCGCTCGCCGCCTCGGCCTGCGCCTTGGAGGACGCCGGGTGCAGGTCCGGGTGGTGCCGGGCCTGGAGGCGCAGGAACTCGGCGCGCAGGGAGCGCAGGTCGACGGGGAAGTGGCCGGCTGGCGGGGGCCCGTCGGGCAGGGTTTGCGGGAAGAGCGAGTAGACGGTTTCGTGGGGGCGCGGCGGCGTCGTCGTCGTCGTCGTGGTGCTGGAGTCGCCGTCGGGTTGGGGGGACGGGCGCGGGCGCGGGCGCGGGGCGAATCGCCGGGTCTGGCGTGCTGGGCTGTGCGGCGGCCTCGTGGGCGCGGGATGTTGCAGCGCGGCTCGGGAGGGCAAGGGAGAAGAAGGTGTTGTGCGGGCGTCGGGGCGGCAGCGCGAGCAGACGGAGAGGAGGCGTCGTTGCGTGGCGGAAGTGACGGCGCGCATTGTTGCAGAGGACTTGGATGGATGTGCGTTCGGTGGATGGAAGGGGGGTGATGGGGGGGGCGCCGGTGCGGCGCAATCTTGTTGTTCTTGATCTTGTGCGGGTGAGTTGGGCAGATGTCTCGTCTTGAGAGGTCAACATGGGAAAGGGAGGCGATGAAGTCATACGCGCGCGCGTCTGAGGGCCGTCCTCGGGCTGGGTTGGGCCGAGGATTTGCCACGGCCCCGGCTGTCTGGGCCGAACCGATACGATCAAGTACCTGAGGTACCTGAGTACTTGGGTACCTGGCTCCAAGCCTCCAAGTCTCCAGGCCCAACGCCGCTTCATTGCCCGCCCAAAACAGGCAGGCAGGCAGGCAGGCAGGCACCAGGGTCACAAACTCATACTGTGCATGTGCATCCTTTTCTTACGGGCCCTGATTTACCGTCAGCATCACCAGTTTTGTGGTTTTCCTTCTTTCTTCATTTTATTTGTTTCTAGGGCGTGACGGTCCCAATTCTGTATACTTCAACCCAATAGAGTGCTGCTGCTGTCGCTACTGCGTCAGACACAGCCAGGCATGGCCAAGCTGTTCGACGCCGCCGAAGGTAAGCCGCCTCTTGTTGCTTGGCAACTCAGCTCGGCGTCGAAACAAGAAACCAAAAATGCTCATTCGCACCATTTCGCGCGATAGTGGCCAAGCACAATACCCCAGATAGCTGCTGGGTTGTCCTGTACGGCAACGTCTACGATGTCACCAACTTTCTTACCTCCCACCCCGGCGGCTCCGACATTATCCTCAAGCTTGCAGGTCAAGATGCGACCGAGGACTATGATCCCGTCCATCCGCCCGGCACCCTCGAGGAGAATCTGGAGCCAGAGGCCAAGCTAGGCCAAGTCAACCCGGAAACTCTTCCAGAGCCGGGCGCTACCCCAGCCGCCGACGTGCCATCACGCGACTATCGCCCGCCACTCGAGTCGCTGCTGAATCTGGATGACATCGAGCAAGAGGCGACCAAGCGAATTTCCAGCAGAGCCTGGGCCTACTACTTTTCTGCCAGCGACGACTTGGTATCCAAAAAGCTCAACAACTCGGTATTTCGGGACATACTGCTGCGGCCGCGCACCTTTGTCGACTGCACGGAATGCGACTTGTCAACAACCTTGCTTGGTCACAGGGTCGGTGTTCCGTTCTTTGTTGCCCCGGCTGCGATGGCACGACTGGCGCATCCAGATGGTGAGCATGGCATCGCCAGAGCCGCTGCTCGCTTCAATGCCTTGCACGTCGTCTCCAATAATGCTTCCATGACCCCGGAACAAATCGTCAAAGACGCTCCCCCGGAACAGATTTTTGGCTGGCAGGTTTACGTTCAGAGCCAGCGGGACAAGAGCGAGGCCATGCTGAGACGCATCAATGCCATCAAGGACCGCTTCAAATTTGTTTGCCTGACCCTCGACGCTCCCGTCCCCGGCAAGCGTGAGTTGGACGAAAGGTCCAACTTTGAGGCGGGCAGCAACAATGCCAATGTTCAGGCGGCAGTTTCAAACAGCAGCCGTGATTCTCAGAGACAGAGACCCGGTGGCGGCGGCGTTGGCCAGCAGCTGTTCTTTGGGACTGCGTGCGATCTGACGTGGAAGACAACCCTGCCTTGGTTAGCACAGCATACCGACTTGCCCATTGTTCTCAAGGGGATCCAAACCCACGAAGATGCCTATTTGGCAGCTCAACATGCTCCCCAAGTCAAGGCCATCATCTTGTCTAATCACGGCGGGAGGGCCATGGACACTGCTCCTCCTGCTGTGCACACACTGCTCGAGATTCGCAAGTACTGCCCCGAGGTATACAGCAAGATTGAGGTCTGGGTGGACGGTGGCATCAAGAGAGGTACCGACATTGTCAAGGCTCTATGCCTCGGCGCGAAGGCAGTTGGTCTTGGACGGGCCCCTCTTTTTGGTCTGGGGGCAGGAGGCCAGGCGGGCGTAGAACGAACACTAGAAAGTAAGTGAGCGGAAGTGGCTTTCAAATGTGTGCGGGGGAGTATCAAGTCCCTTCTAACAAACTGGAATGGCTCTTGACGGGACATGTGAGGGGTCCGAGCGGTGTTTGTTGCTTTGCACGGATTCTCCCATCTTTTTGGCCTTGTCTTTTTCTGGTCCTTCTTGCTTCCATCTCTACCGAGGAGTCGTAAAACTAACGGCGACTTGTGAAACATAGTTCTCGAGGCCGAGACGGCCACATGCATGCGATTACTAGGAGTGCAGAAGATATCGGAGCTGGGGCCCAAATTCGTGAGTGCTTCTGAAGGGCAAACTCCAACCCGCCAACCCCGCCAAGTCCGTGCAATCCCCTTTGACGATTAGGTGACTAACAAAGGGGGCTGTTACTCCACGTTTCAGATCAACAGTCGACGTGTGGAGAGGGACATTTATGACGGGGAGCCGCGGCTGGACAAGCGGGGGCTGTGGACAAAGCCAAAGCTTTGAGTCCCAAGTCGCGAATCATTTTCCACCTTGCACACGCACACACGATACGGGCATATGAACAGTACAGTATGTATGTGTCGTCGTGTCGCAATAGGCGCAGAAGTTGAGATATTTTGATGCCACGTATTGATGACCTCGGCCGCTCGTGAAGATGAAAAGGTGGAACCAGTGGCCGGGACAATAAAATAAAAAAAGGCGTCACCTGGTCATTCGTCCTCCGTATCGAGTGCAGCCACCACCAAGAACAAGGGGCGAGACCGTGCCAAGCAGCAGCAGACCGATGGTCTTCTTTCCAACGGCGCAGCAAGCCAAGGGGACCACAGACTAACTAACCCCGGACCCAACGCCGCCCGTGTCATTGCGTTGTCGATGCGGGTTCCCGCAAGAGGCTGCATCCGGCCGAGATGGTTCTTTCGTCCAACGCGGCACGCTGATAACCTATACGCCGCTTACATGGCTCTGTGAAGAGTATCGCCGGGTTCCCTGCTCCGTCCGGCCTTCATGTACTCCCCGAGTTCCTGCGCTGCCCAGGTTGCCGGGCAACCAGCAACCAGAGTCAGTTGCGGCTGCGTTAAGTACATCAATCGACGCCGAGCCACATGGCGGCACTTGGCTCGTAAAGTCCACAACTCGCCGAGATACAGGTCGATGCGGCTGTGGCGACAAATGACCAATCAGGCCGCAGCAGCAGTTGGGGATGGGCTGTGACTTATTAGTCCCTTGGAGGTTGGAGGCAACATTGGAGGCGATCGTGGTGACGCCCCAGAACCCCAGGAGAAACGCGGTCTTTTTTCCCCCCCTCTAGAATGCCGTGGCAGCCCAAAGCTCTTCCAACGGAAAGTCTTGTTGCGTCGCGGTCGCGGTCGCTAGCGAGGAGTCGCCGCGTCTGGCTCGGCACTTTGTGGGAACAGAAAGAACCAGTTAGAATATTAGACCATCGTCGGCAGCCAGCCAAGGTTTCAGCTAGCAAAAGCAACAAGACGGAGCGTTTGACGGGGGCTCTTCCATATGTACATGGGACAGCTTGCTTTGGCGACACCATGGACAGCGCCGAGTTATTATAGCTAGAATGATGCCTGGTTGTCCTTGTGCCCGTCGACGCTTTTTGCTTGGGAAATGGGATTGGGTAACAGAGAAGCGAGCGGCTGGGATTGACCAGATGTGATGGTGGTGGTGCTCTCGTACGTACAGTAGTAACTACTACCAGCTACTACTATCAATATGAGGCCATCCAGTAACCACAACCACGCCATTGCCAGGGGCGTGACAACGACGCCCTGACAACTTCTACCATGCCAAGACGCATGGAGTGTGGCATCGTGAACCGCCATTGCAGGGCTTTTGTGGCCCGCAGAGTCCACAATTCGTCCGCAAAGGGAACCGGGGCCGCAAATGCCCCAGTAATGTAATCAAAAGCCTCGAGGCCATAGCCAACCAACTGGGGCGTCCTGATGGCAGCAGTACATCTTCCAGGGTTTGCAAAGTCTGGCATGGCATCACTGGCCACTTCAATGTTAATGTAGGTCGTCTCTTCGTCGTCGCAGTTGCGTGAAGTGCGAATATAAGAACGGGACAGCCCCTCTCTGGCGCGGGAGTCTCCATCGGCTCTGTCCATTGACCTCTCCATGTCCTGGGTAGGGCAACAAGCAGGGAAAGATAACTCCCCGAATACACGCTCCAGAACAGGCCATTCTGACTCGAAAATATTAATTGCGCTCCAACGGTGGGGGGATTTCATTAAAAGCTGCCGCCATGCTAATTGAGCCGCCGCTTGTTCGCGTAACCTGACGTGGCGGCTTTTTGTTTCGATTTCTTTTTTTTTCCTCCGTCGTAATTGCCTCTCTCTTGACCGCCACGCCAGGGCTCTATTCTTCACGACGTAGACTCGTCCATCTGTCAACTGTCTTCACGTGCTGCATTTCCGAACCATACGTGCTTCACAAGCAGCCGAGGGACAGGCAGGCTTAGCAGCCTTGGTGCTACCAACCCCTAGCAAGCAAGATGGATGACAGCAATGGCGCACACCCTCAGCCCTTGGCTAGTTTGCCTCCCCCGGTCGATACATCCGAATTAGGGACTGGGCGGTGGCGCGCTCCGAGGCTGTCGGATGGGTCGCCCGTGGAGGACAGCGAAAGTCTGGGGATGGCGTCGAATCTCCGGCGAGCCTGTTGATTACGGCGTAGTACCACGCCGTACTCCGTACTCCGTACCAGCTCAGGCATGGGCGTCCTTTTGGTGTCGACGCCCCCGGCTCGGCTCCACCGCTGGGCTGCAGCGAAGCGGATATGCATATCCATCGGCTCATTGCCAGGGGGTGACAGCGTGCGACCTTGGTTTGCGGCGTGAGAGCTTCGGGCCTCTACGATAGGCTGTGAGACGCTGCGGTTGTGACGGTAATGATGCGTCTGCAGTAGAAGGAAGATTGAAAAATACTTCCTTAGACGACATATTCTTGATGCACGGCCACCGTCGCCCACCCGATGATGCCGTCATGACTGTGTACGGAAATGCGTGCTAGACTTGGTCCGGTATCGTGAACTGCGAAGACGACCCCGTTTTGATGGCTGGTGATGTACGGACGCTGTCTTGTAGTTATCATACAACAACTATACCAGCGTGCGCGGTGCCGAATCGCATCTTAGCCCGCGTCTCAGCCCGTCGTGCATCCAATCCCAGGGCGCAGACGACGTCAAGCGGCCCATTGCAGATCCGTCGTCGTGCCCATCTTGGTTCTTGGTCCGGGGTTCACACCAACTTTCGTGGAGGCGCATGTTTTGGAGCAGAGAGAAACGAAACCATCCAAGCCAAAGGCAGATTGTCCCTCAGTCCTCAGTCGAAGACCAACCCCCGCCCCGCCCCTTTCCTCTGGCGCCTGTCTCCACTCGACAGCACCCACGCCCTCCCCCTCCCCAAGCCAGTCAGTCCTTCCTGCTCCGAAGTCAAGTAACACTTGGAGGCTGCACGCTACAGCAAGTACCTAGGTAAGTAGAAACCCACCTAGGCATTCTGTAGTCGATCTCCTCTCGGCCGCCGCTTCCATGTTCCATGTTCCATGTTCTTTCTACACACGCCCCCCTTCCAATATCCCAAATCCCCATCATGGCGAACCTCGACTTAGGACCAGCGCGCTAATCCGACCAAGACAACTCTCGACATCCATTTTGTACATGATATTTATCTTCCCCTCTCCTCCGCTCCGCTGCCCTCTGGTTTCCCGTTGCGTCGCCCTACTCCGTCGTCGTTGGCCAGCTTGTGCTCTACCTAGAGATTTTGACAAAGCATACCTTTTGCGACCATCCTCATTCGTTCCTCTTCTTTTCGCCTCTTCCATCCTCTGGTAAACTACAGAGAGTGTTTTGCCCTAAATTTCGACGCATCCGAAAGACCATTGGCGAAAATGTCCGACAAGCACGAGGTCACCCAGACCGAGAATGGTCCCGCTCGCCCCGGCAAGAAGGCTCTCCTCAAGAACCACTGCAAGCGATTCTGGTGGCTTCATCTCATCATCTTCCTGGTCGTTACTGCTGCCGTCATTGTCGTTGTGTGAGTATTTCATCTTGTCTTGCAACACATTGGCGGTTGGCGTCGCTTGGTCTTGTTATTGCTCAGGGGGTGTGTGCCACATGGGATGCGGACTCGGCAAGTTTACAGTATTTTCAAGGTTATTTGGTTTGCGGTGTTTGGTGCTCCTACTTTTTGTCGTATGACAAAAGTGCGGGATGCGGGATGCGGGATGCGGGACAGGAGCTTGCTGGCTGGGCACACGTCTTGCAATTCCATGCATGGCCCTTCTTTTCTTCCCTTCTCCATTGCCACATTGGTTTTTCATGCAAGGACCACGGGCTAATTCTTCAATCTCGGTTCGCAGCATCTTCGTTGGCGTCAAAAACATTGCTCAAGCTAAGATCAACGATGCCGACCTCAAGATTCAGGGCGTCAACATCCTCAACTCTGCCCCCAACAGGTTCCTCATGCAGATCAACTCTACTATCAGAACCGATGGCACCGTCAAGGCCGATATTGACCCCTTCGTCGGCAACCTTAGCCTCCGCGATGTGCCTGGCGCTAGACCATTTGTCAAACTCCAATTCCCCAGCACAAACGCCAACAAGTTCCAGACTGTCAACATCAGCCAGGAGGTTGATATTACCGACATGGAAGCCTTTGCTGAGTTCAACAGGGCCTTTTTCCAGAACGAGACGCTACGCGTTGCCATCAGCGGCAAGACCAAGGTTCAGCCTGCTGGTCTCTCCAAAAAGTACGACGTCGACTTCTACAAGGTCGTCACCTTCAAGGCCTTGAACAAGCTCAACGGCACCGCCCTCTCCGACATGAATGTCAGGGTCGGCACCGCTGAGGACGGCATTCCCAACTTCAACGCCACCGCCACCATCATGAACCCCTCATACTACACCATTGACATTGGCAACGCCAGCTTCAACAACTTTGCCGACAACCAACTCATCGGAAACCTCACCATCAACAACCTTGTCCTCAGGCCTGGCCAGAACGTCGTCCCCGTCTCTGCAATTCTCGACCAGACCGTCATCATCTCCGCTGCCTCCAAAAGGCCCTACTGCGAGACTGGCAAGATCGGCATCGAACTACAGGGCATGCACGTCCGCCAAGGTACCGAAGAGATCACCTGGCTCACCGACGCTCTCAGCAGCGCCAATCAGACCGTCGAGATCAGCCTGGCCGATACCTTCAGGGCCGCGGGTCTTAGTAACTTCCAGGCATCTTGTAGCTCATGAGGAACCTGGTCGACGTGGATTTTGTAATTTGGGTTTTTTTTTCTTTTCAATTTCGAAACTTCCACTTTATTGACAAGAAAGACGACGTAAACCGATTGCATGTTTGTTTTCCACATTGGTTGCTTGTCTACTGATCTTTTCGGTGGTTATCTCCGAGCCTATATTTACGTTCTCGACCTAACCGCACGGGACATATTTGTACAAATTCGACAGGGTGATGTCACTGGCTGAACTTGTTTGCTTCGCTGGTCGAAATACGATGGGACAGGACAAGACAGGCGTGAAGGGAAGTCAATGGGGTGGGAGGTTCTTGTTTTGGATGAGGCAGGAGGCGCATTGTGATTGATGATACCTCGATGCGGTTGTTACAATTAGCCGGCCAACGACGGCCAAAACCAGATTTAATTATGAATACCATATTGGGTATGCCCTGCACTCTTTCTCTTTTTTGTGCACGGTTCTTCTAGATGCTCCTGTAGCCTTGTTTCTTCACTCGCCACACGCTCGATATGTATCCCCCACGGAAGGAGCATGGAGTCAGTCATTGATAAGCCGGTCTTATTATTTCCATCCACCCTTCCTCTTTTCTCTTGAGATGCCTCCTCCCGTGATGGGCGAATGCACAGTGCCGCTCACAAACTCAATTGAACTCCTCCCGCCAGTCTTGTCCTCCCTCTCTTTTACCACTTCTTCTCTTGCCTTGCGCAGCTTGTCCCTGTGTGACCACTCCGGAAACCCGCTGGGGTCGTACAATTCCAGCGGCAAGGTAGTTTCGTACTGCGCGGTCCCGGACAAGTCTACAAAGGAGAGGAGTTTATCGGCGAGAGAAGGGTTGCGCAGCGCCGCAGACTGCTCGAGCTTGCCGTTGAAATGGGTGCCCTGGCGTTTGAGGCTGAGGAACTGCCGGAACTTGGACGTTGTTTGAGGAGGTGGCGAGCCTGGCGGGGAGGGGGGGATGTCGAAGTTTGCGACTGAAGGCAGGGTGAGGTCGTGGATGAGGCTGCGGGCTGCTGTGTACGGCGAGGATGGCGTGGATGTCCCCGACGGTTCAGGCAGGCCGGCGAGAATGGACTCTGGCGGTGGAAGGGATGGGCCGAGGGGTACAGGGCCGATGGTTTGTCTTTGTGGCAGGCTTGGGGATGACTCAGGTGGTTCTGGTCGAGTTGAAGGTGATTGAGGTGGTGGTGGTTGACTTGAAGCGGATTCCTTGACACCTTGGCCTTCATGAGCGTTCAATCCAGTCAACGGAATGGAGAATGAGTACCTTGCTCGAAGTTCTCTCTTGTGGCCTTTTCCAGTTTCATGTCCTTTGTGGGAGGTGATTTCAGCTCGTGTGTTAGATTGTGAGACTCAAACATGGTAGAAGTAGAAGAATATGGGATTACCTTGGGGGAAGAGGCATACGGGGAAGCATCTTCGTCTTCGTCGCTGCTGGCGTAGCCCACGAGCGCTGCCATGATGGTTTCCTTTTGAAAAAAAATTAAAAATTAAAAAAAAACCTAACAAAAAAGGTAATGGTCCAGGAGTGATGGAATAAATGAGAAACTATTTAAAAAACTTGAGTTCGGGGTATAGTCGTGATCTGAGATGAATGAGAACCGTTTTCGAATGCCGAGTCTTCGACGGGTTTGGTACATACAGGCAAGCCACCATTGATTGGCACGGCAAAACCGCGGTGCCAGGCCCCTCAAAGTCTCGGCGCCCCCCCCCAAACCCTCCCTCTTCCTTCACCGTCTGGCTGACCACGCGCAGCCATTCGGCCATTTGCTTTGGCAACATTTGATACTTGCTAGCTGATTTACTCTTTTCATTCGCCCCAAGCAACAGCAAAGGAACAGCGCTTCAGTTCACTTAGTCCCCCGTGGCCAAAGTCGGGTGGAGCTTTGTGCCAGCGTCGTCCTTGGGAACTCCCCTCCGAAGAACCAGATTACAACCACAAAACAAAGTACTACTCACCAACCTAGATTCTTCCTGAGCTTGCGAGGCCGCCATGGCTCGGCCGAGAGACTCGCGCTCACCAAGTCCTGTAGGCAGTCAATACAGCTCACGCCGACACCGTAAAGATGACGATAGGCGGGATAGAGATCGTCGAGATGACGGCAGTGACTACCGCCGGCGCTCGAGATCGCGCAGCAATGATGTGAGAAGAGTTGGTTTCCATAGACCTATTGACCTATATTCTGACGTCCTTGTCAACAAGCAGATCCGGTATCAGGACCGCGGTGGCCGTGACCGCGATCGCGACTCATACCGCCGCCGGGAACGGTCTGTAGATCGACGCGATGATGACTTTTACCGCAGAGGAGCTCGGGACCACCGTGACAGAGAGAGACGCAGGTCGCGTGATCGATTTAATGACAGGCCTCGTTCCCCTCCACGCAGACGAAACCGCAGTCGTGACGATGGTAGAGATCAGAGGAGGCGGCCCGATTCCCGCGATGGAGGTCGCGGTCGCCGTGATGGCGCTGTTGACACTCACAACCGTGGCGGCCGCACCGATAGTCGAATTCGCAAGTCGCTCCTTTCTGATGGCGGCAAGCCTGAAGTCAACCAGGCGAAAAACAAGGTGTCCACTCCTCAATCCGATGCCGACAAGAAGGCTGAGCGACTAGCGAAGCTAGAGGCGTGGAAGAAGAAGAAGGAGAGCGAAAGCCAGAAGCAGAAAGAGGTGAATCCCAGTCAGACCAGAAGCCTACTGGCTGAAATGGACATGAAGGCCATGGGACTTTCATCGTCTGCTGGCTCGCCTGGTGTTTCATCCGTCGCCTCACCAGTGGCGATGAATGAATCTGGCAATGCATCCCCTGCTGTTCCCTATGCCGGCAAGTTCGATCCCAAGACCATTGCCAAAAAATCTGCTGCATCGAGAACGCATGACGTTTCAAAGTCTGTGTTGGGCTCACTTGATGTCCAGCAAGAGCAGCTGGCTGCGCCCGTCAAACAGAAACCTATTGGTGAGTGCAAGTCCTTCATGATAGCCGACGAATTGAGCCTTGTTGCTAATGCCTGTCAAAAAGCTTCCGCCTTGCCCGCCAACAGGGTAAAGACGAGTGCATTTGGGTTCGGAAAGTCCCATGCGGACACGGACAAGCTCCCCGCAAAGCGCAAACTCGATCTTGACGAAGAGGATACCACCAAGCGAACGCTTACCAAGCTGCCCGCTTTGCCCATTGAAACTGACGATACTCCCTATGCTGATCAGGATGAGGACGACGACTCGGAAGGGGATAATTTCGCTGAGAATGAAGAAGAGGCTGCTGCTGCGGCACGTGCCGCGCACGAGAGGCGACTGCAGGCGGAGAACCAGACGGAGAATCAGACGGACAACCAGATGGACAACCAGACGGACAACCAGATGGACAACCAGATGGACGACCAGATGGACAATCAGACGGACAACCAGATGGACAACCAGACGGACAACCAGATGGACAACCAGACGGACAACCAGACGGACAACCAGACGGACAACCAGACGGACAATCAGACGGACAACCAGGCGGGCAATCAACCTGAACCCCAATCCGGTGAGCCCATGGAGGAAGTTACCAGAGAAGACAATCCGCAACTCGATGCAGAGCCAAACGGCGCACAAGTTACCAATGGTGCTGTTGTGGGAGAAGAAGAAGCCGCCCCGGAACAAAATATGGATGTGGACGACAAGGAGGATGTTGACCCCCTGGATGTCTTCATGGCCGACCTGAAGCAGACGGAATCAAAGACTGTCAAACCTGTGGTTGCTGCGAAGAAGACTCAGGAGCCGGAAGCCTACTTCAGCGATGACGAGTACAACTTTGATTCGGAGCAGAAAGGAGATGCCGATATTCTTGCTATTGCAAACAAACGCAGGAAGAAGGATATCCCCGCGGTGGACTACAGTAAGATTGATTTGGTGCCAGTTCGCAAAAACTTTTGGGTTGAGCCGGCTGAGTTGAGCGCCCTTACCGAGGAAGAGCTGACAGATTTGCGTCTGGAGCTCGACGGTATCAAGGTCAATGGCAAAGACGTGCCCAAACCGGTCCAGAAATGGGCCCAGTGCGGCCTCACGCGCCAGACCTTGGATGTTATCGACAATTTGGGCTATGAAAAGCCAACGACTATTCAGATGCAAGCGATCCCCACGCTCATGTCTGGGCGAGATGTCGTTGGCGTGGCCAAGACTGGTTCTGGCAAAACCGTCGCGTTTCTGCTCCCCATGTTCCGCCACATCATGGACCAGCCACCCATCAAGGACACTGATGGTCCCATTGGCTTGATCATGACCCCGACTCGTGAATTGGCCACGCAGATCCACAGGGACTGCAAGCCGTTCTTGAAGAGCATGGGACTGCGTGCCGTCTGCGCGTATGGAGGTGCGCCAATCCGAGATCAGATTGCAGAATTAAAGCGTGGCGCTGAGATTATTGTTTGCACCCCCGGCCGAATGATCGATTTGCTTGCCGCAAATCAGGGCCGTGTGACGAACTTGCGGAGAGTAACTTACGTGGTGTTGGATGAAGCAGATCGAATGTTTGATATGGGGTTCGAGCCTCAGGTCATGAAGATCTTTGCTGGAATGCGTCCTGACAAGCAAACAATCCTCTTCTCGGCAACAATGCCTCGAATCATCGACTCGCTGACCAAGAAAGTCCTAAAGAGCCCTGTTGAAATTACTGTTGGTGGTCGCAGTGTCGTAGCCAAGGAGATTGAGCAAATTGTGGAAGTCCGTGAGGAAAATACCAAGTTCCTCCGCGTCCTCGAGCTCCTGGGCGAGCTTTACGATCGAGACGAGGATGCCCGCGCATTGATTTTTGTGGACCGGCAGGAAAAGGCTGACGACTTGCTCAAGGAGCTCATGGTCAAGGGCTATCCTTGCATGTCCATTCATGGAGGCAAGGATCAAGTGGACCGCGACTCAACGATATCTGATTTCAAAAAGGGCGTCGTGCCCCTGCTTGTTGCTACATCAGTCGCCGCTCGAGGTCTCGATGTGAAGCAGTTGAAGCTTGTCATCAATTACGATGCGCCAAATCATCTCGAGGACTATGTCCACCGTGCGGGCCGAACCGGGCGCGCCGGTAACACGGGTGTCGCAGTTACGTTTGTCACGCCGGATCAGGAAAATTGCGCTCCCGGTATTGCCAAGGCCCTGGAGCAGAGCGAACAGCCTGTGCCGGAGCGCCTCAACGAGATGAGAAGGGCACATCGCGAAAAGGTCAAGTCCGGCAAGGCCAAGGACTCGTCTGGGTTTGGTGGCAAAGGTCTCGATCGTCTTGACCAGGAACGAGAAGCCGCTCGTCTCAGAGAGCGTAGGACGCACAAGGCCGAGGGCGAAGAGGAGGAAGAAAAAGAGGACAAGGAAGAAGAGAACAAAAAGGCTGAGAAGGCTCTGGACGCCATCCGAGCAGCTGCGTCGGGTGTACAGGCCCGGGACGCGTCGAAGCCCGCGGCAGACGGGCAAAAGGGTGGCGATAATACCGCTACTGGCGGCGCGGACAAGACCAAAGACGCACTTGACAAGGTCAGCTCAGCAGTCAGCGCCATCAATAGCCGTCTGGGCAAGGCAGGCCAGCTCCGATCCGGTCAGCCGATCGACAACAAAGGACCTGACGCTGGCGCATTCCATGCGACTCTCGAAATCAACGACTTTCCCCAAAAGGCCAGGTGGGCCGTCACGAACAGGACCAATGTTGCCAAGATTCTGGATTCCACCGGAACATCCATCACGACCAAGGGCAGCTTCTACCCTCCCGGCAAGGAGGTACCCCCCAATGCGGACCCGAAGCTTTATATTCTCATTGAAGGTGACACGGAAGTAGCTGTCGGGGCGGCGCTTCAGGAAATGACGAGATTGCTGAGGGAAGGGACTATTGCGGCGGCCGACGCGGATAGCAGAGCGCCAGCGAGCGGTCGTTACACTGTCAGTTAGGGAAGCGAAATAAAAAAAGAATGTTCCATGGGCCAAGGATGGTGGCGAGAGATTCTATGCTATGTTGGTTGAGATATATATGTGCACGGTTGATTGGAGCTAGGAGTTTGCATGGAAAGAAAGTTTTGTGGTAAATGCCAGCGCCAGTCCCCTCAAGTAGAGTACAAACAATGTCAGCGCTGATTCACTGTTTCGTCTCCAAGTAAATTGAAAATAAAATAAAAAGGTTCAATTGATACAAAATCAAATGGCTGATGAAATGCTAAAGAGTGCTCATCCGCTGCATGGGAACATGGCGCCGTACTCCAGAAGACACGACGTATGTACACTGTATTTGGACGCGGTCAACTCTAAACTCCCCCTTCTTCTTCTTCTTCTTCTTCTTCCCCTTCCTCTCCTTTGTGCGTGCATGTCTATACGCCTCGCCCTCCACAAATTCCACACAACTCCGGCCGGGGGCGCGTCATGAAGGCGTTTGTCCTAGTTATACGTTAAAGTGTCGTTATTCGCAATCTCCCTCCGCCGCTGCTCCTCGGCGCTGGCTTGCTTGAGGGTATCTGCTCGTGACTGCCTCTTCTGCGCGGACAACTGGCTTTGTAGCTTGCCGCCTGGTTTGTTGGATGCTTTTGCTCTGGCCTACATTATTGGGTGAGCCTCGATACGTATAGATGGCTTGTATACGCGCGTGTGTACGGTGTGCGTATGTACGTATGTACGTATGTATGTATGTGTGTATGTGTGTATCTGTGTATGTATGTGTGTGTGTGTGTGTGTGTGTGTGTGTGTGTGTGTGTGTGTGTGTGCATGCAGAAACGTACCTCTGCTGCCTCGGCGGCCTTCCTCCGCGCATCACCCACGTCCCCAGATGAAGTTGTCGCTTCGGCAGGGCCGTTGCCCAGTGTTCGCGGGGGGCCGCCGACTTTTCTGGGGACGGTGGACTTTTGCGGTGCGGCGGGCGCGGAGCCGAGGACGCGGCCGGGCGGCGAGGCGTCTGGTTCTTCCTTGCCGCAGATGTTGCCCATTGTGAACGGTTCTTGGGGCGCCGGACGGCTGGGTTTGCGTCGAGAACGGGGCGGCGAGCGGAGCGCAGGCGGGAAGCTGGTGCTTGCGAGGGCGAGGGTGCGTTTGTTGGTGGTGACGGTGACTCGAGGCTCTTCCCCGCCGCCTCTCACTCAGGTCGACCGACGTAAGAGTGAGGAGTGAGTCGACCTGGCCGTGGATCACAATGTGGGGCCGTTGGCCGTTGGCGGTTGGCGGTTGGTCGTCACCGTCAGCGTCACCGGCGTCCTACCCGGAACCTCAACCGCCCCCCCTCCGCCTCCGCCTCCGAGGTTGGACAGCAGGCAATGGCTTGTCGGTCGGTCTCCGTTTTCTGTAGTTTTGGGCCATGTTTGCAGGGGCGGCGGCGCCATGTTGAGCATCAAAATTTGCTGCAACTACCGGTACTCCGTAGGGTCGACTTGCCCGGGCCCGGATTGGGCAGGGCAGAAAAAAGCTCGTGGGGCCCCGCCTTCCACTTTGACTTGTCCAGGACGTGACCATCCGGGTTCTCGCATGCTCACCACCGACCAGGATATGGGCAATAACCATCCTGCTTGTTTTGCCCGGCCAGCCCACACACGAGCGCAGGGACAAGAGGCACAAATGTGCAGTCCTCCCGTAAGAAACCATGCGACTCGTAGACCCTTGGGTTCTTCGTTCCCTTCTTCCCTCTTTCCTACAGTCGCCGTCGTTTCGGAGCATCAAAGCACCAGAGCATCTCCGCCTCCAGCGCACCGGCCATCTGACTTCTTCACCCTGCCATCCTTTCCTGGCTCTGGATGCCTCGCGTCCATAGCGACTTGGGTTGACTGCCATAATATTGGGTGCTTCTGGAGCCCTCTTTGCCCCGGACTTGCAGCTGCGGCTGCGGTTGCAGTTGCGGTTGCAGTTGCGGTTGCGGATGCGCCGCGGCTCGCCTTCAGCCGCCTCGTTTTCCTCATCACCACTCGTCATTCAAACACCAAAGTCTCACGTGTTCTGCTCGAGGATAAGCCTTGCAGGCAAGACCCCTCGCTCGCCCTGATCTGGAGCATCGACGCATCTGAAGCCAAATGGTAAACTTGTGCTTGGCATTGTCTCGTCTGGCCCCAACTCTACGACCTCCAATACCCAGGACCCCCGGCCTTGTTTCTGGCCCTACAAGTCTTTCCGGCTTCGAATACCTTGGCCCCTCCCTACTCTGGCTGTATCCTTTCCACTCTTCCGAATCCCTCCGGGGCGGCAGTGTCTCCATCTCTCTGCCGTAGTGTCGGGTTGTGGGTTTGTTCGTCCGCGGCTCTTGCGTTTTCGCCTTGCCGACACTCTACTGCCTTGGCTACTTATGTCAAGCCGGGTCGAGAGGAATGATGGACGGTCCGCACATGGCATTTGATGGCTTGACGGGCTCGGCAAACAACTCGTCCAGCGACGAACTGGCGAATATCCATCTCGATTTCGACACGCTCCTGTCCACCGAGCACGCGCTGAACCCAGGTCTTGGGCCATATGAGCCCTGCATCCACGATGACGCCTGTCTACACTTTACGCAACCTAGCAAAGCCCAGGCCAAGTCTCAAGGGAGCCTTGCGCAAACGCCGCCGGCGAGATCATCTCGGACTCTGGCCCGGAATCATCCCAGAATCAACCGTGCCGAACATGGCAGAGCAAAGAGCCAGGTGGACAGACCATGCAACCTGGACCACATTCAAGACTACTCGTGGGAAAACATGTTCAACGAGAATGCTCTGAATGCGTATAGCATGCAGACACATGGTGGTCTTGGCGTTTGCCAGGATGATGACTGTGTGTCCGTGTCTTGCAGTTCCGCCTGCGAGGGCAGCTGTCCCAGCCAGTGCGGCGAGACTAGCCATGCCGTTTGTTGCGATGATGACGCCTGTGCAAGCCCAAATCTTTGCGTCGACGAGCATTGCAAAGCAGCAAGCCAGCCTTGCACTGATGAAAATTGCGTCGTGGACTCATCTCTCAGCCAGCGACAACCGCATCATTCGCCTGCCATAAGCGATGGCGACAAGGCAGCGGCAGCTGCGCTGGCATCGTTTGGTGGCAATAACTTAGAAGCCGTTCAAAACGGCTTCGCTCAGCAGCCGCAGCACACTTCAACATCTAGAGATGGGCTCGTCAACTTCGAAAATCTGCCACATAGCTTGCCGTGTGGTAGTCTTTCCATGGACGCCATCTTCGCCAACATGAACGGTCATCCAAGCTTCCCAAATCAGCCACTTCAAATGGCTTTTGAGTACGCTCTGGCAAGCCATATAATGCAGCATCACGACCCGTCTCATGGGCTCGCGAATCATGGATCCTGCGTGGCCAACGACCCCAGTCAGTTGATCACAAGATGTACCTTGCCAAAGTTCACCCCCAGTGGCATGACCAGCACGGATCCATTTCTGCCTCAACTACAGCCTCACGAATGTGGCTTTCAAGTCCAGGACCCTAACGAATTCGCCCACCACATCTTCCAAGAGCATAGGCCCATGTTGATGACGCAGGCAAATCCATATGGGTTTCCTGACTCTTCCCACACCCATGGGCACTTGACCAGCCCAACTTCTCACCAACACCAGAGCATTAATGGCCCCTATTTTAACTATAATGCAGCAACTGCCTCGAAAGATTTCTCTCCATCCATGTCGCCATTGACAAGTCTGTCCATGGGGCCTTCGTTATCTGCAACTCCAGTGTCATTGCCGACGCCGTCTCCTCTGGACTACGAACAATCCCTTCCAGGCGTCACGTCTACTGCCGATGCTGCGAGTACATCGACCGAAACAGAGCCTCAGGCCATGACACAGGAAGACCAGCTTATGTGCCGGTGGCTGCTGAAATATGACGACCGTATTTGCGGGCAACGCTTTGAGAATGATGAGCAGTTACAAAGACACTGCAAGCATGACCACTTGAAGCAGTTGAAGAAGGTTAATGGTGGCTTCAGATGTGGCTGGGCCAACTGCACACGGAACACTTGCTTCACTCAACGGAGTAAAGTTGAGCGGCACTTGCAGGTCCATACTGGGTGTAAGTTGGAAATTCGCACGCCTTGTGCTCTGGCTTTATGGCTTGTGCCAAACTGACTAAATTCGAACCAGACAAACCCGTTCAATGTACCATTTGTGGAGCCGCCCTGTCAGCAAAACAGGCTCTCGACCAACACATGAGGATTCACACCGGAGAAACGCCATGGGTCTGCAAGTACCCCGGCTGTGACTGCGCCTTTAAGCAACAAAGTGCTCTTAGTAAGATCTTCTCTCTCGCCCAGTACTCATACTGCACAAAGCCGAATGCTGACCAGCTCGACAGCTATGCATGAGCGGACGCATACTGGTGACAAGCCCTTAGAATGCGAGATTTGCGGCAAGCGGTTCAGCGAGTCGTCAAACCTATCCAAGCACCGACGAACCCACAATGTCAAGGGTATGCACGAGTGCCAGCTCTGTGGCAAAGATTTTCACAGGCTTGATCAATTACGTCGTCATATGGGGACAACTCATAAGGACAGACCCGCCGAGGTTGACGCTCTCTTGAGCGAAGCCAAAGGCAAGATCAAGGCGAATAAGGTGTCCAAACTGAAGAAAGTCAAAGTCAAGGGTATGGACGGTAAGGCCAAGCCTGAACTATTACTAGATCTGGACGATGACGCCAATTCCATGGACATGATTGAAGAGCCCATACCAGTCGCTATTCAGCGATGATATGTCGTGACTTGAGTTTCGCTGGGTGGACTTGTGCATATGGGCGATGGACGACGACATTTCCCAAAAACCGAATTCGGTAAAGACACACGAGGAGGCATATATATGGCGTTATATTAGGATTGCTCAATTTCTGAAAGTCCACTTCCGCTTGTCGTGGAGATGTACACATGGCATGTACGAATATTTATTTGTTGTGGCTGCGAGACGGATGGGCGGGCTTTGTTGGATATTTGACGCCATCTACTAACTGCATTCCATGGTTTCGTGTGACCAAGAGACAGATAGGTGTACGCAGTGCATAACCAAATGCCTGGGACGCTCAGGATGGAGTGATCGTTTATGAAGATAGCGTTGCCGGTGCGATAACATGCATTTACGCCAGCGGCCTGGCCGAGATGAGGGCACATCTAGCATGGGACGAGATATTGCCTCTCAACAGTATGGATACTACATAGTTATGTCATGGTACTTGAACGACTGAACAAGGATTATGATGGTGACCTCGTTTTGAAATTTTTGTTGTTCTTTTCAGGGCTGCTGATTTAGCCTTGACAACCCAAATCATGGACGACGTTCCGTGAAGTTTGGTCTCACGTCTCGGAACGAGGTCCCAAAGCGGGGAATAAGTAACAAACGTCGGACTGAAGAAAATGGTTCCATGATCCCCTCCTTTGCTTGTTTGAGCCATGCGATGCAGTTTTTTGTCAGAAGCCGTTTCGTTCTCCTCATGAAGACAAAAGGACGCCACGCCTCTAAACTCGGATAAAAAGATTCCCATATCTACCCATAACAGTTGTTTCCCGTCTGATCCCATCAAACGCCCAGCGTGCTATCGAGCAGTTTAAGCCTAGGCATGCAATTAGTACACCATGCATTGTTACATACACACATGCAGCGCGGACTGAGGGCCGTACCTTGATAGCAAACTTGCGCTGCGGAAAGTGAGTGTTGCGCTTCTTGGTCTTCTCCAAGGCGCGGGCCTTGTCCTCGGGTGACAGCCGGCGGCGGATGGCACGGGTCTGCTTGGGACGGAGGTCGAGAGGGGCGTACTTCTTGTTCTTGTAGAAGAGTCGGAGCTGCGAGCGCTGCTTGGCGTTGATGACGGTCAGGACGCGGGCGATTGACTTTCGCAGATCGTGGCTATTCGTCATGATTAGCATATTGGGATCCCCGTGCGGCCCCCCCTCCCCTTTCCGTTGCTTCTCCTTGCCACGTTCAGCGCAATTTTTTATTCTATATTTAGATCCTTGCTTCTTGCTTCTTGCTTCTCGCGGGAGTGGCGGTTGCGTGTGCTCACTCACATCTTGTTCAGCTTGCTGCCGGACGAGGCGATCTTCTGGATGCGCAGCTGGCCCAGCTCCGTCTTGAGCTCGCCGAGCTGCTTCATCAAATCGTCCTTACTCTTGTCCCAGAGCTGGACGGTCTTGACCTTGCCCGACGACTAGAGAGAATCCTGACATCAGCATTTTGGAGTTGCCCGCGCGTGTTGTCGGCTTTTAAAATTGAATCATTTCTCTGCCGTGGGACGGGGCAACGTGGTTCCCCGCGACAGCATTCGGTGACGAGGACTGAGGGCCGAGGAGTGGGTTTTTTTTTTAAATGACTGAATGAATGAATGATTGATTGGCGAGCGACTTTCGGTGTTGTTATGGGACAATGATACTTGGTCCCGTCATTTGTATGGTGATTTCGAGATTTCGATAATCGAAAGGGCGTGCGTTGCAGCCTCGTCACGGGAATTGAATGCTGCCGTGGGGAATCACGCCGTCTTGACGACGAGGGGCAGAAGTGTTGGACTCACCATCTTGATAAGTCTTCGATGGGTGGTGTGCGAAGTGTGTCGACGGAGTGTGTGAGTTGGAAGTCAGCCTCGACCGTGACCGTGCTTGTGCTTGTGCTTTGTCACGATGGTTGTCCACGTTTTGCCGAGACGGTGAAAAATATTGCCCTAGGGTTTGCGTGCGGATGTGTGCGTTGGCCAGAGCAAACGGAGAATTTTCATTGGCTGTGGCCATGGGGAGCAAATTGTGGAGAACTAGGTGCCATTGAAGGCACGGGACCCCTCACGTGCCCTGGAGGCAGACGCAGGGGGCGGGCGGTGAAGATGCGCGGATTCTGCCGCTCCTTCCAGCGGCGGGTCCGGTAACTTTTGTTGTTCCTCAGTGCTCACACGCTTCGAGAGGTCCGTATCCGCCCGCACTCCGACCGACGACCCGACGACCGACGACCGACGACCACATCGTCGCCAACTAAACCCATCACAACATGGCCGCGGCATCAGCGAGCGCGGGCTGGGCGCAGCTACGGCAGCAAGCGAGGTCGTTGGAGACCCAGGTATGCTCGAGGCCGGGCGCCATGCGTCGTTCTCTCGTGGCGGACTGCAAACGGACCGACGCCCCAAGCTAACCAACCCGCTACAGACGGAGAACTTGTTCCATACGTATTCGCAGTTCTCGTCGGCCGCCAACATCCCCCCCAAGCCGTCCGGGGAGGAGCGCAGCACGGAAGCCAAGATTGAGGAATTGCTAGACAAGGCAAGTCTCGATGCAGCCAGCCCCGTTTGGATCATCTAACGTCCCCGGCCCAGCGCGACTCGACAATCTCCCAACTAGCGCGGCTTCTCGACTCGGAAACCACGCTCACTTCATCGGCCCTCAAGCAGAACAACCTGTCGCTGCTCCGCGAGAAGCTGGCTGCTCACAGACGCGACCTCGACCGACTGCGCGGCGCGCTCCGGCAGGCCCGTGACCGAGCCAACCTCCTCACAAATGTCCAGTCTGACATTGACAACTTTCGCGCCAACAACCCCGAGACCGCCGAGGCGGAGTACATGCTCGAGGAGCGGAGCCGCATCGACAACAGCCACAGCATGGCGGACAGTGTGCTGAGCCAGGCGTACGCCGTGCGGGAGAACTTTCTCCTGCAGCGCGAGTCGCTGGCCAATATCAACCGGCGAATCACCATGGCTGCGAGCAAAGTGCCTGGCATCAACGGGCTGATCACCAGGATATCGGCAAGGAGGAGGAGGGATGGCATCATCATGGGGAGCTTCATTGCGTTCTGCTTTCTGCTCTTCTTTTGGTTCTCATGATTTGCAAAGTGGACTGATAAAGGAAATGCACGCTGCGAAAGAGGTTGCAGTTTGGGACGGTCGGTTTTTTTTTTTATCATCATCCGCATGTTGGGCCGGCGTTTTCATGGATATCGGGTATCAGCGGTTGGTTTATCTACTCGTCTAGTGTAGAGTACAGAGTGGCTCGGGCACACCAAATGCCACATGATGTTGTTGTACACCAAAAGTCCTATGGCCTGACGGACATTGTCCTGCAATGTACCGGGGCTTCTTCGGGAGTCATGTCTAGGCGCTCTGCTTCAAAAGATGAGGTCTTCCAGGGAGTTGTTCCCTCGCTGCGGCGGGCCGGGCCGCGTCCCTCTTGACTTCCTCGACTAGCCGAGCAAGGCCCTTTGCCAGACTTGCGTTCTCGTAGGGACGGCTGGGACCGCTTCCGGCCCAGCGGATGCGACAGTGGTGATCGACCAGGTAGGTGTAGCCCACTTTGCTGTTCAGGAGGCCAATCGACTCCCTTATGTCGTCCGTGATGCCTCGCTGGACGAGGAAATACTTGTCCCAGTCCCTCTCGGCGAATCTCCTTCTCAACGAGCCGCGAAACAGCTTGACCAGCCAGGCCTTGCCCCTGTTATCTTCGTAGTTGATGCTGACCACTTGCGCAACATCAGCATTCTTGTCGAGGGCCTCGTGTAGCGCCGGGTTCGACTCTCTGGACACAAAGGTGGCGACCTGCTGCTCCGCCCACTGGCTGCTGTAGATGGAAACGACGGATGCTTTACCCGTCAGCAGCGGCGTGGTGTCGCGGGGCGCCTTGTCGGACTTGACGAGCGTCTCGCCGTACAGGTTGGGGAAGAAGAGAGATAGCTCGGCCTTGAAGAGTCGGGGTGGCGCGAGGAAGGATTTGCCTTGGTGGAACTGGAGATTGCCCCAGTCGCGGAAGTACGGTCTCGACAGCTTGGCCGTTCTGGAGGGAAACGGGGGGAGCAGAAAAGACGTGAGGGTCAGAATATTCGGTCGCGAGAGTGACGTTTAGCGCAGGACTAGGGCGACATACAATTCATTCCGCCTTGCCATGTGTTTCTCGTAGTCTCCAAAGTCCGCCTTTCGTTGTTTCAGGGACCGGGTGTCGATGCCCGTGTTCTCGCCGGGACGGGGGGGCAGCGGCATACCGATGGGTCGAGGGAGCGGCTTGGGTGTGAAATTCTCGTCTGATCGCTTGCCGTAACTTCTCGGAGCTTCGATGGGAGCGCCTGGGATGTTGCTCTTGGGGTCCATGGAGGTTCCTGACGCGGGGGGTACTGTCCGAGCCTTCGGCGCAGAGACGGCGAAGCTGCGACGCCATTTGCAGGGAAGGCATGTCGCTGAGGGTGAGGAGAGCGGTTGCCGAGAGGCGAAGCTGGCGATGGCCAGTCCCAACCTGCGTGAGGACATGTCGCAGCGCCGGGAGGTTGTAGCGAGGACTGAGGGTGTTGGCGGAATCACGGCTGCCGCGAAGTCGCGCTGGTGATGTTCTTCTTTGGGGAAATAATAAATAATGCATAAGTGTCCACCCAAGTACCTGGACACGGAGTACCTAGGGGCAGGTCCCTGGGCACTTGGGCACTTTGGTAAGCTGGACATGTACATGGCACGAAGTACTGCCCCCGTCGTTGGCTTGCCACGAGTCCACAACACTCCCACCGTCCACGCCTCTCGCGAGAGTCTGCTTAGTCAGTCAACAAAGACTCGCCGCCGGGGCAGCGACAGCAGCAGCATGCTTTATTTTGATTCTGCTGACCGTCAACTTCGTTCCGTGGCATGCGCCGCAAACAGTCACTACCCGAGCATCCGTTCCCGCGTCCACTTGACGGCGTGGGAGCTGCCAGCCTGCGGCCAGACAGCCACGACCGCCGATCCGTCAAATTTCTCTGCTCGAAATCTCAGGGCGCGCTCACTGTCCTGCCCCCCAGGCTCGGCTCGGCTATTCGCGGCGGCCCAATCACCACCCACCCACCAGTGCCGACTGAAGCCATGTTATACTCGGCCTACGGAGTATTCCAATGACGACTCTACTCAACCGCCCTGTAGCTGCAGCCCTCGCAGTTTTCTCTTCAACGCCTGCCCGTCGTTTTCGTCATTGAAGCCCTCGATACTGTCGAGTTTGACGTCGATTTTTTTTTTCTTTCTTCTTTTTCCTTTTCTTTCCTTTTCTTTTCGTCGTCGCCCCTGGCCCAACCGCCTGCCAGACCAACATGTTTCTACAACGCGGATCGCGAATGCTGCGGTGGCAGCTCCAGACCTCCCAGGCCATGGGCGGATTGGCCAAGGGGAGGGGGATTTTGGCGGGGTCTACGATGCCGCGGTGGTTTACCGAATCAAGGAGATTATATGCCGTGAAGCCAGTGCTGCTGGCTGACATTGGCGAAGGTCGGTAGCCTTCCCCGGAGGGAACCCGTCTTTGTTGGCTGGCAACGAGGCAGCGGATGTAATTTTCCGACGCGCGGGACGTGGCTAACATCCTACTGTACAAAGGCATCGTCGAGTGTGAAGTCATCCAATGGTTCGTCGAACCCGGTGCTCGCGTCGAGGAGTTCTCGCCTCTGTGCGAGGTGCAGAGCGACAAGGCATCCGTTGAAATTACAAGCCGCTTCACCGGCACCGTAAAGAAGTTGTACTACGATCCGGGCGAGATGGCCAAGGTCGGCAAGCCCTTTGTCGACATTGACATTGAGGGAGACGCGGAGCCCGAGGCACCGGCACCAAGCCAGGGACAGCAATCGCCAGCCTCGACTTCAACGCCACCTACACCCTCGCCCTCAGAACCTCCCTCAAGGCAAGGCGGCGCTGGTGCTGGTGCGCCCGCAGCACCGTCAGGTCACGACGTCCCCGCGGCGCCGAAGCCCAAAGGCAAGATGGCCGCACTGGCGACACCCGCGGTGCGGCACCTCTCCAAGGAGCTCAACGTTGACATTATCGAAATCGATGGCACGGGCAAGGATGGCAGAGTCCTCAAGGAGGACATCTACAAGTTTGTCCAGAGCAGAGAAGAAGGCGGCGGCAGCGGCGCACAAAGCCTCTCTGCTCCCCTTCTGGCCCACACTCCTGGAGTTCAGACAGAAACCAGAACACCGCTCAGCCAAACGCAACAGATGATGTTTAAGAGCATGACGCGGTCTCTCAACATCCCACACTTTCTCTACGCCGACGAGATCGACTTCTCCGCCCTCGTCGCCCTCCGGGCCCGCCTCAACAAGGTGCTCGCCTCGTCGACGGTGCAGGACGGCCAGCCCGACAAGCTCTCGTACCTCCCCTTCATCATCAAAGCCGTCTCCATGGCGCTCTTCCAGTTCCCCATCCTCAACGCTCGGGTCGAGGCGGACTCGTCCGGCGCCAACGCCAAGCCGGCGCTCATCATGCGATCCCAGCACAACATCGGCGTGGCCATGGACACGCCACAGGGGTTGCTCGTGCCCGTAATCAAGGACGTCGGCTCGCGCAACATCATCTCCATAGCCGCCGAGCTCGTGCGGCTGCAGAAGCTCGCCCACCAAGGCAAGCTGACGCCTGCCGACATGTCCGGAGGCACAATCACCGTGTCCAACATTGGCAACATTGGCGGCACGTACCTGAGCCCCGTGATTGTGGAGAAGGAGGTGTCCATTTTGGGAATCGGCCGCATGAGGACCGTACCTGCGTTTGATGAGGACGACAATGTCGTCAAGAAGCACGTGTGCAATTTCAGCTGGAGCGCTGACCATAGAGTCGTGGATGGAGCTACCATGGCGAGAGCTGCCGAAGTGGTAAGAAGGGTGGTAGAGGAGCCGGATATCATGGTCATGCATCTGAGGTAGAAAAAAAGATGACCGGAGTAAGGACTTGCAAATAATACCAAGATGCCTGTTACCGTCGCAATTGGACAAACCGCCAAGCTTGCATGGACGGATTCGCTGTGGTTCCCTTGTGAGATGCACGTGTTTTGTTAACATGTAGTAACGGCTATTCGATGAGACACAGGATAAAAGCATATCAGCGCGTGTGACGTGCGATGTAGCGCCTTTGGCCAATCACGGGGCGCTAATCGAGGGTCGACCTTTGATAGCTCCCATGTGCTATGCCTCGTGATTGCCCGGCAGATATATGCACTCATATCTGGCTACTAGTCGATTCCCGAGCCTGCCAGACGAGCCATTGTGAACTTCGTGACGAGAGGAGTTGAGGTCCGACATACATAGTAGTTATGCTCCACGGCGAGGCGAGGGCCCACTTGAGTTGAAAACGGTGAACGCGCTTCAACTCACAGATGTACACCGCCAGTTCCTAGACTTGGGTAGATAGATTCGTGGCGCCTGTAGTTGTTAGCTACAGAGCCGTGGCGCTTTATGGTTGGAGCGGATGGATATTATTCCCGAGCGTACGTGTAGTCGTGTACCAAGATTTGTCAACCCAATATCGACAGGTGCACCAAGGACAGGATGAAAAGGACGCCCTCGTCCAGTGTCCCAAGTTGGCGAGCAACAAGGCAAAAGGCCAGCCGATGGCATGCCTCACCGACGGCGTCCGGGCTCTCTCTATGTACCCGTGCTCGTCGTCCCGCTCACGCTCCTTTTCTTTCGCAGGGCACCAAGCAATCCTGGCGGCAAGAGCACAGACGACGGCGTCTCCAATTAGCTGCTGTGAGTGAATTTGTGGCCAGATGGTCTTTGCGAGAACCGTGCCGTATGGTTGTGCCGAGAAGAAGCGAGATGCCATGTGGCTCGCGAAGCCCTGCATCATCCAGAAGGGCTCGGAACAGAGGAGGCACCGTCTGCATGGGACATGATACGCGTACACCCGTAATCTGCCCCCGAGTTCCGTTGCCAGTGACTCGGTTTTTACTGGGTATCACGGACGCACCCGTGTAGCGTGTAGCCGATAATATTCCAAGAAAGCTTTTTTGTTGTTGTTGTTGACTACCCACCGCTTCCAGCTCGTCATGTACGGAGTAGCTGTGGGGGAAACAAGGCTTGAAACCAGGGACTTTGGACCACGTGCAACCTGGGGGAGTGGTTACTTGGCGAGACCTCTGTCTAGTGCCGTGTAAAAGGAATATCCGATCTCTCATCCGGCCGGGGGTAAAAAAAAAAAGGACGCCACATGGGGTGCTCGCAACCCAACAGTGTGCTGCAGTCGGGAGCATTGGAGGTTGATATTTGGGAGCCTTGGAGAATTGGAGCCATCGGAGACCGCGCGCCAGAGCAATGCCAGAGCAATGCCAGGCCAGGCCAGTAGCGGAAGGTGCGGCTGGCCCGTTGCAGCATCTCCATGTCCATGGTCCATGACTTCCATGCCATGCCATCAATTACGGCGGCACCTGGGGGCCTCAGACTCCCGTGCAACCCCATTCGTCTGGGAAGCTTGCCTTGTCCATCGACGCCGTGTTGTTGTGATTGTCGTCGTCGTCGTCGTCGTGCTTCTTTCTCTTTCCCATCAGCCCAACATCCAACAATCGCTTACTCGCACGGCAGGCACATGATGTAGGCATCATCTCCGTTCCCCCCATCCTGCAGCTGCAGGGTGATTGGTGTGAGGCGATGGATGTGAATGGCAACAACAAAGCATTGTCCGTCTCCCCGTCACGCCCGTCACGCGCTCGTCTGGCCGCCTGCCAAGCAGCAGCAGCGCATCTGCATCAAGTCGACAGCCACGACGTGAGCCCGTGAGCCCGTGTCACGACTTCAATTGCCGCACATGGCAGCGCTGGGACCATTGCGCATTTTTTTCCATCACGGCCTGATGGGCTCATGCGATTCATGGCACCACCGTCCCCAACCCTGCATATTCGGAACACATGCGCATGCGCACGTCAGCTTTTGCATGCCCTTGGGCGAATGTCGACAGAAAAACACAGACACGCCAAGTCGGCCTAGTACGCACCACGTATGCAAGCCGTTGCTATCTCTCTCCGGTACGTCTCGGCCAAACCGTCTGCCCTTCAACCGAACACGGCACAAAAAGCATGCAAGAATCCGCCTTCAACCGCTTCTCAATTCGCTCCCATGACCGAAACCCTCGCGCCTGCATATTGCGCCTCACGACACAACCGTGGTTCGCCTGCGTCTTCCCTCTTTCCTCTTCCCATGCGTCCCGCTGCCCCGCGTTTTCCAGTCCCAGCTGTTGCCCGCTGTCCCCGACACCTTGGGTGTATATCCCAACCATATCCAGTCAAGCAAGCCGACAAACTGCGCCCTCTTCAGACTATCTGTCTTATCCGTATACATCTCTATTGCTTTAATCCTGTTTGCTGCCTCAACGATAAGCGGTACAACTATCGTCGATGCAGAGAGACGTGCGCGGAGGAGGAAGCCCGATGGCTCGGATCAAAGCGCCACACAACATTCAATCATAAATCACAACGCAAAAAAGATGCAACAACCATGTAAACCAAAAAAACACCTTGTGTCCAACCCCCAAACAACTTTGAAACGACACGTGGCCTACGTTAGAATAGCCCACGTCAGATCTGGTGCCATGACAATGCAGCAGGCACAGGGCATTGCATCCCTCTCAGGCCATGACAACAAAACATTGGTAGAATCGTGTCTTTCCATCACTCCTCGGCAGCCAGCATTGCCTTCACCTTCTGTAGGATGTCCTCCTTGACTTCCTCGACATCACGGCTAGCATCAATGGTAATGACGTCAACCTCATCCTCCAGAGGACGCTCCAGAATGTCAATTTGGCTTTTGACCATGTTGGCGCCCATGTAATGGCCCTTGCGCGCCGTGACGCGCTTCAAGAGCAGCTCCGCAGACGCGTGGAGGAAAATGATGTGGATGGTGAGTGAACGGTCCCAGTAGGCGGCCACGCGGATGACGTCTCTGTACTTGTACTTGAGAGCGGAACAAGCAACGACGACTCCTTCCGCTCCGTCGTGGATGCGACTGTTGGCTTGCTTCCGCAATTCGATAAGCCAATCCCACCTGTCGGCATCGGTAAGAGGGATGCCAGAGCTCATCTTGTCGATGTTGGACTGGGGGTGATACTGCGTGCGTCGTCAGTCAATCAGCACTCCCGGGGCAGCGCGCCTCTGCGAGTGTGCAACCACACACGGCCTCGTCTGCATGACTTACCTGGTCCCCCTCGATGTAGGGAATGTCGAGCGCATCGGCCAGATGCCCGGCCACCGTGGTCTTGCCGCATCCTGCAGGGCCAGTAACCAACCAGAGGTGGTGCCGCTGGCGAGGTTTTGTCGTGCTGCCGCCAGCAGCGGTTGCCGCGATGGGCTTGGCAGCGGCCGAAGGCAACGGCGCAGCCGCCCTCTGATCTTGTCCATTCGGCACCGCACTATCGTATGAAAGCATTCTGTACTGTACGATATGACGTATCGATTACACAGATGAAGTGAGTCGATTCACACATGTAGCCGTGACGTGGCTGTTCCGTCAAAGGTCGAAACAATCCGAGTAAGCGGTGTCGAGGAGAGCGTAGATGTAGGACCGACGGTTGGGGTTGCCGGAAGGGGTGGGCTTCTCGGGCGGTTATATATTCGACGCAAACCCTCAGGTTGTGGTGGGATAGATAAGATGAGCCAAGTATGTGAGTATCAACGCTGAGGGCGAACGGAAAGACCGACTGGAAAGAGCTGGCAAAGATGTAGCCGCGGTCTGAGGTGCTCGAGAATTCCCAAGAGAGAAAGAGAAATGACTACAGCCAAGGTCGGAGGGGAAGTCGGGGTGGGGATGATGGAAGAGGAGGAAAAGATGAACTAAGGGTTGAACTTGAAGCCGACGTGAACAACGGCCGGGAAGTTGACTGGTAGGTAGTTTAAGCCAGAGCGGCAAACAGGCTCAGGACGACCTCCCACTGCTCAGGGCGGCGCGACTTATTAAAGCAAACAGCCCTGGACCATCTAGAGAACAAGGGGAGCAGGGAAGGGGTGCGGAGGTCGTAGCGCCAGCTCACGATCAAGAAAGAAAATCGTGCTTCAAGGCGACAAGGCGAGCGGGAACGCGCGGGTCCTTTTCGTAAAATGTCAAGAGTCGAGGCTTGTCAACGAGAGCCAGACCATGACGGAATAGTAGCAGTGGCATGGAGTGCAAGGCGTCCAAACGGAGGGACGGAGTGGGGAAGAGGGGCGTGTCAATCAGCACAATCAATGTTCCAAGACTTCAAGTGCTTGTTTCTTTTCCATTCAGCCTCCCTCCCCATCCATCTCTCGCCCTCTCTCTCTGCCTCTACCTCTACCGACGAGTGACGACTGAGCGTGGACGTGCGACCCGATTCGAATACTGTTCGTTCAATCTTGTCTGGGTGAGCCATTCGCTCCGCTGCGTGGGCAGTCTTGGCCATTAGACACTCCGTACTCCGTACTGGGCTTATGTATCCATCCTTTCCTAGTGCACGACAGGGGCCAGCCAGTGCGTCGGGTCTTGCTTTTTCTTCATCATTGACAAGGATTGAAGAATCAGTCTGTCGTCTTGTAGCACTCCGCCGCGCTGACTGCGAATGTGGTTTGGCGTTGATGAGCCGTTGACCGGCACAGGTGACAGTATACCCTGAGCGAGCCCGCGCCAACGCATAGACCTGCATCATTCTCGTTATGCCTCTCAGCCTCGACGCTGTATTAATTAATACCCTGCCCCCTGCCCCTGCCGCTGATTGTTACGTTACCCAAGCACCACACTCCCTAAAGAGCACCTACCTAAGATGGTGAGGCACGAGGCACAGCGTCCGTACGACTGCTCCCATCTTCGTTGCTCGTGCTCCGCAAGCCGTTTGCTAGGTTCCACAACCCAGAGATCCCATCGACTGCTCCGCCGGCATGTCTGATGTCCGGCATGCAGTCTCGTCTCGAAGGGAATCCGTCTGCCGCCTTGAACTCTTAACATGAAGCCTGTGATGTATGTCGGTGTTAATTGATGTGATCAACACCCGGCCATCTGTCATATTCGGGGGCCGGGAAACCTAGGCTGGCTTCCACCATAGTACAGAGCATTAGAAGTCAAGACTACATACAACATGTCGTGACCGGCCTTTTGATGCGCAACTGGGACCGGACCCGCTACACCGGAAGCACTTCCGTCACTCCGGTATGTCGCAGCTGACCTCGGGTGTATTATTGAACATGACCAGCAGCCTTGCGTCATGGTCGTTGGCCTTTGGGCCGACCCTGGATTACGATGCACGAGCAAGATAATGTTGCTGACGACTGTGCAGCTCTGAAATTCGCAATCTGCTCTGCTTGGGGGACATCTGGAAGAGGTTGACCCTCACCATCCCAAACATAGTACGGAGTACTCTCTGTTCTTTATCTTGTGATCTTAACGAGGTGCTGTCAAGGATGCTAGTGACGATGTCCCAAATAAACACGGCAGTCTCCAAAAAGAAATGTGGCGCAATCGATCTTGAGGGCTGCCCCAAGCGGCAAATATACTGGGTTCGGTAACTCAGTGTCGTCGGCTATTGACCGACAACGCCTGGTGTTGGGCGACCAGATATGACTCTGGACTCCTCACGAGAAAATATCCGAATTGGCGGCTGGTTTTTGGTCACGGGGTTCTTACTATTTATAACAGTAACGGCAGAGGGATAGGCATACCTTGTAGAATTGAAAGAATCGAAAGAAGCTTGGGATAGCTGGAGTCGCAGCCCGTACCCGTTTTGACATTTGCAATCGGCAACCGATTATACTTGCAAACGCCGAAACTTGGGGTAGGGCCGTGGGGGAACCTTTCATCCCCAACATTTCAACTGTGACCGCGGCAACTCATGCGCCGGGGAATTGCGGACAGAGTACGGATACTGATTGTGCCGACGTAGGCTTGCGGGTATACATGCCCACCTCTGGTTCGTGCCCGCAAAGTTGCGATTAAAAGAGAGCGGGAAGAGCCGCCGCCCAGGTTGCTGGAGCTACCTTAACGCGCTTGCTCGATTTGCACAATGCTGGGAAAAAGAAGTAGAAATTTGATGGTGCTTTTTGTGGAAAAACACAGTATCGCAAGTATCAATGTGTAGCCTGGCGAGAGATCCTAAAGACTGTGTGGTAGCGACGTCAGATGCTCACTCAGTCCCCCACTCCGTTGACTGCGCCATGCCTGCTCCCAGACATTTTGAATATGGTCGTACATGCGTCTCTTTTAGACATTCTTCAAGAATTTAGCATGGCGTCATTATGCAGCACCGAGGCCGCGACGTCGAGTACTTCCTACCGTGTTTTGTCAGCAAAGTGATACGGCAACCGCGACAAATGTCTCGTATGCCTTCTGTCAAACAAAAAATCCCATGGAAAAGTACCTCGTTTGTAATGCGGATTAAACACCATGGACCTTGGCCCCTATACTTGATGAAATCTGCGTCCCTACATCATAGCACCATGGTGCGGGAGAAGCTACAGAAGTTTCTTGACCAGCCCAGTTTGACTATCAGCGATGCGGAAAGGAATTCCAAGACAGGTATTGAAACTGCAGTCGTTTGATTCACATGATGTGAGAAAGAACTCTGCCATTGAATGTTCAAGGAGTTATCAAGGGAGTTTACAATTGTTGGATGGGAAAATCATTGCACGCTGCCTGCCGCGTGGATGCGTTGACCGATGAGGCAGGAGCAAGCCACTCTTCTTCCTTCTTGAGCCCGCGTGCTTGCCTTCCTAACACAAATTGCGGGCCTCGAGTGCTGGTACATATAGCAAGTCAAATAAATAGAAAGGCAGTTAACCTAGAGCACAAGAGGCAGGTCGGCGTTCTGGGACACAGCCAGCCAGAGAACTGGCGCAGGGCGAGGCTTCAAGATTGCCTGCGCCAACCCTCCCCGGCGGGCCTTTAGGGGCTGCTCACCGCCCCAAAAGCCTGCTAGAAAACCCGTAGGGTAGCCCGCCGTGACCCGACAGCAGTCGCGCTCCATGCCAACAGAAGGAGCCACCCGGGCACGCCGGTGCCACAGGTGGCACTTGAGGTCACTTGTACAGCTTTTAACAAGTTGGCGTTGACCTCAACTTGTACTGCTTTAGAACGTAGGCCAATTGCGAGCCAGCAAACTCGCAACCTGCTTACTTCGTAAGTACCTAGGTAAGCTTCTGTCGAGGAGGGGAACTTTTGACATTAGAAGCAAGCTTGGTACTTATTGTACCGAGTACATACGCACCTTTTCCTTTACAAGGTGTCACGCTACGTGCGTCTGCCGTCTCCGACTCCCTCATGTCCCTCGCATCGCTTCTGCGAAGGCTTTCCTCTCCGAGACCAGCCGTTTCTAGGATCTCCATATCTTGTCGACGGCCGCCTCCTCTACGTTGCGCTACGCCTCTCCGCCGAGACTCGTTTTCGTCATCGTCCTTTTCTCTGCGATTCTCGTCCAGCATGGCTTCTGCGGACCTGAAGCACTTCCTTGCCGATCAGCCTCCGTCGGTGGTGAGCCTGGAAATCGAGCAGCATTTTGATGCCCTGAATGATAAGCAGAAGCGTTATGCTCATTTCATTAGCAAGTATGTGCGCACCCCAGCGTAATTGACCAGTTCGCTGACTTTTATGAACCTACACAGAGCCTGCTTTGCTGGTACTAGGATCGTCCTTCGGCAAATTTCCCCCGAGTCTGAGCCCATTTACGATCTCATCCTGACCTTGCATAAGAGTTGCGATGGTGATTGGGATGCTCTGGCCAATAAGGCTGGCGTTGACGAGGCTGAAATTACCAGTTTCTTGGAGTATGCTGCCATGTTTCTCGGAAATAACGGAAATTACAAAAGCTTTGGTGATTCCAAGTTCCTTCCTCGGTGTAGCGACAAGACTGTTGCTGCCCTTGCTGCAACTTCTCCCGAGACGGCCAAGTTCTACGAGGCGACCAACGGTGGAATTTTCAGCCATGACAAGCCTGGCCTGCTGCATCTCGGGTTCATTGATGCTGGCCATATGACCACCTATTACCCTGATTCTCCCACCATTACCAAGGATGAGATCGAGAGTGTTTCCGCGTGGATGGAGAAGAAGGGTTTGCTACCCGAAAACAACAGACTTCGCAAGAATGCTGACGGCTCATTTGATATCCTTATTGCCTCCGTCGTCACGACCGTTCCTGCTGAAGGCGGAGACATTGGCAAAGACACCCAGTTCACGATCGAGGATGGCGCCTTGAAGGGCAAGACTATCAGACTTCTTTATGGCGACCATGCCGAAGAGATGAAGAACATCGCTGCCTACATCAAACAGGCAGCAGACAATGCCGACAACGATACGCAAAAAAGCATGCACATCAACTATCACAAATCTTTCGAAAGCGGTTCTCTTGAAGCCTACAAAGACGCCCAGAGAGATTGGATCAAGGACAAGGGTCCCATGGTGGAATGCAATATTGGCTTTGTAGAGACGTACCGTGACCCTGCCGGGGTACGTGGCGAGTGGGAGGGCTTCGCGTCCATGGTCAACCTAGAGCGCACCCGTGCCTTTGGAGAACTTGTCGCTGCTGCTCCCACTCTCATTCCTCTCCTCCCTTGGGGTAAGGACTTCGAAAAGGACAAATTCTTGTCTCCCGACTTTACGTCATTGGAGGTCATGACTTTTGCTGGATCTGGCATTCCCGCTGGTATCAATATCCCCAACTATGACGACATTCGACAGACTGAGGGTTTCAAAAATGTCTCGTTGGGCAACGTCTTGAGTGCCAAAGCGCCCGATGAGAAGATTCCTTTTATCCGTGATGAGGATTTGGAGATTTATAAGAAGTACCGTGACGCTTCCTTTGAAGTCCAGGTCGGTCTCCACGAGTTGACCGGTAAGTTATGCAAGAACTACACCGCTAGAGAGAAGTTCATGCTGACTCATTCGTCCTTCTAGGCCACGGATGCGGTAAACTCCTTCAGGAAACCTCACCTGGCGTATTCAACTTTGATAAGGAGAACCCCCCAATCAGCCCTGTGAACAAAAAGCCAATCACGACTTGGTATAAGCCTGGTCAAACCTGGGGTTCCGTTTTTGGCAGCGTAGCTGCCTCATATGAAGAGTGCAGAGCCGAGCTGGTTGCTATGCACCTTAGCTGCGAGTTTCCTGTTCTTCAAATATTCGGTTTTGGGGATGGTAGCTCAGACATGAATGGTGAAGCTGGCGATGTCTTGTATGCGTCGTATCTCTCTATGGCTCGCGCTGGTCTTGCAGCTACGGAGCTATGGGACCCAAAAAGCCAGAAATGGGGTCAGGCCCATAGTCAAGCTCGATTCTCGATTCTCAAGTGCTTCCTTGAGGCCGGCGACAACTTCTGCGCTCTACATTATACTAAGGACGACATGTCTGATTTAACCATCCGACTTGATCGATCCAAGATTCTCACAGCAGGCCGCGAAGCTGTGGCTGCTTATCTGCAAAAACTTCATGTTTACAAGTCTACCGCTGATGTCGAGACCGGTACCAGGTTCTACAATGAGATGACCAAGGTTGACCCCGATTTCTGGGGCACCAAGGTCCGTAATGTTGTCCTTGATAACAAGCAACCTCGTAAGGTGTTTGTTCAGGCTAACACGTTCTTGGACGAGGCTTCTGGCAAGGTTTCCATCAAGCATTACGATCCTAGTCTAGTTGGCATTATCGAGAGTTGGGTTGACAGGGATTTGTAATTTGACGCAAGATAGCACGGGGAGTTGGGACAAATTAGAAGATAAAGAATGTACAATACTGCATCCTGATGGTACATCGTAGACTAGAGTGCCAGAATGACATGAGGAAAAATTAGATGAAGGAATTGTAGAAGCCGGTCCTGCCTTCCATCTGGCTTCCACCGGAGAAGGGTTGTGTCTTTACGTGATTCGGGATGTGTAGATGGGAGTACATGTTGATTGCACATCATCACTGCAAAGACTGGTAGTCGTGGGCATTCGAGAATTCCCTGTTTTGGATCATCATCACGGCTCACCAGATTGCCCTCGAGGGACTCGATTCATTTCGGCTCGTTGGTTTTGTCCTTTTTTTTGACTGTAAAAAACCTGATTACAGACGCCAAGATGTGACCGGTGCCTGTCAACTTCCAAATGCAATTGGCCAAGCCAGCCCTATGTGTTCGGAGAACCCGTTTCCCGTTTTCTACAAACCGTTGCCGCACCGTTCAAAACGATGCCGTTCCTTGGATACCACACCGCGCTAGGCCTTCCACACACGCTCCTACTTCCAGGCCCCTTCGCTGTAATCTGCAACTCGTAAAGCTCAGCAACAAATTCTCATCCTTTTTGTTGGGGTTTAAAGACAGAATTCGCTGTTGCTGGCGTTTACCAGGCCATCTCGTGGGGCTTGTCGCCCTTTCGCAAGCTGAACGAGCTTGAGAGATAGCTGGCGAGCATGTCGACCTTCTTGATATTGGCGATCAGGGGCTTGTCGACGGCCTTCTGATCAGCAGCACGGCTGCTGTTGATCTGCTTCTTCTGCAGGCCATCGAATTAGTCTTGCTTCCATCGTCATTGCTTGAACCAGTTCCTTCAAACCGAACTTTGGCTCACGGCGAGAATGTTTGATTTGGGGCCGTGCGAAAACTAGAACATGGAACCATACCTGAGCCTTCTCTCCCTGCTTGAAAAAGGCCTCCTCACCAGCCTTCTCCTTGGCCTTCTCGGCAGTAAAGTACTTGGGCTGAGCAATATCCTCGACCTTCTTGGCGTCAAGGCCGGAGACATCGATCTTCTGGGAGGTGGCAATGACATATCGGGAGTTGACTCGTCGCAGAGGAACACCATTGATCTTGAAGGGGCCCGTGATGAGAAGGACACCCTGGTCGAGGGCCTTGAGAAGGATGACGCGCTTGCCACGGAAACGACCGGCGAGAAGGATCAGGACGGTACCAGGCTGAAGGGACTTTCGGGGAGCCCAGGAACGGACTGCTTTGCGAACCTGGAGGTTTTGACAATGCTTGGTTAGCCATCTCGTCTCAACAATCATTTGAACCGCGTGTGCGGATATGAAATCATCATGGTAGCTGGCCGTTTGTGCTATTGTAATGCATCGATTGCCGAATTTCTGGTGCGATTGAGAACTGTAGTTTCGATGGGCTTGTTGTCTTCGTCGTTCTTGTTCATGAGAAGTCGGAGAAGTGGTCACCGACCACATTTCGCCATTACGGTAGGTTCGTGTTGCAGTTGTTGCTATCGCGCGCTTTTCCATCGTCCGAAACATAGATTGCGCTTGCTTGCACCGGATACAGGCCACCACGGTGTCGCACCCCATCACCAGAATCACCATCACCATCATCATTATCATCTTCACCGCCATCGCCATAAACTCACCTGCTTGGGCTCGTTCTCGTCGTCGGCAGGATACCACTTCTGGGCCTTGGCCGCGGGAGCGGGAACCTCCCGGGTCGACTTCCCGAACTTCTTGGTCGTGGGCTTCGCCGACATGGTGACTCTCGGGTTGTGTCTTGTTGGGCTGTGGAGAGGAAAGGGAGACACGTCTGATGATGCTCGCCCGAAATGTTAGAATTCTTTGTGAACGCCGCTAGCGAGTTTGTGGGAAGGAAATTGTGAACCCTCAGGCGCTAACCGCTTACGGCAGTTCTTGCATGATCAACTTTTCCTACCCAACTTGTGGGAAGCGGGGCTAAATGCACGTGATGATAAGATAAAGGGTAACTAACCATGCTCTTGTGGGTCTTTGCTGGGCTTCCAGGCCGGTTTGTGGCGCGACGGTTTGGTAGTTGCGAGTCGAACATACGAGAAGCTGGTGGTGCCGTCACGATGATCCCAGAATCGGGGGAGCTCCTCGACCAAGGGTTCCAGTCGTGTTTTGTTCGAATCTGAAGCTCTAGCTCGAATGTACACAACTCTTGCCTCATTATCAATACAATTTTGTTTCCTTGGACTGTATCAAGACAGGCCGACCCCGACCAGTCTACATGCGATCAACTATGCAAGCCAGACGCCAATTAATAGCTTCGGCTAAGAGAGTAGCGGGTGCCACGGTTCGATCCTCACGACCCGTCTTGCGACTGACAGCAACTCGAAGTGCTCGCGCGGAAGCCCCCCGGTTGCTCCCGACAATTGCCACACGATGCTATGCAAACGGAAGACCCCATCCTCCGGGAGGAACGCATCGTATGAACATGGGAGGCGAAGAGGAAAGGCCGGCACTGGAGCAGTTTGGCATCGATCTCACAGCTCGAGCCAGAGACGGCAAACTTGATCCAGTCATTGGACGAGATGCCGAGATCCAGCGAACAATTCAAATCTTGTCCCGAAGAACAAAGAACAACCCCGTCTTGATCGGCAATGCTGGTACAGGGAAGACTGCTATTCTGGAAGGACTTGCGCTTCGCATCATCCGGGGAGACGTGCCAGAAAGCATAACGAACAAGCGCGTCATCAGCCTAGACCTGGGCTCACTGATAGCCGGTGCCAAATTCAGAGGCGACTTTGAAGAGCGGTTGAAAAAGGTCCTAGATGAAGTTCAAAAGGCAGAGGGACGAGTGATACTTTTCATCGATGAGCTGCACACGTTGCTTGGCCTGGGAAAGGCTGAAGGCTCAATCGACGCCTCCAACCTGTTAAAACCTGCCTTGGCTCGAGGCGAGCTACAATGCTGCGGCGCCACCACGCTCAGCGAATATCGACAAATTGAAAAGGACGTAGCCCTGGCTCGTCGGTTCCAGCCCATCATTGTCAGCGAACCCTCGGTAGAGGATACCATCAGCATCCTCCGTGGTATCAAGGACAAATACGAAGTCCATCACGGCGTGCGCATCACGGATGGGGCCCTGGTCGCGGCTGCAACATTATCCAACCGGTACATCACAGATCGTTTCCTGCCAGACAAGGCAATCGATTTGATGGACGAAGCAGCCAGTCACTTGAAGCTGCAGCATGAGTCGAAGCCCGAAGACATCATGCGACTGGATCACAAGATCATGACCATCCAGATCGAACTCGAAAGTTTACGCAAAGAAAAGGACGTCGCGAGCCAGGAACGCAGAGAAAAGCTTGAAAAGGATTTGAAAGGCTACCAGGATGAAATCGCCGAGCTCAATGCTCGTTGGGAAAAGGAACGCAACGAGATTGAATCCGTCAAGGTGGTCCAGGAGGATCTCGAAAAGGCCAGATTTGACCTGGAGCAAGCACAGCGCGAGGGCAACTTTGCTCGCGCCTCTGAGCTCCGATTTGGCGTCATCCCAAACCTCGAGCGGAAACTCCCAACGGACGAGGAGAGCCAAAAGACCCAGTCCGAGGACACACTGATCCACGACTCCGTCACCTCCGACGACATCGCCAACGTCGTATCCCGCATCACCGGCATTCCCGTGTCAAAACTCACGTCAGGCCACATCGAGAAGCTGGTCCACATGGAAGACACGCTGCGCGAGGCCGTCAAGGGCCAAGATGACGCCGTCAAAGCCGTCGCCGACGCAGTTCGCCTCCAGCGTGCCGGCCTCAGCGGCGAGAACAAGCCTCTCGCGTCCTTCTTCTTCCTGGGTCCCACGGGCGTCGGCAAGACGGAGCTGTGCAAGAAACTCGCCGGCTTTCTCTTCTCCACGGAATCGGCAGTCGTCCGTTTCGACATGTCCGAGTTCCAAGAAAAACACACCATATCGCGTCTCATCGGCGCCCCCTCGGGCTACGTAGGCTACGAGGATGCCGGCCAGCTCACCGAGGCTGTGCGTCGCAAGCCCTACGCCGTGCTGCTCTTTGACGAATTCGAAAAAGCACACCGCGACATCTCGGCGCTGCTCCTGCAGGTCCTCGACGAGGGGTACCTCACCGACGCGCAGGGCCACAAGGTCGATTTCAAAAACACAATCATTGTGCTGACGTCCAATCTCGGGGCCGACATCCTCGTCGGGCAGAACCAACTCCACCCGTACAGGGAGAGTCCCGACGGAGAGATCGACCCCTCCGTCCGCAAGGCCGTCATGGACGTCGTGGCTCAAGCATACCCGCCCGAATTCCTCAACCGCATCGACTCCTTCATCATCTTCAAGCGCCTCGCGCAATCCGCCATCAGGGAGATTGTAGACATTCGCCTCAAGGAGCTGCAGCAGCGTCTGGATGACCGGCGAATCAAGCTCGTCGTTCCGGACACGGTCAAGGACTGGCTCGCCAGCCGCGGATACGATCCCAAGTTTGGCGCAAGGCCGCTGAACCGGCTGATCACCAACGAAATCGGCAACGGGCTCGCCGATAAGATCATCCGTGGCCAGCTGAAGATGGGACAGACTGCCGAGGTGGAGATCAAAAAGGATGGCTCGGGCCTGCAGGTGTTTAATACTTCCGAGACGGCAGTGTAATACAACGTCCTGTAATGTAATGTATGTCTACATCACCGGGGGAAAGGGGAGTCTCGGGTTCTGCATTTAGAGCAGTTGATTTTGAGGGTCGTCTAGCGGTGACTTGCTACGTGTTTTTTTGTTGTTGTACTCCTCTCAGTGGATTGATACGCACGGGTTTATACTGAAGAAATGATCAAAAACACATATACTCATGTATCTAACACATGGAAGGAAATAGTTCACTTAAAAAATTTCGGACATGACGAACATAGAAAGGCTTTCCCTTTCCATTCCCCAATGTAATCATCGCATGTACTCTGTTGTCACTCATTCCCTTTCCGCCACCCGTCAAAAACGAACCCAAGACCGGAGAGTCAAAACACATGGGAGCCATGGAAACGGACCAATCGAAGGGGACAAGATGTACCATACTTAGGGGGAAAAAAAGAGAAAAACCAAATCTTTTTGTTCTGTGCTCATCCCCCCAAGCTCATTCATCCCTGTCACTCCGCTACGAATCCTTTCCCGGCCGGGAGGCCTGCGTAACGAACCCAACGCCGCTAATCTAGCGCAATGAAGAGAAAAGACAGACGACGAGAGACAAAGAGCAAGTCAAGCCGAGACTAAAACATAACAGCGTAAAAACAATCTTTGCCTTGCACATAAACGCCCTCTTTCCATGCCGAATTCCCCTCAACCATCCAGTACATCCAAAGCCGTCGTCAAATATTCGTCGTGTATGCCGCCGGGAACCTGGATCCGGTAGACCGTTTGACCCAGCGAGCCCGGACATTTCCGCGTCCTCTTGGTTCATACCCGACGTATTCAACCAAACATCCACAGCCACTGTAGCATAATCCCCTGACAGGCTGCATTTGGAAGGCTCAACATGTATATGTGCCTCACGACAACACCTGAAAAAGAGACAATAGTCCAGGTCGGACAGGGACGAAGGATGAATAATGGACTAAATTCTGACTCGATTGGTTGATCGATAGCTTTTCAAATTACAGCCAAAACCTCACTATAACGAAGTCCGGTATTGCAGAGAGTACGAGATTTGAAGGGGTACGAATGAGAAAGCGGGAGTTGACCAAGGGCTTCTCGCGGGTGATGTCTACTGGCCGGCGCTGCGGAGGGTTTTGGCGAGCCACTCCAGACCCTCGTACAGACCGTCACCAGACGTGGCGCATGTAGACTGGATGTACTGTTGAACGCCAAGATTAGTGAGCAGGTTAGGAGCCCCGGCTGGAGGGAGGGGAGGGGGATGGGTTTGCTTTGTGAACGTACCCAGGCGCGTTGCCGCAGGCTGTGAAGACCAAGCTTGTCGGTGATCTCGGCAGCGTTCATGGCGTTCTAGGACGAGTTAATTGGCTGAATTGACGCGTGAGGCAAGCAACGCATCAGGCTAATAAACTTACAGGAAGATCCTGTTTGTTGGCAAAGACCAACAGGATGGCATCTCGCAATTCATCCTCGTTGAGCATGCGCTGGAGTTCCTCGCGGGCCTCAACGACACGGTCACGATCGTTGCTGTCGACGACGAAGATGATACCCTGAGTGTTCTGGAAGTAATGCCTCCATAGGGGACGGATCTTGTCCTGACCACCGACGTCCCACACGGTGAACTGAATGTTCTTGTACTCGACAGTCTCGACGTTGAAGCCTAGAAAACGGGGGCGTTATTAGTAGGGCAGCGTGGCGGGGGCAGTCCGATGGGACGCCAGAAGAGGGGGGTAGCGGCGGAGAGTAATTGATACGACAGTCAGTACCAAGAGCGGTCGGGGAATCATACCGATGGTAGGAATCGTGGTGACGATTTCGCCAAGCTTAAGCTTGTAGAGAATGGTGGTTTTACCGGCAGCATCAAGACCAACCATCAGAATTCTCATCTCCTTCTTACCCCACAATTTGTCGAAAAGCTTAGAAAAGGTGAGACCCATGATTGCGACTTGGGGCGATAATGCCGGGGAGTCGTATTATCCGTGGCGCTGGTGGTTGGTTGTGTGGGAAAGGAGGAAAAAGGGATCGACCGCGCGACGGAGCGAGATATCTATGTGTCCTAATTGCCACGCGTAAAAGTAAGCCAACCAGCCAGGGAGGGTTTGATTTTTTTTCCCCGATGTGGGCTCGAGGTCGGCGGGCAGGAGAACAGAAGATGACGGGGGAAGAAGGAGGAAAAAAAGTTGGGATGACGAGAACAAGGTCGATGCAGGACTGAGTGGAAATGGCCGACTTGTGGCTCGTCGGTAAGTCAACAGCTGCGTCTTGGGGTTGCGAGTTACGACTTGGATATACTCGGTACTCGTGCGCAGACAGAGGACACATGTCCAGGGAGTCCAGGGATAGGCTGCCGCATTTCCACGGGTGGGGGTCCCGTTCACACACACTGTGCGGCCCAACTTGGGCTGTGTGTGAATGAGCGAGTGAGTGACTCGAGTGACTTGAGCGACTCGAGACTCGTCAAGGACCTGCACGACAGAGGTCGGGGCGGCGGCCACGGCGACGGGGCAGAAAGCACCCCCAAGTCAATTCCTTTTGGGCTCGACTGCACAGCGGGTAGAGGCGAGGGCGCGCGGGCGATGGCGAGGGCGCGCGGGCAGAGACGACTTACTCTTTGGTCGACGGATGACGGATCGCCGGATGCTTTGGAGAGTGGGCGTGCAGGAGTGGGACAGGAGAAGGAGAGTTCTCGTGGGCAGGATAATTTTTGGCCGGGTTCCATGTCGGTGAAGAGCAGAGGCTTGCAGAGCAGCGCAGTGTGTAGCGCAGCGCCTGCGCTGAGCCGGGCGGCGGAAGGCCCATTGCAACTTTGTGGGCGGACGCACGCTGCACCAGACATGTGATGGCATCGGCGCCTACAGAGTACTGACTTTAGTAAGCTACAGGGCACACAGGACGTCTTTGTACCGAGTACAGGTACTGAGTACTCCGTACTGGAGTAAGCACTCAAGTAGGTTCGTCGCTTCCTCTTGCACGGCACCTCTGTATTTACTGCTCATTTACTCCGTACTTTTTGGTTTGGCTCGTCCCCAGCTTGCGGCCCCTCTGGTTCACTGCCTACTTTAGGCAATCAAGCACCTGAAGGCTCCGTGCTCGCGCGATGGAGAAGCACAGCCGAGGGGCCCAGGTACAAAACAAAATACTCCACGTCCTGTTGATGCAAGCATGCTCGGTGCCGGCAACGTCGAATATCCTCGCGTTGGTGTATCCCTTGACCCGGCATGTCCACTGGTGGCACTGAGCTCAGGGCTGCGCACCGCCCGGAAAAACCAGTGCACCTGCTAGACTCTCCGGCCCTGGCTTCCAGACGTCGGGTCCTGTCGGTCCCTGCTTGTTTGCCGACGACGGAGTCTGTGCAAAGTCAGCATACAGTGGCACAGCTCGCAATCGACTCGTGCATACACTGTGTGCTCTGTGGATGCCTCCCGAATTTCGGGAAAAGTTATTGATCCGTGGAGGCTCCCGAGGCTCCATGTTCAACAATAATAAGCTCATGTCTCCTGGAAGTCTCCTGAGTCGAGCAAACTCAGTGCGAGCCAAAGGGGGGAGGGGCCCTTGCATCTGGCCACAGGTGAAGAACCACTCAGAGTCTGAGCTCGCGGTCCCACTTCCACTTCGTCGTCCCGCCCGACCAGCCATGGCAGCAACGTCTGCAGTACGGGGTACATGCGCCTGTATGCTCTGTGTGCCAGACCTCGTGCCAACATCCGCTCCTCAGAAGTACCGGGTACTCCGTACATATCTCTCAACTCATAATTCCTGTCGTCAGCGAAAAGGTTCAGCTTCAGCTTCACCTTTACCTTCACAGTTACTCGACTTCTGCCTGCTTCACTTGGCCGCGCCCCGCAGGCAACGCAGCGCAAAGACAAAAGTTTGTCAATTTCCGGGGTTGTTTACGTCGACTCGAATTGAAAATGCATCGGTCCTTGGCTGCGAGGTCATTGTTCGCTGTGGCAACGGTGGCCTTCCGGGTCGCCAGCGCCCACAACATTGTGCTGCCCGCCCACGGTATTGAGTGCTTCCACGAGAGCCTGCATCGCGACGACAAAATGACAGTCACCTTCCAGACTGGTGATCGGGAATTCGGCAGCGCCGGCAACCTCGACATTGACTTTTGGGTATGAGCTTGGCCGACCCCGATTGCTATGTTATCCCCACCATCATATGCCAAGGGGGGGTTGCTGTCATGAGATATCATCATCGTGCCTCAGTTTGTTTATTTAATATCCCTCTCTAACAATGACTGCCTGGTAGATTTTAAACCCCAGCGGCAGCTACGAGGTCAACGAAAAGTCCGTCTCTGCCGGCGACCACTCCTTCACTGCTCACCACGACGGCAAATACACATACTGCTTCGGTAATCAGCATTGGGGAGCCAACACCAAAGAAGTTTCCTTCAACGTACACGGGGTCGTCTATGTCAGCGAATCCGAAATGCCCTCTGACCCTATCGAGGCCGAAGGTAATAAATACCCTGCAACAACAACAGCAACAGCAATCTCTCAATTCGCTCCGGGCCTTGCCAGGAAAGCAAAGCTAACTGTGCCAATCGCAGTCCGTAAATTGGCCGAGCTCCTTGCCCAAGTGAAGGACGAGCAGGAATACATTGTCATGCGAGAGCGCACCCACCGCAACACCGCCGAGAGCACCAACGCCCGTGTCAAGTGGTGGAACCTGTTCGTCATGGGAGTCGTCCTCGGCGAGTCTCTTTTCCAGGTCTGGTGGCTGCGCCGCTTCTTCGAGGTCAAGCGTGTCGTATAGAGGGGGGTTTGACAAAGCTTAGGCGGCACTCTGAACTTGATCATTCGATCCTATGCGCGGGGAACGAAGCGTGACAAGCACTTGGCCACGGCAAAACCAGCCTGGTCCCCCAACCGTTTAGAGTTTTGGGGCAGTTGTCAAGACGAAGCTGCTTGCCTTTGGCGAGCAACGACTGGCCTCGACGCGAATGGTCTTGGGGGAACCCTTGGATGATGAGAAGCGCGAGCGTGTCCACGAGTTTCAGAGGAAGGGGGCCAAAATGTAAGATGTAGGCTGTAATTAATCGGTGTTGATTACCTCCTGTTATGAATGGAGAAGGCACAGCAAGCGGGCTAATTCACCCCAAGCCTCAATGAATTCTCAGACAGGCAACATTTCCTCGTCGTGACCACGACTGCCAAGGTCACGTCGCGGGACGAGGCTCTAGTCTCTCTCTACTCCATGCTCATCAATGCATTCCATGGCCGCACCGCAAATACGCGACCGGCTTTGCTGCATCCATATGCACATGTGCGCACATGCAATGTAAATGCTCTACGCGGCACGACATCGTGCATGGGCCCAGCCGCAATGCCCGTAGACTGTAGTCCCTCCCCAGAAAGCCATTCCATTCCCGTAGCCCTGTACACCATTGCGTCTAGAACAGAAAAAGCAAGGCACACGCAAAACATCAGAGACACGTCCAAATCACGCCGCGGGATCCGACGCGACGCTCTCACTCTCACTGTCCTCATCGGGAGGCGCCTCAACCGGCAGCTCGACGTCCTTGACAGGATGCAGCAACATGGCCGGGACGCACATCCTCCCCTCGCCGCCACGCATATTGCCGACGCCCGAACCCTGCTTGGTCTCGTCCAGGGTCTGCTCAAAGTCCTCGCCGCCGTCATTGTTCACCTTGAGGCCGAGCCATCTCCTGTACAGGTTGGGCGCAAAGCCCGAGTTGTAGAACCAGCTGAGGCCCTTGAGGTTGTGCTCGCGCTCGCCAAAGACGCTGGTTCTCGAGCCGCCGCTGGACGCGTCCCGCCCGCCGTTGTACGTCTGCGCCATGTACTCGACGGGCCACCTGCGGTCGACGTACATGGGGTGCGGCGCGTAGACGGCCTTGTAGCCGTGCTGGAGGGCGACGGTGGCGGGCCACATCTCGGGAAAGGCAAACTGCTTCTTGAAGGCCGTCATGCGGTGCATCTTGACGAGAAGCCGCCGCGACATGCGGGACGTGGTGATGATGGCGGCGCGGCGCGGCGGCAGCGGCCGCGAGCGGTTGTAGCCCGTGATGTCGTCCTTGAGGGCCCACGTCGTGCCCTCGGGGTCGAAGATGGGGTTCAGCGAGATGTAGTCTGCTTCTTCGCCGACGCCCCAGCTGTACTTGTCGGCCTCGTACGTGGTCGGGGCCACGGGGTCGTCTTGGGCCTCGAACCAGTCCTGTTCCTCGGCCGGGCGGACGGGACCCCAGACCATCCGGGAGCTCTTGGGGACCGTCGCGTCCGCGGCGGGCGTCCTTGTCTTTTCGCCCGGCATCTTGCTCCAGACGTTGTCGGCGGCGGCGGTGCCCATCTCGCTGTGCACGCGGGACATCTGCGAAAAGTCGTCCCAGGTGCCGTGGGCGCTGGGGAGGTAGAAGCGCGAGTTGCGTTCCCAGAGCCCCTTTCTGGGCTGTGCCTTGGCCCATTCCTCGAGCTTGGTCACCAGGTCGTAGTAGTGGCCCGTGTAGCGGACGTCCATTTCCCACTGCCAGAAGTAGTCGTACTCGGGGTGCTGGTAGGCAAAGTGCTGCATGGCCATGGAGTGCCCTCGGTAGACGCCGTGGACCGGCAGAACCGGCCCGCGCGTCCACAGATCGTACATGCCCTGATAGACGGCCAGCATCTGGGTTTCCGTCCAGAGCGTCACGAGGCCCTGGAACTCCCTCGGGATGGCCTCCTTGACTCGCTGCTGGTAGGCTTCGTGGTCGGCCAAGACGGGGTGCTTGCCGTCCTCCTTGACCTGGACGAGGAGGTGGACGTCATATCTGCCGCCGGACCCCATGGACAGCTCGGCAATCACGGAGCGGAGGTGGGCGACGTCGTCCTCGCGGAAGAGGTACGAGTCCCAGCACCGGACGACGACGGCCGTCCTGGCGACATTCCGCGCGCTGACGCCGCCCTCGGCGCTCCCGGAAGAGGCCCCGTCGGCCGCGGGCTCCTCCCCCCCAGCCCCTCGAGTAGTGTTGGCGCTCGTCGCGGTGGTGTCCTCCTCGGATCGACGAGCCGCGATGCTCTCGGCGCCGGCTCGCCCGATATAAAACCCACGAGGGGCCGGCGTCGCGGGCGGCAGGGCCTTGTACCGTCCGATGTTGGCCTCGTAGCATCGACGCTGCACATCAGCCCAGTCCACAGATCGGTAGTCGACGCGCGGTGTCTTTTCCCACACGGCGTCGTGGCCCTCCTTCTCGCCGTGCTCGCCGGTACTCAGGCCGCCCATTCGTCGGGAGTACCCAAAGCCATACGGCCCATACCGGCCATATCTCTCGAAGCAAATATCCTCAGGCAGGCCGAGAGCCTCATAAGATCCCGACACGTGCCCGGGAAAGCCGCGAGTCCGGCCACTGTAGTACCTCAGCGGAGGCACGCGCACCTTTCCCGCCGCGTCGACGAAACATTCCTGAATGCCAGCCTCCCTCTTGGCAGCAGGATACGTCTCCCACGACGAGCTACGGGGCAGCCGCCCGTCAACCGCATTCCGAACCGTCTTGGCACCGGCCGATTCAGCCTCCGAGGTCGACGGGACCGCGTGCTCACTCGTCGCCGGATAAGACGGTTGACTCTCGTTGAGCGGCCTCAAAGTACGGATGCCACCGTAATATCTCTCCAGGAACGGGAAACTCTCCCACACCGGGGGCGGCGGCGGCGGCGTCTTGACGCGCCCATTTGCCACTTTCCAATTCTCAACCTGGCTCGCGCGCACGAGACTGAGCAGCATGAGAACAAGGGTGCCGACGATGCCGATGAGCACCCACCGGGTGATTTTTGTCGGTAGTCTGTAGGGGTATAACCGTGAGCACCCATTCTTGGGAGGCTGTCGAGGCAGTTTCCGTTTTGGCAGCAGCAACAGCCCGCTGGGCGCAGAGGCGGATACGTTCCTCGAACTGGATGATGGTGCAGACTCTGAGCGGTATGATCCGTCAGACTCGTCGTCTGAGTAGTCGTATTCGTCGTCAGAGGCACGCTCTTTGGTCGGAGATGCTAGATTTTCGTATACTGGCAGCCGCGGTTCGCGGGACCGGAAGGGGTTGGAGAGCAGCCCCATGAGCGCGGTGGCCAAGCCGGCTACGTGTCGTCGTTATTATTTGCATACATGGCAATCTCACGAGAAGCGAGAGCAACGGACCTGCTGTGGACCTTTGATTTTTGGCCGTGCGGAAAGGGGTCTCAATTGGTAGCGCCCAAGGTATGCGGCAAAGTAAACTTGGGCGGGCGGATGTTGTCACCCACGTGTTGATGCTGGAATGCTGCAAGTCGATCGTGTCTACTGCCCGTCACGTCGTGGATTAAAATGGCAAGGAAACGACGGTGTAGAATGGTTCGTCATGCAACAAGAAGAGGAAATTTCTACAGAAAAACGACGTCTGCGTCCAGCCGGGGTCACAACTTGCTCAGTTGTCGGCTGTCGGCTGTGGATTGGGTTGTGCCGTTTAGCAGGGGATGCGAGGTGGTTGCCGAGCAACGAGGTGATGAGCCATCGATTGATGCCTCCTCTCCGCTCGCCCACTCACATCACAGCCGCCAATTCGCACGCCGACGGCTTCGCTCGCCAGGTCATGTACGGGGCGGGAAGACGAGCTTCGGCTTCCAAGTATTCGGTACCGAGGACAACACATCACCACGCACACTGCACGCTGCACCGTGTTGGGTGCCGGGGCCCAAAGGCCTGGCGTATGTATGGTTTTGGTTACCTGTGAGGTCGATTTGACGACACAAGAGTGCACAGAAAGTTGGCACGGACAAATGGCTGGCTGAGCCTCGCCCAACAGAGGCCACCGCCGGCGGATGACATGTCAGAGCATGGGGTCTCGACTCCGGCGTCTGGACGCTCGACTCTCGACCAAGAAGCTGAACCGCCAGCCCAAAACCCAAACCCCCCAAACTCAACCACCATCGGCAACCCGACGCCGTGGCTGGACAGATACCGCAACACAGCCCCCTTCACTGGTCGAGACTACTCACAGGGCGCTACGGGTAAACTCAGCGCGGGGTGTAACGTGGTGGCTAGTCCCCGTCTGGCTCAATACTCGCATGGATCAATTTGATGGCCACGGCGACGATGCAGCTGCCAACAACCAGTCACGCGAGGAGCACGGTGAAACCTCTCCTGCAGACGGCCTATCACGGAGGGCAAGGGCGTGGGACTACTCCGTTCATGGTCCGATGCCGAAGGATGTGTCAGACTGAGCAAGGTGGCTTTGGGAGCTGCCAGATGATGCGCGGGTGGTGGCACATCAGTTATAAGAGCGAGATAGGTCCTGACTCCTGACTTCCGATTCCAGGGACACCGTTGACCCTCGTTGAGATGGAGTCGCGAGAGCTCGGTACGTCATTTCGAATGTGTAGCCCGCTGGGCTGAAATCGTCACCGCTCGCCATCAGCATCTCTGCCGACATCCCGAGCAACATGTCCGTCACAATTGCGTCAACCACGTCTACTCTGCCCCCCGAACAAGACGTCACAAGTCTGCCATCCTCTCCTCCTCCTCCTCCACCGCTCGCGTCTTCGCCATCGCCATTGAGTCGACTGCACCAGAAACCGATATCAGTCACGCTCACGGGCTTCAGCATCTTCACCCTCTCCGCCTCCCTCCTCGTATCAATCCACTGGCTGGGATCGACCCTCACCCAGTGTCTCATTCTCGCGGCGCCCCTCCTCGTGCTCGTCCACAACGACTACGAAAACTTCCTCAACCTCGGCCCCGGGGGCACGCCCCACACCTTCTACGGCTACCTGCAGATATCGTGGTGGCGCCTCTGGGCTCTCCGCGATCCCTTCACGCCGCCGGCCCACCTCGCCGTCAACCATGCCTCGGCCTCGGGCGTGCTGCGCTCCCAGAACCTGCCCTACCGCCCCGGCCCACGGCCGCGAGTCGTGGGCATCGCTCCCCAGCGACAGTTGGACCAGCACGGCGCTCGGAATGGCTACCAGACGCTGCGCGCGGCAATGGTGAAGCTGGGGGACGGGAGTCCCCTCAAGTTCGGGACGGAGAGGTCGTGTGTGGAAAAGCACGGGCTGGCCTTGTTTGCGAAACATGCGCTGCGGACCAACTGCCAGGGCGAGATTGTCCACGTCCACGACTCGGATCACTCCATGCACATGTGTTTGCATCCGGATGACATCGGCGAGGTCCTGGGCAAGGGATGGGGGCAGATGCATCCGCTTGCGAGAAAGCGCTGGTTTCTGCAGATGCCCGTCGCGGCGAATTTTGTCATGATCTATGCTCCGAGGAGTGAGTGACATGTGTTGACCACCATCCATCCATCCATCCATCCATCCATCCATCAATCGAAAAAACAGATGGCACAACATCTCCGCACACCGCTAACGCGTCATCCATAGATGAGCATGAGCTGCAAGTCGTCTATAGAATCATCGAAGCGGCCATCTGGTACATTTCGGAGGAGAAGGCCTCGCTGTCTTAGTTGTATCCCACGGCGCACAGGGGCAGGAGGAGAAACGGGCACGGTTTCTTGCTGACAGTTTTCAGCAGGGGGCCGTTCGTCGCATTTGCACAATGTACATATTTCGAGGGTATCTGCTTTTTGCATCTCAAATCTAACGATGCTACTAACGCGCGGCGCGCACCCTCATCTCTCGTGGAGGCTGCCCGTCCCTAATCCGAATCGCGGTCCTGGCTCGTGTCCGTGTCAGACTTTTTGAATTTCTCCCTGCCCGTCTTGAGGGACGCCTCCACCACGCGCCCATCAAAGCTCCTCCCATGCATGAGCCTGATACACGCCGCGGCCGAATCTGCATCCTTGAACCTCACGGAGACAACACCATCCACTTCCTGGTCATACAGGACGACACTCGTCACCGTGCCCAACTTGGCACACTCATCTCGGATATCCTCCTTAATCTCCAACAAGGCAGCCGGGTCCTCGTCCAACTCCTCGAGCGTAAACATGCGGCGCAGGATAACCGTCTTGTCCCTCTTTGAACTGGACTGCGCCGTGGCCGGGTAAGCGTCGTCGTCGTCGTCCCAGTCTGCCAGCTTTGCGTCCAGTTTTTGCGTCTTCTTGATAATCTTTTGGCGGTCGCGATCGCTTCTCGGCGGCCGCTTGTCTTCCTGCCCGCTGCCGTTGTTGTTGTTGTTGTTGCCGCCGCCTGGCGTTCCGTCCTCTTCGTATCGGACTTTTTTGTAACTTGAATCCGCGGCCTGGACGCGCATTCTGCCCTCTCGCGTCCCCGTGGCGGTCACGCGGAAATCCGTGTCGTCCAGCAGCATGATTGCCATTTCTACGCTTTGCGGTTTGAAGAAGACGATCAATGCGTCGCCCTTGAAGTTGCCCGACTCGTCCGAGTACAACTTGATCCTGGGCGCGCCGCTGTCAATCTCCTCAGCAATGACGCCTGCCTTGCGCGAGAACAAATCGTGGACTTCGGACACGGTTGCGTCAAGCGGCAAGCCCGTCACGTAGACGGCCGTATTCTCGCGCGGCCGCGGGGGCGCTTTTTGCTTCTTGTTCGGGCGTGACGGTGGTGTCTGGCTGCTTCCCTGGTGACGCGCGACTGTTAGCCTACCACCCGTGCCGTTCGCCATCGCAGACGGCAGCCCGTGACGGCTGCGGTGTTGGGAGGCGACGAGGGCTGTACCTTGGACCCGTTGTCCGCCTCGAGCCCCCTCTTCCTCGTGCCGGCTTGTGATGCTCGCGTCGACGAGTCCTGTTCCTGTGCGTGGCCGTGCTGCCCGTGGTCTGGGGATTCCTCCTCCGCGGGCACCCATCGCTTCAGATCCGTATCAAACTCGAACTCGGTGCCGTCGTCGTGAACGGCGATGAACTTGTTGTCGAGGCGTGAAAACGATATCCGGTCGTCGCCGTCGAATTCTCGGACGTCGGTGGGGAATGGCAGATCCATTTTCGCTGCTGTCCCCTCGCAATTGACAGAGGTTGGAGGCGTTGAGAAGAGATCTGAGAACTGTTCTGCCAGCCTTCCCTTCCCATGACCTGGCCGTTTGCCCTTGGACGTCCAGACCCACGAGTCGCGCGTGGGGCCACTTGGGATGGGCAATCACCGTTGCTTGCTGGGACGCAGTCAGAGACTCGGAGCGATTGGAGAAATATTGACTCTTTTGTCATTTGGAAACGCCGGCTCAATAAGCTTGAAAACAGTACTTCTGCTCGTGTGTTTCCCTGCTTCACTTGGTGCGCCCTTGGAAAGGACCGGTCTTGTCCGACTATTGCACTGGACGCATCCTGCGTACAAGAGTCGTATGACTCGTATCGTACATGAACGCCTGTCGTTGATAAACCAATACCTCGACATTTCCGGGTATTAAAGTATTCTCCTCACTGCCTCCTCTCCCGGACAGTCTTTCTGACACCATCTACAAAAGCCTTGACCGCCTGGCCTCCGCCCAGCGGCATTCCACTACCCTGCATATAACCACCGTTCTCGACCCTGATGCCAAGGGCATCTGCAACCCCGGGGAGTCCTCCATCTCTCAGCGCCATGGTGAGAACGCCCAACGCCTGGCTGAGCTGCGGGCTTCTAAGAACTTTCTTCAGTAGGCCTCGTTTGTCGTCCAAGGAGAGCGATGCCCTGGCCGCCTCAATGACACGCGCTGATGGTTCCTTCTGGTTTTCTTCTTCAGCCGCCGTCCCCGCGGCGAGGACAATTACAGCTGGAGGCAGAAAGCTCAACAAAGAATCAATATATTCAGGAGCTGCGCCGTCGATCAGCGGAACTGTGATTGCGGTGGGCAAAAGGTGGTTGAGATGGGGATACGGCAGGTCGGACTGTTGTTGCTGTCCTCCCGAAAGCCCTTGCTGGCCTCTCAGTGATTCCAGAAAGTTTCTCACAGCTGCTGCGGCGTCTGGTGCTGACGAGGAAGCCCTAGAGGCTGGTCAGCTTGGGATCACGAGATTTGCCCAGCCAAAGAGTGCATGTTCGTGTGTCATTTGTTTAGCTTTCATCTTGTGCAAGTGCGAGATTCTAGTAGTAATACAGTCACCGAGACGGATGCGATTGCCAACTCCTTTTTTGTAACTCTTCCCAAGACCACATGGCTTGCAGCGGCCAAAACAAAGGAAGCTCGTATGGTGGAAAACTGCCTTGCGACGGGGGATGACCTACGCTCTGGCACCATCAGCACCACCTTCTCTTGACTCTTCGCCCTCTTCCCTGATGTCTCCTCCGGTGGCATCAGGACCGGCCCCGCCGCTCCCACTGCCGTGATGGGTATGTTGACCACGCGTGCCTTCGACATCCTCCATGGCTTCGTCTTCGTCTCCGTCTCGGTCATCGACATTTCGTACAGAAGACAGTTCGCCCGTGACATTGACATCTTCGCCCTGAAGCAGTCTGTTGACAATTTCACCAATCTTACGATCTCTGGGGCTGAACCAGCTGGGGTCTCCGTCGCGGCTTTGTGGTTTTGACTGCATCCAGAACAGGTAGCGCTGAGACGAAGATGCGAACTTGAGAACGAAAATGCGACCATTCGTCTTTGCAGTGGGTTCGGCGTTTGTATCGTATTCGTAAGGGACAAAGCTGCCGTCTGTTGGCACCATGACTAGATCAAGCTCCGGCTCGTCGAGAGACTGGCTGCGTTTGCGCCAACAGAAGTGTATCAAGTCTTGCGAGTGTTAGAACCAACAATTGACGGTCTAGAATTTGCAAATACGCACCATCTTCGGAGTACAGATAGAGATATCCAGGCTGAGGCTGAGGCTTGACCTTGAGAGGCTGCGACGAGCCGTCCTACAAAGATGACATGTCAGTGAACAGCTGCTCGAACGACCACGGCCACAGACGGGAGCAACATACGTCAACCTCGCACTGGCCGGCCTTGAAGGTGATGATGGGCGCAATAGGCATCGTGTCTCGCTCCGGCAAAGCGTCCAGTCAGGGTCCGTGACGGAGCGGTAGGAAACTGGTGATGAGTGACTGAGACGACGATAGGCTGGCAGAGCTCTTACGTCGGTACGTGCTCAGCTGGTGCAGTCCACGGCCCGACGCTTTCTCCGCGCAACCTCTTCCGGGTTGGTGTCAAGGATCCACAGCAACGAGCCGGGGCATAACCAAAAAAAAAAGATAAATTTCTAGCTATCTGGCCCTCGCGCATCAATTTGCACTTTTATAACTTTTTTTCTCCCTCAAGTCATAAAGTCGCATGACTGCAGCATCGTCTGCCTACACGCGCAGCATGTGAGGGATGCTCTGGCTCTTCCACCTTGGAGCTCTTCACCTATGTCCAGCCTGCAAGCTCAAGAAGCTGTTCAGATGTAAGTTTGTACCGTTTTCCGGCCACGCTTGGCATGACTTCTTCCACGACGGCAAGTTGCCAGGGCTTTGATGATGAGAACAATTGGTCCGTGTTTCAGAGGCGGACTCAAGACCCGCCGGCTGACGAAACTACAAGCATTTTTGCATCTCTGAACACAGTTCTTCTTGTCCCAACTGTTCCGAGTTGTTGCCAACACACTCGCTAACTGGTCTTTTTGTGAGGCAGATTTCGTCGGCACTTCAATCACGGCTCGTGGTATTCGACTCGCAATTCCCTTGGTCAAGATGACCTCATGTGCATTTGTTGTAATAGACTGTAGCAGAAGACTTGTGCAAAATGACCGAAATGCGACCCTTAGGCTTGACCGGTCGGTCATCTCGATGCATGGGACGAGCTGAACAAGAGGCCACTGATTGATCAGTGATGTACTCCGTAGAAGGACTGACAGTTCGCGTTTCCACATGTTCTCCGTATACAGACATGGTGTCAATTTCGCTCCTTTTTTCCTTTCCTTTTTTTTTTTTTTTTGAGACGTCTAGACTACGCACTTCAGTATTGGCGAAACCTAGTCAATGCAACTGAAACCGCCAAACAAGATGGGACATGCGGCTTCACGGGGGTTGCTGGTTGCTTCACGACCGTGCAACTATTGCGACCACCTACTTAGTACCCAAGACAGTCAAGCGCCTTTAATATCTGGCCTTCATTACTGAGAGAAACATCGGAGCCCAGATGCACCGCCCATTTGTTCCACATTTGTACGTACTCCGTAGTGGCGGGACAGGCAGGCACAGCCAAGCTTTTCACTCAATTTTGGTGATCCAGCGGGGCAGGGACAACTGGACAACTCGTCCCACTCGAACGCGATTGCGTGTGTGGACTTGGGTCGTCTCCAACTATCAACGACGACCCTTTGCCTCTGTTCACTGACAAATACACGTGCGAACTTCACTTCGTCCTAGCCTGGAAACACACATCTGTGTCTCTTTTCGCGTCGCAAAATGTACGGGGACATGGGCGTGAAATTGGTAAGCGGACCCGAGAGAACGAATGTCGCAACTATTCCTCGGCACTGACCATTTACCAGGTTCAACACGCCAAAAGGACGCAGAACCTCGCCCATCTACCGCCATATCAAGCCGAGCTCGTTCGTGCGGTGACAAGAGAAGTGAGAGATCTCGACAAAGACGTCAAGGACCTTCTTGAGCCATTCCAGGGCTCCTTCGACCCCTCCGCCGATCAAGCCGTTGCTTGCACCCTGCTCGTGAACCACTTGTCAATGCGACGCAACAAACGGTGCCTGTTGGCATACCACAAAACACGGACCGACAAGTTGGAAGAGCTTGTGTGGAACGGCTCAGACGTTGTTGATCTCTCGGGTCAGCAGGTACGCGATGCAAATGCTGCGTCAAACACCGTCCCAGCAGCTGGGGATGCCCCAACGAGCAGTCTCAGCCCCCAAGAGGAGGAATATGTGCGGCAGTATAGCGATTTACTGGCCGCTTATAAGGGTCAGTGGACGGATATCGACTTGACTGGCAGCTTAGAACCGCCGCGGGATTTGTTCATCGACGTGCGGGTACTCAAAGACGCCGGCGAGATCCAGACGGAATATGGGTACGTTGGGGGCATCTTTCTGATATTTGAACCAACACGAGCTAACATTCTCATCAGTGCCATCACATTGACGAAGAACAGCCAGTTCTACGTTCGGCAAGGCGATGTGGAGCGGTTGATTGCACAAGGGTATCTCCAGAAACTCGGCTGATGTGTCAGTCTCCGTTGGTTCATCAGCATACAAATAGTGTCGCATGATGATCTTCCAAGTCTACTCGGCGAAGTGATTCGTCGAGGAGACATGAGATGATTGTTTACCAATTCGAGGCAGAGGACGGGGAGTTCCTGTGGAGACCACGAAAACGGGTCATCAATACACCACAGAGACGGTTCGCAGTAGACAGGAATCATTGATGATTTTCAATGCAGTGTCGCTCTGCTCCCGGAACAGAATTGAGCATCACCCGTGGCCCAGGTACGGACATTGGGCCGGAGCATCATTGCAATGGCAATGTACGAATGTCAACCTGGGTTCCTGCTGCTGGCGTGGCTCGACTCGTTGGCTCAGAGATCAGTCCTAGTCATTTGCTAATGGATGAAGATGTTTGGTAGGTCGCCTGTTGTTGAAGCGACCGGAGAAGATGCTCCTAAGAATACATCTACGAGCCGACTTGTGGTGTTGGGGTACAGCAAGGCTGTGTATTCCGGTAGTAGCCGCTTCATCACCCAGCCCGCTATAACATGGATGGAAGAGCCAAGACTTTGGGGTTCTCAACAGCGACGCACTGCGTGTACGGCAATGAATCGATCCAGAAAAGCAGCAAAGTTTCTCGGCAGAAATCCGTGTGCCAGAAACCATACACCGCAGGATAGCAGGATCATGCTGCCGACGTCAACGACGTCTGACTGGCCTCTTTCTCTTGACAACGGAGCTTCATTGCAACACATTCCCCGCGCCTCGGCATCACGCATTGAACCCTAACCCATCAAGTCCCAATTCTCGAAATGATTTATGTATTGGCGAAAACCAGGTTCCACCTGATGACTACAAAAACGAACAATTGCGTCAATCCAAGAGCGAAAAAATTGTTGAGGTTGGGGGATGAAACACTAGAAAATATGTCACTTGCGTCCATGTGGTTCCTATAGACGTTCAAGTCTCGCGCATTCCTCAACGGTGGCTAAAGACATCAGGCGACGAGTGCATATTATGTATTATATGAGTCAAGGACGAGAGCAGACGTGGCCATTATAGTCGCTTCGAGGATGCCAACAAGGCTGCGAGCAAGAGACTGTTCGGGAAACTCTATTATGTAGGATCGTTTCAGCCCCTTCCCATGTTTTCCCCGTAGATGTTGTATCTTTGTATGCTCGGCGTCGCAGCTGTGTTGAGTGACAATGGCATCTAAAGACTCGTCTTCCTGGCTTCACCTCGCCGTCGGACCGAGCATTCAATCGACCCGGTGATGGTCCCAGTCCTCAAAGCCCCTTCCGAAAAGTCGACGACTCTGGAAAATGGGCGTATTCTGGTCCACGCCATGTCCGAGTCCAGCACGGGAGGCCATCGACTATGCCGCCACGCTGAACTCATGTCAGGACGTTTTCGGCGAGCCCCTGTCTCACCAGCTCCTCATACTGGACTCGACGCCCGGGAAGCATAGATTGGTTCATGGTCAAGACGTTTCGTGCTGGCCGCGTGCCGGGACGCAGTCCGTCGGGGCGGTGTCCTTATGCATGAGTTCTCTCGATGCATGGTAGCACGCGGGTGCATGGAGCGTCAAGACTGCGATTGACGAACAGTGTGAAGTGGCGGATGCGAGCGGACTGGTACGTGTACTCCGTACAGCAGGGAGGGCGGTGTCATTGGATGGATGGACATTGGAGTTGCACGTTGCCGAGTCGAGGGCCCTCGGGAGAAAGGCTAGCACGGAGATGTTTGATGGGAGCGGAGTCTGGGGAAAGTTCCGATGCGGTACGGAGTACGTACTCCGTATTGGGCTGCTGTTCCGAGTCCAGAAGGCTTGGCCAAAAGACTAACGGAGTATGAAGTATGAACTACGTACTTCAGTGTATGTACGGGGTATGAGTCGGTGGAGGGGGGGCCTCGGCCGCCCATGGGGTACACTGGGCATTGGGGCATGGACTCACCATTTTGGGATGGGAAGATGGACAGCAAACAACTACTCTGCGGGTTATCACGATGGTTGCCGACGACAGACGACACGGCAACACTTTGAAGTCGTTGTCATTAGTCACTCTGCAACATCAGCTAATGGGTCAGTATTCCCGTGGGCCGCGGCACGTCACGCTGGTTCGGCCAATCAGGAAAGGGTTTCAAGTCAAAAGCCCGTCGATGATGGACAACTGACATCAACTTTGTACGGCACAGTGCGGTACGACATACCTTTCCGGCGTAACGACTAGTCGGAGAATTCTGCATCGAGTTGGAATTATCCAATTAATTGCGAGATGCAGGATGCAGGATGCAGGATGCAAGCCTTCTCCGCGAGCCTACCTACTTACACAAGGCGCACGCAGCTGTTCCGATGTCCACAAAGCGACCGGCTATGATTGGCTGCAGCGTGGCCAGAGACGGCCGAGGCGCACATGGCCCGATGCGGCCCTGGACAGCGAGGTCTAGCACCAGAACCAGACCAGACGACATTGACGAGCCCTCCGCCATGTCGACATGGCCGGCCTGCCTGGCATCTTCCCAGGGACCGACCGTCGACCCTAGTCCGTACTCGTGTACGGAGATGAGTACGGTCGTGCCCAGAAAAAGGTCCGGCACGTCGTCAAGTCCGTTGTTCTGGGGCACGAACCACCCTAGCCACGTTGTGGCTGAAGCACCGTGCGAGGTATTGAGCATGTAAGGTGAAAGTTCACTATCGCACGAAGTGTCCGTCTTGCTCAAAACCACCTCCAATTCTTCAGGACTACTATTATCCGAAGCGGCTACCGCAACAATACTACCTCTAATTTTAGATGAATTATGCTGTCCACTCTAATCCATCAAGTATGAATATACTGGGTGCTAGTGGCTCTTTTCTCGTCCAAGTTATTCGGCAAACTATATTGCTCTCAGCTAGAGAATAGTATATCAGGCAATAAAACTGATCGAACTGATGATCAAGCATTCCCTACTGTTACTGAAGACTAACTCAATCAAGTAAAGAGACATTTTATTAACTCACTTGATATTGATGCAGTCTGCGATCTAGCATCGAGATACAACATGGCTATACGTGCAGAGTTGTGAAGAAAGACAACGGCAGCTTCAATGTTTGTTTCTTAGTCGATTTTAACCAGGATGGAGAGCCTGCTTTCGATGATCCCTCTCTAGTTTAAGTTGCCACTAACAAAAAAACAGATTTCTCGAGCGCAATACTCGAATCCCTGTTCCTCGTATCCGCGCGTACGGCCGTGATGCCAAATTAACTAAATCCGACTCCGGCATGCAGATACATCTCATTACAGACTTTATACCGGGCGAGTCATTGGATAGGAAAGTTTTAGTCAAAGCCGACGAAGAAGATGGACTAAAATTTTACTCTCAACTCATTGACATCTTAGCTGAGCTCAGAAGACTCGAGTTCAGCCTAATAGGGTCCCATTTCAACGGACAAGCTGATGCATGCTGAGTTTCGGCGGGTTCTAGATGGCAAGAGCAAAACGAATAGTCTTTTCTTTGCAGCCGACTCAGAAAGGAATGGTATGGCCTGGATCCCAACCAAACAGATGTGGCATTTTGCGTTGCTCATGTTCTAGGCCGCATTCGGTGTTGACGTGCATTCCAGTTCATATATATCGCACGTACTTTGTTCGTTCCCCCTCTTTCTTTTGTCTGAACCCCTACTTCCCTTGTCCTCATGTCGGTGATGTTCTCTGTCAATCACCTCAACCAGACTGAGGACCGCCCCGTATTGCCAAGAAAGATCTGGCTGTTTTTTCTTTTTTTGGCCTGACGCCTCCTCCCTCCCACTGCCTTGTCCAGCATACCGACTGGGTTCAATAGACAGCTCTTTGAGTCGCTGATGCGGCACGGGTAAAAGCCGCCAACACGACATTGGACTACCCCTGATACAGGCACCGGCCATTGGCCAATCATAAGAAGCCGCCGTGGCCGGTATCGTGAGAGGCATTGCCATGGCCCATTGCGTCGACGTATCATGAAGCCGTGGCGTCGCCATAACCACCATAGAGAACTGTTTTGCTGTTCGACGACTGGAGAAATGGCTTTTCATTGTAGTTTGCAAGTGGCCTCGACTTTCGCATCAAAATAATAGCTGCTGGCGTTATGCAGCGTCGGTGACCCCCAGGACTACTTGCAGCTCACAGTAAGGGGGACGGTGCTCAGCCACAGGCCCCACCGAGGTGGTCCGTGCCCAGAAACAAGAGTACCACTCCTCCCCGGGTGGCAGACACAGTGGGAGCGCACCAGACCTGTTATGCACACGGCCCTGCCCATGCGCAGTTGACCTGCGCCGTAGCGAACGTCTTTTGATCCCAAACATCTCGTCCATTTGAATTGAACTGGACCAGACGCGGCCATCCACCTCGTCTGGCTACTGCACCAGTCAGTCTGTTATTATATCTAGGTCGGTATGTGCCTTGTCAACCTGCAGGCTCTTTCCCCGCCCCCATCTCCATGTCACCCCATCATCCATGCATGGTTCGACACCATCGTCACGTCTAACTTTGAGTTGCACCAGCTCCATCGACTAGCCGCCATTATAGTCGCATACCACCAAATTGCGCGCGCTCATTCCCGCCTCGATCCGTCTATCCGCATCCAAACGCTTTGCCCGCGCCCGCCACTCTGAGTCGAGCGCCACAGAAAGATAGAGGCGTCTCCGAGGTGGAGCTATGACCTCCCGCTAAGCTTGATGACGACCTTTGCCTCCTCAATGATTTGTGCGGTCCGGTGCAGCACATGCCTCCTGCTCCCGCTGTGCTCCACGTCGCGAAGGGCTATCCGCGTGTGCTTTTCGACCTTCGACCTTTGCCCTCCGTCACCATCGATACAGCTTGCGCCCATGCGACGCCTGTAGCTGATCGCACCGCCGGCACACTCGGGCGAGCTGTTTGCCCCCCCGGTATCGCGCCATGTCTTCTTCCATTATCAGTTTCTCGCCCTGGAGGAGCAGGTCCTCTAGCCTCTCCTCGCAGCCAACCCGCCGACAGTCCTCTCATGACGACGTGGCAGAAGCCGCAACCGCCCGTGACGACTCCGCCCAACGCTTGTCGTCCTCTGTCGGATCTCCAAAGGCCTGTCGGGAACCAATCCGATCCTATCTTCATGCTTCGGTTCGAGGACAACTGGGTACGAACAGCGCCAACCCCTTTATTGACGTCGTCGATGGGGTGAAGCTCCTCGTTGCTAACTTGCGACAGCTCCCGTCGACAGCAGCCAGAATGCACGAACTGTTCGTGAAGACACTGCCGAACTCGCTAGCTACTTGTTGTCCGATGGCACCACTCCTAGAATCCCATCATTCTTGCAGCGGAGCAAAGTGTCGGCGCAGGATCTCTTGTCACCGGCCCAGGATGCACACAAGCGAGCCGAAGACGAGGCCACGGCGTCTGCCACCATCCTGGAAGTATCAGAACCAACCTCTCCGGAAGAGCGAAGCGCAGACGCTGCGGCGGTCACTACGATTGAAGATACGGGACCTTCGGTGCTGTCTAATCTTCTGAAGAGGTTGCCATCACGCTCTGCGGCCGTTGACGCTCCCAATTCAACCGAGCAGCCACCCGTCGAGCCGAGACAACGATGGAAACCTTCCCAAGAGGAGCAAGACCAGCCCAGGCCGTCTGAGCAAACTCCCATTGCCACCGAGCAGACGCCTCTTTTAGGTCACGTATCGGACGAAAGCGATGATATCGGCGACCTCGAGGGACAAAAGGACAAGTCAAGGAGGTGGTACGCCGGATTTGTCGAGAAGCGCCAGAAAATCGAGGGCCACGTGTCCCACGCAGTCAAGGTAGCAGTGAACCCGCGTCGATGGGATCGCAAAGCATTGTGGCATAACATGGTTGTGGAACCTGCCTCATGCGTTCCGGCTGTTACCGTTGGGCTCTTGCTCAATATCCTGGATGCCTTATCCTACGGTGAGATGTCATCAAGTCAATTCGAGATTGTGGGTCTCAATTGCTTACTCTCCTGCCAGGAATGATTTTGTTTCCCCTCGGGAAGGAGTTATTTTCGCATCTGGGCTCTGCGGGCATCTCCGTTTACTACGTCAGCACCATCGTGGCTCAAGTCACCTTCTCGTCTGGCAGCATTTTCAGAGGTGCTGTTGGGTCTGAACTGGTACGTCCCAAAACTCCTCGCGCGTCCAGTCGGCCGCGACTAACCAACGTAAACCAGATCGAAGTTGTTCCCTTCTTTCACAACATGGCGCAAAGGATTATGGACAATATAGGCGAAGACAAGCCGGACGCCGTCATAGCCACCACCATTGTTGCGTACGCCGCGAGCTCCATCATGACCGGCTTGGTCTTTTATCTCATGGGTAAATTCAAGTTTGGCTACATGGTGGGTTTCATTCCCAGGCACATCCTCATCGGCTGTATCGGCGGTGTTGGCTGGTTCCTGGTTGCCACTGGATTCGAGGTCTCGGCTCGTTTGAACGGTATCGAGTACAACCTGGATACTCTGAACAAGCTGACACAGACCGACACCCTCCTCCTATGGATCATTCCACTCGTCTTGGCTATTTTCCTGTTCTACGGACAGTCAAGGATTCGATCCAAGTACTTCCTACCGCTTTTCATTCTAGCCATTCCACTGATATTCTACATCCTCGTCTTGTCCATTAACGCTTTGGAGACGGACGCCTTGCGTGACAAGGGGTGGATATTCGAGGGCCCGCCAGCAGGTGAGCCGTGGTGGTACTTTTACACGCTGTATCGTAAGTCCCATTGAGAAAGCATGTCGTTTTCCCTTCTCGTTTCGAGTTTTTGGTGGGCTAATTTTTTCTTCTCTTTTTTGTTTGCCACACAGAGTTCAATTTGGTCCAATGGGATGCTATCCTCGAGGTTGTGCCTGCAATGATGGCCTTGACCTTTTTTGGTATCCTCCACGTCCCCATCAATGTACCCGCATTAGCTTTGAACACGGGAGAGGACAACGCAGATCTTGACAAGGAGCTCAAACTTCACGGCTACTCCAACATCTTGTCTGGGTGTATGGGTAGCATCCAGAACTACCTTGTCTATGCCAACACCATATTCTTTGTACGTTCTGGCGGAGACAGCAGGCTTGCAGGTTTCATGTTGGCCGCCGCCACGTTCGGCGTCATGATGATTGGGCCATCACTGATTGAGTTCATCCCAGTCATGATGGTGGCAACCCTCATCTTTGACCTGGGATTCGAACTTCTCCTGGAAGCAATCTGGCTTCCGCGCAAAAAGCTCAAAGTTGCCGAGTACTTGACCGTCATTGTCATAGTCCTCGTCATGGGCATTCACGACTTTGTAGTCGGTATTGGAGTCGGAATCCTGCTGGCTTTTGTTTCGCTGATTATTCAAACCTCTCGGGTCTCAGCTGTCCGGGGAACATATGACGGTGGAATCGTCAGCTCGACAGTTCGACGCAACCCGGCACAACACCACTATCTACACCAGGTTGGCCAGCAGATTTACATCATGAAACTGACCGGATACCTCTTCTTCGGAACCATTGTCAGTGTTGAGGAAAACATTCGAGCGCTGCTGGACGATCACGCCTTCTCGAAAAAGCCCATAAAGTTCCTCATCTTAGACCTGTGGCACGTCACCGGACTGGACTACTCTGCTGGCGAAGCCTTCAACACAATCAGCCGCCTCCTGGATAAGAAGGGCGTCCTTTTTGTGCTCAGCGGTGTCGATGCAGAGAGCCAGCTAGGGCGGAATCTGCGAGCTGTCGGTCTGGACAACGACAAAATCGAAGTCAACATGCTCCCCAACCTAAACTCGGCACTGGAAAGCTGCGAAAACGAACTCCTCAAGACTCTGTACGCCAGACAAGAAGAGCTCAACTCGGCCAAGCGAAATGCCACGCCGAGTCTCGACGTCCCAACCGTGGCAAACTCGTCATCACTGTCATCTTTCGGCCAGCCATTCAACTCACCGCGACAATCACATCTCGTCGAGGCCGCCCGCGAGGCCCTGACGAGGGTCGACATACCCCACCCTTCCAAATGGCAAAGCTTCAACGAGCCGCTCCGTCTGATGCTCCAGATATTCCAAAGCTTGAGTGGCAAGAACGAGGACTTTTGGTTCCAAGCAACATGCTACTTCCAGAGAAAAGAGTACCCCGCAGGAACAATCCTATTTCGCCGCGGTGAGAAGGCAACCGGCTTCTTTCTTGTAGAGAGGGGCATCATCCGCGCCGAGTATGACCTGCCGCAGGGCTGGCTTTGCGAAAGCATAGTCGCCGGCACGACGTGCGGCGAGCTGCCATTCTTCTCGGAGACGGAACGCACGGCGACGGCATTGGTGGAGAGGGACTGTGTGGTGTGGCAGATGGATTGCAAGTCCTGGCGAAGACTGCAGAAAGATCAGCCGGGCATTGCAAGGGAGTTTTTGAGGATATCGTTGAAACTGACGAGCGAGAGAATGAGTTCTATCACGTCGTATATTTTGACCACGGCGGGGTGAGGAAAGAGGATCTGAGTGTGCATGAACAGACAGACATAGGGGAGTGGCTATTTGCATTTGGACAGCGGGTGTTTTTAGCGCATGGGATAAATTGCATAGTTTTGCATGTATGCGGTCATGTATGCGCGACTGTTGCCATACTTGGCTTGACTGCTCCTCGGCGCGTACAGTGAAGTTGGAGGAATTCGTCTCTTGGTGGGTGGGAGCGATTAGTAATCAGGTCTCCGTGTAGGGTAGGTGCAGGCAACGGAATCAAAAACTCATCGCCTGGCCTCGACATTGATTCCTCCTATGAATAAAGAAATCGGGGCCGGATCTCGAGTATACCGACACAGATGCTCCTGATCTCTTGTGTCTCACCTCGTCGTGGGCCACACATGGCAGCCAGCACGCCCTTGATGTAAGTTGTTGCTATCAAATTCGCCACCAGCGGCGCTAGGTGCTCCATCACCGCCCACTGCAACTCCAACTTCAATTCCAACTTCAACTGCAACTCCAACTTCAACTTCACCTTGAACCACAACCACAACCACAACCACGCGCTCACCCCGCCTCCGCCACTCGCCATGTAAAGTCAAGACAGCTAACAAAATGCCGCAAAACATCCGCTCAATACTGGGCAAGGCACGCATCACAAAGCAGAAACCTCGCTCGTCGTCCGCGCACGCGGCCCAGTCCTCGACCTCGTCCTCGTCCTCGTCGCCACGCAGGAGGAGGCGGCCGCCCCCCCAGGAACCGGAATCCGAGCACGACGCCCTCTTCCCCCTCAGGTTCAGCGACCTCGGGGCGGCGCCGGTGCTCAGCGCCCGCGAGGAGCTCGGCCCCAGCGTCAGCGTCAGCCCCCGCGACGTGCCGCAGGCGATGCGGTACATCCGCGCGCGCATGTTCTCGGCCGTGCCCCGGTCCGGGCTCCCGTCCGGCCGGAGGACCGCCGAGGTGCTCAACCGCCGCGCGTCGATGCCGCCGCTCGTGACGACGGGCCACGTCCACGCCGTGCTGGCCGGGCCGCCGGGCAGGACCGAGCGCGAGATCGCGGAGCTGGTGGGCAGGGGGGTCCTGCGCAGGGTGCGCGTCGAGCGGAGGGGCGGCGCGGGCGAGGCGCTCATCGAGACGCGCGACCTGGAGGAGATGCTGCGGCGGGCGGACGTGTCGGACGGCGCCGCTGCGTGCCCGGCCGGAGGACCGCGCGGCGCTGACGTCGGTCCGGCGCGTGTCGAGGTTCGCGTCGGGGACGGTGGCGGCCGTTGGGGGCCCGAACGCTGTTCACCTCGCTGGAGGGGGGGGCGGCGCGCCCGCCCTGGCCGCGAGGGGCGGTGGCCGGGCCGCCTTCCGGGTCGCGGTGCCGGGGCACGGGGGCTATCTCAAGCTGGCGGATGGAGCGGTCGACTGGGTGCGCGAGGCGCTGGGCAGGACGAGGTGGGGAGAGGGCCCCGAGTCGTGGCTCAAGGAGAGGTTTGAGGGCAACGGACTGTACGGGACGAGGTGGAAGGAGTTTTGGGGCGTCGAGTGGGAGTGGGTGCTGGGTCAGGCCGTGGGCTTGGGTGTCGTTGAACTCTTCGAGACGGGCAGCGTAGGCAGGGGCGTGAGGCTCTTGGGCGGGTGAAGAAGTTGCGTCGTGGAACGGGCGTGTTGCTCGTGGCGGAGGACGCATATTTCACGGGGCAGGGACCCGTGCAGTTCTTCTACGCCTGGTGTCAAGGAAGGGCGATGTTGATGATGCGGCAGGCAGTGTCATCGCCCTGGCGGCGACTTGGACATCATCGCCATCTCGGAAGCCCTGACACAACGACACGACACGACACGACACGACACGACACGCGGACAAGCCATACAAGGAGACGACTACAGTCCTTTGAAACCTGCTGCGTTCACATCCCGAATGGAGACCCCAATGGGTTCGTGAAGTGAAGTATCCAACGGGACCCTCGGCAAGACACCCAGCCCTGTGTCAGGCCATGGCGGCCACTCTCGTAACGACGAAACAAGTCGTCGTCGAAGGAGCAAAGACAGAGGGGTCTGAACTTTGGTCGGGTGGTGGTGAGATTTCCGAAAGTCCGATTCGGAAGGATTTGACAACTTGTTCTTCCGTTCCGAGAGGTCCCAAAAAAGTATGCCAGCGATCACACATACAATCCATGAGTGACTGGACAAGGAAGTGTCGGGGATGATTGGCCAGGGCCTCTGTCCCACGGAAGCGCTCTGTATTTCTAGTACTATTAGGTTTTATTACCTAAAAATCGCAGGGACGTGGTAACTCTTCGAGTAGTACTCCGTCTCTGTAGCTTGTCTTCAGTACCTACATGCTTGTCAAACACTTATTTAGTAGTCATCTCCTAGTAGCTCTGAGTAGCTTTGTTTGTCATGGCTCACACTCAGGGGGTTATATTGTAGTGCTGCTTCTCCGTACTCCGTAGTGTCGATTGTCATGTCGTCTGAAGAATCAGTCGTTTCCGCCACGGCAGCCAGAGAGACATTGTTTGAGCCCGGGGGTTGGCTTTTTCGCATTTTGGTGAAACGCGGTGGTCCACGGTCTATCGGCCCGCACGTCAAGGAAGGGATCGACAGGGATGATCCATGTCGTGATGGCGCTTGGGCGTCGTTGTGTTTTGCCATGATGGTCTCAGATGAGTGTTTTTTACATCGTAGTTGATACGTATTAACAAGCGTGACCCAAAGTACGGAGTAGCCCTGTTAGAATCAATATCAAACATTGAGCAACGAGTGTATGCAACGGAGAACCATCCTTGAAGGATGCCTACCAGCGACGTGAGTTTGCGGGCGATAAAATACGTCCCAGAACACATTGAAAAGGGCCGAAACCGGTCATGTTTGATGTATTTGAAGATATTTATGCAGGCCTTGGCCCATGGTCAAAGACGTGAGAGCCTGCGCATGCCACGCAATGCGTGCATGGCTTGTAACCAGGCATTTTTCTTTCTTTCTGGTCTGTTATATAAATGTGATATACATTGACCCTTGTCTAGGAGGACGTGCGAGCTGACTGTATCCAAAATGTGTGCTTGGGCAGGGTGTGGACGCTTATTATATGGCGATCCTTCACTGGCTTCACCTGGATATGAATAGCCTGCTAAGATGCGATTGGGAGACGATCGGCATTAACATTAATATTCCTCCCCACTTGCCCGATCGAACTGCTATTCCAAGCACAGCAAGTAGGCAGATCCGGAAGACCAGTCATCAGGTTTGAAGACAACATAGTAGTGCGGGATGCAGTTCAGTTCATGCCTCACTATAGAGTACTCGCACGAATCTGACCCGGAGTAGTGTAATTTTGTGGCCACTCGGCCGGGGCCACTGGCTCCGCGAAGTGGGTGACGTCGTGCACGGAGCAAGGTTGATTTTCAACTAGACCATGGTCCCAGTCGATAGATAACGTTACCTTGGTGCTTGGTGGTTGGCGCAATTCTACACGGAGGCAAAGCCGAGGGCAGAACCCCGAGAGTTTTGGTCAGCCAACTACCTATACCAGGTAGTTAGTTGTCTGGATGCCCTGAGAAATACTACTAGTTACCTGTAGTACTTAGTGCTTGGTATCCAACAAGTGTAGACATCCGTGCGGCGTTGCGTAGCATCCACCAGGGGCGCATCTTCAATCACCTTGCCTGCCCGCATGCTCCATGTCCCCGACGATGTGGGCCAATAACAACGGCAACGACATGCCGGGCAACGGCTTGTGACGACGTACATGCGCAGGGCGGAGTACGGAGTACAGCATTGAGCAATCCGAAGAACTTGGTGCGCGGCGGTAGCAACATAAAACTACATTAAGTAGATACAACGCGGGTCCGCAAGGCGCCTCGGTAAACTAATACCATGTAGGAGAGAAGGCCACCGGGTAAATTCTCGTCTCCAAGCGCGATGGGGGGGATCGCAACTCGACGCAAGATAGGGTTCAGTTGAAATTGGTGGTTTGACGGTGCCAAATTGAGATTGAGGGCCACATGCCACGAGGCACGAAGCCACGAAGCCACGAAGCCACGAAGCCACGAAGCCACGGAGCCACGGAGGCCACAGTGCCACTAAACTGGACAACGGAGTGCACTATCAGGTCAAGATGGCGGAAAAGTTCCAGCCAAGACACCTGACTTCGTATGCCAGCGACATGAGATGGCAAGCCGGCGTGCCGTTTCAAGGAAAAGCTGAAAAGTTAAAACTCCGTTGTCGATGCTGAGCTGAGCTTGGACCTCTGGCGATGGGATGTTTGTGGGCTGGCCTAGTAAGGCCTAGTAAGCTTTGTGTGGTCACTGGTGTGATACCCTTGCTGGCTTCGTCATTTCGGAGAGTGATGTATCGAAACTCGCCGACATTGTTGGCCTCGGAGGAGGGGCGGATCGGGTCGAATTGTAAGGACCCAGGTACGGCGAAGGATTGAAAACGGAGCAGAATCAGTCTCAGCACTTTGGGCGCATCATCTTCAATAGTACATGACGCATTGTCTAGGGGTTCGGAGGACTGACTTGTGTACGGAGTACAATACACTCTGACAAGCCCGCAGGCGGCGGGCATTGGGATAGAACAGACATGACAAGATTGTGCTCCGTATTCCCACTGCAATGTTTCCGCTCGATGGGACGACCGATGGAGCGAGTGGAGATGATGCTCAGGCCTCCATTTGTCGGGAACGCGGGGACCGGGGTGAGCGTCTGCGGCTGGTGGATGCAACATTAAAAAGGCAAGAGCTACCAGGCCTCCGTTACTGGCAGGTATCGGCACTGAACACCCGTGCAATGTTTAGACTAAACTAAGTTTGACTCATGCCGGAAAACCTGCGCAAACCTGTCTCGCTCCTGCCTCGCGAAGAGTCAAGAGTCAAGACCAAGAGCCGCTGGGCCATTGAGACGCTTTGTACGATGACACGTGCGGAAGCTGCACAGGGAACTCCAAACAGGTGCAGTACGGAGTACTAGTACTTCGTATTCTGAGCGCCCCCGGAAAACTCATAAATGAAAGAGAGAGGAAGAGGGAAAGGGAGAAAGAGAGAGAGAGCGCGCGCGACAGAAAACAAACAAGCGACGGCGCCACGTCCACTCGTATCACGCCAAAGCCACAAGGCGAGTGTTGCGTGTACCAGATCAGCGGCCAATTCAGGAGTGGCGACCAATGAAACACACATGATATCGGCTCTATCAGATTGCAGGCACGCGGCAGTGAGAGGACTGATGAAATTGTGTTTCACTTGGCGCTGCCAGGCCAGGCCAACCTGGGCGGAGCCACTCGTTACTGTAAGAACAGGCCCGGGCATCCTCGATACTACATCATATCACAACTACTTCAGAGGCTGGCTTATTATTCTAGAGCTTTGCCATCACGCCGCCAAGAGGGCGAGGCATGCGATGATGATGCCCGGCAGTGTAACTCGATACCTGGATTGCCTGGTCATAAAAAGACGGCGGAGCTCTGACTGGCGTCATTATGCTTGGGCAGAGGTGACTCGCGTATTATTACTCCGTACATTGTACGTCTTTCCCCGCTCTGTACTCCGTACACCTGGTGATTTACTGGTAACATTTCTTCAAGCACTTTGGTAGTCTGCCGACAGCCGGACATGCAAGATGAGAAGTGGAAGCATCAATCAGCCCGCGCTATAAGTCATTTGTGGCACATCTGATGGTCGCATTTTAGGTACGTACTAGCCGAAGTTTGGGGCATCAGTACTACGCCGCACGCCGGAGAGCACAATAAAATCTTTCGGCTCTGTTTCAGATGGGATCATCTTGGTCGCGATGCGCCTCCAGCTTCCGTCCGCGTGTTGCTGTGCGACATGCTCTGCGACATGGGATGGGTGCTCGAGGGCTCGTGATAAGTGGCGTCAAACCAGACAGGGGAAGGATGTTGGATGGTGGATGGCGGATGGGAGACTGGGGTGGATGGGGATGGGAGAGGCCCGGGTGCCGGGTGCACGTCGGGTCGTCCGTTGACATCACTTGAGTACGGAGTACCTACCTAGGTACTTAAGTACTTAGTGTCAACGTTTCTTCTGCCAGCAGGTTGCCCCCCTCGTTTTTGAGGGCGTGTTGCTTTCAGGGCATTCAACATTCGGCATGCCAGTGCAATGTTGACCAATTTTTCCATCTTACTGCTTTATTGGTAATATCAATAACCGTGGATTTGTTGGCTTTTTCCCCGTGATTTTGTCTTGCACGTCCCTCTCCTGGTGTCAGAGACGTCACTGACTCAATTTCCGCTGGCGCCTTACCCCTCCCCCTGGCGGTTGCAGTGGGGCTCTCGCAAGCACTAGCTTGGTTACGTCGCTACTTACCTAAGTACTTATAAGTATGTTTGAGGTACCGAGCCCAGCCAGCTGTGCTGTACTGAGGGTCGGTGTTCGTTCAAGAACGTACTCAAGTTGTTAACGTAACTTAACGTTACTTTAAGTAGGTGCCGACTTAGGCACCCACCGAGGTTCCCACGGAGTAGTGCACACCACCTCGAGGCGCTCCCAGACCCTTCCTCCGTGTGGTACGAGATGGACGTTAGGGACTGGGACTCTGTGCTCGCAGCTGCCCAAGTACAAGTACCTAGGAACCTAAGAGCCTAGGCACCTGGGCGCTCAGAGTCAGGTGCTCCGTATCACTAGTACTCCGTACAAATATTCCGTTCATGCACCCCTGACTGTCAGTCTTGAAGTTGGAAATTTGGAGCAGACGGGGTACTTTCCCGTTTCCCCTGTTGCCGTCGTCGTCGCCGTTGCCGTTTGCGTTCAATGCTTGACAGAGCCCAGACTACGGAGTGTATCGCCAAGGTACTCCGTACCGCGGTACTTACTTACTTGTAGCTGCTAAGTTCTTGCTTTCGGTTCCGAGTAAGTTACCTACCGAGTTACTTCAGTACCTATCCGGTGTTTCCATCCAACTACCAACTCGGAGCTTCTTGTACCCACCCCTTTTCGACTGTCTGCTTGTCGTCTTTGCCAAACCACCGCCATTGACGACGACGACAACACCGACGGCAGCCTTGGTGCGTTGTGCCAGGCCGTATTTTGAAAACGACGGAAAGGATAGTCTGGTGAGGACCGGAGCCGGAGGAAATTGAAACAGTATTCAATCCGCCCTACCGAACCAGGTTCTACCGCCCTTCGAATCCTTCGCCGGGCTCCAACCGAGACTGAAGGGCACAAAGAAAAAAAAAGGTCAAACCATCTTGCAGCATCTGCGTCGCTAGCTTTGCGATCGATGTCTGGCGAGTGATTCCGTGTAGACAAGCCTGCATCACAACATCTCGTTTTTCTTTCCGACTTCTCATAGACCATTTTTCCAGCTCTTGGACAGCGGGTATATATTGTTTCAGAGAGGCGCCAGGGACTTTCGATCTCAATCGCCTCTTCTGTGGTCCCCCAACGGGAAAAAAAAAAGGTCTTGGTACGTGTATTCACCGAACCAACCCTTGCAAGGGTTCTGTCGTCCTGTTTTGACCCTTTGCTCTCCCCTTCGCATATTCCTGGTTCATGCATCCATCTTGGACAATATAGACTGACTGCCCTGGGTATTAAGTAGGGTGACGATTCTTTATTTGGCAACGACACCAATTATATGCACTCGAATCCGTTTGCCAGACATCCGTTTCCCCCTTTGAGCAGCAAATCTATGTCATACCACTGCCCTCTAACCCGGCCACCCAGTGTTTCAGCCAACCCTTCCAGCACTGCACACGACCAGGTCTCGACCATTTAGGTAGCGGGTGGCCTTGTTCCTTGGCCTGTATGTATGGGCACAAGTCGCGTTGCTGATTCATTTATTTGGCACCGACCCTCAAGTCCATCAGTCGACTTTCTCGACTCCAAGCTCATCAAATCACCTCTCGCAAACCGCGTAGCCCATACTAGTCATGGCGACAGCCTTGCCGCGGCCATCTCGGTCTTCAAATGCCCCGCCAAACATGGCTTTGCCTGCGTTGCCAGTACACAAAACTCGGAAAAGCACTGGAAACATTCCGTTACAGACTCTGGCAAGGTCTGCACCGTCCACGCCAAAGAGTGGCCTTCGAGCGCCCTCGACTGTCTTGGCTCCTCCATCCCCGGTTCCCACCACTGCTTTGCCCCTTTCAAAGGGCCTCGTCAATGTCAACGCTGTAAACGCAGCGGGAAAAACGCTTAGAAAAACCGTCAGCATCAGCTCATTTCCACATCCTCCACGAGGCGATAGCAGGTCCAGCAGCTTGCCTCCCGGCCCCTTGGCTGGCGAGAGGACTCGATCTCGGAGGTCAAAGACGCCCAGGGAGCTTCCTCACCTAAACTATTCTCCATCTACCCCGAGTCTGTTGAATGCCAGCGGCGAGGGCAAATCTGTTAGCAACGCGCGCATGTCCGACGGGTTGATGAGCATTTCGTCACCACCGCAAAGCCGAAGCTCCTCCGCGCAAGATTCATACTCAACTTCTGCAACGACGTATGACGAGCCTGGTGAGGGATCAGCCTCGAAGCTCGAAGGAGGCGCTCCTGGTCTTAGCAGCCCGGCTTCAGACAAGCGAGCATCCAAATCCGAGAGCAAAGGCAACGTGCTTGTTAGCGTGCGAGTCCGCCCAGACAATGCCGCGGGCCAGTCAAACCCTGAAGGGGAGTGGATGGTAGATGGACGCAAGTCGCTTATCGCGTACAAGGGGAAAGAAGGTGGCGATTACATTTATGGTATGCATACTTGTGCAAGTTGCACATGCCCTCACAAGAGTATTTGAAGGCGCGGAAACAGCACCCGCTAACGGATGCGTAGATAATGTTTTTACGACGCATGACAACAATGCGCGCGTTTATGACCACATTGCAAAGCGACTTGTCCGGAGAGTCATGGAAGGCTACCACGGAACGGTCTTTGCCTACGGTATGACCGGCACGGGCAAGACATTTTCGATGCAAGGCACAGCTTCGTCACCGGGCGTCATTCCCCTGGCAATCACTGACATCTTCTCCTACATTCGGGAAACGCCATCCCGAGAATTCCTGCTGCGTGTCAGCTACCTTGAAATTTACAACGAAAAAATCTATGACTTGCTAAGCATGCCGACGGGCAGCGGTGTCGGCGGAGCTTCACAGGACGAGATCAAGCTTCGCGAGGACAGCAAGCGCGGCGTGTACGCTACACCTCTGAAGGAGGAAATCGTTCAAAGTCCTACACAATTGCTCCGAGTTATTGCGCGTGGTGACCAGGCGAGACGAACTGCCAGCACACAATTCAATGCCCGCAGTTCGCGGAGTCACGCGGTCGTCCAAATTGTTGTTGAGAGCCGGGAACGAATACCAGGTGGCGCTACTGGCGGGATCGAAGCCAAGCGCTCGGCTATTCTCCCCGGAGGTGTTCGAGTTTCCACACTGAGTTTGATTGATCTGGCTGGTTCTGAAAAAGCAGCCGAGTCCAAGGAAAGGAGACAAGAGGGTGCCCATATCAACAAGAGTCTTCTCACGCTGGGAACCGTCATCGCAAAGTTGTCTGAGTGGAAGGACAAGGAGAGCAAAGGCGGCGACAAAGAAGGCAAGCATCTGCCTTACCGTGATAGCAAACTGACGCGTCTCCTCCAAGGAGCCTTGTCTGGCAACTCATTAGTGAGCATTCTTTGCACCATCCAGATTGGAGCCGCCGGAAGCACCGCGGCCGCAAACACCCACACCACCGAAACCATCAATACTCTGAAATTTGCCTCCCGAGCCAAGAACAGTATTGTCAGCCACGCCAAGAGAGCGGAAGAGGCTCTCGGCGCAGGAGGCGACGGCGGCGCGAGAGTGCTATTGGAGCGGTATCGCATGGAGATTGTGGAGCTGCGGAAGCAGCTAGACTCACAAAAGAGCAAGAGGAGTAGCAAGGATAGCGAGACGGACAAGGACGAGGAAGCAGAAAAGGTTCGAGAATTGGAGGCTGTCGAACGACACGAGGAACAAATGCTGGAGATGCAGCTCGCGAGGACGGCGCTGAAGGAACGAATCGACCATCTCAACCGACTGATCCTCAGTTCCAAGTCGATTGGGGTTAATTCCAACGGCTCATTGAGCTCGCTTGGACAATATGCACGATTCTCCCAGCTATCTCTTACGGGGTCCATCAGGTCTTCAGTTGCCACTTCGATCGGATCAAAGCCTCTGTTGGAGCGCGCCGCGTCCACGACATCAGCGTCATCGACGATAGGGCGACGCTCCAGCGGTGGCCAGAGAATATCTGGTGAATGCGAGCGCGAAGCCATCGATGTCGAGGACGACAGTATTGGGGAGTATGGAGATGGCACGGCTTCTCTGACGGCCCAGAACCGGGCGCTTCAGGCAGACTTAATTGATAAGAACCGGTACATTGCCACTCTGGAGAAGAGACTTTTGCAAGCGAGACGGGCAAGCTCGTCGCGAACCTCTGTTGGGTTTTCCGCGCCAAGTAAGAATATCATGGTTGGTGAAGACCACAGCGTCGCTGCCGCCTTGAAAGAAAAGGATGCCGAGATAGCTGATCTCCGTGCTCGTCTTGACGATAAAGACCGCATGCTTGCTGCTCTGAGGAGTGCCGCGCGCTCCCGGGACACTGCTGACGCCTCGGCCGAACCACGATCAAACTTAGTTTTGGATCAGGCCAAGATGACGACGCTAGCTACCCCTAGTCCTACGAGCCATCGGATTCAAAGGAGGCGGACCAGGAGCGTCGATGAGATGAATAGGATGCTCGAAGAGATGATCCAGGACCGCGTTGAAACAGGTCAAATCATTCGTGGATCCCGAGGTAGCGTGCGATTACCCCGTGGACGAAAGCCGGACTCACTCGCAGAGCCGCCACAGACTTTGGAAACGTTGCGACAAAGCCCGGTGCCTGCGGCTGCGCCAGCCGTGTTGGAAACCGAGTCGGCCTGATGCGCCAGGTTCTTTGATTTACAACCTTTAATTCAAGGCAAACTGACGTGGAAATGCCTTTGTGAATTGTACTTGTGGAGGCATACGTTTTCCCCCATTGGGTTCGGAGTTGAGGACCAATTTCGGAGTTGGCTTGCGTTTATACCCTACGATTGCTATTCTTCCCCTTTTTATTTCCCATTCTTTTTTTTGTCTGAGCCAATATTCTTTACTACATCCTCCGGCCGAGCCATTGTTAATTTGACTGTTTTGTGGCAGCCTCTGCAGTATTCTTGCTTCGGCTACAACAGATTCTCGACATGGTGGTTTCTTTTCTCCGTGCAAGACTTGGACGTCACACCATGTTTTTTCTTTCTGAGTAACAATACCATGCGATGAGACGAGGGGAGGTTTCAATCTCGTTCAAATGGCTTTCGTTCAAGACCATTATGAGGCGTATAGCTTCCATCTGTCGGCTTTATTATGTATTTTATGTCACTATGCGGATAGCCACGAGTCTGAGCAGACCAAGTGAAAAAGTTGCAATGCCACTGTACCTGAGCGATTGTGTTGGATGTGTCGGACCTGCAACGAAGTGGTCAACGATGTATGTGTGCATGCATCCACGTCGGGCCTACCGAATCCTGCAACGCTTATTGTAGGACACCAAATGTCTGTTGATATGTATTGCGACCAAAAACAACATGGTCACATCCTCCTCACTCGGCAATACATCTGAAACCATTATTACCACAATGGCGGCCGGTGTAGTCCAGCTCTGGACCCCTCGGGACAGGCCATTGCCTCCTAGTGCGCGTGTGGTCACTCTATTTGGCGTTTGTGGCATAGCATGTGGCGGGAATTGTGCTCTTGAGCCGACTGGCATTGTGGTTTGCGCTTCCGTCTTCCTTTGTGGAATGTCTGGCCATGAAGCACGAGAGCCTTTTCGTCGGGGGCACTGCTGGGGGTCTTTGGCTTGTGTCTGCGACCAATCCATCATGACTCACGCGTGGCCATTATTGCTAGTCTTAGGCCTATTCTTGCGGCTTTATTCGTCTCCGTGGGTTTATAAGTCTACAGATATAGTGTAATGTTGCATGTGCAACGTGTGCTGCACCACCGCTCGGGCCATGAGTGATGGATGGCACAGGCAAGAATGGACTTGAACGGAGTGTGGCCGTCAGGCGACCAACCCACGGAGAAGCTTGACAAGAGTTGACAGCGGCTCGATACCGAGTCAGTCGAGGTCCTACTTGGCAGAGACGCAATTTGGTTTGGCAATCATTGGCGGCAGCATCGCACAAGAGTCAAGACCCAAGTCTTCAAAGGGATCGGTCTGGGACGTCAGGGCTCTCTCTGCGACCAAGTAACGTGGTGAGCACGGGGAACGGACGGGCGAGCTGTGGAAACCGATGGGAATTGGAATTGAATCTTGTCCTGAAGGCGTTGGTTGGTGTAGGTGTCATTGGCTGGGGTTGGCCCGCCCGAGCTGTTGCTAATAAAGGCTCATTTATCTGGGGAGGGACGTTGAAACAGCTACACATGGCTGCACATCTACCTTGCACCATGGCCATGTTCTTGTCTTGTACTTGTAGACCTATGCTCTCGTCGTCAGCCGGACGTCGCGACAACGGCGCTCCTGCACAGGAGGCTCGAGGCCGAGAAGCACTCGATCCTTGAAGGAATGCTCCGCATAGCCGTTCGCGTGTACGATGGCTCTCGAGCGTCTTCCCAGCTTCTCGTTGAGACAAGAGCGTGTACCGGCAATGACCTGGTATCATTTTGACGTCGAATTGAGGTGTGGCTGCTAATTCCGGGGCAGGGCTAGCTGGTATTGTACGGAGTAACGTTAGCATGTATGGATTGTCTTGTTTGGAAACCGACGGGCGAGTAAGCCGGAGAAGAAAATAACGCACCGGGCTACCACCGATCAACGTGACCACTGACGGGGTTTGGGGGCTTGGGGCCTGCACTTGGTGAGCGAACAAACAGATGGACAATACGGAGTACAGAAGAAATGTCTCCAAGCCAAGTTGGCGCCTCGACCGCTTGAGCACTTGTGCGCCCGTTGTGAAACATGTCGAGCGGGGTTCCTGTCAGGGCCGTGGGTACATGACATCACTGTACCACCTTGTGGCGCACGGCCGCGGCTGGTACTCTGCCTAATTGTACTGCAGCCCAGCAGCCCGCCAACACATGCAGTGTTTCATCTTTTGCTCCTTCCCCAGTCCTTGAGCAGTGCGGTTGGGCCGGAAGGAGCAACCGTGCCCTGCGCGGCCTTGACACCGAATGACGACAAAGTCTCTGCAGCCTCCATCCTCACTTGCTCCCCGTCCTGTCTCCTGCAGCTGTGAATTGCGGACCGAGTACGGAGTATGGAGCACGGAGTAGCATTGCCTTTACTCTTGCCCATCGTCATTTTGAAGCGGGCCCAGTGGCAACCTCGTGCCTCACCCTCCGCACCAAGTGGCCAACCACCATCCTGCCCGTGAACTGCTCCTTGAAGTACTCCGTATAATAGAGTACGGAGTACCAACTGCTGCGTACGCCTTACGCCTGTCCGTTTTTGCTTTCCTGTCGACTTCCTGAGCACTGGCGCCGCTTTGTCCGGCAGGCATCACGTCAAACCGCGCGAGACGTCGTGTGACCATGTTCGCACCGCGGGAACAAGTTGGGCCGTCATCCTGGTGCCGCATCAAAAACATTCTGGCCGGGCCTTCAGGTGCCGCTTCGGACCCCAGGTCATACACATCCCTAGCAACCTACCGAGTACGGAACTGATCACGGGGGCCTGCGTTGCTTTTTTTGCTAGCCATGGTCCCGTCCCGTTTCCTGGACCCCTTTTTTTTTTGGGAGGGGGCTTCAAAGTTCTGGATTTCGGCCTTAACACATGTCTCTACAAGGACCCTGCTCGGAACGAGGCTTGTCGTGCAAGGAAGAGAGGCATTGTTCCTAGGTTTCTTGGGCCCGCTGGTCAATGTTCTGGCCCCTTTCCTCCTCAGCCAGCTCTTTTACAGTTTTTTTCCTGCATGTGTACGGAGAACTCCATGCATATGTGGAGTGAAGAGCACATTCCTTCTCAACAAGTGGCTGAAGGGCTGTGGCCATTGAATAAAGCCATCGTGCCCCGGCACTCACCCAAGACGAGACAGAACCGAACTATCCAGACTCCCTACTATCGAGAGAGTGGGCTGGCATAGGCGTCGTGAGAGGAACCCGTCTGTGGCTTGTGCTGGGATTGATCGGCGCACCAGACGTTCATCCCATCTCATCACCGTGCCAGATGCTCGTGTGGTTTTCGTGTGTAGGCGAACTCGGACTATAACTACTAGTTCTCGCCTTCCCTTCTTCCGCCAGACATACATATGATTGCGTTTGTTATGCGTCACTGTATGGGCAACTGTGTCGATGTTCGATATTCAGCCTTGTCCGCCACTATTCTCTTTATGCCTGACGTTTCTCCAACTAACGTTACGCACTTCGTCCTGTTTCAAAGTGCCGCGGTCCGTGGAGCAAACCCTGCTGTCTGGTTTCACCCGTACTAAACCCAGCAACCAATGACGACCATCACCAACTTGCATCATTTTGCCATCAGCAGTGGAGAGCATTCTTCGACACCTTGCCTGGTTCAAACCCAATTTTATTTTGCTGTAGTCCTTAGATGAGTGGTCTGGGCCATTTACCTTTGCTCCAACCACCCGTCTTCATAATTACCTCTTTCCGCCCCCGTCGCATGGCTATCAAGACTGCATCTGCTCGGTGACAGCCTCCCCTCTTTGCTTCTCTTTCATGTTCTTTTTTGTGCCTCTCCTTTCCTCCCTCTCATTCAACGCGTCCGTCTCTCTGTTGTCTTCTTGTATAGTTTCTCTCTCCATAGTTCGATACTACGGCTGCTTCCACTCCCAATTATATTTCCATGAATCTTGACACTACTTGAGCGCCTGCTCGGTTCGAATTTCTCGGCAACGCAATGGCGACTCGACTCGACCTGTCACGATCTGCTGCGCACGGAAAAGCCATGGTTGCGCCGTCGCGAATTAACTTGCGCCGCACTGCCTCGTACAATGACCACGGCGCTGGCGTCATTTCTTCGACCACTTCTCGCTTGAATTTTAATCACCTTCTCTTCTCACCACCTCCTTCTCCTAGCCTGCCAGCTCTTTTACCGAGACGAAAAAGGTCAACATCAGAGCTGTTGTTCAAGCATCGACCCAGCCGGGTCATTAGGCAGTGCTTTTACTTGGTCACTCTGCTAGCGGGCCTTTACCTCTGTGCCTTTGCCATTCGGCACCGCAATGCAATACACATTGCGCTGCCGTACTTTAGCGATCCCCAGTATGAGATGGTCGGACAGGATAGTTTCCCGGACTTTCCAACGCCTATTGTTGTTCATGATTCCAAGAAGCGACCAAAATGGACGGTGTACATACCCCGAAACTACGAATTCCCATTGTCGATCAAGGAGTATTCGAGCATGAACGCCCTTTGTCGGGAGGTATCCGCTCGAGCGAGAGACCTCCGCCACAAGATGCCACTGCCAGACAAGATGTTGTTATTTTACGACCGGCCGGATGATTACTTTGTCGACGTTTCTGAGGCTGAGAAGATGGGACTGCTCTCAGCCATCCCCAAGGGCCAGCCATCCAAGCACTCTGGACAGTTCTCCGGGCTGAGCTACGAATCCATGTCTGGCAAACCGGTTTGCGACAAGTCGCTGACGTATGTCTTGGAGAGCCCGGACGCCGGGCTTGGCAAGGCAATAATGAATCTATGGACACTGTATGCGCTGGCAATGGAACAAGGGAGGGCTTTCTTCATCGACGACTCTCGCTGGGCATACGGAACCTACACCAACATTTTTCAACCTCCCCCAGCTCCTGATTGCCGCCCACCGCCACGGCACCAGATGTTACCATGCCCGGCACAAACCCGACACTTGGTGGTATCCAGTGTCACGGTGCAGGATGTGCTCCCAGCACTCCTGGCCAAGCACCATCGACAGAGTCGCTCCGATCTGGGATTGCGCGATCTCTTCAAACTTGCACATACCGGGTACAAGGCGCTTTTCAGGCTCTCCAAGGATGATGAGGTCTATGTCGAGAAACGAATTCGGGACCTCAGGGCCGAGGCCAAATCTAACGAAGGCGTTCCTGTGAATTCACCCATCATCGGACTCCACATTCGACACGGGGACCGGCATCCATTTGAGTATCAGTACCGGGACACGTACATACCCGGAGAGATATTTGCAAGCTACGGACACAGCCTAGTCGAGGCCCACTACAACAGCACCAGCCTCGAGCCCGAACAGCACGATGCTGTTTGGATCGTCGCTTCGGATGACCCAACGGTCCTTGAAGAACCAGAATTCGCCGACGCCCATCTCGCCCAAGAGCATATCCGCCTGGCCACAAAGCAGGTCATTCAAGACTCGAAAAAAAACCCGCAAGTCCTCCATGCCTTTGAGGAGGAGGCTTTCGGATGGGAGGGCGGCTTCTTCGCAGCAATGTTTTGGAGCTTTGGTGGAAAGCCGAAGCACAGCGCTGTCGACGAGGCCGCCACAACGGCGCCGTCCGATGAAATGCTGAGGCTACGGAGCCTGGTCGGGCGAGCATACATGATGGATCTGGCGGTCTTGGCCAGCGCAAGCGACAAGGTTGTGTGTGCCGTGAGTGCCATGGGGTGCCGGCTAGTGGCAGTGATGATGGGGTGGGAGCGAGCAATGGAACGCCGGGACTGGCGGAATGTGGATGGCGAATATGGATGGGGCGGACTGAATTGGGACTGAAGTTGGTGCTACCGAGACAAGCAGCGGCATTGTTTTGGAGTTTTGGTTGATGGGCATAGCATCTTTGGCAACTTGATACCACAAAATTGTTTCTGTCTGGTGGTTTGACAAGTGACACCCACTCGCTGGTACATGAGGGGTCCCCGATCCGCGGACTCATTCCTCGTCCGGGGCTCGGGGGATTCGAATTCTAGATGCGAGATGGACGGAAGAAGCTTACTTGCGGCTTCGACTCGGGCTAACTCTTGAATCTTGATACCCTCCGGTCAAGTCATGTGCCAAGCGAGATTTTGGATTTCTCGACCACGCAAAAGGGCTAGTGCATCCCGGGCAAGTTGGTTTGCGATTTTTCTTGCATCATATCAGTCACAAGAAGTCGGTATTTTCGACGTCTATTTTAAACGTGCGGCCGTGACGTTCCAAGCTGCTGTCGGCGGCCTGCGCAAATATCGAGGGCGTTCGGTTCGGCCCCACACGGTGACCTAATCAGCCATCCAGAGCACCCCTCCGCACCTGCCTCGGAAGGTACCTAGGTAACTTAGTTATTAGTCATCTCGTCCGGAGAGCACGACCCGCTTGGACCCGGGACCGCCTCAACTCCGGTCAGGTCAGCCTGCCTTGATCAACATCATCGCCCCCAGCCCGCACCATGTCTGCGCCAGAACCCGGCGGCGCTGCGACGGAAACGCCAAAGCCCAAGTTGAAAATCAACATCAGCCGGTCCTCGTCCTTTGTCGGCGACGCAGCAGCAGCAGCAGCACCACCACCACCACCACCACCGCCAGCATCTGCGACGGCGACGCCCGGCGACGGCCCACGCAAGGTGAAGCTCAAGCTCACGTCGTCGCAACCACCGACTCCCGCCACAGACCAAGCACCACCCGCCAAAACAAAGGCCGGCCGCCAGACAAAGCCGAGCCAGAAGCTCGTCGAGAGCAGAAAACGACCGCACGATGACGACGAGGACCCGGCGCCGTCCCAGGTGGCGGTCCACCAGGCCACCAAGATCAAGATCCGGCCGGGCGTCAAGACGGCTCACACCCAGGTAGTGCTGAAGCCGCGGGGACGCCCGCCGGTCCACCCCCCCGGCGACGGGTACGACTCGGAAGCGAGCGACCGCGAGATGGACCCCGCCATCGAGGAGCAGTTCATCCTGCGCATGCTGCCCGGCGAGCACTGCGACTACGTGCGCTGGTGCATGGACAACGGCAAGATGGGCACCCCCCGAGCCCAGGGCGGCGCCGACATGACGATCAAGTTCTTCGACGAGGACACGCGCCGCGCCGTCGTCACCGTCAAGGGCCAGCCCTTTGCCGCCGTCATGGTCGACCTGCCCACCATCACCGAGTCCATGAAGACGTGGGACCGCAAGTCCTTCATGAAGTCGGCAGACGTGTGCCAGATGCTGCTCGTGTTCCAGCAGGTCAAGAACGACGACGAGGCCAAGCGCGCGCCGCTGCCGGCCACGATCGACCCCAACTTCAAGTGGCCGCACGGCATCACGCCCCCCATGCACGACTGCGTCAACCGCCGGTTCGCCAAGACCATCAGCCGCAAGGAGATTGAGGACAAGGAGGCCGAGGTGGAGCGGCTGCTCGCCGAGGACGCCAAGGCCAGCTCCACCAAGTGGGAATGGGTCGACGACCGCCGCGACGAGGACGTCGAGCCCGGCGCCGACGAGGACGCCGAGGGCGAGGTCGACGACTCCATGGGCTACTTTGCCGGCGGGGTGCAAAAGGACGGAGTCGCCGGCGACGACAACGACCTCGAGGCCGACTTGGAAGCTGCCTTTGCCGACGACTTGGTGGCCGAGACGCCCGGTACGGGCATGGACATGACTACGCCCATGACTGCGCAGGTCGAGACGCCGGCGCCTGCCATTCAAGAAAGCATCGAGAATGACGAGTCAGAGGAGGACGAGGATGACGAAGACGACGACGACGATGACGACGACGACGACGACGACGACGACGATCTGGACGAGGATCAGCGCGCTCAGAGAGACGAGGAGCAGGGCGTCAAGGATATCATTCATGATCTGGAGAAGCAGTTGGCCAGGCGGGTGGCGGATCTGGAAAAGACGCAAAACAAGATTCTCCGAATAAGATTGGAGAATCAGATCAAGCAGCTGAAGTCCGAGATTGAGCTCAAGAAGGGCTCCATCGGCATTGAAGTCGACGACTGAGGCTGATGGGGAGACGAGACCGCCCGCCCTGCTGATGTGTGTTATATATTATGGCCTTGGGAAGAGGGCGCGGGGAGGGCGACACTACGAGCGAGCCGGTGTTCACGACGGACAGCACTGGCCTTGGCGGTGAAACAGAATCAGGCATGTCCAGTCGTTCACCAATGTCAATATAATAATAGCGCTCGCCTAGCCTACCTCTCTGTGCCTCGCAACTACTGCCAACTCTGACTCAACGATCGAACCGTAGAATCCACCCTCCTGACCAGCACGTCCTCCACTGTCCTCGTGACATCCTCCCAGCTCACGCCTTGACAAAATTCCTCGAGCGACTGCGGCTGCGGATGCGAGCTGGATTCCCGACGTCGCCGCCTGATGCGCCGATGGATAGCCCGTTGCAGATACACGGCCATGCGGGGATCTCGCTTCGATTGTTTCTTGAGATAATTGGCCGTAAAGATGGCGTCGGGCAGCGCAGTGGATTTGTGGTCATGGTGCCACCGCCTCGTGGATTTAATCGTCTCCCGAATGCGTGTCTGCATAGACTTGTGAGAGCAGCCTACTCCAGCACCCACCCAGTCAGTCAGTCAGTCAGCTTGCACGACGACGACGCGGCCGCCACACGTACCACCAGCTCGCACCTCAAACTCACGGCGCTCCTGACAAACCGCAGCGGCCGCCTCACACGCCTCCCTCTGCGCACTCACGCCCGCCAGCACAGCGTTCGCCTCGGCCAGGGTCGGCAGCTGGTCTACCTTGCCGACCAATTCGTCCACCAGCTTCCTGACCTCGCCCATGGAGCTCTTCACCTCCATGACCTCCTTTTGGTACTCCCTGGCATCGAGCCTGTCTCCTGCCGTCGAGTCCAGGTGCTGCTGAAAATTGGCCTTGACGGACAGGATGTCGCGCCAGACCCTCTCCATGCGTTCCTCATTTTGCTGGCGGAAAGTCTCGTTGCGCTCTGTCTTGCGCGTCAGGTCTTCGAGCCCGCGGGCCAGATCGTTGGCCTGCGCGAGGACTTTGTGAACCTTGAGCTCCATGGTCATGCGGGCGAGCTTCTCGGCCCGGTCGAACAGCTTTGAGTTGAACGTGCCATTGGACGAAGACGGAGGGCACGCAGAATCTCCCGGAATGCTCCCTGGCGAAGGAAGAGCATCATTACGAGCATCATTACTCGGCGGTGGAGGTGCTGGTGCCACGGGGGCAGAGAGTCGACGTTTGCTTGCCATTGTCGTACGGACTTGGTATGGCCGGATGGGCCATGGGCCATTGGCAGACTGCTGTCGGTCCTGCGAGAATCAAGATGCCGAGCAGTGGCTGCGGGCGGCGTCTGCGTGAAAGCAAAAGACGAGTCCCTCCACCAAACCATGCCGGGGCTCCGTCAATCGGTCTCGCTTAATATCCACAGGAGCGGCAGGCGCGGCGGACGTTCACAGCGAGGATCGGCACCTTCCTCATCTTCAGGCTTCGCGAAACGGAGTCACAACAACAATCCCACAAGGCAAACTCAGTGGCAAGACACAGAATATCATACGCGCTCCTTGTTACCAGCAATAATGACGATGATGATGATGATGAGGAGGAGGAGGAGGATGACGACGATGAGGATGATTATGTCATGATGTGATGGATGGATACATTCTACATCAGCACCGGCCAGCAGGTGAACACCGCACCGCAACATCGCGCGTCATGCATGCTTCATCATTCTCCCTCGGGTTTCTCGTCTGTCACATCTCCTCTTGACAGGCCGCTATCGGTGTCTTGAGCAGAATCATCTCGCCAACGAGTTACGGAGCCAGCGCTGAATCATGGGCCGAGCTTGATGCACCGTCAGCTGCCCCCGAAAGCCTCTTCCTCTCCTCTGCGATCCAGGCCAAAAACATGTCAACATCCTTGGCGATTTGGGCTGGCACGGCTCTCCTCTGTATCCATCCGGGCACGACACCTCTCGCATCTGAAACCGTGGCCATGATCCATTCAACACCATTCTCGGTTTGACAGAACCTCTCGACGCTGGTGTAAGCGCCCAGAACAGCGCCCCCATTCCGAGGGGTTGCATCATTGTCCTTGACGGCAATCTGAACAACCATGAACTCCCGCCTGTCATCCGTCATGGCCGTCACCTGCAGAACAGGAAAGACGCGCTTGCGCAGCGGGAAAGGAAGCTCATGCACAGACTCCTCCCACTTCATGGTCCAATCGACCCAAGTCCGGCCGGCGAGCTGAAGTTTGATGTCCCTGCACTTCCAATTCTTCATCAGCGCGGTGCTCAATACCGCGGGGGTAAAGTCCCTCTCCGCCTGGGCGTGGTTGTCCTTGAAGCAGCGAACCCATTCTGCCCACTCGGCTGTTCCCGTTGCTGCGGCATTCTCGTGGACACTCCGCCGCAGAGCCCATACCTCTGGTCGCAAGTCTCTGTCCTCCGTGTCCGTGATGCTGTGCTCCTCGCAAATGCGAACGAGTTCTGGCGTCGACACAACCCGGTTGTACAAGTGTACCGGGGCATCCGAGTTGGGAAATGTCTTGACGCCCGTGGGACGCCATGGCGATGTCTTGGTGCCGGACTCCGGATGAACATTGCTGATGAAATACACCGCCTCCGTCCACGTGGCCGTGAGTAGTGGAATGAGATTGCCCGACGGCGAGGATGAAGATGGTAACTGCGATGGTTCAACTCCCCACAGGCGGACCATACGGCTGAGAGCTGCCCTGAGATCGCCGTCTGAATCCGCAGATAGCTTTGGTAGTCTGTATTCCATTGCGATAAGTGTCTGTCTTGTAGTGCTGCTGTGAAGGCCTGGGTGGGCAAACAGAGTGCGAGTGCGAATGCGAGCGCGACTGTTTGGTCAAAGAAAGAGAGGCTCTCGTGCAGTCGGCCCATCACTGGTTTCTCAAAGGGAAGAAAAGAAAAAAGGAGACAAGGACGAAACAAAGAAAATGGCGTCACCTGCCAGGATGGCCAGGAGAGCAGGTAACGACGTGTTGCGTTTTGCAGGCGCGACAACTGGGAAGGAATCGCGTGCAGCCACCTCGTGTTTCTGGATGCCGTTGCACCCGCCCGGGTCCGTGACTCCGTGACTCCGCCCAAGTACTTCCTTCGGTCGCTGCTTGACTGACTGGAGAGGGCAGCGTCGTCCAGGACCCGGTCAACGACGCGTCTGTTGACAGCAATCACTTTAAATTGTCCATATTGTCCATCCCCAAGTGGTTTAGACCTTTACTTTGAATTAAATATTAGTGCTTTGTCTCACGCAACCACGTGGGCTCATTCACGTCCGCGCTCATCTAATCAACTCTAACAACTCCAGCGAGTAGCCCTGTACATATACAAATACCCGCTACTCGTCTTTTTATCCCATGTGCCCTTTTTTGTTTCATGCATCTGCCTACCCTAATGCATCTAGTCTCGTCGTTCCCAGCGGATCTTTGCGGGTTCCAGAGGTCGTGAAAAGAGAGACGCGTAGTCGGTGCCAATAATGGTGTTGCTGCCATCTACATTGCTCAGCCTGAACAGACGTACCGTCTCGGCAACAATCGTTTGAAGCTGTACGTTGGCAAAGTGCTCGCCAATGCATCGGTGGCGACCCGCACCAAAAGGAAGGTACGGCGAGGCGGCACCCTTGCTGACCAGACCGTATCCATAGTCGACCTTCTCCTCTTCGTCCACGACATTGCGGACAATGGTGGGCGCGTTGGGTGAGTCGCTTTCCCAGCGATGAGGGTCCCAGGTTTCAGGGTTGGGGAAGTAGCTGGGGTCGCTGGCGCTGACCCCGGGAGCGGCGAGAAGAGTGTGAGTGGTGGGAATCACGTATTTTGTGCCGGGCACGGGCATGGGCTGCTTGACCGCACGCATGATGGAGTGAATAGGAGCGTGTAGACGTAGGGTTTCCTTGACGATGGCCTGGTTGAGGGGCAGCTTGGAGAGGTCCTCGTAGGTAAGAGGTGGCAGATCAGCGCCAAGAGTCTTGATCTGTTCTTGGTAGAGCTCTTCGACGATGTGCGGGTTCTGAGCGAGGCGCAGCATGATCCAAGAGCTGGTCGATGACGATGAGTGCTGGCCGGCCATGAGCAGGGCAATCATCATGTGCGCGACCTCATGGTCAGGAACAGGGGTTCCGTTCTTGTAGGTCGAGTTCATTAGGTGCTTCATGATGTCGAGCTCCTTGTCGGCATCGCCCTTGGCCCGACGTTCCTTGATAGTATCCATGTAGATCTTGGCAACAGTACGTTGAGCATGGTCACGCTTGCGGTTCCAGGGGAGGGGCGCCCAGTGTAACATGAAGTTGATGGGGGTGAAGCCCATGTCCAGATCGTGATATAGAGCAGCCAGAGACTCGTCAAACTTGCCGCGGATGGCGCTGCCCTGAAGAGCGTGTGAGGCAGTAAAGATTGTAACCTCTGCCATCTTCTTGGGGATATCGACGATACCGGATTTGCCCTTGAACTCGGGGTCACGCTTGAAGTAGGACTGTACTTCGCCAGAAATAATGGGGACGTAGGATCGAAAAGCTTCCGTCGTCAGAGCAATCTTCATAAACTGTACCAAGAAATGATTAGCCCTTTCTGCCTGTGCCGCGACAAGATCAAAGCCGGCCATGGTTTTCGTTACCTTCTTCTGTTCCATCAACTTGGCGTTGGGACAGTCATACACAACATCCCGGCCAAAGACAGGCGTAGTCAAAACAGTATAGATCTCTTCGGCATTGACATCTTTGAGCTTGCCATTGAGGATGAAGTCGTTTCCTGCGGGGCCAACGGCGACGGTGGTTTTCTTGCCAAGGAGAACAAAGGTGAAGACATCTCCAAACTGTAGGGCGCCGGTCAGATACGGACTTCACTGGCAGCAAGCAACGGCCGCAAGGGGGGTGGATAGGATGCTAAACATAAACATACCTTGGCACGGTTCTCTTTGAAAAACTTGGGAGGGTCCATTCCGTACGTCACGGTGCTGCCAATAAAGGGGAACCAATGGAAGACCAGCGGAGGCTCATTGGGGTTCTTGAAGAGAATTTGGCTCGCAACGTTCAGAGTAACCGCAAGAGCGATGAGACAACCCAAGGCGATGCCAATCTGTGATCCCAGACCCAAAGTCTGGAACTGCTGCGAGAGCGGGTGGCTCGCTACCTGTTGAAGAACACCCATTATGATCGACCGACGACGGTGGGAAGGTCGTTGACTCGCGCGATCGGGTAGGAAACGAGGATTAAAACAATATTGGAAGATCCCATAGAAAATGAAGACTGAGGAGGAAGAGGTCTCCGTTGCCTATGGTCAAATCATAAACAAACGAGCCCCCAACGCAACGGCGTAGAAGCGAGTGATGAAGGAAGGAACTGAAGCGTGGCGTCAAGATGCGACTGATGAAAGTAATTTGGCGTCAATCGGGTGATTCCTTCCCTCGTTGGTTGGCTCAGGGGGGGCCCGCAAAATGCATCTGCGTGCGCATGTGGGGTCGCTGCCGATGAAAGCCAGGGACGCCATCCAACCAGAGGTCCTGATTTACGACGGCAAAGGGTCAAGGGTGTGTCGTATTCGGGTTTCTCAAGCGGAGACTAGCCTACATCGAACTTGCCGCGCTCACGACTGCGCCGCTCGAGACCGAGCCGCAAACCAGCAGACGATTCACTCCATACTTCTCCGCTGCAAAGACACAAGCCCTTCTGTCTTGTTGCATACATGGGATTGTATTTGAGGACGGCGAACAGATGCCGTCCTTACCGGCAGCTGGAGCCATCTCGGCGCCGAGTCTCGGCCTCTCGTCACCTCACATGTGGGTCTCCCGTCCGGAGAGCGACATCCGACTCTTGCGGCAACTCGAGACTCACCTTCAAATACGGAGTAGCGCAATGTTTAGTTCAACCAGGCTTGTGTAGTTCTTGGGGTTTGAAAAGTTCAAATCTCCATGCTGCAGCTCATGCAGTGTAGACAAGGAACATTGGACTTCTGTCTCAGCGACTTGTCACTCGACCGTGGTACATAAATGCAGTGCGTCACTCGACACCACGACGTTCAACGCGGCTCAGGGCAAAGAAACCTTCAAAACAATTGACGGCCAAAGCAAGAAGACGGCCGGACTCACCGCCACGTCCAATCCATACAAAACCAAGAACACAATAGCCGAATAGGCGACTCTCAACATGGCGCCCACTTGCAGAATCAGATCTTCGAACCACGGACGTCAAGCGAGGGCACCATCTTCCCCATCCTTTCCTTCCGAACAAAAATCCTTCATCATCATGACAGTCTTCAGCACCATCTTCACGCCATTCTCATCCTTCCATCTACCTCCCGGCCATCACCCACCACGCCCATCGCCGACGCATGCCACCGCTCCTTGGGCGAGATCAATCCAGTTGAACTGTTACTGTGTATAACGCTGTCGTTTCTGACGGCTGCCGCGGGTGTGTTTGTCCCTATTCACCTGCCGTTTGTGCCAGAGGCACGCTACGATGCTGAACAGGCGGTAGAGAATGGAAGAGGCGGCTAACTTTGCAGTAGACGGCACGCGACATTGTAGGCAACGTGTCGATCCCGCCGCTGGCCCTCAACCCTCAACACCTCCGTCACATCACATATCCAATGGCGCCGCAAAAGACGCGACCTCGAGTCGGGGGAGAAGGCACACGAGTAGACATTGTCTTGGGGTGACTGTGACTGTGACTGTAAATACGAGAAACAATTCGACGCTGTACGCGTGGTGATGCAATATCAATGACGGCACCATAATACCAGAGAGGGACTTGACTCGAGAATGTAAAAGTGTAAAGTGTGCGGCGGGCTGCCAAGCCCCAGCACAATATAATCAAATAGTATACCTATATCGACAGACGAAAGTAAATGCGACGTGCACAAGCTGGTCTCATGCTTAAATCGTTGGCAAGGAAGCAGCCCTTCGACCAAAAAGCAAGAAGTATCAAGGCTTTGCAGAGCCTGTCGATGCGCTCCCTCCCGCTGGTCGCTCCTTGACAATATGCACCTCAGGCTCGGGTCTAACGCAGCGTCAGGCAAGGCGGCACGTTCGGTGATCATTGCAAACAGTTCCGACAAGGCACTCATCGTCGTCCGAACACGTCTGGTTTACGCCCTTTCGTGGTTTGTAATCTCCCCGATTCCGTATCTCAGATTGTGATTTATAAGGATCGTGTTGTTCCATGCACCAAAGAAGTTCAGCAATCGAACCCCCACTTCGTCCTAGGCATATAATTACGATGGCTTTAAGATGCTTTGGATCATTGAACGATTCATGGGTGACCGCTTCCAACTTCCGCCCTTCGTTCTTTTCCTTCTCAACCCAGCGAGACCAATGTTTGTCATAGCCTTGATAGCAGGCAAACAACAGCCCAGGTCGGAACACCCATGACTGACCCAGGCAAGCAAATACCTCCCGTGCGAACTTGTCATATGCGGCATTGTGAGGCATAATATTGGGTCGATGCTCGTCGTAAGCCGAGCTAACGGCGTTTGGCGGCAATGGAGAGTTCTGTCGTGGTACGGCCATAGCTAGGCCGACGAGGGCGGCAACAACAACGGCTGAGAGGTTCATTCTGTTGAGCTGGCTCCTGGAGGGAGGTAGAAGCGCGCGAATATGATAATTTTGGTGAATCAAAAGACGAGCTGTTCAACATTGGAGGCTACCCACAACATATACATATATATATATGTATACTCTCCGTATAAATGTTTGTTTTTCTGGGCCCTTGGGCGCGGCGCTCGACCCGTCTCTGCTTGCAACATGATGGCACCAGCAATGGGCCACAGGTAACAGACAGATGCGCGGAGATCCACTTCCCAATCCTTTGTTGAAGCTTAACGGTCAGCCCATTGCGTATGAGACTGAGAAAGGAGGGCTCGGCAGCCAAGACGGAAGTGACTCACGTACGACGTACCTGCCCGGCTTTGGACGTGCCTGCCCGGCTTTGGACGACGCCGTGCAGAATCCCGTGAACGTGCTGGACACGTTTCTTCAGTCTCGACCAGGATCCCATACAAAGGCTCACGAGCAAGACAAGGACGCCTCCCACGCGCGAGTCGCTAGAATGAGAAGCCTAGAAGCCGAGTACGTAATTAGTAGATGACACGGCGAGCTTGGCTGCCGAGTCCACTCGCTTTCTCGTCGTCATCTCAACATCTCTCACGGCTCTCCTATTCATCTGGTGTGGGCCGGTATTGGTCTAGAACGACGTGCTGAAGGGATTCAACGGGAATAAATATAAAAAGAATGGCAGCCAACCAACGACTATATGAATGTGCACAGCCCGTATCGGCGCCAAGGCCACGCGGGACAACCGCTGACATTGCCATGTCCATGTCCATGTCTCACGATGGAGGCATGGCTTCTTTCTGATCGCCAGTTTAAGTAGGCAGAGCCCCGCCTTTGAGGTCATGATTTGTTTGTTGCACGGCAGGCAGGCCATGGACGGACGTCTCGTTGTACTTGGAGCGAGTGCTGCTCACCGCCGTTGTGGGGGACGGTTGCGTGATCCGACCTTGCTCATGGCGTCCGGATGCACTGTGCACGCGGCCAATAGTCCAACGTTGCCTCTGGCTGCGCGGGCGCGGCGTGTTCGACTCTGGCACCTCGTGACGCTGCTACACAGTACAGACAGTGCACGTGGGTGCCGGACCAGATCTTCAATGAGGGGCACCTTGTACCTGGTAGGCAGACGACTGGTCAGGTGTCAGAATGCCCCTCTGCAAGTTTAGTAGTACTTACCGCGTACGGAGTACCTCGAACCCCAGTGCCTCCTTCCTTCCCGTGTCCCGACTTCGCACCACAGTGACCTTCTCCTATCTTATCGTCTCCTCCTTCTATTTGCCTTCATCATCTCGTCTGCCTGTTCCGCCCGTGTTCGCTTCAAGTCTCCCAAATAGCCGCCATCTTCACGTCCCCTTTGTCTCCTGTTTGACGCTGCTGCCAAGGCGGGCATTTCAAAAGACGGTGACCCTCGCGCCACCAGTGACCGCCGGGCGGGGCTCGCCAAACGCTCATCGCTCAACGCTCAACCGCCACGGACCCCTCCGTCGTCCTTATCGCATCACTACCAAGGGCCGTCCCTCGGCATCGGCCATTCTCTCTGGTGCTTCCGATGCATGCTCTTGACACCCATCACATTTGCCACGCATACAGTAGCGAATAAAGCCCAACTTTGCCAGCATGGACGGAAACACCTGCCAGCCTAGCCAGGGAGCTCCGGGCGCCGTGTCGCAGCCGGGCCCCTCCAGATCTAGTCCTGGTTTATCGCACCCGCGTCGATTTGAAGGTATGTACACATGCTTTCCGTCAACCTGCCTGTCAACCTCTCATCTAACCGTCGCAGAATCTTGGATCGAGGTCGCCTCCCAACCATCATCTTCGTCCCTGTCCAGCATCGGAGACGAGATCGTCACTGCCGGCCTGCGAGTCCGAGGTCCGTACAACCGCCGTCGTCGTTTACAAGCCTCTGCTCGGTCAGTGCCTCACCCGCGAACAGCCATACACGCTGCAGGCGCGAGCAGCCAGGAGGAGTACGACGAGAGCGAAAGCGAAGATGATCGGCTGTTGACGAGTTCGACCGAAAATGCCCCCTCCGCACCGTCTGGGAACGGAGGCGAATTCTCCGAGGCCGACTCGGATTCGGATGGCGACAATGCGACTGCCCTTGGCCGTGTTCCTGATAGACCCGTCTTTCACCCACAGCCGAATGCCTTTTCACACCCTCCCCGTAATGCTCCAGAAAGAAGTCAATCTGCCACCTCGAGCATGCCTCCTCACCCCCACAGCGGATTTACTCGGCCGTCTTTCTCTCAACGGTCGCAGACTCGCGTCCACCGCGACGGCCCATCATTCATGTCGCCCTCGGCTCGCGAGGACAATGACGCGGCTTTGCGCGCATCGCTTACAACCTTGTTGTCCTGCGCCGCCGCAGCCCGTGGCCTGCCAAAGTCAAAGGAAGAGGCCGAGGCATGGCGGGCCTCGCGTAGCGGCGTGGGCGTTGGCCCGAGCCAGCAGCCCATGGAACTTCGACTTGTACCCGAGTCGGAGTTGATGCAAGAATCTGCAGAGCCACGGCCAGTCACCCCAGGGTCTCCACGAATCCGTAGGTCGCCAACCAGACAAGCCGATAAATCAAAGAGATGTGGCTCTACTGGGCGGAACCCCAGGGCCAGCAAGAAGAAGAAAGTTGTGGTCGTCCCTGAAGAGGCGACCCTTGTCTCGCCCACCCTTTTAACATGGATGGTTAGTGCTGGTGTTGTTGTTCTCGTCTCGGTGGTTGGGTTTGGCGCAGGCTACGTCATTGGACGTGAGGTCGGCCGCCAAGAAGCACAAGAAGTCTTATCCGCCAGCATGGGTGTTGCCAACGAAACGTCACATACCGGACGCGAAGTCATTAGAAGCTCCGGCGGCTTCAGGCAGCTGAGGTGGGGAGCGAGAGCCGTTGGCAAAAGCATCACGGCCCAGGCATGAATGCGGCTGGCCCCGTATTAATACATGTGTAGTGCATGTGTTCCCGGTGCATCATGGCCAATTATACGATTCGATCAAAGCAGCAGATGTCTGCCAAGGATCGGGACCGATGCGCCGTGCTTGCTGATTGACAGGTTCACCACCACTCAAAGTCCACTGGGCAAAATACTATCATGAGTTCGACTGCACGGTTGCTCCGGGCGCTTCCGGGGCCTGGTGAGAAGCGATGTGTCATTACAGACAGCCTTTGCTGCGGTGGGGAATGCACGGCATTTAGTCGACATCTATTTCGGATTCTGTAATCGCATTCTCGGAATTACTAGCATGCATGACCTGCTAGGATCTAATGATTTGGTTATGGTGTACATGGGGAAATCGAGCCGTTGCCTTGGATGAAATAAAGCCCGGCTCTACGATTCAGCGAACTGGTATCGTTGCGACAGCACGTTGGTGGTGGTGGCAAACAAGATAGCTCGCCTTAAGTAGGTATTTAACATTGACATATCACTCATTCACTTGGTTCCTGCAAGCAGGACTACATACCGACATGATCCCGTCACTCGACGAACAAGTTGTACCCGCTCCGTCGAAACAGACATGTCTCCTAGCACTGAACAAGAAGTGTATTCTTTTCCTACTTCCCAACGCCAAGAATCCATGATGTGATTCAAGCTACTCAGCGTAGATTACTCACCTCAAGAGAAATACAATAAATCAGGTACCAAGGAAACTGAGTCCCATATTCCAGCTTCCACAGTGGTATCGGCATGCATGTTGCGACATCACGTCAACTTACAACTTCAAGTTTGCAATTGCAAAAGCCCCCAGGTCCCTCAGAAGTCTTTCGTGCCAACTCGGAAAAGAAAAGTATCGGTTCATCCCACCGCTAGATAGCAAGTGGAAGCAGAGCCTGACCCTTCTGAACAAGCAAGGCCGTCCAAGTCCCTCAGAATCCCATTGGTATGCATGTCGTCAAGACGACGCAAATTCTCGAACTGCCCACCATCAAAAAGCCAAAGTAATGCCGACCTAGCACACAAATGATCTCCTTCACCGAGGTGAAAGCGAATATGTGACAAGCCATGAGGCAACGAATCAAGTGTACATGCCCACAGGTCTATCGCCGCTTCGACTTGAACGAAACGACCTCTCAAAGCCCACAGGCTAGTCCGCCAGGACGTAGCCGCCAACTTGTTTTGAATACGACAGCCCACAAAAGCCCACTTATCGAAAGCCCACAGGTAGCCCTCAAGTATTTGCATTTTTAGTCAAAGGTCATCTTGGTGCCCGCGAAGCTGGAGGGAGCAGTTCGATTGGCACCAGAGCCGAAACCACCACGACCGCCCCCACGACCGCGACCACGGCCACGGTCACCACGTCCACCACGTCCACCGCGGCCACCGCGGCCACCGCCACCTTGCTGAGTGCGATTGCTGGCAAAGTCGAGACGCACGCTGCGAGACGTTCTGCCACTGCCCAGAGGAGCACCGTTCATCTGCGAGAAGACAGTCTTGGCATCCTCGACGGAATTGAAGCTGACGTAGCCGAATCCCTTCAGGCTTCCAGAGTCACTGTATAACGTGGGTTAGTTTCCCAGCAGCACCAATGCTGTAAAGCCTGGATAGGACTTACGGGTCAGTAGGCAAGCGAACGCTAGCGACCTCAGCAACCTCGCTGAAAAACTGGTGAACAGTCTCCTGGTCAGTGTCAAAGGGCAGGTTGCCGACAAACAGAGTCTCGCTTTCGGGGCTGACAGAGTCGCCGTGTTTCTTGGCGCGATCCGCAGCACGGTCACGAGGGTTAGACTCGGCAGATCGAGCGTTGGCGTAGTCCAGGTTGAGGGCACGGTCAGCCAGCTCGAAGCCCTGCATGGCTTCGTAGGCCTTGGTGGCCGCCTCCGCTGTCTCGAAATCGACGTATCCGAAGCCGCGGCTGCGGCCACCGTCTCTCTCAGTGACAACGCGAGCACCCACCAAGCCTTCGAACTTCTTGAAAGCCCCGGACAATAGGTCATCGTCAACCTTCCAGCTCAAGTTGCCAGCAAACAAAGTGGTGGCGGCCGCCTCATCAGTTTTGGCCTTCTTGGGGGTAGCGTCAATTTCTTCGTCAGCCTTGCGCTTCTTTGAGGCAGACGCGTCTTCAGTCTTGGCTTTGGCCTTGCCAGACTCCTCAGAGTCATCATCCTCGCTGTCCTCGCTATCCTCGCTGTCATCATCGTCCGAGTCTTCTTCAGAGTCAGAAGAGTCGACAGGCTCTTCCTGTGGACGGGTTAGTTCAGGGTCGAGGTTCGTTAAAAAACGTATCACAACTACCAACCTTGGCAGTGGCCTTCTTGTCATCGCTCTCCTCGTCAGAGTCGGAAGAGTCAGAGGAATCAGAAGAGTCGTCGGCTTCAGTCTTGGCCTTGCCATTGACCTTGACCTTGGTGGCCTCATCATTAGACTCGCTGTCAGAGCCGGAGTCAGACTTGGACTCGGAGGCGGAGGCAGCAGCCTTGACCTTGTTGCTAGTGGCATGCTTCTTAGTCTCCCGGGACTCGCTGTCAGAATCAGAATCGGAGCCAGAGTCAGCTTCAGAGCCAGAATCAGATTCGGACTCGGACTCGGAAACAGAATCGGCCTTCTTGGCCTTGGCCTTGGCCTTGGCCTTGGCCTTGGCAGCCGTCTTCTTTTCGACTTCTGACTCAGAGTCGGAGCTGTCAGAGACGTCAGAGTCGCTTTCACTCTCCGAGTCGGACTCAGAGGACTCGGGTTCGACGACCTTCTTCTTCTTCTTCTCGGGAACCTCTTTCTGTTTGACCATCTTCTTTGTCGCAGCCTTCGCAATCTCCTTGGATTTGGACTTGGCGGACTGAGAAGCCTTTGCAACACCACTTTTCTTAACAGTGGACAGACCAGCATCAGCCTTCTTGCTCTCCTTGATCTTTGACTTGGCCATCGTATCTCTTCTTTCGGAGGATGAACTACAAAAAGAATAGCATATGGAGTAAAATAGGGAAACGAGATGTCAAGAAAATTTTTAGTAAAAAAAAAAAAAAACAGGAAGAGACAAAATCCCTCAATGTGCGTGATGGCAAGAAAAATAGAGGGAGGGCTGGGCAGTTTTCTAATTTTTTTTTTTCACTCCTGCGGCGGAGAGGTTGGGCGCCGTAGCGCGGTGTAGAACTTTTTTCCCTTTCCGCCAGCCAAAAGGTGGGTCGGCACCAAAGGCGGTGAAGCTAGCTCACGGTACGTGCCTCACCGAGTGAGCGCCTTACAATTGAGGCATGCGCAGTCACTGCAAGCCGTGAACTGCAGGTAGCGTCTTCTCGTCGTCGCCGAGCAAAGCTTCCGCAAATCGACGGCCTCTGTCTCGTCGAAATAGAGACTTTTTTGTATCTGCAAATATGCCGACCCCGGAATCCGAGCTCTTCAAGAGCCAGAAACCCAATGTTGCACCTACTTTCAACGGCGTTGCTTACGACGACACCAAAGCCTTCAAAGCCGCCGAAGATGCCATCATCAGAGAACAATGGGTCGGCGCCATGAAGACCCGGCTTGTTGGAGAAGAATTGGGCAAATGCTACATGCGTGAGGGTGTCAATCACTTGGAGAACTGCGGCGAGCTGCGAGGTAAGCGTCCCTTGGTACACGGAGCCAGTGCGGTGCGTGCTGATTTGGTCGTCAATGTACAGAGAAATATCTGCAGATGCTTGCGACGAACAAGATCAAGGGGACCAAATTTTTGCAACAAAATTATCTCGAGCAAAAGGACCAGGAACTCGATATTGCTGCCAAGACCCACACGGCTGACAAGATGGCCAAGATTAATGGCGGCGCTCGATTTTCTGCTTAAGGGAAGCACCGGCGATGACATGACAGGGCGCTGGGGGATTGTGAATTGGGATTTCATACGGGCAGTCAAGCGAATAGAGATGCGCAAATTATGTGTCAATTCAAGTGGCATGAGGCAGAGAGAAGCGCCTTGCGCTGACCAGAAGCAGCACTGGAAGCCTGTACGAGTGTGTGCATGTATATATCAGGAATCGATGGAACATGATTAGACATGGTGATTACTGCGTAATCCTGCACTTTCATTTAAAGGCGAAGCACATTGTGCCATTGATTCACGAGTCACAAGCGACAAGGCTGCGGTGTTGTGTCGTGGTGGCTCGCCCCATTGGCCCAATCACCGTTCGGTACCAACGGAGAGCCTAAATTTTGACCACCAGACATTCAAGCCTCGTCTCCATCGTTTGCTGAAAACCTCCCCAAATAAAACGCGAAACAGAGAAAGACTGGCAGACAGAAGGATAGAGCACCATGCTGTGCACAAGGTGCATTCGCACAGCCATCGCAGGGCAGAGGCTTCCCCTGCTGCGGCAATTCTCTGCATCAGCGCAATTCCTCTCTGCCGAGCCGAAGCTGTCGACACCCACAACGGACGGAGGCTCCCCCGTACCCTCGAAAGAATCATCGACACCCAGATCAATTTGCCCCGAAGGCACCGTCCTGACTGGATTGAACTACAACAAGGCCGGCCAAGACCCCGTCGCCAAGAAGGACGAGGAATACCCCGAATGGCTCTGGTCATGTCTTGACGTTATGCGGAAAGGCGCGGACGCGGCCGACGACAATGCTGGAGATGAATTCTGTACGTCTCGGCCCCCAAGACTGGCCTGGCCCAGCCCCTGAGACGGTCGTCGAGACTTCAGTGGCATAAAACTAACATGATGCGCATCAGCCAAATCCAAGAAGCAACGAAAGCTGGCAACCAAGCGCCAGAAGGCTCTGGAGGCCAAGCTTCTTGCTGAAGGAAACCTCGCTGCTTTGGCCCCCAAGGTTCCCATCCAACACCAGTCGATTAATCTGCCGGGCGAAGTGGGTGGCAGTGTTGCCGATAATATTGCGGCTGCAGATAAGAGAGAGGAGCTCAGGAAGGCTATGCGGAAGGAGAGAAAGGCCAAGATCAAGGAGACAAACTACTTGAAGTCCATGTAAAAGCCTTGGCGGGACTTGTTAAACTCGCATGACAAGTATGTGAGCGGGGGCGAAGCTACGATATACTGTATATTACATATGCTCTGACTGATGCAGAAGGCACCATTCTGTATGCATCCCAGAAGCTGGTGTATATTGATAAACATTGTCTACTGCTCTTTTTTTTTGTTTTTTCCACCGCAGTGCCAGGGGGTGGACACGCTACACAAAGAGTACTCAACGTAACCGAAATGTTGATATATTCGCTCAAGGTGATGGAAGTATCGTTCCTAGCATGTCAACTCATCATAGTCCCACACTATTTCATACGTTTTCCTAGGATGAAGCATGCTAATTTACATCAAATCGGCTTGTCCACGAATTTCAACTTTCCACTCACTCCTTCTACAACGCATTTAAGTCCAATGGCACGCTGCTGCCTCTGCCCGCCCTATATTTCTTTGGCCCTCCGTGGAAGTCCCTCGGCTTGGGTAGTAAGCTTTCATCCTTGAATTGCCACCTTGAATCATTGACTATGAATCTTCCTCCAATGCTAGGAGAGGGTGAATGAGAAGCGTTTCGGGTTGCTGGGCTCGGCAAGCCACCGCCATTCGCTGGTAGTGTATATGAGCTCGGATCGAGCATAGATTGTCTGAGAGATGTCCCCCGGTTTCTCGTATAAGCAAGTGGAGGTGGAGACTGCGATGTCGGCGGCGACGGAGCTGCATTTGGCGGTGGTGGAGGAGGAGCAAAACTTGGAGAATGGAGCGGTATGGGAGCTGAGTTGATGGGAGGAGGAGGCGGCGGAGGAGGCGGCGGTGCTTGAGACCTTGGAGCTGGTGATGCCGACGATCGGAGAGGAACCGAAGCTGGAGGAGGAGGTGGAGGCGGCGGCGCTGCTGGAATAGGGGCAGGTAATGATGAAGGAGGCGGAGGAGGTGGTGGTGTCGGCGCAGGAGCAGCTGGGGGGATGGCCTTTGAAGGAGGCTTTCGAGATGTCGGCAGAGCAGGCGGCTTTTTACCGATCGGTGGCGGAGGAGGTTTTGACCCTCCCAGGGGCGTTGTCTTTCGCAAATGACCTGCCGCACCAGGAGGCGGAATGGGAGGACCACGACCAGGTAAAGCAGGCGCTGCAGCACCTGGCGGTTTCGGGGCACCAGGAGGTTTAGGCGCCGAACTTCTCGATTCCCCGGGGTCGGAGAGATATGAGGCATCTGAATTTGCCCCCGTGTCTATTCCACCTCGCTTCTTCAGCTTTGGCATGCCACCAGCAAACAGCCCGCCTAGTTGTGGCGCGGCCGACTCCATGCCCGAACTCAGTGTCTTGCCAGAGCCTTGATCGCTATTACTCCTCGCTCGGTTTCCAGGGACCGGCGGTGCAAGTCCACTGGGAATTGCTGGCGCTCCTCCAATCACGGGACCTCCAGATGATGATGCCTTGGCAACAACCGGTGAAGATCGATCGTTTGTAACAGCCTTCTTTAGAGACTTTCCCTTCTGAATGTCTGATAATAGGGCATTCTGGTGCACGGACTTAGCTACAATGAACAGCATCAAAACAGTGAGTAACATACTCTATTCCCAGAAGCAGCAGGTCGAGGGGGCATTCCGGCGGGTGTCCCCCCAGGTGGTGGTGGAGGAGGAGGGGGAGGACCTCCGGCACCCGGGGGAGGAGGCGGCGGCGGAGGAGGAGGCGGTGCTGGCATCTTCAATGCCGAGGTTGTTATGTCTATATATCGCAATATAGATTTTGAAAACTCGAGGTGCAGCCGAGCGATGTGGACGCAGCGTGGGGGACAGGAGGGCGCCCGTTCAACTTGGCCAGCGTCTATTGTATCGAGACTCGAGAAGATTGCTGCTTGCAACCAGCCGTTGCAGCATACGAACAGTCATAAGAAAGTTGCGGAAAATCGGAGTCGGCGGAAGTGGTCTGGCAGTCTGGTAGAAGATAGTCGCGAAGACGAAGTTTCGTCATCTGCGCCGACTGGTTACTTAAGTACTGGAGTACTTACCTAGCCCTGGCTAAGCCACTGTGAGTTCCCGTCCACCCGTTCACGACCAGCTCCGCTTTCTTGGCTCGCTTGGCCGCAGGCTGGTACTTTTGGGCAACAAAGGAGTCAACAAAGCGCTCTGGAAAAAAGTGACGAGCCAGTCATGGATTTTTGAATCAGCGAGGTGTTTTTGATGTTGAAAGTGTCGCAGGTTCGATTTCACACATGAGAGTTGTGTGACCTAATCCTACAACTGTCCCACTGGAATGATGGTTCATGTCTCTACAAGGCACTTAACTAAGTACCTAGGGAGGTACTTAAGTAGTCCGTACTAGATACCTACCTAGGTACTTAAGTAGGTAGTCACATACCAGGTAGTACTTGCCCAGTACCCCGGTTGTAGAGACCAGTGAACTCTTGAGGCAGCTGGTGGAGCCCCAGTTGGCCGGGTCGGCCTACGAGGAGGTGGAATTTTTAGTCCTCCTGCAAGTTTTCCAAGCAACGACCACATCGTCCCAATCTCATCCTCAACGTCGACGCACCATTCTCCCGTCAATGCGCCATCTCGGTCCATGATGAGACATGTGACACCTGGAAACATTGGCTTTGTCTGTGAAGCTTGCACATTTACCCAGACACGAGCGTTCAGACAGCCTATCAGCGTGCGACTGTCCGCCCGACGAACCGGCGTCCCGAGGCAGCTGGTGTGCGCAGCATCGGCGCCGAGATGGTCGTCGACAGTGGCAAGCAATGCCAGATATGAACAAGCACAAGCCTCACACGCGAGACGGGCCAGGTCTCTCAACGCCCCGGCGCAAATCACCGACCCCGCGGCCCTCGCCCGAGTAGCCGAGGACAGCAAAAACAGGTTCTTGTCAGTCGACGGTATCCCAGCCGTCCAGTTGACCAATGCGGCTCTCAAGTCGTGTCTTCGCGCTGCGTCTGCCCTCCACCCTCAGTTAAAGCGGGTAGAGGCACAGTCTAAAGCCTCGGCATCAAAACTCGTTGCTCTCGGTGCCGAGCGAACCGGCACCAGGATACCAATCGAAGCCAAGATCCAAGAAGCTGTTAATAGAATATCTTACGCGGCATATGCCATCATCACACACCCCAACGTCGAGATGACGCCTGAATTTCTCGAGACCTTTGTTCAGATCCAGTCGCAACTGGGCCGCCCCGAGTCTCTCCCATCCGTGCTGGAACTTTATGCTTCCAAGCCGAAACCCGTGGTGAAAGACGGTCAGATCCAATACGTCCAGCAGAATCCCAATGCCGCATCACGAGCTATCGAGGAAGGTGTGGCGGCCACAGCTCTTCAGACAGCCATTGAAGCCAAAAACCTCGATGCCTCGCTTGGTATTATTGAAGCAGCGTACACGGTCCCAGCATTCAAACGACAGAAATTAATACGCCACTGCACCGCCCCGGCAATTGGTCTGGCTACCTTGCCGTTTGGTATATTCGGCCTCTCGACTTCCTACGCAGCCTACTGGCAAAACACAATGGACATTAGCACCGCCACGGGGATTGGTGTCGCCGGTATTTCAGGATACTTGTTCGTTGTAGGATCTCTGGGTGTCATTGCCAAGCTTAGCAACAAGGACCAAATGAAGCGTGTGACATGGGCCCCCGGGACGCCTCTGCGATACAGGTGGCTACGGGAAGATGAACGCGCCGCCCTGGACAAGGTCGCATGCGCATGGGGGTTCCCAGAGCCCTGGCGACACGGTGAAGAGACGGGATCAGAGTGGGAGGGATTGAAAGAGTACATGGGCTATAGACAGATGTTGCTCGATCGTGTAGAGTTTATGGAGGGCATGGGCTAATCAGTACAGGACTCGGTGTCGGGTTTCGGCTAGTGAATAGCTCTTCGTTTTCTCGCCAGTCACGGGTCGACAGATGATGGTTCTGTGCCGCAGCAAACGTTGGCGAAGACGCGTTGTTTGTCATGCCTCGGTATCATCGCCATGGCATCCAAAGAAAGCTTGCGACCCCATCATACTCTGTTTAGTCTCAGGTGCAACGTACAGTCGTACAGTCCAAGTCCAAGCAAGGAAGTGTTGGCCGATTTCACGTCACGCGTTAATGTGCCAAGAAAAGGCCAACAGGCAAATCGAGATTCTTGGTCCCCAGAGCCGAGGGTAATAAGCGCTCACGATAGCTTCATGCAAAACACAGCCTGTTAGGTGCCTTATAGGGAATTAGCGCTCAACCTAACCCTAACCCTAACTCTATACAGCCCTCTTTTACGACTGTTAGTGATTACCTCACAGCTGCCAGCCCCTGTCAGGTCACGGGTGGTTAATAAAACAGGGGTTAGAGTGTGCGTACTCCGTACCCAAGTACGGAGTACTTGGTGGCTCTCGCGACCAGTCAGATGACGTAGCGGCCGAGGCACACCCACGGACCTTGGTCCCAACTTCACTTCACCAACACACCTCATCTCATCCGACTCAAGGCCGCATCTGCCGCGCACACCGCACAATCCCATCGCCATGACGACCTACATCCAATCGCTGACAATCCCCTCCGCGGTCCTCCAGCACCCCGCTGCGTCCGTGCTGCTCCCGATAGCTCTAGGAACGGCCGTCGGGTTCGGAACCCGCCGTACGCATCTCAGCTTCACCCGTCGTGGCACCACACCCGACTAACCCGTCGTCTAGCGTCCGAGGCCCAAAACACCTACTTGGCCTTGAGGCAGCCTCCCCTGCGGCCGCCGCCCTGGGTTTTCGGCCCAGTATGGACGGCCCTCTACGGGTGCGTATTTCCGTCGTCTCCGATACGTCCTGCATCACGGGCTACATTGCTTGGCCCTCCCTGCAAGCCCTTCCCCCGTGTCGTGTCGTGTCGTGTCGTGTCGTCGCCCGGGCTAACAGACGCCAGGCTGATGGGCTACGCATCCCACCGCATCGCCACAATCGGCCTCTCGTCCGCCTCCCCCGCGACCGTGGAAACGGCCCAGACCAGTCTCGCTCTCTACACGGTCCAGCTGGGCCTCAATCTCGCCTGGATGCCGCTCTTCTTTGTGGCCAAGCGCCCCATCGAGGCGACCGTTGACATTGTCACGCTGGCCGGGCTGAATGGGTACTTGGCGTATCTCTGGGGCTCGATCGACGAGGTTGCTGGGTGGTGCCAGGTTCCGTATCTGGGCTGGCTGGGCTTCGCGACGTATCTCTGCGCTGGGGCGGGATATTTGAACGGTTGGGATTTGCAGAACAAGGAGGTGAAGCGGGAGTAGGAGTGGCCGAGACTTTGGAGTGCTCATAGGAAGTTGCAACGGTCAAGCTCGTTTCCAGAGTCGTGGGCGTCACTCGTGTAATATGACAGGCAAGGTAGTTGGTGAAATGGTAATTGTTTATGCATCTCATCTATGTATGCCGTACCCGATATCCCCAAGTCTAGTCATGATGCAAACCTGTGACACAACCCTCAACGCCACGCAGATGATTGTCATAATGAATAGAACAAGACGAAGGGAAATAAAAGAAAAAAAGAAAAAAGGCAAAGAAAAGGAGAAGAGAAAGCTGGAATATACGTGCGTTTTCGTGGACAAGCCACGGAACCCCGACGACGAATTTCCAAGGGAGCAAAGCATCGTCCCGTTACTGGAGGGGAAAGCTCCTCTTCAGCCCATCATAAACCATAAAGATGAACGCAGAGCTGGGCGCCGACCGCAGACAAGTGATACCACACCCGCGATAGAAGCCACGCACCCCGTGCTGACGCCAGACGGCGAGGCCCTCGTCCCAGAATGTACGCCTCTGTGCCAGAGCGCCCACAGCAATCGTCTGCATGCGAGACTTGATCGTGTCGGCAGGGAAGAAGAGGAAGTTGTAGGAAACACCGGCCGACGCCCCGGCGACCGCTTGCTGCCAAAGCGGCAACGGCTCGGCCTTGATGCCCTTGGCCTCGTCCAGAGACTTGGCCGCGCGGATCTTGACGCTGTAAAACAGCGACGTGACCGTCTCCTTGGCGCCGAACCAGGCCGCGCTCCCGCCGCCTTCTCTGATGAGCGTTCCCAGCTGGCCGTGCCAGAACCCCCGCAGCCCTTCGTGGCGAAACACACTGCGCACGACGGCGAGCGGCCGCATGGCCGGGGCGGCCGCACCGTCCGCGTGCTGAGGCACCTGGACCTTGCACTTGACGAGTTCAATGGGGGTCAAGACGAAGGAGGCACAAACGCCGGAGAATGCGCCGGTGGCCCATAGCGCCGGCACGGAGAGGCCCTTGTCCCGCGACGCCAGGCCGGTCGTGAACAGGGCCTCGCGCCCGACTCTCTCAAACAGGAAGAGGCTGCTGGTCTCGGCGGCGGCTCCAACCAGCGGGGCGCTGATGCCGCGGTAGAGGCCCGGGAAGCCTTCGGCCTTGAACGATTGTCTGAAACAGTCGAGGGGACCGGTATACCGGAGAGGCAGATGGTCGGGTTGGCTTTGCAGTCGTACCTTGACCGTGTCGAAGGGGTACTCGATGTATTTTCCAACAATGCCAGCAATCTGCCGAGGAAGAAAACAAGGGTCAGCTTGACGGCATGAAAAAAAGGAAAGACGAGAAACGAAATAAAACACACACACGCACAAAGGATGGAGAGGCAGACGGGCAAAACAGGGCAACTCACTGATCCGTAGGCAATGCCCTCAAAGGCCTCTATGAGCGCCGAGCTGCCCCGAAGCACAAGCTCCGAGGGCATGGACGTCGAGGTTTGGGCGGCGAGTTGCGCGTGGTCCATGTCAAAGGAAAAAGTCGGCGGGGCGCCGCCGATTATGCTCCGTCCTGTGACCTGGGTGGGGGGAGGAAGTGGCCGGGGTTCCTCGCTACGTCTGCTCCGGCGAGGAGGCAGCTCTCGCGAGGAGAAGATCGAGACCTGTCGAGCGTTGGAAGCCGCGCTATGCACCACATGTAGTGTTTTTCCTCTGGGCTCAACACAAAATGAGATGAGAGTCTGTCCCTCGCGGCGATCCTGACGTGGGGCAACGGCTTGCCTGCCCGCGCCAGCACTAAGTTTGCTCCTCGCTTTTGGGTGCCCACACGCTGGAGAGGAAGTACTTGGGGTACCCTACCTTAGGTACCTAGGTACTCAAGTACTTGAGTAAGTCAGTACCTTAGTGTGCCTGTAGGTGTCTGGGTACCTACTTGCCTAGGTCAGAAGTACTCAGTACTTGGGTAGGACCGGTGCTATTCGCAATTGCAAATCAACAGAAGTAGAAAGCTCCCACGGGCAGACAGCAGGATCAGGACGGAAGAAACTGCAACAACCACGACACGGAGCGGGGGACCAGGGGCGACAATAGCAGACCAAGGACGGTGGGCGACCTGTCGATGGTTTTATACTCGGCGAGGCAGAGTGGCCGGAATTACACTGCGTGCTGCCGTGCCACGGATGCAATGGCGGGACTGCAGAGCTGAGCTTTTGGCGGTCCGCCGATGCCCAAGGGCCATTGCTATTGCTGCACATGGTCTGCTGCAATAGATGGCAATGCAGCACAGTCATCCGGTAGCTATCAGTGATCACGTCCTTGCCGGGCCAGACGAGTGTCCCGTTGTCCATCCAACGCCAGACTCCATCCCCACCAGCAACTGCTTCGACCAAGGCAGGACTTGGACCCCCATACCACCATGGCACAATGGAAGATGAGGGAAGCGGAAATAAAAGAGTGAATCAACGATGACGTGGTTACAATCGCGCACAGGCTTGGCCGCTCTGTTTTCTAGCTCAGAGATGCAACCGTTGTATCGACACGCCGCCCAAGTACTCCGTAATAAAGCGATTACACGACATGCCATGCGGCCTGGCCGGAATCATGGTATCAAATGGAGGGCGAGGGGGAGGGGCGCGTTTGCCCCGGGACTCTTTTGAGTTGTGTGTGCGTGCGCTTTTCTTTTTTTTTTTTTTTTTTTTTTTTTTTTTTTTTTTTTTACCAACTTGGGTCCTTCTCCTGGTGCCCACGTACTTTTTGCGCCCGGCTTCACTCGCTGCGATGGGACTAGCATTTGCATCTGATAAGATGCTGAGACTAAGAAATTCCCGCATACACCTACCTATTAGGGAGTAATCGTATCGTTCCATGCTCTGTGCATCACCCGAAACCCTAATCGGAGCAGGATCAGGCGAATGGAGTCGTCGTGGTCGATCCCGGGTCTACCAGCCTCTGGCCAAAACCAATCGTTGCCACGAACCAGAGGGGAACCGGCTTGGACTTGCCTCCATCTGCTAGATTTTCCTCGTACCTCTTCACGTGTTTGTTTGAGTTCATGGGGATATTACGGGTCCAATCAGTCCCACAGCGTGTAATGCAATGTATCCCCTCGCATCACAAGTCGGTCCGGCTGGAGCGGGCAACCTTGGTTGTTTTATTTATCCTATATTCAGGCTTGGGCTTCTTGGCAAAGTATCCCGCGCCACCCTGTTTCAGCAGCCCGTTTCAACACGCACGCGGCGTGTTCCCAACGACTTGACAAATATCTGGGCCATCGGGAGGAGCAGTCTCCCGCTTTGGCACCCTACTGCTTCTTCTTGGTGGCCGCCTTGGTAGCGGGAGCATCCTTCTTCGCAGCCAAGGCAGCTTCGTCGTCTGAATCTCTCTTCTCCGCATACCATTGGCCAGCCTGCAAAACCAGAACGCCAATCAACACGAGAGCCAGGATGGTGTTGCTGGCAGAGAGCACCCTCAAGCTGTCCTCGCGTCCCAGAATTACCTCGCCCTCGAACCTGGCCTTGGCATTCTTGAAATCATCGCTCGAAAAGTACCCGGAGCTCATGGTACGAAGGCCCTTGACAATGTTGGTGATGTACACAGCAACACCAATTGTGTAGAGGATCAGGGAAGCCCCGTCAAACAGGAAGTTGGCCTCACTCGGTCTGAACAGCTTGATGAACAGCCCCAGGAACCCAACGCTTACGATAATGTTGAGAATGCGGCCGATGAGGGGTGGCGACTGGTGGATGAACGTCAAGTGTGTCTCGATCTGGTCGTAGTAGCTGGCCGGAACGGGCTCTTTGCTCCAGAGCAGGGGGAAATCGTAGGGGAAGGATGCGAAGAGAGTTCCGAGAAAGAAGCAGGTCGCTACAACAAAGTGCCACGTTAGCGTCCTACATGCCCATTTTCCATTTGGATCGCACCGTGATGCGCCCGTAGACAAAGCATACGTCCAATAATCATGAATGTCGAGAAGGATCCGGAACCGCGATAATTGGATGACTTGGTCGTCTTGGACCAGTCGATGTAGGAACCCATCTTTGGACCAAGGTACGGGATGTCCTGTTCGGATGCTCGCACGAAGGAGAGGAGGTCGTCGGAGCCGGTGTTGGGTCGTTTGAAGGACGCTTGTCGTGAGACGCCGAGTGTGCGAAACAACTGTGGCGTCGCAAATCGGCTTACTACGCCGTGGTTTGTACTGGGTACAGGGTGGTGCCGTAACTTGCTAACGCAGGATCATCATTGGCCAATTCCACCGAGTTCCTGCGGCAGCCTCAGTGTCGCTTGCTTTGGCAGCAATGGAAGGAGGTGGTTTCCCAAGGAGAAGGAGGGCATTGGTTGAATGTTACTTTGCATCGTCTCTGTGCACTCTTGATTTTTTTTTCCCGTCTGCTTTTCACAGCTTGCTCCTCAGTGATTGTCCATGCTACAATCCATCAACTTGTCGCATTTGACATGGCAGCTCGAAGGAGCCAACAATGTGGGAAGCTGACATGCCCCGTACCGGCCAGGCAACCGTGGCGATTGATGGCTTTCTAGGCATCTTCGAGGAGAGCGTCTTTGAGTGCCAGGTCGCACTTGAGGGAGAAGGCGGCTGCTGTATACAGTGAGGCATGATTCCCGTGATTCCCCTGCCACTGAGAGTTACTGCGGGAACTCGTAACACAAGTCTTTTTTTTTGCGAGAAGCTTTAATTGTCGGTGTAATCGCCATTCGGCTTCGTCATAGCCGCCGGGGAGAAATGTTGCGATTATTCTGTGGTCATCCACATAGCCTGAATAGGCACAATGGCCACGCATTTTTAATCGTGCCAAGGCAAAGAGAAAACCAACGAACCCGGCTAGTCCCTTAGTCGACCGCAGCCACAGGGACGGGCAGGACAACTTTTACAAAACCTATTTTTCTTTTTGGCGCTGTTCCTCGAATGTTATGCCCCTTGCAACAGACGGCATCGTCACCATGCGGCGCACGTCGATATCCTTGTCTGGACCAAGTAGCTCGGTCTTGTTGTACAACTTTTTCCGGCAGCAAATTCAAAAACAAATGTTCTTTTACAGCCGTCGAATGACTCAAGATATGGAGGCAATCCGGGCGAGTTCTACAAACCCCACCTTGCGCCTGGGTTGATGAGGATCCGCCGCAAGGATATGGCAGTCTAGACTCTACTCCATCAATTAGTGCGAAGCCTTATGCATGCTTCGGCTAGTATCACTGGTGTTTTCCTCGCCTACAGATGTGTGGCTGCAAGTTTCTGTTTTAGGCTCGTGCGTGGCGACATCCGAGTGCAAGTCTTTCTCAGGTCTTAGAAAAGGTAATTCAGCTCGAGGGTTTTTGCGTCTCGACATTATCTTATCAGATTTTCCGGTCTCCGCATACTCCAACTCAAACGGCAGTCATCACGTAGGACTGGGTGGCACTCGAGATCGATGATTCTTCCCATTTGGAGAGTCGTGTCCCTGGACTCTGCATGTCGTCTCGTGTCGAATATTCCCAGCCTCAAATAATGCAGCCTTGTCCAACCTCAAATTTTCATCGTTGGGGCCACAGAAACAGAGTTTACTACTAAAAAAACGTGAGCAACTTTTCTGAATTTGCTCCCTTTTCGGAAAATAGGGCGAGCACGAAACCGTATGCACGCCAGGGGTTCGTCAAATGCTCAGGTCTGAGATACCGGCGAACTATATGGAAAACGGTGTTGAAGTATCGACATCTGCTACGGTGAAGAAAACTTGGTGTGATGAAAGTTGAAGCTGTGCGGCTGTTTAGACGAAATGGCTTCTCATAGCTGCATTTGCCAGGAAAGCATACACTCGGCCCCTCTTGAGGTTAACATACACCTAACAACACGCGCGGTGAAAGTGTTTGAGCCACCTGCTTTATCTCTTCCATCAGGCAGCCGTTTCCCGCACCTTGGATACTTTCCTTGCCGGTACATTTGAAAAGCATTCTCTCTCTCACTGCCGCAATGTGGTGTCATATCAATTCTGGTCAGTCGAGGCCGGCGATTGCCAAAATCTTGAATATCAGCGGTTGATCACAAGGTATGGTCCCGGCTTTGACTTTTTCGGGTAGTGCGCATGGCCATGATGGCCATTTGCAAGGATGTCGAGACGTACGCAGCAGCGAAAGAGTTTGTGCATACTGGTGTCATGTGACTGTGTGGTCAGCGATTAAACAATCACAACATGAAACAGATCAGAGACCGAATTCATCATCATCGATACCAACTAGCCCTCCAAGTAGACTGCTCATGCTGGCTTCTGCAACTCCTCCTTATATTGCCGTCATTACTATCAGTCTCGACTTTCTGGCATTGGTGATGCCATTGAAGGAGCAATCTGATCTGCAAGGACGCCTTGAGAAGCGATTAGTGGTTGGTGTGCCGATTTGATAGGATCTATTACAGTCCGCCATCTCAGATGAGCTAGAAAACCGGATCAGATGAGAGCGTTGCCATGTCAGAGGCGCTTTCCGAGCCGCAACGGTATATGCTGATCAGGTCAAGAATAGGTGCTTTGCGGCAGTCACCTGACCGCGTACCTTGGGTTGGTCCAAGGGACATCAAACTGGACAACAAGCAAACACATGAGTATGTCTTGTCGATATTACCGGCCGACGAAGTTGTCCGAGCAAGCTGACGACACTATGCGCCATGCCATCGCGCCGCCATGCCCTGGCTATAGGTCCACCCGATGAATGACGGCATACTCCAATACTATGAATGCGACATATCCCAAAACCATGACAACTCCAATTACCTTGGCCCCCGTCCCGCCAAACCACACTGTCACAGTAAAGGCCAGTGTGGACAACCACAGAACCGCCAACTCCCCGATCGTCACGGTCCCTTTATCCAGCTCTCCTCGTGTGCTGATCAAGACGATACCACAACACAAGGACAACAAGAAAATATTGCTCCCCGCGCAGTTGGCAACTAGTATCTGACCACGGCCCCTGTATCCACTCACGACGGAAATCAGCTTTTCTGGAAGCGTGGTCGCAATAGAGAGGACAACGACGCCAAATGAAATGTCAGAAATGTGCAACTGCGTCGTGATACTCGCCGCAGAGTGTGCCAGAATATAGGCAGACAGGGCGAGGGCTGCGATGCCGAAGACGAGTTGGAGGGCGTGATGGGTGATGGCGTGACGGGGAGGGCCTGGAGACGGATTGTTGAGGAGGGCTGTTCGTTCCGTGTCTCCGTCGTCGTCTCCGTCTCCGTCGTCAGAGTCCGAATCGGAATCCTCGGGGGATATCAAGACACCTTTGACGACCGCGACACCTATAGAGACGAAGTATATGACGAAACCGCCTATCAAGATGGATCCGCAAACGATGCACGAAACTCTGCTGGAATAGTATACGACGGGGATGATGAGCGTGGTGAGCACAAGAGTCAGCAGAGAGTAGATCCTCGAGCCACGGTCAAACTCAAGGTCCCCGGAACAAAGCAAGCCCAGAGAAAAGGCGCCGAGGATATTGGATATGGATGCGCCTATGACATTGCCCAGAGCAAGGGACGAACGGCCCTGTCCGAGGGAGGAGACTACCACAGCGAGCTGATTTGTCAACATACACTACACCGAATGCGACTGTGAGGCAGGACGGCGGAGGGCCAACTTACTTCTTCCCATTCTGCGCCGGCAGTAACCAGCCCAATGAGGAGTTCTGAGACGTTGATGAGGGAGGCTAGCTTTGCAGTGTGGGAGATGAATTTGTCGGTGGCGAACTCCAAAAGAAAGAGCGTCGATACGAAGACAGATATGTCGTAAGGGATGCTGGTGTCCTGGGGCATGTTGGCGAGTGGTCACAGTTGATGGCGGCGATGACGATGGCGATGCTGACGCGGGACTCTGGGAAGTCGGGACATGCATGCAAGGCGCAATTGGATGGCGGGGAGTAACTCGAAACATGCAGCGGCTAACATGTACTCATCTGCAAAAGACGTCTCCCTGTAAAGTCAAGGCTTCTTTTTTTTTAAGTCTGGTGTAACGTGTTGAAGCTGGTGAAGGGCCTCACGACAAAGCCATCGTGGCTCAGAATGCGCGTAAAACGCCTGTATCGGGTGCAAACTCGTCAAAACAAGACAATCCTCGCGGAGCCTTGACAAGTGTTCGTACACATGAGCAATGCTGGATCGACTTCTGCTCAAGATTCGAGATTGCATGAGAGGGGACGTGCAGTCAGTCGAGTGTAGCCGTGGTCCGAGGCTTCAGCCGCAGGTTCTGATTCTGACTAAGCCAGCGGTGAAGCCAGACGGAAATTGAACGACCACCAACGTCCGACGTACGACGGGCCATGCGTTGCTCCAAAGCAACATCACCCTGCGTGTACTGTGTGTCCTTTCCTACCAGGTACTCCCCTAATACTGATTGTCGGCACTTCGCCATGATGCCCTTCCGCCCCATTCTGCTCCTAGCCTCTCTCACCCTCGTGGCCGCTCAGCAAAACGCCACTGTTCAAACCTACAAAGAGTCCAAAACATACACATACTACGGGTGCTACAACGAAACCACTGAAGTTCAGGGCTCCGACCATACTCGCGCCCTGTCCGGCGGCGCGAATGAAGTCAGGAAGGGCGAGATGACGGTACCAATGTGCCTCGACTTTTGCAACAACGGAGAGAACGGCACGCACTACCGCTACGCCGGCTTGGAATGGGCCAGGTAAGCAGGAAAGAGCACGGTCCGGGACGAGACGGACCCGAACGACGCGAGTCGGGCGTGTGCAAAAGGCGGCCCGGGAAGCTGACGTGTTGGCAGGGAGTGCTGGTGCGCGCAGAGCATCGCCGGCATTTCGGCAAAGCTAGACGACGGAGAGTGCAACTTTGCCTGCGAAGGAAACAACTCACTGGCCTGCGGCGGATCTCTCAAGTTGAGCGTCTACAGGGTGCCGAGTGCCGGTGTCAAGGCCAAGGCCTCGCCCGCCCTCTTGGCGTCTGTCTTTTCTGTCCTGGCTGCCTTCGCGTCTGCGTGAGCCCGGCGCTTGTGCCTGCATGGACTCATGGAGCAGGTCTGTCTGTCCCTGTCTGTACATAGTGCGTAGACGTGGCCAGCAAGACGCCCGACCGGCAGGTCTGTCCGAGCGACGGCATCGTGACCAGAAACGAGTTGCCTTGCCCGTGTCCAGCTTGAGACCCATTGAAAGATCCGTCGAGTCCGTGGCTCGACTGCCATGCGACGACGCCGACGACGACGACGCGGGATGTGTGCCTTTGCTTGTTCCCCAGTCAGTTGTATCCTTTGACCGTGGCAGCGGGTCTCCTAGTCTTGGAAGCATTCCCTCCTATGCCGGGTTGGTCATCATACACTCTCGTGTCGTTCCGCAGAAGTGGTTGAAACCCAAAGCGGGCTCAGAGGTGGATTCTCCCGTTCGACGAGGCGTCTCGTGCTGTGCCACGGGCAACATACGTGTTCACCACTAGGCAGGGCAGCGTGCATGGCTCAAGTCCCAAAGTCAAGGAGAAGCAGAGACGTGGCGATACGGTCCGCATCTTTCTCAAACTACCCTGCGGCGTACTACTACTGCTGCTACTGCCGCAAAATTCGCAACGTCCATCGTCAAAGTCATGTTTTAAATATCCAATTCCAACGGTGCGAGCCCGCGGCCCTCCACTGCACCTTGTACGGACCTCTTCACCTGTTTCACAGCTTCTCGCCACGAATCCTGTCCCCTCCCCGGACGTGCGTCCTGCTCCACGAGGACTTGCAGCCACCTGGTGAGCACGACGACTTTTTCAAGGTCTCGCTCCTCCTCGACTACCTTTTGCACGTACTTCCCAAAGACCTCTACATCAGCACTGTGTGGCCCATCTCGCCGTGTCTCGGCGTGCCAGGCATCGAGCATGTTCTTGACCTCCCTCGTTGAGGTGACCCCCGAGGAGGCAAACGCTACTTTTCTCGGAGGGGCGGGAAAGGTAATCTTCCTCTGGCCGCCAGGCGGGACGGTATCCGTATCTGGGGTATGGTGTCTCCGCGGCGGAGCGTCAAGCCCTGATCGGAGAGCCATTCTTCGACGGCGGTGGTCGGCAACTACTTCCCTGCGCACGTCCTCCGGCAGCTCAGCGAGGAACTCGGCGTCAAGCTCCTCCATCTCCGGGACAATGGGGCTCTCAGATCCCGGCCTGAGCGTTTTGAAGTTGGTCTGGACCACCCCGGTCTGCGCATCTCGTTGACGCTGGGCCTTGCCAAATATGCCCCGGATGCCACCTCGTTTGGTCGGCGTCGTCTGCTTCCTTGGCTGCTGGGCGACGTGGTGTTGTCTCCGCGGAGATTGGGGCTGGGCAGGTCTTCGTCCGTATGTGGCAAGAACCTCGGCTTTCATGTCATCAGGCAGTGCGTTGAAGACGTCCGCGTCAATTTGTGAAGGGAGCACCGCCTCCCTGCAGCTGGGGCTTTCGCATCTTCGTACTGCTGGAGAGGGGCTCTGTCGAGGCCGCTGTCCCATTAACCTACTTCTGATGTCGTTTGGCAACTCAGAAATGACGGCGGGATCCGGGTTGCTGGGGAGGATGAATTGAGTACCGGACACGTTCAGCGGAGTGTTGGCTTTGGCATCTTCCTGGGCGGCTCTCGACAGCGCCATGGCAGGGTGTACCTTTTGCTTGCGAGGCGTCAGCGGATCGTCCGCAATGGGATCTGCGTCCATGCCATGGCCAGGAGACCGCTTCGGCTTTTGCGGGCTCTCGATATCGTCAATGGATTCAGTACGTGATGGCTTTTTGGCGGACGAGGCACCGACAAACGGACCGAAGCTCAGTGTCCGTTGACTGCTCTCCGTGGGCCGTGCTTGTTGTGCCTTTATCGGCTCCAGTCTGGTCATTTGAACGCCGAGCCCGCGCAAATCGCCGGGACTGAACTTGAAAGACCTCAGAATAGAGACGGCCTCTTTGCCAATGGTTTCGTAGTTGTGCGTCGCAACACCAAAGGTCGCACTCTTGTTGAATGTGTCGCATCTGCCATGGCCCAAATGTTTGGCAGGGTCCAACGGTGCGTCCAGGCATCTTCGCATAATCTTCATTGTGAGATGCGTGCCCCTGACCTGCTCATTCACAAGACGCTTCTCCAACTCCCTGCACAAGTTGAACACAAACTCCTCTGCCTCTTGCTGGCTGATGAACCGAATCCCCCAGTTGACCTCTGCGGACACCGACTTCCGTGGTGGCTGCTCGCCGACCTCGGTTCGGTCAATGCCTCGGGCATAGTCTGAGAGTTTCTCGCTCGTCTTGGGTCCCAGGGAACCGGCAAGACGCTCCTTGGACACGTTTCGAATGTCCTTGACGAATTTGATGCCCAGTTCCTCAAGCTTTCCACCTATACTGTGAGAAACGCCGGGCAGTTGCTCGACTGTCAACTCGCCCACGATATCCAGGACACGTTCTGGCTTCAGCTGGAATTGTCCGGCTGGCTTGGCTTTTCGCAGGGCCACTCTGGCCTGCAAAATATTGCCGCCAATGCCAACAGAAACATCGCATCCGGTTTTCGCTTTGATGCTTTCTCGAAGACCCATGGCAATTTCATCTGCCTTCTCCTGTTCCCGCCAGACATTCCCCTCATCAATGCCAATGCCCTGGGAGTTGGATGCAGAGTACACAACAGCAGTGGCGTCTATCAAAGCCTCATCAACACTGACACTCTGCACAACTCCTCCGATAGACATGACTGACTCATAAAACAATCGGCTTGCTTCTTCGTATGCGGGAAAGTCGTATGGCAAGACTTTCAGATCAGGACAGAGCTCGATGGCCCGTTTCATCCACATCCCATTCGTGACCCCGAACTTGCGAGCCGGGTAGTTGCAGCTTGCAATCTCAGACCCTGGACCACTGCTGTGTGCCACGACGGTGGGTTTGTCGGCGTCTTCGGAGTGTTGCCTCAGCGATACAGCGCAAAAGAAGCTGTCAAAGTCGACATGCATAATGTAGCACCGCGCGCCTGGCTTCTTTTTAGACTTTTTCTGTGCCAGTCCTTTCTCGGCAGCCAGTCGCTGCATTGCCGACTTCAGGTCCGCTTTCCACGTGGAGAGATGATGCAACCGGCTTTCTGAGTAGAACTGCTTGAGAAACTCGGGATTTGCCGTTGACGACTTGCGTAAACGGGGGTCCGACAACAACCAGGCGTTGTGTTCCTCCGACGTCATTCCTTGGCGTGGTTGCGCCGCCGGAGAGGGACTCACAGCATGGACTACTCCATGAGGTTGTTCTGCCGGCCCCATGACATGATGATCCGCCGAGATGTCATGGCCGGTGGCTGTCACCATGCCTGGGCTTTCTACGCCGCTGGCGGGGTCGGATTCGGGAGACACCATCAAAGACGGGCGTTTCTCGACAGTCGCCTCTTGTTTGCTGGCAGCAAGAGAGCCTGGGGGCTTTGACGATTGTATCTTCTCGGCGAATTGGCTCAAAGACTGACTGGGGAGGGCTGTGGACGACTTCAACTGTGACGTGTAGAAGCTATTGTCGGTCTGTTCCTTGTAGCCCCGCCTAGTTTCCGGACTGACCTGGGTCATGTCTTGCTCTCCGTCAAACTTGAGGACTTTTTGTCTGGGTCCCTCGTCTAGCACGCGATAGTTGACCCAGGGCATCAATTTGCCAGCGGCCACCGAGTCGACGATCCATGCGGGCTTGACGATGCGGTATCGGGCAAAATCAACGCTTTTCTTGGGAGGCAAAGTGGAGGCAACAATATGGGTAGCCATCGTCTTTGAGTCCAAGTACTGAAGAAAGCCACCGCCGTGCTCGACGATCTGGCGATGAAGGCTGCATTCAAGTCAGCACGTGCCGAATCGGGGGCCGTGACGGGAGAGAGCGTACACATGCAGGGGCGGCTGAGTATAGCCGGTGACGTGAGCAACTATCCCCTTGAAGATCTGAGGCTTGTCAGAGGCGGCGCGCAGGTCGGCGTCGAGGTTCTGCAGCTTGGTTTTCTTGCGGCGGAAATAATCGCCAAACCCGCCAAACTCGCTGCCCTCGTATTCGTCGCCGTCTTCATTTTGGAACTTGTGGTTTTCTATCCTCTTGCGCACCAGAGACGAGTTTTTTTCCAAAACGCTGCCCATTTTGTGTGAGTGTGGCCAAAGTGCACCCGCTATGTGCGCAAATCTAGTCCAGAAGTAGGAGCCAGGCTAGCGAGAATTGATTCAATCATGATCTGAGTGGTCATGGTTTTTGTCGCATGCCTCATATATTGTGTGCCATGGACAGATGCGATTGGGTTTATGGCACGACGGGGGCTTGAGCAAGGAGAGGGGGTATCCAAAAAGAGAAGAAAATAATAGAAGGGAGGAAGGGAAAATAGCTAAGAAGAGGAAAGCGAATGTTCCTCCTTAAGTTGAGGAAGCCGGGCGTGATGTGATGATGATGATTTGCGTTCACGATGGCGACTTTTCCGCGTAAGCGTGGAGAGTGGAGAAGTTGCACACGCCTTGCACACGTAATCGCGTGACTGGCTCGAGCTAAAGAGGGCTGACTGTGGAGTCTGCTGGGAGGGCAGATCTTCGACGACTGCAAGGATGAAATCTTTCCTCTCTGCACATCAAAGCAGCCTTCACCACCGGCAAGCTGGCTGACTGCCGGCGCACGCCATCATGAACAACGAGCAGTTCCGCAAGCTGATGCTTGCAAATTCGCAGCAAGCATCCGGTTCGAAAAGCGGCCCTCCTCTTCCCGCCGCAAAGCCCAGTAGCGGGGGCACAGCTCTCGGATCCCGGCAACGAGCCAGCATGCCCATGACACCGTGAGTGCCAGTTTCGTCGAGATGTTGTAAGGCTGCATCCTAACCAAAAGATGCAGCCGATCTGTAGCAGGCCACCGGGGCGATTTTGCTCGACAGCTTGCCGACTGCAGCCAGTCTGACAGGCCGCAGAAAAGGGTCAGAATCTCGGCACCCAGGGGCGTCAGGCTGGCAGATGGCTATGTCGACCGAGCGCAACCCCGAGATACTGCTGAAGTCGATGACCGACAGGCGAGACTAGAGGCCCTCGAAGAATCGTACAAGAACGAAGAGATTGACGGGAAGACGTACGAAAGGCTACGATTTCAGATTGCTGGAGGCGACTTGGAGAGTACGCATTTAGTCAAGGGGCTCGATTTCAAGCTTCTCGAGCGAATAAGGAGGGGAGAGGACGTATACAGCAAGAAACCAGCCGATCCAACGATTCCAATGGCCGAGGACGACGATGCGCACGTGGACGATGCCCTCGACGAGCTCGAATCACAAGAGGTTCATGCGATCGAAAGAGAAAAGGCAGCAAAGAAGAAGGGCCAGCTATCTACAGTTGTAGCACGACAGAGAAGGACAAGAGACCAAATCTTGGCGGATATGAAGGCAGCTAGGGCAGCGGCCAAGGAACACGCTGAGCCTAGTTTGGGGGATCGATTCCGCAAGATTGGTACGACACAGAAGCTCGGCACGCGTATCGAAAGAGATAGCAAAGGTCGGGAAGTACTGATCATTGTCGATGCCGACGGGCACGAGAAGCGAAAAGTCCGGAAGCTGAAACCTGGGGAAGAAAACGAGTCAAGAGACGAGTTGCCAATGCCCGACAAGAGCGCAAAGCCTTTGGGCATGGAAGTTCCAGAGCAATACAGAAAAAAAGAAGAGCCGGTGGCCGAGGATGATGGGGAAGTCAATATCTTTGATGACGTAGGGGATGACTATGACCCGTTAGCTGGAATGGATGACTCAGAGTCGTGTTCGGGCTCGGATGCGGAAACGACAGAGAAGCAAACAGCTGACAATGGCGCTTCGCAAGAGAAGCCAGGAGCATCGGATGCAATGCCGCCAACTCCGAAGCCGCAAACAGGCGCCAGAAACTACTTCCAAGGTTCCAAGACACGGCTCGTTTCGGAGGAAGCAGGACGACGGGCGCCGTCCATGTCGGACCCGGCCATCATGGCGGCTATCAAGAAGGCAGCAGCACTACGTCCAATCGAGTCGGAAGATGATGACGACGAATCTCGGCAAAATACCACGGCAGCTGAAGAGCGGAGGCGAAGATTACTGCAAATGTCTCAACGGGACGACGACGACCTTGACATGGGCTTTGGGACCAGCAGATATGAAGACGAAGATGACTTTGAGGACCACAAACTCGCATCATGGGGTGACGATGGCGGCGACGGAGAAGGAGGCCGTGGCCGGAATGCACGGGGCCAGCGCAAAAGGGGTCCGAAGAAGCGCAAGGGCGACGCCAACAACGCTGAAGCTTTTCTGCGGATGATGGAGTCTCGGAAGGCGGCATGACGATGACGACGTTGACGCTTCAGTCAAGGGCAATGTCAACCGAGCAGTCGACTCGACCAGCCTGGCTATCCAGTCGACCGCTGGCGCCTGAATAAAAACAACCAAGATGATCTTGTGCACCCGCAAACGGCAATGGTCTTGTGACGATGTAAGAAGGAAACAAACGGGCAACGGGTACGCGAGCCGTCCGTCACCAGGGACCGGGCAGACAACGAGCTGCTGCGCAACGACGACGGCACAATCAGCCACGCGCGGCACTGGGAGCAATGACTGGTGACACTACACTGACTATTACAGGGGCAGGGGTTTTCAAAGCAGAGCAAGCTAGGTAGCCGCATGACGTCTCGAGGATGCACGGCACAACCGAGACGGACGGATAGCAAGTAGATGGGTGGACGGAAACTGGCGAAAAACGCCGGGCAGGTTGCAACGTGGCGGCTCCGCGCATGCACTGTGCACGTACTCCGTACGTCGCCATGCATTTCGCGTTTGCCTCGCCTATGCGATGCGGTGCGGTGCATTGCCACGTTTTGTGGGGACGTCGGGTGACCCCTGACCACTGACCAATGGCCATTGTTGCGTCGGTCCGCATCCGCATCGGGCGGCGGCAGCCGGATGATGGATCCTCCAACTTGAAACACACAACAGCCGCCATGCAGATGCTTGCTGGTCCTACTTGCAGCGAAACAGCACATGTCTGTCTGTCTGTCTGTCTGTCTGTCTGTCTGCTGCATGCTCAGATCTTAAATACCGGGCCCGGGGTTCCCTCTTGCCGCCTGCGCTCGCGTCGCATCCTCTTCTGCCGGGCATCATCTGTCGGCAAGGGTCTTCTTCGCTTTGCGCCGTTGGCTGGACTGGGCTGTATTCCGTTGAACGGCCGACTCTCAAGTTGACCGGGCTTCTCTCCTGCGCGACTGCGACCTCGGCTCACTTTTGTGTGCATGAACCCATATTCAAAGTCTCAAGTGGCCATCATGGCCGTATCTACCCGAATTCCTGTGTGGTTGGACTGTGACCCGGGCCATGATGTACGTATCTCGTATCAATGTTGCCTGCTGCCATTTCCCGTCTCTTCGTCCCCCCTTCCATTATTTTTATTTTTGTTTTTGTTTCTAGGGGAAAACTTGTGTGTCGTCTCATCTGCCTTGTGAGGCGCCATCAATGGAAATCGGTCCATCCGTCCATCTGTGCGGTTGAGCTCGGATACTTCCATTATTGGGCATGCTAACATTGCTTGTCTCGTAGGATGTATTTGCCATACTTTTGGCGGCATATCACCCTCGCCTCAATCTGATTGGTGTTTCTTCAGTCTTTGGAAACGCATCCATAAGGCACGTCCCCGGCTAGACATCAAGCATATATCCCTTGGTGTCAATATTGAGTTCTTCTTCTCCTTCCCCCCGGGCCCTCTCTAACAGGAACAAAAATAAAACAGTCACACCACTTGGAATGCCTCGTCTGTCCTCACCGCCATCGGCAAAGAGAAAGACGTTCCTCTGTACCGAGGCGCAGCCAAGGCTCTGGAACGCCCGCCTGCTCACGCCCCCGAGGTCCACGGCGAATCCGGCCTCGAGGGAACGTTCCTGCTACCCAAGCCAGCCTGCGAGCCCGTCGAAAAGGACGCCGTTGAAGCCATGTACGAGGCACTCATGGCTCAGCCAAAGGATACGGCTTGGCTCGTGGCCACCGGCTCTCTCACCAATGTTGGTGTGCTCTTGCGCAAATACCCTCAAGTCGCGTCCCACATCAAGGGAATCAGCATCATGGGCGGGTCTGTCGGAGGAGGTTTCTCGGATGCCGTCCTGGGCCACGCCGACAACAAGGATCGCATCGGCAACATCAGCTTCTGGGCAGAGTTCAATATCCTCATCGACCCCGAGGCTGCGGCCGAGGTGTTTCACAACAAAGAGGTCGCCAAGAAGACGACGCTGGTGCCGCTCGATCTGACCCATCAGGTTCTGGCCTCAAACGACGTGCGACATATGCTATTGTATGGACCCGGCGGCAACGAGGAAGGCAAGGGAAAGACGACGTTGAGAGATATGCTCGTTGAGTTGTTGTACTTTTTTGCGGAAACCTATTCGTATGTGTTTTTTTTTCCTATTTTCTCCACGGCCCTCCTCGATGCCGGCTTCAAACCACTGACACCCAGCAGAAATGTTTTCGGCATCACAGAGGGTCCCCCTTTGCACGACCCCATCGCCGTCGCTGCAGTTCTTATTGGCACTTCCGACGAAATTCCCTTTGCAGAGTGGCACGAAGAGAAGAGCGTACACCCCAGGTATAACGAACGTTTCGATGTGACCGTCGTCACGGAGGGGACTTTTGAAGAAGCCGAGGCGGGCACCAAGCAGACGGGGCGCACCATTGTCAAGGCTCTGCCGGCTGGAGAGGAAGGCGTCAGGATACCGAGAAGTATAGACATTACCAGGTTCTGGCAGGAGATTGAGGCCTGCATCTCACGCGCCGACGCAGTCAATGAGAAGAATGGCAAGACCTTTTGGGAAGAGTACAGACCATGAGTTGCACCAGCAGTCCCCTCCCTCCCTTTTATTTCCCGCTCCGCATGTGGGAAAAAAAAAGCCCGACGGTCTATAAAGTGCTTTGTTTATTAACACTAGAGGATGATGGTTTATGCTGTTTTGCTCGCTATTCTTACAAAATTCTTTGCCCTCGTCTCGCCCAATGACGGAATGGGAAGGTTTCATTACAGTTGTATACAGTTTACACCGCCTTAGACATCACAATGGAGCCTCTCGGCTTGCATCCAGACTCATCAACAACTTGAGACTCCGCTCGTATGTCCACACCGTGACAGCACTGGCGGGCGCAGACTTCATCAGACTTATGGTGAGACCCCTGTACAGCCCGCGGAGACCCTCTGCGCGCGCAATGGCGGCGATTCCCCGCAGCGCGCCCGTGTACTCGGGTATGTCGCTGTAGACGTAGCGAGCCCTCGTAGGCCCCTGGACCTGTATGCGCTTCCGGACGAGGTCGAGAGGGAAGACGGCGGTCTTGGCCACGACGCTGCCCGCGACGCCGGCGGCGGCGTCCTCGCCGCCCCACGGCATGTCGAGGCCCGACAGGCGCGCCCGCAGGCCCTCGTACGTGACGAAGAAGATGCCCATGAAGGGGACGATCTGGCCCAGCGCGGGGCCGACGCCGCGGAAGAAGCCTCGCCACCCTTCATCCCGCTGGATGTCCCGGACGGCGCCCCTCAGGGAGGTGTATATCCTGCGGCGGCCCTGAGCGGCGAACCTCGTCCGCAGCAGGTCGAGAGGGTACGTGAGGGAGGTGGCGAGGGCGCCCGAGGCGGCGCCCGCGACGAAGCTCTCGGCCGGGTCGGGCAGCCGCGTCTGCAGGGTCGTCTGCAGGAACAGCGTCGTGGTGCGGTACGTGGTGAATTGGATGGCGGCGTAGCAGACGTACAGCAGCTCGGCGGGGACGTTGCCCTTCCACAGCCCGGCGAGGCCTTCGTGCCGGAGGATGTGCCTGAGCGTGGCGACGGCGCCGTGGTGCGCGGGCGCCGTGCGCAGGGGCGCGAGGGGGTCCGACAGCGAGTGCGGCTGGAGTTGGAGGCGGATTTTCACCACGTCGAGCGGCGCGACGACGAAGCTTCACGAAAGGGTGTTAGTTGGCGGCGCCGGGGGGGTTGTGGTCATCTTGCTCGGTTGTTGGGTTTGCCCGTACCGAGATACAAGGCCGGCTATGGCGCCGGCGGAGACGACTTGCAGTTTTGTTCCCTCGTCCTTGAGGCGCGTGCTTTGGGTGGACATGCGGCCTTGTGGAGGCGCGGCCCTCGCGCTCGCATGCTACCGTTGCCAGCCTGTCAGTTGGAGCTGGGGCTGGGCGCGCACGAGCTCTCTGCCTGCTCTCGCACTGGTTCAGAGGCGACTCTTGTTCCTGGGGCGTAGATGGGGAGAAGGGGGGGGTTCGCAGAGATATCCTCGGCGCGGTGGTTGCTTCGGAGGTGTTGGAGCCAGCGCCGGCCGTCCGCGGACCACAAGCGGGTAAGTTTGCGACGGCGGAGTCGCCGTCGCCGGAGGGAGTGCGGCGGGTCGAGTTACTGTTATGAGCTGAGTGATGTGTGGATGTGTGGATGCTGTTGTCGTGAGCTGCCGAGGGCGGTGGTTGAGGTGAGGTTGTTGCGGTGTTCTTTCCAAGTTCCTAGTATTCGGTATCGATAACGTGGAGTGAAGCATGCGGCGTGCCCATTGGCTGCTGCGTGAGTGACAGACAGGCTGCCAGCATGCGGCGGCGCCTGTGATTGGCCGCCGCTGCTGGGCCGCGACATTTCCGTGCCCGAGTCTCGCTCCAGATGCGACAGAACAGAGTAGAGTACGTACAACAATCGGCTGCATCCCGGTACGCCGTATCTGGTGCTCGCTACCGGGGACGGGTGGCAGGCAGGCAAATGCCAGCGATCCGGTTGGTCGGCCCGGCGTCGTTTCGCCTCACTTGGCAAACCTGGCAAAGCTTCCTTTGCCCCGAACAACCACTCGTCTTCCCCGCGGATGGATGCCATTGGCCGGCTCTCCGGCCTAACTGGGAGTGGGTCGTGGCCGAACGGATGTTTTGGCATCAAGTCGTCAAGGTCTCATGATGCGCCCCGCCGCCCTGGATCAACGGGGGACGGGCGACATGGACCCGCGTCACTCGGCGGAGGACCTTGGATCTACTAACGTTACCCATCGTACAACAACGGCAGGCAGCATCTCGTCCTCTTGCTCTTCTTGAACATTTTCCCTTTATCCTCACACGTCTTGTCTTGCCTTCCCACCTCTCCTTCCGCCTTCCTTCCGACCCGACGCTGCCGCTCCGCCCCTTGCCGTTCTCGGACCACTTACGTACTTTTGCACTTGCTTAAGCCTAGAATGGAATGGAAATAACGCTTCGCTGAGGATTTTCCCCGACAGCATGAGCACGTTAAGACTTTGCTGGACCTGACTAGTTTTTTTTCTTCTTTTTTTCCTTTCCCCCAAACATCGTACTCGTACACACATCAACGCCGGTGCTCCAATCTCTCTCTCGTCTCTCATCTCCCGGAAACACAACACAACAAGGGACGCATCTGAACCAACGTCGCCACCATTTCCAGCCCTCAAAGGGGCTCGCGACTCACCATGGCCGTCGTCTCCCCTCCCGACCAGGCAAGCCTCCTGTCGGCCGTCCTTCCCGCCCTCCCAGCCGCAGCAGCATCAACCCAGCCCGCCCTCCAGGTCCTCCCTCTCCTCTCCCCCATCCTCCGGCAACGAGTCCAGCTCCTCTCCGCCTCTAGCACAGAACCATGGCTCCGTCTCCTGTGCTACGACGCCGCCAAGGCCGCCAAGCTGGCTGACATTGCCCGCGGCCCGACGCTCGAGCCGCACCCAGTATCCGGCGAGGTCGAGGTCGACTGGGGGTACGACTCGGAAACCCGCTACAGGCGGCTCGACCAGGAGACGCTGCAGGCCCTCGTTGCCCTGCCAGAGCTAGGACTCGCCTTCAACCTGGTCTACTGTGTAAACGACAAGGAGGGCGGCGGCGACGGCTGGCGCATCGGCGAGGTCACCGTTGCAGACAAGCCCACGCCCTTCTCCCAGTTTGGCGGCGCGTCGACCATCGCCGAAGCAGAGAGGCAGTTCAACGACAAGGAAGCCAAGGAAACCAAGGCCAGAGACACGCTCCGGGTAAACGGCGCAACCGCAAAGTCCACGCCCGCGGGCGATGTTGACGACGACGACGACGACTACTGGGCGCGGTACGACGCAACGCCCGCCAGAACACCAGCCAGCCATCGCAGCCCCGCGCCAAACACCGGCAGCGCAACGCTCTCCCACCACCGGCAGCCCGACGCTCTTCGATCGGTAGCTGAAGACGACTACTTTGCGCAGTACGACGGCGTGCAGCCCGCCATGGACAACCACGACCCCGACGAAGAGGCCCAGGCGGCGCGGCTCACGGGATCCCCCGGCTGCTTCCAGCAGAACCCCGCGCCCGCCTGGGTGAATGGAAACGGCGGGATCCAGCACGGCCTGTCCAATGCTGAGATCGGGTTGCAGCAGCCCCGACCCGAGTCGAGCGCCTCGTCCAATGGCTCCCTTACCGTCGCCAAGCTTGAAGAGACGGCGGGTAGGCAGGAGAAGAATGAGTTTGGGGTGAAGCAGCATGTTTCGCGTAGCATACGCAGCCTGTACATGCTCTCCAAGGCTAGTGGCATAGATAGGGACGAGTTTGAGAGGCTTGTGAAGACGGAGCTCGATTTGCTTGGCATGATGGATGAGGGAGAATGATGTGTAGAAAATCGGACAGGATCTCACGAGCTGTGTACCTCGTGTGTGGGAGGGGGAGGGGTGTTTCCATGTCTGAGTTGTTGCATTCCGTTGGACGCATTTTTCATTCATGCATGGCGTTTTGCTGGTACATTTCTTTTCTCTCTAGCGGCATCGAACGGTGCATCTGCCTTTGGCGTTTTCGGAATCTGCATCCGTGAGAATACAAATTGAGGAGATTTGATTCAACCAAGACTCGAGCCCTGATTCTCGACGTGCTATTTTTTTATTCGTTCGACGCTGCGGCTCCACGCTGAGGGGGGGGGGATGATGATTTGTCCGATTCCCCAAGGTTCTGCTGGACGCCAGGTGTGTTTTATACATTCGCTAATTCATCTATGCTAACTTCACGGCAAGATCCAGGCTCGAAACCCTGACACCATGCTGAGGAGGATAATAGGAGGGGTTTGCTCCAGGCTTGTCTCTCACATTACCCCATATTCATGTACAAAAGCTAGCTAAACTTCGACCGATAATGAGGTTATCCAGCGCTATCCTGGCCCATTCTACAAGCCTCGTGCAGCTCTTGTGCTCTGGTGGAACCGGCGCGTGGCAGTGGAGGTAGTATTTGGAATGTTGGGCGTTTTGCCCGCTGCCATGAGGTCCTCTATGATCTGGTGCCGCAGTTTCGTCGACCAGTCCAGCTCGTCGATGACATCCTTCAGGCCAGGCATGACAAGTCTACAGGGCAGTGAGTGTCCACTGTCCATTTGCTTTCAATGCCGCACACGCTCCCTGCTGGTCATCCATGACGAGGGCCCAAAGCCCTCCAAAGTCCCTGAAAGGAAAGAATAGCTCCTTGTCCCTGGCATTTGCGACGTCGGCGTCGCGGTCGATCATTTCCGTGATTCTGGCATAAGCGTTGCACGCGGATGGGACCAGAGCTCCCAGGCACGTCATTATTTGGTATCGATTGTACGGGCCGGGGTTGTAGAGGATCTTTGTGGAAGTGTTGGAAAGCAGTGCAAACACCCGAGGACATCTTGAGATATTTTGATGGCGTTCCGAGCGACTCCCATGGCCGAGGGGACATCGGACGACAGTCGAGTCAATGAGGCTAAAGTGAGATTCAGCAATCAAAGACATCCACATGGAGGGTTGGGGAGAGATTTCGAATTCGTGTGTTCTCGTGGTGGCTCGGGAGAGTCGACGGCGCTACAAACGCCACTACATATAGAAGGTGGTGTCTCTTGGACCCGTGCCATCTGGCCTGCCACGTACTGGTGTAGATAGTCCTTGATATCCTTGGATATCGTCTTTATCAAAAGCTCGGGCTCGTTGACACCGATGCCCGGCAATAGTTCCGCGCCGCCAAGTTCGACTTAAAAGTCACTATTGCCAAAGCTGTTTTCGTCGTGAGCTGGAAAGAAAAGGTATGGCTGTTGTGGAAGAGCGTACGGGGAAGCCGCGTCATTGTCACCAAAGGTGTTGGGTAGCAAGTCCAGGAGGTCGAGCGTCGTCTCATTGTCAATCTGGGACGTAAAATCAAGAAGCAGATTGGCCTTGGGCCCTTGATACGAGGGAGATGAAGAAGACTCCCCGCCAAGGGTATGCGACGCAGGTGGCTGCCTAGTACCGGTAGACGCATCCTCTCGAACGGCTTCTTCTGCTGCACGACGTTAACAGGGGCGTCCCATAGGCTTCCGGGGTAAGTAGACGCACGCAATGCCCTCCCTCCTACATGCCTCGCATCCGTCGAGATCTTTTGAACAATCAACTTCCGGCTTCCTGGGTAGTGTACGTGAATAAAAAGTCCCTAATGAGCGTTACTGAATGGTGGAGCAGGTTGATTCACGGCATTCATCGCAGGCACGATGCTTTGGCGTACTGGCGGCCATGCATTGCAGAGATGGGTTTGTTGCCATTGCTACTTGAGAGAAGTCCAGGTCAAGCCCAAGGCTCTTGCGTGTTTATGAAGAAGAAGAAGAAAAAAGAGAGACGGCGAAGTACAAGTACATGCACGTAGTCGGTGCCGGGTACCTTTACCGGGTCCGCGATGGCCGAACCCGCGGTGGGCCTTTGCGGTGGCACCACAGATGCAGTACAGTGACAATGCAGTGCCGTGGTGGGGAGGAGACTGGAGACCAACTTAATAAACGAAGTAAGTGCTCATGCGAATTTGTGGAAGGAGCCACCAGTGATGGCTGACCCGGCAGATTCTTAGTGCTTCAGGTTTTAGAGTCTGACATCGCCGGAATCAGATGGAGGGCGAGCGCACCGTGGTAAAGAGAAAGCCACGAGAAGAAAAGGAAAACACCAAAAGGCTGGGCCAGGCAGCCTGGTTAGAATGACGGAAGAACCGCTCCGTCATGGCTGCTTGTTTCAGCCCGGAGACAAAATGGTGAGTTGCCAGCCAAAACACCACAAACAGACCAACACCACTCAATGTGCAGAAACAACTATAAAAGCTAACATACAAAATGTGTCATCAAAGCGAGAAAGTTTTGCTGCTTCGCAAGCCATCGACAATAGACAATAGACACGTCACTGGACTCTGGAGGTTTAGTCAAGGCTGCCTGCCAGTCCTACTTACCAACCGACGTCGCCGACGCTGCTCCTCGACGTTTTCGAGTCGACAGGCGTGGCCCACCGGGAGGAGGGATGACGAGCGTGAATGCGGGTTCGATCCGAGACCGACCGCCGCCACTCTCACATTGCAAAGCAAGGGCGCCAGCCGCAGCCACATGGACTCCCGCCGTAGGTATTATAAATGACTACTCCGTACATGAGGAGGGGAATTAGGTGCACAGATGAGTATAACGTTACGTGGCCGTTGCTACGTTCCTGCGTGTGCAAATTGAAACCGTCACACAAGTGGCTAATCCCGGCTTACGAAACTGCAATCGACTACGGAGTGCTCCGTACCAGCCTCCCCATCGACAGCAACCTCGAGCTGAGTCTTTGAGGTGTATGTAACCTCTCTAAAATGCATGACCTCACCAGCGCCGTGACGTGCAGTCTACTGAGTCAGGCCCCCCTTTTCAGCTTTTAGAAGCAAATCGCCGCCTCGAACCATCAGAGCACAGCAACGGGCTCTTAATGAAAGTATCCACCTTCAGCTCACTCACAACCATGGCACCGTCAGCATTTGGACCAAGATTCAAACGTCCAAACGTCCGTGTGCAACATTGAACACTACGCTTTAAATACAGAAATGCGCACATTGTTGTCCGCGGACGAGACTTGAACCCTCGATGCACACTCAAACAGTCCTCGATATCTTGGCATGATCTCCTACTGGATAGGACATCTCCATCAATCTCCAAACACACCAACACGTACCGCGGAATGCATGGACCCGAGGCTGAAGAACAAGAGGAAAAAATTGAGTTATGCATGCGACCGCATCATCTTGAGACAGAGGGGCCTCCATCTAATTTCGACTCCTCCATAAAAGCCCGATATACGACGAGCCCTACTGTACTTCAATCAGGGATTGCGATACCTTCAAGGCACTTCGACCATGGACCGCCTCGGCGAGGCTGTGCGTACATCATACCGCACCGCTTTTTTAGACGCCTTGAACGAGGGACGTGCCAAGCCGCTGATAATTCCATACAGCATCTTGGGCGCGCCTGTTATTCCTACATTATGGCTGACAATCCCCCATACTTCGAGGCCATGGTTGTATCAGACGAGGTGGCTGGTCATGGCATTTGTCACTTGCTTCAATGTCCATGTCACGCGAACCGCTTCGAGTACCAATTTTGCCTGTGCGTACGTCGCGGGGCTGATGGCGGCTTGGGGGACTATACTGACGATGAATTTGTTGATTTGGAGACGGCCGCAGTTCGAAGCGGCGAGGGTCATAAAGGTTGAGGCGGGTGCGAAGAAGGCTGGGAAAAGTGAGAATGGGGACTGGAAGACGGTCACTGAGATTGTCCATGAGGATGTGCTACGGCAACGGAAGCACAACATGGATGCAGTCTTGCACGACAAGAGGGACGAGGCCAACAATGAAAATGAATATATGTGGCAGACGTTTCCTGAGAAGGGCACATTTTTGGACCGTCTGGGCTGGGCGCTGGACCTTTCACTCAGTTTCCGTGGTGCAGGTACGTATTCTCCTCGCCCCAGACCTTTGTCTGTTCTTCACATCGACAAGTGGCTGACCCTCCAGGTTGGAACTACTCCATCGCATCCATCCCACGACCGCACATCCCCAGGCCCATTCAGCCCGACTCGCCCGTAATTACTGCCAGCATCACTGCCAAAACCGCCAGCGGCTACACCGTCCCCCTTAGTGAAACCGAGCTCCTTGCCAGCCGTCTCACTGGGATCGCATCGTGCTACCTCATACTCGATTTCCTCTCGGTGCAGATGATGAAGGACCCCTACTTCATACTGGGGCCGCACATGTCTCAACCCCAGTCACACCTCATCCTCGTTTACAGAGAATGCATGTCCATGGTGGGGATATGGGCTGCCATCAACGCCCTGTTCAGCCTAAGTGACTTGGCTCAATACTACTTTCTGAAGACATTCTTCCCTTCCCGCGCCGCCCTCTGGCACTACGCATCGACCTTTGGTTCCTTGGCAGAGATATTCAACCGTGGACTGGCTGGATGGTGGGGTGCATGGTGGCATCAGACATTCAGGTTGGAATTTCTTGGTCCATCCACATATCTCCTCCAAAATGGATACATCAAGCGGGACTCGAAGGTCGCCGATGCGGTTGGCTTGTTCTCGTCCTTCTTCCAGTCGGGACTCATGCACGCGGCGGGGAGTGTCTCCTCGATTCCTGACACCAAACCTTGGCGGCCAATTGTGTTTTTCCTGCTGCAAAGTGTGGGCATCGCCTTGCAGCAGCGACTGGCGCTCTTTTTGCGAAGCGGCCTGGGCACTGCGCCAAGAATCATCAGACAGCTGGGCAACGTGCTGTTCTGCCTGGCGTGGCTTTACATGACCGCCCCCTTTTTCATTGATGACATGGCATCTACCGGGCTGTGGATGTTGGAGCCCGTTCCCATTTCACCCCTGCGATGCATGGGATTCGGGCATCCAGCGGACCGCTGCTGGCGGTGGGATCGGCATCATCTGCCGAAATGGTACAAAGCCAAGCACTGGTGGGAAATTGGAATCGCTTTATAGTACTACTAGTACGGAGTACGTAGTACGGAGTAGACGGGAAAGATTGCCCCTGTCGGATACCCACAGCAATACGTCGGCGGATATAACTATTTATAGGTAGATTGGATCACACACGCTCCACATTGTAGTAGTAGACCTAGTAAATAGACTCGGACTAGATGATCTTTTTCTGCGCTTTCAACCACATGATGACAGGGCCGTAGTTGGCCTGCTTTTTGCTCAGCACGTCTAGAAAGGCGCTGTAGGCGACACTGCTAGCTATTAGCCTCCTCCGTTCAAGCTGAGCTATGCAATGGGAAGTACCTTTCGACTTGTCGCTTGTGGATACAACACGAATACTCGGGGTACCGCAACTTTCTCGATCTGCTCGAGAAGATCGAGAACGCAATTTCGGCAACTTTTGAGATGGTATCTACATTGTGTAAGCGCAGTAGAGACAGCCAAACAGCGGGGAGCAATAGGAAAGCCGTCACGGAGCTCTGTACCGGTAATCAGGGCCGTGCTGGGCCGCCGTACTCTTGGCAAGCATCGTATGTACGCCCACATTTTGCGCGCAGTCTCGACAAATGCGCTGCGCAAAGAATCGAGCACCGTCCGTGGGGCATTATGAGATGTGTCAAAGTACATGAGGTGCGACTGAAGGTAAAAAAATTCTATACAGACGTCAGCGTTTAGCCGGAAAGGCAACACAACACACTCGAGAGAGGACTTCGCACTAAGAGCTTTCCGCTGAAAGTTTTGCCCTATTGAGCGGCCATAGTCGACCGTCAAAGAGTTGGATACCGCTGCAGGTGTTAGCTGATTCTTTCTGGAAATAGCTTTTACAGACGGCTTACGAATAGCAGCTCCCGCCTCGACGTCCTTGGTCATGTCTAGCGACCTAACATTGATCCGCGTTCCGCAGTATGGAAATCCTGTGGTGCCGGCTTTGCCGACGGGCTTGCCATTAATCTGCACATCGAAATTGACCAGCGTCTTTCCGGGACTAACTTGCACCCCATACTCGGGAACACCTTGATGCATCGTCTCGAGAAACCGCACGGCCTTGCTCTTATCGAGCGTGATGAGCAAAAAGTCGTCAATAAGCCGCATCAGGAGGCAATCTTGCCCTTGGAGAAAGCCTAAATGTTTCCTTTCCAAGTCCGCGTAGAAGTAATTACATAGAAACGAAGACAACACTGAACCTTGCGGTATCCCCCTTTTCTGACAGTAATACTTGCTGCCAATCTTGACCAGGTTTCTTTTAACATGGTCGGTCAACAGTTGGATCAGACATGTTGTACTGTGCTCTCTTTGCGCTACGCCGTCGACAAAGATGGTGTTCTTCTTTGTGCTCGCTATGCCGTTCCTGAGTCGGTCCAAGAATGGTTGTTGGCCCTGCGCAAGTGCTGATGCGTGCCATCGCCGAATTGGCTTCGTGGCGGTTTTTTTTGGTTTCGTCATGGAGCGCTCGCCGGGCTGCACTTCTGCGTGCTTTGTGATGGTGTATTTAGGTTGACTCGGTACGGTTTTCATGAGTTGTACGATGGCGTCTTGGGGAATGGTGTCAAAGGCGGACTGGACGTCGACCTTGGCAAAGAAAAAATGGTTCGGTCCGCCGGAGAGGGAACGTTTAAACGTTTTGAGCTTGGCATACATGTCGCCGACGGAGAAAAGCGTTGACGCTAGGCGCTGCGGGTTCGTCATCTACAGCCAGTAAGCAGTTGCTTTGCAGCAGCAATGAACGACAATCCTGTTTACCTTTTCAAACTTCAAGGTCGTGTAAACGGGCCGTAGGACGGAGTTGATGCTGGGCTTCAGACCCTTGGCCCCCGTTCTGCAGGCTTGTTTCCTGCGCAGGTTCATAATTGGTCGCAATTTACGCTCCCTGGGAAGCAGCCTTATTTCACTGAATCCCATGTACCTAGAACGAAGAATCTCGTCGGCCTCGGTAGCTGTCATTTCCTCAAACATGTCCGTCTTCAGAATTGACAAAGTTGGTTCTGCAATGCGGCGCCAAATATCGTGGCGGAAATAAAACACTTGGTACCGGTGGGTGTTTGACTCTGTAACGTAAAAGTTTGCTTGAATGAGCGGTATCAACAACGAGTCGAATACAAAATATAAAAATTCGTGAAACAATTCGCAGCGTTTGTTCACGTCAGTCCGGCCGGCCTTTTGGGCCTCGAGGCCTGGAGGTTGCAGCCACTGGATGTTGGCCAACTACCGACAACAAGTTAAAATTTCGTCTCACCACGTGCAGCAAAAAAGCATACCTTCATGCCTTGGCATATTTCGTGCAACGTTAGGGCCTCGAACCGCCGAAGCTTAACAAAGTGGTCGACGTTGCGAAGGAATACGGCTTTGTTGTGGGAATGCGCCTCGCCTTTGCCCCAGAAATCGTTGGGCACGATATGTGAAAAAACAGCTTGGCAGAATGCAGATACTTGAGAATGTGAAGTTGCCAACTCAACCAATGAACTACACTCAAAATCATCCTGGAGCGACCGGGACGCACGGCATTTCTCTTGACAATCGTTGGCGGCAATAGGGACTGTCGGTTCTATGCTGCGTTGAACTCCCATTATCTGACGTCTTTCGTCGAGCGGGTGAGAAGATTCGTCGGCATGTAGTCCGCGAACCCGAGGACAGTAGTGTTGTAAAAGTTCTCCGTATGAGCAGCGGCTATGGAGCACCTGAAGTCGCTGAACGAGGCGCCAGGCTTCGCCTCTAAGGCGCTTGGGCAGCTTGGGCGTCCCATCCTTTGAGCAATATTTACCCATTTCGATAGACTCCTTGATCTCCTTTTCCCGCAAGGTGTAGTCATGAAACTTTTGTGCCGTCTCCAAGACGTTCACGTTGGAAGTGAAGACGTTGTGCAGCCCAAACTGTCTTGGAAATATATGCATAGTAACCTTCATTGTGTTCGCGGCTATTTTCTCGACCTGGCAGCTTGTGCCGTCATTTTTGGCGGCGCGACACCGATTCAGCACATCTAACTCATGTTCAGCGACGGTCTTCAGGAGTAAAGGGGAAGAGAGGTCAGGCCCGGGGTTGGGGCCAACGTACGGATGGGCTTGAAACCAGGCTGAACCCGGCCGCGCGCTGCGAGCGCTGGCTTGGCGTAGAATATACGGCTTCTTATTAGAGTTATTTCTGACGGTTTGCGAGGTTGGTTGGGATTGCTGCGACTGCCGCTCAATTCCAACTCGGACACGGGGATGCCTAGCCAACATTAGGGCTAGGCGCCATGAAGGATTACCCGTGCTATGGCGGTACGATACAGCCCTTACTCACCGCTTATCTGGTAATAGTTGCCGATTCCCGCGTCAATGGCAACAAAGATAGAACGCTCAATGAGAAGATCAACCATGACTTTCTGTCCCGAACGACCTAGCAACGCCAGCACCTGCGGCCAAGGCTTTTGTCTTAGGGCCGCAGAGTGATGATTAGGATAGAGGCTGTACACGTCCTGAACAAAAGTGCCAGGAGGGTCACCCTCTTTGCTTCGTTTGCGGAATCCATCACAAAGGAGGTGTTTCGGCCATGTGCCTGGCGTCTTTTCCCGGTTGAACAGGGACCATATGGCCCAGTCCACAAGCTGGCACAAGACAAATCAGCAACGATTGCAACTGCAAGAAAAAGACCGACCTCAAGGCAAGTGACACAAGACTAACCTCTGACTGCGTGCCCTCGCATTCAGATATGCCACCTGATATGGTAATATGGGAGTCGTCTCCCTTTTGTGAAAATGCCAACCACTGCTCGTAAGAGGTATTGTCGGTCTGCAATAAGGTGTCGGAGGAGCAGATTAATGTCGAGTCTAAAAACTTGGCAACAACTGCTTCTAGTTCATGTTCATCAGCACAGTTCCCCTGACCGAGCGAACTAATCTTTTTCCGACGAAGTCTGGAACTGCTTGGAAGTTTGAACAAGGCATACTCCCGCAGTGTTAGGACGGTCGCATAAGCATGTCGCAGAAGATCCCTCCTGACGAGCCCGTCACGAACCACGACGTCGTCATCCGGGCTTGACGCGTCTCGCTCATGGCGTCTTCGCTTTCGGCCAGCAGTCATAGCCTCACAAGCCTGGCTCGAGGGCAACGACGTGACGAGCTGGTAAAGTCGTCGACAGTGACAACGTGCACGCGTTTGTTTCGAATGTGTTTGACTACAGAGGGTCAGTGGCTAGATTCCATGTCTAGTGTGGCTGTGTATTGTCTGTGCGGGCGGGTGTGGCTTCGCGACTACGTACCACCACGTCAGAGTTGCGGAAAGCAGGGTTTGGGGTTGGTTGGTGGTTTGATTGCAGCCAATTGGACGGTGGTTCAAAAAAGCCCAGGATGGAGCTACTTGTCAAAGCACTCAAGAGTCGAGACGGTCCAATCTTCATGGCATCAGTATTTTGATTCAAGATCAAGTACGCGTCGAGGACGCGACTTGTCCCAATCTGCTCCTCGGCAAAGCTGTAGTTCGGCGCAATGCCGTCGCGGGGCTCTGCATGACAGCATCGTGGCAGCCCCTGGGAAAAGCTCTCGTGGAGGTGCGCGTCTGACCGAATGCGTCCACGTCAACTTGGAGCAGTCCGTACTCACTGACACTGTCATGTTGCCATGTTACACAATGCCCTGATTGATTTCGGGTTCGGGATTATCGGGAGTGCTGGCCAGATCGGCTTATGAAACGTGTGCAGACACAGGATCAAAAGCTATTGCTCACCAGGCCAGGGCGTTGTCAACCCTGTGATTGGCGAATCCGATCAATATTGTAGGGCTTTGTGTTCTCGTCTTTGTCCCGAAACGGCCTACTCGGCCAAGGTGGCCAATTGACGACATTACAATGTGATGATCATTGATGATGGACATTTGTCGTTTTGGTCGGCTCCCAATGCCATGGCGCTCCAACAAGGCGCTCAACAGCGCCGAGCAAAGGTGAGGGGGGGGAAAGGGAGCCCGGCTGCCCGCCCTTGTCAAACAGTCTGTCTGGCCCTTGGCGTCGCATCAACGACCTCTGCTCCGTAACAAAAGCAACGCCCTGAAACTGCGAGTGGCACCTTGCACGGCGCGGATCCTGTGCGAGTGAGTAAAGTGGCTGTACTCGGTATACCTCGACGTGGCAGTGGCAAGGCGTCAGTACTTGAGTACTTGAGTAAATAATAGTACTACGCAGTACGGAGTAGCTCCTCAGTGCTCACAGGGGAACATGTTCGCTCGTACGTACTTGAGCCAGGAGACGATAAACGGCGCCCCAGACTAGGGTCCATGGGTTTAAAAATAAACAGCGAGTACGTGTAGTACGTCGGTACGTCGGGCTCGGCTACCGAGAGCCGTCATCTGTCTCGATGCCTCCTGCTGCCGTTGATCGCGGTGTCGAGCAGAAAAGAGGGCAAAGCAATGGGTTGAACGTGCCAGTCGAGGGGAATGCCGCGGCCTTGGTGAAAATGCCGATTATGCGTGAGACCAAGGGAAGGAGAGGCGGGATGAGAGACTATCTGAGGACTTGATGTACCGCCGCCTGCTCACAAGTGTAAGTACGTAACTACGTACTTCGTACTTGCGTTTGGTTTTTTGGTCCCATGCCAAGGTGTCGATGAAATGGCAGTACATACGGTACGTAGTACGGATGGATGGGCAGGAGCGACTGGCAACCTTGGAATGCAGGCCGGCCAGGGCCCAACGCCCATGTCCCAATTTCCTTCCCATGGCAGGTGGCCGAGTTGTTGGTCAGTCCTTTATTTCCCAAACGCATCGCATTGGGCGCTGGGCACCAATGCGAGGCCAAGCACTTGAGGGGTGGACGCCTCCGCTGGGGCTTGCCGCGATGATCACATCTTGAAGTTAGTCAAGCAGCTAGTTTGGCAGGGTGTTGAATCTTGATGATCTGGCACTGGCACTGGCACTGGCACTGGCACTGGCACACCGACACCGCCGCCGACGCCGACGCCGACGCCGACGCGACGTGTGTCTTCCGGCTCGGGGCCTCGGGAGAACAACACGGTCGGTTTGCGTGGCGGAATGCACGGCCAAGCTGGTGGTGGCGGCAGCCCCTCCAGCAGAAAGAATACAGAATGCACATTGCACACAGGGAGGGGGTGGGAGTGGCATTGTGTTGCTGGCAGATGATTGAAATGAGGACTGCGCACACTTTCGCGAGCTTGCAGCGGCGATGCTCGCGTCCTCCGCTGGAACGAACCCATGTCGGGTGATGAATCAATTGTTATCAGTGGACAGTGGGAGTGCTCCTTGATGAATGTCAACTGGTCTGGCCCCGGCGGGGGGGAAGGCAGGGCAGGGCTCCAAACAAGACGAGGCCCCGTCTCCCCGTGTGCTGCCTTACGACATTCGGACCACCCTCCCTTGGCGTCGCTATTGTTTGTCCCGGAGTACGGAGCACGGAGTAGGGCGTACGGCGGCGTACCAGTACGTACTTGCTTGCTGTCTCTGTGCGAGACGAGACATATGCCTGCTGCCGAGGGCTCATGGTGGGCCCGATGGCCACGGCCCATGACGAGTGCTCCAATGGCCTGCTTACTGGTCCTCGTTGTGTCACCACCTGAACCCAATTGATCCCGCATGGGCACGTACTCGTCCGTGCGGAGCACTCGTCGAGTCGAGTCGAAGTCGTACCCTCGTCGTCACATGCACCACGACCATTTTGGGTGCGGTGTGCTTCCCATCCATCCCATCCCATCCAGGCCAGCCAGGCCAGGTGGCACCGCGCCGTGGCAGCACTGAGCGACGACCCGACGAGGACAATCAGTTGAGCGGCCCGCCCGCCGGGTGCTGCATCAGCCCGCCAGTCAACAAACAGCTAAGCTAATTCATGCCCTGCAAGCATGTCCTGCGCGTCAAATCAGAATCAGAGAGATTGTCGACTTCCTGGAGACATCAGACCCGGCCTCGGCCGTGGGGTTTGCTCTGTACACCTCAAGTAGAGTAGCACGTCGGGCTGCCTTGCCAAGCAAAGAACATGATGGTCTTGTCGCGGCCACCACTCTCGCTCACGAGAAATCCTCCTCGGTGCCTGGGCGCGTGCCTGGCAAATACCAAGTAGCCCGCAAGCTGGCTGTTCGTGGCTGTCTCGACTCTCTAGGCTGCTCCACCCCCCTCCCCACCTCCTCCACTGTTGGAGCCACTCGTCTCATCTCCAGTCAAACCCTTTTCAACCTTATTGTTATTGCTCCCTCATGGCCGCCAAGTAACTAGGCTGCGTGTCAACCGGTGCTCGTGCTCCCGTCCACCCACCTCTTTGTTTTTCCCTTGCCTCCGTCCGCCGCCTGCCAACGTATCGATCGATGCCCGCTGCTGCGAGCAACTGTCCCAACCAGTAGTCACGAAGCCTGACCAGCCTGACCGGATGCACAGGTCCTGGCCACCTCCCTGGCCATCATGGACCCGGCCCCGGATGCTGGCCAGTTTCGAGTCGATGCTGTCGATACCCGCCCTCCCGCCTTGGGCCACCGAGACCTGGACTCGGGGCACGACGTCGACCGCCATCACCACCAGCACCACCTCGCTGGCACCCTTTCCCTCCCAATTCCACCCCAAACCGAGTCCTTCCCCTACACTGACCGTGACCTGCGAGCCAACACCCACGACGACCCGTCGGAGAGCCACCAACATGCCCCTCCGCCCTCGATAGACCCCGACGACTTTTACAGAAAGTATCGCGGCCTTGACGGCAACAGCAGCGCAACAGATCTTCTTCCCATGGCGACCACCTCGGCTCCTCGCGCGCCCTTGCAGTCCAACGGAGATGGGACGGCTAGTCTCAAACACTTGGCGGCCGTCTCCCCTACTACTCGCAGTTTGCCGCGAGCAGACTTTCGCTCCGTCTCGAGTCCCCTGGACGCGACAGTATCTACAAACACAACCTTTGCCAAAACGATGCCGACCGGAAAACCGAGTGTAAAGGACCTCAAGAAACGATTCGATCAGAATGCCGTCGCCGCTGCCTCTGCCATCCCTCTTGCTCTTGCTAGAGTAGCTCCTGTTTCGAAACCTCCCAGGTCTGGGAACAGTGCGTCGGAGCATGCCACTCGCTCGGCGACCAATCCAGAGACACGGCAGCCGCCTGCCCTTTGCAAAAGCATCAGCGACGTGACTGGATCGGCGTCATTGCCGCTGCGACAATCCAAGTCTGTGATTGACCATCGTACTTCCACGAGCTCGCAGTCATTCGCCAGTCGCGTTGGCAAGCCGTTCAACTATGCAAACGGGGGGAAGCCATCACCTTCAAGGCGATGCCATCACCGCCAGATGCCTTCTACCTCGTCTGACGGGGGGCAGCCGAAGCGTCTCCTATTTGGCGAAGTTCTACCCCATCATGACGACGCGTCCGCCCTGGGTTTTGGCATTGACGGAACGCGCCCGCGGAGAACTTCGGAGTCCAGCGTCCAGCATCGCAGCACACACAACCGCACCCCTTCTGGCCTGGGTGCTGAGCCAGTCTCGCCCCATGCTTGGTATCGCGATCCTCCATCCCAAAGAGACGCGACCCCTCGCTCCTGTACTTCGCGCTCTCGGCCACAGCCTCACTCCCGCGCTCATAGTGACGACGGCTCTTCGTCACCGTCGTCGCGGGCCACTCGAAATGCAAGATCTACATCCTCGTCACACTCATCCAAACTTCCCGTCTCCGTCCGAAAGTTCAACGCGCCGAGCAACTCTACGAGTCCGTCCTCCACTCGCTCAAGTTCCCCGTCCACACTCAGGAGGTATCAAACAAACGGCAGGCCGACCGCGAGAACAAGCCCTGTTGCTAGCCGGGTCAAGACGCCGACACAAACCCGGAAGCCTCCTCCACAAGGGCTCGTCACGTTGAGCGGTGGCGGCGGCAGCAGCAATAACTCAAGGTTGCAGGCATACATCACTACGCCTGTTCCAAAGCTTTCTCCGACCCTGCGCAGCTCTCGGCCTCGACAGCCTGTTTCAATCGCCAGCACGACCAGTTCCACGATGAAAGAACCTGATGAGGCACGGATGATGAGCAAGTCAGGAGAAGCACCCCCGAGTCGTCGCAAAATTTCCATCGGTCCCATCGATTTTGCACAGAGAAGAGAGCATATTAGGCTTGCTTATACCAAGTCGATTCGTGAGAGTGAAGCCCTCGAGGCACGGCAAAATGCGGCTGTCGAAAAGAGACGACAGGAAGCGGATGACGCTGTTGCGAAACAACAACACTTGGAGGCTGCCGACTCTCCCGAAATCCCCAAATCAGGCGACTCTGTTGCCGCATCCAGTGCGGCCTTTGAGATTACCACGACCGATCCTGTTCAAAGTGCCAAACCTAGCATGCCCGAGGCGGGCGACCGTGCAGAATCGCCAAAGCCTTTGCCGGGAAGGCCCCCTCTAACGATTTCCACTGACAAAGAAACAACAACCGCGCTTTCACCAGACTCGCCGACCCTAGGGCTGCCAGGGACCTTCCCTGATCCAACATTACCACCGATCATCAGAGATGGGCGGCCGCTCTCAGCAACGTCGGCGACTTCAGATACGACCGAGTTCGACGCCGAGCCCCAGACGAACTTACCTGTTCAACCACAGTCGAGTCTTGGCATCTCAGTTGCTCTGATCAAACCTCCAAGCCCCCAACTAGTGCAAGATTCAGCGCTCCTTCCGCGTACCATGACGGAATACCAATATCCGTTTGACGATGAACCCGAAGACGACTCCCCGTTACGAGCATCCCCGAAGCTACCAAAGCTACCAGTATCCGAACTCGACCGTGATCTGGCTGTGCCAGGCTCGTTTGTGGACGATGACGAGGAACCAAACGGCCTCGGCATCAGCTCATTGCAAACGCGAGACACCGCAATTGCGCTGGTACCAGATTCTGATAATCAAGTGATTGCAGGTGGTGATGACACCCAAACAATGCCGTTCCCGCGGCTAGAGGTCCAGGAGGATAACGACTCTGACTGTCAGTCCGGCTTGCACCACCTTGGGATGCAGACGAGTCAGAGTGGCCGTCAGGATGATGACAATGATGATGCAGCTACAAACACCGGCACGGAGGAGACTGACGACCGTGAACACCACGACGTTCATGACGGACAATTTGGTGGTCATGACGTACGATCCCACGGGACATCAACGTGTGCGCCATCGGAAGCTGGCACTTGCGATGACGTGAGCTATTCGGGCTCTGATCAACAACAACACCGGGAGGCATCGCTCACGGGCCATTTGTTGATGCCCAATTCGAGATACCAGGACGAGCGATTCAATAGGCAATCCGCATGGACAGACCTTTCCGTGGATAGTACCGATCCCTCGGATGTCTTGAGGTCCCCCGCGGTGCCCAGCAGCCGTGAATCACCGGCCTTTGGCAACGCAAAAATATTTGGCTCCAAGGCTGAATCGCCTCCTAATGATGCGCATCACAAAAAAAGACTGTCGGAACTTGCTTATTCGGAGGATTCAAGGCGGTCTTCAACCCGATGCCATTCGCACCATTTGCCAGAGGTTGACACGGGAGATGGCTTCTCGGTCCCTCCCCATTTGACATCCCCCCAAACAAGTGACCAAGCCTCTTATGTTCCATCGCCGGCACACGAACCGCCTCCCATCCCAGCCTCCCTGCCGGGATCTGGCCTCAACTCGAGAACGTCGAGCGCCTTTTACGACCAGGCCCAATACGAGAGCACCCTACTCGACTCTGAACGGGGAAGCGACGAATACATGTCGCATGCCGGGACGTCGCGGTCCGTCGACTCGGCATCGCTGACGACTACCGACCAGTACGTGAGCACGCAAACACCAGCAGATAGCGACACCAAGTCGCTCGCACAGGACGGCGAGGAGCTTAGCGACAAGGATCGACACCGTCTCTGTCAAAGAAGAAATGTCATCAAGGAGCTGGTGGATACCGAGGCTGTCTTCGTACGCGACATGAACATTGTGGAAGAGATATACAAGGGCACTGCCGAGGCGTGCCCCAAACTCGACGGAAAAACCATCAAGCTCATTTTCCGAAACAGCGACGAAATCATTGCCTTTCACACATCGTTCCTCGCAGAACTCAAAGAGGCGGTTGCGGATGTGTACATTCCCAAGGGAGCCAGGAAGACACTGGGGGATGACTCGCGCAAGTCAACGCCGAGCCTCGCTGCAGCATCGGGGGAGCCGAACGATGCCAAGGACCGCTCTACTTGTCTCGGACCGGTATTCAAGAGAAACATGGAGCAAATGAAGATGGCACATGAAGGCTTCCTCCGTGCAAGTGATCAGGCTGCCAAGAGACTCATCCAAATTCAGCAAGACCCCACGGTCCTGGTTTGGCTGAATGAGTGCAACGAAGTCGCCAAGGACCTGACTGCAGCCTGGGACCTGGATTCTCTCCTCATCAAACCCATGCAGAGAATCACGAAGTACCCGAACCTCATCGTTACGCTTCTGCAACATACGCCTCAGGACCATCCTGATCGAGCGGCCCTGGTGGAAGCCAAGGACACCTTGGAACATGCCATTGTAGAAATCAACAAGACCAAGAAGAACTTCGAACTCGTCGGACAAATTGTGGGCAGAAAAAGAAAGGAATCAGACGTCAGGGCCGGCTTCGCGCGGGCCTTTGGCAAGCGAGTCGACAAGCTGCAGGCATCCAACAACAACCGCCCGGAAGAGGATGCAGACTACGCAAAACTCAACGAAAAGTTTGGGGACGATTACCTTCGACTTCAGGTCGTCCTCCGAGACGTTGAATTTTACACCAGGCAAGTGTCGGCCTATGTTCACGAGTTCCTTCAGTACATGTCGTCGATTGAGCTTGTCATGCGGCTTCAGCCTGGCAACTACCCAGAGATCGAGAGCAAATGGGTGCAGTTCAATATTTCCGTCCGCGACCTGGAAAAGCTTGCCTTGGAGGAGCATCTGGCGCAAGTCCGCAAGCACGTCATTGAGCCATTTGAACATGTCATCAAGGCATATGGCAACCCGTCGTTGGCCATGAAGAAGAGGCAGAAGCGCCGGATAGACTATGAGCGGCTCGAACAGCTAAAGCGAAGCGGCAAAAGCCCCGACCCCAAGCTGAAGGAGCTTGTCGAGCAGTACGAGGCGCTGAACGATACACTGAAGAAGGAACTTCCGCAGCTGTCGGCTCTGACGGAAAAAGTCGGCAACATTTGTCTTGGAAACTTTGTGAATATCCAGGCGAAGTGGTATGCCACCTGGAAAGAAAAGATGAAGACGGTCTTGCCGGGCTGCGGCGACATGCCGGACCTGCAGTCTGTCGTGTCTACTTTCCAACAAGACTTTCCACATGCGCACGACCAGATGTCGCAGATTGGCATCCTCAACCCAGCAACCTGGGGCAGAATGTCACAAGCAACCTCTGTGAGCGCAGACGACGTGTCGTTGCGAGCAAGGAGTCGGCCCTCCGATGTCGAGTCCCGAAGTCGCGGTCAATCGTTGAACGGCGACGTGGCGCCAACGCTGCCTGCGCCAGATTTTGGCGGACGACGCAGCGGCTCATTTACAATGTCACCAGGCTACGCCATGGCGGTCGCCGGGTTCGGAATCGGCAACGTGCCAAATTCGCATCAGTACGATTATCGTGACTACTACGCCGGGATTCACGCCAACCAGGCAGGGCCCGCTTCTCCAAAGTCGGCCGAGATGGCCAGCAGCTCACGGCCGGCCGCCGTCAGCAGTGCGGTTTCAACAAGACCCAGCACTGGGCGTAGTTTCGAGCCCGGATCGGTGCGGCAAAGCTCGGACTCGGCGGCCGTGCAACATCGCGACTCCAGCGCAACTTACGGCTCGACCTACACACCCCAGGCCACTCAACGGGAACCTCGGCGGATTTCGAACCTGTTCCAGTCCGCCCTTCCAATGTCGGACGGCCCAGATGATGGCGGCAGTCAACGAGCATCGAGGGCGTCATCCCGCGAACGCAGCCAGACTTCAGACGGCTACAACGTGCTGTGGTTGGCTGCGTCGCTCTTTGAATTCAATATCTCCACCACCAAACACGAAGCTGGATATCCGTACTTGACATATCAAGCTGGAGAGGTAAGGGTTCCACCCCGGAGTCGCGCGCATCGGACTTGCACGATGAGTGCGTCCATGGAAGCTAACGTTGGGTTCCTCCCCAGATATTTGACGTCGTGGCCGAAAAGGGCGAGCTGTGGCTAGCGAAAAACCAAGACGACACAACAGATCAAGTCGGCTGGATCTGGTCGAAGCACTTTGCAAGACTGGCTGATTCCTAGACAAATGGGAAGAAGAGGAGGAAGCGATTTACCACAGGAGCACAGGACGGACACAATGTAACAGACGACGAAATATTTCCTCGACCACCCCCCCACAAAACGGCAACTTGTCCAGGACGGCGTGGCTTTTTTGTTTCCTTTTGACTTTTTGAAGTTCTCACGCGAAAAGATGGGATTTTTACTCTGCCTCACCCTCAACAAGGCTTCTCAGCAGCTTGGTACGGGGAGAACGACGACGCGTCCTCTCTCTTGTCGCAAACAAGGGTTCCTTGTATCAATTTTTTTTTTCATTTACATTAGCGAAATGTCGTTGTCATTTTTTTTTTCGTTACTTTTGTTCTTCTGTCGAATTCTTTCCAGCTTCTCCCCATCCGGCCATTAGCACGCATGCAACTGACTCGCACGAGGTGCATTTTTCGCTGGGCAGAGACATGGAGAAGGCACATGGGAGCCCGGCGTTTGACGAGGATACCAAAAGGGCAAGGCAGGGCTGGGGAGCACTGTAGAATAATTTGAGGCGTTTTTTTTTTTCGCACAACTTGAAGGGCTGGGAAGACGGGCGAAGGAATGGAAGCTGGAAGACAGATGCAGAATCAAAGAGACCAGATTAAGATACCAACAGGACGATTTGTACGAATACAAATGCAATAAACAGCTTCATTTTTGCGTTGCGCCGGACAAGATGTGCAGCGGCGTACTCGGTACTCGGTACCCTGTTTCCGTCCAGCGCACATCCGGCGCAGTCAGTAGACGGCTGAAGGTCGATTGGCTTGAAGGCGTCATCTCTATCAGTTTATAGTTACTCGGTGCACATGAATGACGTTGAGTTGCGGAACCACGCCGTTTTCAAAGCATGACGAGCCGGCGTTTGGCGTTTGGCGTTTGGCTGTGTGGCTGTGTGGCTGTGTGGCTGTGTGGCTGTGTGGCTGTAGCTGCGCCAGCCGACGCGAGAACGTGAAAAGACTCACTCTCGTCCCTGGTCTCTTCCAGTCGTCCGTTTGCCTTGTCCTCCTCCTTCGCACCAGCTGCACGGCGGAGCAACGCTCTTTAGCATCGTCGACCCCCAAATGGCACATTGGCAATAGCCCAGAGTCCCGGGCCACACCGCAGGCAGCGCGACCGCTGCGCTGGGGCACGACGAAATATATATTGTCCTCCAACATGGCCATGGCCGGCTTGCTGGGACAGCCGTCCATCAAGGGCCGCTCAGAGGCCATGCGCATGGTGCTGTTGAATTTCTGCACCGTCGGCATAACGTGAGTACCCGCCCGGCCCGTTCGTGGGCCTGTCGTCCGGTGCGGCCCAGATGTTTGGGCGCGCGCACAAGCAGAGGGCCTTGAGGTCGTTGACACGGCGGGCAGGTTCACATGGGGCATCGAAATGACGTGTAAGTGCGGTGCAGCCCGTCGACGGCCCGAGGTCTCGTCGTGTCCGTGTCCGTGTCCTGATCCTGACCGCTTGTTCCCTCCTCGCCTTGTTGTAGACTGCACCCCCTATCTCCTCAATCTCGGCCTCACCAAGTCCAACACGTCGCTGATATGGATTGCCGGCCCGCTCTCCGGCCTCCTTGTCCAACCCGTCATCGGCGTGGTGTCGGACGAGTACACATCCAGGTGGGGGCGCAGACGGCCCTTCATGGTTGCCGGCGCACTCGTCGTGTCCGTGTGCCTCCTTGTATTGGGATTCACAAAAGAGATTGTGGGTTTCTTGTTGCCGGACGAGGAGCTGGCCAGGGGGCCGACGATTGCGCTGGCCGTCTTGTCCCTTTACGTCTTGGACTTTGCCATCAATGCTGGTGAGCGCAGTCCCCGCCGTTGAGGGGCAGAATGTTGCATTCAGGTGCTGACACACGTTGATAGTCATGTCCTGCTCGAGGAGCCTGGTCGTCGATACGTTGCCGTTGGAGAAGCAGCAGGCCGGCGCGGCATGGGGTAGGTGACTCTGACGGCCGCCGAAACGTCACGGAGAAATTGCTCATGCCATCACAGCAAGCAGGATGAGCGCAGTTGGCCAAGTCGTGGGATATGGTGCCGGGGCCTTTGATCTCGTCCAAATCCTCGGTACCACCCTTGGCCGGTCCCAGTTCCAACAACTGACCCTCATTGCTGCTGCCGCCCTCCTAGTCACAACAGCGACGACGTGCTGGGCCGTCCAGGAAAGCGTCCTTGTGTCCGGCAACGATCCCATTTCCAAGCCGCAGCGCAGCCTCGGTGTGCTGCGCCAAATCTATCACACCGGACGCCACCTCCCACCTCGCATCGAAGCCATCTGCTGGGCGCAGTTCTGGTCCTGGATCGGCTGGTTTCCCTTCCTATTCTACAGCACCACGTGGGTGGGTGAGACGTACTTTCGGTACGACGTCCCCGCGGGTGCGAGACACTCGGAGGATGTCCTCGGTGAGATGGGCCGTATAGGGAGCAAACCGCTCGTCATGTATTCCTTCATCACGTGCACGGGGGCTTTTGTCCTTCCGCTGTTTGTCAGGGCCCCCGACGAAGACGTGTACACGGCTCGGCCTCCTCGGGCTGTAGCCCGGCTTCTGAAGCGCTTCGAGGATGTGAAGCCCGACTTGCTGTCCACATGGGTCTTTGGTCAGGTCATGTTTGCGGCCGCCATGTCTCTTGCACCGTTTGCCACGAGCTTCCGCTTCGCCACCACCCTCGTCTGTCTCTGCGGAATGTAAGTCCAGGACCGCCGCCGCTCCCCAAGAACTCCAGGACCATGACAGTCAATGAGCAGCGGACAAGCATACTAACGGCCCACGTAGACCGTGGACCATCGCCATGTGGGCGCCCACGGCCCTCCTCGGCATCGAAGTTAACAAACTCAGTGGCCGTCCCAGCTACAGGCACCTCGCCAACGACCCTGACATGGAACTCCGTGCGCTGGACCAGGGCGATGCGCCGCCCACCTTGTTGGGCAATGGGACTGAAACCCCGTCATCATCGTCTGGCGAGCTGTCGGGGATGTATTTTGGCATCTTCAACATCTACACCACCATCCCCCAGTTCTTGGGGACGTTGATGGCTACGGTTGTGTTTGCCATCCTGGAGCCAGGCAAGAGCCGGGAACTGGGCGGCCAGGATCCGGCGCCGAGCAAGGATGGCCCGAATGCCATAGCTGCGTGTCTGTTCGTCGGGGCCCTTTGCTCCGTGGTGGCGTCCTTTGCGACGCGGAGGCTGAGGAAACTGTAGTCTAGAAATCGCAAACTCGCAGGATTAATGGTGGACGGATGGCGTTGGGTTGGACCTCGGTGTCCAGCGCTGCAATCACCAAACGCCCTGTATATTTCTTATTTGACTCGACATGTAGCATCCCCGTCTCAGTGTTCGCTCGTGCGCGCGCATGGACAAATTCACTTGTCGCTCTCCGACACCTTCTCCCACTCGTCCTCGGTGCTGACACTAGATTGCGTCTCCCCGCCAGACGAAGCCTCCAAGTTGTTTGCCTGGCCGGCAACGCCGCTGACCCCGCCTCTCTTTCTCAGCCTCTGTCGGCCCTGTCTCGCCGTGCTTTCGACCTCGGTATCGCTGTCGTCCCCTCCCTTGTCGTCCGTCGCGTCCTTGTCCTCGGCCGTTGCTCGCTCCGCCTCTTGCTGCTGCCTCGTTTGGGCCACGGCTAATTCGTTCGCGAACCAGTTGATCGAGTACCAGAGCCCCGCGCACAAGATGGACAGGACGACAAAGTGTATGCTTGTCGTGGCGACGAGGAGCCCGAGCAAGACGATTTGGAGCGCAGCAAACGTGGCGTTGGTGGCCTTGAGGATGGTGGGTGTTGGGCCGGGCACGAAGATGGACTCCCAGAGGCCGGCGATGAAGGAGGCCATGGTGCGTGGGTATGTTGCCGCGTTTTTGTGATTTTCGTTGGTGATGTTCGGTTCGGAGCGCGTCGCGAAGGAGAGCGTGGCACGTACTCTGTTTGCTTGGACGGTGTTCTTGCTTGGCTCCCCTTTTTTTTCTTTTTTTTTATGGTGAAATATATCTATATGAGCTCGGGAGGAGGGTGGGGTAATCGCGGCGACGGCTGGTGCCCGTGACTTGTCTGCTGTGAGGTGGCCAATGAGGTTTCCTTGTGCTATCAGCTTCCTCGCACATACGTAGGTATTTTGACAGTGTCGATGTTTGGAAATGGGAAAAGGTGTCCCTCGGTCGCGGAACACGTAATGCGGTCAAGTTTCATGGTGGCGTGTCGCGCGGTGGATGCGGCTGCTGAAGCGCAAAGCGCCCCGCGCTGCCGTCGAGCCAATTTTGACGATGCCCAAGACTATGCCGTCATGCACCTTGAGGCTGAGCCTGACGATGCCCAAATCCAACAGAGATTCCGGCCCGGCTCTAGGGTAGTGTCAAGCCGTCTTACTGGGTGCCGCGGCTGGAATGAAATTGAATCTCCGGCGTCACGCAATAACCCCCCCCCCCGAGGTTATAACATTCTCACCTTGGCGGTGATGAGTCCACCAAGAGTCGGCCAGTGCTCATCTGTAACAGACTGGCAGCTGGCGGTTTCAATACCGTGCCGGACGTTCTCTGTAAATGGCGCATATGCGATCAAAGGGTACCTGCTTTGTGCCACCCCATCCGACATCCCTTACTCTTCTTCGGGGCTTCTGACTTGGATGCTGCGACTCGGACGACCCCAGGTGCACAGACAGCCTCGTCGTCTTCCCCGTAGCTGCTCGTGCTTATCTTTCGATGCAGGATAGGGCCGTGGCTGATTCCGAAATCACCATTGTGGCTTCCGGAGTCTGGTTCGAGTCTTGGCGGCAGAGCCCTCGATTTCCTTGATGCGCTTCGTACCACAGACACAGAGCACACGTCCAACACCCCCGACGATGGCGAGTAACACGGGCTGCGGCCGACCAATATTTGACTTGTCAACGCCACCTGCTGAGTGAGTTGAGGAACTACGCGTCTTGGTACTTGCGAGGGGCGTGTTGAAAGAATTGGTCTAGAGTCAGCGCGTGGAGCTAGCTTTTCAATCTGACATGTGCGAACTGGATCCGATGCATGTTTGAAGCCATTGCCCTCGATGTAGTAGCTCGGCCCGGTCTCTGTCCCCCGAGGTTGAACGTCTCGCTCCACAAACTCGCCGGCATCCGAAGTGCTTATGGAGTTCGGGCTGACCGAGACCTTGTGTCGATGGAGAGACATCACGGGCCCGAGCTGGCTTCCATTTGTATTCTGCACGTTCTGATTTGCAAGTAAGCTATCCGACGGTTCAAATGCGGTACGGCCAGAGGCGAACTCCCAGAGTCCGAGGCGCGTCACGGATCCCAGCCCTGTAAGAGTTAGACTATGCACAGTATAGACGTGCCAAATAAAGTGAAATGAATGTTCCGACCAGCAAATGCCATCTGAAGGAAACGTTACCAAGTGGTCTGTTCTTGGGACCAACAAGACGGTCGTTCGGTCCGTCTTCTACCAGTGACTGGAAATGTCTCGGTGCAGAGACAGACACAGTAGAGCCCAACAAGAGGTCCTTGACTCCTTGCACTCGACCGCCACATTTGAACAGCCCTGTTACTTCGATCTTGGCGTCCTATGATTCACAGATAAGATCTGAGGTGGATATTTACGAAGAAATTTGATGCTGCCGATGGCCGTGCCGAGGTAGGAACAGGCATAAAATCCCCCCTGTGCACATGGTCAGACAAGCCAGCTCATGCCTATGTAGTTATAGGAACAAGAATAATACCTACTGCACCAAGCGTGGTAATTAGAAACTTCATCCCTGCCCCAGCTTTGATGTCGTAATTTCTGGGTTTCTTCCATGTTGGTAAAAGAGGAAAAGCCCGCAAACCAACCAACATCTCACAAGGTGATCTCTACAAGTAGCTGTACCAGGCGCCAAAAGTTTACTCCCCTGGACGACGGAGTTGATTGTCAGATTTGAGGCTGAAAAGAATGTTTCCAAGCTACCTACACGAGGGCCGATGTCCTTGACCTAGCATCGTTATATGAGTGTACGATTCCAAACTTGGGATCCCCCTTTGCAAGACATTGATAACCAAAGTCTTCCTTCATGGCTCGATCTCTACCGCATAACTTGACAGGGTCTATTGGAGGGAGCGAGACTAATAGCATGGGCAACATCCCGTGACTATAAAAAGTCCCGACCAGCACAGGCGGGCATGATTGCCTATTGCCCTCGAAACATTGCGAAAATGTACATCTCCGGAAAACACGAAGCGACGCAACGAGCGCAACATTCAGTCTTGGGGTCCCAATGCCTGCTTGAGTTGGTCCGAAGCCATCAGTATAGCTGGTTGTACTACTCAAACTCTCCAACATTTTCTTTGGAAATAAGCTTCCTCGTAACACATTGAACGCGCCAGGCTGTGCGGTTGGAAGAACTGCACTGGTGACCGGTACTTATTCGTGGTCGATGCACACGAAAATGCTCACAATCCGCATAAAAAGTGGCCGTGAGAAGAATCATCCCGCAAAACGAGCAGCATGTCATATTGTGCAAATCTGTTGGATGGCGAAATGCATGTTGTCGTCTTTCTGCCCATGATGAACCCTCGGCTTCGGACTATTCACTCGTCCTGTACCTGACATCAGGCACTGCGGTCTAACGCCAAAGCCATTGCGGCACAACTGACACTTCCATCAGCTAGACCTCGAAGAAAAAAGGGAAAACCCCTGGCATAAAACCGAAACATCCATACTTCAACCCCTTCGAGCATCGATAGGCATAGAGCAGCATGGCCGTCGAACAAGTCAAGTGAGTCTTGAGCTACTGATAGGCTCCTTCCGCCAATCACGGAGATTCTTAATCAGGAAGCGAAATTTCGTCCTCATTGGGCAAATAGAACCTGTATATTTGCGTCTTGCGTCGTGATGAACCATTTGCCTGCGGGGAAGAGGGGGTTAAGTGGCCGACCTCTATGAACGGGCACCGGCCACGGCACACGAACCAGACAGTTGGCATATCTATTAGTCTCAGCGCAGGGCTCCAATCCCACCGTCTCTCAAATCCGGCCTTGAACACTGGGCCATTTATGTGTGTTGTTGCAAAAACCGGGCAAATGTGAGAGAAACGGTCGAAACATAAAGCATAGATGGTTGACCAGCTTAGCCGTGATACTTCGTACTGTACCAACGTCGTCAAATTCAACCCGCCGTAGTGCGCGGAAGAGTTCTTTCAGAGCCAATGAGGGAGGGACTGATACCCACGAAACTCCTCCGTACCCAGTCAAGTGTAATGTTGTTCCTTGCGACATGATAGGCCGAAAGAACGAGGTCTCCGTAGCTCTCTACTGGACAAGTTGTATTATACAGCACAGCCAGTGTAGCTCTCTGGGGGCAGATCCACACCTGCATGGCTCGACAGGGTCGGATGACAGATATGGCCATTGTTCCAGGATGAGAAGGGCGGCTGGCGGCCATGGGTTATGTATGGGGTGGGGATGGGATCATTGATGGCCGAAGGGAGGAGGGGCGTGGACGAAATTGCTCAGCGACAGCCGGCACCGCTCCGTCCAAAGGTCAAGTTGATTGATGCTTCGATTGGGGCCGCTGTCTAGAAGCACGCTGGTGTGATATGGCCCTGTTGTTGACTGGATCCACGGAGACCCAGCGAATAGCCCATTGTCGACTTTTGGGGCCGCGAAAGACCGAAGACAGCTTCAAGATGCTATTAGCCATTATGTGATTTAGACGCCGTTTTGTACGTACGGAGCATGTCCGAAGCCCTTGTGTGCTTCCACGACAAACTGTCTTGGTTTTGCGCGGTCAGGCGGCGGGATGGTAGCAGTAACTGGAACATCTGACCTGGATGGATGTGCTTGGGATTTTCGCCCCTTTCCCATCATAGGTCGGAATCAGGTCTCGAGTCTAGTTTGTGAAATGTCAATACGTGGTCAAGTACCTACTTGGGATCTCTCGTGGGGATACACAACTTTAACGCAAGTCAAAAATCAACAAGCGCCAAGTAAGGTCGCACGAGCTTGAGAGCCATTGAGCAGACTGAGCGTCGAATGAGCCGTCCCATCGTCTCGTCAAGGTCAGATCAGAATGGGCAAGCTCCGTTGGTGGAATTTGGGTTGAAATCCGTAGCGCCTCGCGCCTTCCCCAACGTTGGCTGAGCCTGAAAGGCAGGTAGGTTTCAATGAGTGGATGAGTCAGCGAGGCTAAAAAGCAGCAAACCGACACAATCCAACTCACTCGAAACCGCTCGCCCCGTCTTGTTGTGATTGTCTATATGCTGACCACGTCCGACACCTGGCGGAATATCAGGCTCAACTAAGATGCAGTGGGTGAGATGTCCGCCTCCAAGCGGCAAGCTGCGGAGATATTACCCGTTACTCCGACGGCCAACAGTCCCGGGTGCGTTTCTGTTACCTGATTAGCGACGCTCGATCTTGGCCCGAATCTTTCGGCTCCGGCTGTCCGCATTTCTCACATGCTTGCGATTATCGCCCTTTGCACTGTCCAACTGGTATCGAGTCAAGCCCGAGCAGCAGAAGCCCAGAGAATGCGTGCAACCACCACCAGTGCAATGGATACGAGCCGTTGGGAGGGAGACTCGGGGGGCTCGGTGGGGCCCTTGTTTACGGAGGCGTTGGAGATGCTCACAGCTACGGCCATGCTCTAGCCCATGGACCACGAAATACAAGGCTAGGACTGCGGCAGGCGTCCAGCATGAGAGGTGGAGGCTGAACAGGCCAAAGCCAGCCACACCAGGGCCGCCAGCACCCAACACCGTGACAGCCTACCAATACCAATACCAGCTCCCACCTACGGACGGATTGGCCACATCGTGATGTTGGCATTCCTCTTGCTAGGCCTTGGGTACACTATGGGCCCTATTATGTCTATAAGGAAA